GCGTAGGCAGCGGAGTCAGCCTGGGCGGGGTTCTCTATTCGGCTAGAATATAGGCGGGCAGGGGAACGGGGGCGGGTGTCAGGTAGCAGGCAGTCCCGGACTAGATGATCCTTGGATCCGTATCTAAAGCACTCCCCCCGGTCACGCCGGGTGAGCTTAGCCTTAGAGAGATCCATAGGTTCGCTAGGGCCTTAGGCGGGAGTCAGGGTCCTAGGTAGTATATTCGTTATCGCGGCGGCTGCGTACAAGGTCCTTGCGATTTTCTCCCGGGGTATACTACCTAAGGGCGTGGGTTAGCGGGCACGGTGTATCTATTGCTAGTATTAGCGGAAGCGGTTATCGAGCGACTAAAGATGGGCTGTGTAGCTATGAAACTGGCGGGACGGAGCTGGGTTATACAAGAGCATATCCTGGAGCTCGTTCGAGATAGCTTATATCAGGAGGGGAGTCAGAGCTTCTTCGTGTAGTTCGCCCTCTAGGGCTAAACGCTAGAATTCGGATAGGAAGGTGTTAAAGTCGTTATTCTTCTAGCGGAGCTGGTATAAGCGGTTCTAGGCATTCTAGACTCTATCAGGGTCGCCGAAGGCCTTCTCGAGATATTCAAGCATTTGCGGGTAGTCTATAAACTAGGGAACTCCGTACGAGATCTTTGGCAGTACTAGTTCGTACGCTTTACCAGTGAGTCTCCCCGCGACATAAGTAAGTCTGATAGTGGCTATCGGGAAACGGTCCTGGTTCGCGTTCATCTTGCCATAGATCTGCTACATAAAGCAGCGGAGGTCGCTGCGAGTTCCATCAAACTCTTTCGGGTCAGGGATTCTTTCACTAAGGGAGGCAGACCGGGGACCTAGGGTAGGAGTCGGTGCAAGTTCTCGCGTAGGGATATCTGCTAGGTTCTTAATACCTTGGGCAGGAGTGTTTTCGGTCGGGGGGTTCGTATGGCAGGCAGGGCGGAGTTCAGGATCTGATTTTTTTCGACTTCGAGCCCAACAATCTTGTCGTATAAGCTGTTGATGCGCTCTTCCTGATATCTAATAACGCCCTCCCTGCGGTGCCGAGTCTCCTCGCTTTCAGTCGCGGCTTGGCGGAGGGTTTGGTTATCTTTCTCAATTTCTTGAGAGTAGCCCTCCATAGTCCGGAGGTACAGCACCCAGACGTCGGGGTGTTCTTGGACGTGAGCCAGGAATTCTTCAATAGAATCGGCGTTCAAAGGCGGTTCAGGACGGGGCATGCTGGCGGGTGGCAGCTCTAGTATAGGGTAGAAGCTACGTAGTGTCACGGGGCGGGCAGGTGAATAGAATTATACTAGAACTGGACAGACAGTATTGCATTGACTGACAGGCTAAGACGAAGACGTAGCTTGAAGAGCTACATTCAGACAAGGTTCTGAGTTTACATAAGGTTGCGGGTCACGTGGCCCGCACTATCTAATCAATCAGTAGTCGTCTGAGCTGGCACTGTGACATTGATAAGGATCTGTATGATGCTGTTTTATCTGATCTAGACAAACAGTTTTTCTTGCATCCTTTTTCCATTGCCTTTTAAAGGCTTCTCTCCATCGTCCTTTAAAGATCCGCTGCTCTCTACCTAATATAGCCTTCATTTGATAGACCATATCAGGGACGAGACGACTTAGTAGAACCCATACCACTAGGTCAACTCTAGGCCGATTAAAACGATGAAGATAATCATGCTTTAGCTTTCGCCAATGCGATTCTACAATCATCGTTGTTTTCAGGATAGGGATCTTCTCAGGATTAGCTGCCCGAGCCCAGAGAATCCATTGATCATCTCTATACCAGTTGACAAAGAGGTAAGCCCAGAGATGGTAATAATCGCGAGATCGGCACCAATCATACATTTCTCGGGCACATTCCTGGTGGAGATTCTGCTTAAATCGAGTGCCATTGATATCAGGAAACAGAGGGTGGATATTGAAATGTCGGCAGAATATGCCTAAAATAATATCCCGTTCCTCTTTAGTTGGCTCAAGCCTTCGGCTTTCAACAGGCCTGACGCCACGAGAGAGACACTGACATTGACCGGAGCCTACAAATATCTTAGTAAATATATAATCTGGAAATCAAGCTAGCTAGAGCCAATATAATTAGAGTAAAGAAACCAACTTACCATCAAATTTATGCTCCTTTGGCCGTTTATGTGGAATTGATCCCCAGCAAATCTCAAGATGATCCTTCCCAACCACCTTTGCAGCTGCCTCTGGATCATACTGATTGAGCGTCGCTATCTTAGTAGAATCCTTCAACTTCATACTAATAGCGCGCTTCGCGTGCCAGTAACAAAGCTGATGCTTAGCCTCTGGCCAGACTAGTCTGACTGCTCCAATCTCTGCTGGATCTTTATCAGTCGCAATAAAGCTGGGATCAAACCCAAACCCCTTAAGCTTTATAAGAAACTCATAAAGGATAAACAACATTGCGCCTGGATCAGCTCTTCTTCTCTGATAAGTATCAGGCTGAACATTCTGCTTATCAACTAAACAATAGGCAAGTGGTATACCAGTGCCATCAAGCTCAGCTAACACAGTAAATAGCTCCATCCCACTATTATTTGTGCCATAAGTAGAATCTATGGCTAATTGAGGCTGTGAGTTAACCTGTTCAGCCCAATTAAGACGTGGTTTAATAGTCTCCGGGAGGTAGAAGGCTAAAGTATATCGATGTCAGTGAATATATAAACTAATATACTAATACTAATACCAATACCGAAGCTAATACTAAGCTAGTAGCTAAGCTAGTGGCTGAAAAGAATATTGCTCTTACCTAATGCTGATAAGTTGCCTGCTTAAAAGATCTCTTGGTGGGCCTGATACCTTCCATTCTGGAAATCTGCCTCATTTAGAAGCATTTGAGCTGAGGTAAGAGGATCATCATGGCGTCGCCAGTTCTTTGAGTTTGCCTTATGCCAGATATAATAGACCTGGTGCCTTGACACTTCCTTTCCTTTAGGATGCTCCCTAACCTGGCGGGAAATCTCTGCAGGAGCATGGGTCAAGACAAGGGAGTCAATAAGATCGTGTATGACTTGCGGAACTTGAAGATCTTTATAAGGCGGGTGCCAGTGATGTTGAATAGAAAGACGGAGGGTCCGATCAAGTAAGGATGGCTGTATAATAAGCTTACTTCCACAAGGAAATCGCTCTATACGGCGGCCATCTCTCTGTTTTTCAACTTCTACCTTAGATTGATAGCTTCGGGTATGCGCTTCATCCTGAGAGCAATGATATCTATACCGATGATATTGGGAATCAGTTGAGGTATGGCGGAATCGGAATCCACCTTCCTGCCAGATCAAATCTGAAAGACTATGCATTGCTATTCCCATCTCCTCTTTATCAAACTCAGAGCCAAATTTGATAGGCAAAGCATCAAGATCAAATTCAAAGTCATGATTAAGAGGCTGAGGCTGGGAGAGAAGCATAGTAAATTCATCCCAATCATCGCGCTGAAGAGAACGCTTCTTCGTATGACGATTACAAAGGCTTTTTCGCTTCCCTTGCTTATTAAGATCAAAATCCTCGGTCGGACGGGGATTACGGCATTTCGAGCAAAAAAAGGTAGTGGTATCCATGGTGCAGGGTAATTTTTAATGACGCGTGTATAGATAGGGATGAACACCTAGACGCGATTGTAAACATTTACGCCAAGACGCTAAGCCTGATAAAAATATCACGTGTGCGACATTTTTCAGGAGCCCAGTACCCCCCATCTGTTACAAGAATAATCAGCTGACAACTTCTAATCCTAATTAGGAATAGTGTATAAAGGTGCGAATATTCGCGAATAAAGGGGTTGTATTCGTATTCGCAGCGAATAATCAAATTATTCGCACTTGTTTTATTCGCGAATATTCGCATATTCGTGCCGAGCTCTAAGTACCTCCGAGTGGTTATTCCGAACCAAGAGTCACTGCCTTGGCAGAAGCTTTTCGGCCGAAATACTTTCCGTATGTTGACGGCCTTGTTTCTCGGCTGTCGCAACAGTTGTGGTTTTGGCTTGTTTTTTAGCTAGACTTTCGAATCAGAGAATTATTAAAGGACAAACAAAGTCTTCGAGAGGCAGACTCGGTTCTTCTTCATTCCATCTGCACCCATGATGGAAGCGCTCTCACGGCTCTGTATAAGCTGTGTCAGGACACCTCTCTTCGATGCAATCGCTAGTATTAGCTCACTCAGCCTTACTAGGTATAGCGTCGACGCTAATATCAGACTGTGTTGGTTACAATGTCGAGGTGAAAACACCACAATCTTTTCGAGTTGATGCCACGCCAAATCGTGGCCATTTTATCGTCACCTCCGTTTACACTATATCGGATAATTGTTTAAGAAGCCTGAGGCTTAAATGTTATGTATGGGACCAGCGCACTTAGGCCTTATACGTTCCCGTGTGTGGTTCTATGAACCCATATACCGCCTAAGTATGCTTAACGTTCTCAACTTTATTACTACCTCTATTGTTAGGGCCTCCTAACAGTGCGCTACTTATATACCGGTCCCAGGCAAGATGAGACGTCGTCTCGTCATATTAGGTGTTTTGGCCGAGCGTCGGTGAACCTAATTACCTCTTCCCCTTGCATCTTGTATATAATTCAAGTGTTTGTACCCCACATTAAAGAATGAATCTCAGCGACAAAGATATAAATTTAATAAATACCCAGAGGTTCGCAAGTACTGGCAACCAACAAATTCCATGCATGTTCCTTTATTCCCTTCTTTCTCCTACCTGCAATCCAAACTCAGTGTTCAAATCCTCACTAAGCACCAGTTGCCTAATAGGTATGCAAAGAAGAAGTCTGATACCACCGAATGGAATAGCAATCCACCACACCCATCGCATGCTATCTTGATAAACACTCAGTACTTCCGCCATTAACTGGGGAGTGTCTTTCAAAGTGCGTATAAGCCCATCACTAGCCATTGTATACGCGCCCCCATTAGCAAGCTTTTCACGTAAATGAACATTACTGATGCGGTAGAGCAGCTACTGAACCCGCGTATTAAAGACAGTGGTCGGAATCGCGATACCCCAGATACAACCAAAGCTGCGCATGAACGCCCACGTGGCAGTAGCAGTGGCTATATCGGATTCAGGGAGGGATGCCTGGATAGGAGGCAGGGTACTGGAAAAGATCATCTTCGAGCCCGCGCCGAAAAGAACCTGGAAGCCGGCCCAATCGCGAGCGGGCGAGTTATCGTCTGGTAGTGAGAATATTCCGGTGGCAGTGGTGAGGTATATGTAGCCTAGAAAGTGGTAAGGACGATATTTCCCGGTGGAAGCGATCAAGACACCAGTCATGATGCCGAGGGGCGCAATAGCCGCTGTAATAGGGAGCACAAACAGTCCGGACTCGGTAGCAGTCGAGCTACGAATTGCCTGAAAATAGATGGGCAGAAAATATCTAACCCAATAGACTAATACTGATTGAATAAATGCAATCCATAGTGCACAAACAGCCGTTCCACTCGATAATAACTTGGTAGGAATAGATGGCTCCGGACATAACCGGGATCGTTGATGAGCGTAGAAGAGAAATAAACCCGCTAGCCCTAGAACCAGGGGCACAAGGACCCGCCATGAGGACCAAGGATAATTAACTCCTGCCCAACTGAGTGCCAGCAAAACCGAGACAACCGTGGCTGTGAGAATGACATTGCTAATGTATTCGACACGGCGCAGCTATTGCCATATGGTACCACCTGAACGTGGATGGGAAACGCGAAGGAACAACACAAGTGATATCAGTGACACGGCACATAGAGGAAGATTGACGTAGAAAACCCAGCGCCACGACGTATGCTCAGCAAAGGCACCGCCTAATACGGGACCAACCACCGTCCCCACTGCCCATACAGCTGCCATAAGAGCTACATATTTCCCTCGCTGGCGAAGAGGAACGAGATCACAGATGACATTATCAACAAGCGTGTTAATACCGCCATCGCCAATACCCCTGAATGGTTAGTCTGGCAATGATCTGAACTGTATTGTCTGCTCCCCGGTAAGACCGCTTCCTAGTGCAAAGATGACGACCGAAAGGATCAGGAGCCATCGACGGCCGAATATATTTGCCGTCTGGCCGAATAAAGGGAGGACCACGGTCGACGACAGAATGTTAGAGTTGGTGATCCACATGTACGATTCACCAGCGTTGATGTCGAGCGTGATAGTCGGAAGGGCAGTCGATAAAATGGATGTGTCGAGAGCCGAGAGAAAAGTGGTCATGCACAGCGCTGGGAACACAGCCCAGAACTGTCAAGGCTTTTTCTTAGGGGGAGCAAGACCCTCCGTATGTGCTGCTGGCGCTTCGCTGTGCTGATGTCCATGTCCTGAGTTGTCTACAGGTGTTGATTATTTGTCTTGTTTCTCAGATTTCTCCTGTGTCGACGCTGGAAGAGCCTCCATTGGAATAGACTCCTGTACAACAGGACTTTCCGCCCTTGTCAAGACTGCGGTCGCCATGAGAGATGTTTCGAAGCCAGGGAGTTAGATTAGTGTGGACAAGAAGCGACATAGGCCTAATGGGGGAGGGGGAGCCTTGCCGTTACGGGATGTAAGTAAATAAAGATGTTTAATATAAGTCAAAATTACGGACTTATACGGACTTGTATTATTTCATGGAAAGGGCAAAGTCAGGGTGGCTCATAGAATACCTTGTAGGACGGGTTTAAAATGGCACCAGCCGAAGGCGTGCGCGTGTTATCAACTTTATTCGGACTTTTATTCTGCTACTGTTCCGGTGTTCAGACTCTGCTTTCACTGAATGAAACAACCCCTAATATGATAAATTCCAAATAACTTGCTACGCCCTTCATTAACAAGCTGTAAAGTTCCTGTTGGAAATACATTCCCGCTTTCATTGCAAGTCATGATATTGTTGAAAGTTTTGTAAATATGGAGGTGTAGGGTGCTTAAGGCGTTTAACCTACTTACCCCACTTTAGTAGCTTGCTCCTCTATAGTTCACTTCCTCTCCCTTCTCTCTTCTTCTCTCTTCTCTCTCTACGCATCCATGATATCAGTTTCCTGATTATTTTTCTCCCTCCTGAGAAGTTTATTCAGATATCTATAGAGACCAACAGTTGTTATCAGGGACATCCATGCATTCTATCTCGGGCTCGGGCGTCGATAAGGGTAGATTCTACATCTTAGTGTAGAGCCAGCATGATGCATACATATTGACTCGGTCAATGTATGCGCCATCTGTTCTAGAGCCCATGCACTTAGAGGAAAAGCCATAGGCTTCGAAAATATCGATATACCAGGGGCGCAGTGCCGAAGAGCGAAGTAGTACACGGCCACCCATCTTCAGTATACGGTTCAGTTTGGTGATCTGAGTTACGGCGGCGACACCGTTTGGGTCAAACCAGTCCATACTGTCCATAAGGATAGCGACGGTGAGTCTGTTAGAGTCCATATGGCTAAGAACTTCGTCGATCTCATCTGCGTGAATTTGTATGCCATCCAGTACACCCAGCTGTGAGAGATTGGCATGTGCCTCATGTGAGAGATACTCCGGATAGCACCGATGGTTGAATGTGCCGGCCATACGTATATGATAATCCGGATTGCTGAAGCTGATCTAGGTCTTCTCGACCACTGGATCGAGTGTACTCACCATGTAGCGCTAGATGGCGCACGAACGAGTTTTACGGTCAGCTTTAGTGGGCCCACCGACGGGTTGACTCTCAACATAGTCATTTTCAATCATGGTGAGCTGATGTTTAGGGACACCGAGAGCTGACCATAGAAATTTATCCTGGCTCACAATTAGCCTACAGACCAGATTGGAAAGCAGAGCTGGCTTGATCTTTTGATGCCAATTATGGCGCTGCTCGTCGAGTGCCTTGTCTTCAAGGAAATGTCGAATCACACCATGGAAGCCAAAGAGATACGAGATCCAACGGAAAGCTCGTATGCCATGGCGAGAACCCCCAGTATCATACAGACCATATCTGTTGGAAGTGGAGAATATGTGACAGCGGTCGAGCCAATATTGGAATGCTCGGCTTGACAGGTGTGGCGATAGTTTTGTGAGCAGCAGAGTCCGAAAATTAAGGTGCTTGCCTTCACCGAAGAGCATCCAAAAATCTTCATATGGCAAAGCAGTATAGGAGGCCATTTTCAGCTCCAAGAGATGGTTCTGCGACGGGTTTAGGTCGACAGCGTGGATCTTAGCCGTGCTCCGCAATACGTATGAGAGAATATTATCTCCAGCGCTAGTAGTGGCCAGCACGACGCCATCGGCGCTGAGCTTGAGCTAAATCCTGGAGATAAAATAAACACATATCAGAGTCCCAGCGGTTGATATGGTGTCAGTAGACTACTATTTTTGCTATTTTGCGCCTGTCGGAGCAATGGTCTGACTAGTCTTACTGTTACATATGCATCTCCTATGTAAATGTATCGTTGCGAGTTGTAAGAGGTGTGTCTATTCAATTTTGTCCTCGCTGTAACTAAATAGATAAAACTAACTAGATTCACTTCACGTCGCTGGACCGTAACCATTCTCATTGGTCCTGTGCCCCACTTTGGTCTGGTGGTATCGACAGCGCCCCGTCTGTTTTATGATTTATGAGTTTAAATTATAAGTCTACCTGCGTAAGATGTAGAGCACAGGCTGCACAGATAATGTATAATTTTATTAAAATTGTCGGTGTATTTCTAGCATCTAATATTTATTAGCTCATTTCGGGAAGGCCCGTCCCCTTACAGGACTACCCTCTCGAAACCGTACGTACGTTTGAGTAGGGTCTGGTAAGAACATAATCCCGGACACGTAATGTGGCGTCCAATCGGTTTATAAGTTTGAAAGTAGCCCCAACAGCCCCTGGCAAGTCTTTCTGATCTTCCTCCGGGTCAAAAATGTTGTTATCTCCCCCAAACCTCATGGCTCCTGAAACGAGACCACCAAACTTGGATGAAAGCATGGCAAAAATCATACCTCCCAACAGTAATAGCAGGGGTCGGACCGATAACCCTGGAACGGATCAGGTCCACCCAGCCTAGGAGCAAGCTTATCTTATGGGCAGCAGGCTGCATCTAGTGTCTTCTGCCTTTGGTATAGCCAATATTACGGTTGCTCTAGATAGCAGTATTCTCGGTAAGTCAAGTCATGTCTTACCTAATCTATCTTCGAGGCCCAGACCATAAGACTTACCTTCTCATCCAGCGACCGCACTACCGACTGTAAGTTCAACCTTCGGGTCCACAAATGACCTTGGATGGTATGGCAGTAGCTATTTGCTCGTTCAAATGGCCTCGCAGCCAATTTGGGGGAAGGTCTATACTTGTTTTGAACCTAAGCGGACCTATATTTTATCCCTGGTGATATTTGGGGTGGGCTCTATACTTTGTGCAGTATCTCCCATTTCAGCCTGTCTCATTTTAGGCCGCGCTGTTACTGGCTTTGCCGCTTCTGGGCTCTTAGCAGGAAGTCTGTGAGTACATTGTGTTCCCATATCACATCAAACCCCGCTTCAATCGGCTCTTGCGGCGCTTAGATCTAACATATTACAGTTTCATCTTTGGCCAAGTAGTGCCGCTAAGGCAGCGGCCGCAGGGAATGGCATTGATGGTCAGTATTAGCAATATTGCTTTAATGATGGGAAGTACCATCGGCGGTGCTATTACCGACTCGATTCTGACTTGACGGTTCTGTTCCTGGATTAACATCCGTATGTATAAACCAATATCCCGAAATTAATCCGACTAAATTATGGATAAGCACTCGGAATCGGTTGCCTTGTGGTTGTAGTGTTGATCCTAGACCGTAAGCTACATCCTGATCAAAAGCTCCCTCTAAGTGAAAAACTACATAGAATTGATCTATTCAGTTTCATCCTGTTATCATCTAGCCTAACCTACTTATTCCTTGGCTTCGAATGGGGAGGTCTATCAGTTTCTTGGTCAAACCCGAAAGCATGGGGATGCTTGTTAGGCTTTGCCCCTCTGAGTATTGTCTTCATTACTGTACAAGCACATAAAGGTGATAGGTCAGTATTACAGCCCCTTTCTTTTGGATGACTGCCTAGGTAGTTTGAGATTATCACGTCTGACATCAAGTTTATATTAGAGCTGTGATTAATTTGAAGTTTATGCGCCAGCGCACTATATTGGTTTGCTATCTATTCTCATTCTTTTATGGCCTAGCTATCTCTACACACCAATGGTTGCTACCAACATATTTGCAGAGTATCCACTATACCTCAGCCGCGCTTTCCGGTGTAATATGTTTAGCATTTTCTGTTCCAATGACTATCTTCGGTTTATGCACGGGATTTTTCACCACGCAGTTTGATTATTATGTTCTATTTATGTGGGCAGGGTCTGTGTTGTACGTCGTTGGAAGCGTGCTACTATTCCGACTAGATGCAGATAGCAGCCCCAGTCATTATATTGGTTACCAAATTCTAGCAGGCTCAGGCTGCGGAATGGCTATTCAAGTCACCTTTATTGCGGTTCAAGTCGTTGTATTACCTCATGATATGGCGCATGCCTGTAGCATGGAGGTCCTGTTTCGCCAACTCGGGAGCTCCATTGCTATTAGCTTGGCCGAGAATATTTTCTTGTCCAGCGTCACTTTGCCCCTTGCAAAAATTATACCGGGAGAAAATTCATCGATTTTGTCTACCGGTATCCGTGCATTTGTGCAAATTACCAAAAATTTGCCCTATCAAGAACAGGTAGGGGTAAAGAATCTCCATGACTACGGATTTACGCAAGCGTTTATTTTGCCTCTGGCGGCTACTTCAGCTGCAGTAATTGCTAGCTGGGCAATTGAGTGGAAAAAATCGAAAAGGACAGCGATACCCCAGCTATCATAGAAATGAGTTAAGTACTTTAATGACAGTAAATAATATCTGCTATCACTATCTGCACGTCGGAATAATAGGTGTTTTAAGTGAAGGCTCATCCTGACTGTGATGTAGAATACGCTAAAAGATGTTTCTCTAATTTAGATTACTATGTAGGTATTTCCCTAGCCGCCTAGGGCTCTTTGTGACTAGGATATATAACACCCAACTCGTATTCTGGCTGCATGACTTGAAACCTTAATAAACTGTTCTAAATAAGATATTTCTAGCCTCATGTTCTTCATGCTCGGTCCCGTTCAGCCCCATCCAACAGAATATCCAAACTCACCAATCCCTCTGATAATTATGGATAGGATGATATAAAAATTTATGGTATATATACCAAGTGGCCTGTAAATACGAAATGCCCCATCAAGATCTAGAAAAACTTCAAGAATAGTTCCAAGAAATATTTCCCCGGGTTCTCAGATTCTTTTTTTCTAACGAAGTATGAGTAGAGCTCTGTGTTAGAACGCTACATTAACACCCATAGTCATTCTTAGTGTCGATCAACTACGTTGAAAGGACAGGGTTCACACGTTACACTATATACACTGGAAAAGGATATGGTTTGTCCTAGATTCTTATTATATACGTTGTGCAAAGTGGTGTGAAGTGTGCTCGATTCATGTAGCTACTTGAGTTCCTAATGTAGTCGTTCCCCCGTGACTCGGGGGTCTGTTTGTTCCGTTCCGGGTTTGTGGTATTGCACGATTGCAATATCCATGTTCCGACACTCAGGTACATTGACCGGACTCAAGGTCCGCGTTACTCTCTAGGTCAGAGCGATTCACCTCTGTGTAGGTCCTCTCACATTTTCTACTCCAAAAGACCTCACTTGCAAACCAAGTATAGCTATCAGCATTATAGATAGCATGAGCCTTATTAAGCGCGTGCTGGCAAGACCACGGCCCATATTTGAGGTCTACAACCTTACGGTCCAACGGAGGAGACACCAGATGTTCCCAATGCATGAATTCATGCAGAAGTACTGTTCCAAGCGGGAGGGCGTCTTCCAAGTTACCTTTAAACTCATCGCATGTGACAGCTTTCGTATCCTTATTATAGCCTTTACCAATACCGCCAAGTCTCAAAGCCCTTGAACAGATCACAACCTCGGAATCAGAGTCTTCCAACAAAGTAACCATCAATGCTTCCACCTTTTCGTCATCCTCGCAGATAAAACCGTAATCAGAAGATGACTCGGAGTTGATTGGGACATTTTCCAACATAGTATTTCCAGTATATTGAGTTTCTGCACCACCAGTAATCTTGTTGAATATGGCTAGTTGTATAATCGAGTTAGTTCAACTTAATTGGCCAATCTTGAATTCAAAAATAACTTTGCGTTCAGTGTAAATGTCAAAGGTTTTTAACTTGAAAGGGATATCACCTACTCATGACTACTTCATATTCTGATTCAGGAAAGTATTTCAAATAGATAGATTTGAAAGCAGCTTTTTTGGTTGTTTCAGTCTCCCCAGCTCCTTCTATCACCGCATTCGCCAATGTCATCACGTCGCGGAAGGCATCTTCAACCTGGGTCTTTTGCTCATCGCTGAATCCATCCAGTATCATCTTGTCGAGTACAGAAGATCTCTTGATAGGATTTTTAGGAGCAGCTAAGGTGGAGACCACCATGAGGAGCGAGAGGAAGAACCAGAGCAGCATGATATATACCACTGAAGACTTTTTCCCCCAAGATGTAGTCCTTCAAAATTTAAGAGAAAGAAGGTTTAGTTTTCTCGCCAAGTAAATGGCCTTGCCCTTTAAGATTAAATATTGTCTCTCATGGATCTTTACGGGATATCATGGATCAAATCCTTTAAGTAGGAATCGAACTTGGGGCCGAAAGTCCCATTTTCCCGGACATAAATTGATAACATGTAGTTATTATTACTGAAAAGGATTATTACAGATAATAATTACCTTCCTTCCGACCCAATAAGTTTTTCGTCTTATCAGCTAATAAAAACGCTGCATTTTGTTGTTCTGCAGGAAATGCGATATCAACTGAGGTCGTTGGGGAAAAAAAAAAAAAAAGTAAAAAGGTCGTGGTTATCTGGCAGTCAATGGGAATCAATAGTAATCTATAAGATTTAAGCTATAGTGGAATGAATCCACCACCCATTCATCACCTGGCGTACTTCTCGGGCAATTTACCAATAATTTGTAAAATATTACTATCTGTTGGAACGAATATCAGCTGACATACCAAGATCATGTGATCTTGGCATGGCAGCTACTATATCTTCTTTCATCTGAGCATTTTAGAATGACACTTCACTTTTACCCAATATGCATACACCTATTATATACGTACAGAAACGATATCAATAGCTGTCTGCTTCGGTAATAACCTAGTCAACCGACACTATCCTTATCTCACAATAAAACAGTCAACTTAAGTCAGATATCAAAAGAATTCTTGAGGACAACATCTTTAATCTATTTTTAGGAACTTATTCTCATCTTCAGAAATTTATATCGAAAATTGTAATCTTGAAAAAATTCGTGATAATATATGCACCTAGTGGAATGGGGAACGCTCTAGGCAGCACGGTCAGAACCTGCATGTCGATTCAGCTAGGAAAAACCAACCACAACCACTAGGGAAAGCTCAGTGAGAGTGGGAAGTCAAAAAGTGAAGAGGTGTATAAAGGTGTTATTCTGTAACTATCATAACTTCTAGATAAATGGTACTACTTTGTTATCTGAGCGCGGAACGCATCTTTGAATGCGGCTTTGAGCTTGTCCGGGGTGATTTCTGTTTTGGAAAGGCCATATTCGTGTGCTGTGCTGGCGTACTGCTCTGTGACGGGCTTGCGGGGGTGGAAGAGGGTATCGAAGGCGTCGAAGGCTAGGAGGAGGGTTCGTGGAGTGGCGCTTGTGGTTGTTTTTTTCTGATTGCTTTACATGTTACTGAGCGGACGGTGGTGAGGAAGGTCATTGCAGGTGTGGTTTGTTGGTGTGGTTTGTTGGCGGAATGACGCGGGTCACACCAAGTCAGGCGGAGATCTAGAACGTCCCGGTGCCGATCTATCGGGATTTATCTTGATTTACGGGAAGTTCTTAGCTCAACGTACGTGCGACTCAAAGACGATTTAGATAAGTGACATCCTCGTGGGTATATTGAAAGACTCGGTAAATTCAACAAAGCCCTCTCGATCTCGCTTGATCTGCCGCGCGTTCAATTAAGATCGTGTTATTCTAACTTTGCGAGACATCATAACGGCTCTCTTTACTTGAATTCAGTAAATTCATGGAAATCGGCCTGGAGGAATGAATGAATGAAAACTTGGGGTGTGTAGAATTGGGATCCTGCGCCCTTCTCATAACCTGCTTTTTAACCGCCTGGATAGGGCCTGGTATAGTGAGACGGGTTATGGGGTACTCTCCCCGCGGCTTCGGCCTCGAGAGCCAAGTAGCCCGGGGTACAAAGCTCAACATCACTTGTCCACTGCTCTCGGTCATAGAGGATCACTGAGCTTGGAAGTTGGTTAGCGTCCTTGGCTTGACAGAAAATATCGACGATTGGTAGGTCTATATTAAGTCTGTTATCATGCGTTAGTTTATTGGGCTGACTTGGTTGGTCAAAGGATACTCACAGCGGATTTTGGTGTCTATAAGCACCCGGAGCATGCTTAACATCCCCAAAAGTTGACCAACCCTCAAAAGCGCTTAATTATGGCACTTGCATATTAAACGGGCGGACTTTGATAGAGTCTTTCACGGCCTTGTTGATTTCATACTCGACAATTGTCAGGCACCCGCTTTTCAGACCTAGTTCATCAACCAGCATATATGGGCCTGAATAACCGAGATAGGATACTTTGCCAATATGTGAGATAGATAGACCCGAATTTTGCGGTCTCAAGATCTGCCCAGGGCAAATAATCCTCTACCGAAGGATCGGTAGTGGTTGCTGGATTGAGGATAGCCTCCGATGGCATGTAATTATCGAGTAGACAGTGCCCAGTCTCGATATCATAGTTGTATAACAGGATCGCGAATTTCACCCATCGCGCTCGATTTGTAGCATGGGTCTCATCAACAGGGGCAAGAGAAATCAGGCCGTGGGTATCGCTCGGCTGAATAGTGTTGTGGAGAAGTTCCAATGCTTCGGCTGGGTATCGAAGACCTTCAATGGGTTCAAATATGTTCGATCTTGGCCCCTCCCTGGAAGACCCACAGATGCACGCGATTGGTACGCCTGAATGAGGGCGAAAAAAATAATTTTTAGTGTAATAGACTTCGGAGATTTGACGGGCTTGACCGAGTTGAATTCATATCACAAAATTCCTGTGTAGCTGAAGCCCATTTTTCCACCAGTTGCCGGCGGTGGTATAACTCGTGCAGAAATCCAATTCTCCTAGATGCATGTTAACGCAGCACTTGAAGACGTGGTTGTTTGAAAATTTGAATTCTATAATGAACATACCTGTAAAAATAGTAGCCCTTGACTTCCTTCTTGATTTGGTCCAGAGATAAATCTGTTTCTGGGTGTGGTTGAATGGAAGTGGGGATTCCCCCTGGCCAGTGCTGAGCGGATCTCGGCATCATGTGTGTGATCAAGTTCGTTAGGGGTCCAAGGAACAAATGAATCAATCAAATAAACGGGCGCTGGAAATGGCGCTGGGAAATGCCGGAAGAAAATTTGGCCAACCATGTGCTACATAATATATACACCTATAATTCATCGTTGTGACGTGTTTTAGATTTGGAATTTATGGGCATATTTATACTTGATGTCCTACATGTGTTAAATAGCTAGTTTCAAACATTTATGTTGTTAAATTTGATGTTGAAAATTTCAATTTTTTGATGTTCCGAGAAACTGGCCGAGTGGTGGAACGCGTTATCAAGCTGCATCCCGATTCATTATCTACCAAAAAAGTGGGGGACGTGAGTGCATTCCATTTACTTCTAGGGCTCGTACGAGGCTGAAAATTTTAGAGGGTTGAAACTAGTATGAAGTCTTAAAATATGTTTTAATTTCAAGCTCTTCGGACTTCAGAAAAAGTGGTGGTGAGTAATACTAATTTTGTAAGATGTTTTGATGGGGTGTCGCAAAGTGACAATACATAAGGTGAGGTGAACTTTTAGCGTGGGCTGAGCTGTATTCTGCAGCCGGTCCTGATAAACGCGCGTCATGAAAATGACTGGCAATTTAACAACTTTGATTTGTGGTAACGAGTCCCAGTTAGCTACGGATTCAAGTGACGAGTCATTTAAAGGGATTTTAGCTAGTATTGGGAAGGCGATTTCATCGTGACAAGTTTCTTACCGACAGATCATTCAAGCCCACAAAGTTAAAATTCCAGACTGTGCACTAATGCATAAAAAAGCATCATGTCAAACAGCACGCGTGTATACAATGTGTGAAACTAGCCAAGACCACCCAAGGTAACATCCCTTCTTTTATTTGCCCATAAATTAGCCTGAGCTCGAATCGTCTGAGCTTGGAGAATATCCTCCATAGTGGCATCGAAACCATATTGCTGATATTCCACTACAAAATGGGCTGCAGCTATGAGAGCATCCCAGTGAGCGAGGAATGTTGTATCCATCTCGTGACTCTGGCCAATGACTGTCTTCCAAACGGACCGAACTTTCTCCAATATCTGTTCAGTGTTACTTTCCGTTGTTGGGATTGAAATAAAGCCCTCTATGGGCCCATTAGGGAGCTCAGTGTTGCAACTATGTCGCAGAGTTTGACCATCGATCTGGCCTTCTCTCAGGCTATCCAGAGATGATGTCACGTCCGTGGTGAAATAGCGGATGGTCTTGCAGAAATGATGCAGGATTTTGTCCACAAGTACAGGTGCAATGTTATCGTGATCGAATGTAATCTGGACTTGAAAGTTGGGGTCTGACTCCGAGGTAACATGAAGAGGATGGCACTGGATATTCAGGTCTGAGCTCGGGTTTAGATTTCCATGAATACCTGTTGCTTTAAATGCCTTGTCTCCAATGTGATTTGTTGCCGGTAATGCAATATGATTAATCACAGAGCCGAAGCCGGTCCATCTTGGCCAAGAAGTACACTCATTCGCGATAGTTGAGTCTCCCATAAACTCAAATGGCATGCTGGCGAGCTGCCTCTCTTGGATGCTTTGAAGGAGATCAAGAACAGTGCATGAAAAGTCGATCTTAATACGTAATGGGGCAGTTGATGCGCAGACAACATCAAGGGAATCGATTCCCGACACAGCCATAGCGCGACCTCCTACAATCTCGCCAAAAATAACGTCGTTTTTTCCATGAAGCTCAGTCAAGACAAGCCCCCAGGCAGCCTTGACCACTGTTGCAGAAGTGATCCCATAGTTTTTCAGGGAATGAATATGGAACTTGGACGATAAAATGTGCTGTCCACCGTACCGAAAGGGAGGTCCCGGTTTGGTGACTATTCGACTCACAGTGCTACCTTCGAGATACTGACGCCAGTAACTCAGAGCTTCCGAATATAATTCTTCACGATATGTGATATAAGGTGAACTATCGACTGGTTCTTCAAGGGAGTTGGTGCTGAAGTAAGCTTGCTCTAGGTCTGAGGAGAGAGAAGCCAGAGTGGATGCGTCATACAAACAATGTGGAAGACGTATCACAAGAGATTCACAATCATGTGACGGACCCCTTCGAAGTAGTTTAAACCAGACCATAGGCTGCCCAAGGCACAATCTCGCTTTTCGATCATCTTCAATCAATTTAGCAAGTCCAGGCTGATTGATTCTGTCCGTTAGATTCACGAAGCTTGATCTCAGTGTAACTTGGTAAACCTGGTGCTTGTGAGCAACAAAAACACTTCGCAAAAGAGGATGACAATTGACAAGTTCCACGCAAGACAGGGCCAGGCGAGTGAAGTCGACAGGTTTCGGAATATCAAATGTGTGATATGTCAGATCACCGCGGAAGCTAAGTAAAGTTTGCTCTAATGCCGAAACTTGGTAGTCGGAGGCCAGTACTACTCTCTCGACGTTTTCTAACTTGACAAATGCCTGATTGAGAATGCTATCGTACAGGCCATCAGGTATGGCTGTATCACGAGCCGACAGTTTGCTTTCCGATGGAGTATCGGGGAAACCTTGTTGCTCGATCCAGCCAGTCGAATATTTTGATTTGGATAATGCATCTGCAACATTGGCAAGCTCAGAGAGAGACTTGCTAGTAAACAAGTCATGGACAAATAATGTCACACCTTCAGCCCGACACTTGGATACAACCTGCATAGCAGTGATTGAATCTCCCCCAAGGTGCAAAAAGGAAGCTGTAACGCTGATATGGTCCAAAGGAAGTTTCAATATAGAGCCCCAAATACCTTGCAGAAAGACCTCCATCGAGGTCTTGGGCATCTGGAACTGGACATCCGCAATGTGATCGGATGCTTGCTGGAATTCGTCCATACTAAGATTCTCCACAAATGATTGAGCCTTGTTGCGGTCTAGCTTGCCGCTCAAATTTGTGGGCAGGTTACCCACGACAATCCAGAAACTTGGAACCATCCACCTAGCCAGTGACTCTGAAAGACGATCACGAATTGCTGTAAGCTGAGCGGATATTTCAACGCGACGTGAGTTATCATGTGACGAATCTATTATTTGCACCGACTCAGATTCATCCGCCCCGAAGTCTCGAAGAGAGAGAACGGCAACACATCTTCTTTGGCAGAGACCAACCTTGGGAAACACTGCCAGACACGCCTTAACATGTGAAATCTCCATCATCTTATGATCTACTTCTGTGAGTTCCAATCGCTGACCGTGAAGCTTGACCTGTGCATCCCGCCGACCAACGTAAACAAGAGTACTGTTGCTGTTATATCGAACGAGATCACCGGTGCGATAGATTCGCCTCCCTGAGTGCGAAGACGGCGTGGTAGGTAGCCATGGAGGATCAATGACAAATGATGCTTCTGTTTTTTCAAGGTCATTCAAATAGCCGCGAGCCAAAACTGGACCTTCAACGAACAATTCTCCAATACAACCAATTGGAGCCAATCGCGAATCGTTATGTTGATCAACAACCCATGTACAGACACCACCGCCAAACCCAATATTGGATGGCTGTTTTGTGTCCGCACGAAGAACATGGTGGGTAACCCAATTTGATGTTTCTGACTGACTATACATGTTGATGAGCTTGACCCGATCACCCCAGCGACGAGCAGTTTCAGTAGTCACTGCCTCACCACCGACAACGATACTTTTCAGATTAGGTACGGTTTTGGGATCTAGCATATTCGCTACTGTTGGGGTAATATCAACATGGTTGACGCCGAGAACCTTGATTGCCTGGGACAAATTGTTCAAGCGATCTTCTTCAGATAGAATGCAGCAACACGCACCGGACATCAAAGCTGAGAAGATGTCGGTAATTTGAACATCAAAAGCAAATGAGGAGTATTGAAGGCAACGCGAGCGAAGTCCAATATCCGCCGCTGCCGCGTAGCTACGCGAACTTGTGCAGACGGCCTTGTGTTCAAGCTCGATTCCTTTCGGTTTTCCTGTCGACCCGGAAGTGAACACTATGAATGCACGGTTGTGTGGCGCTACAGACTTCGACTGTCTGAGATCCTGATCGCCAAGGATTTCGAATAACTTTTCATCGACGGAAACAATTATATCAACACATTCAGCAACCTTAGAGGGTGGCGCTTTCCCAACGAGCATAATGCTAGTATTCACTGCTTTCACCATGGCGCAGAGACGATCAGGTGGATGGGACACATCAAACGACAGACAGGTTCCTCCAGCCTTTAGCACAGCTAGCATGGAGACAACTGCCCACTTAGATTTTTCAAAGTGAAGTGGCACTGCTATTTCTATGCTTACGCCCAGAGTAAGTAGATGATCTGCAAGTCTGTTAGATAGAGAGTTCAGCTCGGCGTAAGTCAAATCTCCATCCCAGGATGCTATTGCTGGGGAATTTGGGCTCAGGAAAACCTGTTCGTCGAAGGCTTGATTTATAGTTTCTTTGATTGGATTTGAATGGACTTGGTTCCAAGTGTTCAACTCGTTGATGTCGTGAGTAGTGATGGTTACAACGTCATCAAGAGTAACATCAGAACTTTCAATGCTGATCTTCCGGAGAGTCTCGCTAAACGTGTTGACCACACGTTCCACTTGTGGCTTTTCGATAACACTGTTGTCGAACAAAACGCTAATCATAGCCCCACCATCCTGCAAACCAACTTCGATGTTCAGGGCGTAAGGTTGATATGTGTCCCGCATATCATTCACACGTCGACACCCAAGAGCTTCTAGGCCATTCGCAGTGTCTAGGGACTGAACTATCAAGGCTGTCTGGAACGAACATGCCGTCTGTGTCCCGGCTGTCAAGTTTTTTATGCGGTACATACCAGCTTGCTCGTAGGGAATTGTTATTATCGACTGATTTTGAATCTGCCGGATGAAGGCAACCAGCTTACTATCCTTCGGCACTTGCATGCGAAAGGGGACAGTAGTCACTATTGGACCCATAATGTTCGCGATGCCAGGGATTGGTGCAGCTCGACCGGACATTGTCCACCCAAAGGTGATATCATTTGAATCGGCATACTTTGCAACTGTTAATGCCCATGCAGCTTGCACCAAAGTGGAGACTGTGGTTGATGAGTCTGTGCTCTTCTGAAAATAAACATTTTGTTCAAAGGTATCATTGGGAGTGGGCTGGTAGTTTGCCGCCGGCAAAGCTGGAAAAACCGTCGTACTAGCGTCATCCAATTGCTCCATCCAAAAATTATCCATCCTTTCTTGATCTACCTCTTGGGCATATTTGATAAAACGATTGAACGGGGCTCCGATCGACACTGGGCTTCGATCGAAGTTCTGTTTTACACGGTCGAAAATCAAGCCTAGTGTCCAGCCATCGAAAAGAGCATGATGAATAGTCACAACCAATTGTGGTTTCTGGCTAGGTGTCGCAGAGATCGCGTATCGAAAGAGAGGCTCTCCCCAGAGCATGGATTTATCAAGATCCCGCTCCAGGTATGATCTTAGATCAAAGATATCCTGACATGATGGCGATTGTGAGACAATCACTTGTAGAACGCGCAAAGAGTCTGTCATAAACAGCCTTGTTCTCAGAATGGGGGACTGATCAATGGTATCTTCCCAGGCCTTACGAAATCGGTATAGGTCAAGATCCAAAGGCAATTCAAATATATCTTGCTTCACGAAACCTCCCGGTTGTTTGCTTGAGAGGGCAAATAACCCCTCTTGCATCGGGGTGGCAGGGTAGATGTCCTCGATCATATCTGAGCTGACTTTACAGACAGATAATGCTGCTTCCATTGCTTCCTCTCCCAATTTATTAGAGCCAAGGAGGCTAAGTGGTGGTATTTCTGGAATGATATTTTCGTTGATGTTATCAAATCTGGTTTCATCGTAGCCGGTTTCCTTTTTCCGTCCACAAAAGACATACTCGCCGTTCCCGAGATTTCTCACAAGATCACCAGTCACAAAGAAGCGCTGCTTACTGTTTTCACGGTTTGAAATAGCCCAATCAGGATTGACAAGAAACCGTTCCGTGGGAGCTAGGGTGCTTTCCACATAGCCAAGGGCCAATGTCGGTCCACCGATCACCAACTCGCCTACTGCACCAACAGGGGCCAATCGCTGGATATTCCCTTGCTCGACAACCCAAAAGGATGCTACAATTGGAACTCCGAGGTAAGATGGGTCAAAGAGATAGGGTGACGACGCTTTAGATTTTGAGACGTGGACACATGTCTCTGCAGTCCCATAAGTTCTGATTAGTTCCGTTTCCAGTCCCCATTTCTCCACGTCCTCTTGCACAAAACCTCCACCCGCGAGGGTAACAGCTCGAAGTTGCCAAAGATCCATGGGCTCCAAGTCCCTGGCTTCAGTGGGCGTGAGGCATACATGACTAACCCCTTGCTCATTGATCATCTCCGCGGCGAGTTCTATGCTTTCCTCCTCAGGAATTATGACCACACACCCACCGTAGAAAAATGCACCAAACACCTCCGCAATTCCGGTTGATGTACTGTATGAGTTTGAATGCAAGACTCTTGAATCAACGTCGTATCCCAATGCCTGTCCTTGCGCGAGGATTCCAGTATATAAGCCGGTGTGCCCTTGCTTCACACCTTTGGGTGATCCAGTCACACCGCTGGTATATTGTATGAATGCGACATCATTGCTGCTCTGAGAAGGCAATTTTGAGATTTTCTCAGAAATAGTGAGAGAGTGCAGTAGTTCTGCAGTAACAATCAGGACCGTCCCGTTAAAGTCAGTGTATCTATTGGCTTGGGTCGGTGAAACACAGAGCAGCTGAGGGTTGAGTTCCTCGATAAATGTCTCGAGGCAGCTCTCTGGATTAACTGGAACACATGTGAGACCGGCTTTCAAAATTCCAAGGATTGCAATAATTCCGGTGCATGACTTCTCAAAGCAAAGCAGGACTGACTGAGACTTCAAGTCACCGGCATGCAAAGATGCAATATGATCGCCCAGGTGAGTAGAGACATGATCTAGTTTGGCGTATGTCCATTCTCCTTCGCAGCTAGAGACTGCTGGAACACTTGGATTGTCCAACGCTTTTTCAGTAAAAGCTTCGTGAAGTTTTTGTTGGAGCGGCGGTGGTATGTTCTCATTCCATCGCAATATTTGCAATTTTTCCTGCTCGCTGAGAATTTCGAGATCCGAAAATGGCTTTGTCGGATGACTAGCGATCAACTGGAGAATTGTTTGGAAATTTCGCAGTACATGCCGAGCTAATTCGATAGGCACTTGGGGATAAGAATGATTGAGATCCAGTCTGACCTCCCCTTCCCCGATGCTGACAATAGCATAGATGGTGCTCTCCTGATCCTGTTAGCGCCTTGCCTGCATACTTCACGTACTACATCACTTACCTGCTTTAAAAGCTGCAGAGATTCTTCCGCGATTCCCAGGCCATCATTACCTAGGACTGACAGCGTAGTGTTGCAAACAGCTGTGTCCAACTCACTATACGGCAGAGGAAACGCCTGGCTCCTTTGAGGTTCTTGTGCCAGCTTTATGAGCTCTGCAGGTGTATGGATATTTGAAACATCACATGCAAAGATATGAGGGGCTTCGATAGGAGAAGTGTATCCGAAACAAATTTTTTCGGCTCCTGTGTACGCATGAAGAACAAGCGACCAGGCTGTTTTCATCAGCGCCACAGTCAAACCATTTTTATAGCATGCAGCAGTCAAAAGATCATTCTTTGGAAATACTAATCTGGTAGAACATGATTTTGACACCTCTTCTACCTCTGAGACTGGCCAATTGCAACTCCAGCCTTCGATCAATGGCGTGCTTTGAAATAGGCTTCTCAGCATGTCTTCATAACCTGTCTTTGACTCTGTCGCGCCAACAAAGTTGTTCGCGTCATGTTTGTCGATGAAGTTTGATTTGTCACCAATAAATAAATTGCTCGTTCTTGCTGTTGCTGGAATTGACTGAAGTGAAGGCATGGTCGCCAAGATTTGGATGTGCACTTTCAAAATATCAAGATTGGCTTCTTAATGGAAAGTCGAGAACTATTATCTGCTACAGTTCTAGCAGTATGTCCATATATCCCTCTATTAATTCGCTTTCAAGTTCAATGTATCAAAATTACTGTATCATTCCGAGCCTTTTCGGGAGGTCGGTTGGTGTCGGAGCATTCGGGTCAGATATATGTCTGATGCTCTGCTAACCCCGACCCCGAACTTTTCGGTCTATAGTACCGAAACAGATGACCTTTCTAAAAGCAAAAGTTTCCGAGCAGGCTTTATAAGCACAACCTGCTACGGGCAAAAAGTCATTTACGGAGAGAAAAGAAAAATGAATCCCACCAACGTAGGATCATGGACGCATAGTAACTTGCCAATGACATGATATCCAAATATGTGTTATGCGAGGAAGAATCCAATCAATCTATTATTGTGAATAGACTTTTCAGATTGCCAGTTCCTCGATTGTATAACATGAAATCATTCAAAAAGGCACGTGAAAACATACCCATCCGTGTATTGGAGATTTCCACCTGCAGGAGCCCAATCAATCTTTGATTATTGTTAACTACAATGGCGAAATGTTGACATTGCGTCTCGTGGTTGGTTATTGTTGAATTGAAGCATGCTTTATTTCAGGCCCCTGGTTGCCTCTTGCAACGCGAACAATCAATTTATGTGTCTCTTAAGGCGTGAAAAATATGGCTTGGTGCGTACAAATATAGAAATTTGAAGTGACACGAACTTGTCAGTATATGGGTTGTGTAGCGTGACCAGCTTCGATCGTTGGTGGAAATCGAAATCACGCGTAGGATTATAGGGCCTGGAGTGTATTTGTTTCTTTCTGCATAATTTATTTTTCATTGAAACCCTTCATAGATACAGAAGAATGTACGGTCACCGCTTCTATGCTTACATGATCACCCCTGGTAAGTCCAAAACCATGCATGGTTACATTTCTTCATGCCGCTTAGTCTTTCCATGCACATAAGAGTCTTGCACGCCACAAAACAAGTACCTGTCACTAGGCTCCGCCAATCCGGATGGAGGCCTTGTGGGGCTTTAACAATTTGAGAAATTAAGGCAAATTACCAGTAGCATTGTGCATATCAGCTTTTTGGGGGCCTTAGGGCTTACTCAAAGTCCTTGCTGATTTAAAGCTTAACTATCACAAACCTTGACTCATACACTCTCTATTTCTTTACTTATCAATACTACAAAATAGGTCCCGATTAGACAAGCTCATAAGATTTGTTTTCATGTGCTACTTGTCATATTTCTTTTTGCTAGCTCTTATCAGTGTCTTTGTCCGAGAGGTACTTGAATTGTGGCTGGATCTTCCTTTTCAATACAATTCTCTAGGATTTGTCATATATCCCTTGCCCCGCTCCGTACACTGGCGGCAATGAAAATGAACAGTCATCAACAGACTGCCTGCGATCGATGCCGGGGTCAAAAGCTGCGGTGCGTGGGGCTCGCAAACCCCGTCCTTGACCGGCATAGCAGATACGTCCGAAACCAGACCCCTTGTGATCGTTGCAAAAAGGCCCAAGTCGAGTGTTATAGCACGCGGTCAATAGCGCGGAAGAGAGCTGCCTCCAAGTCGCTCTCATCGGACTCAAATATCGAGCACTCTTCCAGTTATCCCAGATATTCTGCGCTTCAATCGCCAGAATCACCACTCCCTTGTTTCGACGTTTCGACCTGGAGCGAAAATGGTGATCTCGATAAAGCCCGCATGATTCCATGGACAGGGGATTCCCCACTCAACGGCCTGCATCCAGAGGTGATCTCAGCTCCGGGGAGTAATATCTCCTCACACAATGCGTTCGATCTGGCCATCGAGAACTTTTTGCCAGAAGAGGCTAATCTATCTGAGGACCCACAAATTATTTCCGATGGTGCGGCATATTCTGGTCCCCGAGAGAAGAATCAAGCTCTGATAATGAGCTCGGGCTGGCTAAAGAAGTTGGCGGAGCTCAATGGGACGCTGTTGCATAACCGAGCGAATCGACAAGCAGGACAAAGCAGAGGCCAATCTCAACCTGCTTCTACACGAAGCGGCTCATCTGTATCGCTGTCAATTGGCCAAACTTTGCGACATTGCCAGTACTTTCTGAGCATACTTCAGACCATTCAGCGGCGTGCAACTTCGTATGCCACTAACAACTCATGGCGGGCCAACGGACCGGACTGTGGACTTGATTTCCCGCTGTCAGAGCTTAATTCGGACTCCGGTTATCGTGAAATTCGTGCCTTCGAATTGTTGGATCCTCCTTTACTGTTCTCGATCCTTGCATCCTACGCATATATCACAGAAGAATATGAGCATTTGTTCTCCTCGATCTTAGAATCAGTGACTCAGGCCATTCCCAAAGTTCCGGCAACCCTTGTTGGCACCAGCCTAGATGGCTTCAAATTGGATGGAAACAATACATTGCAGCTGGAGTTCGTTCTTTATGTCAGTTCAAACCTTCTGGGGAAGATCGAGTCTATTTTGATCGGATCCTCGGACGAGACAGGAGCTTCGAAAAACGATGGCCTTTTGAGCGGAAAAATGGCAGGGTATCTAGAGTCGTTATATAATCATAACTATCATGGCACAGAAGAAGCGACAACTAAAAATGAGGAGAAGGCCAGGGTTAGGGTTCTCATACGCCAAATTCAAGCAGCCCTGAAGACCTTGGAACCATGATACATATACCCATTTGACCTTCATCTGCTGCCGGTTTAAGATGAACATACAGTATACGCAACAAGAGGGGAAAAATTGAAAGTACTTTGAGAGCATTATAAAAATCAAGAACCCATACTTCTACCTGAACTCTCAGAGCTTGCTTGTAGAATAAATACGCGGGAACCGCCAAGCTTCACGCAGTGCTGTCAAATTGGCATCATCATCGGACTCAGCTGGTAGATTTTTACCCCTTAAAATGATACCGGCGACTTTGTCTCCGATGACCGGTAGAAATTTGAAAGCATGGTCAGAGCCCCCGGATGCCACGAAAAGCGTTCCTTGAGACGCAGGGTGGTAGTCAACGATGAAGTCAGTCGCAGGGGTATCGGTGTACCAGCATCGACGAATCTTCGCGAATGAACGACGAGCGATACTATCATTGGACTTCATTTCCGTACCGTTGGAAGGTTCAAACAGCTCATTCAAAAATGCTCTGTAATCTGCCAAGGTTTTTTTTCCCGCTGATCCAGGTCCTCGGCAGGATCAACATCACCTCCCCAGCCAAATTCTGATTCACTCCATTGCTCACGAGCTGTAAAATGGGTCTCTCTAGGCCCGATATCCACGCCTGCGCATTGACGAACATCAACAAGTCCACTATGTGAGAACTTCCCAAGCTTCAAGAACCCCTCCCGATCCGGTGCGATCGCAAAAACACACCGATCGGCATTGACGATGATGGGAAGATCCAATTCTTCGAAATGAACACATTCTTCAGGAGAGAGCTGAATATAGGCAACTAACTCACTGTACACGTCGCATAATTGACACATTCCAAGAATGCGAGGGGTATGACTCCCCGCAGCGACGATAGTAAGGTCAGCAAATAGTTTGCGTTCATCAAGTAGAACGCCTTGAACTACATCACTTTGATTTCCAGCATAGATGAGGGACCGAACATATCCGGTGTGAAATTGCACACGACCGGTCTGGATAACCATCTGTCGCAGCCATGCAATGCTTGCCCCGCTGTCAGCCCATCCGGCATCCAGCGAAATATATCCTCGAAGATCCTTCTCAGAGGTTGAGGCAGAGGTAGTTGACAGTCCTAGCTCAGATCGAATTTCACTCAGCGAGTCAAGGATTTGAAGACCGTCTTTACCACAAACAGAGAGCTGACAACTAAGCTCATACGCATTTTTCACATAATTGACTGTCTCACCAGCTCGTCGTGAACTTCTCAAAGAGCTACCCTGTGCTGAAAGCAGAAGTCGTCGCTCTGTGTAGCGACCATCCGCACCCCACATTCCTCGCCATTGCGTGTGAGCTTCCTTGGCAAGGATCGCATAGGGGCCGTGGGGGTATTCACTTCTAATAATGCGGGATGTGTCATGGTTTGCGGCACCAGGGTTGCTGATCGAAGTACCCGTTGGGATGGTGGGCGGCTCAAACTCCCATGAGTCGACCAACGTGATTGATGTCTGAGAGAATACTTTGTCTTTAGCCATGGAGTATGCTGTAGACACTGAGAAAAGGCAAATGGGTGAGCTTGTTGTGTCACACATGCTTGTTTCTGGTTACTCACACCCAAAGACCCCTGATCCCACAATGATGATATTTTGAGGGCACGCCATATTGCGAAAATGTTGCAAATTCAGTATCAAGTGCTTGAATTTGGAAGTTATTTGAGTCTTTTGTGGGCTTTCTTCGATGGGATTACTGAACAAGGCAGGTCGGTCGAATCTTCGATTTTTTGTGTCCCGGGTCCGTGTGATGAGTTCGGGGTCGGTGTAGTCGGTATCGGGGTATGAGACCGAACATTACGGACACCGGGACTTTTTGGTCAGTATTCGGTGCTCATTATTACACATGGCTTGTAGTTGTCTAACATGAGGCTCTTCAAATCACTACTAAATTTCCAATTCCAATATTATACCAAGCATTACAATTTATCCAACTCTCCACCAGAAAATGGCTCATATGGCTTCTGTTACTACCCACGTCCAATCTCCCTGGCCTGGGTCTGATTTCAAGCGCCCTAAAATAGATTTGCTGCCAACCCCACGAATTCAGCTTCATGATATCCGCCAAAAGACAGATGACAAAGGGCTAGTTCCTCAAATTGTAGCTGGACTCAGGTCTGAGGAAAAGGAGTTGCCGCCTCTACTTCTTTGGAACAGACATGGCTTGGAGCTTTTTGATGCTATCTTAGACTCTGGAAAATACTATCCTGCTGTGAGGGAGCCAGAGTTGCTGTCTAACTGTATGCCTAAAATGGCATACAGAATTTCCTCTGGAGAAAGGGTCATTGAACTCGGCTCTGGGTAAGTCTGATTTTGTTGGACTCGACAATAATGCCCCGAACTGTGTTAACAGCGGCAGAAACATGCGTAAAACTGCGCTCTTTCTTCGGACTCTAGAAATGCAACATAAGCATGTGGATTATTTTGCATTAGATGTCAGTCATTCCTCGCTCCGGTCCAACATTAGTGAGCTGCAAGGGCTATTTTCATGGAACCCGAAAACCAAGATCCAAGGTCTACTGGGGACATATGAGGACTGTATATCCTGGCTCCACAGTCAAACCGACCAGAAAAGCCCAGTGACTCTTTTATGGCTCGGTAACAGCATTGCCAACTTTACACCCAGCGAAGCATCAAATTTGATTGCACGCTTTTTCTTCGCCGGCGAAGCAACTTCCGTGCCGGTCCAGATAATTGTCGGTATCGACGGCTGTCAAAGGCAAGATGAGATTGTCGAGTCTTATGAAAGTGATAAGTCCCGTGATTTCATTCTGAATGGGTTGGATTGTGCAAACAAGCTGCTGGGCAAGAAGACATTTTTGATCAAAGACTGGGACTTTTGTGGCCAATGGGATGTGAAGAAGTCAATGCATGAAAGCTTCTACGTTGCTCGACATGATCTTTGCTTAGATATTGAGGGAGAACAATTCCGAATCAGATCTGGGGAACGAGTGCATGCTATACAAAGTGGGAAGTGGCCACGCGTTAGAGTCGAAAATATCTGTTCGGCAGCGAGCACTTTGATCGCCGATAGCTGGAGTAACCAAGATGACTCATATGGTACGTTAGACTTGTGGCTCTACTTGACCTTTTTTCACAGGAAGCTCTCTTCTAACTGGCATGAATCACATCCGTTTAGGTGTCTACCTAATAAAGAATAAACTGACTTAATGGTGATTGCGTATTGATTCCACAAGAATGATCCAACGACCAGGTCATCATTTTCTTTTTAGATTTACAAATGTTCGAGGAAGACTATCGGAACGCAATGAATTGATAAACGCCGTCCGTTCGAGGACTATATGGAATTCTGCCTGATCGAAAGTTATCGTATACTAGACGAAGAAGAGCTAGAAAGAAATTAAAGCTGAGAAGACAATAAAGTGATTAGAGAGATGGGCAGTGATATCTGTGAGAAGTCCATTTCAATACTCAATTCTGGCACCAGGCATCTTAGAATGCACTTCGTAGCATACTGTATTCACGGAAATTTTATCGAGGCTTTTTGTTAATGAAGTACGGACGAAAAGTTAAGCTAGATAGAAAACAGATGCCAGCATGAAATTGAAACATTTATTCATTATTCAGTCAAGCAAATAATACTAAGCAAATATTCAAGGACTTCATTGTAAGATCTGTCGCAATAATTAATATTCTATTGACTAGATCAAATAAGTTCTTCTATGAAACTTATAGTCTAGTAGAACGAATGATACCCTCATATGCTCCTAGAGAAAGATCTTCGAAAAAAGTCGAAATCTGGGTGGTATGTTCCATCCGACAAATAAGACTTGCATAACCGTCTGGTCGCATGATAACCACGCATTTATCATTCTGTTTCATACCACAGCGTTTATAAGCCTGTCCATAGCCATCATGATAGCTTTCGTCATCGGCGTAGACTCTGGAGTAGTCCCAACCATCAGCATCATTCCATGGGTGGAAAACTTCAGGTAAATCCATCAATTCAATACTGTCCCGCTTGCTGGAATGAAGGGTTATTGCCTCAATTTCTGGGTTTATTCGCAGGAAACCATTCAACCACTTCCCAAACTCCAGAAATTCATGGTACACCGGCTCCATTGAGAGATTTCCTGCCAAAATTAAAAGACGGAAATGACCATTCATAGTGAGTCGGTGATAGAGAGTTGTCGGTACGCCGTCTGCTTGATTGACCATCTGGAAATCAGGTAATCGCATTCCGGGTGCGAGAGCCATTTCTGGATTGTCGGCTTTTATTTCTAGGTGAGGAGATTGGACAATCAAAGAAGGTGCATATTTAATCCCAATGCCGGTGGTGAACCTCATGGCCGTTATGTACGCGATCAAGAAGTCATTGAAATGCAGATTGGGATTGGCGAATAGTTCAAGATATTCGCGATCAAAGTCAATCAGCTGCTGGGCGATGGGCCTCCTTTCCTGTTCGTAGGTTGTAAGAAGAGATCTTGAACATTTTTGTTCGAGGTAGAACCGTAATTTCCAACCAATATTATAAGCTTGAGGAAACTACCAGTCAGCGTTGTAGCTAATAAACTGCAAGAGGAGACCTGCCATCTTGAATGCTAGTGTTCATTCCCTGGCCAGCTTTCGGGGAATGTGTGTCTAGCGTAGAAGGACTCATTAGCGACGGTTGTTGAAGTAGCTCGTTTCTGTTCCCAGACTTACGGACTGCATCACCGGCAAGAAAGACACGATCATCCTTGGAAAATTTGTCTGCGACGCGTTGACCAACCTGGTATGCTGACCACCACGCAACCTCACCCACGTCAAAAGTATATGGATGGAAAATGGAGCGCGCAGCATCCACCACGTGATCAACGGTCAAGGTCTTTTGGAACAAGGCAGTTGGAACATCCAAATCAGTTCCATCCATCGCGATATAAAAACGAACCAGCTTCTTCTCACGAGGGACCGCCATGATTGTGCCTTGCGCCGAATGAACGACACACACCTTGCGGATATCAGGGAAATTAGTTTTTGGCACAGCGTCCATCACACCTAATAGTTTTGTAAGCAATGATCTTGTAACTTTCTTCATTTTCGACTGACCCCATGTTGAATCTGTGAGATCGCCCCTGAGAGGGATATTCAGATGTTTTCTTGTCCAACTACGAGCTCCATCACAGGCAATTACATATCGGGCCTGTATTATTTGTGTCTGGAAATTTCCCTCCAGCTCCACCTTCGTGGCTACGGTCATGGGATATGCAAGGGGATCTTCAACCAGTCGGTGATTTATTTGCATGTTGACAGGCTGCATCCGCCAAGAAACCTCAACATTTCCGTATCGCTCAAGGTTTGCGAGTAGGTGATGCTCGATTCGACCTGGAATAGACGTCAGCTCCATCAAGGCTCTACTGACATCTTTCTTACCCTGATCCAAAGTCATCTCCCTTGGTTTTCCAAGCTCTGGAACCCGGTCTGCAACGGTTACGGACCGCTCAACTCCCCCCTGTCCATCAGCTTCCCAAAGTACAACTTCTTCCACGCGATGAGATTCAATTCGGATTGTATCACCGATCCCAAAAGTATCGAGGACCTCGAGAGAAATGCTTTTCAGTCCATCTGCTTTGCCGGTTTCCACGCTTCCAGATTTTTTGTCAATTACCCGCACTCGTAATCCATTGCTGCCGTTGAAGCAATTTGCCGCTGTCAGGCTAAGATTAAATCAGTATTCTGAAAGTATCAAATATCTCAGTATCTTCCACACCTACCCTGCTGGACCTGCTCCGATAATAAGAACGTCGACCTTGTCAACCGCATTCGACATGATGCTGATCACCAAGGCAGAAAGAGATAGTTGAGAAAGAAAAGTTGGCTTAATCCTCGTTCAATCTAAGCCAGTGACTAGAAATCAGCCTTTTTAGATCCAATATAAACATCCGGAATGTGTCCTGACCAGTTATAGATCAATATATCGATCTCCGAAGAACTCGGCGCCCCGACATATTCAGCCCCGAAAGATGACCGAACTCTTTCGGAGACACAAAAATAAGCATAACACGACCCCCTGATTACACATAAAGCACCAAGCAATTATTAATTTGAAATATCAGCAAAGTCGTATGATAATTCCGACTATTGCTTCTTGAATCGATCCCACCTATTTCTCGCCATAATGACCATCGGAAATTTCGAAATAGTTAAGAAGGGAACGATAACCCAAGAACTTGAAAAGACTGATTACGATCAGATTTGGGGATGGAACAAAATTGTTCCAGTCGCTATCTACACTCCAGTTCAAGAATTCATCTACGCCAATGTCGAAACCCATCCCGATGCCCCGGCTGTATGTTCATGGGACGGAAACCTATCATATATGGAACTGGATGATCTCTCTACGCGACTAGCAAATATATTGGCGGACCGGGGAGTTGGCCCTGAGGTTATCGTCCCGTTATGCTTTGAGAAATCAGCATGGACAATCGTCGCCATGCTCGCTATTATCAAAGTCGGAGGTGCATTTGTGCTCCTTGACGCGAAGCAACCCGAATCTCGTCTTCGGGACATTGTCTCTACCACCAAATCCAAATTCATGATTGCTTCATCTGCACAGCAGGAACTGGCATCAAGTCTGCTGTCTGATGTCATATTAGTTTCCCATGATATCCTTTTAGCGATGCCAATCTTGCCCAGTCCGACTCCTAAAGTCGACCCCGAGTCTACTCTTTTCGTCGTATTCACATCTGGAAGCACTGGGTTCCCGAAAGGCGTGATGAGTTCGCATCGAAGCTTCGTCTCAGGAGTGCACTATCGAAGACCAATTCTAGAAGTTTCTTCTCTACGTGTCTTCGATTTTGCTTCATACAGCTTTGACGTCAGTACAGATATCATCCTATCAACGCTCATGATTGGTGGATGTATCTGTGTTCCGAGCGAATCGGAGCGACAGAATGATGTTGCCGGGGCCATCAACCGTCTTGAAGTAAACTCGGCAGATCTGACTCCTTCTGTTGCACGCCTAATCGACCCCGATTCAGTGCCTGGGCTCAAGGTTCTCAAACTCGGGGGTGAGCTTAGTAGTGTTTCTGATGTTGCACGATGGGCCCCGAAGTTAAATTTAGTCAATGTATACGGTCCTTCTGAGTGTCTAATTATCACCATCAATGTGTTGACCGAGGAAAGTGACCCACGAACCATTGGAAGAGGCCATGGCGCAGTTACTTGGATAGTTGACCCTAAAGATCACAATACGCTTGTGCCTGTCGGGGCAACTGGAGAACTTGTTGTTGAGGGCCCTATTGTGACAAAAGGATATCTCCATGACTCCGACAGGACATCAAAAGTTTTCATCGACGCCCCGAAGTGGCTACAAGAGGGCCGGGATAGGGATCAACAATCTAAAATCTTATACAAAACCGGCGACCTCGTCTATTACAATCCAGACGGAACCCTCAACTTCGTCGGTCGCAAGGACACCCAAGTGAAAGTTCGCGGACAAAGAGTCGAGCTTAGTGAAGTCGAGCACCATATCCAACAACAGCTCCTTTCAAAAGGGAAGTGTGTTAACCCCATTGTTGATCTGATCACAGTGGGAGACACCCATAGTCGTCAGACTCTAGTCGGATTTTTCGCTTTGAGTCAAGTCGAGGCCGCAGAGCCGGAGGATGAACAGCAGCTACGACAGGCCATGTGGGACTTGACCAAAGATCTCAACATGTCTCTTCTCAAGACCCTACCTCAATACATGATCCCTTCGGTATATATCCCCCTCTGGGAGTTCCCTCTTAACGCATCTGGCAAAACCGACCGACGAAAATTGAAAGAAACTGGCTCGTCATATTCACGTCAAGAACTTGTGGCCCTCAGAGCACCCCCATCTATGGCCAAGAGGGCTGTGAGGAGTAAGCTGCGAGCACCTCCTCGCACTGTTATAGAACAGAGGATTCAAAAATTGTGGTCCGTTGTCTTGAATCTTCACCCATCTGAAATCGCGAGAGAAGACCACTTTTTCCAGTTAGGTGGGGACTCGCTCAACGCCATTCAGCTTGTGGCTTTGGCGACGAGTAGGCAGCTTGGCCTTACCGTCGAGGCTATATTTCACAATCCGGTCTTGAGTCATATGGCCATTGTTGCTAAGCCGCTGTTAGAGCACCAAATGAATGACTGAGTCTCCACGTTAATCATGGGCTTGCAAACCACGAGAAGCTTAATCCGGAGACTACGAACAAAGCCGGGTGAATCATTTATTGAAAGAGTAAAATTGGAGCTTGTTTATCAATCGCAGATGCTCTTTTTTCAATCTAATTTCTTAAAGCTACATGGATTCAGTAAAAATTATCCTTAGATTCTGGTCAGAGTATGATCAGTTATGTGAGAGTTAGTGGTCTCAGTGAACTTTGTTTGTGATTATTATGACCCTTGGATTCAATCTCTTTCGAAAGGGCGAGATATCTTGAATAGAATCGTGTGTAGTAATCCATCCAAAGCCTTGGGGTGAAACGAGACGCCAATTCTTGGAACTATTATATATTCACGTAGGGTAATCGCTCACAGGTCAACTCTTATTGATCATCAGACATGACTGTCCCTAATTTACCCTTTTGGCTTCCACTATAGGGGGGCATACATATCTTGGCAGTGTATCAGATCTATCACATATGCAGTTAAAACGAACAACATCAAATGGGCTCTCACAGTCGCCGAACATTAGGCTCAACGCTGGAAATCTTAACATTCATCTATGTTTGTCCCTATTTAGCATATCAAGAGACTATGTCTTTTGAAGCTAAACCTTGAGATCATCATCAACTTCAGCCCCCCGAGCATGTTTGTAACACTGACACATTAGATGTGAGCGCCAGAGTTCTATCCCTCGACTCAGCGTGCTATCTGAGGCCGAGCGCAAAATCTCCCACCATTTCTGCTCCAAGACCGAAAATTCCTTGCCGAGTTTTGAAATGTCCGCAAGGTAAGTGAAATCAATAGCTTTTTGGCCGAATGAAGATTCCTTGGAGACATCGATTTTCGTTTCGAGTGCCACTTTGCGTTGGTCGTTGTCACGTACCTCACATTCCGTGTTTGAAAAGTCGGTGAAATAGAGGTCGTCACAGAAGAAAAGGCTTGCCTCTCTGCAGAGAGGCCTTCCACCGAATCATTGGAGCGCCTAGATATCTCCCGATCCTTCTAGAGTAAGCGCCTCGTTTGTTTGATCTCCATTAATGGAAAGCAAGCTGCTGTGTATCTCGGCCATCTTGACTCGTGTTCTTGCTGGTCTAAATCTTGCTACAGAAATAATCGCAATTCGGAATTGAGGACCTTTTTTTAATTTAATACGTCAACATGATCACTAGTGAATGTCAATTGAATACGGAAAGCGGTCTGGAATGGTAAAGACGAGAGTATTGTTGTTAGTTGGAAAGTGCGTAAGGCATCAATCCGGCAGTAATAAATGGGCAGTATGCAGTAAGCTAAGCTACAAATGGTAGGCGGTATTCTAACCATTGACAGTGAATATCCATAAAAGTGGGTCCGGGCCAGCGAAGTCCTATCTGTTAGTGGGTTTTTACATAAATGGAAGTTGACTGTGTGTATCACTGCTTCTATTACGCAGTCGCATCATTATAGTGCTTGTCAATTATGCTTTTAGTGTAAGCACAGGGCTCACCAGGCTATTAGCGTATGTCAAGTTGGCTATATACATGGTTATTCCTGTGGTTATTTGAAAATATCTCTAATGTCTTCGCCCAGACTACAATATAGCCTGTCTCAAATATCCTACAAGTGCGATCTGATAGACATGTGCCAAGTCATTAACAGTAGTATTTTAATCCAATTCAAATTATCGTCGTGAACTCGAACCCCATAAATTTTTTCGTTACCCATACAACAACTTTTTGATTGCTTTCCAAGCCTTCCTTGCAGACTCATCATTGAAATCTCCTAACTTAAAATAGGAAGTCTGTTTTACTCAGAGTCTTCCTTGACTTTCACCATATCCAGGTGCCGGAAAATAATCCATAACAAGACCCCAGCGCCACCCAGAATGCCAGTCAGAATGGCGTACATTGTAACTAGATGGGGGTCCTCTGACAATGGAGTGAAGGCGAGAGCAAGACAGGCTCCAATTCCACCCATACCAAGCCAAATAGCTTGAACCAATGTCTTCATACTCTTTGGGGCCTTGTTATAGGCATACTCAGTTCCCGTAGTAAGGCAAAATACCTCCGCCAACGAACCACCAAAGTAGATGGGAATCTGGAGAAAGACCGAGACCTGATTCGGGATCTTACGGTCTTTTGCTGCGGCACATGCGAGGGGATGATCGTAGCATGGGCCAGTCTGGTAGATGAGCTTCTGAATTCCAGTGGTGTAGGCCATGGCAAATGCCAGAACGAGAAATCCAACTGTCATGCGTGCTATCGGTTGGAATGAAACCCTTCGCTTTGTAAGGAAAGGATAGAGCCCCTTCTGGATGATCGGCGCAACGATGATTCCGGAAATAGCCCCTGCAGTCTTCATCATGTCGTTCGGTATACCGTAGGTTTCCATCTGCCCAGCCTGAGAAATCAAGTTGTTGAAGGTCTGGTTATAGCAGAGCCAGTGGATTGGAAAAAGAAGCCTTGGGTCATGTTAGCAGTGAATGTGGACTAGAAGATTTATCAACTTACAAAACTCGGCTGGTCATTAGACTCAACTTGATGTCCTCGATGAAGGAATCTGTCCAGGGAACCTGGCGACCGTGTTGCTGACGCTGGGAGTCCGGCTTTGCAGCATCCATTTTGAAGCCACCAGTGATGCCGAGACGCAGCGCTTTGCATACCTGCGGCATGATGTTGGCGGTAGGCACAACTCGAACTAGAGCATCCACGGGTTAGCCAGTAATTCTTGCAGATAGTCCTTTGCTCACTCACTGAAATAGTTGCGTCCGAAAAGGACCGGAAGTAAGGCAAGCCACATAGCACAGCATGGAACCAAATATGCGACCCAGAATCCGACATATCGTTCCAACAACGGTGTGGAATCGGCCAAGAAACCAACAATATTGATTGTCCTGTATTGCTACTTAGCATAAATCCCAGCAAAGGTCACGAAGAGAAAGTACTCACCAGTAATAGACGTTGTAAATGTAGGTAATAGTTAACTCCCGGTCAGCGACGACTTTCTTTCCCTTCTTAGTCCTAATGCGAAAATATTCCTCATCGTATTGGTCGGCTGCCTGGAATCAGTATCATGATCGCGATTTGCAGTACTAAGGGAACAACTCACCGATGAAAGGCACCACAGTAGCATTAAATGCACCAGATCCAATCGACATGAGGACGCAAGCAGCGATTACCCCGCCCAAGGCAGCCCCTTCACGGATAGCGACAGGGAGTGAAGTCCCGAAGAGAATAGTGGCACCAACGGCCTCAACGCTATGACAATGTTAGCCCTTCGACGTTGTAAAGGAAGATCACAAGTGATCAGAGGTCGTTATACATAGCAGCGTAAATCATGGTCTTGTGGCGGCCCAGCCAGCTATCAGCAATAACGGCAGCAGGTACAGGGGCAATGTAAGACGCAATGAACAAGGCATTGACGATGTTCGAAGCCGCAGCCTGGCCTAGTCCGAAGGCTCCGGGAACCTCTCCCCCGGGCGCATTTTGCAGATAGTTCTCTATGAAGCTTATCAGCGAGGAGAAGTTACTTGGCAGGGACGGTAGAGAGTGGAGCACCTACGCAGTGGAGCAGTTGCCCCATACCACACAAAGCGTTCCAGAATGCCGGCAATACAAGCTACCCAGACGCGACCGGGAACGTTGTCGACGACATGGAGAAGATCGCGCACTTCGTCTTCGGTGGCCAAGCGACCATCGTCCGAGGAAGCAGGGGAAGCAGGGATACTCTGAGTAGATTGGAGAGACGTATGATCTTCCAACTTAAGACTTTTATCCTGTTCTATTTTTGAGAAAGAAAGAAGAGCCCCGTTATCAGCACTTCCGTTCTTTTCTTCAACTTGAGAAGCCATCACCAACCGTGAATGTAGATGAGGCTCTGCAGTGGTATTTGCAGAGCCGTGCACATCAGGCATCGGGCCCGACGTTTTGAATACCATTTCTTCAGTTGACATTGCGGAGGATGACGAATGAATGTGGATTCGGAGACAGAAAATAGGGGGAAAGAGATTGTGAGAGGATGAGGAGGATAGTTGAGGGTGCATTCGGCGAGAGAGAGAGTCGGACAGTCATTTATCTATTCGTGGGCCGAATCCGGAGGTCCGAAGTGATCCGGCGGTGACAGGGATGAGCCATTGCAACCCTACAAAAGTAAGAATATTCGGTCTCGTCCTAATAGATGGAGGAATGGCCTAGTGCTTATTTCTAGGTAGGGAATATGCACTTGTACTGTCTGTGAAACATATTGGTTAGCGGCACACCCAAGCTGGTGGGCCTACAACATTCGAACCTATAGTGGGTCACGATACCCCGGAAAATCAATTGCTAAAGCACTGTCGGAATGGAAGGCCGGAATGGAGGAGGAAATTATGTAATCTAGCTTTGTCATCCCTACACTGTCAATCCCATACCTAAATGTGCAGATTTATATTTGGGAAGGGGAGAAAAATATCAGACGTCTTAATTTATCGGCTTCTTCAACCTTTCCTCTATCAATGAATATTTCTGATCTTCCCTCCTGTTGGGATCCACCTCGATCGATTTCATTGATCGAGGACGGGAACTTATCTCCCGTTCCAGTCGGCATCGACTTAAAAGAAACAGACATCTTCAAGCATACTTATTACACGTACAACGTAGTAATAACAGTGCCTCGATATCCCTGTAAACCGACACCCACTTCATTAATCATGATCAACTTACAAGAGGATGTTTCCCTTTCGATGCATTAGCCGGGATACACGTTAGTTAATCGATATGTGGATAGCAAAAAATTGAATACCAAATGAAGCAATTCTTACTTCTATTCTCGTTCCCACTTCCACTTATCCAGCAAATGCGAAAAACTTTTTTTAAGAAAAAAAAAATAAGAAACATACAACAGTCAGGATTCGCATGTGGTCACCCACCATACTACTAACTGACCGGCGTGTGGCTTAAGTACGGCTGAGCGGACGGGAAGCCCTGTTCTCCACACCCTGTGGTCGTATGTGATATAATGACAAAAAAAGTGACCTATAAAGAAAAGTTTACTCAGTAGTGTAAGTGAAAATCGGATGAGATTATGATGCGACTAAGTCAATGCATAAATAACCTGATACCCATCATCAAATCTGGACCTGGACCTTGACATCCTTGCAACAGCAAAATAATGATAGATTCAGGATTTGAAATTTGGCATTCAAGTGAAAGACCTGAAGAATATGTCGACCACAAAGAGTTTGTGCAACAAAAGCGGGACCAAATCCTTGATTCTTTGGGTATCGGCCATACAAAGAAGACGCTGGTGGGAAATGAGTTCATCCGTGGTGTTTCTGGTGGAGAGCGTAAAAGAGTTTCCCTGGCGGAAGTTCTGGCAGGCCAGGTATGTTATACACACCTTTCCACACTCATGGCGACTGGGGTCTAACTTTCGAAAAGAGTCCAGTACAGATGTGGGACAACCCTACTCGTGGCCTTGACTCTAGGGCTGCGGTGTACTTTGCTCGCATGCTGCGTCGTGAAGCAGACCAGAACGAAAAGACCATGATCGCCACCATGTATCAAGCAGGCAATGGTATCTATGATCAATTCGACAAGATCCTTGTTCTTGCCGATGGAAGAGTAGCCTACTATGGTCCTCGCTCTATGGCAAGGGAGTATTTTGAGTCTTTGGGCTTCGTCTGTCCCAGAGGCGCTAACATTGCTGATTATCTCACCTCGGTAACCGTCCTCACAGAGAGGACTGTACGCGAGGGTTGGGAGAATGAGGTTCCCAATACCCCAGAGGAATTTGAAGCACGGTACCACAACAGCTCGATCTATCAGGATCAGATGAACGCGATTGAATCTCCAGCAAAGCTCACCTATGAAACCGAGGATCTTGAGCTAGCGGTTGCGAGCGAAAAGGGAAAGCAGCACATCCCACGAAAGCGCAGTATTTACACAACAGGCCTGCTGGAACAGATTGCATCCTGTACAATTCGACAACTTCAGATCATGTGGGAGATAATTTCACATTGGTCGTGAAGGTCTGTTCAGCCATCATCCAAGCATTGGTCTGTGGATCGCTCTTCTACAATCTCGCCAGCGACAGCAGCTCTATCTTCATGCGTCCAGGTGTTCTGTTCTTCCCCATCCTCTACTTTCTGCTCGAGTCATTGTCCGAAACCACTGGATCTTTCATGGGTAGACCCATTCTCTCTCGTCAAAAGCGTTTTGGATTCTATCGTCCTACGGCATTCTGTATTGCTAATGCTCTAACGGATATCCCAATCGTTATGTTGCAAGTGACTTGTTTCTCCTTGATTCTTTACTTCATGTCAGCGCTCCAGATGAACGCTGGTCGGTTTTTTAAATTCAGGATCATTATCATTGCCAGTACCCTGTGTTTCGTTCAGCTGTTCCGTTCTGTGGGTGCACTTTGCAAAAAGTTTGGAAATGCGTCAAAGATTTCTGGCCTTTTGTCCACAATCTACTTTGTATATGGTGGTATGAAACTCTTTTGTTCTTCAGCTCATGCATACTGACTTTGAGGTGAAAGTTTACCTGGTTCTATTCCACAAAATGCACGTTTGGTTCAGATGGATCTTTTACTTAGTGAGTTACTTCTATCCTCCCACACCTTATCAATTTTACTAACTACGGGAACCAGAACCCTGGCGCATATGCTTTCGAAGCTCTCATGGCTAATGAGTTCGTCGGACGTGAGTTCAAATGTATTGAGCCCGATTATATTCCTTACGGTAGTAACTACTCCACCTTCAAGTCTGATTACCGAGGATGCTCTGTTCCTGGAAGTGTTGGAGATACCATTAGCGGTGCAGATTACATTAGAGAGCAGTACACCTACTCTTTCCACCACATCTGGCGCAGCTTCGGTGTCATTGTTGGAATGTGGGTATTCTTCATTTTCCTGACTTCCGTCGGCTCTGAGCTACGCAACAACCAGGGAGGCTCTTCAATTCTCCTTTATAAGCGTGGAAATGGAAAGAGCACAGAGAAGGAAGTGGGCGAAAAGCCTTCCAACTCGATAGCCCTGCAAGGTTCAACAAAGAATTCGATATGAAGTGAATCTAGCGAGTTTTGTCTATTCAGTTACAGCGAGGATAAGATTGAATAACACACCTCTTACAACTTCGCATCGACGCACCTAGATCTATTCCATCGATAATACTAGTAGCATATGCATAGAGGTCGGCACGGTTTTACGGATATCCGTATCCGTAACCGTAACCGTAGAAATTCTACGGTTACGGATACGAATAAAATCTCTACGGTTACGGTTACGAATAAATGCCCTCTATCCGTACGGATATCCGTAATATCCGTAGCATATATCACGTGTCTAGAACCACCTACAGTTCTAATATATATTTCCACATCTATAGAGTTATAAATCTCATGTAATTCTCAAGTAAAAGAAATTTCAATAAGGAATCAATATTATATACATCTCTTAACAAAACTAACTCTCTCATGGTCTTACTGTTCAGAGATTGTCGACGAACACCCAGGATATCCCTTACAGAACTGAAAAGTCTTTCAACTGAAACCTCAGCTGCTGGAATACCAAGGTAGTCCCTTGCAACTGCTGCCATCCTGGGGTGTTGATCATTATGAGCGTTCCACCATGAAAGCAGCCACTTAGAGCCCTCCTGGTCTTCTATTAATCCTTTTACTTGAATAGGAGGTTCGTCAAAATAGCGATCAATATCAGAAGCCCAAGATACTTTTTGAGAATGTACTTTTTGTAGAAGACGAGCTCTCATACCTGGTCGAGCAGGAGGATCCATAGTTCTAGAAGTAAAACTAGAGATGGAGGTAGCCAAGGGGGAATATTTCTTATGAAGAAAGACCTTAATGCTCTGAATGATTCCTTGGATAACCCCATCTTCAAGCTCTTGTTCCATTTCCTATACTTTTGCATTCCAACCAAGACAGCAGAAGAGATATCAGGACTAAGCCCTGCAAAGTCGCCTTCAAAAGAAGCTGCTTCTATAAGGAAGATTGATAGTCGCCAGACTCGGCGTGGTAGGAGACTTATTCTATCAATGAATGAATAACTATTTAGATATCAAATTAGGGACTTGGGATGATAAGTTTCTATCGTGGTATCGTATGATCTATTTAGGCGGTGGCATAATATCACGGATATAAGTTCTCGACTACGGTTACGGATACGAATAATCCAAAATCTTACGGATATGTATCCGTGCCGACCTCTACATATGCACCGTAAGAACGTCACCGTTCTGACAAAAGGTCAAAAACCTCAAGGTGATTGTTGAATTTACGGACGGTATCAAAATTGGTGGCCGTAGTGTAGCATATTATATTGATAATTTTGAGTACATTTTAGCATAAACAAAATACATAGTACAATTTAATGAGAGTATCTCATTTGTTTCTTCCACAATTTACCCTCTCGACCATTAAGAGTCGAAAATTCGTCTTGCAGTATCAATATTTAACTTCTAATATTGGGACCTGTGAATTGCCTCTTCGAGTTAGTTTTTCTATTTAGGTTTAGCGCCCAAATACGCCGTCACGTAATCTCCCCTGACATAAAAGACCCGACCTCTTCGTCGTCCATATTTCTTTCCCTCCTCCCTCCATCCCGTCTATTCTACACCCATCACTGCCCCTACAAGCGCCCCCAACCGGAACACCCGTTCCGCCCCACCTTCTCCCCTTTCTTTCCCGAGCCCTGACTGCCTCCACTTTTGCCGCTCTTGGATCAATATTATCTGGCCTCTATACAGGTGGCAGTTTCAGGAGCTTGGCCGAGATCTGGAAGGGTTTGTCCTCATGTGATGCGATACATTGGTCTCATAGCGAGTTAATAACCCATCTAGTAGGTCCTCAGTAATGTCGGTGTAGACATCATGTGAGGCTGCAGGCATTGTGAGGCAACCTCAATAAAAATTCTCCCTGGATATGATCATCCCCTCAAGTTCAGTGGCGCTTAAATTCAGTCAGAAAATCATTTTACTGACCCTCCTGAGGAAACGCTTATCAGATGAACTCCACTCCTCAGGTACTATGACTAGAATTCTAGGCATCTCGTAGAATCCTTCGATATATCCCTCACACTAAGCCATTTTAACTAACCGAAGTAAAATTTAGGCAGAGGTAAATGAAACCACAGATGTGCTTCACACCTACTATATATCCATAGCTGTAATCAATCATTTGGAGCTGGCAAATATAAAGCCCGTCATTAATAATACTCGTAGATTAACAGGGAATCTAGACAATAAGCACAATGTTAGATTATTATTGTTTTGCAGATTGGTGTATAATTGTCGGTTGACTAGGTTATTACCGAAGCAGACAGCTATTGATATCGTTTCTGTACGTATATAATAGGTGTATGCATATTGGGTAAAAGTGAAGTGTCATTCTAAAATGCTCAGATGAAAGAAGATATAGTAGCTGCCATGCCAAGATCACATGATCTTGGTATGTCAGCTGATATTCGTTCCAACAATAATATATGGCGATAAAAATGAAAATGGTAACCCTAGGTAGCTGACTTGCGTGCGTAATATTCAACAGAGAAATGTGAGGTCACATTAATCCCTGAAGCAGGTTGAACCTCATCTAAACCAATAGGTACGCCCAAGCTGTGGGATTCAAGGCTTTCCGTACTTGCAAATCTGTCTCCTCCTTTCCCGAGGATTCTCTGCGATTCTGGACTACTGGTCGAAATGTGCGTTTGTAGAGCCTCACGATCCAGTCTTTTCATTGGGTAGATGGTGTTTGGACCGGTATTAGCTGACGGCATCTGGCCGTCTTGTAGTCGAGAGAAAGTCTGTTGCTCGGAGCCATATTTGTCGTAATTGTTGCGGCGGTTAGAGGAGGAGAAGAATGACGGCATCATGTACGACAAAACAGTCTTGAGTAGAGGCATGTTGGCGCAGATGAGGGCGAGCTCAGGTTCTACTACACTCCACATGACTACCATTTGAGCTGACTCGGTGATGTTTGAAAAATCGATTGCCATCAAGGATATCAGACGAACGATACTGATGATAGACACTCTGTTTCGATTCAGTTAGTGAAGTTGACCAAGGAAAACTAGTATCCGTCACAAGGGACACTAGTATACAATAATAGAACGCACAAAATGCCAACGCAGAAAACACTGCACAAGGCGGTCTTTTTAGCGTTGTTTAGCTGAAGTCCCCAGATATGAGGCAATGGTAGTGCCATTACCATGAAGTCAGTGATCAAATTCATGGTACCAGCGACAACGTATGCTGCTTTACGGTCACCGCATGTACCCGGGATGCTTGTATCCCAGTTATATCTCAGAGGGCGACAGAGAAAGAAGGTCTCGAGAATGACACTGAGGGACCATGCCCAAACGATAGAAAGAGTGATGAAGAGGCTGATTCGGAAGCTCTTTTTTCTGCCAAAAATACGCGCATAGAATGCTAAGATCGATGATTTAACCAGAGCGAGAATGATCGCGTAAAATAGTTCGGTCGGTATAATTAACTATAGTCTTAAACATATTAACATATTACAAGCTGTGCATTTCCATTTCATTATCACCTTTAAAGTCATGACTTCCGCTGACTCTGGAAGGTCTCGAGAATCTCGACCAGATCCTCCTAGAATCACGACTTCAAAGTTCCTAGTCAGCTAAACATCAATGATTTTCGATTTTGTATAGAGAACATACAGATAATTTGAAGGGCAATACCAGTGTAAGCGGTCAACTAGATAGCAGTAATAACCATGAGCATTCTGTGAAAGACACCAGGATCTAGCCAAACCTACCAGTGCCGCAAGGATGAGATATTCAGGAAGACTAGGAGACATCTGCTTTATTCGTAGGGAGAAGAAGCGTAATGCTGTGCTCACGGTAGCTAACGCTCCTAGTACTGTCACTACTATAACTGGGTTTCGTGCTAGCGGTACACTCATATCATATGTGACAGCCATAGTGAACTATTTCGAGTTCTCATGGACTCTGAGGTTCGGTCAAAGCGTCTGATTGAAAAATATGAATATAGATCGAACTTAGAACGCGCACTTTCCTAGCGGAATAGGATGTCACAAAACTGCCTCCTTTTTCTAAAATATCAAAAAATAAAGCATTTTCTACGCAGGTATGATCCTGTGGGCTCGTTAGCACGGACTCCACAGTATGCATATTTTAAATACCAACTAACTATGGTATTTAACGTACTTTTTACACCCCTATTACGTATCTATAATATTTTAAAAAAGGTATTAAATCGACAAAAACACTTATCTGCTTCAAAAACAAGATTGCCTATCAAGCTTATTTACTAGACATGTTCATTGGGTTGGGTATACCCATACCCAACCCAGCCTGTCGGAACGATGGTTTGACTAGTCTTACTGTTGGTGCATATGCATCTACCATGTAAATGTATCGTTGCGAGTTGTAAGAGGTGTGTTATTCAATCTTGTCCTCGCTGTAAATAAATAGATGAAACTCACTAGATTCACTTCATGTCGGACCAACAGCATCGTAACCATTTTCATTGGTCCTGTACCCCACTTTGGTGGTATCGACACAACCATTTCACAGTGGGCTGGGTTTGGGTCAAAAATTTTACCCAAAACCCATAGCCCATAAACCCATCTTTTTGCCAAGACTTTTATTTCACGTGATATTTGTCGCCTAGTTAGTACTAGATTGAGGCAAAATTCAGGCACTAAGGCACTAGTTACCCTATTCAGTTTAGGTTGATGTAAAAATAAGGCATCAAGGCATCAAAAATACCCATATGGGACCCATAACCCAACCCACGTGTATGGGTTTACCTTACCCCCTGACGGGTTGGGAATGGGTATGAATTTTGACCCATACCCACACCATGCACATGTCTATTATTTACTCTGTACTCTGCCTTAAAACTTTGTCAAAAAATTATGCTAGGCGTAAAAAACTATCTTATAAAGATATTTTCATACAATAAAACTGTTAGCGGGTTGCACCCGCAATAGTCTTAAGAAAGAGAGAGAAGGAAGAGATGGGCAGAATAGGAAGAAGCGGTGAAGGGTCCCACTTAATAGTTCCCCATCCCCACATAGAGCTTCCTTCTGCAAGTAGTAAATAGTACTTTTGTTTAGTGCGTACGACTATTGATAACCTGTGGATATGCCCATGAATCAATCCTCTTCCTCTACTGTGGCAGCTGGGACAGAGTGGAGTAGGAAATGCTTCGAGGCGGGCCTTTTTTCTAGTTCCCTGCATATATTTAGGCACTTGTTGTACCTGGAATCCAATTATCACAGCCTTCTTGCCCTGCCGAAAGAAAAGAGTGTGTAGCCAAACATGTCTCCCTCCGACACTTCCTCCCTCGAAGATCTACACAAGGAATATGATTATGTCGTCGTTGGTGGTGGTACCACTGGTCTAGTTGTTGCCAACAGATTGACGGAACTTCCCTATGTGAATGTTCTTCTTCTTGAAGCTGGAAGCAACCGCCTTGATGATCCTCGAATTCAGGTGCCGGGTCTCGCCGTCTCCACGTACTCTGACCCTGAATTTGACTGGTGCATTGAGACTACTCCTCAGGTACGGAGTCCTTGAGATATTTTCTTATAAAACATAAATCTTACTTTTAGTCATAGGCTGGTCTTAATGGTCGAGTCTTATCAGAGCCACGGGGTAAGACATTGGGTGGGAGTAGCGCCATAGTGAGTATTTTTGGCAAGTATTTGTGTATTTAAACTTGGCTGACCTGACTGGCAACATTTAGAATCTGGGTATGGCTATCTACCCCAGCCAAACTGACATTAATGCGTGGGAAGAATTGGGCAATGAGGGTTGGAGCTGGAAGACCATGTCTGAATGTATGAAGAAGTCGCAGACTCTCACCCCACCTTCTGCGGCGATTAAGGAGGAGCTTTCCATCGACTATATCGATCCTTCTGTTCAGGGTACTTCAGGCCCGATCCAGATCTCATTTGGCGAGGGGCCTTTTCCTGCATGCAATGGCGCTTGGCCTAAGACTTTCCAGACTCTGAACAAAAAAATTACTGGAGATCCTATGTCTGGAATTGCCGACGGTGCCTACTGTAATCCGGGAACTGTTCACCCTATTACTAGACACCGCAGTCATGCCGGCTCTGCTTATTATAATGAAGAGGTTGCTAAGCGGCCTAATCTGCGCGTGGTTACTGAGGCCCTTGTGCAGAAGATACTTCTTGAAAAGGTAGATGATAAAGACCCTAAGGTGGTAGCAACTGGAGTCATCTTTATTGGTAAGGACGGTGTTAAGCGCACTATTGCTGCTAAAAATGAGCTTATTTTAGCTGCCGGAGCTCTAAAGACTCCTCAACTACTTGAGATTTCTGGAATCGGCAATGGTGCTTTACTTAGGAAGCATGGAATCGAGCCTATTATTAACCTCGATGGTGTTGGAGAGAACTGCCAGGAACACGGCTTCGTTCCTTTTAGTTGGGAGGTTATGGATGACCAGGTGACCGCCGAGGCACTACGTGACCCGGTAATTGCAGCCGGTGCTATGGAAATGTGGCAAAAAAACGGCTCAGGACCTCTAGGTATGTTCCCTTTACACTCGGTATAAATCATTCCTAGCTAAGAAAACGGCGTGCACTAGGTCTTGTCGCTCTACACTCGTCATATGCCACTCCCCCCGAGCTCAAGGGGCCGGAAATCGCAGCCCTTTTAGAGGAACATCTCAAGGAGGATGATCTTGATCTTACGCCTGGTCTTAAGGCGCAGTATGCCATCCTCACGCGGATGCTTAAAGATGAAAATGAGCCTATTGGGCAGTTCCATTTGGGACCATTCCAGATCACGCCTGAGAAGGGACCTTCCGTCCCGGGAGTCTTTGGGATGACCGAACCAGAGTGCTACTATAGTATTGTGGCCATTCTTAACCGCCCCTTCTCTCGTGGTAGCACTCATCTTGTATCCACTGATATCCAGGACTCCCCTGAATTTGATATCGGATTCTTTAAACATCCTATCGATATCCAGCTTCATGGACGCCTCACCCGCTGGTTGGAAACGATCGCCGAGACTGCACCTATGGCTTCGCTATTTAAGCCTGGCGGTCGACGTCTACAGGAGTCTTCACCTGATATATCTATAGAGCAAGCTATGAAGCTAACAAGAGAACGTATTGTCGCTCATTATCATGTTTGCGGTACTACTGCCATGATGCCAAGGGAGCTCAACGGTGTTGTCGACTCCAAGCTCCGGGTCTACGGCACAAAGAACTTACGCATCGTCGACGCTGGTATCATTCCTATTATTCCCCGTGGCAATATTCAATCTCTTGTTTTTGCCATCGGAGAGAAAGCCGCCGAGCTCATTGTGGCCGACGTCCCGATCAAGTCTTCTCATTGAGTTAGTGTAAATATGAGCCCTAAGATCTTTGATATCTGGATTTTTTCATGTATATATGCGCGAGATGGTTCAAGTTGAGAGGGAAGAGAATATTTATTTTCGAAGCTTTGTGATTGATCGAACCAGATTACGAATAAAAATAAAAGCAGATCTCAAAGGGTAATCCTGTTACGGTCAATCTAGGGCTATCGCCAAAAAGCATAGAAATTGATTCCAAGGTTCCCTAGGAAATCCCTTAGTCACAGTATATGAAGCGAGTCCTGGATGTTTATTTTGGACGTTATTTTAATCTACATTTATTTTGTTTCTCTAATATCTTTTATATTTTAAAGCGAATGATTCTGAGACTGTAGCTGGTTAGTAAACTACCCCGCAGGAGAAAAAGCAAGCATACTCTGAACATCAAGTCCACACCATGTAAACTGTCTTTCATCCACGCATTAAAGACAAGCTAAATCTAAGATGATTTTCCACAAGACTTCGGAAACTCAGTGACTTTTAGCCCCACACACGTCCCATGTATGGGTGAGCCACACCGGAACTTCTAAAACTGTGTACAAAATCCTTAGGGGAGCGTCAAGGAGTCGGTGCGGATTCGAGAATGAGATGTTTTCGATTCACGTATTAGTTTAACCCAAAATGGTATCGGTCTTATATCCTTGCTCGGACTTGGATAATGGGCACTACGAACCAACCTCAAGCTTCAGCCTGTTACACAATGTGATATTATTCTCTTTTCCCTTCTCAATAGGAACTTTGAACTGAGCAGCTGAAGGCTCCATCAAAGAAGAACCTTTAGCTCTTCGAAGGTATTATATAACTCGAATACCCGTGGCGTATCACCTATAATACATATGACGAACTATGAATTAACAGATGATTGTGAATGGAAGTTAGGAGATTTATGGAAAACTTCCTGGGTAAAAGGTTGCGGCAGCCTTTCTTCTCTCTAGTATCTTCAACTAATTTACGAACTATTTAAGATAGAATGGGTCTCATATTCTTGAATGTATTATATTTTAGCTGGAAGCTAGGTTCGTACAAAAATGTAGAATATATAGACCTGCACATTATCGCAACTTCTAGTACAGCTACATTCGAAAAGCGATGCTTCTTCGTTCGCATTGGCAACCAAAACAGCAAAAAAACATACAACAGTCAGGATTCGCATGTGGTCACCCACCATACTACTAACTGACCGGCGTGTGGCTTAAGTACGGCTGAGCGGACGGGAAGCCCTGTTCTCCACACCCTATGGTCGTATGTGAATTGATAATAAAAATGTAGGATTATAATGGAGAAAGAAGATGAACGGTGATTGTCGGGGGCCGCCGAGGAGCTAACGAGTCGCGCCAGCGATCTAGGGGGATTTGGAGCTCGGTGAGCCGGTTCAATAGCAAAAGCAATTACTGTAAACTTAATGTCGTAATTCACTATATCCATCCAGTATGGGATAACACAGGGTGACGGCGGAAAGGCCGTGATTATGCGTGGTATCATTGTAGGAAAAGCGTGGTGTTTCCACCTGGTGGCGATGCATATAGATCAAAGATTATCGATATTTTTTTCAATTAGGTGTAGCAGCATAAATGACTAGACTTATTGTCGCTCGCTTGGCGATATTCGAATATCTTAACTGAGAATAGTAGACGTTGTGAGCTCCAACAAACCGCTACTCAACACCGTAGAAAATCCACCGGGTGTAGTGGATGCTACGATACTGAATATTGCGGTTGTTGTGAAGTCTGATTTTCCATTGATGAAAGAACTAGCTACTTATAGTATATGGGCGCCCCTCTGCTCTGGACGAATGTCAACATTCGTCCGAGACAGAAGAGACGGTGAAGACGGGACATTACTGTCGCGAATGCACATCGCTCAAGGGTGTCGTTTGCGACGAATGCATATCGTTCAAGGATGCCGTGATATACTAATCCAGTTCCGGAGTCGCTGTCTCGGCAGAAGCTTTTTCGGCCGAAATACTTTCCGTCTGTTGATGGCCTTGTTTCTCGGCTGTCGCAACACTTATAGCTACTCTAAGTGATCAAGGTCATCATACATACCAAAACATCCTATTGAATTCAAAAATATATTTTTCAAAGTTTATGCCCAGATAGCAGATTATAGCGACCATCGCATATCACTGACCCCCTAGTCTGATCTCTAAAACATATCACTTAGTTATATACACATCCTACTTAGTCAGGTCACACTACCACTTGTCTGCCTCCCCACTACACTAGATAGCCTATAGGTCGCTGTTTATTAGTGGAGTGGTTTTTGGTTACCATGCTGTTTCGTGTTAGCTATGATAAAGTAATCTAGTTTAGTAGCTCATCTCATGGACAGTAGTCGTCCACAGGAACTTATAACACCTTTTTAGCAATTGATTTCCTTATAGCTTAAGTAATCACCCTTGATCTCAAACATATTATTTGCATGATCAAGCCTTTGTCCTAATTTCAGAAATTCAGAGCAAATGATCAAGGAAGGCTATATCAGCCTAAGCGGAACCCTTCTGCATTAACTTATACCCCTCGTACTGTCTAACGAACTCATTTTTAAAGTCCTTGACGTTATCCACCACTGCCAAGAGATGTTGCTTTTCCAGCCTGGTCTTTCCCTGCGCTCTAGCAAGACTGCAAGCCGAAGTCACCACATTTCGGATCTGGCGGCCATCGAACTTCATGCGGTGAATATCCCCCTCCAACCAGTCCAGGATATCTGACTGACTCTGTATCATTCCCTTGTCTTCCAGCGGGGTCAGGAAATTCTTGAAGATCGACATCGCGCGGGTTTCATTGAGCTCCTCGTATTTGATCGCAACATGGATGCGCGAGTGGACGGCTACGTCAAATTGAGCAATTTGATTCGTAGTCAACATTAAAATCCCTATTTTTTGGTTCAGCTTTTATGTGACTGAGTGATACGTGGAGATCTATCCTCACCCTGGTAATATTCAAGGACGCGGAGAAATACTGTCAGAAATCAGCAAGCGACCCGGCAAAGACTGAATTGCATGCGTTCTTACCGGAGACGAGTGCGTTTCTCTCGGTGTTGCTTCCAAAGCCAGATCCGAGCGATCGGCTCTGGAGGAAAACATCTGCTTCGTCGCTATTTCTCGTCAGCTTTCAAGATCTGCAGAGAGAAGCTTGCGGAGGGGGCTTACATGAGAATAATAGCTTGCCAGGTTGTAGCCAACGCAAAGATCCTGGCTAAGTTAGCTTCGACGTGTTTCGCGGAGGTGCCCACATCAGCAACACTAATGGCGAAGAGTGGCTTTTGAGTCTTAATTGCGACAGTCTCAGCGGTCGATGTCTTGCCCACCCCGGGGGGGGGGCTAGAGAGTGGTCAGTCGAAGGCCTAAGTGGACAGAAGAAGGGTTTCCCAACCGTAGAGCAGGATCACTAAGCCCTTCCCTTTACTTTCAACGATATCCTCTACTTCCAGACCCTTTTGGCCATGACCCGTGACTAGATCTAGGATCATTTTCTTTGTGGCTTGGCTGGCAAGCTTGAGCCCGTTAGACCAGGCGCTGTGACTCTCTGCGGCAACCTCAGATACCGAGTCTACTTGCAGCTGGGCCCATTGCTTCTCATGCAGAATATACCCCAGCACTCGTGGAGGACAGACCAGGAATTGCTCTGGGTCCCATTGGCTTCCTTCCGTGTTAGCCCCGTCAAAATGGGACCGAAAGGCCGCTTGAAGTGACACGTTCGTGTGGCAAGAGGAACACTGGCATTCCGTATGATCTTCGTCGGGTATGAGATCGCCAATACTGGCCACTCCGAGCCCGTAACGGAAATAAGACTGGAAGTCTACCATGATTCGACCTCGCACCTCGACCGACTTTTTGAAATGCCCACTACTGGATGGCTTTGAAGGAAAGCCGTAAATGTCCCGGGATATGAAATCACTCTCTGGCTCGCTATCCGCCTCATCGAGGCCCTGGAGACCGGAAAATCCTTTCTTCAAAAAACTCGCTTGGCCCAGGTACTCAAACATTTGTGACCCGGATTTGGCGGTGCACAGCTTCCTGTACTTCATTCCTCGCTGCATCAATTTTGATCTAAGTCCATCAGAATCTTCGTTGAACTTCAGGGGATAATACGGTAGCGAGTTGATTGGCTTTTCGTCATCGAAGGAGTCAAACTTTAGCCGGAGCGGAAGGCGCTTGAACTGGTATCCGTCCCAGTCGTAGGCCCAGCACTTTAGATCAAAGGTGTCTCGAGATGGCCACGGTCTGGTATTATCCTCGACGATGAACACTTGATCCTGATCCTGGAATACCTTGCCATATACCAGGCATCCTGGAGGAAATAGGGTCCACAGCGCTTCGAAAGTGATTAGTTTCTGTTCCATTAGCGATCGTCGTTTCCGGAGATAATTATCCAATTTCAAAGATCCGGTCCCATTGTCGATAATTTCCAACAAGGCTCTAAGATCATCCCGAGCCAACTGATCGGCATTATTCGCAATCTGTGTGGCCTTGAGTAGATTATCCCAGTTGAAGATTATTGCTTCAAAGGGCGCGTCAAGCGTCTTTGGAAGATTGCCTTGGTATATGTGGTAAGGGTAGCCTTCCACGCACTTCTTCATGAGCTCCCATAATGCCGGGCTCTCGATCTCAATCTCACTGTTATTGTCATCGCTCGGGTCGTCGGAGATAAACTTGCGTAGGGTGAAGGCGTAATCTTCCTGCACAAGGGATTCCTTTCTCGGAACCTTGCTCGGAATACTGTCCTCGCGCACGCCATCATCATTGAATCAGCTGATGACGACTCTTGCACGAGCTCGAAGCTGTTATTGTCAATTGGATCTGTTTTCTGTCAACGATGGTCAGGACTAACCTCTCCTTCGTCCTTTGTCTTGTTCTGCAACTTTCAGCACGTGGTCCGAACTTGATTAGTAAACTAGCTTACATCTTTCGAGACAGAGGCATCGGGGGTTTCATTTGATTTGGAGTTCGTGTGAATCTCTAGCCTCTTTTCGAGTGCTGCAACCTCTGCCTCCAGCGCCGCCAATTTATTCTCCGCTAAATCTTCGGCCTGTTGCACATTAATTCAGTGTATGGCCTACGCCGCAGCCTGCTTACCATCTTGAAGATTCTCCCGCCAGTCTGATCTTGTTTTAAGTGAAGTATTGTGCAGAAGGTGACTATACAGAGGCAGGAATATCCAAGACTTCAAGCCAAATTTATAGGGAGGCGATGGACAAACCTCAAGTCTCGGGCCCGGAAAAGAATACCAGCGAGTTGAAGCCTAGAGGCCTATACAAAAATGAGGGGTTCATTCCATTCAGTTAGAGTCCTACCTATTATATCCCTGTCACCCTGGTTCATGTATATACCAGGCTTACGTCAACTGGCAAAAAGGCATTATTTCTGGTGCAATGGGCGTCTGCATGCTGCATGTATGTGATGGCGTTCGGCCTTCCGGTGGTTCCCGTTTGTTTACCATTGTCCCCAAAGTAGGCACTAATGCACTACGCCCCCGAAAGAGGAAGACAGAGGAGACTGGGACCGGGGTTAGACACCAAAAACTAAGTAGCAAACATTCTGGTAAGTACAAAAAACTAGCAACAGCGGTTCAATCCTGGATCTCAGGTCATATGAACAAAGCTAGAGATACTTGGTAATCACAGATCGACAATCATACGCTCGGAAGTGTCATACATGTAGCGGCTATAGTCTTGGGAAAACAACAGGCTTAAGACATTATGACTCGAGAGCTAGATCAGCTCATGGAGGGCCCATCCCCCCAGCCCTGACGGATGAACTAAGGTAGGATCTCTTCTGCGCAAGCCAGCCCTTTCTGCCCGGGAATACTCTGCGCCATTAAATCTACATATTTTTTCAGGATATTTCTCGCGGTCTTCCACCAGGAGAAGGCGCAGAATGCGATGTAACTCCCATTCCTCTCCTCCCCCAAACATACACACACACACCATGTCTGAGGATGCGGCAAAATGTCCCCCCTACTGCTCAGATCGCGACCTGTAAATCTAACCAATCTCGAATCTGACTCCAAGACAACAAAAAAGCTGATAAAAATAGAGAAATTATTAAACAGTCTGAGGCTGCGCAAGGCCTGCTCAAGAAAAATGTTCTTCAGCGAAGCGTCTTCTCCGAAGCTGAAAGGCAAAGTGTTCAGTTTACCGAGATCGAGCAATTCCGTACGTATTGGACCCAGATAACTGCCGCGCAGGATTGCTTCGAAGATGCGCACAAAACAGGATGCGGGCTTTTTGCCCGGCGGTACCAGTCATCGGCAGAGTTGGTGCTGGGGTTTATGGATGACTTCAATCCGATAGTGACTGCCGTCAAGAACTTCGCTGCGCCGTATGGTGGGCTTGCTATCGGTGTCATCTCTCTTGTCTTCGTGGTTGGTACACTTTCCTTGCCAGCCATAATGTTTTTTCTTTCTTCTCGGGAGTTTTGAGCTTTGGACTAACAGAAGTCCCGTTTTTGGCCCCAGGTAGCCCAGAAGAAGGATACAGTAGAGAAGACGCTGGCGTCCACAATCGCAGAGATTCGCAAGAGATTGCCTGGCATCGACCTATATCGGCACATTTATGACGAGGACCACCCACTCGACCACGCCATGCAAGCGCAGATCGTGGCCGCCTATCAAAGCTTCATCAAGTTCTGCATCGTCGCCGTCGATTATTATAAGTCCTACAGTGCTCGTAGGTCCCAATTCTGTGCTACTGGAATATATGGCAAAGAAGTTAACTCAGTTTGCATAGGGCGTTGGCTGAAGGTTTTGAGACCAGTCAGCAGTATCGCGGAATGCTCGGTGAATGTACAAGGTTTCTTCGTTGACATCCAACGAACCAGCCATGAATTGCTGGCCAAGAGCGTAGATGGAATCAGAAATGAAAACAAAGGTCCATACCCCATAGCTATCTTATTATATAGTCTTCTCGTACTAAGCTGGACCTCCAGTTTTGAGAAAACAGATCTCAGGTAAAGATGAAGACTGGGTCTACGTTCCTGGCCTCCGGGTTCATTATACTAACCAGGCTAGAATTGCGAGACCAACTCACCAACGGGGATAAAGATGCTTTTGAGCAGACCTTCAAACTCGACATCTTCTCCGAGGAGTTGCATCAGACAGAACTGGCAGCCTACAGTCAAGACCTGGCCAACGACCCAGATTTTAACTACAATTACCTGCACCAACTCCACGGCACTGGTCTCGATAATTTCATGAGCAGCGGCAGGTACAAGCAGTGGGATCATTCCTTTGGCCCGTGTTTGCTGATCCTATCCGGCCGCAACTACATGGGCCTCCCCTCGCCGCAATGCTGGCTGTCGCGGGTGGCCATCGCCACGATCGAACGCCAGCGAGCATTCTCTTCAGCCTACTGTGCGCACTACATTATCCCTCTACATGGGGCAACATTATACCAGGTGCTCCCCAGCATCTTGCTGCAGCTTCTTGCTAAGAAGAAGAACATGCTTCGGATGGATGATCAACGCGATGGTCTCCGTGCGGAGCTCCACGCGTTTCGGAAGGCTGAGCTGTCAGCAATTCCCAACAAATATGGGAACGATAGCAAGACAGATGCCCTTATGAATATCGCACGGCGCGTGGTAGGGTTTTTCGATGCAGGCGATGAAGTATATATTGTTGTCGATCGGGTAGACCTTTGCACTGATCATATCGGCGGATATGACCACCGGAAGTCGTTGCTGGAGGGGCTAGTGCAGATGGGGGACTTGGCCCGGTGTAGACTCAGGACCCTCGTTGTGATCAACCGGTCCCTCTGGAACTTTGAGGACCACCAGTGCGAACTAACAATCCCAGTACCGGATCGGCTCATCTTACATAGAATGGATCAAACGCCGTTCACACCGCCCCCTTGGTAGATATCTCTTTCCAGCCCGTCATTATGGGATGGTATATAGGGTTTGATTTCATGTATCACGCACAGCACTTTTCTTCGTTCTCGCGGTTTCTAAGGGGTTTGCTACCTCTTATGCCTCTCCCACGGGAGCGCATGGGGACCCAGTCCGCTATAGTTATTATAGGCAGCAAAGAAAATAGAGCTCATTTCGCATTTTTTGAGCCGCACAGTTCAAGTAACTTCTCTATGTCTATTGATACCACACAAAAAGGAATATTCTAAGTTATATATGGTAAATTCTAGGATATTAGATTACTTTATTATATTTATCTTTGATCTATATTTGTTTCTTGCGTCGAAGTGAATTGCTTAGTTTTAGTTATTTTTGGTATGGTGCGGATATGGCCGGTAAGCTTTGGTTTTATTTTAGATGGAGGACAGGTAGTCAGTGTTACGGTTTGAAACCCAGGGTTGAATAACATGACAGTTTGCGATTCTGACGGATGTCCCTTGCTAATTGTCGCGATCATCAACAAAGCTGACCTAATACTGGACCTATTGTTGGAGACCAGTACAGTCAATATCGATACGCAGGATGCAACCAGAAGAACAGCTCTCATCACGGCCGCTATAGACTGGGGTGAGGCTGTACCGAAATTACTAGCCAAATGGTCGGGTACACAGATTTGGGATAATGAAGGCAAAGCTAAACTCAAATAGGATCGGGCCTTTGGAGTATACAGGCGGCGAGGTGGCAGGGTCGAATCTTTCGGCAAAGAGACGCTCAAACAGCCAGAAGTCCATTTTCGGACACGTGTCACGGACGAGCGACCGATCGAAACCGAACCTATACGTGCAGAACCGAGAAGATCCTTACGAAAACCGAGTATTATCCTGTCTCATCATTTTCCCGGCCGGTCGAGTTGTCAGTGATTTTGGGTCCGTTCGAGAGCTGCTTGAGGCGTTTCATGATGCGATCAGAGCACATCTGTCTCTCTTTGTAAAGGGGTCGATATTGCACCGGGATATATCATCCAACAACATCATTATTACGGACCCGAGCAAGTCAGGTGGCTTTCAAGGGATTCTTATAGATCTTGATTTAGCAAAGGAACGAGACAGCGGACCAAGCGGGGCGCTGCACCAGACAGGAACGATGCAATTTATGGCGATTGAGGTGCTCCGCGGGACAGAACATACGTATTGTCACGATCTCGAGTCATTTTTCTACGTAATGCTCTGGATGTGTGCGCGCTGCGCTTGGAAGAGCTTCTGCGGATCTGACGAAACAGAGCCTATCGATAGTATTCTGTGTAAGTGGGAAATTGGAAGCTTCAAGGACATTGCAAATGCAAAGGAAGGACATATGACTGTGAATGTTCTCAAGCGTATCATGAGCGAATTCCCGAAAGCTTTAGAAATGGTGAAACCACTTTGTCTTAGTATTAGGCCAGTACTTTTCGGAGATACTGCAGAACTGATTACCGGAACACCTTCAGGTGAGCCTGATCGGCTTTACAGTGCTATTATCGACGCCTGCAGCGAGGCTATTGAGCATTTATAGCGGTTTAAGTACTGTGGAGATGAAATTGAGCCACACCCCCAAAAACGGGGCTTTGGGTGAAGCATATCACGCTGTATTACTAGTCTGAGAACATATCATTATCACCCATCTAATGAACTCTTTATTCTCCATTTTGGTCGGTCAAATCTTATCTCCGAATTGGACTAAATGATCTGCTCATCGGCCGTTGTGTTCACGTCCTGCGTAACCAGGTTCCATCGTTTCTCTCGCACGATCTGCCGAGGTTAGTAGAGTGCATACCCCACGAGTGTTTCCGGAGCATCTGAGGGCTTTTAGTACATTATATTAATGAGTATAAAATTTTAGCATGACACGTGCCAGATTAGTAAGACAGAATTCAGATGCCCCGATTCCACTAGTTCTATTCACTTCCCGAGTCCATTCACTACAGTAGGCCAGATTCCATTAGTTCCAACGCTTTACGAACGCTACCCTAGACTATCAGCACAGTTGTTCCCACTACCTAGGGGTAACATGAACAAAAGCAACAGTCAGTCTAACGGTTCAGACCTGTCGGAGTCGGCTGTTCACCATATCCATATCTTCGACATACGACACCGGGACATCAAACCATCTAATACTTTGATCATAAAAACAATATAGCGTTGGCAGACTTTGGAATCTCCCTCATAGGGCTTGGTAGAACGTTGCCTACAACATATGAGCATCGCAATGCTTCCCGGACTCGCCAGTATTGTGTGCCAGAAGTGGACAGAGGAAGCACCTGTGGCCGATCAGCGGATATTTTATCTTTAGGAGCTGTCTTAATGGAAATACTGCTAGCGCACTCGCATCCAGAGGTAAGCTTTCAAGGGTTTTGAGAGCACAGCCCAAGGTGGATCATATGCTCGAGACATCGATAGACTCTATGAGTGAATTGCTTAGCGACTGTAACTCCCAGGATGGCAAGGGCAAGCTCTAGCTGCTTGTAGACGAATGCCGCTCCCTGGCTGTTTGGAGCGACCCAGGGCAGACGAAGTCACACAGCTTTTCTCGAGCCGAGATCTTGAGTTGCAGTGCAATTGTAATGATGAGACTACCTCGTCAGAAGATAGTTTGCTTCCGGCCTGCAGACATGGGTAATAAATGAGGTGCAAACATCACTGCTCCAGAAAGCAGATCCGAATGTGCATCTGTACCGATGGTAGCGTTGCTGGCGAAGGCTGGAGCCGACTTCAGTGCCGTGAATGCGACAAGCTAAACTGCATTGCAATGCGCGGCTTGGAGCAGCCACACTGATGTGGTGAATATACTAATAGAGCAAGGAGCCGGAGTCGGCGTGCAAGATGAAAATAGACAAACTTCTTTTCATGCGGCGGCAAGTCATAGATATGAGACTATCGTAAGAATGCTGCTCGAATCTGGAGCAGACCCTAATGTCCAGAATATAGAGGGTGACACAGCATGTGACCTAGCCGACGAGAAGAGAATTGGGACCTTGTAGCTATGCTGGGTCATCAAAATGGTCCTTAGATCAAGATCGTTTTAAGCTTGTCCAACACATGTTCCGTGAATGCAAGATGAAGCTTGGGTCCGACCTCAGAGGTGTGCGACTGATCAGAGTCCTCCTCAACATACATTCCTTTTGCTCCGTGCGCTTCAAGACACCGGCTCACTACTCTCCAGTATTTCTCCCCAGAAATACCAGGCAGCTCCAAGAGAGGGTTGTTGCCTTTGAAAGAAGGGCGATTGAGTTCCTGTAGGAGCCAGCCGCGGACCCTTACATTCTGGCTCGAAGGCCCAGGCCACCTTTTAAACCCCATCAATTGTGGCAAGACATTCCAATGAGCAATTTCAAGGAAGAGCAGTCTGAGACTATTCATGTCATGCGTTTTTTGAGAGGTAGTGGGTACCTTGTTTTGGAGACTTGGTCAACGATAGATGTCCTATTTTGGATCGAGGTTCCGTCCAATGGTCGCTTCATTCTCAGGGTGTGAGAACTTGAACCCCGAAAGGATGGGCTGTTCAGGTTCATACATGTCGTCTCGGAAAACGAAATGACATTACCACAGTGAGTCCCTTTGTGTAGCTAATTGGTCGTATGCAAATACGATAACGAAGATGCAAGCTTCAACCCCAGAGATATTCTGCAAAAAGAGATGGTTTGTACTAGTTATGTCCAAGCAAACAACTGTGAAGAGTATGAAGGCTTGAATCCCCACCTGACCCGTTAGGCATCTTGAATATCTAACCGTACCGGTTCTCTTCGGTATGATCATCGACATAGCCCACACATGTTGGTGTATAGAGATGGCACGGCTTACTGGCATGCAGCATTTCGGCAAGGGCTGAAGTGCAAAGTTTTATTTCTTGATCTTATTGTGACTCTTTAGAGATACCGTCGGATAATCTCCACTCAACCAAAACCTCGAAACTTTCTTTCTAAGTTCTGAGAGCCCCTCTAGGCCGATAGGTTGTATAAACCAAGGGTCTTTTCTCTGGCTCTGGGTAGGAGAAACATCCCTTTAGTGTACTGCCGATGTATTGGTCTACGGTGATGAGTCGAGCCAAATCGTCTTCGGTGCTACGATCACCCTCTTTTTCAAGGAGACGTATTAGCTCCTCGGACATTTGATTGAGTTTCTTCAACAGCAGTAAGTCCTGGAGTGTCTCATTAACGATTCCCGACATACGGGGGGCTATAGAGACTCATGGTGCTAAGCTGGAAGGGATAAGATTAAACTCAATAGCGTGACTAATATCTAATGTCCGATATGGTGTAGTGGCTAACATCGCCGTCTCTCACACGGCAGCCGGGGGTTCGATTCCCCCTATCGGAGAACTATATTTTTTTCTCTCTCTTATTTTTTGGACTTCATGTAACAACTTGAAATTCTGTAAATGTGCCAATTGGTAGTCGATGCAAAATAAAAAAGTCTCAACAATCAAATAATACGAAGGTTAGAGGGAGGCCTTAGATAATTTTACTGTAAACTAATAGTTAGTATCTATAATACTGTCTAAATCTAGATTTTACTTTTGTCGCATCTAGTTCTATTTTCTTATTTATGTTTCATTTTGTTTCAAGGTTGTTGTTAAAAAACATTTATTTGTTTAAAAATGGGTCTATTAAAAGGAGTGCGCTATCTCATATCTTTGTATATCGTGCATTCATGTAGAGGAAGCTAATTGAAGGATCATCCCACTTCCTAGAGCATACCAGGTTTTGCTTCTCTCTACTATTTTTCCAAAGCGTCTAAGAGACTGACGGCATCCTGGCGTGCCAGTATAGCCTCCATACCGATTTGTGTCTAGTGGTCGCCTTTTTAGCCGCATCCGCACCAAATAAGATATTTGTCCCATCTACCAAAGTGCTACCGGGCAGCTATTGTTTCGAAAATCTAGTATAAGACTGTTTCAGCTGTTATGATGGAACTTGAGACACGCCAAAGAATTTCTCCAGCCGGGTAGGAAATGTGAAATACCATCCTACCAGGTAAAATGAAGCGAACGTCAATGTCAAATAAAACAGATAGAATTTCTCAAACCTCCTCAAAATCTAGAAATCAGTCATTAGAGAAGCGTCGAAGGGACCTTTCTCGGTCACCGAGACGGTGACCAAAAAAATCCTATACATAATCTGAAGGTGTATGACGGTCGTCTGTTATTAGCCCGATCGAACCATGTTGGTATCTTCTAAAATGTAAATTAACAAAGCTACACCCCGAAATAGTCGAAATGGGCCAAACTGCAGCTGATTGGGCCTATTTTAAGGCCTGTACTTGCTAAGCTTGGGATGCCATTCCACAAGCGACGGTTGATAGCCTAATTAGGTCTATGTCATGTAGATTAGCCGCTGTACGTAATTATAAGGGATATTATACTAAATGTTGAATAAAATTCTGTTCTCTTATCATTTGCCTACATAGATATATGTACTATACAGCTATAGCTATAATATTGGTGTAGATATAGGTGGTTGAAGTAATTATATATATTTGGGGTGGGTGGGGCTAATTTCCGTGTGTATACAGACTTATGACCTATAACGTATGCATCCCACTTACATCGTTTCATCTCTTACAATATCACAGCACTCGCCTGTCTTTCTGAATATCGTTGATGTTGGAACACAGCAGTCATGTGACCAAATCGTTACTTTATAATAGATAGCAAACTACAAGGATGACTTGACACGCAATGAGACAAGCAATACCATCAATCCCGCTCAAAAAATCTCGGTTATTGAATGATACCTAAGCCAGCATATTGCGCATTTCATTGCCAATCCTTTGTTAAACGTACGTATTGAGGGCTTAATATCTTCTCTGCAATTGACGCTGCTATCAATATGTTTGACACCGGTGGTGGTGGAGGCAGTATGAGGATCCCACGAGGAGGCTTTTTCTCCCTGCTCGCTATCTCTGCTATACTGCCTATCCTTCAGCGTATGTTTGAATTGGGCTGTACTCATGCGTGTAATGAAATCGGTGCTGGTATCTCGCAGAAGCTTTTTCCTTTTGACCGGAGTTGTTGCCTTCGTTTGTCAAATTCTAGAGGCTCAGCCCTGGAACCGCTGACATTTACGGTTAGTCACACCGATTTTAGCATTTATTTTGCTGTGATGGGTAGCCCTTTTCATGTTTTCGTTTTGGTGGCTGCATACAACTACCGTCTGGTGCACGACGTATGTTAAATTACCTTACACGTGATTCAATGTAATCCACAAATCAGGGCCTTGAAGTATTATTATTTCCGAGGTCTAAGGTTGCCCGTAATATTAATATTTTTATTTTTAATGACCGCCCTTAAATATATGATCCCGCACCATTTCACCAGATCTGACCACCAACGCTTATAAGAGGCGGGAGCAAAATACAACTAGACATGTTCATTGGGTTGGGTAAACCCATACCCAACCCAACCCAACCCACAATGGGCTGGGTATGGGTCAGAAATTTTACCCAAAACCCATATGGGTTGGGTATGGGTTTGAAGTAAAACCCACACCCAGCCCATAAACCCATCTTTTTGCCAAGACTTTTATTTCACGTGATATTTGTCACCTAGTTAGTACTAGATTGAGGCAAAAATTAGGCACTAAGGCACTAATTACCCTAATTTAGTTTAGGTTGAGGCGAAAGTCAGGCATTAAGGCATCAAAAATACCCATATGGGACCCATACCCAACCCATACCCAACCCATACCCACGTGGGTTGGGTTGGGTATGGGTATGGGTTTACCTTACCCCTGATGGGTTGGGTATGGGTATGAATTTTGACCCATACCCAACCCATGCACATGTCTAAATACAACAGGTCTTATCGGTATAATCTGACACCCAGAGCATAGACAAAAATGTTATACGGAAAAACAGTGCTTGATCCCAGATCTATAGGCTTACCGACTAGATTAACCAAGCTCAGTTCCTGACCCACATCAAATGGGCTTGTGGTTTAGTGGTATAATACTCCCTTAGCATGGGAGTGGTCCGGGGTTCGATTCCCCGCGAGTCCAATTTTTGATCCATTTTTTTGATCCATTTTTTTGTTCACTGCTTGCTTTAGTGATGTTCGTAAAGACGTTCGTTGTGAATGCTTTTCATTGGCGAGATGGCCAACGAGCCTGGAGATATGAGATTAGACCCACATGATTTTTTTTTTTTTTTTCAAATTATTTTTCCGGGAAAAAGCTTTTTGTCCAGATGACTTAAATTGGAAGATGTATTCACGGAAATATTGTGAAATACAGAGCTAGGAATTACTTGTATAAGAAACCTTGCAGCTCAAAGTTGTTCATCCTTAGGCATCCAGTGGCTTCAGCTACAACTTTATGCTCAAAGCCTTGACTTATTCCAGTGTCCTAAGGATATCTCGAAGCCTCTTCTCGTCCAGCTCATACGCACCTGAAAGCCGATTGCTCATATCTTCACCTAATATTTTCAAGGCTAGCGTCTTCGCTCATCAATTAATTAGCCATACCATAGTCATTGAATACAGCAGCAATAAACTCTCCCGTCCCATCTCGTCTAGTAAACTTCAACGAAAGCTTTCTAATCAATAGCATTCCGTATGAAGAAAGGCCCACGATACCACTTCAAGAGCTGGCCAGCCGCTAGGGGGAGTTTTCTCTCTGGCCAAAGAACACTGGGAGAACGGATTGAACATGCTCGACTGAGTAACCACCCATAAAGCTGTCGTCGACAGTTACGGGTTCCTCTATGCGAGCATTCTCGCCTACGAAGTAAAAATATCCCATTGTGATACTCTGTTCTAGATATTATAGTCCATGGACGTATTCATTCGTCGCAGGACCATATATCTCTTGATCGTGGAATTTCCAGGAGAAAGAAGTGCCGTAGTTCGGCACGGCGTTGAGTCAAGAACTGTTATTGTTTCCTTAAAGGGGTGGGTGAATTTGGGTAAATTCATCTTCGTAGATTGGAGAGAAGTTGCCCGGCCTATTTATTTGTGCAATAGATGCTATTTGTGACGCTAAGTGGGCCACGCGAGGTCGTGATAGTAAATGGGAAGGCTGAACTTATTGGTGCTGTAAAATTAGAGCAGTACTTTTCAGACTCGACGGATGCGTTGGTTTCGATATTGAGTCTGTCGACGTATTTTCTAAATGAGCGGCAAACCTTTTTATGACTAGGTGATATGGTCATACAGTTCCGGCCGAAAGCAGAGCTCCCCCGGCTGCTCTATGACCCCCATAGTCCCAATCCTGTCAGAAAATCAATCATGGCAAGTAAGGGAAGAAATCTGCATCCCTTGACAAGAGCATCACATTTCAAGAATAGTGTAAATCCCCTTCATCAAATGATGGCCGAATTACAAGCACACAATACTTTCCTTGAGGTAATTGAACTTATCTTCAGCAATAATACACGTAGTTTCTTCAGTTGCTGCATATCACTCGACTCAATTGCATCATACTCTCGAATCAACTTTTGCATCTTTTCTAAGTCTCTGAAGATGAAAAAAGTGATTTTGCCAGCCATTCCTAGTCCACGAATATGAGCTAGATGTGTGTACTCCCACGTTCGATGCCATCTGGCCACCGTTGCGTCCTGTAGCACCAGAACATAATGTTCGCTCTCCCAAGGCTGTCACAGTTGCAGATTGGTGACGCTCTAACAAGGTCCTTGCTACAGAAAGGCATGGAGCACCAGATCCAATAATGACATAGTCCCTTTCTGTTAGATGAGTTGGCGATTGCGTATTTGTTAGTGCGTGTGTTGGATGATTGGGCTGGGAACCCGGGTTCACCACCACGAGATCAACAACTATATCTATCTAGATCTTTTTCTTTTGAAATTGGCTAGAAGTATTATCAAAGATTTTGTCCAGTCCCATTACAAAGAAATCTACAAAAGAGAAGTTGAGTTGATGGCAGATTCGATAAGAGCTGAGCAGGTTCTTATCTTGATATCGGGACAAATTGCCTGATCAAGAAGGAGGATATTTATTTTAGGAGTGGCCGCTCCGCCACACCATCATATGGCCCCTCTAATCATGGCTATCTAGGAAATGTGACCTGACGCCAAATTGTTGGTACAGCCGGCAAGTTATGTTCAACTGTAACTTCAACTGCTATATATATATATATATGGATATATTTTCCTCTTTTATCCACACCCACGTCTGGTCCAATATCATTCAAACTCCTCGCTTACCCAGGCAAGCAGACTCTCTTTATGAGCTATCCTATTTTTACTAGCTTTCGTCTTTTTTTTTTTTTTTTTTTTTTTTGTTGGCACTTTCTAGCTTTATAAAACTATCTCAGAGAAAAACAAGCTCATAAGCTAGGTAGCTGAAGATTCGCATCATACGATTCTTTAAAAGTATATTACAGTGGCGAAGTTATGGTTTCTGATGAAAGTTCTAGACCTCGGGACCTTTTTCGAAACGGTCAAACCTCTGGCTCAACCTTGAAATCTTGGAAGGATTTGAAGGATTCACTAGGGTCCAAAATCGCGAATCTCCTCAGTAATGAATAAGTAATGTTACAAATCCGGGACAGGTAGCGATTTGTGGAGACCACTTGGCGGCTTATTTGTTTGTGCAAGCCTTCCAAGGTTCCTGCTTTATAAAGAGAACAAATTTGCGCTTATATTGATGTCGATATTCTCATTGTGGATTATGATTATAAATATGAGAGGTTTTCCATTCTGAGGAATGTTTCATTTAAATAATCAAGATGGTAATCCAAAAATATCATAGAACATTGAACCCATCCTTCTAGAATCCTGGGGCCATAGAATTGATGACTTATCTAAATAATATTTAGTATGGCTCTAGGATCAATTTTCTCACCCTATATTTGGGACTGATCTCAAATTATTCACATGACCCTTCCATATTCCACTTTATAAAGTATTTGTTTCTCTTCCTGGACTGTTTGTAGGTTTTTCATTCCTGTCCACGGGTGAACTAGTCTTTTCTTCCGATTCAATCAGAATCGACGGCCCTCATTTTGAAGGACATATTTTCAAAATGCAGCTTAACAGACTTCCGCTGGTTTTGTTGAGCATTTGCGCTTTTTGGATATCTTCGACCAGCTCTGCGCCAACTACTATCAAGGCAGACAGCTCGATACATGAAGCACAGACTCACCTAGCTAAGCGCAACTTTTCAACTGGAAATCTCCTTCAGCAGAAGAATAATGGCTTGAACCATATACTACGTCGAAATACACCGTCAATAATCAGAAACTGGGGTATCTTTCAGCAATGGATGAAAGAAGCATGGGAAGGGCCAAGAACATATGTCGCTGTCCCTATGTACACTCTAATAGGAAAAGAAGTTGAGGACGATTCATATGTGTTTGAAAATGAAGCCAGAGATTGCCAAGTCACCAAAATGCGTCTCGACTTAGGAAAGAAACTTGGGCAAGGAGGATTCGGCACTGTTTACGATGCCGTACTCAGTATGCTGAGCCTAGACGGGTCTCATTGGCGCCATTTCGCTGTTGCTGCTAAATCAGCAACTAAAGATCCGGGTGGCATGATTGTTGGAACGACCTTGGAGAACTCAGTCATCAGCGATTATATTGTTCTGATACATGAAACTTTTTATGTTGAAGAAAACCATGAGGCATTTGCAGTCATGCCAAAGGCGAGTGATGGTGACTTGGTGGAATTTTTAGAAAATTATGAGGTTCCTGAAAAAGATCTCAACAAATACTTCAGAATGATTTTGCTCGGCGTAAAGGCGATGCATGATAAGGGCATGATGCACCGCGACCTTAAGCCAGCGAATATCTTGATGTTCGGAGCTCTTCCCAAAATTGCCGATTTTGATGTGGCGACATATGATGCGACCTCTGAGAAATATAGTATTGGAACAATGGGATATCTAGCGCCTGGTAAGTTTGGATTTCGGTTCCACCATGATTGATCTTGGAAACTATCTTGGCAAACTAACAGTTTCTATGAAATTCCAGAAGTTATGAGACTTCAGAAATATGATAAAGGAGTCGACATCTTCGCATGTGGAATGACATGGATGGAAATGACATGGGAACTGGTATCGCAATCGGATTGGTATGAGGATTCTTGGCCAATTTGGAAAGATCTCGTGGATCCTGATGAAGACAACTCTAAAGACAAAGTGTGGCTAAGCCGAGAGGATGTTAAAGAAGTTCTGATCCAGAGAGTGGGGAAAAACAAGTACTCTGATGCTAAACTAGACCTATTGTCAAAGGTTCTTTGTGAGCCTAGCACGCGAATCGGTATTGATGAGTTTATAAGAGGATTAGATGCGTTGTGACAAGTGGGTGATATTACCTAGACCATGAGCGGTGGAGAAAGTCAGAAGATTTGCCAAAGAATCGAAAACTTGAGAAGACGAAGGGGGTGAAGGGCTTAAGCTTGTTGAACAGTCATAACGTCCATTCAGCTCACATCTATGAGAGTGCATTAAATTTTTCACATGAAAGCATAGAGTCATAAAATCCTCTGCTTTTTATTTAATTGCGATGTGGCCCACTATGTAATAAGGATTTAGCCTAGCCTAGGGCTGGTTCTCAAAAGATGGCTTTAATGATAGCTTGCTATTTTAGACCACAAATATACACGAAAAATCCTATCTGGCAGTGATAGGGGTCACGCAAAACCCCGGGCTTTCTTGCTGTTGTTTCAAATGTCATTTTTCCCAGATTATTAATCGTCTTATCCATTTACTTCATGTCTTCAAACCTAAGCTAAATCGAAGGAAAGAGTCCCTCCTATAGCCCATTCTACGCATCATATCCGCGCTCGAGATCGTGCCAATCATATAGCGCATGAAAATCAATCAAATCAATTTGTAGCTTTATCCTCTAAATTACCACCCCGACACTACAATATTCAGCAATATTATCTCTATAGGAGTAAGCCGAAGACGAGGTTTCGGACATGACTGGAATGCTCTACCATAGATTGCTGTATTTTGTGACTTAGGATGTATTCGATGAGGTCCAAAAGTTATACCGACTTTGAAGTTTCAGCGCCGTGGATAGATGTGCTATTCTTTATAGTTTTTCGCGTCGCGAGAGAATCCTGGTTTCGATGATTCAAAAAATGTAATTGTCGAGATCTGTTCGAATGAATTTCAAGATACTTAGTTACGGATAACACACTTTCAAACTTCCTGAGTAGTCTTTCGTACGGCCGTTATGTCAAATATTTATATACCGACCTCGGAAAGCAGAGAGAACACATGTATATTTGCGATAAATGGATGAGTATGATCGGAGTTTAAAGAGATAACATAGAGTTCTGTGAAAATTAACAAATGGTGTCGGAACGGTGACGTTCTTACGGTGCATATGCAACTAGTATTCTTGATGGAATAGATCTAGGTGCGTCGATGCGAAGTTGTAAGAGTTGTGTTATTCAATCTTATCCTCGCTGTAACTAAATAGACAAAACTCGCTAGATTCACTTCATGTCGAACCAACAGCATCAGAACCATTGGTCCTGTGCCCCACTTTGGTCTAGTGGTATCGACAAATGGACCTATAGGGCAAGTATTAAATTTTGAACAACAGCCGAGTAAAGCTTGTATTGAGGCTAAAATTAACTCTGCTTTATTTATTTATATTCTTTGCTTATTCACCCCTAGTCTTCCAGTTACTAAAATCGTTGTTGATTCTCGGGGGCTCATCTGCATTTTACTGATAAAGCGTACAAATTACACTCCGCACTGTTTGTACGCTGGCCGGTGCAGATCTGGACCCCCGTTTTTGGCTACGCATTACTTGCCCATCTCGGCTGCAAGCGGTTAGACCGGTACCATTTTCTAGCCACTATGCATGTTTTATACACTCACTTTTGACCGTACTTTGACAGTCTGTATCAGGGTCGCTTCTTTTTACGTTATAATAGATTTCCTTGGTATTTAAATTCTTGTCGTAGAGCATACTAATGCACTATATAGTAGTGATATACTTAATCAAGGCATCTAGAGTAGACATGTTCATTGGGTTGGGTATGGGTTTGAAGTAAAACCCACACCCAGCCCATAAACCCATCTTTTTGCCAAGATTTTTATTTCACGTGATATTTGTCACCTAGTTAGTACTAGATTGAGGCAAAAATTAGGCACTAAGGCACTAATTACCCTAATTTAGTTTAGGTTGAGGCGAAAATCAGGCATTAAGGCATCAAAAATACCCATATGGGTATGAATTTTGACCCATACCCAACCCATGCACATGTCTAATCTAGAGTCCTTTTGTTCCATAATCTTACAAGGTTAGAGCCTTAGAAGCATTAGTAACGGATACTTTCAGTCGGCATTTACGTTAATATTCGCATTTTTATAGGCTAGAGAGCTTCTTCATTATTTAACTATTCTTGTAAATTCTACAGTTCCGCAATTATACAGGTCAACCAGCTTTGAAGAGATCAATAGAAGACCAAAAGCATATTTGAAAGCAAGTAGTAAATATACCGACTAAAATAGCAAGAGATAGGGAGGAGACCAGGAATGGTATACGTAGAATTAAAGCTCAGCAAATCTATTTGAGCTCAGAAAAGATACACTGAATGTAATGGTCGTTCGTTTCGATGTTTTATTCACTGGGACGAGGGTGGTTCAAAATTGCTCAACGCCAGCGCTACCACCACGAAATACCATGTCAGCCAAATGATGAGGTACATTATGAAATAAGAAAAGAGTTGGGAGACGCGAAAACTTTATTTAACCACTATCCATTACTTGGCATATAATCCCTTCTTCCACACATATACAAATCATAACTTCGTAATAAAGTAATAACATAACTCATTCCTTCTGAGTTTCAAATCACTCTCCTCCAGTGGCAGAAGAGGCACGAGGCGAACTCTCCACCGAACCCTCAAGCACCATGATAACAATTCTAGCTTTCAGAGAGTTGCTATCGCGGTTCTTGTAAGCAGCGATAGGGCCATACTCATCCCGATGCAAATCCCTATCAAGTAAAACCCCCAAGTACCCCTCCGGAACTTCGACACGAATCAAAACACCATGAGGCCGAAAGAAAGTCTCGTTCCAACGGGCAATATGACGAGCCAAGGGCGTGTCATCATTCCCAGCAAGCGCAGCAGCAAGATTGCGCTTCTCCTGTCGTCTCTGAGAAGTTCTAGCCACAATAGCGGCGGGGACAGCGCCGAAGAAGCCAACAATTATGCCGCCGATGGCTAGAGTGCCGATAGTCTTGCCGACAACTGTCGACCATTGTCGTCGCGAAAGCTTTGCTTCATCGCGAATGGCTTGGGTAAAGTTTATCCAGTCTTCTTCTGAGATACCGTATTGGGTCAGTTCGGCTGGGTAGTCGAAGCCAGATCTGCAGGATTTTGTACGAGTCTGTACCTGCAGCTCGGGGACCGAGGGCGTAAATGGTATGTTTGCGTCGGTGACTTCAGACTGTTGGACCAGAGTTTTGGTGGATTTATTATCCCAATTATAATTAAACTCGTCATGTTCACTAATATATGGCGGAGGAGTATCTGAGCGAGTATTGTTCTCCATAATTGTTTTGTTGAATGAATGTTGATGAGCAGCCAGCATATCCAAGGTTCAGTAGAAACGAGTCAAGAAAGCTAGTTCTTTGTAGGTTATGTGTGTGGTTGTATACTATTTAGAACGGTGACTCCCTTGCAATAAATACTCATGTATGAGTGTTGCCTATCGTCTCGAACTGAACTCCGAAAGACCGACGTGACGTGTGAGGCACTGCAGCCTAAGACTCATCATGCCTCATATTAACCTAGCTGTACCCCGGTTCAAGCCTCCAGGACCAAGCTTCCAAAGTCATGGCTTTAGTCTGACCAATAAGGATGTAAGAAATCATGTGACCTGGAAAAGAAGTAAAACGTCATTGGAGGAAATAAAATAGAGCAGCTCTATGACTCGAAATGATGAATTTGAAATAGAGTAATATCCAATGAGAGAAGTGGAGAAGTGGAGAAGTGGAGAAGTGGAAGAAGTGGATAAAATCGAAGTCTAGGAATTAAGGTGAGTCAGACAAGTTGTTTGTTTGTGGAGTTCGGGGTTCGAACTTCGGAGTAATTACCACATCACATTAACCCAAGCCACCTACAAGCTAACGCAATGACCACACGCTATCGCGTTGAATGTCAGTTAATTTTGTCTGACTACTATATCAACCGCTGACTCTCTTCTAGACGCTCTCAAGGTGAGAATTAATGCAGCCTAATCCCGTACTTTGTCTAATCACCCCTGCCAGACCCATCGTCGAGATCAATTGGTATGTTGTCCTCTTATCTAGAACTTGACCTCTTCTAACAACATCAGATTGAATGGATCAAAGTATGTCAACACCTCAAAATAATTGAATCAGCTATCAATCCAATATAGGGTCTACTGGCGGTACCCTTTGTACTGCACTCCCAGCCCAACATCTCTTATCCGGAGCATAGTGAGGGGCTAAAGACCGTGGCTGCCGATACATACCAGCGATATGCAGAGATTATGCGAGATGTGGAAATCCTGATAAACGACCACAGTAAGTTCATTTCTGCCTATTCAGGCAACACAATATCCGACGATCGACATAATGTTCTCAAGGCTTATCTCAGCCCCGCAGTTCGACATAACAACCAAAACACACCTGGTAAATCCAAACTCAAGCTGCTAGTGCCATCAGTCGGTACTTTCTTCACCCAGCTGCATCTAGAAGATGCATTCCAATATCAGAACGACCGCCGCTTCATCAGCCGACGAAGGTTTGTGGCGCCATCATTCAATGACATCCGCCTAATCTTGAACTCGGCCCAACTCCTCGGCCTAGTCCGATCCAGCGACGTCCAACTCGTTACGTTCGACGGAGACGTGACCCTCTACGATGACGGCGCCTGTCTCACGCCCGAAAACCCAGTCATCCCCCGTATAATTCGCCTGCTAGAACAAGGCCGGAAAGTCGGTATCGTGACAGCGGCCGGGTATGAGGAGGCTGAGAAGTACTACGGTCGACTTTACGGCTTACTAGATGCAGTACACGAATCCACCTCTTTGACACCAGACCAGAAACAAGGCATAATAGTAATGGGCGGCGAAAGCAACTTTCTCTTCCGATTCGACCCGACCTCCGACGTGCGTCTCACATATGTGCGACGCAGCGAGTGGCTCCTAGCTGAAATGCGAGCGTGGCGCGAAGACGACATCAGAGAACTTCTTGATCTAGCTGAATCTGCACTTCGTGCATGCGCGGCTAATTTCAATCTTCCCGCTGCTGTTCTACGGAAGGACCGCGCTGTTGGTGTGTATCCTGTTAATGGGGTGCGCATTAACCGGGAACTACTGGAGGAGACTGTGCTCGTCGTGCAGAATACAGTAGAGAGATCTGCTATTGGGTCACGACTCCCTTTCTGCGCCTTCAATGGTGGAAATGATGTTTTTGTTGATATTGGTGATAAATCTTGGGGCGTTCGTGCTTGTCAGCAGTATTTTGGCGGCATTGATCCGTCGAAGACGTTACATATCGGTGATCAATTCTTGTCGGCTGGAGCTAACGATTTTAAGGTGAGAGCAGAAACAGTTCGATTCAGTGCATGGTGCATGAGACAATATGCTAACTACTTTAGGCTCGCTTGGCTTCCACCACTGCTTGGATTTCCAGTCCTACCGAGACGGTCGACTTATTGGACGAGCTGGAACTTTCATTATCCCATAGTTAAAGGAATCTACCTAGGTAATCATCTCAATTTCGGGCTACATACTTTGCATCAATAGCATTGAGTCAATTGGTTTATCCCTTTATATTTAAAGCCAGACTGAAAACTAAGAAATAAAAGACCGGAACTCCGCCCAAACATGTCGCCTTCCAGATCGATATGTCTTGAAAGTGCGTTGCGTAGCGTCGTACAAACGTGAGCCATTCAAGCTTGTCGGCTAGCAGATACGGCGGTATCTTGAGTCGATAGTTCCAGAAAACGGGATAGTCGCATTATGAAGAGTATGGCATAGTGTGGAATGAATGGTTTTTGCTCGGGACCGTGAGCGGACTTCATGGAGATCCAGGGACGGGAGGCTTCGGGTGGTCTGAAGAGAGGAAGAAGCGAAAAGTTAATATCCAAGTAGGGTAAAAAGAAATCCAAGAAATCCAAGGTCGCAAAGCGATGGGCAAGTTGGCCCATAGGTGGTCAGAACGCGTCACAAACGGTAAATCGAAGAATCCAAATCGCAAATCGCAAAGCGCAAGTCGAAAATTGAAAATTGAAAACTCATAATGGCAAGAAATCCAAGGAATCCAGGGTTGGTTTGACAATTTACGTACTCTCATAGCAGCCCCAGGTTTCCTGGTTACGGCGGGAAGCAGATCGTCCAGACAAAACATCGACTGTCTCCTGCAGGTCAAGCCAGAACTCATCCTTGGGACGACGGCGAGCCCAGTCGGTCTCGGTAGCCTCCAATCCATTCTCGCCACCCATAGGGCCGAACAGCACCTGGGAACCCTTGATGCCAATGACAGCCGCACTCATCTTATCAGCGGCAATGGCATCACGGCTTTTACCAGCGAACTCCTCAATATGTTGCATGCACTTGATGGTCATGCGCAGTGCTCTAACACGGTCCATGGGCGAGGGCTTACCACCCTGCTGGAAGTGACCAGGCACAGCAGCACGGGACTCAAAACGGCCCTTGGCCTCCTCCTTGATAATGTCAGCAATAACCTGGGTGGTGTAAGTGCTAGAGGCGCATTCGTTGCGGAGAATCAGCTTTCCAGCACGATTGGCACCCTTGTCGCGACGGAAATTGTCGCGTAGGAAGTCAATATCGTTCGATAGGGTCTTGATGTCGACGCCCTGCTCGGGGATGTACACAGCGACCGCACCAACGGCCAGACCGGCCGTGGTTGCGATGTAGCCGGACTTTCCTCCCTGGGTCTCGATAACGAAGACACGGCGACGAGAGGACGATGCAGACTGGCGAATGGCATCACAGAATTCAATCAAGGTGTTCAAGCAAGTGTCACTGCCAAGAGAGTACTCGGTTCCTGGAACGTTGTTCGAAATGGTGGCGGGCAACACAACAAGAGGGATCTTGAAAGCATCGTATTGGGCACGAGCCTTGCGTAGCTGACTAACTGCTGTGAATGCCTCAAATCCACCTATCACAAACAGAGCATCGAACTGGTGGCGCTCGAAACACTTCGCGGTGGTTTCCAAATCCTCCCCAGGCAGACTGCGGTTAGTACCAATGTCTGAACCACCTTCATTGACCCAGCTGTCGCACTCGAGCCAGGTGACCTCTCGGACTGAACTGACAGGTGTGTCCTCACTGTGACGACAGAGACCGGGGAAACCGTTGTGAATGGCAAGGGGGGTGTGGCCGCGGGTCCGGCAGTAGTTTACGGCGGCGCGGGTGGCCTGATTCATACCACCAGCGGGAGCACCAACGTGGATGATGGCAATGCGCATTCTCTGTTACCAGTTAGAATCATGAGACTATAAACTTCATGGCACCACTTTTCTTACCTTATTTTCAGGCAGGTACAGCTTTGGGTGATCCGGAGTTGCGGTGTTCAAGTATGCTCGGTAGTATTCCTTAAATTCCGCATCACGCATGGTCATTGCAGTCTCGAAATCCTTGTTGTTAATCTTGTCTGTCACATTCTTGGTAAGCTGAACGGCATCCATCAAGGGTGTGCGCTCGATCTTGTTCTCGCGAATGGTAATGACGGGCGAGGGGGACTGTGGTGTCATCTCCAGTACGGCACGAACAGCCTCAACACCCTGCAATGTTGACAGCCAGCGGTCATATGCACATGCAGCTCCACCACGTTGTGTGTGGCCGAGGACGGTCGTTCGGGTATCCAGGCCCAGTCGTGTTGTAAGGATGTCCTTGATCTTGTCGCTAGAAATTTTGTTGAGTTGGCGGTCCTGCGCACCCTCGGCAACAATAACGATAGTACGGCGCTTGCCTCGGTCGTGACGGTTCTATAATTTAGATGGTCAGATTGAAACATGATATATCGCTTCTCTAGGAAAGCCGTACCTTGTTAATGACGTCGCACATCTCATTCTCCCAACCGTCCTTGGGGGCATCTCAGGAATGAATAGCCAATCCGCACCAGTGCTAATGGCCGCCATCAGGGCGAGCCAACCGCAGTGGCGACCCATGACTTCGATAACGAATCCTCGTTGATGTGAAAATGCGGTGTCGAAGACGTCGTCGACGGCTTCACAGATACGGGTTAGGGATGAATAGCAGCCAATGGTGGCATCAGTACCAGACAAGTCGTTGTCGATGGATCCCACAAGACCGACGATGTTCAGAACCTTGTAGGGCTCCACCTGCTCCTTGGTCAATTCACCAGCTTTAACGAGATCAGCCAGCAGGGCGGGCCACTCAGCACGAAAGACGTCGGCACCGGTCAAACTACCATCACCACCGCAGACAACCAAAGCATCAATACCCTTCAGGATCATGTTCTTGGCCGCACGCAATCGGCCGGGACGCTCGCGGAAAGTCATGCAACGAGCAGAACCAATCAGGGTACCTCCGCGGGACAAATAACCACGGACATCCTCCCAGTGCATCTGACGGATCATGTCGCCGCCATTCACCAATCCCTCGTATCCTTCGAAGATGGCATAAGCCTCGCAGTCGCAGTGAATAGCCATACGGACAACAGCCCGCACGGCGCCGTTCATACCGGGAGCATCACCACCGGAGGTGAGCACACCGATACGGCGCTTCTTAGGTTCCACGGGGACCTTGTTAGAATCCATGCTGGAATCGAGACGATCGACCAGGGGGGTTGGTCGAACTGTATGTAGAATAGAAAATAAAGTAGCGTGTAAAGGAAACGAAGAGCAGAGGCGGATAGGTTTTATAGAATTGGATGAAAAATGACCACGCCGCCGTGGAAGCTAAGTTAATTAGGACGGGCCGGGTGGAGGGGTTGACCACAAATCCGGTGAGAAAATGCAGAAGTGGGGAGTGTCGTCAGACACGGAGGTATAAAATGGCCAAAGTGGGGAGATCAAAGGGGGAGATTCAAGTTGAAAGTGAGAAAAGATGGACGATGTATGTGAGTCTTGCTAGAAGATTGAATCTACAAATATCATAGCTTTTCTGCAGTTAAAATTTGCAAATACGTAAAGGGTGCATCTTGAATGATGTCACCGACTCAGTCCTAATTGAGATTAGCGCGGGGTGTCTGGTCATTGGAATCAGGTGATGTCATATGACTATGGGTCGATCTATACTTCATTTTTCAATGTTACCTCTGAGAAACAGGATTAAATCGTGTTCTCGATTGTCTGGACGTTCAATTGCTTTTCCTCTTGATATCTTAATACGATTTCCATACTGGTTTTGGTATCAGGTCATGGGTTCTACGTGACTGACCTCCGTTAACCTATTCGAGAAGTTCGACAAAAACCATCTACGGAGCGCGCCATTATTAAATAAGACAGCAGGCAGGTATGGAGCCATATCTAGGTACTACCTCCGAGATTCCCGTGACTACCTAGGTAGTGTTTTGGACACCTTTCCGACTGTGAACACGATAAATTAGTTATACTGAATTATACTGAACTGTCACAAGGTCGACAGTAAAATTTTATTCGGATCAGCTTCCTCAAATCTTCATGATAAGAGACAACATCAGGGATGGTTGGACAAAATACCATCAGATCCTAGTGTAAAACATACTGTGTATATTGCCGGTGGATCAGATAGATCTCAAGCAGCTCAATAAATCCCCAAAAATACCTTGGGAGTACACAATGACTGGTCAATAGCTCCCGCACGAACCATGAGATCTCTCGGTTAACGGATATATGTAAGCGCTAGTGAAAACTATTTTGAAAAAATATCGTGGAAGCAAAAATATGGACTCGCGGGGAATCGAACCCCGGACCACTCCCATGCTAAGGGAGTATTATACCACTAAACCACAAGCCCAAACATTATGAACAGACCAAGAATTAATATTATATAAATCATTATAGACGTGCACGCACCATTTGGTAATTTACTCACTACTCCGTATCTTTCAAACAGACATACTATTGACACCTCAAATTCATGGCTAAATTCAATAGAATTATCGATTAATTTGAAGTATAAATAACGTTTATCAAGCGAGATGGCCTGACAAGATTACCTGTCCAAAAATTATTTAGACACTGAATAGCCGAGAGCTGAAAGCCCATGGGGGACAAATAACCTACGCATCGCAACCGTGACTTCCCTCTGTCGCAGGATCCTTGCAACCACTACTGCACAGCTTAGGATGGCCAATTTGACCAGGGTTTGTGCAATGGTATAGAACGTTCTGGACCGGTGTATCCTGAAGATCAGTTCCATTGATTACAGCCTCGAGATCAGCTTCCGTGAAACCTATTTTACTTAGCGAGAAGCTTAATGCATTCCGAATGGGTCATTACCTTTCGACTTGAGCAGGACGTCAGAGCAGTAATCGAAGCTAGGGGTGCATGTCTTGTCTGCCAGGCCGGTAGAAGCCAGAGCAAACAAAGCGAAAACGACCGATGAGAACTTCATGTTGTAAATATTTCTGCGGAGATATTCGCAATCGATGAAACGTATGGTATAATTGAAGGGTAAGAAAAGAAAAGGTGTGGCTTAAATATCAGTTGCAGGGAAATAACAAGGTACTGACATTCTCATGTCCTACTAAAAGGGGTTATCCACATGTTCCTGGAATGCGAGTCGGTATGTGGTTACTCTGTGAATGAGAAGCCAAAAATGCATATTCGTCTTGAATTCTTCCATAATGAAACCACTGTAATAGAAATTGGCAAATTTTGCAGAGCAGTCTAAAGCCGAACGCCAAATAATGGCCGAGGCCCAAAATGAGTCGTTTGAATAAACACGGAGATATGATTACCACTGAAATTCCTTCCGAAAAAGACACTATACATAGATCTGTTCTATACTTTATCGTTTTATTCTGAATGGGTTTATGAATCGCTCTGAGCGGATTTATAAAAAGATAGGATTGTGAATGAAAAGACCTCACGAGTAAAAGAGAAAGTCAAAGCCCTTAAGCGGACGTACCGTGGTGAGTGAGCTGATTTCCGATTGAACTCCTCTTGATCTAGTTGTATGTGATTCTAGGCTACCTATTCAGCTACCTTTTCATTATATTTCTCTCTTCTTTACATACACGTCTTCTATAAGACCTACATAGGTACAGATGCCATGGCTCTTTAATTAGAAAGGTAAATTCTGTTAGATACATCCAAAACTCAGTTCATCAACAAGGAAAGATCTGGTGAAGCGTCCAGAACCAGAACAAACTTGGTCAAGACTCCGCTTTTCCCTTAATCTTCGTCCTTCGGGCTCTTTTCCCAACAACCTCAAGTTTTTCTTACTCTACTTGAACTCAACTACCGATTCAATCCCCACACCATCTGATTAGCCATTGGGAACGAATTGTTCTTCCAAACTTTGGAATTGTTCCAATTCACAAGTCAGTACTATACATATAAGCTGACTGTGGGAAACGTCTGTTACCTCAGCAAGGTCTTGATCAACCTAGCCTCGCAGCAGCCGTGGGTAGTATGCTCACTGAATGTGCAGAATAAAGGATTCTTAGTATTAATAGCCAAGTATTGTGATATCACCGCGGGTTCTAGTTACTCCGAATCCTGGTTTTTTGTGTATCTTTCACCACAGCTGTCCCAAACCTGCTCCTGAACCCTCATTAGGATACGTATTCGATAATTGGAAACATAATTTAGGAGAGTTGTTAGCGGAGGTGCTGCCGTCGGCGAAAGGTACTTTTAAGACCTCTTTTCTGTCAGAAATACTTTTTGAAGCGGGAATTACTCATCTCATACTAACATTGAATAAATTGAACAACAGAAAATTGATCAACAGGCTCCTTGATTCTGTGACAGATCAGGCGGTGAACTTTATAACGTCCTAGTCTTCATGTGACCCCGGGGTGTATCTAAAAGGCGGATATTTGTGACAACCAGGCACCAGGATAACCTCCACGTCCAATTCTCTTCCATATCTGCTACTATCACAATCACTACCGCAATAGACACCCTCTTTTTTGATATGGACCGCGTCACGCAGTACGATGCCACAGCCCCAGCGATCACACTGTGAAGGTACTTACTGCCTTTCTTGACCATCTGCCCGAAGATGGGAGAAAAAATCTTGAAAAAAGAAATTAAGGAATGTGGAACAGATTCCGAAATAAAGGACTGTGCAACAGACCTGCTCAACAAGCTGCTGATCCCGATGAGGGCGCGTCATACCCCTAGCATGTCACTAAATTATTCTTGTGATGACGCTCAGGCCAAACTCGAAAATCAGTACACTGAAATGACGACTCCGATGAAACGCTTTAAATCACTGAGGGAAGATTGTCTTAACAGAGACAATCAGAGCTGCAGTATCACCCACAGGCAGGAATTAGCAACACTCGATGAAGATGATATGGCCACTCCGGCCTGTCAAACTCAATGTGCCCATATTCTCCCCTTTTTCATTTCAACATGGCCCACTGATGAAGAAGCTCGAGCTAAGACCAAAGTTTGGACCACCTTGAAGTTTTGTTTCTCAATTCTAGAAGAAATGGAAAACGCTTTCGCTACGAAAATATCAACGAACACCGCAACGCTCTTACTTTGACCAATTCGGTTCATATTGGATTTGGCGCGTTTCATTTTTCACTCAAATTTGCCCCAAATTATTCCAATCAATACGAAATTTATCGTTGAAAGCCGAACTTGCTAAATTTCCAGGAGACCGTTGTGGATTTCGACAAAGTTACCCAGGCCCTGTTACCATCACCAGAACTTCTCTTCGTGCATCATACTATTGCCTCAATCTTTCGAGCATCGGGTCAAGCTGAATATATCGAAAAGTTCTTCGAGACCTGGATGATATCTCTGTGCTGGCCCCGAGCGGGTCATTCCAACTTGCCCAAAGCATTTAGGCAACGGACTTAGGACTGCTGGGTGAGTCAAATAGCAGGCTCGCTACTACATGTGCCTGATTTATCTTTCTCGCCAATCACAACTGACAACATATATATGACCAGTTTATATCTTACCTTTAGTTTGATCCTCTTCCTCTTCATCATCGGAGGCTGCTAAGGAGCCTGAGAGGTGATGTCTTATTATGACCTTTTATCGTTTCATCTAAGACTAAAACTGGACGAATTCTATCTGCTGATAACTTTCAATCCCATTCTAATGATCGTGTAATATCTTAATAAATTATAAGTCCTCATATTGGCCACTTAGACAGCCCTATATCCCACTCCCTCAATGCTATAAACAAGAGTTCACTAGTAACCAGACCTCTTCCTGCTATCGGTGACTCCGTAACAATTCAATTCAAAGATTGAAGCCTAAAGAATTGAGCATAGAGTTCCATATCAAATCATATATATTCCCACATTGACTTCCGTGGCAGAGGCTTCCCGGATTCCTCAGCATCGTCAACGATCAATTTTGGCGCATCGAAGATAGAGCCAAGTAGATTTCTCTTCCAAAACAGTGAATCTATGGCCAGAGGGACGGTGTTTACACTAACTCTCCTGACACTTGATTTGATCTCGTAAAACTGATCTTGGTACGTTTAAAGCACATGCAATTGCTACAGTAGAGGCATATTTGCTATCTTTTACATGTTTTTAGCTTTTAATAGACAGTCCCCCAAAAATCAATATTTATTGATTTTTGGGGGTGAATAAGTAGCATGGTTGAAGTTTGAAAACATGTGTTGGTACAGAGATACTAGTTTTTTGATGGATGGCGGAGAGGTCATGTTGGCGGAGCGGGTTGGCGGAGCAACTGGGAACCACGTTTAAGGGGGTCATACGATTTAGATAGCGTAATAGCGGGGCTCATAAATAATTACCCTAAAGCCTCCCCTGAATATTTACATCTTTTTATCGCTTTCTTATACATCCATAGTCATTTCAATATGGGTTCTGAAGACGACTATAGCCTTCCACCGGGATACAAACTTCACGAAGGATATCCTCCAGTGCCTGCTTACTGCGATCTTCGGGCCAAATCGGGCCTTACCCCCAAAACCCCATCCTAGGCCGCTGCAGTCTCAGCAGGAAGCTGGTACGGCTGCTACATCTCCTTCGCTTCCGAAAATCGTATTTCTGAGCCAATTGCAATGGGCAGAATCATTGGCGATGGTGGTTGGCATTTCCATATTGCAGATATGGCGGTACATCCCAATCATCAGCGGAAAGGGCTAGGGGATGTGATTTTGAAAGCGCTATTAAAGGAAATCAATGAAAAGGCTCCTTCTGATGGCAAGCCATATATTTCTCTTCTTGCGGATGCACCAGGCCGCAAATTATACATGAAAAATGGATTTGTAGAGTCTGCGCCGCATAGTTTAGGGATGGTTATTCCATGAACATTCACAAACTTTCTGTCCAATCATCCAGTTGGGGTATTACCCCCCGATTTATGGAAGTTAATTTCTGGTACCCAGACTGCAGTACTTGGGGTCACTGTCTTTGAAGGAATACCTGTCGTGAACAAAGTTGACCGAAATCCAAGACAAAACTGAGAGAATGTACTTTCGGGCCTCTGATTTTGGCTAGTCTACTCTATGAGTTAGAAGTATTGAATCTGCGTTCATTTATCCTCTAATCGACTAGCCAAAGGACCTATTCACATACAGATATTTCAAATTATACATGTAAGCAGATTGCTCAGCTTGTTCAAAACAACTCCCTGGATAGTGGCGTTTGCATCTTCCTTGGTGCTTGCGATTCCTACCGAGACACTAGCATAACAACCAGAGGTCAGAGCCAACGCATACTCGCTCGGTAGACGTGAACTACCACACGTAGTCACATCGTCTGGAGTGATAAGTGGTAAAGCGACATGAATTCGTGTCAAAACAAAATTAAAATCGGCTGCACTTGAGCACTCAGAATCAGACACGGAGGGAAAGTTCACATTCAGCCAAACGTCGTCAGGCAAGTATGGTGTGCCCGAATCGATCAATGCATTGGTCAAGTTGACCGATAAATCTGCATAAACCTGGCTGTAATTGGGGAAAGTTGAAGAAGCATTCCACGCAGTCTGAGCCCCGGTCGCTCCGGAAAAAGCAATTGCTGGAATTCCAGCATCATGGGCCGCGTATGTGGCTGCTCCTACAGTCCCAGAAAAGAAAGCCTCTAAGCCAATATTAGAGCCAACCTGCAAGGATTAATATTTGAAGAGTGCATCTGAATATCGGACTCACGTTTGGACCTGTCACCGCAAGATCCGGGGCACCATCGAAGAATTCTGGTCCGGTTGTGTTGATACCGTAGGCCATTGATGTCGCAGGATATGAATTGACATAATTCAGACGGGGCTCTGAAGCATTATATCCCATGGATGGGCTGCCTGATGGACAGCTATTAAACTCGCATGGCTTGGCGAGGACACTTGGTGTCGCCGACGACGATCCTGTACAGCTGCCGTTAGCAAGGGTGAACAATAATGAAGGAATTAGCCTGACCTGTTCCGCTCTCATTCTCAGCCGGGGCCGACACGACAGTGGAGTGACCAGCATCCACCAGCGATTGAAACAGAGCACGAATGTTTACTTCGGCCCAGCCATCATCGTTGGATGAGATAATATTAATTCCGTGAACGGGCGTCAGCAAAATGGATGCCGAAAGGGCAATGACAGTGCCGATATGCATACTTAAAATACACTGTAAGCCTTACCTAGGCAGCTAATAGAGAAAGGATTGCCTCGAAATGGAGAAAGCTTTCATGATACCCGTGGACGGGATATATGTACTATTGTCAACAATGTGCTCCTTTGATGCTGACCGAAGCTTCATAAATAAACCATATTTATGAACCCTTTATGCAGCACATCTGTAAATTCCCGATAAATATCACTATCAGCCAGTCAAAGCCTCTAGTTTCAGCATGTGGATTTCTTCAAACCTGGGCGTAATCTCGCTTCGAGGACTTGAAGCGGGGAAATACCTTGCCAAGACAAGATCTCGTAATACTCATTTTGGACTTCACATCTTCACATATCGTCCCTTTTTCTCCCTTTCTAACTTGTCTCATTCAGTATAGACATATTCCTGAATGCAGCTAATTATAGTACTAGGCTCAAAAAGTATTGGATGCGTGAAATTGACCGATATTAGTGGCCTGGTATCAAGTGCGGTCAGGTTTGCATGCGTTACACGCTCTAGTGTCCGTAGCTATCACAACAGAAACGAATGAATGATTCTTCACAGTGCACGGGGATTACAATATGACGGGCACTTTTATTTCTAAGTGGGTCAACCGTCGGATGTCGCTCTTCATGGGGTATTCACACCGTTTTGGAACTAGATAGCCTTTAGGGCAATGGAGCTAAAGTATTCGAGCCAAAGGAAAGACGAAATTCCAACCTTCACTATAAAACCCACAGCGCACGACGATGATTAAGTGCTCCTTAATTAGTTTCATATCAGTTCTGGATTAAACACTTCCTACCTTTCAATCATGAACCTTATGCTTGCTTCTGGTCTCGCGCTCTCAGCGTTGGTTGGCACAAGTGCTGCAAACACCTTGTCAGGACGGGGAACCGTCGGCTCTGATGACATAGTTGGATTTGATGAAACCGTTCCCTCAGGAACCACCGGAGATGTTTATTTGGCATATCAGCCACATCTCAAGGTAGTTAATGGATGTGTGCCCTTCCCGGCCGTCGACGCTGAAGGCGATACAAAGTGAGAACCCTGCTGTTGAAGCAAACTTCATGTTCTGATATTCTCAGTGCTGGTCTTGCTACTACCGGCTCCTCTAGTGGAGACTGCAGCAGCAGCACTGGCCAGATTTACGTTCGGGCAGCAACCTACAGTGACTACTACGGTATCATGTACGCGTGGTATTTCCCGAAAGATGAACCTTCATCTGGTTTGGGCCATCGTCACGACTGGGAAGGAGTCATTGTTTGGCTTTCGGATTCTACCGAAACTACAGCGGACAATGTCGTCGCTGTTTGTCCATCCGCTCATGGAGGCTGGGACTGTAGCACTGATGGGTTCACGCTTGATGGCACTTCGCCTTTGATCGAATATTACAGCATCTGGCCTGTCGATCACCAGTGTGGACTTACTTCTACTATTGGAGGTACAGAGCCTTTGATTGCTTGGGAATCACTTCCGACTGTTGCTCAAGATGCTTTGAATACGACAGACTTTGGTAGCGCAATTGTGCCATTTATTGATGCTCACTTTGATACCAACTTGGGCGATGCCACTTTTTAGAGAGGAGTGACATCTATGCTGAAATCTGTGACTACCTACACACGATTATGAAGTGAAGATGCAGGGTGCCCAGGTGGTATGAGGATTACAACTTAACTTCCGCTCGTGTGCTGTCTCTCTATGAGTCCCTGATTAAATAATGGTTGGGTTAAATGGGACTCAACGCTAAACTGCATTAGGCCATCACATGATAGCCAGATGTACCCTGTTTTTCAAATGGTAATCCTGCGTTCCAATTTCTTAGTAATCCCCATAGTAATAAGAACGTTTTATTACCATTTCCACCACCAATTCCACCACCAATTCCCCATATCTGCCCTCTATATTCATTATGTCCATCATATTCAATGCCCTCCCCCTCCTACCGCCTATCTCTGAATACGGCGAGCCTTTTTACCGCTCAGTTGAGCAGGCTATTGAGGCTATCAACATACATGCCCAGCCCCAAGGCTTCGCAGTCTCAAAGCGAAGCTCCCAGCTTAATCGTATCCAACTACGATGCGCCCGAGGTAGGGTATACGCGAAAACAAGGCATCTTTCATGAATTCCTCCGACCTGTTGAGCAAAAGATCTCGGAAAAAGCGATATATATGGCTGCCACCATATATAATAAGTTTTTATCCGAGAGAGATCCTAGAGAACTCCGCATTCGTAGGAATGTAGTGGGTTAGCCATTCACACAACAGGACTCCCTTGTATTCACACGATACTGCTCGCTAAGAGGGGTCCAGGCCTCTCAGTAGCTGATTTCCACCCCCATTGGCATCTTCCAGAGGCACCATCTATTCAACCATCTATTCAACCATTCTCTCCGCCCATTCCGGCATCTCAGGTGCAGAACCCCCCTAAGGCCATTACCCGGGGCCGTCCTCCGGCCTCATCGGCGCGGCAGGCTATCTCTCAGCGCTCAACCCAGCGCTCACCATCTCAATTTGAGATCACCGAGCAGCAGATACTAGCTGAGAACCAGGAATTTGAAGTATCACGGGCGGCCTCGCAGGCATCTCAGGCAGGGGGGGAAGGGGGGGCATCGCAGGCATCGGCGGCAGGGGGGGCAGGGTGGGAAGCTTCGGAGGATGAAGGGCCAAGAAGATCAGGCCGGGCGCCTAGGCCAAAGAGGAGAAGAACGGATGAGACAACTCAGGGTGAAACCACTGAAACAGACCATTAAAAGGCATGTAAATAGCTTCAAAATGGAGATTTAATTCAGTGGGGCGGGTGTGTTCTCATCACTGCGGGGATTACTAAGAAATTGGAACGCAGGATTACCATTTAAAAAACAGGGTACATCTGGCTATCATGTGATGGCCTAATGCAGTTTAGCGTTGAGTCCCATTTAACCAACCTAAATAATACTCTTCCGTCTCATTTGATCTTCTTTTTATCATATCATATAGCGAGGAGAATATTGTTATCTGTTATCTTAACGAAGGAGTACACGCCAAGAGGAAAATCAGAAGAAAATTCAAAGTATACTAGCTCGACCGAAACTATCTATACATTATCCCATCTCAATAATTAAGGGCAAACAGATTAATCAAAAACAGCAAAGGGGTTCATCAAGCATTGTGAACGGTAAGTTAAAAATATATCTGAACAATAAGCTATGTAGTGCATTAGATGTATGAGCATTGAAAACAGAATGATATGAGTGATAGGAGTAGTTCACAGTCCATTTAAAGGGCCGTGTGCCTGAAATTATTCGGAGCGAGCACTCTTGGTCTTCTTACTCCGAAGCTTCATCATGAGGAAGACCAAGGCGTATGATGAGATACAGAACAGAGCAGTGATTCCAGTTTGATATGGGAATTAGTAAACGATGCCTAACAAGAAATCATGAAATGGAAACTCACATCTCTCCACGAGTAGTACTTCTCCTTCAGGCTGTAAGTCTTTGCATAGTCTGCTCCTGTTGAGTATTGACAGAAAGAACAGGTATCCGTGGCGTTTGAATCCAGGAAGTATCCTGACTGAGTGGAAAGGAAATCGGCCATGTACTGTCCGCATGTCTGGCCAGAGGGAGCGCTGAATTTGAAGTTTTCAGATGGCTCACACTTGACCTGGACATCCCATAGAACTTCACCAAGAAGACCACCAACCAGATAGTTAAATGGGTCAAGGGAGTATATCCAGTAGCGCCAGAATGGCTGTATCTGGTCGTATGAAACAACAACACCGGCAAATGCGATCAGACCTGCTCCGATCAAGACTGGATTCATCACTGCCGCAAAGTACTCATTTGGAGCGTATGCCGCAATGGCCTGTCCAATGGATGTATAAAGGGACTCAAAGAGAATCATCTGGAAATAGAAATGGCCAGCGACATTGGGTGTGACTGGGAATCCTGCCGTGAAGTAGAAGCAAAGGAAGTAGAGAGTTCCACAGATGATCAGGTATGGGATCTCTGAAACAACTTGAGCACCGATGAAAGCGACCCAGTGATACGTCTTAGACTTTTTCTCGCGAGTTTCAAAAATATCACGGTTGTGCAGGAAGAAAGGCTGCATTTGATTGATACATCCAGGCGCGACAAAGATGAAGTTGAAAATGACAAACAGGCGAAGCTGGAGTGCGAATGAACCGTCTCCGATTTTTCAGAAGGTAAAACCACTTAAAAGAGCTGCGAAAATGTGAAGAATGATCTTGTTCCACATATAGTCTGGTTATCGCCAGATTTGGACCGAGAGGCGTTTTGTAACCATCTTGAATTGAAACCAGTGTGAAGTTGCAAAGTCTGAGGTATCCACGACATAGCTCTGGTCAGCTCTGCCGGCTTCATCTAGAGCCTGAAGCTCCGTTAGTGCGAGTTTTCGCTCTTCAGACTTGCTCCAAACATCAACCCAATCTGTGTTACCAGTACTTCCTTGAATGACATCAATGATATGTTCGGCTGGGTTTGCATCTGCCGGACAGGGGGTACCATTTCGAGAGAAGTAGTCCAGAATCTTAGTGGACTCTTTTCCAGTTTCTCCAAAGTATGTCATTCTTCCCCCCTTAGCAAGAAGAAGCAGACCATCAAAGGCGTCGAAAAGGACTGCAGAGGGTTGATGAATTGTACACAAAACAGCTTGTCCACCATCGACCAGTTTTCGCAAAAAGCGCACAATATTGAAGGCACTTTGACCATCAAGTCCAGACGTAGGCTCGTCCAAGAACAGTAAAGTTGGTTTGGCGACGAGCTCAACGCCGAGGGTGACACGCTTTCGCTGCTCAATGCTAAGACCGGCTCCAGGATTTCCGATAAGAGCATCCTTTATGTTGGTGAGCTCTAGTAGATCGATGATGTGATCAACGTAGGCAATCTTTTCTTCATATGGGACTGTGGACGGTTGACGGAGAACTGCAGAGAAGATGAGTGCCTCTTGTACCGTGGCGGTACTCTCGTGAACATCTTGCTGCTCGCAGTAACCGGTGGTTCGCTGGAAGCTCACTCCCTGAGGCTTACCGTCGATGAGAATTGATCCATGGATTTCTCCTGAATCTTTTCGTTGAGCCAGAACGTCCAAGAGAGTTGTTTTTCCAGCTCCAGATGCTCCCATCAAGGCGACCAAGCTGCCTGGCTTTACATTACCAAAGACTTGATTCAAGAGCTGCTTCTTTTCGCCGTGGAATGGAACATGGTAGTCTAGATTTTTCCATGTGAAAGTCGGTTCATATAGCTACTTAAGCTCCTAATATAGTTGTTCCCCTGTGACTCGGGGGTCTGTTTGTTCCGTTCTGGGTTTATGGTATTGCACGATTGCAATATCCATGTTCCGACACTTAGGTACATTGACCGGACTCAAGGTCCGCGTTACTCTCTAGGTCAGAGCGATTCACCTCTGTGTAGGTCCTCTCACATTTTTTACTCCAAAAGACCTCACTCGCAAACCAAGTATAGCTATCAGCATTATAGATAGCTTGAGCCTTATCGAGCGCGTGCTGGCAAGACCACAGCCCATATTTGAGGTCTATAGCCTTATGTTTCAATGGAGGAGACACCAGATTTTCCCAATGCATGAATTCATGCAGAAGTACTGCTCCAAGCGGGAAGGCGTCTTCCAAGTTACCTTTGAACTCATCGCATGTGACAGCTTTCGTATCCTTATTATAGCCTTTACCAATACCGCCAAATCTGAAAGCCCCTGAGCAGATCACAATCTGAGAACCAGAGCCGTCCAAGAAATCAGCCATGAATGCTTCTAAAGTAGCCATAGATCCTTCCGGCGGCTTTGCATCTTTGCAGATAAAACCGTAATTAGAAGCTGACTCGGAGTTGATTTCGACATTTTCCAATATAGTATTTCCAGTATATTGAGTTTCTGCACCACCAGTGATCTTGTTAAAGATGGCTAGTTATATAATCAAGTTAGTTCAACTAGGTCAGCCAATTTTGAATTCAAAAATAACTTTGCGTTCAGTGTAAATGTCAAAGGTTTTTAACTTGAAAGGGATATCACTTACTTATGACTACTTCATATTCTGATTCAGGAAAGTATTTCAAATAGATAGATTTGAAAGCAGCTTTTTTGGTTGTTTCAGTCTCCCTAGCTCCTTCTATCACCGCATTCGCCAATGTCATCATGTCGCGGAAGGCATCTTCAACCTGTGTCTTTTGCTCATCGCTGAATCCATCCAGTATCATCTTGTCGAGTACAGAAGATCTCTTGATAGGATTTTTAGGAGCAGCTAAGGTGGAGACCACCATGAGGAGCGAGAGGAAGAACCAGAGCAGCATGATATATACCACTGAAGACTTTTTCCCCCAAGATGTAGTCTTTCAAAATTTAAGAGAAAGAAGGTTTAGTTTTCTAGCCAAGTAAATGGCCTTGCCCTTTAAGATTAAATATTGTCTCTCATGGATCTTTACGGGATATCATGGATCAAATCCTTTAAGTAGGAATCGAACTTGGGGCCGAAAGTCCCATTTTCCCGGACATAAATTGATAACATGTAGTTATTATTACTGAAAAGGATTGTTACAGATAATAATTACCTTCCTTCCGACCCAATAAGTTTTTCGTCTTATCAGCTAATAAAAACGCCACATTTTGTTATTAGACATGTTCATTGGGTTGGGTATGGGTCCAAAATTTTACCCAAAACCCATAAGTCATGGGATATCCGCTGGTTGAGCAAGATGATACTTGGCGTTCCAGAGCAGAAGGACTGAGCAAAAGTATCCTGACCTTATTCAGAGCTCATTATCATTAACATGTAGTTCAAATAGCACGAGCTGCAATGAATGCTCTTAGTACCGTTGGAAATAGCATTCTGAAAGAGATTATTATAATAGGTGCCCGAGGAGGTATCAGTTAAGCAGGTGGCGTTGCAATGCCATTAAATTTCTCTTCCTCTATCAGCCGCAGTTTGTGAGGTGCCAGAGATGTTGTACTTGGTGCTTGCACCGCAAGCTTCGTTCACAGAGGAGACATAGCTGGACAGGAAGGAGGAGCAATCAGTAGTGCAAATATCGGAAAGTGCACTGGCTGACCATGCCATCGTGTTGATGACTACCTGACTCAAGCCCGCATAGCAGGACACGTTGGTGGCCATGGCATCGACACATGCTTCGGAGGCTGAGATACCAGCCAGACTATCAGATATGTTGATGTAGAGCGTATCTGCATTTCCCCAAGCACTAGCATATTGGGCCTGCAGCATTAGTGCTGCTACTAATGTAGTCGATATCCTCACAAGGACCATTTTCTATGATCGAAAGAGAAATTTCAAATATTCCACAATGAATCTATTCTCTTGGACATGGGATGCGAGCAAGGCCATAGAAGAGCAGAATAATACCTGCGTGAATTAATGCTTCTGAAAACTCCTGACTTGCGCATGCTCAGGTGGGGATCCGGACCTTTGGATGCACTTCTGCCGGGCTTGCCAGCAACTTTCGGTACAGAAGATGAAGTCTCAATCTTGATTGTGCATCTTTATGATAACCACAGCTCCGTTGCGGCGGATCTATCGTATTCGGTCTTCCCCAAGCACAAAAAAATTGTGCGCAGTGCAAACATCACTAACCATAGCAAGGGCAATATCACGGTCGAATCGCTAGTCAGTATGAGTGTGGACTTCCCATATGAGGACTTGGACATGATCAGCCTTCGGGGAGACTGGGCAAGGGAAACGCAGCGTGAGCGAAGAAAGGTCGAATATGGCACCTAGGGGTAAGTTATCTCTCCAGTTATGAGGTTGTTGAAAACATGCTGACGGGGTGTAATAATGGCGACAGCTTTGGGAGCACTACTGGCTATGCTTCTCACCTTCATAATCCATTCCTTGCTATTGTGGACCCCACCAGTACAGAATCCACTGGTGACACCTGGGGTTTCTCACTGGTCTATTCGGGATCCTTCGCTATCGATGTTGAGAAAGGTTCTCAGGGCTTTACACGTGCTCTCATTGGAGTCAATCCCAGTCAGCCATCCTGGTTATTGGACCCTGGCGAGTCTCTTATCTCCTGTCGGAACGGTGAGGTTCTTACGGTGCATATGCAACTAGTATTCTTGATGGAATAGATCTAGGTGCGTCGATGCGAAGTTGTAAGAGGTGTGTTATTCAATCTTATCCTCGCTGTAATTAAATAGACAAAACTCGCTAGATTCACTTCATGTCGAACCAACAGCACCGGAACCATTGGTCCTGTGCCCCACTTTGGTCTAGTGGTATCGACAGTATTATAGGAGTTGAGCTAAGCGATCCGGACTTAGGTCTGGCTTCGGGATCCGCAATAAGGCAATGATTAGTTCGGCGGCATGATTCAATAGCAAAAATGCCTCAAAGTGAGACACAACAGAGAAGAAAAAATTTCAGCAGGGGAAAGCAAAAAACTTTCGAGAGGGGGAATGGGGACTTTTATAGAGCCAAACAGGGCAAAAGACACGCTAAACCCAATAGCATAATTCGCCGTCCGGATACGTGAAAACTAGCTACACCATCCGACCAATGAAGTTATGACAATCTGATTTGAATTATCCAAAAGGATTTTCATAAATAAATTATTAAGACAGCTCTGTAGAGAATGTTTTGAAGCTGGGGTTGCTTCTCCACTTTCAATCAAAGCCTTCTTCGATAAAGAGAGTAGTTTTATTGGGGTTGCCTCACAGTGCCTGCAGCCGAGTATACAGGCGGCGGGGTGGCAGGGTCGACCCCGCCACCCTACCACCCGACGAACTTTTCGTCTTATCGGCCAATAAAAACTCTGTATTTCATTTTTTGTGGGTAATATGATACATCATAATAAGTTTGTCGGGGAGCTAAAAAAAAAAGGTCGTCGGGTAGTGGTAAATAGCCATCTTATGTGGTAATATGCAAGATTTGACTTACGGTGCTTCAACCCTACCACCCCGCCACCTAGCTTCAATTTTCGATAATTTACCAGGAATTTGTAAAATGTTTCTTCCTTCATTCAACAATAAAACAGTCAACTCAATTCAGATTTTGATAATATAGATATAATTATTAAAGGAATTCCTAAGAATAATACTTTGGAACTGGTTTTAGGAACTTATTATCATTTTTTGAAGTTTTCATCTAAAATTATAAAATTTCATAACAATATATCTATATCTGTATATATATCTGTAGACTGTATCTATTTACATCTCAGTCCTTGCAAATCGATTCCTATCTTTTACCATCTTTTACTGATCCTTACCATTATTTACTAGACTGAAGATTTAGGTATTTGCTTTTTTTGTCTATTTATACTTCTCTATATATATCGTTTAATTTCTAAGAATATGATCTCTCATAATTCAATTTATGAACCCACAAATTCCCTTCTATTTGTACAGATTTCTCTTTTTTTTCATTTCTGTTTGCCTTCACTTTCTTAAGAATCTTTATAATTATGGCTTCTGCTATGATTTTATCTTGGAAGAAAAATCGATCAATTCCATTTGATGAACTCTATGATCCTGATCATTTCTTGAATCTTAATGACGAAAGGGAAAGCCTAGAAACCTTCTCTCAATCCCCTACCGACCTACCTACTCTTACTCAGGAGAACCCTCACGGCTTCCAACTTTCCTCTGTTCCAATATCTGGTGGATATAATAAAGTCAGATTCCTACAATACGCCGCATGTCTACCTGAGTACCCTCAGACGCATCCAGACGGATTTGCATATCTTATGCCGATTACTGGTCTAGATCCTTCAGATATGATCAAAGATATGCAGTATGGAGCTGGAGGTCGTGAAAACCAGCATAAGCGCTGGCATGGGGATAAGAAATCACCACTACTTGGGAATGTCACTTGCACCTTTACTAAGAAGTCATGCTCTGGTATCAAATCTTGTCCGAAACTCGCAAATGATTTCACCTCTGAATTTGGTCATTCTGAAGTCACTGCTGATCTTTGGGATCATCTTGAAAATAGAAAAATCGAAGTCAATAACTACTTTCAGACCAAGTTTGGAGATGACCGAGCGAACGCACGTACTTACGCATTTTATCATAAATGCCGTCAACAATGGGATCGAAAATGTGGGAAAACACATGGAGATTATTCCCGAATGATTTTGAAGAGGTTCTCCTCAAGTGCGTTTGAAACAAATCAGTATTATCTTGGGTGTAGTGCATGGAAGCCAGAAGATGAATCTGGTAAGCACTACTTCCATAGGTTTCCGGTTCTCGAAGGCTATGATTTAGTCTATCTCAGAGAACTTGTGGAAGGCCATGCTAGCCGCGATATTACCGTGAACTCTCTCGCGTGCGCAACGATGGTACCAGCAAAATCAAGGACTTCAAAGTGCCAGTACCATGTGGACATGAATCTCCATTATGTCCCATGTAATACTATCTTTATCTCAGTGATTCCAAAGGAGACTAAGAACTGCCCATTTATAATCTTGGCATCTTGGGGCACCCATACACATCCACCTCCACCAATGAGCAAGACGCCGTCCAACATCATAAAGGATATGACTCAACTGATTCAAAGGACCGATCATCATTCATTATCATATAGTCGATTCATCCGCAGTTCTGTTGTGACTGAGTTTTTGCAAGCACAAGGTGTTGCATCACTCCCTGAACTTCACCCATCTCTTGGTAATAGAGATCTTATTGCTTCTTGGATTAAGAAGCAAAGAGTGATTTCCTGTCCGCTTGGACAAAACTGGATAGGTATGTTATATATTATTTATCCTATAGTCTAATCTTGATTTAACCAATCCTTACCGATCCTTACCGATCCGTATTGTATTTAGTTATTTTATACTAATTACTATTAGGTGCTTTACTTGAGCATTGTAAGCAGCAATCAGGACCTAAGGAAGACCTCTATATTCGCGAGATGTATAATGATGGTATAAATCTCCGGATTGTGTGTCTTACCGATGCCCAAGCTCGCTTTTGGACAACCATTGAATACTTTCAGGTCGATATGACTTTTAAAAGAGTTGCAGGGATCTTGAACGAAGTTGTATTCGTCACAAAAGATCCTGACTTAGAGCAAACTGTCTACCTGGCAAGAGTCCTTGTTAGTAGTGACTCAACCGAATCCTACCAATTTCTTTTTCAAAGTCTGTTTAACATACTTGAGACGATTAACGGTAAAAAGATTGATTGGTTCCATATTCATCGGAAAGGCATCATCGCTGTGATGGTTGATATGTGTGGGAAACAATCTAGTGGGTTTGGTCAATATCTGCATTCAGTTGATGGCAGTTACACTTGGCAAGAACATATTCAACATATGTTTATATATTGTAAGGTTCATTACCATCGGAACCTTGCAAGATATCAAAATGAGATTGAGTACCCTATGATGCAACGGCTCGAGAATATAACACCTAGGAGCGCTTGTGAAAGTCTTATTACTACCCTTAAGTCTTCACAGTCGAAACGTGTTCGTGACTGGGTTAAGAAGATTTCTTGTCGTTGGTTAATCTCTGGACTGAATGAGTCAATGACTAAGATGAAAAAAGAGCATTTCCGTGCATTTGTTAAGCACACCAATCTGGTCGAGAGTAGTCATGCTGGTAGCAATCGTGGAGGTATCCAATTGCAACTACTCCCAGCTCTCAAGGAATCGCAAGCTCGAGATACACGCCCACTTGATGATATTGCCCGAAAAAGTCGTTATGGAGTCAATCCAACACAAAGATCTCGGACTTTTGGTAGTCATTTCCACAGAAAGCGCCCTGGATCTTTCCTAGAGACACCAACACCTATCCGGCAGCTCAATTTAGATCATATCGATCTCACTTCATCACCTCCATTATCATCAGCTATATTACAACAACCACCTCTTCATCATGAACCTACAACTGAATTAGCTGGAACATCTCATCAAGATTTACTAGTACAATTCGTGAACAGAATACCACAAATGATGAATGTTCTACAGAAATTGGAGCATACCGTCGAACGCAATAATGCTCGTATTGACAAGTTTGAAGAGATGATGGGTGAAGCAGTAAAGGAGAAGGATAGTTAGGATCAATATTTATCAATTAAAGTCAGTCAGAATCAGTCGAAATTGGTCGAAATTAGTCGAAATCAGTAAGAGTTGGTAAGATATGATCAATCACATTTCTTTTTAAGAAAATTTATTTCCTCGCAATTCTGGTTTTATCTGACTTTCCCCCTTAATTATTTCTATCTTTTACCATATCATTGGATTCTCTCATCATGCCATATTCTACGAGATCCAGGACTAACGCCAATCATCCTGATGATGAAGCCCCTCCTATAAAACCGCAGAAACAACCACGACTTCAGACAAGGGGTATATCGAAAACGACTATATCTACCCCAAGACGAACGAAATCAATTAAACCTCCTCTTCAACAAACTAAAGCAACAAGACCTACTATAAAAAAAACTAAAGTAGTAAAGCCTCTTCAAAAACAAACGAAAACAACAAAACCTCCCCCCAAAACGAACGAGAATAACAAAACCTCCACCAAAACGAACAAAAACAACAAAAACTCCTCTGAAATCATCACTTCAACCGACCGATGGGACTGAGATATCCCAACAGCTCACTGATCAGGCTGAAGTAATCCAGCAACCAACCGACCAGACTGAAGTACTCCGGCAGCCGACCGACCAGACCGAGGTACCCCAGCAGCTGACCGATCAGGCTAAAGTGATCCAGCAACCAACCGATCAGGATGAAGTGATCCAGCAGCCGACCGATCAGACAAAAGCACTCCAGCAGCCGACCAACCAAACTAAAGCACCCCAAGCTAGATCATGGCCTCTCAAAGAATCACAACCCCGATTTAAACCAATTATTGGTCTCCCAGATCTTGGCCCACCAAGCAATACTATTTCTTTGGTCGCAAAAGAACGTGGTGAAATCTCACAAGAGGAAAGAGTTAGAGGACAAAAGGAATTATATCCAGAATTGATTCAAGAAAACCAGTCAAGAATCAGGTCCTTTAAAGTCTGCAAGTGTCAGGAGCATACACATGATACTCGATATAATATCTGGAATTTTACTGGTCCTATTGTGAGCTCAACTTCCTTTTCTTAATACTATTACTAATTTCTTTAGGCGATTCCAAGTTGCGCAACTAATTGCCCATATTGTTGTTACTCACCAGAAGGTATTAACAAAAAGACTGGACAGATAAGAAAATACCAGGCTTCTACAATTCGAAAGCATATTGAAAATATCCATACTGTAAGTCATATAATATCTTATTACTTAATTATTTATATTGATTAAGATTAATAAATTTAGGTTGATAAACGGTTTGCTGGACTCTACACTGTTTCTAACACTGTTTCAAAATCCTATTTTCGGTATATTGAGGGAGATAATAAAGAGGCCTTTGAAAAAGCGAATTACTTCCACCAGATCTCTGAGGAACCTGAATGAAACCTGAAAACTGCTGGAAAATGAAAAAGAGACTTGAAGTTGTTGTTCTTTGTATTTGTTTTTGTATTATCCTAAAAATCCTATTTTCTTTGGGCTCTAATAAAGAAAAGAAATTTTAATCATATGATCTGATGTTTGTCTTTGATTCTACCTAGATAGGTCTTTAACCGATTTATTGATCTAAAGATTTTCCTAGAAAATATTCAATTATTCTAGAAATTACTTTTTCGACAATAAGGTCATTTTGAGCTACTTAATCTATGAAGTTTCCCCTAAGTCCTCATTATCTTTTTCGATATTTTTTATTCTCTATCAAGCTTATTATGGCCAACATAATAGTTAACCCAAATGATCCTGACGATATTCCCACAGATACCCCTAGTGGTCATTGGTGGTATAGTAGGATAGATGGGATACCAGGAAGCTTTGTGTAAGTATAAGTCTCAATATTGATTCCTGACTATCAAGATAGAATAGTACTAATCTATCTCTTATTTTAGGAACCCTGTTAAAGTTTGTAAATGTCCAGAACATCCAGCACAAAGATGGCCTTGTCAAAACGCAATAATCGAGATTCATGGTTGTGTTCAACGATGTCCTTATTGCTCTTATACACCAATAAGTACTGGGTGTGTAGCAGCACCAATCCGAAAACATATTAAAATGTCACATATTGTGAGTTAAATTTGATATTACTAACATAACTCAATCTAATATCTATTAGAAACCAAACCATGGAGGTAAATGGAAGGGACTTCATGTCCTAGACGGTCGGAAAACTGCAAGAAGGTGAGAATTGATTATCGAAGCCCTTTACCATCCCTTACCATCCCTTACCACTCCTTACCATCTTTTACCATTACTTACTAATATATATATCAATTTTCTAGAAAAGAACGCAGCCATAAAAAGGTCGAAGATGAAGAAACTGCTGGTGTAGGCCAAGAAAGTGACGAGGAGGAAGAAAATGTCTTACAACTTGCAAAAACGAAAAAACGAAAAAGAAAATCAAGATTCTATAAAGATGACACCGATTCCGACGATGATAGTCCATCTGAATCAGCAAGAGACCGGCGACAGCAAGACAGAAATAAAAGACGGAAGCGACAAGAACGAGAAGATCGACTTCAGAATGCAAAAGAACAAGAAGAAAAAGAACAAAAAGAATTTGAAGAACAAATGGCTAAGATTCAAGCTCAAAAGAAGAAGAGAGAAAAGGAACTAGCTGATGCTAAGAATCCTAAATCTAAGAGCATATCTTCAAGTTCTGTCACGAAGGAAAGAAAAGGTAAAGAGAAAGCTGACATTGAGCTCCCTTCAGAAGCTGAGTGTGATAGCTTTGTTCGTTGGTTAGAGTCGCGGACGAAAGATGGTAAAAGTTCTGGGGGGATTTGGGATTTTCTGAAGCGACCTGAACTTCATATACCAGAACTTGAAGATAGACTTGATGAGTTGATAGATGAAGCATCTATTAGAGTGGATATGGAAGAGGATAGGAAAAGAGAAGCTAAGAAGAAAGAAAGAGAGAAGGCGATTGCTCGTGCACAAGCAGAACTTGAAAAAACGGATAAAGAAGGGGCGAAGAAAATAGCTGCTGAAGAGGTAAAGAAAAAGGCTGCTGAAAAGGCTGCTAAAGAAGCTGCTGAAATTATTGAGGATGATGAGGATGATCTAGGATCCGAGGAAGCAGGAGAATGATAAATAGTAGTGTAATGGTGCTTAGTGATTAGTGCTTAGTGCTTAATATTTTAATTTTAAGGTTTTTGATATCAAGTGATTTAAGAAAAGACTATTTAAGATGTTTATTTTTATACAGATATCCTTAAAATTAAGATTTATAAAGATATTACATTTAATTTGGAAAGATAATCGTTGATATGTTTCAAGAAATCATAAAATCTAGTAAATAATGGTAAGGATCAGTAAAAGATGGTAAAAGATAGGAATCGATTTGCAAGGACTGAGATGTAAATAGATACAGTCTACAGATATATATACAGATATAGATATATTGTTATGAAATTTTATAATTTTAGATGAAAACTTCAAAAAATGATAATAAGTTCCTAAAACCAGTTCCAAAGTATTAATCTTAGGAATTCCTTTAATAATTATATCTATATTATCAAAATCTGAATTGAGTTGACTGTTTTATTGTTGAATGAAGGAAGAAACATTTTACAAATTCCTGGTAAATTATCGAAAATTGAAGCTAGGTGGCGGGGTGGTAGGGTTGAAGCACCGTAAGTCAAATCTTGCATATTACCACATAAGATGGCTATTTACCACTACCCGACGACCTTTTTTTTTTAGCTCCCCGACAAACTTATTATGATGTATCATATTACCCACAAAAAATGAAATACAGAGTTTTTATTGGCCGATAAGACGAAAAGTTCGTCGGGTGGTAGGGTGGCGGGGTCGACCCTGCCACCCCGCCGCCTGTATACTCCCTGCAGCCTCACGTGATGTCTACACCGATATTACTGAGGACCTCCCCCTCTACGACTGCCTCACGAGAGTCAGTTCTTGCCTCACGAGAGTCATTTGCTTGTCTATACAGGTAGTTCGTCATCTCTTGCACAGTCAAGTCTCGTTTTTGTCCCTCCCGCCTCCCCTCTATATATAGAATCTACTATAATACAGACACATTGCCTCCTTACCACGGAGCGCGAACGGCCCCCATCTGACGCTACGTTCTACGATCGCAGCGACAGGTGACCCGTTATGGCCAAACTACACTCTTCTTTCTCCACTTAGCCGCGTGAGGTCACCAATAAACATCTATTAAATATTCCCAAGAGCACAGTTCTGACTCCTTAGTCTACATAACTAGTCATGACCACTTCCAACCATCCGGCTAGTATATCTCCGGATGATTACTACACTACTCTTTTGATAAGTAATGATAAAGCTTTTATCATCCACCTGGCTGGACAATGGACCCCGGTGAACTCAAGTATGAGAAAGACTGAGCCATCGAAGGTGTCATTCTTGGCTGAGATCGTTAATATGTTGAAGATAATGAAGGTAAGAGAATGAAATGCAAGAAGATTCCTGGAGCTTACTGGAAATGTAGTAGTGTTGTTCCTACCTGATTTGAACCAGAATTAATATTGTACGGACCCGTAGGGTCTCCCATGTAAGTCTACATAAAGACTAACTTTTCGTGGCTACGGAGAGAGTTAGTAAGAGGATGTTCTCCCGTCATCACGGTGATCACTTGACTTTTGTAATATACTCGGAAATTGGGGCTGGATATTTCCTCAGATAGAAAAAGTCAGTGAGGGAAAGCCCAAGCCATGATGATGCCAGATTTCGAGTTTGTAGAATTTGGCCAGAAGAATGATGGAGGACCTACAAGGTACCTAGATAACGTTTTTGTTCTGGAATTTCTAGGTATAGACAGATTTGTAGAGATACTGAATAAAATGATGGATAGCAGCCAAAATGGTCTCATTTCCCCGAGATGGGGAACTTAAATGTAGAAACTTATATGCGAGAATAGTGGTGGATAATTGTTTGGCTAACCAGAATCATAGAATTTAAACTTTACAGATTAAGTTAAGCTACTAGACTTGATTAGGCGCAATACTAAATCTGGGAATAGTATATTGTCTCGGTATTGCCCTCGACTTGTTACTTTTACTTCACACTTTACCTTTACTAAGTTCATTTCACTCATAGACCTTTCCATTCCGTACCACTTCACATCCTCCATTCTTAAACAAAGCATCTATCTTCTTCTCATTAATTTTCCACAAATCCTTCCATTTTGCTTAAACCATATCTCTATTACAATGTCCCGTCGGCCCCCATCGCCTCAGCAGCTGATGAGTCCTCCAGACTCACCGGGTCAAAGACGTCGCTTTCTACGAGAATCCGATGATGCAGAGGGAAATATGTCTATTGAAAGATAACTTCATGTAATCGATTCTCACAGATCCACCACCGACATGGCATTGCCGCCCGGTCCTTTCCTTATTACGCAATTTTCCCCAGAGAAGGATCCCACAACGCCATTTCGTGATGAGATCTGTTCTGCGATGCGAAATTTTGGACTCACTCCATTTTCCAGGGTTGGTAAAGCATCAAAAGAGGGATATGAGGATTTCAATCTACTACAAGTTCGTATGAAGACTGTGCGACCTCTGCTGTGATCCGCTATGGGCCGATAAAAGACGCGATCCAGCAAGTTCTCCGTCGCCATCACATTAACTTGGATATTGAGGTGGTCAACGATGACCTTTCAGTGCCACCAACTATGTCCTGTCTGCCTTAAGATGATAAGCTTGTTAAAGAGTACGAACGAAAGAAAGAGGAAATATACCGGCTAGTCAAAAGTAGGACCCCAAACTCTTGGCAATTCATTGTTCCCCTTTTCGTTCTACGACCAGACACCGGCGGCCGCCCGATGCTTGTGATATTCGTTAAGCAATGGTCAGTGGAAGACTGGTCCGCCCTACGTTGCGCTCTTATATATAAGCTTAGGGCTGTTGATGAAGGACGTGTCGATATTGAATTCGCTCCGTGTAAAATGAAGCTTCTAGGGCTTGGAAAATTCTCTTCTAACCAATTTAAAGACACGCGACAAATGGGTGATTCAATCGGTGTTCGTTATGATGGCAGCACTGGGACGCTTGGTGGTTTCACGACTCTTACTCGAAATGGCCAGATACACCGTAGCTTCCTCACACACTGTCATGTTGTTAGACCATGAATCGAGCAAGATGGATGCCATCTAGATCGATTTGGCTACTCACCTGATCCTCAGAATCAAACTCAGAAGATCAGTATTGAAGCTTTCGCACAAGTCGACCGGAATGAGACCTTGAGAGAGATCCTGCGCGAACGAGAAATATGGGTTAAAGATTGTGATATTAATATTTACTGTAGTAAAAGAAAGTTGAAGCGGGAGTTTCGTTTCCAACGTTTACTGCAGTAAAAGCGAACAAAAAAATTGTAAGGTATGGTAAAGTACGAAGTATGAAGAGCCTTACTAACCTCTACTCACCACTCGTCGATAACACTGATTCCTACGAATAGTCAATATGGGATAGCTGCAAAGTCTGTTTTTCATTCATGTTATGCACTAGCTATTTATAAGACGAAACTCCTCTACTGTCTAAGACAGAAGAGACGGCATCGCCGTTTGCAAAGCGATGCAGCCCGTACAGGGATACTTTTTGTTCCGATAGTACAGCCTAGTCCTCCGAGTTGTCCGAGTTGTGGCTCTAAGCTATGGCTCTCATGCGTTGAGAGCCTTGTTTCTCAGACTGCTATCGCAACAGTTATCCTTAGGATGCATTGGAACCTTACTGTAACGGCGTACAGAGGAACAAGTATTGGAGAATAAGATTTCCTCTGGAATGATGCGAGATCTCATTAAGACAACATCTCGGGTTCTCGAATAATGATAGAGATCAGCGGGAGAGAGTGTCGGTCAACAGATCAACAGGCATCATAGCCACCAAATAGTGGAACCCTACCATATCCATATGCTGTCAGCCTGCCGATGGATCGCGCATCAAGATATTTCTATTCCTATCCCCTTGTTCAGAACACGAGGTGATCTCCGCGGGTATAGAGTACCTACGTATATTCTAGTTACTACATCTTCAGGCGGCCCTTGAAGGATTAATCGCTATATGACTTCGATATACTGCTGATCCGTCTTTAGCCACACTTCTCCACATCTTCTCTGCCTAGGGCCTATTATATAATTCCTCTCTTGGTTTACTTAGAATCAACCTTTACACTTGATAACGAGCAGGAAACGGCCAAACGCTTTTTAGAAGACCCGATCGACTATGGCCAAGTCATGTTTTAGACAAACGATATCAGGAGGATGCTGAAGATTGCGAACATCAATTATATCAGACGCGAAGACAATAAATCAAGTTCCGCGTGTTCCGAATTTATCTTGTGGAGATCCAAAACACAATCTCTAAATTAGCCTCTGCTGCTAGAAGCGTTACGCTCATTGTGTTAGATGGAAACTTGATTGCATTTATGATGACTGAGATGATTGATGTCAAGAGCTTAGCCAGGAGCCTGGAATTGCAAGTTCTACTGTACGTGGCCCTGAATCGCACCAATGCGCTTGCAACTCTTCTTCCCACAACAAATAACAAGGTCACCTCGTCTGCATCACAGAGAAATTTAAAAGATGAAGGTAAAGATGTTATTGTTGTTGAAGCCTCCGAAACAGATACATAGCGGATACTTGCGGCCATATGAGTACATTTCTGAGCATTCTAACTCTTGGGGATCGCTGTGAAGATCTTGCGATACTTTTTCAATTCCACTTCCTTTACCTCTCAGCAATCTTCTTTCGCCCTCTGATCAGCCAGTAGAAGAAGAAAGTCGCAGTGATATTCACCCCCACGTATGCCGCTAGGATCCCCAGGTCCCGCCATCGCGTCTGAACATCCATCCCCATCTCCCGTAGCGTGACATTGGTATCTGTCACCGCACAGAAAATACAGTCTTTACCCGTCCCTGAAAAAGTGTCAGAATTCAGGACCTTGCCTCCCGCCGTGCGAATATACGCCGCAAGGTAAGTCCCGCACGATTCAGACCCATTTTGTGCCGGCAGGGGGATTCGCAGGAGATCGATAGCGGCACAATGCAGCGGCGCATTCGCCAATGCCGCTTTGATCATCCCACCCATGAGATAAGTCACCGGATTTACACGGTACATAAAAGTCCAGAAGCGGGGAATCGCGTTAGGCTGGACGAGAATACCACAGAAGAGGAGACAGAGGGTGAACAGCAGGTTGGCGATGTTGACCGCGACGAGGGGGTCATGCATTCCCGCAGCGATGGCTTGAGAGAGGGTCGAAGCAAAAATAAAAAACAGCCAGATGAGAATGAAAGTGAGGATGGCCCGCTCGTTCATACCGAAGGTGTCGCTGTTCTCATTTAGTCCATTCCGCCAGAACCCTGTTGGGTAATACCAGGCTACGAAGACAGGAATCGAGGTTAGGGACTGCCAGACGAGCTCGACTATCATGTTTGCCGTGACAAAGATAGGCCAGCTGTACGTTTTGGATTGTCGCTCGCGGGCCTCATAGATCTCGTAGTTGTCGATGAAGCGAGGGATAATCTGCTGATTGACGGTGTTAAAAATGATTGTGAGAAGAAAACACGAGAACATAGAGCTGGTAAGTCCTTGAACGCTATGATCGAGCATCCAAAAAGAAAGACCATTGAAGAGTCCCTAGTGAGTTGTCAATGTTAGATCAATGTATACTTTTTGTCAAAGGTGAAAAAGAAAGTCTCACAGAGCCAATGCAAAGGACCAATTTCGAATATAGGTAAGTCGGTTCTCGCCAATAATCCTGGAACATGCGGTAAGTGACCTCCAATAATTGCGTTTGACAAGAGGCAGCGAATTCATATTCCTCCGCAACATTGGGGTAAACCGTAAGTGCGCTTTCTCCCATCGAAGCAATCTCATTTTTGACTGCCTCTGCCTTCGAGCTGGCCTTCCAGACACTCGCCCAGTCGTGCGTTTGTTTTGTTGATGAGGAGGATGTGACTTCAAGCAGCCACTCGGCGGGATTTTCGCCCTCATAGGGAACGCGAGCTCCCGAGCAAGTAAAGTAATCAATCAAGGTCGATGCGGAACAGCCTAAATCGCCGAAATACAATGTTTTACCCTCTTGCAGGAAGAGGAGCCGATCGAACATTTGAAATAGCTCTGCGGAAGGCTGATGAATGGTACACAGAATGGGCTGCCCATTATCTGAGAGCTTCCTGAGTAGATTACAGATCGACCAAGCCGTCTGACTATCCAGCCCTGAGGTGGGTTCATCAAGAAAGAGCAGCTGCGGGCGAGCGACCATCTCCACCGCAATCGTCAGACGCTTGCGTTGTTCAATGTTGAGGCCCTTGCCGGGGACGCCCACAATCGCCTGAGCGTACGACTCCATATCTAGCATTTGTAGCACGGTGTCCACGTATGCCAACTTCTGGGATCTTGTTATATCCATTGGTTGACGGAGAAGAGCACTGAACTCTAACGCCTCGCGCACCGTCGCCGTGGGGACATGGATATCGGTCTGCTGGACGTAGCCTGTCTTGCGCTGGAAGCACCCGTCGCGCGGTCGACCGTCAATTCGGAACTCCCCATGCACGTTCCCCACAGATTTACGATTCGCGAGGACGTCTAGCAGGGTGGTCTTTCCGGCCCCAGTTGACCCCATTAGGGCGGTCAATGTCCCACGATTTACCCAACCATCAACACCCTCCAGAATGTGGGAAACCTCTTTCTGATTGTCAACCTTGATATCGTAGCCGACATTGCTCCACCAGAACGCCAACGACTGCTTGCCTAATCCTTTGGCAGTCACTAACTTTTCCTCCGAAGATGAAGGACCAGGGCCGACCTCTTCGTGAATCTGGAACGAGTCCATCTCGACGCTCTCTTCGTCTGCTAGGGGAGGACGAACAGTAGAATCTTTCTGACGGAAGATCAAAATATCCCCCTTGGACCGCTGCGCCTGAATGTATTCTGCTGCGAAGAGATGCACGACACAGAAGCCGACCATCAAAGCGAACAGGATGCCGAGATTCCGCCACATATGGTCAATTCCATACCCATATTTGAGCTTCAGGTACTGATTCCCATCTACCCAAGACTGCCCAGCTACACTTCCCACAGCTGAACAAACTTTTCCATCCAGGTTATTCTCTGAGTATGTGGGTCCGGACGGGACGAATGTCGAGCATGGGAATTTGCGGTTGCGAAATTCATTGATCATGAGGCTTTCGTTGGCGAAGGCGATTGGGTTGAAATACCGAATCCAACTCAGCCATGGAACTTGATCAGCTGGGGTAATAACAAAACCGGCATATATGATGAAGTTGAAGATCATTATGGATACCGGAGCCAGTGACTGTGCGTACGTCCGCGAGATGGACCCGACTGAGCGGAAAATCATGGACATGGTCACCATGACTACCAGTCCAAACAACCAGAAGGTAAAGAATGCCGAAGTAGTCCGGCGTAGGTTTGTGAGGAAGTAAATCGGCACATTAAAGCAGAGCGAGGTGAGGGCCTTGACGGGTAGGTCGGACAGCATGGAGGCGATCCCTTCGGCCACTGGGTGGTAAAAGGCGTAGCTGCTCTGCTTCTCCACGATTGGCCGCTGCGCCCATAAGCCGTTAACCTCAAACGCCGGCAGGCAGGAGTTCATCATAGTAGTATAGAAGATCAAGATACTGCGTGTCTCAAAGCTCCCCGTGCTCTCCGCTACATCATAGAATAGAGTTCCCAGAATGATGGCGAGGATAGTATTGCCCACAGCTCCAGAAATGAGACCTGCCATGTTGTGTTTTGACCGAAGGAAAGCTCGAGTGACACAGGCATGAGTCTGATGCATGAAGGTTGTTGGATAAGAAGAAGATGGCGAGGTTTCTTGGCGCCGCCCGTTATTGTATTCAGCCACCTCTTTCCTCAGAGCGAGGCACTCTGGGCTTCGTCGCCATGTCAATGCGAACTCATCAGGAGTTCGAGGGGCTGAGCCTTCGGCTTCTGACCGGACCAGGCGCTTGGCTGGATGCGTCAGTGAGGTCAAAAAGTCAGCCGTCGTCGCCCCCTCTGGTCGAATGAAGCCCAATCGCTCAAAATAGCCGGCTGCTCCTGAACTAGTGCCGAAATAAACCTGGCGACCTTGATACAGCAGCAGCACCTTGTCAAATTGGCAATATAAGGCTTCAGGAGCCTGATAGATGGTCGTCATCACGATCAAGCTCAAGGCATCCGTCACACGGCGCAGTATTCGCACGATATTCAGCGCTGTAGCACTGTCAAGCCCACGGATGCTGTTATCAAAACACTGAATGGGACACCCACTGAGGAAAGCCTCGGCGACACTCGTCCGTCGTTTTTCGCCGCCACTGAGCCCGCGTACCAGGTCACTACCGACTTGAGTGTTCAAAACTCGCTCGAGTCCGTAGATAGAGGCTGTCTGGCAACTGATGATCTCTACTGATTGCGTGTGCGGTCTCATTTCAGCTGCAAAGGCCAATGTTTCCTGAAGCGTCAGCTCCGGTAAATGCATGTCGTTTTCTGCGAGATATATGGTGTCGCCCCAGTACCGTTTGTGCATCTCGCGAAATGGGGTTCCTACGAGATCACGTCAGTTAGTCATCTCATCCAGAGCAAGAAAGGAAAGATAGGTAGGTACGCACCATCATATTGTATCCCACCAGCCTCTTTTTCCACCACCTCCACCCCATTAACGTATCCCGCCATAGTCTTCAGAAAGGTAGTACAGCCACTCCCCGGCCGACCAAGTACCAAGAGCATCTCACCCGGTCGGACCAAGCCATCCAGGTCTCTCAATATCCGCACCTTTTGACGCGGGCCCCGAATACCTACTATGGATTTGACGATAGTTGGTATCAGTTGGATGTAGCTAGCGAATGTAGGCTGGAATGAATTTACTTCCATGTAGCCATTCACGTCGACCTCAGCGAATGAAACTCCGCGTGGCTGACGGTTGGGAGAGGAGTGCTCTTTTTGCCGCTGTTCCTGGGCCACCCATTGTTCTAGAGGATCCAGTAAGCCATCTTCATTTGTTGTGCTTGTCATACTTTCACTTCGTTGGGGGTAGACGAAGAGGCGTAAAATAAAAAGATGGTAATAGGCAGATATAGGGGGAAATGTGTCTCAAGAGGGGTGAGGTGAAAGGTAACAGGGGTAAACTAATTTGGCACATTAAAGCACATGTTTTGCACCCGAACTATTTTCCTCCACGGATCCATAAGACCCTAAGGGTGCCAAGGCCTTGCAGCTCAAATGATCAAGAGTCAGACTTAGTCTGACAGTTGCACTTAGTCTGACGGTTGCACAGACTTGGTTGGTGGGCAGATATTTACCCGAGTCGTGCAGACATATAGGAAGTCAGGTCTGTGGCATAAAATCTGGGGTTAGAGCCCGCTTGTTGATATGTCTACGTTCCAATTTTCCAAGGAACCGTTTTCAGGCCTCCCATTCATAACAAACTCTGATATCATGACTGTCTCGAACGATATGATTGATACGGCCAATACTAAAATGGGATCTGATGTGCATGTCGGTTGCCTAGAGCTGAAGGCAGGAAGTTGACAAGTATCATGGTATACTGATGCATTGATATGTGTATATATTATTCGACATATCTGCTTTTCAAGAAGCAACCAAACTTCTTTCTCTGGAAACCTGCCATCATGCTAAGTCCAGTAGCTTCCAAAGATGCAGTTTTTTGTCTTCTACTCTTTGTACCTTTTTGCGTGAGCTATTTTGTTTCATTAGGTCTTTATCATTGGGCCCATCGATCTGGTTCAAGCAAACATGCACGGGCTGTCCCATATCTTCCAGCGGTCATTCCACTTTTAGGGCACTCAATTTCTTTCCTGTTTGATGGACCGTCATTTGTCAAACGAGCAACGTATGATTTTGTTGCTGCCCTAGTGAGATAGAAATGACTAATTTTCAGATAGTTCATATGCGGGCGAGCTGTCCTGTGCCAGAATTAAATTTCCATTTATGGAGATATGCCTGCTTCAGGAGCCCAAAACCGTGGCCGCTTTGTGGAAGAGTAAAATGTTTTCCAGCCCGATCGTTATCTATGTCGTCGCCTTGAAGACTCTCTTCGGAATGAAAGACAAAGCACGGGAGGCGTACGCGGCCGACAACTCGGGGCCCCATCGAAAACCGCACCCTAAAAGCCAGGTTGCACCGTACAATCGGGTTGATTATTTGACACATGACTCCCTGCTACGGGGATTGATTGGTCCTGGGCTACTGCCCACGTTTCAGCGTTTCCGGGGCATCTTCAAAAAGCAGACTATGATGTGTTTGGACAGGCAGGACCAATCTACTCAATGGGTACCGATGCCTGACATGCTCCAGTTCTATAAAGATCATATAGGTCGGGCAATCCTTGAGTCTATCTTTGGCCCGCTGCTATTGAGTGTCAATCCCACCTTCATGAAAACGCTCTGGGAGTTCGATGAGGCATCTCCGGTCTTGGCAAGATCGATTCCACGATGGCTAGTGCCTCATGCCTATCGCTGCCGCGACTCATTGATTGAGCAGATTCAGAACTGGTATAAGTATGCGCGGGCCCAGTTCCACGACTCGCTGATTACCGAGGATGGAAACGATGACCCCTGCTGGGGATCTGAGATGATGCGCGAGAGACAGCAGTTCCTTCTCGCAGTTGACGGCCAGGATGATGCATCGCTAGCATCAACAGATCTCGGCCTGATATGGGTTTCGGTGACAAATCTGGTTCCGTCAGCCATGATGACGCTCCTTCACATATTTGCCGATCCGGTGCTTCTACGTCGCGTTCGGGAAAGTATGCGGGACGAGGTCATAGTTACCAACAAAGGCGCGGTCGGCGAGGTGGCAGAAGTGGAGATTTATATGGAAAAGGTGATTAAGAATCCCCTATTGCAGGCAGTTTACGCCGAGACTCTTCGCCTCTACGTCCAGGCGTTCGTGACGCGCAGTTCCGCCCATGAGCCGGTTGCCGTGAACCAGTGGTGGCTAAACCAGGAGGATGTAGTGATGGTCAACTCCTACCCGAATCATATGAACAAGAAAATCTGGAATGAGGGTCCCAATGGAGCCTATCCTGTTGACATCTTCTGGGCGGATCGGTTTTTGCGGGATCCACAAGATCCACAGTCCGGACCGATGGGCGATCGAGGTTATCAAGATGAAAAGGTGGAAATGATGTCGGAGGGCACCAAGCCCTTCTTCACACTTTCAGGGCTGGAGGGGCAGTGGATCCCCTTTGGTGGTATGTTTTGTTGACTTTTCCTTGAGATTTTACGATACTAACATAATTTTTTTGGTTTGTAGGCGGGAGCTCGGCATGTCCAGGGCGCATTTTTGCTAAGCGAGTTATCCTCTACACTTGTGCCTATTTTGTTAGCCAGTTTGATATTTCTGTTCCATCTTCGACTTGGGAAATGGATTCGTCGGCATTTGGACTGGGAACACAGAAGCCAAAGCGTAAGATTCCCTTTGCGATTCGCCGGAGGATACTTCCCCTCGAGGAGATGTAGATGCGGTAATAAATAATACAGCCACTATAGCAGGTGGTATATGAAGACAGATAATTCAAAGCAACAATATTTGCACAGTATTTAGGAATGATTTTACATGGGCTGCTTTCCATTTATTTCTCATAGGAAGCATCATGCTCGTATCAATGAAAAAACAAGAATAGATAGAAAACGATCTCATCAAGAAAAAAACATTTGCTAAGTACTCAGCACTTGTGGCCTTCAACGAAGGAAGTTTAAGATCCTAAGTGTCGATAAATTCGGCATGGTATATACATCAGGTCGACTGGCAAGATGACCACGGGCTCGACCTTTTCCACGTAGACAAAATTTTGAACAGCGCTATGACCACTCTCACCTTCAGCAGGAGTAGTGAATGATATAGTATGCAAACTTGAATTATCGTGCCGGCAATTGAAATCTTTTACGTTGGCGAGCAGGTGCTCGAAGCTTGGGTTAGTCCGAGCCGGTGTGATTTCGGTTTGATTTGATCAATGGCTTATTGGAAAAGCTTTTATGCCGTTTATAAAACATTTAAAAAAGGGGCTGCTTCTACTTCTGAGACGCGAAGAAGGATCGGAAGGCACTCGCAGCCGCGAGGAAGACGCCCAGGTTTGCGCTCATAGTGATCCAGAACACCTCCCAAACGTCATCAACAGTACCACGATATATAAGTCCAGCACAGCGAGTAATTGAAAGCGCAACAAGAAAGATTGTGAGACAAAGGGAGCTCATGAAAGCCAGTTTCTGGGTCAAATTTATGCGAACCTTCCAGAGAAGCCCGGTAGGAATCGCCAGAACTTAAGATTAATTAGAGCCAATTATTAGCTCATGCTGGAACATAGTTCAGAGTTTTAGAGAAGGTTGTAGGACTTACTCATAAGGTCTCCTATAATATCCAAAGTGATTTGAGCAGCTGAATATCGAACAAGGCGATTCATATACCGTCCGCTGGAGCAATACACTAAAAATTGCATTAGGACTGCCCATTTCGAAAGAAAAAAGACGAAAAGAGGAGGATAAGGAGAGCGAATATTTACTTGCTTGGGCACCCCAATAGGGACAACTGACATAGTACACCGTGGCACCAAAGATTATAGCAACGACATTGACGACAAAAACAATCCACCAGTATATTTTCCATGCGCGCAGGCGATCAGTCAATCTCCAAAAAAGTGCGATGAAGAAGAATTTCACAGCGGATATCGAGCACCAGCTGAGTATTAGAGAGGCCGTAATCCATTTGTGGAAGTCCTCAGATATTTCCACAACATTTGTAGGCGTCTCGACACCCTTAATCTCATCCTGAATGCCTGCCATCAAGTACATTGAGTCGATCACCTTACTGTACATGATAATCAGAGCTGCCAGAAGGAGAATAGTGGCCAATATAAGCAGTCCATCATCGATCTGGAACCATTGCTTCTGCGAACGAAACCGGATTGCAAAGCGGACAATAACCCCAATAAGGGCCAGTCCTAAGAAGAAGCTGATTGAGACCTAAGGAGCCGTGTTAACGGACCGTTCATTTTGCGGAAAATATAAAGCAAGCAAGAGCAATAAATACCAGGAAGGCTCCCTTATGGATTTGACCGGTATTATCTTGAAGTGCCATTTTGAAATATTTGCTTTTTTTTGTTGTGAGGATATCACGGTAAAGAAATGACATTTTTGTATCAAGCCGAGGTATAAAACATAGCCTCTCGAGGTCTGTATCGTCATACAGGATTAAACCTGAAGATGGGGGGCCTCCAGTATGACATACCTGGGTTTACCTTATTTAAATAGATGCTCTGCACGTTGGGTATCACGTGTGTAACTTAGCTCTCTATATCCCTCGCAATTCTCCGTCTATACTTCCTCCCCAGATATACTATTCTCGCGTTAGTTATCGAGAAGAATGATGTATTTTCATGATTCGTTGTTCAGTTTGGGCGTACACATATATGCGTATGATGGGTAGGTGGTGAGGTGAGCCTGCTAGGATACTGCTTACGGTTGGTACTACTATTTTCGAAATCGAAGTGGGCGGTATTACCAAAACCTTAAACCCTCACAGAACTTCCTCGCTCTCAGCTCTCTCTAGGTCTGCATCATCTCGTAGACCTGAAGATTGGGTAATTCCACTATGTAACGCGATGTGGTAATGGTTACAGCTGGCATCTTTCCCTCAGACATACTTTTGGGTGCTGAGGTAAGTATAGTAATTATTCACCGTCGTGTATTGTACGTTGCATACGGAATGGTGTAGTACAGCGGTTAAATAAGTGATTAGTTCTCCCGCTGGTAACCGTATCGTTGTCAGGCCTTTGTCGCGTTTGTTTCAGACTTCACATTTTCGTGTTTTCTTATTCTTTGTCTTCTCCCTGTTCTTCTCTCCTTAGTAACCACTGCAATTTCTACCAACATCCACATAAGTACTCTCAACATGGTGGACACAGCTATGGGGTCAGCAACTCTTGACTATCTTCGAGCCAACACAGGCCTGATAGTCCTCGCTTTGATTCTGATCGTGACCTCGCGAATTCTCTACTCAATGATTCGAGTTCGTTTGCAGTTCTACCGCCTCCATAAACAGGGCCTGGTAAGTATCATGCACCCCGGAAGATGGATAAACAAGCGTGAAAGATTAACATTATGAGTAACATCGGCAGCCTGTGCCTACATACACATATGCAGCTGGAAACCTTCCGATGCTGCCAGGCCTCCTAGCGAAACTTCCCAAAGGTGCACAACAATCGGACGCATTTACACTACTATCCTACAAGTTTCCCAAACACGAGAATTGCTTTTACATTGATGTCTGGCCATTTACACCTAAGCCCTTCCTAGTTATTACAAGCTTGGAACTCGCAGTTCAAGCGTGTCAGACCTATTCGCTACCGAAGCCGGCGTCGCTCGTCGATTACTTTCACCCTTTGACGGGAGGCCCGAATATGTTCACGACAAATGGTCATGAGTGGAAATGTTCCCGTGAACTCTTTAGTTCCGCCTTCAGTGCCAGCACAATAATACAGCAGACAGAACGTATTTTGCAAGAGGCTGAAGTTTATGTAGAGATTCTGCGGGAACATGCGCGCAAGGGCGATACATTTTCTCTGGATAGGTTGACCTGCGATTATATGATGGACATCATTGGATCGGTTGTGATGTAAGTTTTGGTTCTGTTAATGAGGGTGTACAAATCTAACCCAGACCTCCAGAAATGATCACCTCGATTCACAGCGCAGACAGAATCCTCTGGCAGTGGCGATGAGAACCCTCATTGAGTGGCACATTCAGGATGAAGAGATGAACCCGTTTATACGATGGAATCCAATCCGGTATGTGGTGGAGTGGTACAATTCACGTGTAATGGCCCAGTATATCGGAAACGCACTGGACAAGCGCTACGAGACCTGGAGTCGAAACAACCCTTCAAACCGGGCCAAGTCTATCATGGATCTTGTCATTGCAGATTTCATGCGTACCCGACCCACAGACCACAGACTGGATCCTGAGTTCAAAAAGTGGGCCACCATCCAGGTTCGAACCTTCTTATTCGCAGGACATGACTCCACTGCCGCAACAATTGCGTACAGTTTCTATCTCTTGTCTAAGCACCCGGAGATTTTAGCTCAAGTCCGTGCTGAACACGATCGGGTTTTTGGAATCGATACTTCCACCACGGCTCAGCAGCTAAAGGAGCGCCCGGAGTTGGTCAATCAGCTTTCCTTGACGTTGGCGGTAATCAAAGAGGTATTGCGTCTATTTCCTCCTGCATCTGCCTTGCGAGAGGGCCAGGTAGGTGTCGATCTGAAGGATAAGAACGGTACGAAGTACCCAACGGAGGGGTTCCTTCTTTGGATCCTTCATGGGTCAATCCAACGCAACCCGAATTATTGGCCGGAACCTCATGCTTTTCTTCCAGACCGATGGCTAGTCGGTCCTGGGCATACTCTTCACCCTCCAAAATATGCTTTTCGCGCTTTCGAACTCGGCAAGCGGGATTGCATCGGCCAGTCGCTAGCCATGTTGGATATCAAGATTACTTTAGTTCTCACGCTTCGCGAGTTTGATTTTCAAGACCAGTACCCGGAATGGGACCGACAGCACCCTTGCGCCGGAATCAAGACGGTTTTTGGCGAGCGTGCATACCAGGTTGCCCAAGGCGCATCGCATCCAGCAAATGGGATGCCTTGCCGAGTCATTCAGCGTGAAAGAAAAGCTACTCCATGATGTTGGCTGGAGTTCTAACGACAGAATCAAGTTGGACGAATGAATTGATTTTTTTCTTACATGTACAGAGTAATCCGAGCTTGTTCAGCCGCTCATGCAGGTGATTAAGAACCACACCTAATCGCAACATAACGTTCAAGTATTCACATGACTAGCCTCAAATCCTCCATTGTCAGCCAAGGCAGGATACGAATGAGCCTCAGGGGACATACTATTGTAGAACACAATCTTTTACTCAGAAGAGACAATTTATCCTTCTTCCGTTGTCTGATGTGATATATATTCTAAGTATGGCTTCTAAGAGCTTGAAGTTGAATAGATTTAAGCCAGCGAAATCATATAGGGTAGCAAATTTCCTCCAACAAGGTCAAACACGGCCTAGCCTTTGGGACAGGCAAATGCTGACATCCAGAGGATTATGGTCACACCACTAAGTCAGCATCCTCTTCATCGCTGCGCCTATACAAGTCCTTCAAGTGCGCAAGAAATAACAATTCCTCCAAAAGAGTGTCCAATAAAAATGATCTGTCGTCCCTTGATCACCAAATAGAAGATAGTTCCTCCGGTGTACTCAACATCAGCGTAGAATACCACCTTAGGGTCTTTTGAGCTAGCATATGGAGTCGCAGCGTCAACAGATCCAAAAGCCTGCCCAGAAAGTATGCTTCGAATAGCATCGATGTACCAGGCACAAAAACAAAAGTCGGCTTCTCGTTGGTACAGACCTTGACCGATGATGATTAAAATGTAAGATTGAAAGTTGCATCCTGGAAAAATTACAGAATAGTCAGAAGAGCAGAATGTCTAGAATTATAGACCCCAAAAGTGGGCAAAAGTACCAAAATGGGGTTCAATACTTCATGAGATTTAAAATTATGGGCGATAAGTCTTAATAATCTCATTGCATGTAACAGCCTGAACACAATTTTCGGACACACTAATCTCCTAGTGGATCCACCTCATAGCGGTTATGATGATCAGAGAAGGAACCAAGATGAAAGGGGATATCGTCCTAACCATGGCTCAACCCTTGATGTCAACGGAGTGCTCAGGATCATCCATCAGAAAGAAGTGTACTCCATACGTGCAAATTGTAGTACAGATTCCTTGGAAGTGGGAAAGGAGAGTCAAGTTTATGTGGATACTTATGAAGCACATCCGAATCTCCGTCCTGGATACATATTTCTAGTCATCGATTGCAAGGGTGGGGCCAACTTTCACGAACATCTTGTAGGCGTCGTGAATACGGACCAAGAATACATGTAAATTGTAGGCTATCTCATGATATAGCCGTGCTGTATATCGCACGTAGTGCGCATGCTCGGGCAACTGATATGCCCTTGATGATAATGATGACGAATGATTTTTTCCACTTCCACTTCCACTTCCACTACTTCGCACTTTCCCTCCCCCTTTAATTCAGTCCTTCCTTCATTTGTAATCTCCTATCTTTTATTATGACACCTCTACACAGCATCGACGCTCCTCGTGCTGCCGATTGCATCGAATCCGCTGTCGACAGCATCGACAATCCACGCGATCATCTCAAACCGCATGTTGATGATTCCTCCGTTCGCTGTTCTCCTCTTTCGAGCCGCTCTTACTCCCCTTCTGAAATTCTGCAGTACTACGTTACTACTTCCTCTGTCAACAAGACCGATACAATAGAAAAATTCCAAGCGGAAGTGCTCCGGGCGATAACACACAACACTCCTGGTGATCATCTCTTTACACATGTGCCTCCCTGCTGGGGTTTGAAATGCTTTAAAGAGCTAGACGAGTTTTACAACTGCAGGTACGTCGAACACTGCTATCCACTAACATGCTTTTGATCTGATAAGTATAGAAAAACTTGGAATAGTGTTGACCTCACCCTTCGAATTAAAACTATGCCGGCACAGGTACACGATTCTCACCATGGGTGGATTGGAATATCGATGCAGCGATGGGCAGTGACGCCAAATCTGTGGACGGAGGCCGAGGGCCTCCTCTGCGTCGCCCAAGTTGGTACAACCATTGAATACACTTCGGGGCCGTTAGTGGGTTCCAAGAAAGAACCTGATCTTCTGTTTGCAGTCAACCGACAGAAGTATCCGACATTTGCTATTGAGGCAGGCTGGTCAGAATCTGCCCCCCGCCTCATCCATGATAAAGACCTCCTGTTTAATGGCGCGCAGGGCGACACTCAAGTTGTCATCACAATTAAGTGGAGAAAGAATATCAACTATCAAGTTTCAGGAAGTTTGAAAGTATGGCGTTGGGGACAAGCCAGCCCGCTAGAGATGGTATGTGAAGGTCTACAAAATTCATCCAAAGCATGATAATAATGATCTAAACCGTACAGACCATCTTTCCCCGGCCTGTGAATGGCTCATTGGAGGAAATCCATTTATCTCGCAGTGAAGTCCTGGGCCAGTCTATTCAACCGGGACGTAACGCCAGTGATATTCTTCCCCTGCGACTAGACCATTTGCGACATATTGCCGCGGATAAGCTGGCTGTCATGGGTTTGACCCATACCTGAGTACTCCCATTTGTGCCGTTTGGAATTTCGTCTGGACTTGATCCTTACCGGACGCTGAAGTTGTTTGATTGATAGGTTTATTTTTATTTTTAATTCGTGAGAAGTGATAGTGCACCCTCAATTCAACATGTTTGATATCAAAGTTCTCTTTTAGTACCATGGGCTACCAATTCCCTTTGTTCTCATAAGTATTGAAATAACATTGTATAGAGATCAATAGGTTCGTGGGATGATTTAGCCGACTCTTTATTATTATGATTAATCGATGCGTCAGTCTCTCTAGACTGCTATATCAAATACCCTTCTAGGATATCTTCTATGATCCTAGATCCTAGACTCATATTGCGCAGTAAATGGCATGATATAGTCGTATACCTCAATGCAGCCATTAGATTTTTAAACACATGGGCGCCGGAAAAGGAATGTGGGAGAACTAGGATGACAAGACCTCAAAATCATTCCAAAAAATGCTTTATTTATCAAGCTGATAATCCATTTTCCGACTTACTACCTATGAGATTCTTTGTCGTACCTTTCCACACTGCTTGTGTCTCGTTCTACCTAGTGTAGTGGAGCCCTATGCAGCAGCACGTCGTGAACCAGGAACGCTGTCTGCAGGGGCAGAATCGAGTTATACCATTTATCTAGAAGTTGTGATAGTTACAGAATGGACACCTTTGACACACCTCTTGACTCCTTCACTCCCTACTCCCATTGATCTTTCTTTCGTGGTTGTGATGGTTGGTTTTTCTTGGCTGAATCGATTTGCACGTCCTGACCGTGCTGCTTAGAGTGTTCCCCGTTTCACTAAGTACAATTATGCACTTGTCCCCAGTGCATCAAATCCTCGTATAAATTGATCAATATCAATTCGTGATGTAGGCTCACAAAGGACCTTTGATAAAAGATTTAACTTAGCCTCAGTGTACGTATTTTTCCCAACGTTCTGAATCAAAGCTTCTTTCACATCTGCTCGACTGAGCCACACTTCATTATTAGAATCATCGTCAGGGACCACGAGATCTTTCCAAAGTGCCAACCAATTATCACCAGTCCAAAGAGACTCAGTCGTGATATATATCCATATCATTGCACATGCAAAGATGTCAACTTCCTTGCCATATTCCTGAAGTCTTATAATTTCTAAAATTCATATACTGTTAGCTCGCAGGAATATCTTCCATGGCTCAGACTGAACGGAATGTTAACTTACCAGGTGCTAAGTATCCTGTTGTTCCGACATTGAATTTTTTAGAGAGCTCATCATATGTCGCCGTATCAAAATCAGCGATTTTGGGAATGGTATTGAACATCAAGATATTATCTGGCTTGAGGTCGCGGTGCATAATGCCATTATTGTGCATTTCCTTTAAACCGAGAAGAATCCCTTTAAAAATTTGGTTGGCGTCCTTTTCAGGAATGTCGTACTTGTGTATATATGAACCCAAGTGGCCATTAGTCGCCCTTGGCATAACAGCAAATGCCTCGTGGTCCTTCTCGACAAAGAAGGTATCATGCATCGGAACAATATAGTCACTTTGAAGTGTAGTCTCTATATATGCTCCAATAATCATATTACCTGGCTCTCTACTTGCTGTTTTCACAGCAACAGGATAATGTTTCCAACTTTTTCCTGGTCTCTCGATACTGATTGTGGCTTCGAAAACAGCGCCGAATGATCCACTCCCGAGTTTATCTCCTAGTTCGAGACGCCTTTTGTGGAGCGCACAGTCAGCGCCTTCCATTTCAAACTCATATAAGTCCTGAGAGATTTCTCTTCCTATCACAACATCCGAAGGAACAGACATCTCCATTGATGGTCCGTCCCACGCCTCAGCTATCCATTCATGAAAAAGGTCCCAATCCTCGATAAATGATGGAAAGTTTCGACGTATTGGATCATTCAAGCCATTTTTTCCCCGTTGAAGGAGATACCGAGTTGACGGATGACGCTTAGCTAGTTCTGTCTGTGGTTCGTGTATCAAATTACCAGTTTTGATAGTTGGGGTGATAGTTGGGGCAGAGTAGATCGAGGATATCCAAAACGCACAAGTACTCAACAGAATCAGCGAGAGCCTATTATTCTGCATCTTCAATAAAGGTACCTTAAACACAGGCTCATTCAGAAAAAGGATGATTGAATTATCAGGAATGAGCCTTGGAAAAGCTTGCTGGCAGGACTAATTTATAGAATGGTTCTTAATCAAGTGAACCCTGATAAGCCTCTGCACTAAAGTAGTCTTATGACATGTTCCTAGATATTCGAAGGATTGAGATCAATGACAACAGATAATAATAGATCATAAATGGGGCAGCATTTAGGCTTCGGGATTTGGCCCATTGGTGGATTTTACAAATGCTCTGAGTAATACCCATTCCCGTTTTTTTTCATCTTAAAATGTCATGGAACATTAAAGCATTGGGAGATCCTTCTAGAATCCTGCCTAAGTGGTTCCACAGAAATAGATATCAGGATCTAAAGCTTACTATACACCTCGGGAGAGATCGACGTTCTAATCTCTGGGGCCAATTTACCTTAGTAGGGATGGGGCGAAAGAAATATACCCATAAACCTCTGATATAAGCTTACAAGTCAATTGATTCAGCCAATTACTTGATCTACCTGAGATATACCTACAGACTATTGGAACAATCTTGGAGTCTGTTTGATCTTACATAACAGCAATCAAAACCTTATTTCTCCATATGGGATATTCTTTCTATCCCTGACACCCTGATGTCTGCTGTTGGTATTGCATGTGGCTTTCCAGGGTTCACAAGACAATTTGTCTTTTCATTCCATGTAAAGGCAGGGCAGGGGCAAAGGAGATGAAGATGCGGGCAGTTTTGGGTCAAAACATGTTCTATCAATGGATAAACTTCATATGAGAGCAAGATGATGATAGGGACAATGGGGGTGAAGCTTATCAAGGCATTGACTGGATCATAGCAAATTTTGTCTCATATATACTTAGTGATGCCTCTAAAATCTTTTCATCTGCACTCTGTTATCCTACCTAAAGGGGTATCCATATTGCAGAGAAAATGGACCCAAATACACAACTGTTTGTTCTATCTTTCAGATCGGCGTATGCTCGTTTTTATAACATTGGTTTAACTTACATCTGAATCTCTCATTACGTGAAGTCCTTATACGTGAGAAGAAGCTTCCACACCATGTTTAGTAGTTCATCTAGCCTAGGGGCCTTGTCTGGTGGCACTCTCCGAATTATATTAATATCTTCTTATTCAGATATTAGTGGGAACTATAGTTGCTCTTTTGTATGGGCATTGGCAATATCGTCGAGGTTAGCATCTAGGGGGCATGGGGAGAAAGCTTCTCTTAACACCTATGCTTTCTCCTTGTTAGACTCTGATAACTGGTTGCTTATCTTAATTAATGCTGGGGTGACTCCGCTAGAGCTCTCTCCACGGTTTCTAGCCTATCTTGATACCCTTTAGAGACCACAGGGGCCATCTTTAACGGTGTCTTTGATCTAGGTACGGAAGCCCTGCTGGAGCGCTTTACCAATCACTTTACCTTTCTTGTTTCGTGCTGTCTTATAATCTTGGTAACTCCTGTGAGTCGAATCTTCCGAAAGTGATACCGTTTCCAGACATCCTGATCGCGCAGACTAGCAATATGGTCGATAAAGTCACAAAATTGCTCCTATACAATCCATACTGGTATGAGTTATAGGCTAGGATCTTAGGCAATGCATAAACCAAATTCAGATTGCACCAAGTGGTTATTCATCCGAAGATAGTCTAGGGCTGCTTTACGAAGACAGCTAATATTTAAATCCCCACGTGTGCCTACTATGTCTTGCCAAAACGCATAAGACATAAGATATCGTGGCAAGGGATTTATAAAGATTCGATCATGGATCCACACAAGCTAGAATTTTGGATCCTCGGTCACAACGATACTCCGCTGTCTCACAATTTGTTTGTGTAGTGGAGATATATTCGCGCTATCTTGTTTTGATATTCACCAGAGCCTATCAGCGATCTAATCTAAGTCTTTCGATCAGTTCTTTCTTGAGAAACTCCAACAATCCAGTTCGATCATTGAGTGGGACACACGGATATCCAGGCAGATATGGAGCTCGATTAGACCCAGGCTGAACGTTGCCCAGCTTGGAACACAATTGGTGGTGTTCAAGAAATGGCGGGGGGATCGGTGAGAGTGTGGCCTCATTCTGACCTTCTGGGTAAAATACAGTATCTGTAATTATTGTTGCAAAGTGCTTTTAACAAAAATGCGACCGATAAGACTGCTCTGTAGACTATATCTAGATCAAATGTCTAGTGAAAAGTGAATATGGCTGAGCAGTGAAATACTATGTTGTCAAAGACTCGGGGCATCCTAGTATTGAAGCATGACTGAGCAGAAAGCCCTGCTCCATGTTCGCGGTCTTATAAAGACATTTAAAGAGAATAGGAATTTACTGTCTGATGATCTAGATTATCGCTATCTGAAAGCGACCTTGGTATTTTCGACTCCAACGTCCAGACTTTGAAGCAATTGCTCAACCGATCAGTATTAGCCTATAATATGAAATACTCCGGTATCTTATACCTAGTTTGATAGATCTATTGTTGTTCTCCTTATATTATCTCCACCTTAAATGATATACAGACCCACAAGTGATCTATGGCAACAGTAGCCGATGCCTGACTGAGCCGGTGATTGGTTTTTGCTTCGGAGATTATTAAATCGGTCCTAGGAGTCGGAAGGACCTATGGACTACAGTCTTAGTCTCAGATGAAAAGTAGTATGATCTTTTGGTTCCACTTTCTGGTTTTAAAAGAACTGGAGAACAATGGTGGTGAGTCTCATTCATCTAGATTTATACTAACGAGAGATCGACTCAATCCTTAATAAATTCAATAATCTATTTCACTGGTTTATTTTCCCAATTTGCAGCACCTTGAATCGTTGATTACATATGTGCACAGAAAAATTGGTCTTTTTGCCGTGGGACTCCTTTTGCTTTTGCGTGGTAGATATGGATAAAATAACCGATGGGCGGGGCTGAGCTGACACTATCACCAGCTACTAAATACAAATTTACAAATAGAGAAGATGCCCCTTTTATGAAAAATCATCTCTCCTTAGTCCCAGGGACACATTTCTCTTTTTTTTTTTTTGCGAGGTTTGACCACTTCCGTCGATATCACTCTTTCGGATCGAACGGTGGTGACTACCCCATTTTCTCTCTCTACAATGAGGCTATTTAGGTGGAGAGGATTAACTCTTTTGCATGTCCTGGTCTCAATCAATTTAGTCTCAGCAACAATCCCACAACCAGCTGCTCTTGCCAGCGAGTCTATTGCCACAATCACCTCATCCTATGCCAGCACGGTTACCAATGTTGTGACATCAACCTTCTTGAACGTCGTATCCACCACTACTTGCATCGCTGGGACTAGCGCACCGACCAGCACGTGCTCCGATTATGTGTGGTCTTTGAGGGGTAAATACTATCAGGAAACATGTGACGCATCCGTCTATGCCACAACTACGATTGCTCAGTTGAGTCCTTATACCCATCTGCCTAACATCTGGGAATGCTATGTATACTGCAGCATTTTTGGTTCGCTATGCAACGGAGTTGATTACAATCCTTCATCTTCTTCCTGTGGCTATATTAAGTACACAACAGCCGCGACATTCATTTCGAAGTCAGGGTATCAAGCCATAGCAGTCTTTTCTACGGATCCATGCAGTGTGACAACTACTGAAACGGAAACCAACTATTTCACGGAATACTCAACCACTGATATTACGACTATATATACAATTACTGTCTCGTCAACTCCGGCCCCTACTAGTTCGTCTGTAGCCACCACCAGTCCCTCTGCTCAAATTTCTTACACTCCCTCATCATCTGGCTCTTCGAGATCCAGTCCAATATCTTCAAGTCAACATTTGTCTTCAAGTTCGCCTCTTTCATCGCCTTTATCGCCTTCATCGTCTTCATCCCTAATTCCAATTTCCACGCCCCATGTTGTAGCTACTTCAAGTCAACATTTGTCTTCAAGCTCGCCTCTTTCATCGCCTTCATCGCCTTCATCGTCTTCATCGTCTTCATCCCTGACTCCAGTTTCCACGCCTCGTGTTGTGGCTACTTCAAGTCAACATTTGTCTTCAAGCTCGCCTCTTTCATCGCCTTCATTGTCTTCATCTCTGACTCCAATTTCCACGCCTCGTGTCGTGACTAGCCCTAGTTGTTCCGCGAGATACCGGTCAACTGTATCGTCTCGGGCCAGCTCTTCCGTGAAACCACAGTCAGCCATATCATCTAAGCTCAGTACCCATTCATCGGCAACCACCACCTCGCTTTCCGTTGGCCGATCATCTGTTCTTCAGTCTCAAACCAGTGCCGTATATGTCTCTTCTAGCTCTAATGTTGCTCAAGTATCGTCTGTTACCACGCATGATTCAAGCTCCTTCAGCCCACCATCACAGTCACCTGTTTCTTCCAGCCATCAATTTACGCCTTCCGCGGTTATTAGCTCTCAATCAAGCAGAGCTCGGGCTCCTAGTTCGCCTGGATCTGTCTTGTCTATAACATCCACTACTCAACCCGCTCCAGCATCTACTACTTTGGAATCAAGCGGAGGCTTCACTATACCGACAGATAAGCCTACGCACAAAACCTCTTCGACATTTTCCCAAGTCATTGGCTCGACAGGTGGAGCTGCACAGCAAAGCTCCAGTTTTACAAGCGGCATGACCACGATTTCCGAAAGCTTCTCTAGTGAAATAGCTACTAGACTGTCCACAACATCCACAGTTTTGACCACAAGAGTTGCCACGGTCACAGAGTGTCCATCATCACAACCTGATTGCCCAGTTTCAGGTAGGAGTACTTTTGTGACCACTGAGACTTTGGTAGTTTCGACAACTGTCTGCCCTCTTACAGAGGAGCCGCGACCTACAACTGACAGCCAACCTAAGCCGGATAATGGCGCTACCACACAGGGTGGCCAATTCACTAACGGAGGATCGACCACTTCCACTATCTTTTCCACTCGAACGGCAACTATCACGGCCTGCCCATCCACAGTGACAAACTGCCCAGCTTCGGCCAAGAGCACCTACATGACCACGGAAACACTTGTTGTTTCAACAACGATATGCCCTATCACTGAGGAAGCTCACTCTACAACAACCACCGTTCTAAGTTCAAGTAGTGGTACTTCGCTGAGTAGCCAGTCTTTGCAAGAGGCATTGACCACTTCAACGGTGCTCTCAACAAGAGTTTCAGCCATCACAGCTTGTCCTTCTAGCGTAACAGATTGCTCGGCCCCTGAAAAGACAACTTTCCTGACAACAGAAACAATTGTGGTCTCAACCACTATTTACCCTGTTACAGGGCTTGATTCTGCTACCTCAACAGCCCAATCAAGCCCATCTCTCGTTGTCTCAGCCTCTTCAGCATTCCCCACCGTGGAATCTGGCATCAGTATTTCAGCCCCAGGCTCCGGGTCTGAGACTACACAATCTTTCTTGTCGCTGTACGGACAACCCAACCCGACAATCCGAACATCTTCCTCTACACTGCCTAGCTCTGGACCCAACAACGCTGCAGCCTACTCCTCTCATCCATACCGCTCAGCAGCTCCATCGAAGATTATTGCTAGTTCTCACAGCGCGAGCTCCGCCACCAGTGCCGTGACTGCAGTGTTCACCGGTGCAGCCTACGCGAACCACTGGTCAACAAACCACTTCATTGGAGTACTGATTTCGATGGCGGCTCTTGTTGTTGCGTAATAATATTGTACACACCCTTATCGGATCTACAACAATTGAAACGCGCAGGAATTTCTCTGAATTTCGTGGTCTGGTAATTGGGCTTTTAGCCTTTTTTCAAAATATTTAATAATTAATATAAAACTTGAAAATAATTGTTAAATGACTAAATTCAAGAGGCCAGAATAAAGGTTTGCCAAATAAGAATTTGACCGTCCAACCGTCATTGGTTGACGAAACTGAACTCTATGTAATGTAGGGAGGAAAACCTGCTTAAATACTGTCAAAGGACCGATCCCAAGTTTCGTTTAGTGCATTATTAAATAGTCAGCTCCCATACGCTCTTTACTACAGTAAATTTTACTGCTGGAAATACACACATATATATTCGACTACTCTGTTCCTATTTACTCGCACGAATCCACTATTCAGTTCTCATTTGGCAGAAACTGATAGAGTTAGACTAAGTATGGTTCATCCTAACAAATCTATTCCAAGTATTTTCACCACACCACACTAAGTACTGTCCTCAAAAAGTTATAGATACAGAAATATCTATATAGCCCTTGCACACCGATACCTAACATTGCTAGTCTCTACATTCCAGGGACCATGATAATGAATGAAAGCAGCAAAAATCAAGAATTAGCAGTGCATGCCGTGTCTTCACCAACGGTACTGATCTCGCCATTTGGCCAAATCCCAAGAAGCTTCAGATGGCCATGCTAACTGCCGGTACCAAACCGCAAGGCCCAGCAAGACGCATAATAATCGTTGTGATAGACACGAGCAATGATATCTTCAATACCCACAGCTACCTGCGCCTTGGTATGTGTTGTATAACACTGCCCAGAAGCATGGTAGTAGACTTCAATCTCCTTTGTTCGTAAGACAGTATTCCGCGAGACCAGACCGACTTCTTCATTGTCGAGAACCCTGGCATTGAAGTGCATATCGTTTGAGAAAATCACCAAGTTGTGGATAGCCGTCTGATTGTTCGTAAGAATGTCCTGGTATTCAATTGCTGTATCGTTGTTGGACCAAGCAGATGTGTTCACATCGAAGCCAAATTGGCGGAGGCTGTCTGACATAGTTGTCAGATTATAGGTTGGAACAAATTCAACTGCCCGTGATTCGACCTTCACGACCTCGGCCTGGATAGTACAACCGCTGCTTCCGGAGCTGGTAGCTGCGATGATCCGGCAATGGCCAACGCAAAGCCACTGATAGCGGTAGCGAAGTTGAGAGTAATCTGGCTGTTTTCCAGCGTCCAAATTTTTGTCACGTTCTCCGCGACAGTTCGCTCTTTCAAGTCCAAAGGATTAGATCCTGCATTGTCAACACTAGAGTGAGATAATGCAGATACGCCTAAAGCGATTGATAGAGCGGAAAGCAGTGGTCGAGTTCTCATCTTAGTTGCCTTTGTGAATCGATGGTTTACTTATCAAGAATGATGTTAAAGAGATGAGTTGTTCTGAATATTCACCGAGAGTCCATTTTATACTAAAAAACATGTCTAGGGATGATTTAGAAATCCTTATATTGTTCCACCATAGTGACCTAGATTTTGGCCGCGTAGTACATAGTACGTACGCTATATACTAGATGTACTCTACTAGATGCACTCTGCATCCATTTTTTGCCGCACTCCACTCTACTTCACCTCGAATTCTGTTAGAGCAGAAATATATGACAGGCCACTCAAATTCCCCATAATTGGATGGTGTTGGAATATAGCCTTAGAAATAAGGTTATCAACACAGATAGAATGAAGGTCAATAACCATGGAGCATATATATAGCTTAGTTAATGGAACGTCATTTACAACATCCTCAATTGAACTTATATCTCAATACTGTAGTATTACCTCTGAAGTATGAAGCTGAAAGAGGAGCCGCTATAGTCATTCCAAGGTTCAGTTATCTGATAACTATTTCAATCACACCCAGGTATCGGCCGATAAAGTTGAGTCCACACTTCCAGCTAATATAGTAATTAAAGCCCGCTCGGCAATTGTATGATTACTTGTAGAATATCAGCGTCTTTACCCTAAAATGCTTTGATACCTGCGTACTATAGGGACGGTAAAAAATGGAACCCTAGTACGAATTAGTTCCGGCTAAAACTACCTAATCTACACTAAGGTAAACAACGCGTGAGTGTATTGAAACAGTTGATACTCTATTATTTTGAAGGAGTAGCTATATTTATGCCCGGAAGGATAGTGTCGGTTGACTAGGTTATTACCGAAGCAGACAGCTATTGATATCGTTTCTGTACATATATAATAGGTGTATGCATATTGGGTAAAAGTGAAGTGTCATTCTAAAATGCTCAGATGAAGGAAGATATAGTAGCTGCCATGCCAAGATCACATGATCTTGGTATGTCAGCTGATATTCGTTCCAACACTAGGCAAACTTAAAGAAGGGATGAAAAACGCGGTCAGAGCACAAAAGTCAAGAAAGAAACACAAACTCGTACAGCAGTCACAAAATCCAGTCTTCTGCTTTTGAAAACAAAGTCTCTCTGTCCCGCTTAGTCAGAACGTTCAACCTAACCGATAGCTTGTAAATTAATGCGGTTGGTGTCAATCAATTGCTTTAACGCGTCGCAGGGTTTGTCCTTGGTCATCGCGTCTGCAGGATTCGAGTTCCCATCGATCCATTTGATCTCAGTGATCTGGCGACGTTCGTATGCTTATCTAAGGCACATCACATCGATCATCAGTCGTTTCTCTTGTGTGGAGTTCAGTCTCACAAGACAGTCATATAGCGACTTTGAGTCAGTGTAGAGAACTATTAGGACATTGGCCTATAGCATTTGGTCTAGAGTCGACTTTATTGCGAAAGCGATGTCTGAGCCATGAGCCATAGTGTATAGCTCTGATGCTAGGACGCTGCGGGTGACTCGTTTGCATTTGGTCGAGCTCCAGTGGATGGTATTGGCGTTTACCATGGTGTCATTGTCTTTTGGAGCGTCTCTCTTATCGGCTAGCGCGATGACATAGCCGATCTAGGATGAGAGGTCTTTATTGTTCGCAAATAATGCGTCTGTGAAGACCACTAGCTGCAGGGAGTCTAAGTCTAGGTTGATAAAGCTAAGTCCTCTGGCGGAATTCTCTTTTTGCTAATGCAGTCGTTTGTTCAATAACCTATAATCGTCTTTGCTTAAGTCGGTCGCTTAAGCAGCGAATGCTAAGTCGAAAGCAGCTTTAGGTTGACATACTGAAGCTATATAGGCGCCTCTCGCGTGTTCGGCAATATATTCATCTTTGGTGTTGGCAAGGGAGATCTTATCGCATTAGCCCTTCTGCTCAAGGGTGATGCTTCCATCTGTTACTAATTCGATGACTCCACCATTGAATTTCAGTGGATTTTCAATGGTTAGTTGCTCGCGCTCTTTTGCCGCGAAGTTTGCCTTTTATAGCTCCTGTTTTTCTGCTTCTGCAAATTTGTTATCTATAAGGATAAGAGTATCATCTATTTAAAGTCCGACGATACCGAATCCTTTCGAATCTATTATATATAGAAGGTATAGGTCAAATGTCGACTGGTTCATTTTCAGGTTTATCAAATGGTGGGAGTGATATGTCCTGAACCAGTGGTTTCCTGCTTCGGGGATGCCATAGAGTGGCTTGATGACCTTCAGAAGTATGTTTTTCCTAAGGTGGCCTATTAGTTCCTTCGGCGGGTGTGCGTAAAATTCATGGTTTAGTGTGGTCTTTAACTAGACATACGCCTAGGAGATATCGCGGAGGAATAGCTTAGATTTAGTAGTAATGCCTTAGCGACTTGCAGCGATATAAAGGATTAGTCTCTGACTGACATATTGAATCGTTGGCGATTAAGTCAAAACCAGGTCTTTCTCTTGGTTATTATATGCTTAAATGACTAGTCTTGATTTTTCGAAAGCCTACTCTATGCCTTTATTCTTGATATCGTCAACGAATCTTGAATTAAATAGTCGCACACCGGGTGGGGCTTCTATGACAAGCTTAAAGACTCCCTTTTCAAGTAACCTATTGATTTCTTTTTGTCTTGAATCTCGGAACTGAGTATTGGTGCTGCTCTCCTCTTGTAAAAAGATAGTTATGGGCGGAAAGTGTTTACGCGGGCGACCTGGGCCATGTTTTTGCGCTTCTTTAGGGACAGGGGCAGTTATAGGTATCGGGTGCTTGCGTGGACGGCCTAGGCCACGCTTCTATGGCTGTGTGGGCTACGAGGGAGTAGGGGCAAGTTCTTGTTCTTGATTATCTACCTATGTTCGGCTAGAGCGTCTAGGTTCTGGCTGTGATCCAGTGTGTTTAGAGAGGGTTTTAGTTTTGGCTTCTGGTGCCATTAGGTCGATTTCGTCTATTCCCTATGGTTCTAGGTTTAGAGTCGGCGATTCTATGTAAAATGGTTTAACCACTGTCGATCGAAATGCTGTTGGTCCACTTAGCAGTTTGACTATATAGTTTTCGTCTTTAATCGATAGTAGTATATATGGCCTAGTCCAATTGCCTGTTTTTCCTATGTTTCCTTCTCTCTAGACAAGAACTAGTGAATTTAGTAGTAAATCATGGATTGTGGTCGTGTTTAGGCCGTTTCTCATGTTTAATACATCAGCGATTTAGTGTTCTGCTAGGAGCTTCTATATCTCGGCCATCGCCTTTCTGACTGCTATAGCACTAGACATGTTCATTGGGTTGGGTAAACCCATACCCAACCCAACCCAACCCACAATGGGCTGGGTATGGGTCAGAAATTTTACCCAAAACCCATATGGGTTGGGTATGGGTTTGAAGTAAAACCCACACCCAGCCCATAAACCCATCTTTTTGCCAAGACTTTTATTTCACGTGATATTTGTCACCTAGTTAGTACTAGATTGAGGCAGAAATTAGGCACTAAGGCACTGATTACCCTAATTTAGTTTAGGTTGAGGCGAAAATCAGGCATTAAGGCATCAAAAATACCCATATGGGACCCATACCCAACCCATACCCACGTGGGTTGGGTTGGGTATGGGTATGGGTTTACCTTACCCCTGATGGGTTGGGTATGGGTATGAATTTTGACCTATACCCAACCCATGCACATGTCTATATAGCACGCTATGTGATTGATGGTGAAGGGGAATCTAAGTCAATCATTCGGGGGTATGCGCCAAAAACGAGTAGTGTAGGGACTAAACCTCCTGGTCCAGCTATGTTGTTAATTGCTTTAAAGGCCATTTAGAGGGCTATTTCTCGGTCGATTCCAGGAATTTCAGCAATGATAATCTGGTAGGCGCGGCGTAGGGGGCCGTGGTATCGTTCAACTATGCTGATTAAGTTATGCGCTTTAATAGGCATACTTCTTATGTTTGTGCCTATGGCTTTTGCATAAGTCTTGAATTCCTTACTAATGAAGTTCTTTCCGGCGTCGTGGGTGATCTAGTCTAGAGGGCCTAAATATATATCGATCTAGCATGATCGTAGTTTATCCTAGGTGTTTTTGGCACTAATGTCGTCTAGCCATCGGCCTAATTAAAAGCGTGTTGCTTCGTCAATAATATAAAGGAGGGGCATGTTTACGATATACATAATATCGACTATAATATTGAAGTTGAATCTTATATCATCTAGGTCCTTTAGGGTGAAGCGGAATCTTCCTGGCGATTTTCCAAACTTCTGGCAGAATTAACAAAATTTGGTGAGGTGTTCTAGTGCCGTAGTGTTTATTTCATGGCCTATGTTCTGGAGCAACTTTTGGAGTCGGCTGACTAATAGATGGCCAAAGCGACGGTGTAGTCGTCTAAGCTTAGTATCGGTCAGGAAGCAAGGGTTTATGCTAAACAATATACTGAGGTACGAGGAGAGGGGTGCGTCCTATAGCATAAAGGGGTGTCTAAATCGGCGAATGATAGGTATTTCATTTTATTTGCCTGGTTTTGAAGTAATGACTATGTTCCTGAGGTTGTTATAGTATACTCTAAGGTTGTCTATGTCCGCTAGGTATAACAGGAATGGAGTGTCTATATTAACGATATAGAATTGAACGTTGCTAATAGGAGTAGGGATTTTTGCTGATCCGATTGAAGAGGTTGTTCCAATTCCGAATTAGATATTAACTTCGCCAGCTATAGAGGGATCTAATTTGATGTTCTCAATCCTCTAAAGCGCTTAGAACTAACTAACTCCGGCTATAGATTTTCTTGAGGCGCCGGTATCGATCATGATTCCCATAAATATTTAGGAATTATATCGGCTAGTAGGCGTGGTGGTGTAGCTGAATAGGTCAATGTCTTATAGCGGAGTGTCTCCTTATATAGGCGATGGTTTCTCTAATAACTAGTGCAAGAATACTTTATTAGAGAGCTCTAAGCTTATTTCCATACCCTGTTCAGCATTAATTTGGCTAAATAAAGTGAAGAAGCTATCGATTGGATCATATTCGTCTTTATTAGGGTCTGTTTTGTTGGTCTAGAGGCTAATTGTTTAAGCGTCAGCTAAGAGAGCTTCGAAAGCTTCAACTTGTTCGGTTTCGTCATTTCCTTTATAATAGAGCATGTATTGCCTATATCTCCTGTTGAAATCGCCGTTTTTCTCCTTATTCTGGTTGAATCCTTGAAGGAAATTTTGTTTTGATTGCTTTTGTTCTTCTTCAGTATGTCTCCAAGATCGATATGATGGTTTTTGGCAGACATAGCATTTTCCCTATAGGTTTCTTTTGGTCTGATTCCTGGTGAGTCCTCTTCCTTGATTGCCGTCTCTATGGTATCGTCTATTGGTATAGAATATTTCTTCTAAGGCGAATGCTGCTTACCTCTCGGGGTTTTCTTTCTCCCAGGTGGTGATTAATGACTATAGTTTATTGATCAATACCGCGAGGTCTTCTGGTGGATCAGAAAGTGTGTTACTACACGCTGGGACTCCTCTATAGGCTGTGATAAGCTTATTGATGAGGTTCATGTTGCTCCTGAGTTCTGGGTGAAGACTATATCGCTTTCTAAGGAGGTCACTAAGCATGGATTGGAAATTCTGATAGATTGAGTTTAGGCTGTTAGAGTTATCGTTTATCACTCTTTATAGTATGATGTCGTTCCATTTGATCAAGTTTTGGCGGTAGAATTCGGGACCTTTAAAGAATTGGCGTAGGTGGTTACACGCTTCTTGGAATGTTCGCGAAGGTAAATCACTACTATAGTAATGATCTTCAGCGATTCCGGTGAGCATTGTTAGAAATGCTGTGTTATAACCGTCCGGTGTTATCCTAACTCTTTTATAGATGGTGTAGAAGATATTGAGTTTCTAGTCGAAGCTGCTGTTATCTGTTCCACTATATTTCTGTTTCTTAGTATAGATCTTTGAGATAGAATTAATCTCTTTTGAAAAGTCGAACTTTGGCTGTTTGGTTTCGAAAATGAACGGGCTATTTTCTAGGGAAAACTGATTAGGAACGCCTAGGGTGTTCTTTGGCAAGGATTTGTCGTTTTCTGGGTCAGAATAATTGCTTCTGGGGGCAGAGGCATTGATTTTTGGTGTGATCGGACAGTCTCCTCGAGATAAATTGTAATCTTGGGAAGGTTGTTTTAATCTATCGTAGGTCAAATTGAGGCGTTTTCTGAGCTTCGAAGTGACCATTGGGAGGGAAAATTCTTCAAAAAAGTCTTCAATATCTCTATCTATCCATTCGTGAAACTCTTCTTGCCGAGCTACTATAGATAGTAGAGTGTATATTGGCGTTTTACAATCAGGGCGGGGGACGAATACTCCATGCTGAAGGAGATTCGCCCGTAATACTGATCGTCTCGAAGGGGAAATTTGTTTGAAATGTTCAGGTTCCCAGTTTTCGAATAATTCGTAGTATATAATCCAGAGGTTGTAATCCAGTATCTTGTTATTAAGGGTCATGTTTTTCTCCACATAATCGTTCATCTCCTGCTTTATGGCCGTTGACAGATTGATTTCCCAGTCACCATCATCGATTGACTGGGTTGATCCGGCGGCGGAGGGTGGTTCAGACATGATTCAGTACAAATGTGGGTAGCGAATCGCAGTAGGGTGATAAAATAGTTAAAATTTCATTGAATGATGAAATTGATGGGGAAATCGTAGAAGGATGACGAATAGTAGGGGATGGCAGTATGGAGAAAAGAAGCAGTCAGGGCTGTGGGGAAAATGATAGTGATGTGAGAGGTTTCCAGTAGGGTAGTTGTAGCGGTGTGTTCTGTAATACTGGACTAGTACAGTAGTCTGTGTTGGATCACTCACTAGGCTCCCGGTGGATGCTTTTGGGATAGCCTTGATCTCAGGGGTGTGGCAGAGGAAAAAGAGGGAAATTAGAGAGAAGTGATGGGAATATGACAATGAAGGGAATTGGGAAAATATGGTGTTTTTCAGTGTTTTGCACGTTCTTCATAGACCTTCGGGCTTCTATGAAGTGGATATTAGCAAGATGGTGCAATTATCGGCGATCGTTCAAGCCTCAAATTGTCACGATCTTCTCCTTCGACTGAGATATGGCAAGAACTTAGCGAATCTGGAAAAACAGCTTTTGAAGACTGTTCAACGCGCTCGAGCTTCGTAGATGCGTATTTCCTGATCTGTACGTCTACTGATCAGTGTCGGTTGACTAGGTTATTACCGAAGCAGACAGCTATTGATATCGTTTCTGTACGTATATAATAGGTGTATGCATATTGGGTAAAAGTGAAGTGTCATTCTAAAATGCTCAGATGAAGGAAGATATAGTAGCTGCCATGCCAAGATCACATGATCTTGGTATGTCAGCTGATATTCGTTCCAACAGATAGCTAGATTGATAAAAAACCATATGTAGCTTACTCAATCTTAGTCTTTAGTTTTATTTTGAGTTTTCTACCAGATCAATAGTGCGACTTGTACTGAGGTCCTATTTTCTTCATAAGCATAGTACATGTCAACAACAAGCACATTTTTCCCCCTCAAAATTCGATAAATATTTCAAAATTCATTTGCACCCCTCCCACTAATGCCTATTTACTTTTAAGAACAAAAGTGGAGAGAATGAAATCCACTTGGTCCCGAGGTCTCCGTATTTTCACTCGAGGCTGGATTTGTATAACTTACGGAGCTCAGATTAGTGCGAGAAATAATTTATGAACAGATTTTGATTTAAATCCCGAGTCCGGTGTGGTGCTGTCTGTTTTTTTCCCCCTATTTTTGTGTTGATATTAGGACGATTGATACGCAGCTGAAAGATTATACAGCAAAGCCACGCGTCACTCTCACTAATGACTTTTACTTTTGAGAATAAAAATGGAGAGAATGAAATCCACGAGGTCTCTGTATCTTCACTCGAGGCTGGATTCGCACAACTTACGGAACTCAGATTAGTGCGAGAGATAATCTATAAACAGATGTTGATTTAAGTCCCGAGTCTAGTGTGGTGTTTTCTGTTTCTTGTTTTTTCTTTCCTATTTTCATGTTGATATTAGGACGATTGATGCGTAGCTGAAAGATTATGTAGCAAAGCCACGCGTCACTAACGCAGCCATCCATATAACTGATGGCCAATTGGCCTAGCCTTACGAAAGAATAAACCGCGGTGCGAACTTTCTTGGGACCACGGGCATTACACCATAGATGGAATCATTTATATAAATGTCAAGTTTAGCGCCTTCCTTCTTGAATACATATAAAGAAACTCGACTTCTTTTTAATTTCATCACCTTGAAATTCTTATGATGGCCGCTCGTCAAAGTCCAGGCTGGTGGTCTATTGAAACCAGCAGAAAAGCATGTCAAAATGCATTAGCACTGTCTTCAATAATTTTGTTTCTTACTGCTATTATCTTGGTATAATACTGGTAGATTCAATTTTGTTCGCTGCGGTAAGTGCCCAGGTGTATCACTAAATATTTCAACCTCCGATTTCTTCACAGCTTGTTAAAGACTATTTTTTGTCGGAAGCTTGGAAGACACATCGCTACTTTCACATTTGAATTAATACCTGTTGCGACAGCCGAGAACAAGGCCATCAACAGACGGAAAGTATTTCGGCCGAAAAAGCTTCTGCCAAGACAGTGACTCTGGAACTAGATTAGTATATCACGGTATCCTTGAACGATATGCATTCATCGCAAACGACACCCTTGAGCGATGTGCATTCGCGACAGTAATATCCCGTCTTCACCGTCTCTTCTGTCTCGGACGAATGTTGACATTCGTCCAGGGCAGAGGGGCACCCATATACTATAAGTAGCTAGTTCTTTCATCAATGAAAAAGCAGACTTCACAACAACCGCAAAATTCAGTATCGTAGAATCCACTACACTTGGTGGATTTTCTACAGTGTTGAGTAGTGGTTCGTTGGAGCTCACTGTCCTCAGTGACGAGCGACTAGCTAGCTACGCTCGCTAAGCGAGCGACAATACCTTCATTGAAACCCTAATATATGGGGGTTGCTGGAATGTAGTGTCAACTTGGCCAAAGAAATGGAGTTACGTGAACCAATCAAATGCTGAATAATATCAAATTTTTTTGTGTGTCCCTAACCTATGGTACCTTTAAGAATCACTACGTGGCAGAAAAGCCCCTCCTGCCTGATTCCTCAGGTTTTACGGCGTAATTAGGCACCATTATAGCAATAAATTATTTTGCCAGATATTCTGCCTGAATTATCAATTCGGGCCGGAATAACTATTAATACGATATTTGGCTTCAGTCGCATCCCACTTTCTTTCATCTTTCAATATCTTAATAACTAGTAACTAGGCCTTTTTTAGTTACGGTATCCCCGTAATCAGTCTGTTTTATATCCTGATTTGCATCCTTCAGAATCTATTTTATGGTATATAATTACGTGTTTATTTCAACGCAGAAAAGCATTCAATTTGAACTAATAATACTCCATATCAGGCTCCTCAACTCGCCGGCGACTCCGAACAGGTCTTGAAGCATCTTGGGTGTCGTCAGCACCCAAGGTGCTTTCACTACCCCATTTTTCGGCCACGCCAGCGCGACGAGCAGCATTTCGAGCAGCATTGATAGTTGGACTTAAATATTATGAAGCAAGGTGGTCAAGCGGTAAATAAATTAAAAGACTGCGGTGAGAAAAATGGCCTTAATATCTTATTATTAAGGGGGTTTGTCTAGTGATTCCCTACCTTTAATATGGTATGAGTTCACGACGTAGGGAAACGATGGCTAGTCTAAGTAATAAAAACAAAGGATTTAATTTACTGAGATATACAAGGGTTAAAATGACTAAAAAGAACGAGCAGGGAAAATTAATATTAATGAATGCTACTTTTGAAAAAGTCAGCGCTCCGGGATGGATACAGCACTCAAAGGGCATTGACAAATTTGTCGCTATACGGGTTGAAAGCCGCTCCGTGGTCCAAGAACAGTCTAATAATCTCTTGGTAGCCTTTGAACGACGCGGCCTGGAGAGCGTTGCCGAACTCGCCGCCCTGTGCATTCACGTCCGCTCGGTTGTCTAAGAAAAGCTTGACAATCTCGAGATGGCCTTGTAACAAGGCGGCCTGGAGAGCGGTGCCGAAGTGGCCGCACTGCATATTCACATCCGCTCCTCTCTCTAAGAGAAGCTTGACAATCTCGAGATCACCTTCCGACGAGGCGGCCTGGAGAGCGTTGCCGTAGTGGCCGCCCTGTGCATTCACGTCCGCTTTATTGTCTAAGAGAAGCTTGGAAATCTCTTGATGGCCTTTGAACGACGCAGCCTGGAGAGCGTTGCCGTAGTGGCCGCCCTGTGCATTCACCTCCGTTCCGTTGTCTAAGAAAAGCTTGAAAATCTCTTGATGGCCTTTGGACGACACGGCCTGGAGAGCGTTGCTGTAATTACCCTCAGACTTGGATAATGGGCACCATGATCTATCACTGGCCTTCAGCCCGTTACATCTCCAGTGTCGTTCTATATTTAGAATTTCGTCCTACCTGATCATCATAGATGGAAGGATTCACCAGGCGTATCAGATGCAGGGCGTGAGAACCTTAGAATATATTCCATTAAAACAGATGAAGATTCATCCTCTACACGTACTACGTACATATTCACTTTGTTCTTTAGATGTAAAGCCTGTACTAGTTCGATTGTTTTGACCAATTTTTCCATTTTATCTATAGTTCTAGAAAATATGCCGAGATAACTTTCTACACACATATTTCAGCCTGAAAACTGCCAGCTCACATCACATAATCAACAATCCTTTTTAATTTACTTAATCGGGGGCTAAATCATGGCAAAGGTGCCCTCAGAGTGAAAAGCAAAGATTTTTGATAATATAAAGAAGATTCATGGAAATGAAAATTAATTTACTTATATTTAGATCTGCTTACGGAGCACTCCTTCAGAACAGAATTTTCTTGTAGCACCATTACTACCGCTTTATAAACTCGTTGCGACTTATAGTTGTTTTTCTGTTTGCTTAATAGCTAGATATTGGTTCGAATCTTGAAAAGTTTAAGCCAAATTCATCTTTATTGTGTTTTCTTTTGGCTCTTCTAATTGAATCTGAATCATTATGAAGTCCCTTCAATCTTTGGTCATCCTCTGGTGCATTTTACTCGGCGCTATCGGGTCCCCAGTATCGATAAACAACCATATCAATGGTAAAAGAGGGCTTGAGGTTAAAGGAAATGAGATAATCTTGGTCAACACAAATACTGGTGCCACGAAGAAGATCGCCACTGTCAGTGAAGATAATCAGAAATGGATCACCAAACACACAGAAAAGATGAAAAAAAGGAACATACCGTTCATCTCCGCGTAAGCTCACTTTCCACTGGTCTTGAGATACCTGAATATTTCTCTTTCAAAACTAACCTTATATGTCCCCAAAGGGTTACTGCATACTATGACTATATGCCCTTAGGGGATGGTAACAAGCCTGAAACAATTGCTGAAATTCATTTCTGGCCGCCTAAGGCTGATGATAAGAAGCAGCAAGAGATCATGAAAAAAAAGCTTGACGCAGCGAAAGTCGCGTTTAAGAAGACCGATGCATACAAGAATTTGAAGAAATATATCGAGGAGCTGATGAAAACTACTGGAGTCACAAAGATTGTCGGCCTAGGATGTGGATCCTTGAACGACTTTAATCCTTTCTCTGAAAAGATTCAAGAAGAACACCATGCACGATCTTACATCCAACTAGCAGTCCTTCTCACGATGCAGGAGGAAATCAATAGTGGTACGAGAATTCTTTCTTTTGAAAAGAATATTGGAAGCACGCTAACATTTTAGTAGGACCTGAAGTCATTTTACAAGACCCAACTTATGGAGAAAACGAAATCAATTTTATGACCAAATATAGCTCTAACGGTGGCATTAAGGTATTGAATGACCCCGATGCTTTCGACACTATAGACAGAAAGACAATATTTTTTAACATAGGAGGATACGACGGATTTTGGTATCGCGTCAATGAGGGTCCAACACCGGTCGCTATAATTTCTGGTGCTCTTAATGTCCCCGTTGAGTGCATGATGAAGCCACAAGCTGAATTGATCGCAAAATACACCAAACCTCAGCAAGTTGCACCTGTGGGTACGGAGGGGCTATCCATTCAAGAACCTACTATTTTCTGGACGAGGGCGTCCAAATAGAAATATCGATTGCAGGTTTCATCTATACGCAGATGTATGTCAAGGATGATGTTAGGGGAGACTTTATAAGTCATATGGGCTAGGTCCATCTGTTTAATCTATTTAGCTAGTGTAAACGGTTAACCGTTCCTGGGAAGACGATAAAAACAGCCTGAAAGCAATAAAACAATCTATTCACTAGTAAATATCGATGAAGACCTCGAGAGTTACTGCATATACTTCACGCTTGAACTTGAAATCTGCCTAGTGAAACGAGGAACGGGAAAGCCGTATTATATCTGTCTGCAAATCTGATGCTCCCTAAATGGAAGCAGACATCGGAGGGATAAGATCATTACCGCACCCTATAACGGCATACAAAGTAACAGGTGTGGGAAAATGAGATTTCCTCTGGAACGATGAAAGACCTCAACGACGACTATGGGAAAAGAATCGATAGTCCTGGGTTAGAGAATCTACTATGAGTTGCAGAGGAATCCTAGGGGACCCTTAGGGTACCTAGGACCAGCTCCTATAGAAGTACTCTCAGAGTCACAGACTCCCTTTATTAGGAGACAATATCTCAGGTTTCTAGATACTGATAGAGATCAGCGGTATAAAGTGTCGATTAACCGACCAATAGGTATTCAAGCTACTAGCTAGTAGGAAGCCTACTATATTGGTAAGCTATTGGCCTGCCTCATAGATCATGGCGTATCGAGATAGTTCTATCCCTATTCCCCCGTTTATGAGACTAGGTGGTCTTCGTGGGTATAAAATGTATGCTAGTTCCTGCGTCTTGAGAAATTATTTCAAGAATTAATCGTTTTATTGACTCCAATATACGATTGATCCATCTTCACTTCTACTCCCTCATATCGTCTCTGCCTAAGGGCCTATTATGCAGTTCTTTTTCTCGGTTTATGGATTCATAACGTACACTGGAATTCAACATTTAGAATATTAGGTCCATATATTATTGTTTTATAGCCACACTCTATTATAACGTCTTATGAAATTAAGATTACCAACCATAACGTTTCCTAGCCTCCGATAAACTTAATATGGAATAAATTAGGATATACTCTTGTCCTCCACTTTTTCGACATTTTTTATTGGATAATTGATTAGGATGAAGTCTATCCCGGCACCCCCATAGATTTGAGTTAGTTTTAGGTTTTGAATATCGCACTAAAGACGGGTTGAAAACGGTCAGCACATATTTCATTCGGGTGAAAGCGCCGACGCTTACGGTCCGTGAAGTGCGCAGTAACGTACCATATGAATGTCTGAGAGGGAATAAAATGAAAGCCTTCAATTTAATTTTGGGGTGAATTTCTTGGACAAAGATTCAGTGCTGCCGCTATAGAGGTGAAGTTGAAGTAGTCGCCGTCGCAGAGCAGGGTTCATGACCCTTGATCTCGCCAAACTAGATACAACAAGTTAACAACAGAAAAACGGAATCCTTTTTCCACTTTTCCTACTTTTCTCCAGTCTGAGCTGAGTTGGCTTTGCTTGCCAAGCTTTATTTCTTTTCAAATGTTGTTATATGACATGCATTTCTGCGCAGTTGATTGGGTACCAGTACCACGTTCCCTGGGGTCTGATACCCCGGTACCCCGCGCTTTCCGAGATCATATCACATCTCCTTAACTCTTACCCCCACGTTTCTACTATGGTAGCCATTTTAGTGAAATTGTCTATCTTGAAAGAGATGGAATAAAGTGTAGGGGCTTAGAACATAATAATCTATTGTGTTCGATTTAAGTAAAATACGTACTTATTGGAGATCAGTCTAGAAGGTTAAGACTATAAACTAATCATAGGTTCGTAGTTCGTTATCCGGGGAGAAGTGGAGGGAAACGTCATTTTATGCTTATAACCAATGATAGGTGATAATCCCTGGCCATAGCCAAGACTAATCAATATTACTAGATGTAATCTCTTTGTTTAAATGTGGATTATTTGCTGTCTGAGCTATTACTTATCCGAAATCCTTGGTTGTCTAATTCCCCGCATTCGTTTCCCCAGAATATATATTAGGAACTTTTTACTTTGTTTTGCTTTCACCTGGATATTCTTTTCTCTCTTAAACCGTGCGATTTCCCTTTCTTTCAACGCTCCTGAGTCATAATGGCAGGTGGAGCAAAGAAACCAATCAACATCTTCCGGTTGAAGAACCTTGGTGAACCCAAAGAGGTCTTTAACTGGAGACTCTGGTTTGCTGTGATCTCTTTTGGTTTAATGGGTGCTGCCCGAGGAATCGATGAAGGCCTTATTACTGGCTCATTCAATTCGAAAGATTTCCAAAATTATATCCACTATAGCTCATATAGTACAGTCGAACAGACTAACATCAAAGCCAATGTGACATCCATGGTACAAATTGGGTCTGTCGGTGGTGCTCTGATGTAAGTTCACTATGAAAACTTGCGGGATTAGATGCTAATACCTATATTTTCCTTCTAGTGCTTTCCTCATCTGCGATCGTATTGGTCGTATCTGGGCTACTCGTGAACTATGCCTTGTATGGATTGCTGGTATTGCCATCTTCATGGGCAATAGAGGAAGTCTGGGTGCTATTTATGCTGGCCGGTTCATTGCAGGTGTCGGAGTTGGACAGACCGTAGTTGTCGGCCCTGTATATCTTGCTGAAATCGTAAGTTATGCAATATTTTCTTTCTTTTTCTTTCAAAGTTGACCATTCTATCACTGCCAGTCCCCAGCTGCTATCCGTGGTCTTTGCACCTGTGTATTCACTGGATTTGTTTATCTTGGTAAGTTTTATACCTCTAGTTTCATATCTCTGGACTGAATTTTATCAGTACCCATTTCTATCATGTTTTATTACTAATATTGATACAGGCATTGTCCTCGCCTACTTTACAAATTACGGCGTGGAAATTAATCTTGGAGATGTCACTCACGAGCGATGGGTATGACGGAAACTTGCTATCAAATTTAAAACAATACTGATAAAACCAAAATTTTAGTTGATCCCCACCAGTTTACATGTCATGTTCGCCGGTTTGATATTTCTTCTCTCTTTCCTACAAGATGAGTCGCCAAGATTTCTCGTCAAGAGTTCCCAGCCGGAAAAAGCCCTTACAACGTTGGCGCGTATTCGACACCTGCCGGAAGACCACGACTATGTAGTTCGTGAATTCAGCGCGATTCAGAATGGGCTCGAAATAGAGTTGGAGGCAACTCGAGGAAGCGGGCCTATAGGGATAATAAAGGAAATGTTCCTGGTTCCAACAAACTTGTACCGTATGTTCCTGACCATGATGGCGCAGATCTTGTCACAGTGGTCCGGAGCAGGATCTATTACTGTCTATGCTACAGATCTGTTCAAGATCCTTGGTATCTCAGGCAACAATGAGAGCCTTCTCGTGACTGCAGTCTTTGGAATAATCAAGCTTGTTGCCGCAGTCGCTTGTGCTCTCTTCCTGGTTGATGTTATCGGACGCAAGAGGGCACTACTTCTCGGAATCACCCTGCAAGCTATTTCAATGATCTATGTGGCCGGTTTCCTTACCGCAATCCCCCAACTAGGTGTGGATTCGGACTTTACGCTGCCAGTTCACCAAGTATCTGCAAGTCGTGGTGCGATTGCAATGATATACATCTCTGGTGTTGGATGGGCACTGTAAGTCTGAAACTTTACATCTGATTTCGCATTTTCAGTGTACTAATATGGATTATAGAGGTTGGAACAGCATGCAGTATGTTCTAACAGCCGAACTGTTTCCTTTACGAATCCGGGCTCTGGCAACCTCACTATCCATGACTCTGCACTTTGTGAACCAATACGGTAATTCGCGTGCCGTTCCGAATATGTTGCTCGCCACGTCAGAGGGCGGTATAAGTCCAATGGGCACATTCTGGCTCTTTGCCGCAGTCACCATCATTGGTGGTATATGGGTCTGGTTCTTCGTCCCAGAGACAGCAGGTCGCTCTCTCGAAGAAATGGACAGACTATTCCAACTGCGCTGGTATCAGATTGGCCGACGGGGTAATGAGCACGCCGATGCACAAGATCGAGTCCTTGAGGAGAAGGAAATTGCCTTTGGGACTTCTGAGCACGTTGAGCGACAGGATGCACGTGTTTGAAAGGAGTTTTTGTCTATTGAGATCGTTTCTTATTATGAATTTCAATCGGTGTCGACTATGAAATTTTTGCTTTATATTTCTTGAATTTTAAGCCAATTTGATATAAATTCATTCACGGAGGTCTGTCTTAATGATGATGCTAGTAGCTCGTGTCTCCGCTTTGGAAGCCATGATTACAAGGTGACATCCACCAACGCCGAATCTAGCCCGAAATGTATATTGTTTCTTATCTACGGTAATTAGAAATTGTATAAACAATGTATGGCTTCAAGGAAATGCAGGTGCGGTATCAGGCTGGTATGCAGAGAAGAATGCCTCCAGATCCATAGTTGAAAAGTCAAAGTTCCATCCCAAGTCGGATTGAGTGAAGTCAAGGAGGTCATCACTTGAGCCCACAGATCGGCCAGTCTCTGGTGCCTCTGGTTGCGAGAAGTTCCATTGCGACGTTGGTAAATCGGGCTGTTGACCAACCAAGGCATGTTCAGACAAATCGAAGCCATTTGCAACATCCATTTCACCTTCTAAATGTTGAGTCATTTCCACTGGCCCTTCGAGATACTTGCTTGTGGGTTTAGGTCCCGCAATCCATTCAAACGAGGGATTGATGCTGCGCAGTGTTGTCTGAATCGCGGAGACTGTACTGGCGATTGGGTCTCCAACACGCATCGTAGACATACATTGTATTGAAGCGTACACCCACGGCAAATGAGTTGGTGCTGAAGTGGTGTCATGGAGCATGTCGTATATTAGTGTAAAGCTGGAACTGGCCAAAAAATAGCCGTGGTATCGCAATTCCTGTAGGCAGAATTTAGTGAACAAGATCTTGGTTTTGAAGATTGAAGTCCCGCATTACCCGAACAAGATCATTTGAGCGTGAGGCCTCAGATAGGTGATGGATGCTTTTCTGAGCGGCAGTGAGAGAATGATTACAGGCTTCATTCAGCCAAGACGGAATCCCCGCCGGGCGATTGGAAGGACTTATGCCTGCATGAGGCTGAGATAATCTCATACTTCGTTGCCAGTGACCGCGAAATATCACAAAAGGCCGAAATGTGAGAAGGCGAGTCTGATAATAGACTGTTGATATTTAGTTCTGAAGCCAAGAAAGTGATGGGGTATTCGTACGGGTCATGAATATTGTCTGTTTGACACCGAGAGATCCTGGCTGAGTATTAGCATCTAACCCAAAACCCAGCGTCTCTTGCAAGTGAGCTTCGTGACCGCGGAGATCCTCGACAATCGAACGCGCAGCTCGCCACATGTGTAGCAAGGACTCATGTCGTTGACCATATATCTCATCCGTCGAACGGGAGATGGTTTTGCAAAGAGTGACGAGCAATCGAATGAAAGGGTTTTCTGCGTATTCAATCGCAACATCCTTGATGGATAATGAGCTCGGGCGACCTGTATGAAAGCAAAACCACCTATATTGAAATGAGTAATTGGAATCTGGCATTGGAACATGCTGACGTACGTCTCATAGATATAGATAGACCAGAATGTGACTCGTCGTTCTTCAATGGTTTCATTTGTTTGAACGTTATCATTGGGGACTTCTTTATGAAGCCCAGCAGAAAGAGCCTTGCGACATGCCGATCCCAGATGTAAGAAGGCTGAGTTTGGACGGCCCTGTTCAGTCTGGAAGTTGGCGTGTCTTTGAGGTCAGCGTAATGAACAGTCACCGGGGAGGAGGTACTTATCATAAGTAATGAGATCTGAATGGTCTGTATGTTCACTACATCGTCGTACGGTGTGAGAGAGGCCTTGACTCGGTCATATAGCACGTCACCCCACGCAAAATATTCAGTGTGAAGAGATGCAGTAGCCAAGTTAAGTAAGATTATAGCTTGAGTAAGTGAATCAGGCTGATCATTATGGATTTGGTGATAAAGCTGCTCTAGGCAATTCTCAAAGTAGGCCTTGGGACGAGTTGGCATCATGTGATAAAGAGATGAGAGGTATCGTGACATCAGTAGCTTTGCCAACTCGTATGGTAAGAACATCATCTGTATATCGCCAGATCCGGACGTCTTCCCCTTTTCATTAGTATCCGGGGTTCCAAAAAAGATGCGACGAAAGCTGAACAGGTCCAGAACAGCTCCTGCTTCTTGGACACCACCCGGAAGTTCTGGATGAGTGCTCGGATGGGAGACAAGGTCTCGATATATATACTGCATAAGAGCAAAATGAGAAGTTGGTCCGTAGTAGAGTTGCATCGGACATGAAGGCGACGCCATATGGGTTGCTGAGACACTGGCAGGAAAGTGATGCATGAACGATGAACGGCGTTGGCGAGTTGACTGGCCCGGCTGAGTCAAAATTGGAGAAGCTTGACGGGATTGATCATGCTGTCGAGCCTCTTGATATTCATGTTTCTTGCGCCGATGTCGTATAAAATCCCTATAGATACAGGGCGTATCACGCTGTTTGCATGTTTTGCAACTTGGGGAAATACGGTTAAAACCATTCTAGCGGCGGTCGGAAGCTAATTCTCACGGATTCAGTCCGCTGCAGCGGATTTTACGTTTTCGACATTCCTGGCAAGCCTTTGGTATACGCCAAGAGCTATTCGAGCGATCGGTTGGCAGTGGTGTATTTGAAGTCTCACTCATATCCGTATCCCAGGTGTACTTCCAACGCGAAAGAAAGGATCTCGGGATCTCGGATTTATTTTTCGGGTAAAGGATGTCAACTTGGGCGAGGAAGTGGGATTATAGGAACCAATCAGAAGACTTCACAATCTCAAATATGTGTGTGTGTATTCGCAGTAGTAAATCTTACTACAGTAAAGAGCGTACGGAAGCTGACTAATAAAGAACACTAGACTAAAATAGGACTGGCCATTTGACAAAGGAATATGGTCACGTGACTGAATATCCCTGTCAAATGGAGGTCGACTACCAAGGAATAGTGGATTCTAGTGGGCAAATGAGAACGCAGTATGCGTACCAAAGTGTGTATGTGTATCTATTGTAGAATGGAGGAATCCCATTGTGGGATTCCAATGCTGACTAAAATAGACTAACTGTAAATGGAATCGGGCCTTTGACAATCCCTCCTGGCTTACTCGCAGTGGGAGAATCTCGAGCAAAATGCCAGTAAACTAACAGTGAAAGTGAATAGAATAACTATCGATTATTGTCATATATCGACTGGGCTGAACTGAAAACTGTAAACTGTCGACGATCCCGATCCATGAATTGAACCAGGAAGTCCCGGATATTTGTCTGTCCTGGTATTCCAAGAAAAACCAATTATCTCAATTGATTCCAATAGTCCTATTGTGATATTACACAAGAACGATGATAATGGAAGGAAGTTGGGAAATCAGGCCGGGAGGCGACATCGGGAAGCCTTGGTTCTGCAGTCTAGCATCTACATATGAGTGAGGTAAACATACAACTTCCCAGGTAGTCAGAGGCAGGGGTAATTTGACTAATCTACTCCATATCTGCCCCATTCTTTCTAAGAATCTCGTCGATCTATCTTGGCGCCAATCTCGCTCAATAAGACGATCAGAGTTACCTGCAGGTGGGTTCCGGCATTCCGGTCACCAGTCATAGGGGTTACGCGCTATCGATTAATGCAGGAAGGGAGCATAGCTTCGATAATTCTCGGTGCATTCCTGATATCACAATCACACTCTTCTCTGGTTCGTTTTTAACCTTTGAAGCCCTCCCTTTGATCTTGCCCAATATTCATTTGCGATACTTGTAATGCACACTCATTCGGTTCATCCCACTGCATTCGATTCAGCTGATGAAAAAGAGGTTTCTCAATATAATGAGAAGAAAAATCCCGATGGTAAAGGTGCAGGCGGTCATCTGGCTACTGACGAGGCGGGCCAGGCGCTGATCGAATGCGACCAAGAAGCTGAATCACGTTTGCGCCTCAAAATCGACCTTTACGTAGTGCCAACAGTGGCCCTCATATATCTCTTCTGTTTTATCGATCGATCAAATATTGGTGAGTGATGCAATATCGTTCCAGTCCTGGATTTTGACTCAATAATGTAGGAAATGCTAAGCTAGCTGGATTTGACCGAGATCTTGGCTTGGTGGGTTATGATTATAACTTGGTACTATCGGTATACTTCATTTCATATACCGTGTTTGAGATACCTTGCAGCGTAAGTACTCATTCCATTAAATCGTGAAAACAACAACATCTGACTCAAGCCCTGGAGATAGCTTGCATGCAAATGGATTGGTCCGGGCTGGTTTCTTCCAGCAAGCACCGTTGGATTTGGTGTTTGTTGTTTAGCGACAGCTTTTGTCGATAACATACATAGCATCTCAGGCGTAAGATTTTTGCTGGGGTTATTTGAGGCTGGTATGCTCCCTGGAATCGCCTACTACCTCAGTCGTTGGTACCGCCGAAGTGAAGTAAGCTATACATTAACCCCTTATTAGGTCTGTCTATACCTGACACGGTAAATAGCTCACTTTTCGTTTATCACTGTACATTGTCACGGCGCCGCTTGCCGGGGCTTTTGGCGGTCTTTTAGCTTCAGGCATCCTGAACCTGGACCATTTTGGAAGTCTTCATGGTTGGCGAATGATTTTTGCGATCGAGGGCATTATCACTATTACAATCGGTCTCATTTCATTTGCAACATTGACTGATCGACCGGAAATGGCCCGCTGGCTAACTCCTCAGGAAAAGGAACTTGCTATTCACCGGATCAAATCGGAGCGAATCAATACCACCGAAGTTCTCGATAAAGCAGATCTTCCCAAGATCCTGCACGGAATATTCAGTCCAGTCACCTTGATGACTTCTGTTATTTTCCTGCTCAACAGCATCACAGTTTCAGGTCTGGCATTCTTTGCGCCTACTATTGTACAGACGATTTATCCAGATACCAGTGTTGTGTCGCAGCAGCTCCACACCGTACCACCATATATCATTGGCGCATTTTTCACAATTCTTATTCCATACCTCAGCTGGAAGTTTGATCAGAGGTTAGTATTTTTCATGGTGAGCCCACCGGTGACGGTTGCCGGGTATATCATGTTTCTAGCAAGTGAAAACAGCGTGTTACGATATGTGGCTACTTTCCTCATTGCCAGCGGTGTGTTCTCCTTTGGCGCTCTCTGTCCAGCGAATGTCTCTGCGAATGTCATTTCAGATACGGCTAGATCATCTGCCATCGGGACAGTTGTCATGTTTGCCAATATTGGAGGTCTGATCTCCACCTGGACCTTTTTGCCAACTGATGCGCCAAATTACTTTATTGGCAATGGCCTGAATCTGGCGACCGCTGCCACGATTCTGATTTTAGCGGTTGTCTTGAGGATCTATATGATCCGCGATAACCAGAAACGCAGTCTTGGCGATTCTGCAGTTGACTTGGCAGGGCTCTCACAGCAACAAATCCAAGACTTGGATTGGAAGAATCCAGCCTTTCGCTGGGTAGTCTGACTCATCATCTTGTCCAGGCAGATTTACTGAACTATTTTCAAGGATTCTTCCGATGCCTGATATACTCGTGTTTTTCAAGAGGAAACCTTGGAATTCTTTCAGCCTTCTGAGCTTTGGACACTAAGAACGTCGATAATTCATAATACGGGAAATTTCGGATTTAAAGATTTAATGTCGAGTACTTGACCCACCAATTAGGAATGAGGGATAATGCCGTTTACGGCCCGCAACCGTCTAGAGTAGGAACAATTGTACTCGGAACAGCGTAGTACGCTGAATAACCCTGGAAAATAGATGTAATGAGTACATTGACCTCAAGTTTTAGATGGATGAAACTAGCTTCTGAATGCCGGTCACGGGAAAAGAATCAATAGTATAATTACCACCTAGTCCCAGCTGAGAGAAGTCTTCAATCTTCCAAACACATTATATCCAGTCAATTTTGAACCATGACTTGTGAAGCCTGTCGCACCATTCCTCCCGTCATCTCCGAGGGATACATTCCCAAGGGAAAATACGAGATAATCGGGGGGTTGAACTCATGTAAACTTACACTTTGCTTATCACTTTGAATTTCATTTCTAACTTGAATCGACTTAGACATCACTGGAAGTGAACATGCTAAGGCCGGTGTCGTTGATATTTATGATATCTTCGGCTGGTCAAATCAGACTCTTCAAGGTGCCGACCTCCTCGCTGCTCGATTGAACGCTGTGGTGGTTGTGCCCGACTTTTTCAAAGGAGATACTTTGGCCCCTGAGGTCATTCCTCCCGACACTGAAGAGAAGAAAAAGAGCATGAGTGACTTTTTTGCCAATCAAGCGAATGTCCCGCGCAATATCGGTGTTTTGCTTGAGACTGTTCAGCACTTGAAGACTCGATTCCCGTCCGTTGCTAAGTGGGGCGGCGTTGGTCTGTGTTGGGGTGGAAAGGTGAGAAAAGTCCTGCGTTGGTTTAAACGACTATAGAAATTGATGTTTTTGTAGGTCCTCATTCTGGCGTCTGGTGCCAACACCCCTTTTGTTGCTACAGGTCAGGTTCATCCTGGTGCTATGGATGCTACCGACGCTGAGAAGTTGGCTGTGCCTCATATCGTGTTGGCATCTAAAGATGAGCCGGCTGATGCAGTTGCCGCATATGCAGATATCATCGCCAAGGGAAAGGGAGGCATCGTCGAGACTTATCCTGACATGGTATGGCTCAACCCTGACCATAATTTTGAATAAAATTCTTGAAATAAACTTGCTGACGGATCAAACATAGTGGCACGGATGGATGGGCGCCCGATCTAATCTGGAGCAAGAGAGCAGCCGTGTTGAGTACACTCGTGGGTAAGTAGATCTGTATCTCAAGGTGGTTTTCTTTCATGAGACTAACATGCGGTTTAGATACGAGCAGCTGGGTAACTTTTTCGAAAAGTACCTTAGCTAATTGTGGAAAATCAAAAAATAAAAATAAAAAAATAAAAAAAAATAAAAGTTTCTTACATTAGAATAAAAGATAAAAACTCAGTCATGAATTAATTAACATAATTAAGATGCTTCGCAGGATGAAAATATGGAACTGATAATTCAAAGGTTGCTTTCTGAAGCAAGGTCTGACTTTTGTGCAGTATGAGTGGATAGGTAGGTAGATACGAGATTTCCCGGATATGCCATTGCTAATTACAATGGAGAACTGCTACAGCCACTACAATAAACAAGAAATGAAAGATTGACGAGGAAATCCGTTCATTCATTTCTCAGGTCTAGGTAACTATGTGCGAATGGGAGAATCTTGATGATCTCTAAAGACTCTAATGATAATTGTCATGGAATGTAAAAATTTGCTCAGTAGGCCCTAACACCAGCTAGTTTGAGAAGCTTGTCGGTATGTTCTGGCTCCTCAAGGGGTTTGGATCGATTGCGAGGATCGACAGTCCCATCAGGAAGAAGAACAACGCTGTCACGAAGAATAACGTTATCATGAGCCCAATGGGTAGTTGCTCGGAACGATTCAAAGGCTTCCTTCTTCCGCTCAAAGGTTCCCGGTGTAGCTAGACTGGCAGGAGAGTAGGATGCATAGATGACCGTTCGGATAATGTCACTTTTATCTGTCGGCTCACCGCCCCAATGAACAGTGCGCGAGTCCCAAAGAAGCAAATCTCCAGGCTCGGCCTGCACCCTCAAAGGTTTGATACCGCGAGCTTCAAACCATTTCAATTCCTCGGTGCTAATGTGGCGGAAGTCTCTCGTTTCCCATGTTGAAGGGTCAACTTGAGTATCGAAGAATTCCTCGGTCACCTGGTTCGACTTTGGTAGGACGATGAGCGACCCATCTTCGGGGCCAGCTTGGCTAAGGTTGATAACACCCTGGATACAGTGGAGACCACGACGCATTGGTGCTTGGTCAACATGAGGCCAAGGTTGGCGTTTTGCCTTGTCTTGCATTTTCGGTAAGGTGATGTTGACGGCATCGAAGGAGACAAGTAGCTCATCCGTTCCCCAGACTTTGCTGAATGCTTCCAAGATTTTAGGTTCCATGCGGGCATCCCACATGAATTTCTCGTGGACAACTGAGTAATTGCTATATTGGTTTGCTTTGCCCTGTACCGGAAGGTTTGCCACGGTCCATGTAGATGGGTCGTTCAGGTCTAATGGACTGCCGAAAGATGTAACCCAGTCTAAAGCTTTTTGCTGATAGTGGCGAGCCTTTTCGAGAGAGATTGCACCCTTTACCACGGCATATCCTTGAGATTTAAGATCATCTCGGAAGTCTCCATATGGGCCCGCGAGCCTAAGCGAGGATTAGTGGGAATGAATGAAGATTAGAGGGATGATACTTACTCAAATGGGCTTTGATTCAGGGTCACTGTGGTAGTTGAGGTCGTCATATCGAGATTTTTAGAAGGAAACTGGAGAGTTGAGACAGTTATGCGGTGGACTGGACTTAGGACTTGAATTTATAAGTTATACCCGAGAGCCCCCACTTCGATAAGCAGCCGTGAACGCGGATATGCGGGCCTTCTTGCCGCTCAATTCAATCAATTTAATTGGTCAATATTTAATGGCAGTAGAAATGGGCAAATCACGTATAACGGGGTTTCAGAACCAAGTATTGACTACACATAGATCTTCCGTTGTACCATGAGGGGAACTCGGAGTTTCCCCGATGATCAACCGATGAATGTTTCCAAGCTTTCTCAACCCTTTTTTTTTCATAAGATTAATCAATTATTACAACGTTCTAAACATTTATCTCCTTTACTTGGATATGGACGTTTATTTTGAGTAATTTCTAGATTGGAGACGGACGTTCTCGAGATAAGATAACAACTAAGCATATGTATGGCTCAGTCTCAGTCTCTATGCCTCCTACAGGGGTTCTTGATTTCTCCTGGTTTCGCATGAAAAGCTCACACTTCTTACGATAACATACCGATCATTGTCTGTATTTGCAGCCTGTATATTTAGTAGTACTGTTATTCGAGAGCTTCTTAAACTTTGGGAGCACAATAATTGGTATCTAACCATTGAATATTCAACTGAGTACATCTAATATACGGAGTACTTCTGTGGTAAAAATGATGTGACATTTGAGAATTAGCGAATCTCTTGATGGTTTTGCCATAGCCTCGTGATTAAGCTAGCTGGATATAGCCTAGTGCATGAATGCCGTAGATCTGTTCCTAATTAGGACATCACCTGGATGTGGCACCTTATGATGGTCGCAGTTTCTCAGTTTTACAAACATGGAGCAATGGCTGCGTCTATCTATCGGACATTGAAACCCATGCAGAGGGCCCAATTGCTGCGCAATTTACCAATACCAAGAGTCCGCCATATTTGGACCAATCCTGAGCCCGCTGTGACCAAAGATGAGGTCGCGCGTCTAGCTGCCACCCCTCGTCGACATTTAACTTTAACAGATCTCATACAGTGAGTGTACCCCGACTTTACAGTTGTACCGAAACTTATATCAATGTTGTTTAGGTACGGTCGCCCTCCACTATCTGAGGATGCGCTCTTGGCGTCAGCCAATTTCACCCTATCTCTCCTCCCCGCACGCTTAGCCTCTCGGATCCAAGCCCTACAAAATCTCCCCTTCATTGTTGTCTCAAATCCGAGCGTATCGAAAATTTACCGCAACTACCTCCACTCTCTTTCCACTCTTCTCCCATACCATCAACGTAAGATCACGACCTTGGAGGAAGAGAATCAATTTGGCGATGTGCTGGCCGACCTGGTACAGACACATACCAATACCATTCCAGTTCTCGCGCAAGGTTTTCTTGAGTCTCGCAAATATGTCAGTCCTGACTATGTGACCCGCTTCTTGGATACACATCTGAGGGCAAGAATCGGCACGCGACTGATGGCTGAGCAACACCTCGCTCTGCGGTTTACATCACAGCTCGATTCGGAGCAACCATCGAACAGCACAACTCCTTCAAATTACATCGGAGTTATCGACACAACTCTCAAGCCAGCACAAATCGTGCGCTTGTGCGAGGACTTTGTTGGAGAGATCTGCGAATTAAAGTATGGGGTCCGTCCCCGGCTAGAGATTTCCGGAGAGACGGAGGCCTCGTTTGCCCACATCCCGGTCCATTTGGAATATATAATTACCGAGCTGTTGAAAAACGCATTCCGTGCGACGATCGAATCTGGGAACGAGCAAGAGCCTATCCAGGTTACTATCGCTGCGGCTCCTGACATGCACAAGCGTCATGTCCAAGACGTTGATTACCTCGAGTCGCATTTGAAGCCAAAGGTTGATCCATCTTTGACTAATGATGATATTTTCAACCCATCCTCTCAGAGTATCACTATTCGCATCCGTGATCGGGGAGGTGGCATTCCTCCAGAAGTTTTCCCAAACATTTGGTCTTATGCCTTCACCACATTTTCAGATATGGACGTTCAGAGCTCCGAGAATAACAATCTGGATGCTCTGAATACGTTCTCAAATAGTGGTGGTAATCTGAGCAGCATCGCTGGTTTGGGATATGGACTGCCTTTGAGCAGAGCCTATGCTGAATTTTTCGGAGGTGGTATCGCTATACAGAATATGGTGGGCTGGGGAACAGACGTTTACCTGACCCTACGTGGAGTTGGAAAGATTGACTAAAGCAAGTTTATAGAGCTGCTCCTCTCATACCACTAGACCGAGCAACTGAATAAATTACTACTTTACAATAATGAATGCAGACGATACTATCATCTTTCACCTTGAGAAATTGAAACGAGGCAAACAAGCTAATATGAATTGGACTGATAACCAATGCAAGTTTTAAGGTTCACGCGCCGAAGCATGTATGCCGCTAATGAACGACACTAATCCATTCTGAGCAGGGCAGATTATGACGCTTTATAGATGCTTCGATTGAATGAAATGTCGAATGACAAGGATATTTTCACTCCATTACAAGGTTCCACTCAACAAACTACATTTTCCGCCATCGACAATATGAATTCACTTACCAATAAAAGTTCCATTTCACACGAGTTGAACGAATTAGACAATCCAAAAGTCCCAGGATCTCCTGCAAAGTCATCTGAAAACATTATCAAGGTTCCGTGGTATCGGGGTTGGTCAGTTCGCAAAATGATTATAGTTACTTTCGTATCAGTGATCACTTTGGCTGGTATCATCACCGCAGCAGTGGTTAGCGCTCAGGATGTCAAAGGAAATCGATACCCAGACTATACTCCGCTAAATTATCACTTGGTCGATACATACCAGGGAACATCATTCTTTGATCGTTTCAACTACTTTTCTGGCGAAGATCCCACCTATGGATTTGTCGTGTAAGTTCCCCGACTACTTCTCCTCTACTTTTACTCGATATGAAACCTCCAGTGTTTTCCCACACGAAGTATGATATGTCGATTTACCCAGCCAAATATTACTGGCAGGATTAATCTTTGTGGCGAGCTCAAAGCCCACATCATGATGATAATGTAGAACCAACAGGATACTGACTGCTCGCAGATATGTTAACAAAGAGACTGCACTTGGCTTGAATCTCACTCACGCTACCAATACCTCCGCTATTCTTCGTGTGGATTCAACTGCAGTGGTTGTAGGTGGCCGTAATTCTGTCCGAATTGAATCTAAATCCACCTATGACACCGGACTCTTCGTCTTTGATATCATCCACACACCTTATGGCTGTGGTACATGGCCGGCACTTTGGCTAACAGATACGGATAACTGGCCGAATAACGGAGAGATAGATATCCTGGAATCTCATAATGAAGCATTAGACGGTAACATGGTCACCCTCCACACAACAGAGGGCTGCACCATGAATGTTCAGCGAAGGCATACTGGAGGCGTTATCTCTGATAATTGTCAGACTAATGATAGCGATTCTGGCTGTGCTGTTCAAGGAGATGAACGTACATATGGCCAGAAGATGAATGAGAACAGGGGTGGAGTAAGTTCCAAAAAGTTCCTACCTCAGCTGCATCCAGGGTCTGTACCAAGTAATTGTACAGACCTAGCGTCAATCTCTCCGTAAAAAAATTGAGAAATTTTGGATTATCTAACTTATCAACCACAGGTTTATGCACTTGAGCTTCGAGACGCAGGAATTCGGACCTGGTTCTTCCCTCGAGACTACATCCCCGCCGACATCAACGATAGCACAGCCCCAGATCCATATACATGGGGTATTCCATTTGCAGACTTCCCCAATACGAAATGTGATATTCCAACGTATTTTCACAATCAAACTATTATTGTCAACATCGACCTCTGTGGTGAACTCGCCGCTCAGCCGCAATACTATGATGAGATGTACCATTGTCCGGCAACATGTGAATCTTTTGTGGCCAACAGCCCATCAAGCTTTGAGGAAGCATATTGGGAATTTGCGTCTTTCAAGGTCTATCAGGCTGCATAAGGCCATCTATGAGACCTCGAGAGTTTATACTATCTGTTTCCGAGATTATTTACATGTTGAATTCTTACTGAAGTTGATTTTCATGTTACATCAAATGGCTTTGATCGCTTGAGTACCTACTCTTTACAATGATATTCAATAACTCAATATTATAACGGTATGCTATATAACCATAACTTTACAAATTTAGTCTTTATTAAAGTTCAAATTTTTGAAGAATCTAATATCAAGCAAGAGAAAGTGGAATGGGAAATATAGAGTATGATTCAATGTAAACGTTCATTGATTATCTATTCTTCTTCATATTGAACCTTTTTGGAAAAGGAAGCCCTGAAAAGTGCACTGAAGCATCTGAATCTCATGCGAGAACGTTTGCCTAGCCAGAGGGAAAAATTAACACCAAGGTCTCAAGGGCTTCTTTACATACTTTGTTCAAAGTCCTAGTAAAGAATGCACTACTCACAGTTTATGTAATTTAAAAAAAGCCTTTACATGGCCCTGGGTATGAAATAATTTGAAACCAGTGTGTTGGTGTGGAGCAACAGTCCTTGAAGTGATCCTCTAGAATTTGAAGGTCGTAGGTATATACCGTTGAGAGGGATGTGGTCTATTGTACCAAAATTCAAATTTTTGCGACTGGAGATGCCTGGGTTTTCCCGACAATCACACCATTGAACGACAGCCCTGGCTTGATTCGACTGCCTAAGTACGCAGATGCATGGGAATTTCCAAGATTTATATAGGACTTCCAAATGCTTACTTTATGTAGACTTCCTTAATTAGTGAGCAATTTCGAATTTCTTCTTCCTTAACACAATCAAAGAAAACATGAAATCCATCTTTTAAATGAGAATACCTTCAAATACTCAAATACCACCAAGTCCAATCATACCCATATGTTCCAAGAGTATACGTCGATGATCTATTCTGAGATGAAATCCCAGCCCATGTAATGACGACAAAAATGCTCATTACAAGTAATATGGAAGCAGAATAGCAGATACAGGTTGGTTCTTCTTTGGATCTACCTGTGGTATTATTTCCATGGCGCAGCCGTGTGTTGGTGCTAGGAGTCAACACAGGCTGTGGAAGTTGAGATCCAAGATCACCTATATTTTATCAGGCTCGGTATTGAGATAGATGTGGTATAAGGACTCTTCTTACCAGTTGAGGATGAAGGTTGAGTTTCGTAAGTAGGAAGGGTGTGATCCCCGGAGTAAGAAGTGGAGGGACTAGTAATATCATCGAGAGCATATGAATTGATATGGTCATGCATCTTGCGTGTCTGTGATGGCCGATTTGAAAAAAATAATGAGATTCAGGGTGTATAGATTTGAGGAGGAATAGAGAAAACTCATCGATTATAATATCTCTTCTGAGTTCTGTGGCGCCATGGCTATACATCGCGATACTACACCTAACTAAGCAATAAGATGGATGAATGACCTCATTTCGAACTTTTATGTCCCATGTCAGGAAAGGTAATAATGTGTACATCTCGTTCCATACATTGCCAGGCCTGAGATTCTCACGAGCTTCATTATTTTGCATGATATTAATTGTACTGAAGCTTTTCTAATATTTATATAAAGACATTGAAACTGACTTCCAAAATATAAGTAGTGAATATCATTCCATAAACCTTGGAACGCAACTCTATCAACTGTTCTAGGGTGGTTGGCCACGAGTCAGAGAGACGATATCGATATCTGCAAGTCATTCAAGACAAAATGTAGTAAAATACTCCATAAGCTGTATTTATCTACTATATCAGTTGAAATGTTCCGAGAAACGATCGAACTTTTGGAAGATAGAATTCGAATCATTGATTTCTCATTTGAACCTTGGAATGTTGACGGGGGAAATTTCATCCTGCTCGATTTCTCCAAGAAGGCACCACCATTGTCATTGGCAAAACCGTCAATTCCAGCGTTAAAGCGTTCACAGTCAACGATCTACCTTAAGTGGGCTTTAGAGAAGTTGGCCGTTTCCAAGACTCCTGAAGCGAGTGACCAGGAAACTCAGTCCCCAAGCTCGGTTTCGGTTGTTCACGATCCTACCATTTGCCCTATCCCCCAGAGTGACATCATATAGAGGGTACCTCTCAATTTCTCAGGGGAGTGTCATGAAGATGCGGCCCTCTACATCTCCCTCTGCAAGATGAGGTGGATGGGGACTCAATATTCGGAAGCTGACCGAGCTGAAGCTACGGCAGCGACATTACTAGTTGGCCTTAAAGGCCAAGGACGTCTATTTGCCGACGTGCAAAGCGAAGAAGACCGTATAAACATCGCAGTGATGAGTGCAAAGTTGATTGCGAGATTTCATCGGGAGGATCGAACCCTCCATACTTTAGAAATTTGTAGCCAAGTGGCTGAGATCAAGCAGAACATAGATGAGACGATGGATTTCTACAAGTAGAAGCAATCGTAAAGGGATCAACCCGGGCTGTTACCAATGCTCCATTAGTTGTGGCTCAGCGCATGAGAGTGCAGAGGATCGGTTGGTAGCTGCGCTGGGTAGAGTCTGGGACATGCGGGCTGGACAAGCATCTACTTCCGAGTCATTGCAGCCCCGTGTTCAGCAGATGCAGTCTCAACCTAGTTATCCGTATAAAATTGACGCCCAGCGGGATACCAGGGGCATTACCCGCCACCGCAACAGTCAGTGGGGGCCCGACCCTAATGGAGCGATCTGTTGGACCTGCGGAAAGGGGGGACATACTTCTCGAGAATATGGCAATAAGCCACTTCCCCTATAATACCAGCGCCGAAATACCGGGATGTTATTAAGATTTCAACCTCCACGACAAAGAAATCATCCAAATGTGCCCCGTAAGTGCCCTACTAAGAATTAATTACCATGTATTTTTCAATGATTTAATTGGCTGCTCCCTTATGGTTTGACAAGTATATGAGTCATTCTCCAACTATCAACCAATGAAATTGTTCGATCGAGGATGTCCGTAATAGTGGCCTAAGAACATCAAATCACTCGATATCCCTGACAATATCTGGGAACTAGCCTCTAGGACACATTGAACTGACCTTTAAGGAATGGCAGAGACAACGGAAAATGATGTAGTCGGCGATCTGATCGCGCAAGAACTATCGCATACTCCTTTTGCGTGTTCATCCCTTCGCCGTTTATTTGGTGGCACTGCAAACTTTGTATATGAAGGCATACTTGCTTCAACAGAAGAGTCTGTCCTCATCAAGCATACAACGAACTATTTGGCTTCCAGCCCAGACTCAGGCTTCAATATTGATCCTGTGCGATCCGTAAGTTCTAGTTCTAAATAGGCGGGAAAGGATCTTCGTTTGGGCTAATTTCCAAGGCAGATCTATGAGGAATATATTCTTCGAGTACTAGATGGTCTAGCACCATACTCACATGACAATCTGATGGTCAAAACTCCCCGGGTTCTTTACTTCAATGTAAAGACAGATACACAAGTTCTCGAATATCTTCCAAACTCAGTGGATCTGAAGTCATTCCTGCTCTCTGAAGAGTTCCAAGGAGTGTCGAAGCCACTAGCACAATCTCTTGGTCGTGCGCTTGGATCCTGGCTACGCCATTTCCACAATTGGGTGCGCGAAAAGCAGCAGGCGGAGTCCAGAGAGATGCTCGCCAAGAACGATTCCATGAAACAGTTGAAGTTCTCCGTAAACTATGATACTTTGATCAACACGATTGATAATTTCCCGGAGATTTTGGAAAACAGCCGTGATGTTTTTGAAAAGGTTCGCGGTCTTGCGGCAGCTGAGTTGAAAAAACAGCCCCATGATGAAGGATATGGAGTGATCCACGGAGATTTCTGGACCGGCAAGTATGTTTTTCTACCGCAAAAGCTAACAATGATTGTCAATACTTACTTACACTCTCACCAGTGTACTTATTCCAAAAGCTTTCCTTGGACAATCCGAAGTCACCATGTTTGTTGTTGATTGGGAGATGTCACAGATTTCCAACAGAGGATTGGATCTCGGCCAAATGATTGCTGAAGTTTTGCAGACGAAGCTCTTCAAACAGGTGGAAGGTAGCATATGGGTAATCGATGGATTTTTGCAGGGGTACGGGCATTTGACCGACGATATGGCCTTCCGAACTGTAATACACGCTGGAGTGCATCTTATCTGTTGGGGAAGCAGAGTGACTGGATGGGGAAGCCAACAGCAAATTGAAGAAGTCGTTCAAGTGGGAAAAGACTTTATCGAACAGGGTTGGATGCGAAATAAAGCATGGTTCGAAGGGGGAAGCTTAGAATTTCTGTTCAAGAGATGAATTGTGATATGTGATTCAGGATTCAGCTTTGCATTGAGTTTATCTACCTAGCTGAAGTGAAAGCTACTTTAAGTCTTGTTTCTATTCAGAAGGAAGGGGAAATACATTCGTTTGAACTCTCGGTTTATTTCAATAATGTTGCAAAATTACACAACTGTCGAGCAGTGAGTACTTGACCAATAACAATATCAAATTTCTCTTCTCCATCTCCATCAACCAACTCCCTCTCAACTCCTCCAATTTCTGTCTCTCATTCGTTTTGCTCTTCACAATTCCAGCGTTATGCTGAATTCTTGCTGAATTTTCACTTTCATCTCCAGCTCAGCGATTATCAAACAGAGCTTGCTTGTGATTACACACGCACGAGCTCTCTTCTCTTCTCCTGTTTTCTCTCGCCTTACTTTCAATACAAGCTGTGGAGATAAGCCGAGAGTTATTACGAGGTTTATCATCATTTGGGATACTGTAGGTCCCAACATTCACGCTTTCATCTCGACATTCTTTTGAAGAGATTAAATGTTAATATATCCTTAGACGAGTCGTTCCAACTATGGGATCGGAAGAAATGTACCCACATGAAGTGGCATCGTTGGCCTACACACACAGCATGGCCTACACACACAGCATGGCTACTACCTCCAGTCCTGGTCGCTACCGAATGGCATCATCGCTCTCGTCGCCCTCGTCACAAAATACTCCTCTTTTTGAAATCGATGAATCATTGAATGCACACGTTGAAATGCCATCGTGGTCTGAATGAGTCGAGAATCCTATGTGCAATATCGATCCATTGTTGTGTGCAGAAAGTAGAATTTCTTTGGATACTGTGAACACATTGGTGCGCGTAGAGCCTATAGGACTATTGCTGGAATCAGAAAATGAAACGTTACTGGCGGAAGGACGAATTGCGGCTTTTGTTACCAGCCCCGATTGTTCTGTGAGCGAGGCGAGGCCGCGTATGCTCGCCCAGTCAGGGACACGAAATCAAGGACAGTCTTCAAGACCCCCACTGGCTCCTACCACGGACAGAGCCACAGGAGCTCACCAGAGAAGGACGAGTGCGCACCAGTAACCCCAGTGCCAGCAATCTGGAACAGTGATGTAACAGTGAAATGACTGAGGGGATTAGATCTTGCACGATTTATCGTTCCCTTTTATTATTTTTACTGGCTGTGATAATTATCTATTAGACAAGCCCTCTCCAGTGAAACTTCAAAAAACAGTCTCGCTTCGTCGGCCTCTCGAATCATAGAAGCGAACGGCTGTAGCTTATACCACCACATCTGATTTGGCATTAGACGTAGTCGTAAGGCCTTTTGGGTAACAACCCCATGATCATGATCAGAAACATGAAAAAACCGCTTAATTTGTTGAAAACGCTTTAATTCCATATATCTCGGAGGTAATTGGTTTGGCGATATCTTTGACCAATACATCTCTGCTTATGGAGCTTGACAGATACTCATACATATCCAAATCGGAATAAATATCTTAATTCCGTAGGGCGTAATATCAGAACAATGCCTACCCTAAGAGCTAACACCCTTTAGATCTACGTATGTATTAGTATTTAGAGATGATAGGGTAAAGCGTCGGTAAAGAATAGAGAGAAGAAACCGAAAAAAGTCTGTTGCGATAGTAGTCTGAGAAACAAGGCTATCAACGCATGAGAGCCACAGCTCGGAGGACTAGGCTGAACTATCGGAATAAACGGCATCCTATACGGACTACATCACATTACAAGCGGCACCCTTTAACAGAGTGCATTGCATAGTAAAGGTATCCTTACACGGAGTGCATTTACAAACGGTGATGCCGTCTCTTCTGTCTTAGACCTTACAACTATCCCATACTGACTATTCGTAGGAACCACAGTGTTACCGACAAACGGTGAGTGGGGATGTCAAATAGGAATTTGACCGTCCAACCGTCATTGGTTGACGAAACTGGATTCTCTATTTAGGGAGGAAAAACCGCTTAAATACTGTCAAATAGACTGTGACTGGCTGGCCAATCATTCAAATGCCACAAATAAATGAAACTGAATTTTCTAACTAGGGCGTAATCTGGCTTAAATACACACCTAAAAGTGGGTCACAAACCACTTCCTTTGACAAATACACACATTGTGGATCCTGCAAACAGTACCCCTTATCCCTCCTTTGACAGGGGATTAGTAAGTCTCTTCACACTTCGTGCTTCACTTTATACATTATACTTTATTTGTTCGCTTTTACGGTAGTAAATATCGGAAGCGACACTCCCACTTCAACTCTCTTTTACTGCAGTAAATATCTCAGTCTACAGCGATTAGCACTGCAGTTGCGACACCTTCGCTAGTTATAACAACAGAGTCTTAATTTGGTGTCCACTTAATTTGATATCAGGAGAAGAAGCTCTAGAGGCATTTCAAGGGGCTCAAAAAACACATTCTCAGGAAGTGCGAAGGGCTAATACTAATCTTGAATGCAGAACTAGTGATGCCGACAAACTGTCTTTATTAAGCTTGAAGAGAAGAGAGAGAGACTAGCTATGGACATGTGGCAATATAAGGGATGCGGGTGCGGGTGGCACGTGACGAGCATGAGTGGCACAGGCATGAATGCTAAAGCAGGCACCAGCCTGTTACAGGAAGCATATCAGCCAGTAATTGAGGTTCTTCTATAGGCGATAGTTTAGGCGACAGTTTAGGTGATAGGGTAAGAGATCCAGCTACAGATGAGCTAAGGTTTCTGTTGTCCATATTCATCATGAAAATACTGGAAAACGCGTCCAAAAACACATAAACAGAGAGTGGAGAAGCGTGGTAAATCGACCCATTAAATAACTATGCGTGTTCTTTATTATAAAATAGCTTAGTAATATACGGTAGCCAACTATAGCTTCAAGTTTTGCCAAGGCGCTAATAGTTACCAGTCAAAGGGACAGTCACAGTTTGATCGTAGTTACGCCTCAAACTTATTAGGCAAATCACAAATATCGGCAAAATGTAGTTAGATAATGTTGATAATTACGGAGTACTTCACCTGAAAAATTGGAACCAAGAAGAGGATGAAAAGTGCATAAGAAATCCAGGTGAACCCAAGCAACCTCCTGGGTAGAACATGCAGCCGAAGATCTGCGATTTAGTACGCTAGACTCGAGATTTTTGAGATGCGGATCGAGGTGTGGAGACATCTCCGAGATCAACTTCCCGAGATCCGGCTTAAGTGTCGGCCGCTTTTGCCGCATTATCTTTGCATTATCTTTGGTCCATATCAAGAATCATACGATTCCTGTTAAGGTTGAATTTGCAAACCACACATTGAACTCTATTACTGTTTCCGAGGAGTATCTGTAGACCTCAAATAAAAAGCAACAATGGACTTTATTGAATCAGCGCATTGGCCAGAGGTCAGTGCGCTCGATTCTTAAAGCGTTTTTTAGTCAAAGCACATAGGAGCATGAAATCTGTGGATAACTCCACAACCTTTACTGTATTGAGATATTTCTCCCGAGTGACAGATGAATCTAAATACGGCTCTCCGCGGTGTTCCGGATTTCCAACTTCTATCATCAACAACCATGTAGCCCAAAGATCGCCATCATTATCTCGTATTCCCAGTCCCCTTGATGATTAAGGCTGACAGAGGTAACTTGTGTTGACAACTGGGCAACAAACTGGAATATATATACGAACTTGATATGATTACAAATTGGTATCTAGGTACCATTGATATGTCAAAGTAAAGTCAAACCTTGGAATAGAATTTAAATTCTGCACAGCATGATTTCCTGAAATATAAACCAAACTATAAACTGCAATAGTACAGAGAGAGAGGCGCTCAGGTTCCAAGGTTGACCATCGCTTGTTGAGCCTGCGAAAACTAACCTGATTTCTTAATGATCCTTTGATATCATCCATAGAAATTGATTTCTGGAAGATTTGCAGGATGATGAGCATCGGTTATAGGAATGATCAGCTTTTAAACTATTTTCGTCTGACCTTGTAGCCCAGGCAAGGACGTGAGACGGAAAAGGTGTCTTGACGAATTCCGTTAAGCCGCCATCTCTATTTAATCCACACCAGCTGCTCCACCACTGCTGCTCCACCACTGTTTCTTTTCGCCTTCTATCGCCCATTTTTGTCCAGTAATACGCATTTTTCATACCCCGCGTGCGTCTGATGAGGGTCTGGGCTCTCTAGTAAGATCCAATCATCTCTGCATAGACCACAACTCCGAATAAAATTCTTATGTAAACCAAGATTATTGGCGAGGCCATTATACTAGCGTTAATGTCCCAAAATTAATGACCCACCATTATTTGGGCTATTGATGGCAATTTAAGTCTTTTATGCCGCTTTCAAAAATGAGATCTTCGTACAAAACCGCGGATTATAATACTCTTATATATCCAAGGTCGCACATGTCTGGGTGTCCAGTCACTCTTTTGTCATTATTCATATTCACGCTCTTTTATTATGGGTTTACATGATTTATACCCTGCCTATGGAGGGCGTGGCCCAGGCGATCTGAAGATCGGACTCTCTCTGGGCGCCATTGCTACTATTTTCATGATCATGCGCGTCTATGTTCGGCTTCGATTGAACAAATTCGGAACTACAGCTCTGATTTGGTCCCTTGTTGCCTGGGTGGGAAGAATTTCTTCTACAATAATCAACCACATACTGACTTGAGTCATAGACATTTACTTCCGTCACACAATCCATGAGTATACTTTCTATTCTCTATGGACAGGGCCAGCATATCGACATTGTCTCCAAGACAGGAAATCTGGAAAAATATTTAGTCTTCACATGGGTCACCGTCTTCCTGTTTAGCATCGCAATTCCCATTGGAAAAGTGGCTGTGTGCGCATTTCTGCTTGAGATGAACGGACCAGGCAGTACGTCACCATACCTCCACCTTACTTTGACGTAGCCGTTTTTCTAATTGGCCATCTTTTAGATCCTAAGACTCGACTCAGTCTTTATATTGTTGGTGGAGTGAATGTACTCTTCGCTATCCCGCAGCTAGTGATCATTTGGACTCAATGTTCACCCGTCAACGCGCTATGGGATCCCAATAGACAAGAACTATGCCACACTTCAAGGGCTGCGTGGTATACCGCTTTCCTTGGTGCTATCGCGGCTATATCAGATTTATACCTCGCTATCATTCCAGCTGCGATGCTCGGCCCACTCCAAATTGATATCAGATTGAAGTTGGGTTTGAGCTTCCTGATGGGATGTGGTGTTTTCGCTGCTGCTTCTGCAATCGTCCGGTCTTGGGCTTGTCAGTTCATCTTGGTCGAAGATTCTACATGTTAGTGACCCATAATTCTAAACGCTATAATTTACTAACACGATTGAAGATGGTACCGGTCTTTTGTTCCGTTGGGGTGAGATTGAAGAATGGGTTGTTCTCATTTGCATGTCTATCCCACCAGTTTGGCCATTATTACGTCCCATTACAAGCAAGTTTATCGCATCCAGCAACGGAAAGTCAAGCCAGGGCCCTTATACCAGCAAGGGCTATAATCAGTTTGCCTCAACTGGAAGAGACCTTACTTCGACCGTGGAAGCTCCCATTGTCACAACTACTATTTCTATTTCATCCAACAAGAATGGTGGAACAACAGGAACGGAGCGCGTGGAAACATCATCTTCAGACTCCATTATCAGATACGACGAGGAGCGGCCCCATAATGTCTTAAATACTAGCGGTGACCCCGAGGGCTGGGTTGAAATGACTGGCTATAATAAACATACTCAGTAAACAGTTACTCAAATGGGTAAACAATTATTTTTCCCTTTTGTCAGATAAATATATAACTGTTGATTATATAGATATTATCTCATGAGAACCTGATTGACTTATAAGCCCGGGCTGCCCACATGTTCACTTAGCACTGCTGGAAGTCGCTGTCAGAAAAGTGAGGTTCTAACGGTGCAAATGCAATTATATATCCTTGTTGAATACTAAGTGTGTCGACACGGAGTTGTAAGAGGTGTGTATTCAAGTCTCTCTTCTAACTGAACTGAATGAATTCCACTGCCCCACTTCTGGAAACTTCGGGAAAACATAACATGCGTGTTGAAACTCATGATGAACTCGTACCACCAACCTAATGATACCAACCATTGATGAAATCGTGATAATCCCTACCTGATCCTTCATACCGAGGGCTCTGATGGTGGATCTATCAGTAAAGTAGACTCGAAAAACCTAACATGCGTTTATTTCAAACAACACAAAACCCTTCGGACTATCACTACAGAAAATATCTACAACCCCAATGAAACAGAAAAAAAAGGAGGATAGGAGATCTGATGGATAAAACAAAATGAAATTTTACTACGGCAAATATTGGGAAGATCTAACTATCAACGAAGTAAAGTAAGCAATAGAGTAAAAGAACTGAGCAAACGTTGTCAATAGAGGGTGGTGGAATAATGTTCATTGGTACTGGGTCTATCCTAAAGATTCTTGACTCCGTCAATTATGGCAGCCAGAAGTTCAGCTTAGCCGGACCACGAGGCTCATCTCCAATATCGGCGGCTATTATCATTCCCGCCTCGCAATTTCGGACCGGATCACTAGAATCTTCAAAAGTGCTACTTGCGATAAGATCTCCTGGGATCTCAGATCCAGACACACAGCGAGCAAGCGTTTTCAAGGTCGATCGGTTCAGGTAATCGCCCTCCGAGGGCCAAAACTTCCTAACCTCAACCTTAAGAGCTTCCAGCATTTCGGCAAGTTGACGACGCGTCTCTTCATCGAGGTTCTTGGCGAGGTCGTCCCAACTCTTTCTTTTCATCCAGAGATAGGAGATTATAAAGCGGAGGTAGAGATAGCGACGGCGGGGCCGGTTGAGACCAAGGAATCGAAGCTCTTTACCGTCCAGATCCTAAAAAATTGTTGGCTCAAATCTGGACAAAATTCAGTCTATCAAGGCAATTCACCTGCAACAATATGTCTCTAGCCTTGTCACCTCCTCCTAGCACGATGTTACGTCTCTTTTCCGGGTTCATCATGACACATCTCCATGATGTGGGTAAAGTTGTCTCTCCTGCCATTGGAATTATTGCAAGATCTCCTGAGTCATGGAGTATCTCTACATTAGCTTGAAGGCAAAGACTGTTTTAAGGTATTATCGTTACAGCATCCTGGTCGCCAAAACGATGGCCAAGCTCGGCCCGAGACATGGCCTTTGGAACGATGTGAGCTGCTTTAATCATTTTTGGCTCAAAGAAATCGCCAAGCACATTGCAAAAGGAAAGGGCAGGGTACTTCTTGCGAACTTCGTAGTACTCTTCAACTTCCTCCTTGAAGTTCTGTTTGTCTTTCTTGCTCCACACGGCACGTTGGCGGCCTGACGATGCCATTATACGCGACATAATGGTATCTTTGTATACTCGTTCGAGAAGGCTTTGATCAGGTGGTTCAGATAGTCTTGGTTGTTTCTTGGGGATAGCAGCTTCAGCTAGATCGTCTGCCAGGAGACCGTTTTGTCGCTTGAGGACTCTCAGAGTTGACGATGATGTTCTCATTTTAGTCGTGTAAGGAGCGATCTGATTCCAGTATGCAGCATCATCTAACCCAGATTCATCCAGGATGGTCTTATACGAGGCGATGTAATCCACCTCTGTCTGTAGCTCTGTGATCTTTTAGCAAGAAAATCAGATGCCGACGACTCGACCGATCCCCTGGAGATCTGGGACGTCAGTGAAGCAGTACTGTGGGCCTGACCCTCGTGGATGGTGAAATTTTCTGGTGACATTAAGAATGAGTAATCCATACTCTCGGTAACTCTGTCTTTCTCCATGACTTGAAGCAAATAGTATTGATTTTAAAGAAACAGAGAAGTGGAAGTCACCCATTATTGTTATTTAGATTCTGTTTTAGGTTTAGTCTTATATTAGTCAGCAATATAATGCTGGATTTCGTCCGTGACACTAACCGAACAAAGCGGGTTGCTGGTATCTACTACATCCCAGCAAATTTTATGGCTCATACAAGGTTCATATTTCCGGGAGCTCTAGGTTAAAGTAGAATATATGCAATTCCAATTTTAAACGAACCCATATAGTAGAAGTCGAGTTATGGCCGATCGAAATATCTTGCAACTTTTTGGTGGGGACGGCAGATAAAATGTCAGTACACGACCAGTGGTATTGCTTGTATGAGATTTCTATAGTTAAAATCAAAGGGTCTGACCGAATAACTGTAATTTACTGTACTGCGAAAGCCAGATCAATAACGTGCAAGTCATCATCAACCTTTACGAGAGGGGAAACATCAATGTGAACGACTCCATATATATCGTGGACGGCCGTGTTGTAGCCACGACCGAGGAATGTTATGCCACTAAGAAGCCGGCATTCTATGAGCTGGGCAATAAAGAGACAGCCTATCAGTATGCTCAAAAGGCATAGTATCAACTTAGTCAGTTCGGTATCATGCACGAGGTATGCTCTTTTTCTCGGTTGCACTCTATTAGCGGGCTTTTAACACATTTAGATCAGAGCTTGCATCCGTATTCCAACTAATAATGGAGGCGATGGCGCCTACCTTCACATCAAAGTACTTAGTACCAAATGACTCGGGTAGTAACCATCGAACATGTTTTTAACATGAAGCGGCAGTACTTGCTGCCAGATTACAATTATAAACTCCCGTCATGGATCAGGATACCATTACTTTGGCCAATGGCTGCCAAGAGGTTCTCTTCAGTTATGACATGGAAATACAACTGGAAGATTTCAATTTGGCTGCGTTTGGACCTTGGTTTACCGAACGAGTAATACAGCGAAATGTGAACTCCTGGGATATGGACCGCAGTAATATACGCCAACAGTTTTTGATGGGTATGGGACCGAAGAACCCCAAGCTAAGTGTGGCCACCACTAAGGGTGGCATGTCTTTGGGTCTCGCTACATAGTCCTTTGGAGGTTATGATAACGTTTAATTCACACTATCATAATCATAATCATAATATCAATTCTGTACTATGCTAAAGCAGTTCGTCAATTTCAGTCATTTTCCACTAAAGCACTGCCTCTCGAGAGATGGCTATGCACTTTTCAATTCGTGCATATTTACATATTTCTTGGCATTGACTGACTGGTTACGTTATGGTAAGGACTCGACTTGTCAAATCCGTTCTTGCCCCTTAATTGCTTCTTTGAAACCAGAAACCCACCTCGTTCTTTCCCATCTCCACCGCTGCTCTCTCTCTCCCTCTCCCGGCTTATTCTCGTCACCTCGTATAAAGCATATATGAACGGCCCCAGGGAATTGCTGGTTGTCAAATACAGCGTCTAAGAAGCATGCGACTTGAGCATGGAAAGAACGGTACGTAAAGCTACCTACCTTCTCCAAATCAACTGCCAAATTTCAAATTTTCTACAAAGGGCGGACCAAAATATCAGGGTAGAATGTATCCACTATTAACCCTAGAAACCAGGGGTCAGAAGAATAGCCTAGTAAATTTCAAGGTTGTAATTCGATAAATGCCGCTCCGCCACTACTGAGACTGAGACCCCAAGTGGCATGTCATCAACTAATCAAGTAATGGAAATTGTAGATCTCGTTTCAATTACGAGGTCTGTTCGAATTCGGATTCAACCTATTCCATTAAAGAGGCAGAATGAAATTAATATCATTCAATATGCCATAGATAAAAAGAATTTATACTGCGTAAAAGAGCTGTGAAATTTTAGATATTTCAACTAGATGTGCTTTGCAGAGCGAATAAGTTTACAAAGACTAGAGTTCATATACATGAACAGCAACTGTGGCCGAGCGGTTAAGGCGTTAGACTCAAGTGTAAAGCTTCTCCTGGTTAACCAGTAGTGTATTCTAATATCGAAAGATGCGAGGGTTCGAATCCCTCCGGTTGCATTTTTTTTCGTGGAAAAAAAGGAGGCTTTCAGAGTGGGGTAATGAAATACACACTAACCGCTTTGGGCGGATGTACTAAAAAGTTAGGCAGAATCCATGATTCTATTTCAACATGCACTGCTATCATCAGACTTGTACAAAATTCACTTACAAATATAAAAATGCAAGTGACTTCTGGAGCAGGTGGAACCTTCCAAGTCTTTCAAGGTTCAGTCATTATTTCTTTTTTTTTTGTTCCACCAAAATCATTAAGAAAACAGGTATTTATTATATTTATTTAAATCGTCACCATATTGGGGCTTTTTCAATAGTACCTAATTAGACAGCTTGTGGAATTCAAATGTAAGGAATCTTGACCGGGGAAGACTTTAAACATGCCAGCCCGCCGGAGAGGTTACAGGTTCACCTTCTCAAAAATGTCAAAGCTGCAATACACAGCGCATCCATACCAGTTTTTAAAGTTGGTTGGATGACAGGTGCAAATAGAGCGGAGTGATTCCCAGGGATCTCCTCCATACGGTCATTCTTCTCCGCCTGGTCCCAAAGCTCTGGATCCACTCCACCGATAAACCAAAATGAATAAGGAATACCCTGGGAAGTGCCCAGCGTAGAGAAGTCCTCGCTGACGTTGGTCCTTGGTGTATCGGCATCGAAATCTGAGAAATGATCTCCGAAAGACGCGGAAAGTTGTAATGCTGAATGGCGATCATTATCAGTTGGCGGAAACCGTCTTGTCTGTGTGATCAATGGTGGCTTTGGCGAGCCACTAGCTTGGCACTCAGCCTCAACAATGCGTTGGATGGCAGACAGGATCTTCGAACGTGTCTCTAGTTTGACTGATCGGAAATCAACCCCAATCTCGGCTTTGTCCGCGATAACATTCTCTGTCTGTCCTGCCTGGAGGCTTCCAACAGTCAAGACAGCAAGATCACTCGGGTCAATCTCTCTGCTCACAATACTTTGAAGTCGCAGGACTACGTGTGCAGCAAGGAGTACAGGGTCAACCGTCTGATGTGGCATTGACCCATGGCCACCGCGACCGTAGAGAGTGATTTTTAAGCTATCGGCTGCAGCCATAATTGTGCCAGGTCGTGAGCCAACAGTTCCAGCACGCATTCGCATGACATGCTGACCGAAAACATGATCTGGCATCGGAATTTTGGAGTAAAGTCCATCGTCCACCATAGCCTGGGCACCTCCGCCCCTCTCTTCGTTTGGCTGGAAGAGCACGATCAAAGTTCCACTCCATGCATCCTGGATTTTCGCTAGCATTTCTGCGGCCGCAAGAAGACAAGTAATATGCATATCATGACCACAAGCATGCATCACTGGTTTCTCAATACCTTCGGAATCATACATGATCACTGAACTCGCATAGGGGAGGCCAGTATTTTCCTTTACGGGAAGGGCATCAATATCGGCCCGCAGAAGAACTGTTTTCCCCACACCATTCTTGAGAATACCTACGAGTCCATATCCACCTATCTTTGTGTGGATTTCATAGGCTCCAAGCTGTGATAAATGGGAAGCGATTGTTTCAGAAGTGACTTTTTCCTGAAGTGAGAGTTCGGGATGAGCATGGAAATGTCGGTAAAGATCTTCATAAGGTATCAAATCCAAAGCAGCATTGCTCAAGATCTCTGAGAAACTTTTCTTCTCCATTTGGCAAATTTGATGTTTCGCTGGTTGTTGATTCAAAGTTAAAGGTGGTAGAATATTGAGTCATTTTGACCTTCTGAAAGCGGTCAGTACTCAATTGTCCTAGTCTATCTTCTGACACTATTCTTTGCATGGCATTGGTCTCCAAGGTTCATGCTTGGGTGGAGACAAGTGAAATGTCACTATTAGATTCAGTTCGGATTTTTCGAAACCTGGAGCTGCCTCAATTGCTGAATAACTCCATTCCATTCAAAGCCCAGGTGTTTTTCCAGCTGGAATGGTCTACATGTCTGCTTTGTGAAAACAAGATTATATCCGGAGATTTACTACGATATAATACCCCATAACTGAGTGACCCGAAAAAGTTGCTTGGATTACTCTTTCGATTTATCCGCCACTTAATTTTCCATCGCCCAGGTTATTGTAGGTTATGCCAGCCGCTTCTTCAGTGAAAGTATCGTCCTCAATTCAACTCATATGTATGTCGTCCTCAATTCCATGAATTTTGAAATCCCCCACATCAAGCAAAGCAGACGGCACTATGCGCGCCCTTAAAACTTTTAAAATACCTCTCTCCGTGAAATTCTTGTCTGATATTTTCCGAAACCCCTCAACTGTGCATAACTTACATAACAGAATATAAGCCCGCCATCCACACTCAGTTCTCTCTTTGAATAGGCGATTGGCCCGATCGCCGCCTCAGCTACGATTCTTTTTCCATTCTCTCTTGCAGAATAGTGTACCAACGGCAGGCGCTGTGTATGAATTATCTCCATCTCCCTTCATCAAAGACACAAATCCAATCATGTTGCTTTAAGATAATGGAGCCTTGAAATGGAGCCTTGAAATAAAATTCAAAGAGACAAGCATTTGCTAATATCGATTTCTTGTAGTCGCTTTGGGCTTTGTTAGCAATGAAGGCCTTTTCTGGTGTATCTAGATCTGTGTTCCCTCTTCTTGGATGGATTCATCTATATCCCAATCTTGGAAGCTTATGGAAGAAAGCGCCATACGAGAGATTTCCTTACTCTATGTAGCAAATGTGTAGCCATTCAGTGGGAATACTTAATTTGGCTTGTAGAGCGAAAGTACTATTGTCAAATTGGTCATCAAAACCCATACCGAAACAAATATAGACTAAAGAAAATGCTTGTGTGATGGGTCTAGAAGGCAATTGTGCTGAGCTTCATACTGACATCTGGGTAAGTGAAGACCTTGGGAGTAGGAGTATTTCCAGCGCTGAACTATGTGTCAAATCAAGTAGCGATTGGTGGAAGCCAATCAATATCCCTGTAGGCAATCAAAAATGTTGCAGAGAACAAACAGACTATATATCCACCTTGGTCTGAACAAAATACGTTCATATGTAGCATTGTTGACCAGGTGCAAGCATGCTTCGATGTAAGCGAGGTCACCAAGAGATTGTTTCATTCAAAGCATATGGCTGACTTTGCTCTTTTCAGACCGCTATTGTAATTTTCATTGATAATGTTGCAACTCTTGCAGTTGAGAGCTGTCTTTGTCTACTCAGACACAGCTTCACCGTCCGTAGTATGAACATTGTATCCGATGAACAAGTGATACGGCGTATGTAGCAGACCCTGAGGATGTTCAGAGAAAGAGAGTGCGCTTCGAAGAAGAGCTAGCGATGACGTCCTCAATATCTTGACAGCCGACAGCCCATGTGCGAGATACATCATATAGTACTCCACAATTTTTCAATACTGGGTTGGATAACATAGTCAAAAATACGCCGAGATAACAGGTATGGCTGGTATTATGAAATACCACCTAAACTCTCCATTCGGTGCCTAGTCATCTGTTCTGGTCGTGGAACTCGAGGGTATATCTATACTCAATGTTCTAAAAGCTAATTATTTAATTCAATGTTTTTTCATCTCCAAACTATGGTTCAAAAATTGAAGTTTTCGATTGATTTGCAAATCATTATTAGTAAGCAGAGTGGTTCAACAACTCCTGACAAGCTGTCGAACAATTTTTTAGAAATACATCTATGAATTCATAATTTTACTTGTTCAGGATTTTTATGTCGTGAAAACTGCTGACTTCAAGACACAAGAAAATTATTCCAGGCTTCAATTCGAGATAATCACACCCGCCTGTCAGCAGAATGAAACTAGCAACAAAGCTAAATAGTACCCCCGTGTTTTACCTTCACAGCCAATGTCCACACTCGTTCCAAATTAACTTAGACCAATAACCTACTACCATACGCTGTTCAGTTAACAAAAATGTTGTTTCATACTTTCTACCAAGTGTGTACTCCGTTTATATTTTGACGTCTCGCACGTTCGTATTATCTACATTTAAGGAGCTGAAGTGGGGAAATTTTGCAAGGGTTTAAATGATATTGCCCAAGTTTGATTGCACAAGGAGTGATCCGACTACTTTAACTACAGAATAAGGGAGATGAATGACAACTGAAACCTTGGAAACAAAATTCACTAACATGAAAGTGGAAAGAGGCCAAGTCCGATCTAGGAAAGTGGATACTCTGTGCAAATTCACTATACAGTTCGGAGTAGAAGCGTGAAGATAGACATCCCTATAAACAAAGAGTATATCTACTTCGACATAACTGTGTACAATTCATCTGATCATTCCATCCTTCACCCTCATTTGTCATTTCTACTGCTGAAGATTATTACTTGCCCTACCTATTCGTTCCCTTCACAGTTCGGCATTTAAAATGGGCTGTTTTACCAAACTATTCATTTCAGCTATACTTGGCATCATTCCTTTAGCCTCTGCTCATCTTGCTGCATATACTGATGGCATGTACTGCCCAGAGGTAAGCCCATATGACCTCTTCATATTGTTCAAGTTGATACATGAGGGAAACAACGACTGATAAATTATGTCTTATAGAATTCATACAAAGGACCATTGAACAACGCCACTGACCCTAGCTTGATTGTTTATGATCCTTTGTACAATTTGACGAGTGACAGCTGGTATGTGATCAAACCATGAAACGCCCCAGTTCAGAGCGCTAATACAAAACGCAGGTTCCTATCACGAGGCCGAAACTGTCTCTTAGCGGAACCAACAGGTGTCTGGGAAATCGCGGCAAATACTGTTATTTCTGTTCCCTGGGCAAATTGGCAGAACTCAACTGGCTATTATGCCGACGGCAAGGAGTATAACGAGCGCCCTATTCCGTACTCGGTAACGAACCCGGAAGTCGTCGCTGATGGTCTAGTCACCTCCTCCAACGGCTTATCATCGCCTAACATGCACGCGGCAAACAAGTCCACCGCAGCTGGAACTGCCATTGCAATTGCTTATGAAAGCAACGTATGGGCGGTTACTATGGACAAGCTTGTTGTTATTTCCACTGCTCCCGAGACCCCCTTTGAGAGATTGGCCAACTACTCCATCCCTGACTTGGCTCCTTGTGAAGAGTGTATCTGTGTTACTGGGTAAGTTCACACCAGCATTACTACATCTCAATCTGTTTTCTAACCGAAATATTGTGATAAAGGTGGATTCCCGACGGCTTTGGCTTACAAAACATGTACATGGCCGCACACAAGTGCAAGATCACAAACCCTACCGGCGGAAAAATCCCCAATATCCCTAGTCACGTTCCCGGTGAAGGCGTCAAGGGTGCGAAGCAAATGATTGCAGCCTTTCAGTGGCAAGGAAACAACGTTCAGTGGAAGGCTGGTATAAACACAACGGTTCCTACTTACTCGACTCGTATGGGCTACATGGAGGGTGCGCAGACCGATATATTCGAATCATCCGTGTGCACCAGTGCACTGCTATGAAGGGGCTTCCCATTCTACCTTGATTAGACCTTACTTAGAGTCCGAGCTTCTCTCCATTTCTCAGGCTTTTTCTTCTACAAGAATCTACAAAGTCCAGATCATCTCCATCTTCGAGCTCAATAGCAATAGACATAATACCTGGGATTAGCTGGTTCAGAATTTATAGAAAAAATCTCTATTCGATGCGTGAAAGTATCTGTCAAAAGGCCTAGTCCCACCTATATAGTCAATAAAGCCTTCGTAATTTGGGGACTTCGTAAAATATCATCTTTTTGAGAGATTAAATTTGGCAGGAAGTAGCAAATTCTACATAATTTCCTGAAAAGAACTTCATTAATGAAATTACGTACGAATTCAATTAGGATGGTTAAAGAGATACCATGATTTACACTAAAACGATGAAAAATACAAGCATAAGATATTGATGCTTCATATCTTTATGCTATAGAATTAGGCTTAGCGTAAGGCATTAAGGCAGAAATTCGTATAATTGGATATTCAAAAATTAATCCAACCCACTGCCCATGTCTAAGATAGTATCTAGGCAGTATATACTAAGATAGATACATTCAAAGTTTTTTATTTGGGTAGGCCTCTTCATATGGATGTCGGACCCGCGTTAGCGCAGGTTCGTAATAAATTGGTAATTTATAGAGGGAGCCGGTCGTTCGAGAGCTTAAAGCAAAATTTCGCCCTCTAGCTCTCCGCCGCTTCTCCCCAGGCTAATTTATCCGACACTACCGGTTCAGTTTGGTTCCCAGGCCGTTCTGGATCAAAATCTAGTCGATCCGGAATTCTCAGGCCAGCAGGTAAGTGGTATCGAACAAACCAAACTGACACGCCATCCCGATACAGCCAGGGATCTTCCGTCCGAAGCTGCCATTTTTCCAATTTTGACCTCAAATCTTCTAAGACGCCCTTATATCCTGGATCTTTGATCAGATTGTGGACCTCCTTTGGATCATTCTGCAGGTCATATAACTCCTCTGGGGGTCTGAAGAAGTAGTCTTTCAACTTTCGATCACCAATCTTAATATCACTTTCAGTTGAATTACGGATATCCTCCCATGATAAAGACCCATAAAGATCAGCGGCAAATGGAAAATCTAGGCGCCATGCCAGATTTCTATGGTACTTGAATCTGCGATCACGGATGTAGCGGGTAGGCCAATAATTGGTCACCTCATGGAAAGTATGAGAGCCAAAGACCTGGTTAAATTCCTCAAGACTAGAAGAATTGCCAAGAAGTGGAAGGATGGAGCGACCAAGGCGCTTGCTTCGGTCATGGGCAGCTGGGTGGCCAGTGAAGTCAAGAATGGTAGGGAGAATATCAACCCACGAAATCAAATTGGGACTAACAGCAGGAGAGACTTTCGGATGCCTGATTATGAGGGGGAGATGTGTGCCCGCATCATAGAGTGTGGTCTTGGAGTTGATGAATGGTGGGCCATTATCGCTGATGAAGATGACCAATGTTGACTCGTCCAACCCCGAATCCTTCAGGGCGTCAAGGATGAACCCCACACCTTGGTCAAGCCGATGAATAGAATTGTAATATTCCGCCAATTCCAGACGAGTCCCTGGAGTATCGGTGATGAAGGAGGGGATCTCAACTTGGTCTGGCTGATATTGACCAGAAGTGATCCGATCGTCGTATTTTTCAGTATTTCCGAAGCCACCCCTTGTTCGATCACGATGGGGATCATGAAACCCAATGGTGAGGAAGAATGGCCTAGTATCTTCGCTAGACTCCTGGAAAAATACTCGGGCCTGGTCTGCGATCACAGCAACGTCACGTGTTTCGCTCTCCTGGTTCTCCTGCCACGGATAAACGGCTGCTGGTCCAACATGGATTTTTCCCAAAATTCCCGTTCTGTGACCAATATTGTTGAGCAGAGAGGGTGCAGTTTCTACATGGTCGAATGTCACGAAATGATGCCGATGACTCGCAAGTCCATATTGCCCATTTTGATGGGTATGTAGACCGGTATAAAGAACAGAGCGACTGCCACTGCAAGAGGCTGTACTTGCAAAAGCGTAGTCAAATTGCGTTCCTTGAGCAGCTAGGTGGTCGATATGAGGGGTCTTGATCGTGCTTGCCCCATAACAACTTAGCTGCCTTCCCAAATCATCGGCGATCAGCAGCAGTACGTTTTTCTTTTCCGACATTTTTTCGAAAAGTGGCCAGATTTGGTACGGGATTTCGTATACTGGGTGTAGATATTTAGCATTTAAATAGCTGGAAAGGTGTTATCGCACTGTGTCTGTAGCCAGCGGTCGGTCATCATATGCAGAAGCGATATCGGAACAATTGCCTGAGGGCACAGAATCACGTAATTGAGATCCTGTTTTTGTAATCTTTGCACTGATTTGTTCCGCCTGCAGGTACTAAGTTGACTTAAGAGACCACCCCACAAAGGTAGTATTTTGTTGATTGTAACGAATACACAGCAGTTCTGTAGAAGAAACGCAATGTTGTCTAACAATGGTGTGCTCATTTGGGAACACATGATGCCTTGCAACGACGCTGAAATTTAACCGACATACCTTATGCTGTATTGAGGGCTTATTGCAATTACTCCAGCCAATAGAAGAATGCAAGGCAAAGTTGCAGCAACATATCTCCATTATTGTACATTCAGTATAGTAAGTTGCCATATGTCGCCATTATTACGCATTCAATATAGTGAGGATACCACCCGAGGTTCATGATGCTCTTTGCCTTCTAAGTTGAACTAAATTTGAATCGAGACAAAGGCGCAACAAAAGCACCTTGGAAAATTGAGTGAGAAATGAGTTACATTATAAAAGGAAGATGTGAAAGAATAAGATGGAGATCAATCTTTTTTAGCTCACTTCAGCGTATCAAATAAGTTGGTACAAGGTTTTTAACTATTGGAAGTCTTTTGTGACAATGATTCTATCAATTCCATTGCTTTTTTATTTCTTAGCAGGGCTGGTCACAGGCCAGCTGATTGGTCCTGTCGGTCCAACAACACCCCTTGATGAGAAAACAATTGAGTGTAACATACTTGATTACGGTGCTGTTGCTGATAATGCTACCGATATCGCTGATTCCCTAGAAAGGACATTTACCGAATGTGTCTTGCAAACTCCACAAAGTCGTCTTCTCGTACCAGAGGGTGATTATTTGCTCAGTCGAGGCGTGGTATTGAGCAATGGGACCAACTGGGCTTTCCAGCTGGATGGGTTGATTACAGCCGCTTACGGTGGTAATTGGACAATAGACCGTGAGCTTATACTCCAGGGGTTTGCGGGAACTGAAATCATAAACGCGACAATCAACGGAGAAGGTGACAATAAATTCTTACTAGATGCCCTTGTCATTGTAAATGGTATGTGTTGCTTGATCTGCTTCGGGTTTTCATAAAAACTGCCCGCAAACAGCAAAAATCAAGCTACAATCTATCTGACACAAAATTTAAAACTGACAATTATCGTTCTCTAAAGCTGTGGATTTTGAGTTCTACTCCTTAAATGGCCTTGGAGCCATTCAAGGGCAAGGTTATATTTATCGTAACCTAGACAAGTAAGTTTCTGGCAAATGGTCCAATTGAAAAACAATTGATATTTGGGTGGGGAAGTTAACAAGAAGTCCAACAGCACTGATCGACCCCGCCTTGTTCGACTCATTTCACCCACCAATGCTTCTGTTCATGACTTGATTCTTGTTGATAGTCCAAAGTTCCACATTGTTCTGGATTTTGCAGAAAATGTGGAAGTATATCACCTCACTATTCGAGGTGCAAACCTTGGTAGCTATGATGGTATCGACGCAGTTGGGACGAATTACCATATTCATGACAATGAGGTACGTCGGAAGTCCAAAGCCAGCGGACCCTTGAATTCAATATTCACTTCATATTACTCAGATCACAAATCGGGATGAATGTGTCTCGGTGAAAAGTCCTTCCCATTTTGCCTTGGTTGAAAATCTTGTTTGCAACCAGGCAGGGTCCGGGATATCTATTGGCAGCTTGAATGTATCTGCTGAGATATCAAATATTGTAATACTGCTAACTTTCCATCATCATTTTGACAACGTTTCTCACGAATTATCTCCAGGAAGCTCGCAATATCAGTATAATCCAGGGGAACAACATCGCCTTCATCAAAACCTATCCTGGAGGATCAGGCTATGTGACAAATGTGACCTTTTCCAATTTCCGATCCCTTGGAAGTGCGTACGGGTTGGATATCAACCAATATTGGCAAAACACTCTCGAGCCAGATACTGGAGCTGTATCTCTCAGCAATATTCTGTTGAAGAACTTTACTGGTAATTTCAATCCGTCATAAAATAGAGAAACGATGTTAATTTAAGCCCATTTACAGGATCAGTTGCGAATGGAAAGAAGAGAGGACCTCTCGTTCTGATCGCCAACGATTTAACATTTGCGACGAATATTACGGTAGAGGAATTTAGCGTTTGGACGGAAACAGGTACGGAGATCATAAACAAGATAAGCAATGTGTTCGGCCAAGGCGATGATAGCTATGGATCCAATAACGGTATTGCGACTCTAGCAAGTGGGCAAGATCCTTACACATACACTCGATCATACACCATCACAAGCTCCCCAAATGGTTGGACAGCACCAAGCTCCCCTACTTGGGCCGCACCTAGTACTGGATACGGCACTGCATCACCGATCCCTGTGTACACCCCGGCTGCTCTATGGCGTCCCGGTGGAATAGACTATGATTTACATTACTGGGGAAGCTTCTGATACGGTGAATTATTGACCGTTTGAAAAGCCAGTTATCTAGTTGCGACAGTCATGTGACCCTACATTTGGGATGTAACTCGACGTTTTCTCTTCGAGCTTACCCAATTACCATGGTAGAAATAAACACCTGTTCCTCCGACACTAGTGCATGCATCGTATCTTTGCTCACGATAATTAAAGCCCTAGGCGTTCGGTATGAAAGTGCATAGTATTCCAAATAGTACCTTTTGGCATAACTAAAGAACCTTGAACTCAAAGGATCCAGCTGATATCACCGGAAAAGCTCCTATGTTCTTCAAGCTTGACAGTCTGTAACACGGTTAATTTTCAATACTTTGCTCTCTGTCTAGATTTTGGTACGATCGTATGAAAATGTGAATATCATCTTCTCGAGGGCTCAAATGTGGCTTCGTAGATGGATACTTATATTCATCAGTCCAATTATATTTCAATCGATCCACCCAGTAATTATCAATATCTGATAAACCCGCCCGGAACTGTGCTGCTCAGGTAGAAACATGGATCCTGGCTATTCGAGTAATCAAGTGACACGGCTAATATTGGGGCGGCTGAATAGCTAGGTTACCAACCTCACTAGTCGATTTACGGGTAATTGCCTCCGTTACTAACTCCATTTTGATTCTTGGCATATCACTACCGCAGCCCACGACCACAGTCTTGGGTCAACCTCCCTACTATAGACGTTGAAGACGTGCTCTAACGTGATCGATGTGCCTTGGATACTTTCTGGGATACTTTTCTAATAAGAGGAGAAAGGAGATCTGCCAATTGCTGGTAGGTTGATGAACTACGAACTACCAATAACCCCTTTCGGAAACTTCACTACCTCTTCCTTTGATTTAGTCATGAACTGTGCGTTCTATTCTCTCAACAGCTCCAGGCGGAAATAGCCGAAGTTGATCTAAAATGTGCCACTCAAAGGGTCGAAGGGTCAAAGGAACCAACCATACAGGTTGATAGGGTGACCCTCCTGTTCCTGCACCGTTGACAATGGAAAACGCCTTATGAACATCCATTGGTCAATGATCGAAAGTAAAAAATCCCGTGCCTTATTCTTTTATTTCATTTTCTTTCTTTTCTCAACACTCAATTTGTGTAGAAAGTAAAATATCGGTGAATTTACATTCCTTATGCCCCTATCATCCGTCGCTCATTTCATCGAACGATCGGTCAAGTACCAAGTAGCTAATCTTGTGGTAAGTCTGAATTTGAGTGTTCATCCTCCAGAGAATGTTCCAATATTGGTTATTGTATGGCAATTGTCGAAATATCCATATACCCACTCAGTGGGTTCCGGACCCTGATAAGAAATTCGAGAATTTCCACCAATCTCAGGGCCCCACGTTGTAAACTGCCTGTTACCGAGTTCAAGCAGTTCTATATATTGTTGCTGTTGATTGGCTTGTGAAATCTAGTCATTTACGCTTATATGGCGAATAACTCAGCTAAGTCAGACAGAGACCCCACCGAATCTATTTCCATCGAAGCAAATAGGAATCACCATTATAACAGCTATCTTGATTGAGCAAACTTTTATTGTACAGATATTCTGACGTATATTAGTGTCTTTTCACTTACCTATGCAGGAAACGTCCAGTTGATAGCGCAAATATCGAAGCGATATTGAAGCGATGGTATCACAATTTACATGAAGCACGCATTTTAATCACCCATTCCAATGTTACCCAGGAAATCACAAGGTGATTCCTGAAGCCGACAGCTGACTCAAAATGAAAGAAGGTACTGGCCAAAAATATATAAATTCAGCCGTCTGGCAAACCACTAAACCCTGTCCGAACGAATAATTAATCCACATATTCTTATACTCTTTGGCTGGGCTTTTCTTCTTCTAGGAAGGTCCTGAAATGGCGCTGCATTCCGCCACGCCCGTCAAGCTTGAGGCTGAGGTTTTGAGCACCGGAGAACCAGATTTGAAGAATGGAGGCTCCGTGAGTCTAACCCTTGCAGAGCCTGAGGATGTCCCCGAATCGCATTCACTGCTCTCCTTGATATTTCGACGCAAGAATAAGCACAGCCTTGACGCTATTGCGACCACCCGGAGCGTGTTTGATGATCCGCTTCTCGCTAAATACTACCTGCCTCGTTCAGACTATGAGAACATCCACCGCTTTGATCCAGATGCGAGATGGACATATCGAGAGGAGAAATCGTTGCGACGAAAAACCGATTGGACAGTCTTCCTATGGATATTGGTCATGTTCTTTGGACTAAATCTGGATAGAGGAAATCTGGGCAATGCTGTATCGGATAATTTACTGGATGACCTGCATCTCAGTACCAACGACTACAACAATGCTCAAAACATGTATCGAATTGGATTTCTGATTTCCGAAATTCCATCGCAGATGATTGGAAAGAGACTTGGTCCAGACCGTTGGATTCCATTCCAGATCATCGCGTGGAGCTTTGCTGCTGGGGGTCAATTTTTCATGAAAGGTCGATCGGGGTTCTTTGCTTGTCGTTTTCTCATTGGTCTTTTCATGGGCGGCTTCATTCCTGATTCGATTCTCTATCTGTCATACTTTTATAAGAAGTCAGAGATGCCTATACGTCTTGCACTGTTCTGGTTTGTCGACACCATGTCGGGTGTGATTGCATCCTTCATAGCGTATGGCGTACTGCACATGCGAGGTGTTGATGGTCGGGAAGGTTGGAGATGGCTGTTTCTCATCGAGGCTCTGATAAGTTTAGTTATTGGTTTCCTGAGCTTTTTGTTTCTCATACCCGGCCCAACCCAAAGCAAGACTTGGTGGAATCCCAAGGGAATATTTTCTGAAAGAGAGGAAACAATCATTGTGAACAGAGTCCTACGCGACGACCCATCTAAGGGTGACATGCACAATCGCCAGGGACTGTCATTGAGCATGCTCTGGAAAAGTCTCAAAGACTACGATCTATGGCCTATCTACGCTATTGGCATGTTATTCGAGATTCCTACGTCACCGCCGAAGACATACCTTACTCTATCGCTCAAAGCCCTTGGGTTTAACACGTTCGAAACAACCCTACTTTCAATCCCTCCCACTGTCTTCTCTGCAATCAACCTTCTTTTGATAACGGAAGTCACCGAATATTTTAACCAAATTGCTTTGATTGGTATTCTGACTCAGTTGTGGTCACTCCCGCTTCTGATCGTTCTTTACACTTCAGCGGGAACTTTATCTCACTGGGGGACCTATGCAGTGACTTTTGTTTTGCTTGGATGGCCCTCCCCTCATGCTGCTCATGTTGGATGGTGTTCGCGATTAAGTAACTCAGTTCGCACCCGAGCTATCAGCGCTGCACTTTACAACATCACGATTCAACTGTCCGGGATTGCATCATCCAACATATATCGCAGTGACGATAAACCACGCTATCATCGTGGAAACAAGCAACTCATTGCCATTACTGTTGCGACTATAGTACTTTATGCCTTGGCGAAGGCTTACTATATTGCTCGAAATCGATGGAAACAGGAGCGCTGGTCAAAGATGAGCCCCCAGGAGAAGGCCACTTACCTGGAGACAACTTCAGATGAGGGCAACAAGCGTTTGGACTTCATTCTTCACAGCTGAACGGCGTTTCTATCCCATGAGGGTTATGTAATGTGGCGAAATACAATAAGGTATCCACCTTATGTATGGGTAGCCAACCGCGCATTATAATTAGACCCGATGTAGATTATAATTAGCTTCCTATATAGTAATTTAGCTAAATTGAAAGTTTATAATTTAATGGTATATTTCTCATCATTTCAGTTTCAAGTCAACCTGACATCACTTGATACTAGTTGCAGAGGTCTGAAATCAGGGGAAAGTTTTGATGGGGTTGTAGCTTCGGTGCCATAAATATATATAACTTAGGAACTACTATTTGAAATGACTGCTGGTACACCATTATACACATTATTTCTTCTTATCGTCGAGACCTGGGAAGAGCTCATCCAAAGTCCCTGCTTGAAACGTTGAAACGAGGCTTCTTAATAATCTTGTCAATTGCTCTGACATCGGTGTTAACAAATGAGTTTTATTTGATGTATGAGCACTAGAGGGAGCATTCAAAGTAGTTTTTATTATAACCGCGGGTATACTATAAACGCAATCTAGAAAGGCAGATCAAATTCGGGATATTTGACGTGGCATTTATTTCTACAGAGTAACCTCAATTAGCAAACCGGGATATCAAGTCAACAAATCATTGGGAGCCTTTTTAGCTGTGTTCCCTTGCGGAATAGGCCATGCTTATCTTAGAAGCATGTTCAATTTTTCCAATTTGTCCTTTTTATCAATCATGTCGAGATAATTTCCCTCCCAATCTGTCTCACCGAATCTCTGCCCTTTTCCATAAATAGTTTTTCCTAGAAGAACCTAGAGAATGGCCCCTGAACAAGATCTGTAGATAGTTTTTGCTCTCTCCATCTCTCCTGCTCTCCCCTGTCTTCCGCTGGTTTCTTTTTTCTGACTCAGTTAGAGCATTGACCTGGGTTTCTGGTTTAGAATTCACAGAGCAATCCGGCCCACGGCGGGACATCGGCCTGAACAGATAGAAGGGACTAATATAGTTCAGGTCCGCAAGGTAGTTTAGCGTCAGGTAAATGTGGACCAATAATCTCGGATAGCTCCACAGTGAAATTGACAAATCCGTTGAGGGAATTCACAATCAAGCTTTTATCGGACCCCGCCGAGTCATCAAAGTGACCCGCTAGTAACGCTAATGATAAATAACTCTGATTGGTTAGTATCTACAAATTAGCTGTTATTACTAATGATATTATATTAGTACTATTATTTCGTGTACACGTTGAGTCACGTTCTACATAGTAATCTTTGCTACTATCATCAACGAATTCCATGAAGATATCTGTATTGGTATAAAAACCGCGCTAACGGGACGATTCCTGACAGGGGGAGTATAATACATAATACATTAAGAAAATAGACTCGTAATATTGAAATCGAGTCACCGCCTGAGTAGTAGGGGGCTCATTGGTAATATCAAGGTTCATAATACTAGGCAATAGTGTGATATCGAATTCTAAGGGAGTGAAAAGAGGGAAGGGGAGCTCTGTCCTCTCGGTGCTCAGGTCTTATCTAATCTCTGCCCACGAATCACCGTTACATCTTACTCGCTTCAGTATAGACATGTTATTCTTCTCATACCTATATTTTGCTCTTCATAAGAAAGGTGTAGTAATAATACTAGACTAGTAATGTTCAAGAGTAGCCACCTAGGTGAGTTTTAACTTTTCGGTGTAAATGCTGCCTCGGCAAGAACAAAATCTATCATGGACTGCTTGTTTGAATCATTGGCCGAAGTCCACGTATGGGTTTCCGAATCGACCTGACGTTCATGTGGGCCACGCCCCACACGGTCCATGTTCCGGATACTGAAGGTGGAAAGTGAAAGGCCATGGCGTGACAGAGAGACCTTCATCTTCTTGTAATTGCCATCGTGGCTAGACAATAAAAGTTCTCCCATGTGCGGGTAAACTGCAAGCCATGATCGCTTGTCGGGGTCACTCGGGGCAGAAGGGCTAGTCAACGGAGGGCTAGTCAACGGTGGAAGTTCCTGGGCTGAAATGTGAGAGACAATCTCCAAGAGGAATAGGTGAGTAATAGAGGCCTCGACATCGGCCTTTAGGCTGAGGTGGCCTGGGGACTTAAGATCGGGGAATTTTGACGAAGTGAAAGACACGTCAAAGAATGTAGTGAAAGGAGGTGCGGATAGGTTGGTTCGCATGGTGACTTTGAAAGAACCAGAAGAAAATACTGAATGGAGTGGCATGACGAAGCGCTGTAATAGTGCCTCGGATGGAGATGTGGATTCGGAGGGAAGTGATTGGGAAGGTGGTTTGGAGAAGGTGTTGGATTTTAATGGAGGTTCTTCCAGTCCACAAGACCGCCAGACACCAAAGATGTCGTTCAGGAACTCCTCAATCCAGCGTACATGCGATACATGCTGAAGGTAGGCGAGGGCGGGGCGAATGAGATAATGTTCTGGAACCGGCCGCTTCTTGGGCCCCAGTGGTGGTGGAATTTGTGTGCGACGTCGAAGATTCTGGTGATGGGAAAATGTGAGAAGAATGCGGATTGAGTGCGCCAGCCCATCCGCAAGCAAACTATGAGGTCCTGAAAAGGTTTGGTGGATATCGGCATCATTGGCATCCACCAAATCGAGCATAATTTCCAAATCACCGGTGATAGGAATTTGAAGAAGATTTTGATGGGTCGTAACGCCACCGCTTGCCATCGCTCTAGCCTCTCGATATAGTTCGTAGAACAATTCCTCTTCAAACAAGGAGTCACGCGCTTGCAGGATTCGATGTTCGATTGAATCTGTGTCATTCGATATTGGTGCTGAAGACGGTTTTGTACTAGTGGAGATGGAAGAGCCTTGTTTCACACGAACCCGGACATAGCGAGATCCTGGGAGCACAAGTCCTTTGTCCAAAACGAGGGTTCCATCTTCTCCTCGCCGCAGAGGAGCCAGCCCACGGTCGCGGTAAAAAGGAGAGGCTGTTTCATCGTGATTAGCAAACTGCGTATTTGAGCCTGTGATCTCAGCTTACCTTGAAGAAAACCTAATTGAACAGCCATTGTATGCCTCCTACTAGGAAGCCGGCAAATCTGCCAACCCTTATCCCTGATGGTCAACAACTCATCCCAGTACCGTACTTCCGATGCGACCTCAGCTTCAAGTCTCGAGGCGGCTTTTAGTAGCTTGTTCGCACCCGCTTGGAAGTTCTGAAGCCTCCAACCCCTGCTCACCGTCGAAATATCTTTAGCTGCAGATTCTGGCTTCGGAGGAGGGTGGACGACTTCAGAATTAAGTGCATTGTTTGGCATGGAATTTCTGAGGAACGGTGGAATGGAGTCATCATTCTTGCCCAATACCACTGAAAGGAAATTGAGAGCAAAGGATGTTTCCACATGCGATTGCCTATAGCCGAGTTAGCATATTGTCATACACGAATTCGCAGGGCACAAACATGGCGAATTGAATGATCTCGGCGCGCCGCTTGTACAGTTGTTCCCGCTGCTCAGCCAGGTTGGGATTGTCTTCATCTTCTGATTTTTGCACATCTAGGCCCTCTCTCTCCTCGGCCATCTTATTATGAAGGATCTCCTCATTTACTTCGCGAAAGGAGCCCCATTGGCTGTTGATTTGCGCGATCTCAACCGGAAGGGTATCTGGACGGGCCGGCCTCTCCAACACAGGGCGTAAAGGAAGGCTGAAGGATTCAAGCATCGTCGCCAGAATTCACTCGAATTTCGAATGATGAGGGAGGGATCGGAGCATGGAGCTTGACGCTCGAAGCTCGACAACTGCGACCGATAAAAGTCACGTGATAATTACCGAACTGAGAAAATGGCAAGTCGAAGTCGAAGCCGTTTGGACTTGGGTCCTCGATTACATTCATTGGATCACGCAATACTAATGGATTGCTCACTTGAAAACTTTTGAATCAGGATTGAAGGACGTTAATTATGAAATTATCTGATACTTGACATATATTTGGGATTTTCTGCCACTTTTCTGCCAGGACAATTAAAGCGGTGTATAAACTATGTGGAGTCGGTGAAGCGGTGACTCGTAACTACTGACTCTTTTAGGCCTACCCTGCGTTAGCGGGAACAACACAGCTTGATGATGCTGCCCACCTACGGTCCGTCATCGAATCGCAGATCTCCATGTGTGAGCGTGTCGTTGTCCTAGGGCATTCCTATGGAGGGCCAATTGTGAACGCTGCCATCAAGGGATTGTCCGATAAAGGCGTCCTGGGGATGATTGCTTTATCTGCTTTCATCTTCCCTAGCGGCATGGACCAAGGTGCAGCCATCCGCGCTACTGGTGATTCGCCATATGTAACATTGGACTCGCCAAGTGAGGGTCTCCTCCTTCCAAAAGACCCGAGTAGGCTTTTTTTATTCTCCCGATGTTCCATTAGACCGAACCGAGTGGGCGATACAACAGATTCGTCCTCGGAGCATGGCTGCTAATATGGATATTGTGCCGCCTCAAGCCTGGGAGGACGACTCTTATGCTGGGAAGTTAGGCTATTTCAGATGTACAGCTGATGTTGTTCTTCCAATCAAAAAGTAGGATGACATGATACAGAGCGCAGGTGGTCAGGGAAAATGGGTGGTTCGCACTCTTGAAGGATCTGGTCATAGCCCCTTTCTTTCGCAGCCAGATCAGGTAGCTGCTGCAATTGATCAGATTGTGAAGGATTTTGAAGTAAGACTTTAAGGAATAGGAAAGCTCTCACCGTTCTCTTTTTTTAAGGTTGTTTGAAATAGCTGTCTATTGAATATCCAATTTTTCAATACGCTGATTTTTGTAAATGAAACCGACAAGAGGAGATATTGCGAATTCTAAATAATCCCAAACAGGTTGGATTATTCTCCCAAGGACAACAAATTTAACCTTATCTCCTAATATAACTATAACATAACCTCAAAGTCCATGATTTCTAGTATTCAAAAGCTATAACTTTTTAGCCCTTGCTATTGTTATCGCGTTTCAGGCTCGTTCTTGAACTTGAAGGTCTAGAACCAGCAATTACTTCTGACTATCGTTCTATCCTGAGAACCCTCTTCAGACCCGAGGCCCATCAAACAAGGAAATAATCAATCCCGCAATTCTGAACCTTGGTATCCGTCAGTGTCTAAGCACACAAATAAAAGAGAGAATATTGATAAATACCGAGAAATGTTGGTGTGCTCAGTCTTCAAATTACGATTAGTGCAAGAATTTACTAAATACCCATAGACTGAAATAAAAAGCACTATCATATCAACTACAGAGCATTCTCAAGTGTTTACTATTATAATATAACTCTAAATGCTCCTATAGTATCCAAAATAACATCCGGAGAAGTCAGTCCATTGACTTCCACTTACCTGTTTGGCGCAATAGTAAACTTGGGAACATCTCTTGCTCTAATTCTACTCCTAGGTGGCAAACGCGTCGTCGAGCCTATTACCGGAGGAACCATCTAAGGGCCCAGATTTAACGCAATCATCGATGGTGGAGTCGCTGGTCCGACTATAGCCACTAATAATGGGACCACCACTCAAATCCATTTCATCTATGCCTACTAGTCACCGTTCTACCTCGAGGAAGTGGGCATCGGGTTTACTGCCACGCAGAACACTCGTTTGATTATTATGGTCAGTAAGAAATATGTCTACTCAAGAATCGTAATGTAGTCTCCGGAATAATGATGTTTATTATTCATATGAAGGTAGGAGAGTGGAATTGCTAGGACACCACAAAATAATTATTAATTGCCAGAGACACCACAAAAGGAGTAGCCTACTGCCACCGCCCATCTACTTAATAACTAATCCTTCCCCATCAATAATCAGCCGCCTTGAATTATTCAAATCTTGGCTTTTATATTACGCAACCTTGGAATCAGAATTTACAATGTTTTTTTCTCAAAATATTGAACCTTGGAGATAACATAGGCGGAATGTGTCTTAATAAAGCAAAAATAAGACCGCATCCGCTGATAAACTGTGGCAACATTTCAAAAATGCATTTAAGCAATCTGAACTGGAGCGTCCCAAGAGAGACCAATGGTGGACATCAAATCTGCGGCTTCAAATTATACCCCGATATTCCTAATTTGGTGGACGACATATCACCTTTGAATTGAGCCATTATAGTGAGTTTTTCCATTGGCCAAAGAGTCACATAATTATCAGACCAGAAGACGGGAACAGCTTCTACCCCATCCTTACTCGTGAGATACAAGTGGAGGAATACAGCTGGGAATTTGGATTTATTCTCCAGCAGGATTTGGAGACCCGTATGGCCACTTGTGGTCGTCATATGCCAAGCTATGCTTTGTTTGACTTCAGCCTCTGTGAGAGAGTTTAACTTTTGAAAGTTGGCGAATTGAGAGACTGGCGTGTAGTACCAATTTGTCCTTTCCCAGTCAAGTTCATCAGGCTTAGGAGATAGCCAGTACACATTCCGGCTCATAACGTTTTCACCTGTAGCGTCACGAAGCACAAGCCGGAGGAATGCGACATCGTTGATCTTTCCCATGCCAGTTAAAGTATGAACTTTTTTGGAAAATTTGGGAGTTGTTTCCACCGCCACCTTTTCGCTGGATATCTTCTTGCCTGTGGTATCGATCAAATCAATCAATATCTCTCTATTTCCTCCCTTTTCAAGCGAGTGATTTATCGACCAGACACTCTCTGTCTCAGGGTCAAACGCCACGTGTTCCATCCTTGCACCGACCTTGGTGCCAAAATACGATCCCATCGGGCTGAGGTACTTGTCAAATAGTTGCCAATGCAGATTTGGCCAGGCACTATTTAACATCCAGTAGATCGTGCCAGTTGCAGGTCGAGCTGCGTTCTGGCGAATGGAGTATGCTTCAAACTGTGCACGAGTCGCCTCATAATCGGCCATTTGGCACTTTATCACATAGTCTTCGATACTTGTGGGCTCTCCATATCGGGCAAATAACGCCTCATTGTATATTGTTCGGTTGTGGAAAGACGATGTATTGCTGGACATATGGTACTGCCCGACAGTGGGTTCCTTCCATAGACTGTCCAAGTCTCCATCCGACATGAACTTCTTCAGACTGTACAGTTCAGGCGTGCCTACCCCAGCGCCTAGCTCTGAGCCAAACCCGAAAGCAGCCCCTTCGCTCTCGCCATACCAGTAGTTGGGAGGGACCCAGTCATACGGTCCTACCATCTTCATCCCTGAAGGACCTAAACCTGATGGACCTAACTTGGAAGGGCCACGCATACTGGCAGATGCAATGATAGGTACATGGAATTCCATCTCCTTAATGGCGTCTAGATAGACTTTTGTCACTTGGTCATTAGGCCAATAATCCGAACCGACCAGAAATCCAAGGATAGACGGATGGGGCTGCATCATCTCTGCTTCATGAAGCATTGCAGCCCGAGCGACGCTGTAGTCGGACCCATTCCACTTGACAGCGTCGGCATCGTGATTATACTTTGAGAAGAATCGTTAGCGATATCGCTTATTGTCATTGTGAATATGCTTACCTCCCAGCCCTCCCACTTATCGCAGCACTCCCATCCAGTCAGAACCATTATACCCATCTCATCGGCAATTGCGTACAGCTCAGGATGCTCTTGTTTGCCCTCTAGTCGCACTGTGTTGAGTCCCATGTCGCGCATATAGTAAAAGATATTCCTCAGCCGATTCTCATCAAACCGCAGGAAGATATCTGGCGAGTATCCAGCTCCCCGCACCTGGAATGGGTGACCATTTACCCAAAATGCGGTGTCATTGTGCTCATTCATACCTGATGAGACGTGTCGAATTCCAAACCGCTGCGTATATTGGTCTGACATAACAAGTCCATCAAAAAGTACTTTCGCATGTGCTTTGTATAGTGGTTGTTTTCCCCAGCTGACTGGCCACCATATTTCTGGTTTCTTAATATCTACTTCCACTGAGACTGTCCTCGTCTCGTGAGAATTCAGCTCAAAATTACCGCTAAACACAGTAGATTCAGAGCCCGCAGGATCAAGTATAGTACCACTAATACTCGCCTGAATAGTCCGTTTCTCATGGTTAACGAGCACAGTTTTTAGTGTCACCTTCACTGAGTCATTCAGATAAGGGTTGAAACTCAGATGAGGTACGACATTAGTAACAACTCTAATAGGAGACATAGTCACAGCACCAGTCTGAGCGATCTCGACATCGCGCCACATACCCATGCCATTATCTGCCGGATAGGGGTTCCAGTCAGCAAACCCTATAGCGAAATCACGACGATACTCCGTTGGATGAGCCCGGATGAGGATACAATTGATTGCGGTGGCTTCTTTATTGAGGTATTTCGTCAGAGGATACTTGTGACCACCGTAAGAGCCTTGCTGCTTATCACTTGCTACCACTATCTCGCCATTCACGTAGATGTCTGCTTTGGACGTAATGCCATGCGTTTTCAGGGTGAAGTGGTTTCCACCATCTACATTCGCTGTGAACTCGAATCGGTATAACCATGGCACTTTAAACTTTGGGTCCCCTGCCAGTAAGTTCATATTGTTCGAATAGAAAAGGTCACTGTCGTTATAAACCCCATTCTCAATGAGTCCTGCCATGACTGTGCTTCGAGAACTAACTTTATACCATGATGATATATCGGTTCCTGGAAGTGAGAGCTGTGATAAATTACCTTGAGCCAGTGCTGATGATTGCATGCGCCATTCTGGGATAACTGATGTTTGACCTGGATATGCACTAGTCCCCGCGGCGCAGGCCACGAAGAAGCTGATTGATTGCAGCAGTTGCATTTTCCTCTGATTCACACCCTCAATCGTAGTCGTGATATTGATATAGATGGTGACTCTTAGCATGTAAATTGGGGATCTCAGGAGTGAACTGCATTGTGATGTCTAGTAGAATGGAACCATAAGTAGATCTTAAATAGGTCTAGTCTATGCTCGTAGATCCGTGGTCGAGCTTACATAATATCAGAAGGCACATGAGCTCAATTCGTTGGTCAGATCCACAAATCTTTGATCCTGCGAGGATGAATATGCAAGATGATAGGTTTGCATAGAGTCTACGAGTACTTTTGTATTAATAATGTGACATGTCATCTCAACACTCGACATTTAGGGAAAAAGAAGGGGTCGGAGTTTTTTGCTTTGTTTACTTACAGCTGGTCAACACCTCTCTCAGACTCTCCTACTCTCCTATATCAGATTAATCATGGATTTCAAAATCCCCGCCCTTTGTAAAGCTGGTGTTGTCATCAATGAAGGACCGAACTTCCACGTCGAAGTTCAGGATGTACCTGTGCCAGAAATAGGTAGAGCAACCTTGAACTTCTTCCAGAACTGGACCTAATATCATCTATGTAGGGCCGAATGATATCTTGATTCGCCTCAATTTCACCGGCGTTTGCAATACCGACATCCATGTGATGCAGGGTGATCTTGGCTTACCACCCATGTCTGCATTTGGAGTACGTTCCGCCGGGCACGAGGGTGCCGGCGTTGTTGTCAAAGTCGGAGACAATGTTAAGAACTTCAAGTTGGGTGATAGAGCCGGAGTCACGCCTTTTCTGGATACGTGCCATTCATGTGGCTTGTGCTGGGATAGTAAGGAGACATACTGCAAGGATGCTGTTATCTCTGGTTTAATGGCACCAGGTACGCCGAAAATAGATATCAGCAGTGATAAAGACCCAATACTCACTCTCGCCAGGGACATTTCAACAATATATCGCAGCCCCAGGGCGATATGCTTCTCGCATTCCCGATGGAGTCCCTGACGAGGTTGCTGCTCCCATAATGTGCAGTGGCAGCACAGTTTATCGGTCACTACTAGAGTCAAATCTTCGAGCTGGTTCTTGGGTGGTTTTCCCCGGTGGAGGTGGTGGTGTGGGCACTCAAGGGGTGCAACTGGCCAAAGCACTGGGTATGCGACCTATTGTGGTCGATACAGGAGACGCCAAGCGCTCGCTTTCTTTGAAACTGGGAGCAGAAGCGTTTGTTGATTTTAAGCAGGAAGATCCTGTAGAAGCCGTCATCAAAATTGCAGACAGAGTTGGTGTGCACGGTGTCTTCGTGACAGCTTCAGCACCGGAGGTGTACAAGACTGCGATTTCATACGTTGGAGATCGGATAGGAGGTGTCATCATGTGTATCGCGGTCCCTCCAAAAGACGCGGTTGTTTTGGGTGCAGACCCGGGACAATTTGTCTTCAAAAATCTGACCATCAAGGGGACTATGGCGGGCAGTCGGTTGGACACCGCTGCTGTGCTGGACTTTGCTAGGCGTGGAATGCTGCAACAGATCAGCGAGGTTTATCCCATCAATCGACTTCCTGAGGCTGTGGATAGACTGCGCGAAGCCCAAGTGGCTGGACGTATTGTGGTAAACTTCAACTGGGAGGAGTCATCAAAATTATGAAGACGTGATCTCGGGATATAATACCGTATCCATTGGAGTAGTATCAAGGAGCTGGTACTAGATGCGAAATCACTATATCGACAGACCTGGTAATAACAATTCTATAGCTTAAACAATCGCGGATGATGTTTCCTGATGCCAGAATGGTAGTCACCTGGGCGCAAATGATGATCTTGACATAGTATGCCCTAAGTGGAATTTGTGCAAAGTAACCTTATTTATCTTCGGCATATAAAAGGACGGAAATTCCTGCCTCGGCTGTTGGCTAAACCTCGGTCAATTCTTTTCCTGAATCTGAACATCATTTTTTATCCCCGCATTTTCAATCTAGAGATCTGATCGTCGGCCGATAATCACCCGAACTACGTAACTAGCTTGGCCACAAAAATTCCGGAATATATAAGAATTCTTCCCCCTTTTTTAAACTTCATCTTGAAACAAGGGATATGTCAGTGAATCCATGCAGCCATGAAAGCTTATATTTTCTATGCCAGCCTTGCGGCCTTTGTTACTGCACAAGAGGTGTATATCACAACGACTGGACCTTCAACTCGACAATGCACTCAAGCTACATCGCCAACATATTTTTTCCAGCCGTTCTCCTATACGTTAAATGATACTGTTCGGTAGGGGGGCGTCTAATGCCAGATTTATCAATCAATCTGCTAACATTTCATTTAAACGTGGAAAGATATGCCACTTCGCTGCCAACTCCCACAACCACAAGGACATATGCGCCTGGATATGATGAAGCTACTAAGCACCTATCAACTCAGTTTTCGACTTCAACTTGGGGAAGCTGGATTCCTGTAATAACTGCTATCAGTGCCACTGACACTGCTGATCCCTATGGACAAGCTTCCTGGTCATCTATGTGGTTACAGGCTAGTCTGGAAGACTACGTTCGTTACTCTAATCATACTGCTTGAAGGACCGTGATTGAATTTTGATAGACCTCAATTGGAATTTACTCAACCACTGTGAGCCCTACTCCAGTTCCAAGTAGCGAGCTCGTCCTACCACCCCGCGACTACTTCGGCCCCACAGATTGCTATGATTTCCCCGAAGATTTCGTCTTCGGAGTTGCTGGCAGCGCTGCACAGATCGAAGGTGCCATTGGTATTGACGGCCGCTCGCCATCCTTGCAAGAGAAGATGATTACCGGAAGTGAACCAAAAGACTATATTACTAATGAAAACTACTTCCTCTATAAGCAGGACATCCAGAGACTGGCTGCGATGGGAGTGCCATACTACAGCTTTTCCATTTCCTGGACACGCATCTTGCCATTTGCTTTATCAGGTACCACAGTCAATCAACAGGGAATTGACCATTACAACGACTTGATAACGACTATACTTGATGCTGGGATGCAACCTGTGGTTACAATGCTTCACTTTGACTCCCCCTTGGTATTTGTTGCCAGTGATAACATAAGTATTTATTCCCAAAATTATTCACATAAGCTGTTCTGACCATAAACAGCGGCCACTCCAGTCATTGGTAACAATAATGGAGGCTACCAGAATGAGACGTTTGTCGATGCGTGGGTTGAGATCCCTCGATTTAAACAATTCTCTCTGCTAACATCAATATCGATAGATTTGCCAACTACGGAAAAGTCCTTTTGACACATTTTGCGGATAGAGTCCCGATTTGGGTCACATTCAACGAACCACTTTTATACGCTTTCAACTTCCAAGGCTTTGACAATGTAATACACGCCCACGCTCAAGTATATCGATTCTATCACGACGAGCTAAAAGGCACAGGCAAGATGGGTCTCAAATTCAATGACAACTTTGGCGTGCCCAAGGATCCAAAAAATGAAAGTCATGTGGAATCAGCAAACCGATTCCAAGAGATGCAGCTTGGCTTCTTCGCCAATCCTATATTCCTTGGTGAACAGTACCCAGACTCTATTTTGAACACTCTACCTGGTACCAAGCCACTCAATAGCTCTGAGCTGGCATACATAAATGGTACATCGGACTTCTTTGGCATCGATGCGTATACTGCTACAGTCGTATCTCCAGCTGATGGAGGGATTGAGTCTTGTGCGAAGAACAGTTCTAACTCCCTCTTCCCATACTGCGTCAAACAAGAGACTACCAACATCTACGGGTGGGATATTGGCTATCGGTCATATTCTTATGTTTACATAACGCCGACCTAGTAAGTCCTCAGCTTATGACAGCTCGGACTCATCTACTGACCATTCCAGTCTTCGTGAATACCTCTTGTATATCTATAATACATGGCGACATCCTATCATCTTGTCAGAGTTTGGATACCCCGTTTACGGAGAAGCAGACAAAGATTTGACAGATCAGCTCTTTGACTCGCCACGCAGCGTCTATTACCTCTCATTTATGTCCGAGGTGCTTAAATCCATCTACCAGGATGGAGTTCATGTCATCGGTGCCCTCGCATGGAGCTTTATGGATAACTGGGAGTTCGGAGATTATTCTGCACAATTTGGCATTCAGAAGGTGAACCGAACAACTCAAGAGCGTTATTTTAAAAAGAGCTTTTTCGATCTAGTGGATTTTGTCAAGACTCGACAAACCACAAGATAGTTGAATCAATCGTTTTTGTAGCTTCGATCCAAGCCAATATTGCGAGTCTTCCAGACCTCTTTTTTCTGGGTAGAATTAACGTCTTGAATGGCAGCTAAGAGAGATGTAAACAGGCTCAGTTGATAAAAAACCTTAATACATGATCACTCAGCACTGATACTAACTCACTCAAAGATTATCAGTTGATAGATCCATTACTGTGAATAATTAAAAAAGTATCCCTGTTGCTATATACAATGTCCATAAACAATCACATTCTCCTTTCACTTTCACTAACCGGTTGTATCCTGTAGCAAGCCCAGTACTTGAGACATCTTCGACCCAGAATACTCAATGCCAAGTATTGACGGACTTGTTGAAGTCTCCGAATAGAACATGCGAAGCCCCTGATTTGGGACATCACAGAACATCGGAGTCTTTTGAAGATCCGGAAAAGAGAGGACCTCCGGAGTCTGTGCCACAGCCCATAGATAATACAAAGACAAACTACACAGAGACGTAAAGCCCTGATTAAGCTCCCCAAGAACAGAGTTCCAGCTATCATCGTGCGCCAAGGAGACATGATAGAAAGTGAGAGAATTGAGACTGGGGCGAATATCTCCAAGGAGCTTTAAGAGATCCGGCGCTCTCACCGACGTTCGAAATAGGGCGAATTCGTGGAGTTGCGAGAAAACCGCAGTTTCAGCTAGTTCATGCATAAACTCACAGGCCAAGTCGTGAGAGCCTATATTTAGGAGAAGAGTGTGGAGGTTAGGAGCACTAAGGACAAGTTCGAGCAGGAAGCCGAAATTGTCCAGCGTCAGGTACTGTTCCAGGGATAATTTCTGAAGACTGGACCACGAGCGTTTGAACTGCGGCTGGCGGTATAGTAGCTTTGGCAAACGACGCATGTCCATGATCAGAGTGCGAGAGTGTCTGTTTGCGTAGATCAGGTGGAAAGATTCGATATGGAAAGGAGTATTATCAACGACAAATGCAAAGAATATCGCGACAGCATCAGTGATGGTCACATGCGTCATATCAGGACCTTGCCCCTCGGGGTAGCGACAGAAGATGAAGAAAGAGCGACAATTTGTCAAGTTTTTGATCAAGTTATCCTGCAGACGCTTAATGGGCTTGACTTGTAAGATATTGCATAGTTCACCCCAAGGGTGACGATCCAGCTTCAGTCCACGACCAACACCATCTTGAAGCACGAACGCCAGTCCACGGACATAGGGACGAAGAGCCTGGTGTTGAGCAAGCGCGTTGATGCGGGCGAGACTTTCTTCAGAGAGGTTAGATTTAACAGAGGCAAAGCTCCGCTGGGCAAAATGGTGGAAAGTTTTGTCATGAAGGTCCCAGCAGACGAGCCGTAGATTGAGTAAACTACCACTGTCAAGATGGCCGGCTACAAGCTCAACTAGCTCAACTGCCAGTGATGGGAATGCAATTTCTCTCATTTTTGCATGAGAAAGAGCGGAGTCTGTAGCTTCCCCGGATTTTCTTATTTTCGCCACAAAGTCTACCCCGCACGTTGAGTTGACGAGGTGGTACTACTACAAAAGAGTACAAGTATACATATTTCCTTGATATTGACGTCACTTCATGGATAGCTTCATAAATTCACATTTTGAGATTGCCCTCTTAAACCAATATTGATTTGATATTTGAGTAGATGCTCTAATCTAACCTTGTTAGGGTTGAAGTGTTGCTTACCCAATACCTAAGTAATACTTGGACTATTTACTATAACACTCGGTCAAGTACTGTGCTTGAATTCCATGCTAATTCAAGTTCGGTTAGATCCAATGTTTCATATAAACGCAGATCAGTCTCGGAAAAGAGCGGGCCGACGATCTCAGATATCTTCATCCCTTGCAACCCCGGAATTCCAGGATGGAGATCAGGTCCAAATGGATCAATATACAAAGCCAGAAATGCTTCAAGCGAAAAAGGTATATTCTGCCCGCGTTGATGTTGATCGCAGTAGCGTTACTAGCCGGCTTGCTAGGAGGTCTAGTTCACTCATCACACACGACTTCCCATATATTACCGCGGTCGGCCGTCGTCGATCTTGGCTATGGACAATATCAAGGGGTATCTCTCTACAATAGTGTAGACGAGTATCTGGGTATAAGATATGCAAAGGCACCATTAGATAATCTGAGATTTCGCGCGCCGCAGTATCCTGAGAATAGCAGTGCTATTCAAGATGCATCGTCGGTAAGTATCAGCTACCTAGGTACACTCGGTATACTGCCTCAAGTCTTGCTAATCATCAAAAGTTCGGTCCCATCTGTATTGGTGTCGGGCAGTCCACTGGAGACGACTCACTCTCAGAAGACTGTTTGTTTATTAATGTCTGGCGGCCCAACAACGCGTCGAGTAACGCTAGTCTCCCCGTGTGGATGTTTATTCAAGGGGGAGGATACGCAGACCTTAGCAACGCCAACTACAATGGTAGCGAGGTAGTCAAGCAGTCGGGCCACGATATTGTGTTTGTGAATTTCAACTATCGCGTCGGGGTCCTCGGCTTTCTGGCCAGCGAGGATGTTCGTCAGGATGGAGACCTCAATGCAGGTCTACTGGACCAGCGAATGGCTATGAAGTGGGTGAATCAGTATATCCACCTATTCGGTGGAAACCCAAATCATGTCGTGATTCACGGCGACTCGGCCGGTGCAGGTTCTGTCGCACTCCATCTGACTGCATATGGTGCCAATAACACGGGTCTTTTTGTTGGCGCGGTGGCTGAATCCACCTTCTGGCCTACACAGCGGACTGTAGCTGAAATGGAGTTTCAATACAAGCAATTTGTGGAAGACGTAGGTTGCGAGAAAGAGACTCATAAACTCACCTGTCTCCGCGGCACAGATCTCAACGTGATACAGAAGTACAACGTGCAAAAACCCTTCCCTGGGGGCAGTGACTCGCCTCTTCCGCTGTGGTACTTCCTGCCCGTAGTAGATGGGGATTTGGTTCCCGACCAGCTATACAACCTCTTTGACCAGGGAAAATTCATCCATGTCCCAATGATTGTTTCGGATGATAACAACGAGGGAACTGACTTTGCATATAACGCAGCCAATGAAGCCGAAGTAGCCCAGTTTATGAAGAACAATTACCCGGGCCTCAACGAAACGGATCTGGCAAATATCACCCAGACATATCCGCTCATGGATGCCCTTCCAGAACATGAAGCGTACTTCCCCTCTGCGGCAGCAGCATATGGCGAGGCAACATTCACCTGTCCAGGAAATCAGATGGCCTCCAGTATCCAAAATTTCTCGTCCAATCGAGTCTGGAACTACCGCTTCAATATCCAGGATCCGACGGAGATTTCAAAGGGAATGGGTGTCCCCCATGTCTTCGAGCTACCAGCGATCTTTGGTGTAGGCGACACAAACGAGCCCACATATTCATATGCAGACAGCAATGCGAACATCATACCCATAACTATGGATTATTACCTAAGTTTTATCAAGTGTTTGAATCCGAACACATTCAGAAATGAGAAGGCGCCTGAGTGGAAATCCTGGGGCTCTGGTAGGGGGCAGCGGCTAAAATTGCAGACAAACTCAACGGCAATGGAGGAAGTCCCCGAAGCACAGACAAAAAGATGTCTACTGTGGCAACAGCTTTCAGCAAGTATGGAGCATTAATCTCAAAAAACTACAAATGTGAACTACAAATAAATAGAAGATAGAAAAGCGGTATTTGAAATCATGAACTGCAAACATATAAAGCTATCGTACATCATAAGTCGTAAAAGTTGTCAAGGGCATATATCCTCTCAATAGACATGGTGATGGCTTCCTCGACCATCAGTTCCATGCATGCGACGAGTACCAGCAGCCTGCGGCCGATTAGTACGTCACTAAATAAACCAAAGAGTCTAGTCAATCATACCTTAACTCCTGGACGACCAGTCAAACTTCCCCGCAACTTCAGCATTGCACCAGAGACTTTGTCTCCCAAGGAGGCTTTGCGGTGGTGGTGATGGGCTGTAGTCCCGTAGCCACGACCGGCATGGGTGGTAGTTCCGTAGCCACGTCTGGTATGACCAGGATGGGAGGTAGTTCCATAGCCATGTCTAGAGTGGGAAGGATGGGTTTCTGTTGTAACTTTGACAGTCTTCTTCCGGGCATAAGGACCACGTAGACGAGTCATCAAAGTGGGCTTTGAAGTGCGAGTAGTAGTTGGGCGACTGCGGTGGAACATGATTGCGATGTAGTAAAACTTTCTGAGATAGAAATCCTGAAGAATAAATTTTGATCAGCGAATATAGTTGTTTAAGTACAGGTTACTGTAGTTCGACGTCAGAACAGGATGAACTGGATATTTTCTTTGAGTTCCGTACGTACGCCAATGTTGATATGTTTTTAGTTGGAGGTGGCGCAAACACGGTCCATACTACGTCATTATACAGATCGTCGTTATCGCAATCGTCAATGGATTTAAATCTTGAGAATATCATTTGAACGTCAGATAAAGATCAGCATATTTTGTATACATTGTGCAACCTCAGTTCTTCTAATAATGGAATGATGTAATCTGACATCATAAAAGAAGGAATATAGGGTCATCGGGCTACGCCACATATGCACGCAGCACAGCCACTATCAAATATATCGTAGATCATGGATTCCATACAGCACCGGTCAAATGCCTGATCCTTCTCATCGGTCGCTTACATCAGGACAGTATTTGGACCGGCCTCAATGGAACGACTCGGCTTACAAACTTCTCAGTCCGACTCAATAATTGAGATCTCCTGTTTGAATCCGTCAATCCGCCACCATCCCTCCTCCTGTTGAGCTATTAAGAAATTATCGCAGGAAATTCAACACCGGGCCTGGCTGCTTGGTTTTGACAGTGGTTCAAATCCACCTATAGAGATGTAAACTTAATACTCGCGCTGACTGTCAGCCATAATACATGTTCATTTCAAGTACGTGGTTACCCCATCCTTTTTTTTTAATTTCTATTTTAGAACACAAACATTATATAATTGACTAAACAACTCGATGAGAGGACTAGTATGTATAAATTTCCGTCTCACATCCAGGTTATCTGAAGCCGAATAGTACCTAGGGATGAATTTTACACCTTATCTGCGACGAAAACTAGATATCCCTATGAGGCTTTATACGGCCAACTAAACCAAGAAATCTGCCATTGAACCGTCTTTGCTTACCGAAACATTTCCATACGAAACGTCAATTAAGATCAATATCTAGGCGTTCTCTAAAGCGGGATAGTAGCTCTTCAGATTCGTTCCATTCCTACGATTCCGATAAGACAGTCTCTCTTCATTGCTAATCATAGCTGAATAAGCTACTAATGAGATGCTAAAGTATTTCACCACTGAACGGGTCACACTACTGAACGGGTCAGTTTGACCCACTTATTTTTATGAATCCCAATAACTCCATTATTTACTATGTAATATAGTAAAAAAAAACTACTGAATGGGCCTACTAGGACAGGTTTCCCTCCTATGTCCAGGTGTCTTACATATCCCACACCGGCGTTGGGTTACAGGCGCCCTTACAGGCGCCTGGCCCTCTTGTAAATTGGCATCATTAAGTTTAGGGCCACCATTCGACGCGTCAACCAGGTCTAATCCCTCCTGAATTGTAAGACCCCCTACTACTGTTAATTGACGATTCGGACGTTCTTTTTGTTTTTTCTTTTTCTCATGGGCGGCGCGTAAATCTCTGTTTTCCAGGCGTAAGAGAGCATTCTCTTGATATAGGTAATTTGCACCCTTTACTATCTGGTCTAATGCTCTCTTAGATGGTGTTGGTGGCGTTCGAGATACAGTGCGTAATATAGCTTGGTGTTGACGTCGTAAATCTTTCTGCGTCCTAGGCGTCTTAGGTGTCCAATTTCGACTTGAATCGCTTCCTATAGAGGGTGGTGGTGGTGGTGTATCGACGCGCATAGTAAGCTTTTTTAACACCCTAGTAGGGTCAAGTGGCACGATTCCAGTTGCAGCAAACGCATTAGAAGCAGATGCAAATGCTTCAATACGCGCAGTAGGATATATCTCTAGGAAATCTCCTTTACTAATGTGGGAAAAACCAAGCTCTACTCTAGACTCAACCAGCCGAGAATAAGAGCGTTTTAACACCGCAAAACACCCAACATCAAGAGGTTGAAGAAGATGAGACGCATGCGCAGGCATACATAATGGTATAATATCATGCTCCTGGCAGATTTTGTCGAAATCAGGTGTTAAATGGCTACCATGGCCATCTAAGATCAGAAGGCGATACCGTCCTTTAGTACGAGCAGTAGCAGGTATAAAGAGCTTTTCAAGCCAACGGAGCCCTATTTGATTTGATGTCCAGCCATTAGGACTAATCTCAAGACGCCAATTAGGTGGTAAACCTAGATCAGGAGCAAACCAGCTCTGCATCATCACCTTACCCTTAAAGATAATACAGGGTGGAGGTGCGTAACTAGACGCGCCTAAACACTCTATCACAGTAACCCATTCCCGGTTACCAGGCTGTTTTTTTGCGCGTTTACCATAATAACCAGCTCTAGTAACCACTCTCGCGGTCGCACATCGTCCCATCGCAAACCCAGTCTCGTCAAAATTATAGATATCGTCGGTGGTGATACCATATTTTGCGATCGTGTTTTCAACCAGTTTGAACCAATTATTGATCACATTATAGTCCTCTTGACGCGCACGTGTAAAATCGCGCGGTGTTGAATAGGTCGTCTTAAGTTCAGGTAAACGCGTCGCAAACCTAGTAACCCAGTTTTTACCGATCGTAAGAGGAGGGTTGGTTCCGCGGTCGGCGAGTAGGATATTAGCCATTCTACCAACATCTTTAGTTCTAGGAGCACAGCCGCGATCATCTAGAGAGACGACCCATTGAAGTAATGAATCCTCTTCAGATTCAGTCAGTTTAGACTGCGGTGGGTGTGTTTCAAGACGAAATTGGACACCAGAATGGCGGCGTTGGAGGGTTGAAAATGGTATATTAAACATAGCTGCAGCTTTACGCATTGATGATATATCGCCATTCTTGTAAGCTTGGTAAGCTAATAAGACCCTATTCTCCTGATCCTGTTTGTCTTGGACATATAGAGCATTTAGGGGGGGCATGGTGGGTAGTTGAAAATGGAAACACCAGACTGACGCGTAAAATTGGTGGGGTGACCCGTTCAGTAGTGTGACCCGTTCAGTGGTGAAATACTTTATTTACCGTTAGTTAACTAACGTAATTCCTGGTTGGTCATCTAAATTTCATAAAATTGTAAATTTTTAAACCTAGGGTTGAGAAACCAAAACATAATAAATTTGACTAAAATAACACGATTCTGAGTTAGGCTACAATGCGGAGGTGAATGAGTTCATTGTTTATATTATTCGTCGGTTTTTCAAATAGCCAATGCGTATAAATACAATTCGTTCTCATTATATATTGATTAGAGTAATACTAATGAATTGTATAAGGAATATGAATTTAAATGCTGGCTCGTCGAGGCGCCATGGTCCTCTGCAGTTTGCGTTTTTCTTCCGTCTCCTCAGGAATAGGCAGAGATCCCTCATTCCGTAGCTTATCGAGAAACTCTTTACCATAGGTGTAACCAACTTGGAAGATCTCGTCAAATTTGCCAAAGTCCAGTGTGGCATAGGGGTCGATTGGTGGGCGCATGTACAAACAACCCGGCATGTTCTTGGCCCGCTCGAGATTGTCAATAGATGAGACGTAGGCTAGACGTGCCTGGATCTCGGACAAGGTGGGAGGGTTGGGGGTCGAGGAAAATGGGTTCCAGCGGTTCATTATCGACCAGAATCCAGATAGGGAGTCGCCGTATGCCTGTGGCGTGTTGTCGTCAATGGATCCAACGTCGACTGCGAAGATCACGTCTGCTCCTAGACTCTTCATGTGTGCCACGGTTAGGTTGTCGATGTAGCCACCATCTAATAACATGCTACCTTCGTCGCAGATTGGTGGGATCAATCCAGCCAGCGACATGGATGCGCGAACATAGCGCCATACATAGCCGGAGGAATGGTACTCCGCACGCGATCGGCTGATGTTGGTTGTGTTGCAGTAGAACTCCAGCCAGAAATCTTCTATCTGGCTGTCACCGAACGTCTTGAAGATACCACGATTGAATTCGTGGCCCGTCGTGTAAGAGACAGTGGGATAAGTTAGATCAAGTGCAAACCGCCACATACTACCCATACGACCGGAAAACTTCTTCGCCCGACCGTACATCGGCACAATGTCGGCGTCGCGTGCGTAAAGAGCACCAATGAATGATCCGATGGAGGTACCACCAATAAGGTCAATGGGGATGCCCGCCTCTTCGAGTGCCTGGATGACACCTACTTGGGCAAGACCTCGCGCGCCGCCTCCTCCCAGCACTAGACCTACTGACTTGCCGCACAAACGTCGAGCGAGGCGATGGAAATCGCCCTTGAAGGTTGTCTGGGGAGAATAGACCGTTGTCTGCTGGGCCCGTCGCGATGTGTACTTTTGGATCTCGGCTTGCAGGATCTGCACTCGCTGTTTGAGCACTGTCCCGAACTTTTTGGTCCGCGTATGCGAGGGTTCGGCGGTCAGTCGGAATGACATCTGGATGTGATGGTGGCCACCATTGATCCACACTCGGTTCTTAAGCCATTCTCGGGTCAGCCCAGGCGGGCAGTAACGTTCCGAGTGCAGAAGAACCAGTTCCTTGCGAGCAGTAGTCTTCATTCCCAGCAAGAACCGCTCATATTCACCAATTTGGGGCGAGGCTTCAGCGAGTCCGATGAGCAAGATGGAATCGGCCTGGGAGATGCAAGTCTGCGTCCAGGGTGAGTTGACATTGGTATCAGCAACGTATAACACTAACCCGTACTTTTCCTCTAGATCTGCAAGATACTGAGAGAGCTTCAGCTTTCCCATCTTTGTGAAAGCGTGTCGGCCCAAATGGTTCAGAATGGCGACATGATTCAGTGAGGTCACGCCCCTAGTTACACCAATTTGATGTAGCGCATGCAGCAGCCTTTGTCCGAATTCAACGACAGGTACGCCACTCGTCACTGGGAGAAGAGCTACAGTTCGAAGATTGATGGTCGATGTCGCGGTCTGGACACCCCCAGCTCGTCCCTCTTCAATTCCCTTTTCAGACAGAGGATGCTCAACCAGATCACGCATACGCTGGGCAATCAACTTTGAAACCTGGATCGTAATTCCTGGGTGTTCCTGAGCCAGACTGTTGAACAGCGAACGAGGGAATTTCGCTAGCTCAGTCTCACGTATTGCATGGAGAGTAGCCGGCCGTGTAGACTCGGTCATGACCTCTAGCTCACCCACACTTTCGCCCTGGCCATATTCACCAACCACAGTCATCTTGCCGTTCGGAGATTCGAGGACTGATCTCAGGCGGCCATTAAGAACCAGGTAAATTGCATCGCTTTCATCTCCTTGGTGGTAGATGACCTCACCCGCATTGACTTGTACCCACTCAAGCGCGAAATCTATGTGTAGTAGCAGAGGCGGGAGCAGACTGGTCAGTCTTTTCGCCAGAGTGAGCAGGGCAGTAGGATATCTATCTGCGATACGCTCAAGAGATGCACGCGGGAGGAAGCCGACGTAAACGTCAGTCTTGGCGACCACATCTGTGTAGGAGCGGTAAGACGCCAAGCCACCAACATATCCCTGTATGCCGCCTGGTTTGATCAAGTAAAGTGACTTTCGTTTTCGCCGGGGTTCACTCCCACCTGGAGTACCTAGACGCGAAGATCCCGTGGTGGTGCGTTTTAAGTTCGGGAACAGCTCTTCCTGGGCCTGCGTGGCTCTCGGGCGAGAGAAGCCAACATAATCATCGTCGCCACGGTCATTGACCGGAATACCGACATCCAAAAATCCATCAATCACATAGTAAAGACCCGGGTGGCGTTCACCCTGTTCGACCAGAACAGAACCTTGAGGGAAGTAAACCACCTCGATATCGTAACGCAGCTCCTCACGCAGGTTGACGATTGGCGATGTTCCACCTGCACTTGTCTCCGACATGGACATCATTGACTCAGTCTCACCATCCCCGGACCCTTCATATGGGTCGATAAAGCCAAAAGCATTAGAGAAGATGGCCTTCTGGCGTCGGGAGTCGTAGGATAATAGTCTTGGGGAAACATCACCGGAAACATAGCTACTCTTTCGCATATCATCGCGTGACTTTTGGGACAGTCCAATACCAGTCATGATACATTCCAAGATAGACTCGCGGAAAAGTGTGTCTTCATCAACGGAGTCCTTGCGCTGTAAAGGGGATGGCCGAAATAGAGGTCTCTCGCGTTCTTCCATGGGTGATAACAGGCGAGGCCCAGAACCATCACGCGGCCCAAATCGGGAAAGTTGGATTGTTGAAAGTAGGTCGCCGGGGCTCGCTCCATTCGTGTGGTCATTAAAGACGGTGGGTTGTCTCTGGTAGGCAGGTCTACTTCCGTTCGTTCTTCGGGATTGCAGCATAGCGTCCTTTCGGAGCGTACTACTCGAACGTGGCCGGCGTCCTGCGAAGGGGTTATGCAGGGCAATACCTTTGCAAATTTCCTCAGGCCCCAGGCGGTCTCGCTCTCGCATAAACTTGTCCTTAAGGCGGTCGAGCGCTCTCCCCCTGAGGTCATTGGGTAAGTCTCGAGATGAGTATTTCAAAGCCTGCTTCTCGATGCCAAGCACATCAGTTGTCAACCCCAGGTAGGAGTACGCGGTGGCAAAGGTCACGCGCTGGAGGCGGGTCAATATGACCTGAACAATATGAGCGGTGGCCCGAGGGTAGACGCGGGTCAGTCGTCGGAATGCACTGGCAGGGATAATTGCAATCGTCGTATCCACCGTAGCCCGGGCGACAATGTCCGGGTGGACAGACTTTCGACGTCGTCTTTTGTGGCTCTGTTGGCTATTATCTGGATGCGCTGTTGAGGTGGGGCTGGTGTGGCTTCCCCCAAGATGAAATGGAGGTACTGCTGGTAGCGACCCATGCTGACCGAGAATATCGGGAGATCCTCCAATAGGAGGTGAGAAAGGGCTGCCTGCTTCTCTTTCAGTTGGGCTTATGGGAGTAGAATCCGTCATATGATGATTTGGTGCAAAGCTCATGGTGCTAGAGTTTGCGCTTCGTAAATTATTTAATTGTATGTCTTCGGTGAACAGCGACAGGATAGAGAACAAGGACGACATCGATGCACCATTCTTCACCTCGGTCAGTAGCTGGTAGCCCTGCCTGCCATTCAAAGTCTCGCCTTCGTCGTCAGACGTTTCAGGATCCATGTATAGGTCCTCGCGTGAGCCCAGCTTACTCTCCTGAGTCGACTTGACGAAGATCTGAACCATACCATCTACCACCAGACAAAATCCCTTTTCTTCTTCCAACATGAGTGTCTCTCCCGCGATGAGCTTTCGTGTTTGCATGGTTCGGGTCAGTTCATGGAAAACTGGTCGCTCCAAATAACCAAAAACCTTGATTGCACTAAGAAACTCATCGAGGTAGTTGGCCAGGCCGGGTTTAGAGTCACCACCTGGAACATCGGGGAAGAGATCGATCTGCGGTTCTTTACGTTGGGGCTCTGGAGGAAGACGACTATACATGTTCATGAACCGATATCGAATGAACCAACTTATTGTGGAGACTAGGGCGAGAGCGATCAACATGCTACATAAATTCAATCAGTAACGACAACAACAACAAGGAGAAAGGTAAGGGTCAGCAAAGATGCATACAGAGTGGTAAAATTCATGGTGAAGGTCAAGCTCATAGAAAAGAGAGTGAAAAGCCATGTGGGCAGAGTAATAGTGGTAAATGTGATGAGCCAGTACAACCCTCGCGGGATGACCTGAAAGATGAAGGTGAATATCCAGCCAATCCATCCTGCCATCGTTGAAGGAGTTGGCGGGAGAAAAGGCGGAGATGATTTTGACAAGGTTGAGATGGTGGAAAGAGAAGAAGCAAGTGAGGTTGTTGTGGTCGTGAGGTGCATGGCTAGTGAAGGGGCCAGACCATGAGCCATGGTCAACCTTGTAAGTATCCCCCCACTTTGGGCAGGTTTCTAGCTTTGAGTTCAGGGCCCACACAGGCTCGTCGCACAGGGAGAGGGACTGAGATAACTTTAAAGCCCTATAAGGGTATTTTCACCAAGGCAAACGTGGCATTGGAATTGCAGTGTTGTCACTGATGGAGTGATATCGGCGGACCATCCAGGGTGGAAAGGCGGTGGTTAGTGGAGTCGGAGCTTAAATAACCAATGACGTCAGTCCATATAAAACGTGGTCAACTTTAATAAATTCCCTTTAGCTATTTATCTTACATAGAACAGAAGGACCTGTGAAAATCACGCCAAAATGACAGCTTCTGGCACCAGAAACGGCCGCCTTTCCACCCGTAATTTTAGACGATAAGAAGCTGCTTGGCCGCTCACCCACCGCCCTCGACCGCCACTATATTGCACCCACCAAGCGCCTTTAGTCATCCTTCGGGGCTGATAGTTAGGAGCCAATTGTTCCCCTGATTTCCATTCACGCCTCTTCACCTCGCCCGGCTAAGGGTTTAAAAGATGCTTCTCGTCCCCTTCTCTCTGTTTATCGTCCTCCAACCCCGCAAGTTGATCTCAGTTTGATTTTTTTTCCTTAAGGACAAGCTTTGAATACTGATCTTGATTCCTGGTTATTCTTCTAGTGTCTGCACCTAAGTCCTCTAATACCGAATAGATGCTATTCTCTACGAGGAAAGTCGTGCCAGACCAAAACACTTTCGCAACCTGGGGTAGCTCCTCCTAGATTTCAAGCCTAAGACATAAGAAGCTGTCGCTATTATTGAATGCTACTAGCGACAATGAGCACTTATTTAGACATGTGCATGGGTTGGGTATGGGTCCCATATGGGTATTTTTGATGCCTTAATGCCTTATTTTCGCCTCAACCTAAACTAAATTAGGGTAATTAGTGCCTTAGTGCCTAATTTTTGCCTCAATCTAGTACTAACTAGGTGACAAATATCACGTGAAATAAAAGTCTTGGCAAAAAGATGGGTTTATGGGCTGGGTGTGGGTTTTACTTCAAACCCATACCCAACCCATATGGGTTTTGGGTAAAATTTCTGACCCATACCCAGCCCATTGTGGGTTGGGTTGGGTTGGGTATGGGTTTACCCAACCCAATGAACATGTCTACACTTATTTGATCTGTAATATACTAAATATCGAAAATAATATGAGAGAGTAAGTATTATATGCAATAGAAAGAAGACTACATCACATCGAGTACGTTAGTCCATCTCCTCCTACCTTGCATAAATCAGCTGCCTTTCTAACCAGTTGTTGATTTATAAGTTGAGCTACTATATACAGTATATATAATTATTTACAGGTTAACCATGGCTGCTTGACTTCTTTCCCCCTATTTTGGTGGACCTGAAAATCCTTAAAATAAAATACATAATACATGCTTCTGAGCCAAATATACATTTCTAGCGGGAGGAAATGGTATGTCTCCTATTCCCACTTTCACACGCCTGTTGAGGTAAAAACTTCCTTACTACCCGGTGAATAAAAACCTAATAATTTTGGAAGCAAACCATATATATTACATATCCCCTTTTTTTCAGATCCAACTCTTTATATGACTTTTAACTTAGCTCGATTTCTAGAGCAATCTCAATCCATACACTGCTTGCTGGATGCCCTAAAGCACAGCTGCCACAAGTAAGGCGTCAGAATTTTCTCTTATCCCGGTCAAGCGGTCATAAAAATCTTAGCAGCTTTGAAGAACTCACTGTTCCGCTAAGTTTTTTGAATAGATCCATGATTTTCTACATCCTACGCTAACATCCGCACGTCATACTGCGATAAAAGGTTCCAATAAGTATTCATACAGAATAGACTCATTTGGCAAGCAGCAGTTATCAAACGTAGTATTTGCCAACATGCGAAGATCGCGTGGGAAGTAGTATGGGCGAAAGAATCAAAAGGAAGACCCACTAAGAAGCTCCTCGAAGGACCTACAAAACGGGTTCTAGACTACTGGTTCGGTCTTAGGAAGGCCACAACATCGGTCCTGATTCAACCCCGAACAGGAATAAGAGGGATGCAGCTATATTGAGGAGCCAACCTTGACCAACGATAACACCTGATAGTCGAACGGGACCGTTGGTATCAACACATAGACATGTTTTTGCTAGCGACAAGAGAAGTATCTTGGGTCTCTGATGGAATTTTCAAGCAATCAATCGACGAACGACTCATGTGACCAACGTATGTTTCCGAGCATACTGACAGCACACTCCACCAAGATCGCAATATATCAGGTGCCAAGGCATATATATCACAAGTCACAAGGCATTTACAGAGCATTTTCTCGCAAGAAAATATGGATGATTCTAAATTCAGAAAGAGGAGTAAGTGTTGTTTCTGCCTTCAACGATCTCGGACTAGTGAGTCTGTCATACCAGCGCAAAGTTGGCCATGAATCCCTCCTTTGTCATATCACCGCTATCCACGAGTGCTTTGGCCTCCTCTAACTTCTCCAAAACTTCGTCATACAAATCCAATCCCCTTGACTTCTGGGCCGCAAATGTCTCAAGCTCTTTTGCATTCTCATATTCAGTCTCGCACCTCGCCCGTTCAGTAGCGCCAGAATGTCGGCGCATATGCGTAAAGGGGAAGCTGCGATGGTCAATAAAGTCAGATGACAGAAGTATATGTAACCACATAGATCTGGAGGCTTGCGACCATTTAACGAGGCTAGAGAACTCTCTCTCTCTCTCTCTCTCTCTCTCTCTCTCTCTCTCTCTCTCTCTTTATGCCCTTTCATCTTTGCCTCTTCCTCCACCAAGATACGTGTGAAAATCTCAAAACATCCAAGGTACCGGGCCCCAATATTGGGCAGCTCATTACCATTACAATTCCACACGCTGTTGACTGTCCTGTCTTGGAGGAACCACCAGGGTGCCGAACCAAACAGTTGGGCAGTTCCGATATATGATCACTCGAGGTCCACTACTCCAACAACAGTGAGGTCTCCCATGTCACGGACAATGAGATTCGCTAAGCCAAAATCATCTTCAATTAGCTTAAGCTTGTGATGATCATATTTTCCGTTGACAGAGTCAGGTATCAGACTTTTTAGGACTTTGAAAGCATGTATTTGTTTTGCGCATCATATGGACCAGATATTGAGTTAAACCGACGAACAAGCTGTTCCCAATCCTGTACGATGATATGTTGAAAATACTCGGTAGTCGTTGCAGACCCTAGGTCCGGTCACCTAGAGATCATTTGCCTAGTTAGCACACTCTGGGTGGGTAGTATTAGGGGCAAGAAGGCAAAGGCGTACCGAAAGTTTCAACCCCTCCGTTTTGTAGAATACTATGTGATAATTGCGCCATGGTGAAAGGCACCGTCAAGTTGACAGGGAAGCTTCTCGCGATGGAAATTTGACTCCCACTGACACAGATGACCTTTTCTTTAGGTCTCGTTCACGTTTTTAACCCAAAGCTGGCCCTGTGCCTTGTGGACGAGATCTAGAAGCGCGTTGGTGTCCATAATTTCAGGCAAGGCTTCAGTTAGGATAGAGACAGGCACGAAACGGCGTTGCTTTTATGGTCAGCTTTGAGTGTGTCTTGGGTATCGGCATTACTTTGTGAAGAGAAACATATTTCACATACGAAACACATTATTGAATGCAAAAATTTGAATCTTATATTTCAACAACTAGAATTCAAATCATTGTAATTTTTCAGCATCATACATACGACTATCTAAGTACATACTCCAGGTTTTAGAACATATCAGAGCGCAATCGAGAAATATCGATTAGAGGCTGTTATGAAAAGATCATGATGTAATTAATGGTATCATTATAATTTGATGAACTGATTCACTTGGAAATAAACTGGTTCTTAATATAATTCTTATGGATGAGTGTTCCATGTATTTGAAGATTATTGAAGTTTGAGTTGTTGAGGTGATAAAATCAGAATTTCTTGAATTTAGATAGAAAATTACCTGATGAGCCTCAAAAGGGAAAACTAACTACATGCAGTAATTCATGAATCCGCACATTACACCTTAAATTTACAACCAACCCATGTTTTTCAGGCTATCCCTACTGTCTCTATCTGGGTATTGGGAGTGGTGAGAAAAGTTGGACTCAAGGACAGCTCAATAGCACCGATTGACCTCCAAGTAAACAGTAGCTAATCAAGCCTAAATCTAGACTAAAATTTATTCACCGAGCCTGACTCTTAGCGCTTCTATTAAAGCGGCAGTGGCTGATGTAGGTAAGTCCCGCCAGGGGAAGAGAATCTGCTACGTATAGTTAACTGGGTAGGAGCTGTTGATATGGTATAGTGAGAAAAATCAGACAGCTAAACAGGCGTATAAAGCTAAGGTTCCAAACTCCAGGCATCGGAAAAGGCGTAGTTCTAGCTTTATTTGACCTCCAATCACAGCTCACGTCTGATATGATTAGCTCTATAGTACTGGAAATTGAAGATTATTAAACAATCTCCCATTTGGACCACTGATGGCACATTCGATGATGACTCCTCCCACCCTCTGGAAAGAAAGCTGCAGTTCCCCAATCAATGACACCTGCAACTACATCCATATTACGATGCAATACAATGTTTGACAAATTCCAATCCATCTGTGAAAATACTGGAAGACTGGAACGATTGATTTGATAGATGAGAGGTACATACATATTCGTATGTGTATTACTGAAGAAAGTCTTTTGTAGATGCGAAAGGTCCACAGTGAGGAAGTAAGAATCGAACAAGAATTTTTGCAAGCTCATTGACATAACTGCACCTGGAGCTTGATCCATTCCTTTTGGCGAGGGGAAACTTGAGCCCAAACCGGACCTTCATGTATCATTATGCCTGGAATTCGCTCAAGGACGTTGAAACTATGTATCCATGTTAGTTATTGATGCCAAGGCATATTTGGAATGAATTTATGGATGGACTGAACCTTTCAAGGTTTCAACGTTGGAATCTTTTCTTACCCGTCTCCTTGGTATATCAGCTTTGGTACTGGAATACTCGTGTATCGATGAAATGCTTCCAAAGCAAGTAACTCATTCTCATCACGGAGTAAAGTTGTAATTACATCAGGCTCGTTTTCATGATAGCCAAGCTCATCAGGTTTCAAATTCTTCTTCACAACATACTCATCCAGCATGTACATATATCGGTCAAATGGTGGAATGAGCAGTATTTCGGGTTAGCATATCTCCAGCCACTATTTATCAGTGGAAAACGTCATTTACTTCGACAGAGGAACAATGATTTGTTTGGTTTGGCGCAATGGGCAGAAAGTGACATAGGTAGAGACAGTCATCTGTAATTTACGCCGTAGTCATAGACCCCAGTTGCGTACACGATGTGATACATCCGATTCTGGCTCTGACCTTGCCCTTTAATCTTGGTGATGACGGGAGGAACCATCTGTTTCAAACGTTTCTTGTGATCACATCTGAACTAGCAAGATCAAATGGTGACTTTTTCCCAGTCTTTCTCGGTATAATTCTTTAGTTGCGCCGTTTGTAAGGCCCTTACCTTGATGATTAGGCTTTTCATCGCGATGTACTGTTCACGTTAATTTAGCTCAGCAAGGAGAAGATCACGAAAAACTCATGGATTAAAAGTGCGCGAGTCGCGGTAGGAACAACATTCTATCCCGGCTCCACGCTAACCACAACAGTACCTAAAGTAGGCAAAACCCTTGTAAGAGAGAAAAAGAGGCAAAATAAATGAGTTAAGAAAATTTTCGAGCACGTAAATCCGTGACAATGGCTATTTACTTAGTCCTGTTGAATAAAAAGAACGAGGTAGAACAGTTAAACAATATAAAAGGGCAAATAGTAGGACTCCTGTAGTTGATAGACGAGCTTCTCCTGACGCGTTATCAAAGGCTTGGCTTCCCCAACCCGGAACACCGACTTCATATGTTCCTCCCGTTCTCTCACATCTTACTTTTCTTGACCATCTACTACTTCAGTTTCGTTCTTTTTTGCTTTGATTTGGTGGTTCTGGTCCAGAGACCTGCCGCGGCGATGTTTCAGGTATGCTTTGCTCTTCCATTCATTGATCAGAGCCCATGTTGCGCAAAGCGCAATACACTCACTCACACTCTATTTCTTAGCGCCTCCGCGACGCCATCGACTCTCGCATCACAGAGGAACAAACCCGTCAGAAGTCTACTCAGGAAACCGTCTCTCGCTCCAATTCCGCTCGCCGTCCCCCCGGCCGCAACCCCTCCCCGAGACGGACCCGTCCCCGCAGAAATACAAACACCCCTGTCCGCGGCCCTGACCCAAAGGAATTCGAGGCGGAATTTGCCATTGGGGAGGATGAGGAGTCTAGTCGTTCTGCCACCCCACAAGTCGGGACACCGGATGCTTCCTCAGAAGTGACCACGTCAGTGGAAACTGATGGTGCGGAGCAGCCAGATGGGCAAACAAAGCCCGATACGACCGACAAGGGAACCACATCGCCGTTAGAAATAGAGGGTAGTAAAGCGGTCACACCGGATTTGCCTGTGGAGGTGAAGGCAAAACTCCGTAGGCTGGATAAGCTCGAATCTCGATATCATGGTATGTATGCATTCTCGGCATAGCTGAGCAAAATACTGATTCAGGTGTTTTTAGAACTTCTTAAAGCCTATCGTGTGGCACACTCACGTGTCCTTTCCATCGAGCCTTTCGAAGCGGCACTCCGCGAAAATACCCCTCTTGCCTCGATCGGTGAACCGAAGGCACTGACCGAGTATCTCAACCAGATGTCGTTGAAGACTGACATGGTTCTGGATGAACTCAAGCGTGTAACAACGGACCGAGATGATTACAAGAAGAAATTGGACGAGGCGCAAAAGTCCACTAAGGAGGCATTGGATGAAGTTGCTGGTCTGAAATTAGAAGCAGCCTCCAAAGAGGAAAAGAAGTCGTCAGAGGCGAAAGATGAGACTAGTGAGGATTTCTTCTCATTTGACAATGAAGTTCCGCGACTGGAAGGCGAACTGAAAGAACGTCAAGAAGAAGTGGAGACCCTCAAGACCGAAGTAAAGGAGCTTAAAATTGATCTTTCCGTTGCTCGAGAGTCAACGGAAGGAATGGTTCAGAATCTGGAGTCATCTTCGCGAGATCTGGCAGAGCTGCGCGATGCAAAGGACAAGTTGGATGCTGAGGTCAAAGAGCTGAAGACCTCTAAGCAGACAGATGTTGATGCCCTCAAGACGAAACTCGATACTGCAGAATCATCTCTGGAGAAGACATCTGCGGAGGTGAAGCAACTGAAGACCGATCTGAAAGAAAAAGTGAATGAGATCGAGAAACTACAGACCCAAGCATCCAAGACTGAAAACGCGGAGGCGACGAAGTCAGACTCAGAGCTGGTTTCACAATTGGAGCAAGCTAAAAAGGAGAAAGACTCCAGCGAAAAGCGACTAGGAATTCTGCAGGGCTTGGTTGATAGCCTTCGGATTCAGCTTAAGGAAAGCGAGTCGACCTTGTCTGAACTGAAGACCGAGGCTAACAAGAACACTGCAAGCTCCACCGGACTGCAGAACATCATAGATTTCGTTGATGAGAGCCTTAAGGACAATGCTGCTTGGAAGTCAGCCAAGGAGGATGTCTCTGCCGGCCGGAAAGCTGATTTCGAGGAGATTCGCAGGAGCCTTGCTCCGGCTGAGAAGGAGGAGGCTGCCGAGCCTCTTGTCGCTTCAGAGAAGACATCCCAGCCTGCCGTCGCATCTGCAGGTGGAGCAGGAGGCAAGAAGAAAAACAAAAAGAAGAAGAAGGGAGGAAAGCCTGAAGAATTACCCAAATCAGCCGAGCCAAAATCATCAACAGAGCCTGCCAAGGAGGAGCCAGCACCGACTTCTGTGGAAGTTGAAGAACTCAAGCAAAAAATCGAGGGTCTGAATCAGACATTGGCAGAAAAGGAGAGTGCCATCGACCGTCTCAGCGCCAAACTAAAAGGAGAGGAGGATTTGAAGGAAGAAATCGAATCTTTGCGTGATGACATTGTCAATCTGGGACAGGAACATGTCGAGGCAAAGGACAAGATCAAGGAGCTTACAGCTGAGAAATCTGCTTTGCAGGAGACAGTTGACAGGCTAGAGAAGGAGCTTGCTGAAATTCGCACCATTAGTGCCTCTAGCAGCGCAGACTCGGAGAAGTTGCACAACAGTCTCAAGGAAGAGTTTGAGCGTCTAAAGACCCGATCAGCGACGTTGGAAACAGACCTGTCAGCTACACAACAACTAGCCACCACTCGGTTCAAGGATCTGACCGACTTGCGGGAAACCCTCCAAAAAGTCCAACCAGAACTACGTACTCTTCGCGCGGAATCATCGGAGCTCAAGACTTTGAAAGAAACGCTTAACAGCAAGAACAGCGAGCTGAGGAGTCTTGAATCTAAGCACGACGATCTGCGTGCGGAGCTAAAGACAGCCAAGACCAAGTTCTCAGAACGTGATACAGAAGTTAACATCTTGAACAAAAAGATCCGCCAGGAAACTGACAACCGTCTCAAGGCCGAGGAAAACCTGACAGTTGCCCAATCAGAACAGCGAACGACCGAGGCACGGAGAAAGGAAGCTATCAGTGCCAGAGAGAGGACTGCTGCTGACCTAAGCAAGGCACAAGATAATCTGAAGGCTTCTCGTGTGAAGGTCCGCGAGATGGAGGAGCGCATGTCCCAGCTGAACAAAGATCTAGAAGGTCTTCGGGAGGAGATTCAACTGAAGACAGCGCAGTCTTCCAGTGCGCAAAATTTGATGACCAACATGCGTGATCAGACCGCAGAAGTGGCAATGCAGATGAAGGAGGCCCGCGAGAAATGTGAGAGCCTAGAAGAGGAATTGGCTGATGCTCATCGTCTATTGAGTGAGCGGACGCGTGAGGGAGAAACGATGCGTCGCCTTCTCAACGACATTGAGAGTCGGTCCGAGGCCAAGATTCGAGACTTCAAGGAGCGCATGGAGGCAGCTGTCGAAGAGCGAGACCGTGCCGAAGATGAGACAAGCACGCAAGGCCGCCGCCGCGCAAGGGAAATGGAAGAGCTTAAGGCCAAGTTGCGCGAGGCAGAACGAGCGCTCCGCACCGCAGAGGAGGATAAAGAAGAGCTACAACATACGCAGAAGGATTGGCGCCGTCGCCGCGAGGAACTGGAGCTTCTCTCTGAACGATCTACCCAAGAAGTTGCCGAGGTTCGGCAGGCAATGGCCAGCCTTCGAGAGGCGCTGGACGCAAGCGAGAAGCAAGTTCGCGACCTTGGGAAAGAGAAAGCAGAGCTACGTCGCTCTGTCGAAGAGACTAATAATCGACTCGAAAAGCTTCGTCGATCCCACAAGACTCTTGGCGAAGACGTTCGTCTTCGTGGACTGGAGTCTGGTCGCCAGTCATCGAGGTCATCGCTTGACTCTGGCTCTCGCAAGGGTGTTATCTCTCCTTCCCGCCAAGGGCGCAGTGTATCTACTCGTCGGAGCGAGACTCCCCCTGACGCTGCAGCTGCAGGTGCAGGATCTGTAAGTAGTCCTTCCATTGACTACATGTACCTAAAGAACGTCTTGCTCCAATTCCTGGAGCAGAAGGACAAGGGGTACCAGAAGCAGCTGATCCCCGTCTTGGGGATGTTGCTCCATTTCGACCGGTATGTTTCCGATTTCCATTCGCTACAAAGTCTATAATAATTGCTCACCTATGTTTAATAGAACCGATGAACAGAGATGGATGTCGGCTATCATGTCTAGATGATCTCCCTCGTGCTAGTCATGACCTGTGAACCATTTGATTTGTTGTAATATGCCTGCTTGTATATATCCCTAGGGATATTCTTCTTCATTCTTGTCATGTACAGTATTCACTTTCCCTTTTTTATTTAGCAATTATTATAATCGATCTCTTTCAGAGATGATCTTTATCAACATATTCGGACCGCTTCTTTTTGCCGTGGTGGTCACCTGGAATCCTATCGTGCCAAGACGATCTTAAATTGGACCGCTCAAGTCCTGTCTTCCTGACTCCAGGATTTCAACACCTATCATGGATACTTTGTTGGAATATAATTCATACATTCCAAGGTTGATACATGATCAAGAACAAAAACCTAAGTAGACAAGACCTCAAGGTATCTAGGTAGAAATTCGACTTTATGTAGACTTTCTGCCCCTTTTATCTTGCTGGAGCGACTGCAGCGTTCGTAAAAAAAATCACCATGAATAGACTAGAGTTTCAGATTGCAGGGTAAATTGTGATAATGGGAATAACTAAATAACAATATTAAGATTAGGTGAAAGTAAACAGATACATCTAAGGTTATGGCAGAACCCCCGGAAGAAGTATAAGCCGAAAGTCACCGCTACCATATATAGTCTAGCGTCAAATCTCCCCTCATTCCCTCACATCCTGACTCAGGAATTCCTTAAGTAATCTCTCCTCTGCTGACATCCACTTCACTGCTTACCTCATTCAATCTACATCGCGCCAAAAGCACTTTACGGTGTTATTTTGGCAATTGGTGGGTATTGAATTAGTGATCGCTCAATTCCGACCTCTCTAGTTCTTTTTCCCACTTTCAATGCAACCCCCGCTGGCACCAGCACCACATCCTAACATGCAGAATGCTCAGGTAAGCAATACTCCCTCGACGCGTTTGTCATCACATCTCCCTCCCGCCAAGTACCATCTATACTAGATGGCACTGGTTCATAAGTTTGATATGAGGGACATCGTCCCGCCACGACGCGTCGATCGTCCGTCCGGCCCCTTGCCGAGATTCCCGGATTTTCCCCTCCCAAAGAGTCGTGTTAACTGACCTATCAAACATAGGATCCCGCGGACCAGGGTAAGCTCTCCCACATCTGGACCGATGTGTTTGTTTAAGAGCAAACCGGTATCGGCCTCCTGGCTGAACTTGAGGCTTGTTCTCACGCATTTAAATCTTCCTCGTGTATTTTCAAATTGCTGATTTATTAACAGTTCTCCACGATCAACTGCTAGCTGCCCAGCACAACCTGCAGTCGCGTCCTCAGGTTCCAGGCCAGCAGCAGCACATGCAGGCTAACAATGCCAACACTCGCGAGCAGGCCAACATTGACCCGGCCATCTCGGGTGCTGCCATGATGAGTGCTCCTCAACCTCCTGTGCAGTTCAAGCAGGCTTCACCCGAGGATGGAAGCCCTAAGGCTTACGGCGGTGGAAAGCGTGAACTTTCTACCTCCAAGCGCGCCGCCCAAAACCGCGCCGCCCAGGTTAGTCATCCTTCATCTTTTGCGTTTATTTGATGTTGAATTTACGCCGTCTCATCCCTTTCCATTGATTATTGTCAAATTTCCCCTCATCAACCCTACTCTTCGCAGCATGATGACTAACAAAGAGATAATCCAGCGTGCTTTCCGTCAGCGCAAGGAAAGCTACATTCGCAAGCTCGAGGAGGATAACAAGGACCTCGAGTTACTCCGCGAGAACCTGCAGAAGAGTTACACTGAGAATTACCAGCTGCGTGAGCACATCATCACCTTGCAAACCCGCCTCATGGAGGTCCAAGTCGAAGTTCCCGACCTCCCTGCCAACATCGACCTTAGCCAGCCTCGTCACGGCCTGGCTCTGGCCGCCGCCGGCATAAATGTCGGCGCCTCCGGTGCCATCGCCCCCAACCCCACTGGACCCCAACAGGCTCAGCACCCCGGCTCGGATGATCTGAACCGTCTCGCCGTTGCTGGCCTTGGAATGCGCAAGCACGAGGAGACCAATTTCCTCACCAACAGCTTCCAGCAGAACAAGCGTGCCCGTACTGATGACGTCCAGGGTGACAACACCGACCCTAGCATCAAGGTTGATGGCCACCACCACGGTCTTCCTCTGGCTTAGGCTCTCGCGGCTCGTATTGATTTGCACGGACTGACACCACATCCCACATCGATATCCACACTTTCGCGCAATCTTCTATCGACTTTCCCCCCACTTTATCTTCTTGTGCTTTATTTCTTGCGGCAGGTGGTCTTGTTTTTTTGGTTGTGGCGCAGAGGCGTTCTCAGAGGCTGATCGATATCCAATGGAGAATTCAAAGGAGAATTGACGATTCAAGATCTTCCGAACGTAGTACCTTCGTAAAACGGTATTCTCTTGACTTGAAATCGCCAGAATGTGCTTCGATCTTCTCTCCATTACAAATGTATATTTAGTAGACATCTACTTCCCCTCCTCACTTTCCCTTTCCCTTTCTTATTTTATCTTTCCTCTCTATAATCAAATTTACTCGGGAATCATCTTTTAGACAATACGGGAGAGGCCATCCCTCCTCTGCTCCTTTACCTGATATCTATTCGCGAATATTCAGCGGGTTGCCATAATCAAGGAAGTACCCTGTCTTGGTGGACTTTGCTGAAGTGGCAGTCCATTGTTTCAGTTCTAGAATCCATCAATTAAACATTTACCTCCAAAATTTCATCGTCTTAGTCCTTTCAGTATCCTGTTACTGATATCCTGTTTCACTTTGCTCTATATTTCAGCCCTTCGTCGCTCTTGAAATCCCCCACAACGTGATGGATATCAGGCTTTATAACTTCCAAAAACACATTGATCAGTTCAACTCGCTTACCTTTAACTTGAAACTTGCTCACTTCCACTTTCACCTTCCATTTCACTTTTCACGATCGCCTCAGTGTTTTCCTACACATATCACCTTTCTCACCAACATTCGCCATCTTTCCTTTGCATGTTCTTCGAACATATCTATCCCTTATTTCACGCCTAAAACCCCACCTTTTTCATCATTCTCCTACGACAGAAATCATTTTCAAGTAACCGGAGAAAGATGAAAGCTTTATAAACACACTGAACGAAGCTGAAGACATGCTGGATGAATTCCTCAAGAGATGTTCTCGTAAGTCAGCCAATACGGCATGTAGATCTTTCCGCCCAGCTACTCACTCATTCAGTCTCTCTCTTTCATTACTGACGTGAGAGAATATTTAAAAATCCGCACCGCTCAGTTGACGAGTGAGCTTACCATCGCCCGCACTACATCACCGTTTCCATGGCTGCCATTTCAACCGGAATTCTGGTCCCAGGAAATAATCCAGGCTTTTCGCAAATATCGGGTCTTTCTGTGTTATACTGGATGCTGTTTCAAGGACTCCAGGAATATGATGACTTCATCTCTCTTACATTATTCTGTGGATACCGAAGGCAGCCACCTTATATGCCTCATTGATAGAATAAAGTATTGCGAGTGTGCTGCCTTTGAACAGGATATGGGAGAAGCACTTGTTGGGGTTTGGATCTACTTCAAGACCCAAATATGGCTAGCATCGTGAAGCTCTTGGTGACAAGTCCGCTGGAAACCAAAATTGTCCGCAATGCATTCGATGGATGCATTCTTACAATATCTTCTGCTTGTGGAATATCTTGGGTCCTGTGATACATTTGTGCCCGAGGAATAGCTTCGCTTTTTGGATATTTCTAATAAATCTAATTCCTAATGGCCCTCCATCACGGTCGTATGCAGATGAAGTTCAAGACGATCGCCACCATTGGCGACTGGAAAGAGCAGGCCTGCCATTTGGTAGGTAATGAAGTCGCCAATGTTTCATCCACCCATTTTGGAGTTACTCAGAGTCGAATGTATAGCGATATTGGCATCAGGTATGAAACTTCTAGAAGTAAAGCTGAAGACCTCGCTTTAGATCACTTCGTATTTGGTGCATTCCTCTCCCTTTTAAGGTGTGCCATGGATGGCAGGATATAGTTTCCTTGCCTCCTTTTGCTAGGCTTGGGCGGGATGTTATTTATGTATACCAACCTAAAGATCACTCTTGAGATGGTTGCTAGGAGAGAGACCCATCGATTACTTTCCTTAGGAATATCAGGGAGGATGGGAGAGGTTATATACTCGCCCTAAGAACTTGAGAGTACCTCATCTTTGGTCAAAGCTTTTCTCCCAACAGATCAAGGGTACTGTAATACGGGAACAATTATCTTATTAGCAACCCTTAAAGAAGTCCAACGGGCATTTTAGAATGATGTAGAAGATTTACAATGAAAAGTGATTATCAATGCTATTCATCAAATACTGAATTCCAGTCTACACTTTAGATACAGTCCTCTTCAACCATTGTGTCTGAGAGTTGCAGTAACTCAAGAGACCAGACAATCCCCACTCAACCCCCAGACCACTCTGCTTATGACCACCAAATGGAATACCAGGAGCAACGGCAAAGTGATTATTCACCCACACACTTCCGGACTGCAGCTGATCAGCGATGCGCGTAGCACGATCAAAGTCCGCGCACCAGACAGACGAGCCCAGCCCTGTTTCCAGTGCATTAGCCTTACTGATAACATCGTCATCATCAGACCACTTCAATACGGGCAAGATAGGCGCAAACGGCTCCTCTTGCACCACTCGCGACGACTCAGGCGGGTTGTCGATGATAGTGGGGTGGATGAAGTATCCTGCGGAGTCCTCGATGGATCCGCCCAAGGCCGTCTTTAGGTTATCAGCCTTGATAGTACTGAATAGTTCCTTGGCCTTTTCAAACTGCATCTTGTTCTGAACAGGACCGATGAAGACATCTGGTTCTGTGCCGTCGCCGACCTTGAATGCCTTGACGAAGGCAACCAGCTTTTCCAGAAACTCATCATAGATCTTCTCATGGACATAGAGACGCTTGATCATCATGCAGATCTGAGAGCTGCAGAGGTACGACAAAATTCCAACTTGAGGAATAACAGCATCGATATCAACATCCTCGCAAATGATCGCCGGGTCGTTTCCCCCAAGTTCGAGAGTCACCCGCTTGAGTGTCTTGGCACAGTCGGCCATTACCCGCTTCCCCGTCGCACAGGAGCCAGTGAAGGAGATCTTGTCGATTCCGGGGTGTTCGGTAATCATAGGGCCAAGTCGATCGTCCCCACTAAGACACTGAAACAAGCCCGGAGGGAAGAACTGTGTACCGAGCTCGGCCAATTTGAGAGCGGTATAAGGGGTGAATGGAGAAGGTTTGACAATGACGGCATTACCAGTGTATAGGGCCGAGGCCACTTTCCCTATGGCCAGGAGGACAGGGAAATTCCATGGAATGATGGCACCGGCGACGCCCATAGGGACGTGTCGCTGGATGATCTTGCGATCTTCAGTCTCTTCGAGGATAGTGTCTTTGATCTCGATGGCGCTGAGCCCACGAATCCATGAACTGGCCATTCCTAACTCAGCCTGTGACTGGGCGAGGGACTTTCCCTGTTCCATAGTCAAGGTCTTGGAAAAGACCTCGGCATTAGCATCGATGGCGTCAGCGTAGGCATTGAGAGTTGCTCGGCGTTCTGCGAAGGATGTCTTGGACCACGACTTGAAAGCCTTTCGGGCACCATCGACTGCGCGATTAAGATCAGCTTGCGTGGAGACAGGAACTTCGGGATTTGGTTGGGAGGTGGCTGGATTAATGCCATGGTGTGTAGTGGCAGTGGTGGTTAACTCATTGTCGATGACATTTTTGAACGTCTATGCATTGGAAACTGTGAGTGGTCTTTCTTTTAACCTGTGAACCTGCAGCCTGCTAAGGTTCTTCCAGCTTACATACCGTGAAGTCAAGAGTAGTCGTCATATTGAAGGTGAGGAGATTGTGTAGGCCAGAAGAACAGGGATCGGTCACAGACTTTATACCTCTAGATTTCAGCATTGATCTCATCAATCTCATGGGAATTAACCCCGCAATGCCGTGAATCTTTTCCGAAAATGCTGACCGAAATAATTACCTCACATAAATGAACCAAGTTACAGATCACCGCGCAAGGGAGTCTAGTTGCATGTAGATTACGGGATCCGATTGGGTCTTCGGCTATAGCCCTTACTAACCCCGCAGGCGATCTCGATCCGTTAATCCACTTTTATATCCACTTTTCATCCAAGAAATGAGGGGTAGGTTCACGATCAATAATGCGGAGATTAACGGAGGGATTTCCCCATGGGATCTACCGTTTTAATCAAACTCTCTATACTTTCAGGCAAGAAAGCTGGCATCTATGGATTCTTAATCCGGGGAAAGCTCTCCCACGTGGACAATTACTCCACAGGCCAACGCCCCTGAACTTGCTTGGCAAGTCCCGCTCTCTTCACAACCTCGTGACTGCGTTTTTGAGCCTCGGAAACAATATCTCCTTCATCCATCGTCATCAATTCGCCACCCTTCACCAACAACTTCCCGTCTACTACCACCACATCCACATCCCGTCCTGTAGCCGAATACACCACCGCACTCGCCGCATTATGCCAAGGCTGGTTATGAAGCCCATCAACGTCAATGGCTACGAAGTCCGCTTTTTTACCCACTTCCAAGCTACCGATTTGATCTTCTAGTCCCAGTGCTCTGGCACCGTTGATGGTCGCCATCTCCAAAACGGATTCAGCCGGTACTGCAGTTGGATCGAAAGAGGTGCTCTTGTGTATTATCGCAGCCAGTTTCATCTCCTGTATCAGGTCGCAGGAATTGTTACAGGGAGCACCGTCAGTGCCTATCCCAATATTAACACCGGCCTTTTGGAGATCAGGCACGCGACATATTCCCGAAGCTAGTTTCGCGTTCGATGTCGGACAGTGAGCAACATGGGCTCCGGATGCAGCCAAAATCTCAATATCAGAGTCGTCGAGATGCACCATGTGAGCAAGGACCGTTTTAGAACTGAGCAATCCCACAGACTTGCAATAGGACATAGGGGTGTGCGATAGTCCGGCAAAGAATTCCCGATCAGCTTTGACCTCAGCGCAGTGCATCGTGATCGGGATGTCTTTCTCTCTAGATAAAGCAGTCATCTCCTTGTACAAGTCATCAGAAACACTAATGAACGCGTCAGTATTGAAAAACACAGATTGGAAAAACCAGCTCCGGGGCTGGAAAAGAGTTCTCACCCTCCTGGTGTCCTGGCTCCAAACCAGACTTGAATTCTATCATCTGCAGCACCATTCCACTTCTCGTGCATTTTTAGAGCCCCCAAAAGTGAAGTCCCGCGATCCTCGACAAGACCAGGGTGCATGGCCCATGCATCGTCTTTTGCATATTTGGCAATATCCATGACGATTTTACCAAGACATCCGCGAATACCAGACTCTTCGACAGCACGAGCGAGTCCATCAAATCCATATCGATCAGCAAACTGCTTATCAATCAGATTGTGCTTTTTGGAAAGTACGGGTATTGAACTAACCATGCTCTCTAAAAAGGTCGTTGTGCCTGACTTAAGCATCTCTGCGATACTTAACCTTGCCGCTGCATACCCGTCGGATTCGGTAAAGTTTCCCTGCAACACCTATATAGCCTTTAGTTCATTATTCGGAAATTCGGAAATTCGGAAATTCAGCAAGCGAGGAATTATGAACAGTACCCAAATCCTCTCACACAACCACGAAACTAGCTCTAAATCATCTGCAGTCCCTCGCAATAGAGTCTGCGCCGTATGCATATGTGTAGAAATGAGACCAGGTATAACGATGCGACCTGATAAATCATATTCATCATCGTCAGGGTATCTCTGCTTGAGGAGAGCTCTTTTGCCAATATCTGCAATTTTATTGCCCTGGACTCGGATTGCCCCGTCTTGAATGATACGTCTGGTAGGATCTACCGTGATAATTGTAGCGTGAGTATACAGCATGTTGAGTATTGAATTCTGCAGTGCCAATCAGAAATCACCCCGAACTGTTGGTATTCTCAATTAAATATTGATGATGGGCCGAGTTCGGCATCCTTCGGAGGCCGCCGAAATACGAAGTCTGATCCTTTGAATTGATAAGAGAATCGGCGGGGTAAATCAGATCATATCATATAATTATTTTCTATCCAAGTCTATTTTCAACCCTAGCTATATATAAGTGCGTAGATACTCCCCAAGCGCCATAATGGCCATTGCCTGCCCATATGGCATTGACGTCAAAGGAATATCCTTGTAAAACTGGACAGTCTCACCCATCGGCGTACCGAAACTCACATTCTGCAGCTCGCCCCACTCATCAATATCCTCCAGCACGGACGAGATAGCCTTCTCAGCCACCTCCCGATACTGCGGTCCGATATAGCGCTTACGTACAGCCTTCAAAATACCATAAGCGAAGCCGGCGGTAGCACTGGCTTCGACATACGAATCATCGTGATCTAGTACAGTATGCCAGCGGCCGGAGTCTGACTGCACACCCTGCAGTGCTTCACACTGGGCTTCAAGTGCATTAATCAGGTGCACCCGAATCGGATCATCTGGCTCTAGCTCTAGCAATTCGATGAACTCCGGAATAACAATTGTCACCCAGCTATTCCCGCGCGCCCACCGCGCACCGGCAAAGTGATGGCCTCCATCCTCAAATGTCCACCCATGGAAAAAAAGTCCGGTCTTAACATCGAATAAGTATTGGATGTGAATGAGAAACTGTCGCTTGGCTTCGACGACATACTCTGGGCGGCCAAGGAGTCTTCCAATCTTGGCTAATGGCAACACCGTCATCATCAGGGTATCATCCCACAACTGCTGATAGTTTTCCGTAACATAAGTTACATGCTGCATGCCGCCATACTTTGTACGGGGGAGGTCGTGCATTGCCCATTCCGCCCATGCATTTAGCCAGGGGAGGTAGGCTATATTGCTCGTCTTTTCATATACGTATGCGAGTGTGAGGAAGGGAGCCATGGTATTGATATTCTTCGTTGTGCCTTCCTTGAAGCGTTCGGTAAACCAGTCTTCAATTATCTGGAAGAATTTGGCTTCACCGGTGAGTTCGTAGTATTTCCATACACCGTATAAACCCACGCCGTGTGTCCATTCCCATCCATTCCAGGATTTAGTATCGATAATACGACCATCTTCGAGGAGGAGCAGGAATTTGCCTGTTTCATCTTTGATATTGATGAGGTTGTCAATGAGGATGTTGATAGCGTTATGAACTTCGGAGAGGGAATGATGAGTTGAAGCCATCTTGAAAGTTGAACAATGAAATTGGAACTCAGCGAGAGACTCATAAGTAGCATAATGATTGAATGAATATCCCCGCGCCAAGACCGACTCGGGTTAATGACGACCGAGTCCAACGCACTCGGTGATTGATACCCCGGTATTTCCCCGGTTTTCTAATAATTCATTTGTGATCCGTGGGAAATTTATGGGGAAATGCCAAGAATCTGGGGAAATACGTTGTTCTTCTATTCCATTGGATCGGACAACACTACATGTATGGCTAAATGCAGGGCATATGATGGAATTGGCGCTTGGATCCTGTCAAAGCAAGTGGGCGCTGGATGTTAAAGCTCTGATGTGCCCCTTCCCCAGGGTTAATCCTTTGTATTCAAGTTCAGACTCCAATTTGTAAATATTCAAAATGGCACAGGACGTAATCAAGTCTCAAATTGAGACACTGCGTGATCAAGTCGAGATGGAAGATCAGAAGCATGACGCATCACACGTGGAACGAGTCTTGTCACCGACTGATGACCTGAAGAAGGACGACATGGATTTCTCGCAAGTGGATAGAGAAGTCCAGCTCTATGCCTCTCGGGCTCAGGTCGAGGTAGACGAGGCGACCAATAAGCGCTTGAAGCGCATGATTGACCGTCGCATCTTGGTAATCATGATCTTGACTTATTTTCTACAAGCGTTAGACAAAGGAACAATGTCGTTTTCTTCGATTATGGGCATCAAGAAAGATGCTCATCTGGAAAATGGGCAAAAGGTACACATGGTCACATTGGCTTCACCCGAGAAAGAGTTGACCATACTAATCCCATATCTAATAGTACTCATGGCTCACAACCTGCATCTACATTGCTGTATTGATTGTGGAATATCCTACAAACTGGATCGTCCAGCGAGTCCCGATAGCGAAATATCTCGGTATTAATATCTGTCTCTGGGGAATTGTCTTGGCGATGCATGCTGCATGTCATAACTTCGCCGGTCTCGTGGCTGTACGAAGTCTTCTAGGTATCTTTGAGGCTTGCTGTCAGCCCATCTTTGTCCTACTATCATCGATGTGGTATAAACGGGAGGAGCAGGCTGCAACAGTCACCTATTGGTGAGTTCTCTTACGCAACCAGTATTCAGAATTTAACATTGGACAGGTACATGATGAACGGCGCCCAGCAGATTGTTGGTGGCCTGCTAGCATACTGCTTCACGCTAATAGGAGGTGACAAGGTACTCAAATCCTGGCAAGCATTATTCCTATCATATGGATGCCTTTCAGTTCTATGGGGCTTATTTGTCATCTGGTACATGCCTGACTCACCTATGCGAGCGAAATGCTTCAGCGAAGAAGATAAACAGCTTATGGTGGAGAGACTGCGAACGAATCAGACCGGTATCCAGAATAGAAAATTTCGAAAATATCAAATGTTGGAGGCTTTCTGCGATCCCCAGACATGGTGTTACTGTGCTATTCAAATATTCACTACGCTGCCAACGAGTGGGCTTGGCGCCTTTGCTGGTATTATTATGACGGGTTTTAACTTCACGACCCTGCAAAGTCAGCTTCTCGCTATGGTACTAGGCTTTTATATCATTGTCATCTTGTTGACATCGGCCTGGCTGGTAAAGAAGTATCAGCAGAATTTACTCGTGATGCTCGGATTTATCATTCCGTACGTGGCCCCGCTCTAGTTCATATCCACTTTGTCACAACTTCCTCACACTGTTCTAGATCATATATTGGTACCATCGTCCTGATGACAGTCGCAAACACCACATTAGCCACTAAAGTCGGCCTGTTGATAAGCTACTACATCACCCTTTCCTTCTGGTCTGCACAAACCCTATGTCTGTCAATGGTCTCCCGAAACATAGCCGGCCAAACAAAGAAGTCAATAGTTATAGCCGCGACCTTTGTTTCCTGGGCAGCTGGCAACGCGATTGGTAAGCCACATCATTCATTTTGAGGTATTTACGAACGGAAGGACTAACCGGTGCTTATCAGGCCCGCAAGTCTTCCTGGACTGGGACGCACCCCGTTATCACATCGCCTGGAGCGTGCACCTTGCCTGTTATGTGTGCATGACGGCAGCGGTGATATATTTGCGTTTCCACTTGATACGACAGAATAAGAAGAAAGATAAAATTACAGCTACATTTGGCGCGGTTGATCCTAATCTGGTTCACGCTTTCGAGGATAAGACCGATCGGGAGAACATGAATTTTCGTTATGTTTATTGATAGTTTGTTGAATGGATACTAGTACCCATGTATCTGTTTTATTCGTCGGGTATTCCTCGGGATCTTAGTCGTAGCCAGACATACTTGTAGACCTGAATTCAGTAAATTTCAATCCGTAAGGAATAAATATCACAGTTTCGGAACGATGATTTGACTAGTCTTACTGTTCGTGCATATGCATCTACTTTTTGGTAAATGTATCGTTGCGAGTTGTAAGAGGTGTGTGATTCAATCTTGTCTTCGCTGTAACTAAATAGATAAAACTCACTAGATTCACTTCATGTCGCTGGACCAACAGCATCGTAACCATTCTCATTGGTCCTGTGCCCCACTTTGGTCTGGTGGTATCGACACACAGGAACTAACCCGAGTATACCCTTGCTGTCGCAAGCTGAATATTCCTAGCGTTTCCCGTTGATTTCGGACTTGGAATGCGAACTAAAATGCTCCCATTACATAAGGCTGATCAAAATGACCTGGATGAACCAGTTTCATGGTCGAGAGAACCGGAAATAGGTGGTGACATTGTGGGCTGTTGCGCTGAGCAATTTAGCCATCGATTTTGTGACTATCACTTCTCATATCTTGAGCTTAAACTTAGGAGGAGAATTCCGCGTGTATGAGAAATCCTGACCTCATTCTCATAAGCTATAAAAGCAGATATTAGAAAGGCTGTCATTAGTAGTCAGGTATATCTCGGTAGTTATTGTCGTAAAATTCCAGGGAGAGTCTCTTTTCTGATTTAAAGTTTGATATAATGAAGACGAAGACAAGCGACACCAAGGGGAATAAGTTTATGTAAGGATGAGGTTCTAAGATACGCTGTAAACTGAGAGAATAATTTATAATGTGCCTGAGGCGGAAAAGATGCGAAGAAGTATTGATATTCGAAAGATGGAGTAGCAGTATATTAGAGATTATATAGAGATTGATACTTGAAGTATTCTTTGAGACTTGGTAACTAGTGTATAATTTATACTGTAGGGGACTGACTCGTGGACATTGAGCAGTGATCAGGCTTTAATTCTAGAACATTTAGGCACATTGGGTCAAGGTGCAGGACTGGCGGACGTATTAAGAACCGACAGGCAGGGTTCCGCAGGGACAGTCATATTCTAGCAGGCAGGCTATAGCTGAAGATGCAGACAGAACTACAGATGTTACATGAGGTTGTAGTGGAACCATCATCGGAATTCTGACTAACTAAACTAAACCAAACGCAGTCAGCCGATAGAGCGACGCTATGTTACGACTACCTCCCCTAGCAGGAGTGATCCCTGCGGCTCTATGTCACGGCTCTCTGCCTCCGTGAGCAAGCGTAAAGGTACACCCTCGTATGAGATGTAGAGCTCGGCACGAATATGTGAATATTCGCAAATATTCGCATCTTTATATACTGTTCCTAATTAGGCTTAAGTATTAGTGCTAAACATAAGTGCTACCTGACTATCCAGGTATATTTCATTATCTTTAGACAATTAGGTTTCATAACTAAGAAAATTCAACTTCTAGCATTCAATTAGTTTCTCACTATCCTTAAATAGATAAGATTTAGACTGGTCATCAGACTCATCATACTTGACTTGATAGATATTGCGAAGTAGCACATTCTTTCGCATAGTCTCACCTTCCATAGAGTATCGACAAACACCAAGTAGGTCACTGACGCTACAAATAGTCTCTCTACTGATACTTCTGCTGCTGAAATAGCTAGATAGTCTCTTGCAGCTGCTGCCATCCTTGGATATTCACATTTGTGGGCATTTCACCATAAAAATAGAAGAAGGCTGAGGGACAGTACAAGTATAAATAGGCGGTGGCAGAAAACTGCGAATATTCTCGCATCAACCGCGAGTGCGAATACGAATAATAGCTAGTGGTAGCGACTGCGAATTCGAATAATCTGAAATAAGTGCGAATATTATTCGTGCCGAGCTCTAACATGGAGATGGAGTTGGCTACTTTTAAGCGGAAAAGATACGTGACGGTTTCCAAAAAGATGATTGGTACATACGCCGCTGACCCACGCCCACACCATGCGCCAAGAACAACAATACGAGTTTGGAGAGCCTTGGCACTGCAAGCATGTTGCTTTACCGGTGGATTCGAGACTTGGAAATAGCCCTTGATCGAAGTGACATCAAAGCCCTGCTTCATGGTATTTTCCCCGCCACTCTCAATGTTGGTGAGGCAAGATCCCGCTTGAATATGATCTTTCAGGTTGAGAAGCTTCCAAGCCCACCGTGGTGGCTCTTCGATTTGACTCAGAAACTTTCGAATATGAAGTTGGAACCCAGCTAAAACTCACCCGTTGAGCTAACTCAAATGATAACAAAAAACAAAAACCTTCTTGTCAGTCACCTCAACAGCCCATTCACTGGGAATATGGATGTTGTTGTTGTGGGAAAGTCAATCAGGTATGAGGGTCCAAGGACCCGGTTCATTGTATTCGATTGGTCTTACAGCGGTCAAGTGGAAGACAACATTATGGCGCAAACACCTGCAGATGGCGTTCGTGGAACCGCAATTTGGGATGATAATGGCGTGGTTTCGGGCTTTTATCACTTCTACACCAAGGAGGGTAGATGGGCCGGATTCTCCGCCTCTATTAGTGCTAGTGAATTGAGTGAAATGGAATGTACTCTGGTACAGCCTTATGGGCAGCCTTGATGGCAAAATTGATAATGACAAAAGGTTTGCTAAACTAAGGAGGCAGGCATTATATATTATTAAAGAGGTCTAATTGGAGAAATCCCAGCTCAACGCGACTGAAGATATCCAGTGTATAGAATCCTCCCTAATATAGCCACTCTTAGACTCTAGCTTCGAGATAGTTATAATAAACCCAGTACTACGGGTTTTGTTGAAATAATCGGGGGTGGCTCGACCTGAATCCATTTCACGTCGTTCATCCAATATAGGCTGTTCTCGTTCTCGGGATGGCATTGTGGGTTGTTCTAGAGGTTCTGAGTAGGAGCATGAACACACCAGGTATCCTAATTATATAATAATAAGTAGTGAGGCTCTAGTCTGCACCTCCAACATTTCTTGGCACCTAAAGAACAGAGATGGGGATAGATTACAAAGATACATTGACCACAAAAGGTAGTCAAACGAGGAGCCCGGATGCCAGTTATCAAGTAAATTAGCGTCATCATCTCAATAAACAGGAATTGTGGCTTTTAAACGACGTAGAGGAGAAGAGAAGTAAGGCTCTGCCTAGGTGTGATTGAAATCCGGGGTAAAAGTGGGTAGGTACAGTTCAAAGTTAAGATCAGCTAATTAAAATACTCTTCCAGGATTGGAGGGACTTGAAATAAGTGTGTTAAAGTGTGTTATTGGAATAGTTGATGGTCTAACTTGATATGAAGCCGACTCTAATCTAACAGACTCCCACGATATTTCTGCTACCACATCCAGCATGGTCTATATTGTTAAAGATCTAAAGATGAGCAGAAACGAGCGACGATCCATCCAATGCATACTCGTGAATCAGAACATCAGCACATGTAGCACCTGTCACATACGATGTGGCTTGAACGTGGTTATTTGCTAAAACAGGCACAACGCTCATATCCGCCACACGTAGGTTATCAATTCCAAATACCCGGAAGCGATGATCAACAGCACTGTCTGATTCGCCCTGCTTGCCCATCTTGACTGTGCCAGTCATGTGCCAGCTAGAGCTGAGATTGTCTCTCCAGTGCTGCAAAAGATCCTCGTCTGAGTTGGATGCAGGGCCCAGCACGGTGGTAACAGTGTCCTTCGCAAAAGCGGGATGATCCGTCTTCTGGAGTGTCTCCCTAAGAATCTCGATACAGGCACGTCGGTCGAATGGATGCTCTAGGAATTTGGGATCGAACAAGAGAGGGTCATTCGGATTCGACGACTGCAGAGACACTGTGCCACTGGATTGTTCATTCATCAAGAACGTCAAAACACATGTGTAACTGTAATCCTCACACAGCTCAGGAAAAATGTAATGTGCAGGCAGTCCAAACAGAATCTCCCAGTGCGGGACGGTTGGGAGGTTCATGAATTTTTGTACATCTCTTGGCAAGGCCTTGAATTCCTTGGAAGAGGAAACTTTATCGGACTTGAACCATCCAGCTCCAACTTGACAGCCGTACTTTGACCATGGACCAGAACTGTCCTTTTCCCACTGTTGCAAGGCTGCAGCCATTGCCTTTTCATTCCCGTAGAAATTGTTACGGTCATTTGTTGTCGGGTTCCGTTTGAAGAGCATTGGCACGAAGAAATGATCTTTCAGGCCTTTTCCGATAGCTGGTATGTCCTGAACGACTGGGATGTTGAACCTTTCCAATTCGGTAGCTTCTCCAATTCCTGAGTGCATCAAGATCTTTGGAGTGTCCAGAGACCCAGCTGAAAGAATAATCTCCTTGGAAGCAAAATCTATGATTTGTTAGTCATTTTTCATTTGTCAATGAAGTTCGAAGATTATTTACATTTCTTTCCTCCTGTCTGCACACCCACAGCTCTCTTGCCATTCAAGATAACTCGTTGCACCGGGCTGTCTGTGACGATGACCAGGTTTTCCGGTACGCCTTCAAGCAGGTCAGCAGCTGTGGATCGCCGACCCTTGGACGAAGAGTTGATTGTAAGACTGATTCCCAAAGGATTGCCAGAATTATGATCAGGGTTTTGCTCAAATCCAGCTTTCTGGAAAGAATCCAGAACAATTGGCACATCAGACTCCCATTCCTTCGCATACCCGATGTGCAAGGCACCCTTGTTGCCATGATCGGTAGCTTTGGGCTGAGCGAATTTCCTGTTCTCAGGAACATCAATTGCTCCAGAAAAGGTCTCAATGTTTTTGAATCGGGTGTGCATATTGTCCCAGCTGAAAGTATCATCCGAGACTTGAGCTGCCCATTGATTGTAGTCGTCTCGTGCTCCGACTGTGTATATACCGAAGTTTATGGTGGATCCACCACCCACTCCTTTACCACGGGAATAATCAATCTGGCGACCACTGCAGTGCTCTTGTGGGGTGGTCTTGTATCCCCAATTCATTTTGTCGCCCATGAATGTTGCCCAGCGCTTACCATCCACGAGCTGTGAGCTGTCATCATTTCTACCACCTGCTTCGAGGAGAAGCACTTTTGGTCTTTTGGATGATTTGGCCAATGAGGCGGCGAGAGTACATCCAGCCGGACCACCTTGTCAAAATTAGTTGACAGACTCTATGACTATGACTAGAATACTTACTTCCAACGATGATAAAGTCGTAAACTCTTTGATCTGCCATGATTGAACCTCGAATTGCTAGTGAGTGCAAGTGCAGGTATTGGGAAAAATGGAATCCTCGATTAAGCCCCGCATCAGAATGCAGGAGAGACCAGCCGAACTTTATTAAGAGAAGGCGGAATAGCACCCCTGGAGGCTCCGGGATAGATTAATTGCCAAGCTTTGTATCATACATTTGACGCAGCCAATCACGTTGTCTAGCCTTGAATCGAAATGGCGGTATATCCCGCACATATAGGGTAATTTTTAAGGACGATCTTAGATGTGAAACAATGGTCATCAACATAGTACAGGGATACGACGTATAATAGGTAAAATTACTTGATGAACAGGGTACATGGATACAGAATGGGCACTGGTTAGTGCATTGGAATACTTTTTGATGTGTCAATTATTTCGTGCTCTGGAAAAAGGGGTAATTTTTCGAGGCTAGATATTAGCTAGATACCAACTAAAATCGAACTAGTCAACTACATCGTACTTGACCAAACCCTGAAGTGGATACTCGGAGAAAACGTGGGGCTTTTAGTGTCGTTTAATAGCATCCTAGCGTCCTATCGAAGATTGAAAGTTGGTCGGATTTTGCTGATTCAATGGTAAACATGAGATGATATAAGCAGTCCCCGCAACCTGGCGAGTCACGGGGTTTGAGCAACTTGATCGACTTCCTATTCAGGTTTAGCGTACCTGAAATCCCCGGAAAAAGTGTGATTGCAATTGTTCATTTTTCAGTTATCTTATCCTTTCTACTCCTTTCTACTTTTGTATGAGTCTCCCCTGAACATACTGTATATCTCCGTGCTGCAGGGATCTTGGTGTGGAGGCGAAACTGGAGAGGTTGGAGACAATCTCTGTTCTGTGCCCCTCACGCTTTGCCCGTTCCCTACCGAATTGAGGCGAAAATTGGTGGTTCAGGTTTCTTTTGCTTTTTCTTTTCTTTTCCTTTTTCTCTTCCCTCTTTTTCACATTCTATTCGTTATGTTCCAATCGTTACACTATACTACCTGAATCTTAAACCCCATCGACGCTCTCGGTACCCGCAAAGTTACATACCCGAAATCCACATACCCGGCAAGCTGTGCATGGGATACGTTGAGATAATCAGGGCAAATTTAGGGCCTGGTACAGAAAGAGGGGCTTAGCTGCTGCAAGAATATCAAACTTGAATACACAAACCTCTCGAGGTGGTCACTAAATTGGCCCTCGCGTGGATTCTCGTTTGAAACGTAGTAGTCCACAACTATAATGGCGGCGAAATCTATACACTGGAAGAATCTGGAAATACGACCGACCCTTCTTCTTTCAAGCGGGGCGTGACAACTGATCTCACTCAATACCTCGGCCTATAAGTCATTATCCTTACACTGCGCTCAAGCGCTGCGTACCAAGGCTGTTAATTGTCAATGAACATGCCCAATAATGCGCTGTCTCAAACCCCCGATGGGCTTGTCGGGGGCTACAAGGGCGGCGACTTGACAATACGCATCTTGATGATTGTATTCTCCGCGGTTGCATTATACAATGCAATCGAACTATTTATTCTTCTATTTATGACATTTCAGCATTATCGCGGCCTCTATTTCTGGACAATGCTGCTGTCAGTGACTCTCGGGCTGATTCCCCACTCAGTTGGCTATATCTTGGAGTTTTTCGCTCTATCTCCGCTATGGGTGGCATTGGTTATATCCACCCTTGGGTTTTATATCATGGTGCCCGGTCAATCTGTGGTTCTCTATTCACGACTGCACCTGGTGGTACAGAATCCAAAGATCTTGCGATTTGTCCTTTGGCTTATCATCATTGATTCTGTGATTCTTCTCATTCCCACTACGGTTTTGACGTTCTGTACAGCCTATAACGGAACTGCTCCGATCGTCCGAGGCTACAATATCATGGAGCGGATGCAGCTGGCCTGGTTCTGTGCTCAAGAATTCGTCATCTCTGGTATTTACATATCCGAAACCGTCAAAATCCTCGGCATGATGCCGGATAAAGATCGCCGGCGAATGAGAATCATGTATGAACTGCTCGCCATCAATTGTATCATCATCCTCATGGACATTGCATTGTTGGTGGTCGAGTACATCGGCTTCTATTCCCTGCAGACTACTTTGAAAGCCATGGTTTATAGTATCAAACTGAAACTCGAGTTTGGCGTTCTCGGAAAGCTGGTTTCTCTTGTCCACAAGCAAGGTTCAGAGCCAAACTCCTTGGAGTTGCAGGACGAGTATCCTCAGTTCGTGGATCCGACACAGCTTACTACCGATGTCACACATGCGGCTCCACTTCACGAAACAAATTCGCGTCTCCCTCATAGACTGAGGACGTGGAATAATATTTCGCTTGACAGTCTACCTTTGTCTGAGCAACGAATTCGCCCATCGACTCGCTCCATGTCTACATCTGTGTCTAGTGACACAGATCCATCATGAAAAGCAGCGAGTCTTTCCAAGTACTACCCCACCCACCCACTTCTTAAAGCTGAGATGACTATGAGAGTCTCGCCATTATGATAGTCTCGCATATCTTGCACTGCACAATTGCAGGCCACACACCTCGCTCTGCTTTGTACAGGCTCCTGATGATCTGCAACAGACAACATCGTCCTATAAGATACAAAGCCCTCAAATGACCTGTCTTTCTTACACCTTGATCTTATTGTAATTTTACTTATATCTGTAATTATCCCTACCAAACGACTTACATCAGTCTTATATAGTGTGTTAATTGATTATGATTCGGAAATTGACGACTTCATTCCCGAACCATCCATTATCTTCTTCGATGGTCCTTGAACTATATCATAGTTTACCTACGACGTATATATTCTATTCATCCCCACAATTACGACGCCACCACAATGTCATAGTGCATTTGTACCTGATGGTTCTATATCGTCTATGATGTCAGACTCAAGCTGCGCCACTTAATCAGTTTATGTCAGCGGAAGAAGTCTACGGTACCTGCAAAATTAGATTTTACCCGCATATTTCCCATTTGTCTCGGTACCAAGTACACACAGATTCATTTCCTTGTTCTCCACGATTCATTCAGTCAGTGCTCGATGATTAGTGGGTTCTTTAGGCTTGTCGCGTTTACCATCCAATAAGAGGACTGGAATACTCTCGGTCCCGATCATTTGTCTAGAGCCAGTGAGAGCCTGGGCTGAATCTTTTCCAGTCTCGATTCGCTCGATTCGCTCTAGTCGCCTGCCCCTCCTCGGCACCTTTTTTCTCCAGATCTGAACAACCTCACTTTCGAAAGGAGTCGAAATCGAGAGTCTTATCTTGGTTGCTGAATCCTTTTTCCTTCTCCACTATCCCTTTACCTACTCTGCATTTCCTTTCATACGCCGTTCTCTTTATAGGTCGGGTCGCCAAGCACAAATCACCCAAGTTACAAAAGCACAACTGCTTTATGGAATGCATCGATTCGACTTAGCATTCCACACTGAGCCTGTTCTCGAGCGATAAATCTTTCACCTGCTTTAAATAAAAGAGTACTTCGATTTGTGGACCTCGGTCTCCCGGATCTCTTTCCCCCACCCCACAGTCTCCATGCCTAGGACGCGATCGGGCTTTTAGAATATTCAAATCTCTTCTCTGCGCCAAATGGATTCAACGAGCTCTGAAAACTCCCGACCAGGTTCGCCAAAGAAGAGGTCGAACAGCGATGCAACTCCATTATCCACACAGTCGACCGAGGACCACCCCGAGAGCAGAGACCGGTCTCAGACCATCCCACTGAATGAGGATCAACGGCCACACCCCGCAGGATTTGACAGTACCGATCGAGTGTTTCCGATTCGATCTGTGGTCTCAATAGACCCAACAGCGGGCCAGTCATCATCACAAGTGCGGAGTGCAATGTCCCCTACTCGCTTCTCCCGCGAAGGAGCAAGGCAGTGGTCATTTATTAACCAACAAACCTGGGACTCAATAAAATCTCGACCTCAACCCCAATGCTCTTCACCACCGCAAGAAATCCTGCAATCGACATCTCCGATCGATATCGCATCCCCAGAGGCGGATGCCAACAATGATGAGACAGAGCTAGGCACACAAACCATGGCAGCTCAATTGGCCCAGGCTTCACAAACCCCAAGCGACAGTAATTCCGGCTCCGGATCCACGGCGCATCCAAGACGGACCGACGAGGCCTACAGGCACGTCACTGCTCGGTTCAAACATATCACTACTGAGGCTGGTCATGCCGTTGTAACAGGAAGAGATGGCGACTCCTTTCAGTATTGTGAGGATGAGCCGATTCATATTCCAGGTGCAATTCAGTCTTTCGGCGTGATAATTGCCCTCCGAGAGGAGTCTCCCGATCACATGGTGGTTCGGGTGGTCAGTGAAAACTCGGCACAGCTCATGGGGTACACCCCGAAGCAGCTGTTTGAGTTGGATAACTTTTGCGAGATTCTAACCGAAGAGCAGATGGAAATACTCCTGGACCATATCGACTTTGTCCGCGATGATGCGTATGACCCTTGTGTGGACGGTCCCGAGGTTTTTGCGCTGTCCATCACAACGCCTACGGGGGAACAGCTTCGTTTTTGGTGTGCAACTCACGTTAGCCCCTCTCAAAAGGATGTGATTATTTGCGAGCTCGAATTAGAACATGATGAAGTTAATCCACTAAACGTCGCGGGGGATGGTTTACCGACCACTCCAGTGGAAACATTGGGCAGCGTCATGCCAACTCCGGAAGAATTTGCTGCGAGTACCGTCAACATCAGTCAGCCTTTACGTGTTCTGCGAAATGCGCGGCGAAGGAGAGGCGATGCAGCTGCGATGGAGGTGTTTAGCATTTTAAGCCAGATTCAAGAACAATTGGGGCGAGCGAACGATCTTGATGTGTTACTCAATATCACAGCGGGTCTGGTCAAGGAACTGACGGGCTTCCATCGGGTGCTGGTTTATCAATTCGATACCAGCTACAACGGCCTAGTCGTCGCAGAATTGGCCGACCCCAAAATGTCTATCGACCTATACAGGGGCCTACATTTCCCCGCGTCCGATATTCCAGCGCAGGCTCGTGAGCTTTACAAAATCAACAAGGTCCGACTATTATATGATCGAGATCATCTCACATCTCGACTTGTCTGCAAGACATTGGATGACCTGGAGACTCCGTTAGATATGACTCACGCTTACTTGCGAGCGATGTCTCCCATTCATATCAAATATTTGGGGTTTATGCAGGTTCGTTCGTCGATGTCTATCAGTATCACCGCATTTAACGATCTTTGGGGCTTGATCTCGTGTCACTCTTATGGATCGGCTGGAATGCGTGTCTCGTTCCCGATTAGAAAGATATGTCGTCTACTTGGCGATACCGTGTCTCGGAACATTGAGCGGCTTTCTTACGCATCTCGTCTCCAAGCACGGAAATTAATTAATACCATTCCTACGGAAGCCAATCCTGCCGGATATATCATCGCGTCTTCTGATGACTTACTTCAACTCTTCGACTCCGACTATGGCGCCCTGTCGATCCGAGATGAAACCAAAATTCTTGGCGACAACACTCACTCTCAGGAAGTTCTTGCACTGCTAGAGTTCATTCGTATGCGACAGATAAACACCGTCATTACTTCTCATGATATCACTCAAGACTTTCCAGACCTACACTACCCTCCTGGGTTCAAGGTAATCTCAGGATTACTCTATGTCCCCTTGTCGGCCGGTGGAAGAGACTTTATTATCTTTTTCCGTAAAGGCCAGCTCACAGAGATCAGATGGGCCGGTAATCCATACAAGATTCAAAAGCAAAAAGAAACCGCTGGATACCTGGAACCTCGCAACAGTTTCAAGGCCTGGCGTGAGACTGTCTTGAGTCAATCACGTGAATGGTCTGAATCTGACGTCGAAACGGCTGCCGTTCTTTGTCTGGTCTATGGTAAATTCATCAAAGTATGGAGGCAGAAGGAGGCTGCGATGCAGAACTCTCAACTTACACGCTTGCTGCTCGCTAATAGCGCCCACGAGGTCCGCACACCTTTGAACGCAATTATCAACTATCTTGAGATTGCACTAGAGGGTACTCTTGACAACGAGACTCGCGAAAGCTTGACCAAGTCGCACTCTGCATCGAAATCCCTTATATATGTTATCAATGATCTTCTAGATTTGACCAATTTAGAAAAGGGACAGTCGCTCATCAAAGACGAGTCGTTTGATCTCAAATCTACGTTTGAAGAAGCTTGTGACATGCTTGCTGGCGAGGCCAAACGAAAACACATATCATACACAGTCAACGCACAGCCCGGAATTCCACCCAGGGTTCTTGGTGACCAGCGTCGTGTGCGACAGGTCTTTACCAACGTTATTTCAAATGCGATTCAGCAGACTGCCTCAGGTGCAGTGACTGTCGAAATGTGGCGGTCAGCTTCTCAAACGCTTGCAGGCCACGTTGCAATGGAAATAGTGGTGGTTGATACAGGAGCCGGCATGTCTAAGACGAAGTTGGAGTCGCTTTTCCACGAGCTCGAACAGGTTTCCACCGATGACAACTCATATCCAGATGAGGATGAGCTCGACGAGTCGTTGGACTCTTCACGGACTCAGCAGAAACGCGTACTGGGTCTCGGACTTGCATTGGTTGCTAGAATCGTGTATAACATGCAAGGCCAGCTTGGAGTCAGATCCGAAGAGGGTAAAGGCAGTCGTGTCAAAATTCTTCTGCAGTTTCGGTTACCAAACGGTGCTTCAACTGAAACACCAGATGACGCTACGGTCCCTGGTCATGTCCCTAAGGCCCAACCTCCTACGATTTCTGATGGTGAATTTACCTTCACGCGTGCTCCTATGGACGCCCGTGAGTCTCGACGCCGGAGTTTCGATAGCCTCTATAGTGGTGGCAGTTCACACAGTGGTCGCAGCCAGGCTGATCGACTGATTAGTGCCATGCAGGAACCTCCTCTCTACAGGCGGAGTGAGCGAGCTGGCAGTAGGAGCTCGGACAGAAAGAAAATTCACTTCTCTGCCGGTTCCCATAGTTCCCATACGATGTCTGCTGTAGGGTCGGGAAGGTCGACAAAGTCAAATGTATCGCCAGCTTTGAGTCAAAAAGCATTATCTACGTCCTCAAATGATCATCGCGCCAGTCTTTATGCTGTCACTCATACTCCGCCGGTAACACTCCAACCAATGCTCGACCCATCTGCTCCTGGGCTGGAGAATGTTACCGACTCTGGTGTCCCAATGGGAGCTGTTCGACTTTCGGAACAAGCTGTCAATTCTCCCTTATCTAAGATGAGAGAAGGATTTTCTTACTTTCCTCCCATGCCTGTTGGGGCTGCCCCAACCACCACCGAGACAGATGGCTCCGAGGTCATCTCCTCAATTGGCGAGGCCTCGACAGAATCCGCTCCAACCGCGTTTGACAAGACCCATTCGTTGAATATCCTCGTGGCTGAGGATGATCCAATAAACAGCAAGATCCTACACAAACGTCTCACCAAGGTTGGCCATATTGTGGATCTTACTGGGAATGGCGAAGCCTGCGCCAATAGGTTTATCTTACAGAGCAATTCTTTTGACGTGGTCTTGATGGATATTCAGGTAAGCGACATCTAGTCTAAAGATCGAGACCATCTACTAACACTCCTTTAGATGCCAATTGCAAATGGAATGGAAGCTACTGAAATGATTCGTGAGTTTGAATCCAAATCTGGAGAAGAATGTCTATCCGAAAAGGCCAAGACCAATTCACGCGTTCCGATCTTCGCCGTCTCAGCGTCCTTGCGGGAATCTGAGAAACAAAACTACATCGATACTGGATTTGATGGCTGGGTTATGAAACCGATCAGCTTTACTCGCTTGAACTTCCTCCTGAGAGGCATCAGCGATGCAGAGGCTAAGAGTGAGGCTACATACACGCCGGGACAATGGGAGAATGGTGGATGGTTCTGATTCACACCGTTCAGTCTCCACCTTCCACTCAATTCCAATGAAAATTCTTCGCTAAAGAACGTCACAACTGTCCCCATCTCTGCACAGCACGGGCATGACAGCTTCGTTTTGATTTTATGCTGCATGTTCACGCAACATACCCAATTTTTAGTTTCCATTTTCACACTATGCTATGAGCACGATACACGACTATTTTCTCTTACATTTTTCACGGCTTCGGTGTTTTGGATGACGACTCTCTATTTGTTACTGCACGGTCTTACCAGGTCTATACACGATTGATACCATGGCATCTGACTAGGCGTTCTAAATCGTTTTTATTATGTGGTTTTTGCCACTTGTTGGGAAATTATACGAATACCCATCTTGTTATGTCTTTTTTTCTTTATCTGCTACCTTGATACAGGAGTAGATATGGTTCTGTAATATATTCATAATACATAGGTTCGGATCAGAGCATCCAGTTACTAGTTTCGATTACTTGGAATTGTGTATTTCTGACAGCTGTGATCAATTCTAAGCTTGTGTAGCACATTGAACTAACTTTGGAATATTGAAGCAGGGGTATATCCCGGTGCCAAAGACCCTACCCTACCTATCTGCTGTAAGTAGATTATACAAAGATCTGACTTGACCTTAGTAGCTACTTACATAGTTCAATTACATGAATAGGTTATCTTCAGCAGAGCGGTGATTATGTTTATCGATGTAGGGCTGTGGTTAATATTGAAGCAGGGATACTAAAAAGCATCTATTGACTGAATGAAGAAAAATTTAAACTACTCATCTATGGACTGTAAAAAAGAAAACCACTGTAGAGAATTATTCTTGCAAAACAGAACACAAGTCCACCCAAACAAGATTTCCACCCGGTAAAAACATGATAATCCATCTTTGAATCGCTAACCACTCTATTCTTGTATTCTCCTCTCAACCTCCCCATCTTGGCAATTTCAAAGACTCAACAAGGGCTGTCACCGTCATAGATGGTGTTTTGGGGGATTTCTAGAGGCACATATGTCTTCGCCCGCGAAAGAACGCTATTGGCCGAAGATGTCTCGCGTAGCGCCTGGTGAAACTCGTACGTGCTGTTCTGAACTGATTCCCGCTGAGGAGCTTGGACGACAAAGACTGGGGAATCTTGCAGTGTTGCAGGATGGGCTGAATAGTTGCCCGACGAAAATGTATCGAATATATTCAAATCACTGGACCGGGTTACTAGGTCGGTTGATAACTGACATGTACATTGTCGGGGACCTGTCAGCGAAGTCAATTTTCTAAGTACAGAAAATTCGATTTTCAGCTTTATGGTATAGACCACTGTTTTGAGGCTGACTTCTAGCGTGTGGTATTGATATTCCATGAACAATAAGAGAGCGTTTAATATCAAAACCACTGCATTGACAATTATCAGATGCCAGTGTACCCTGCGATATGCGCGGCCGCGGACTTGCTGTAGTGGTTTGAGAGCTCGGCATGACTCGTAAATGTAGATGATGCTGATGATACTTTCTTGGATACAGAACCCGCATAGTTGGATACGATCGTATATTTTGGCTGCTCGACTGAAACGGGTGTTTCCGAGATTAACAAAGAGGAATAGTATTGTCATTGGGATTTGGAGGACGATGAAGTTGAAGATAATCATCCATAACACCCAGCGTAGGCGCCGCATGTCCAACACAACCAGGTGAAGACGAGAGTATTGTACCACTGCTTGTCCGGTTACCATGCAGTACCAACCGATGATAAAAGGTACGCACACGGGCAGAATCGATGATCCGGTAATATAGCGAATTGCGGCTGGGACGGCGTGAAAGAAGATTCCCCACGACGCAACCTGCATGGTCCAGAAGTAAAGCCCATTGTATTTGTTGAAATAGGTGAGTGCAGTGACTCCGATTGCCGCGGCACTGAAGCTGCTGACCGAGAAACTACACAGATTTTGCACCATAATTATGTTTTTTAGGAGAAATTCACTCACCCCCGAGGGCACGGTAATCATCACAGTGTCCATGAGGGGAGACTGACAAGAAGGTTGAAGAAAAGATTCAAAAACATCTCGATTTCGAGATGTATAGAGGAAATGAAGAGTCTGGATGAAAAGAGATCGGCATAATACATCTTTATGAGTCTGTGATCCCTCTATTATAGCGTCAACGGTTGTGTATACATGTCAATCCCAGAACCAAGATCTTAAAGCCCAGATCTAGAGTCGGCCCAAGCGGGCTAAGTTTGGAGCGATGATCTGGGCTGCAACGGTGCTGCTTTCATGCTGCTTGTCTATTTTTGATAAGCGCATAGACTAACGATTGGATCGCCCAATAGGACTTATCCCCGAGGTGGATCCCAATTAGATTGTCAGCTCAACATCTAGTCGTGACGACAATATCTCCCCCAAGTATATTGGATGAGCACAGATGATCGTCCCGAAAGTCGAAGTCACATATCGGGAGACGTGAAACAGATGTAATAGAAGAAATATACGCGAGGTATTGGCAGCTACTGGTTAGGAGATAATTCACCTGGTTCGGAGAAGTTGACTGCGAAGCTATCGCGGGAATTAGGCAGGGATCAATGAGGTCGCTTGATCTGTGAAACAAAGAAACCCTTGTCGCGGATTGAACACCCGGTCAAGTGGCTTTGCCCACAGTGTCGATCAAGGCCTATGGCTCCTCTGTTTATCTGGAAACACGATGGGCGGCGTCTGTCTAGTTACTGCTAGACAGACTCGTCATATGCTCAGATGCTACCCAGGTGGAATGAACTCCATATCCCATGCTCGTACTCTGATCCCTGCTATAGTCAGTTAGAATAAATTTGGAATTGCCTAGAGTTAGCTAGCGAGCTGTGAGTGTTATGACAAGGAGAGAGATGAGATGAGATGTGGAAACTGATATCATCTGCAATAGGACTAGAAAGGATGGTGAGATGCAAATCAGGTAAGTATCAACACTGATCGAACATCATTTTCTTCTCTTCTCGAGATCTGCAGTTCATCTATATCGCATAGGATCACTCGGTTAATCTTGTAGCCTAGCGGAATCCATTCAATGTTCTCCTAACTCCTGACTCCTGACTCCTGACTCTTGACTCTTGACTTCCACTGGTTATGTGAACTGTTTATTTTAGGAAGTCAGAAAGAACATATACTATGAGGACTGTCAATCAATGAAGAGTAATTTTGTGATGAGTGGTAGTTCTCAATATTGAACACGGTGTCTAGGTATCTACCTGAAATAAAGATCGTAATGAGTCCAGATCCACATGAAAAGGGGAAAAGAGAGTGGCTAGCTTTAGTTTCAGTTAGTGGCTCACTACAAAAATAGAATGTGGTCCGTGCTTTCAAGGCCACCAAAGCTCCCGCAGTTTCCAACCTTGATTTGACATTTTTCAATGTTTACACACGATGGTGTCTTTCTGGCCCTGGAAGGTAGACTTTTACTTCCTTTTGATTCTAATCGCGTGCTAATCTATCCTAGGGCGATGACAACTCCCCTGCCTCCTTCGAAAAAGCACTGGCTAGCTTGTACACTCGAATCGCTGAAGCCACCACGCGCCTAGACCAACAACGCTCAAAGTCGCGGCGCTTCAAGGCTCTTTGGACACTCTACTCGACATTCGCTTACCTTTTCTACTCGATCGGCATCGCCCTGGTGCTAGGATGGAAGAGCTGGGGTTTTAAGGAGTACGCCGCGATCTCCGGCGGTCCGGTGCTGTAAGTGGCCGCAGTACCCTACGGTGGCGCGGCTTGAAACTGATGTCTTTATGAACAGTATCTACGGTGTACGCACGCTAGGTGCTCTCTTTTTCGACTACCGTATCTCTAGAACCCAGCGTGGCCTGAACGAACTGCAGAAACAGCGCGATGACACGATCGAGAAGCTCAAAGTCGCCACCAAATACAACTCTACGCAGCAGCTGCTTGAGAAGTATGGTGGTGAATCTCCTTCAAAGACTCCCAGCCCGAAACCACTCGAGAAGCGTAAGCTGGTAATGCCCCAGCAACCTGTAGGCCGAACAGGGCTGTCTCCTCCTCCCACCGCGAACATTCGACGAGCTCCAAGCCAGCAATTCTACGGGCTGGAAAACACTCCTTCTCGTTCTCCTGCCTATCAGACTCCTATTGAACCACAACAACAACAACAACCACACTCTCTTTCACCCCACGCTCCTTCTCCCCCTATCTCACAACCACAGACCGACGAACCCGGCTTTGCACCAAATGCTTTCCCCACCTCGGCACCGCAAGAACAACCAAATTGGTACGACCGTCTTTTGGATGTCTTACTCGGCGAGGATGAAACACAGCCCCGGAACCGCATGGCTATGATCTGTCACAGCTGTCGCTTGGTGAATGGTCAAGCCCCGCCAGGCATTAACACGCTCCAGGAGCTTGGCCGCTGGCGATGCGGCGGTTGTCAAGCGTGGAATGGTGTTGAAAGCGAGACCACCAAGCTGCTGTCAAGCTTGCGCCATAATCGGAGCCAGAGCCAAGGTAAAGATGTGTGTACGCATAGCCCGGTTATGGATGCGCAGTCTGATGGCCCGGATGACGGGGCCATGGTTGAATCTAGTGATGGTGAACAAAGTGCCGAGCGTGAGTCCGAGTCTGAGGTCGAGGCTCAATCTGATCAGCCTGAAGAGGCCAAACCTGAACTACGGCGTTCAAAGCGAGGCAAGAGCGCGCAGTAGACAACTCCTTTCACTCATTTCTCAGCAAGTACTTCCTGCTAATAACCATTTTTACATTCATTAATTTTCCCGGTAATTCTTCTTCTTCCATTGGTCAACTAGGTGTTTCTGATTCTACAAATGGTGGACTCTTGTTATCCAAGTCTTGATTCCACCTCACCGAGCCTCAACCCTCTACAGAATCCCTTATTCCCCTTGTATTCCGTGGTCATTTTCCTCCAGGCGAGGACTTCTTCAAATTTCCTGCCCAGGTGGGTTCAGCAATGGACTCCTTCGCCGTATGACCAGTAGGTAACCTCTCGATAAAAGGGATTGAAAAGAGTTACAAGGTTGGTAGATTCTAATAACATTTGATATTGGTGAATCGATCTCATGCCTTTCCTTTGCTGTCTTCGATATCAGGACGCTACAATATCCCCCGCTTTATACAAGTGGGTTATCCCGCGTTCTGTAAGTACGACTCCTCCTAGCCTTGAAATCTATATGCTCTATCTCTCCCTAATAATTTCGATGCGACAAATATTGATCAACAGAGATATTGCAAGACGTCACGCTTACTACGCAGCCGCGACAGGTATACACAATAGCAGAAAAATAGATATTTTGGGACTTTTTTGCCTTGAAATACGGCAGTATCTCCTTCGCTAGACAGGGTATCCTTGGGGTACGGATATTATCAACCTAATAGGAACTAAGAAACAATCAGTATAGAGTAAAGTATTTCACCACTGAACGGGTCACACTACTGAACGGGTCACCCCACCAATTTTACGCGTCAGTCTGGTGTTTCCATTTTCAACTACCCACCATGCCCCCCTAAATGCTCTATATGTCCAAGACAAACAGGATCAGGAGAATAGGGTCTTATTAGCTTACCAAGCTTACAAGAATGGCGATATATCATCAATGCGTAAAGCTGCAGCTATGTTTAATATACCATTTTCAACCCTCCAACGCCGCCATTCTGGTGTCCAATTTCGTCTTGAAACACACCCACCGCAGTCTAAACTGACTGAATCTGAAGAGGATTCATTACTTCAATGGGTCGTCTCTCTAGATGATCGCGGCTGTGCTCCTAGAACTAAAGATGTTGGTAGAATGGCTAATATCCTACTCGCCGACCGCGGAACCAACCCTCCTCTTACGATCGGTAAAAACTGGGTTACTAGGTTTGCGACGCGTTTACCTGAACTTAAGACGACCTATTCAACACCGCGCGATTTTACACGTGCGCGTCAAGAGGACTATAATGTGATCAATAATTGGTTCAAACTGGTTGAAAACACGATCGCAAAATATGGTATCACCACCGACGATATCTATAATTTTGACGAGACTGGGTTTGCGATGGGACGATGTGCGACCGCGAGAGTGGTTACTAGAGCTGGTTATTATGGTAAACGCGCAAAAAAACAGCCTGGTAACCGGGAATGGGTTACTGTGATAGAGTGTTTAGGCGCGTCTAGTTACGCACCTCCACCCTGTATTATCTTTAAGGGTAAGGTGATGATGCAGAGCTGGTTTGCTCCTGATCTAGGTTTACCACCTAATTGGCGTCTTGAGATTAGTCCTAATGGCTGGACATCAAATCAAATAGGGCTCCGTTGGCTTGAAAAGCTCTTTATACCTGCTACTGCTCGTACTAAAGGACGGTATCGCCTTCTGATCTTAGATGGCCATGGTAGCCATTTAACACCTGATTTCGACAAAATCTGCCAGGAGCATGATATTATACCATTATGTATGCCTGCGCATGCGTCTCATCTTCTTCAACCTCTTGATGTTGGGTGTTTTGCGGTGTTAAAACGCTCTTATTCTCGGCTGGTTGAGTCTAGAGTAGAGCTTGGTTTTTCCCACATTAGTAAAGGAGATTTCCTAGAGATATATCCTACTGCGCGTATTGAAGCATTTGCATCTGCTTCTAATGCGTTTGCTGCAACTGGAATCGTGCCACTTGACCCTACTAGGGTGTTAAAAAAGCTTACTATGCGCGTCGATACACCACCACCACCACCCTCTATAGGAAGCGATTCAAGTCGAAATTGGACACCTAAGACGCCTAGGACGCAGAAAGATTTACGACGTCAACACCAAGCTATATTACGCACTGTATCTCGAACGCCACCAACACCATCTAAGAGAGCATTAGACCAGATAGTAAAGGGTGCAAATTACCTATATCAAGAGAATGCTCTCTTACGCCTGGAAAACAGAGATTTACGCGCCGCCCATGAGAAAAAGAAAAAACAAAAAGAACGTCCGAATCGTCAATTAACAGTAGTAGGGGGTCTTACAATTCAGGAGGGATTAGACCTGGTTGACGCGTCGAATGGTGGCCCTAAACTTAATGATGCCAATTTACAAGAGGGCCAGGCGCCTGTAAGGGCGCCTGTAACCCAACGCCGGTGTGGGATATGTAAGACACCTGGACATAGGAGGGAAACCTGTCCTAGTAGGCCCATTCAGTAGTTTTTTTTTACTATATTACATAGTAAATAATGGAGTTATTGGGATTCATAAAAATAAGTGGGTCAAACTGACCCGTTCAGTAGTGTGACCCGTTCAGTGGTGAAATACTTTACCTGCATGTATAACTAAATCAGAACACAGCTCGGCTGACGGGTACTTTTCATACAGTCCTAATGCGGCTAGCGTATAATGGACCTCAATTGACGGTGACTAACTAGAGTAGGTTGCTTTTTTTGGCTTTCTTTTCTATTTACAATACATAACAGTAATTTATTATCAAAAACAGAGGTTTCTGCCATAGATAGCCCGTTATTTGTATAGAATAGCTAGTTATTTTTATAATATTCAACTTCTTCCATAAAAGGAGACATTGAATTTGTGTTCTACGGTTTATTGATGCTCAGAATAGATTTTCTTTATATTTCTTTGATAAAGAGTAAAGATATAAGGAATTGAAATGAATTGTCACAACGCTAAACCTGAATAGTTTTCTTACTGTCAGCTGAGCTTTTTACGCTAAACCGTATTAGGGAAGTTTGAGTTTTTCCGAGATTTTACTGTCAGCCGAGGTTTGCCCCACTGTCATCCGAGCTGTAGTCACCTCCACTTTATAGTATATTCAAGTCTTCTTTAGGCTTAGTCCTTCCGCTCGTACCCTCTAATCACCTACAAAGTTACTGTGTAGTTCATTGTTTCTTCCCCACCAGCATCTCCCACCATCCAACATCCGTCATGGAAGATCAACAAATCCCAACCATTATCATCGATGACCAACCTCGCCCTGATGATGAATCTCTCCCTGAGAAAATAATATCCCTACATACACACCAAACCGAGCTTCCCTTCATGTTCTACAAGCCCGTTGTGAAAGCAGAGCATCAGACGTGTCAGAAGCCTCGCAGAAGTCGTGTGAAAGTACCACATCGGACTTCTTATCGGCTAAAATTCTTGAATTAGAAGCCGATAAGTGCCACATCTTAAATGCCAATGTTGCCTTGGATGAAGCGATAGGCACAATCACAGACACAGAGTACACGCTGCAAGTAGAATCACTGGCTAAAAGATCCGTTCAAAGTCTTCCACGTTAACGGTGCTTAAACGTCAACTAAATGTTATTACCGAAGAACTCACCGATATTTTGGCGATAGATACGGACAAGCGCATGCGGATCCACGAGCCGCTTGATCAAAGTCTGCTTGAGAGAGCATACCGCGATACAATTGTTCAGCGAATGATGACAGCGGATGGAAAACAACCGGCACAGAAGTTCAACCGCTCAGATTTCAAAATCGCCGTTAACCAATACTACGGCGTGAGCAGAGATGGCATGACCTTTTGTCATGATCTAGGGCGCTGGTTGACCAAAGACAAAGTCAAGGCTGCCCACATCATACCAAAGGGTATGTCACCGGGTGAGCTATCACACATCTTCGGAGATAATGACACGGTTGCTACACTTCCTGAGAATGGTAAGACCCCATAAATTTATATGTTCTCTCGTTAGTTAGACCAAGCAGCTAATGAAGTTTTAGCTCTATCATTACATCACAAAATTGAGTCTCTCCTCGACAAGGGAGTCATCGCAATCGTTCCAATGGTTGGTAAATTGAACAACCCGACAACTTGGAGAGTCGTTATACTGCAGTCAACCTACGATAAGGACATCATCTATGAACATGAATATGAGCTTGGTGAACCACGAAAGCTCGTTCGTGCTCAGGACCTTGATGGGAAGACCCTCATATTCCTTAATGAAAATCGCCCTCGCCGCCAATACTTATACTTCAGGTTTATTGTATCGTTTTTGTGGCAGTAGCGTCAACAAGGCCCCGAGGCAATGGCGTTCTTAACACAAAAGACCGATGCGCGTAAGTTTTGGTCATCGGGTGGGAATTACCTCCAACGATCGACCCTCCATACTCCTGCCCGGTGTATCTCAGGATGCGAGATATCCGATGATGAAATCAAGTACCAAACATTCGAGGGATCTAGTGATCCTGCAAGGGACACCGAAGCCGCTATGATTCTCACAGCAGACATTAACGATTCACACTCAGGGCCAAAGGATCTCACAGATGCAGTAATTGCTTCAATGAAGGCATACGATCTCAACAAATAGACTAATGACGCGTGGAAAAGATGATATGAATCCTTTCAGATGCTCAGTCTTTTTTTACTTACGATGATGATACGCAGAACGTTTCCCGATGACTGCTCCCAGTAATATTAATTCTGCGTGTTTTACTTTCTTTCGATGAACTCTCTTGGGATTATCCTTAATTCTTAGCTATCGTGGCTTCCAATTCAAGCAATTTATTAATAGCCGTAAGCATGACACTAAGTGGAGAGGACCCTAGTTTTCCTATATAAGTTAAAGGTTTAGGGTTATTGGGACTCGGAATATGGGGCCGCCATAGATGCCACAGCCGCACTAAATTCATCCTATATAACGTACGATGTGCTGTAAATCTGAGAACTCAGAATATTTGAGACCTCATTCGAGTCTCCACCTAGTACACCGAAGTGAAAAAAGGGGATTAGTCAATAACTATATAATACGATTAATTCGCTCCTTGACATCGACTGCTCAGATTTTTGTTCCCTTCTCCTTCAATTAAGAACTTCAATTCTCCAAAATTCAAACAACCGCTATACTCCTCTCACACTTCAAATGGAAAAGCTATCCTTGGCTGCCTCTACAGAAGGGAGGCTACCTAGTGAACCTGCTTCACCCCATATTTCAGACCTTACGGTCTACAATTCTAACCCTAACAACGTTATTGTACAATATCTTTTGGTGCCTATCCATAACAATATTGTTAAGTAAGTAATAAGCGCCTAATTGAGTAGAGTGTTACATATTAAAAACTTCTCCAAATAGATTTACATTGGGAGGCCTAATTTTTCCTTATGGCTTCTTGATATTTTGTAAACAGTGTCGGGGCTGTGATGAGGTCTGTGATCCAATCTTTGATTGGATAGGACTTTTTTTGCGCTGTGGATTTGCTAGTTTGATCATCTACCGCTACTATCTTCGACAAAAGTTTATAAGGCAGCAGTAATTGTCGGGTATCCTACTCCATGTGCCAAGCTTTACTGAAGATTATGACCAGAAATTCGACGATTGATCTTGGTCGCCTTCTGTGCTTGGACTATTTCCCGGTTGGCGAGCTATCATAGTTTTCCTTTCTCCAACCTGAAATCCGAAAAACGTTGACACCGATCCTTTCTATCGTCATTAGATCGTAGGTCCGCCACAAGAAACATAATTTGGACAAGGTCAGATGATGTCAGGTAATTATCTGGTCAATCAGGAATATTGTTGATAGACTACGTCTAAAGGGTAGTGCCATACTTTCCGCAAGTCCAGCCTGAAGGGAGTTTATTCGACTAAGTCAGGGTGTAATATGAATTTGTAGTGGAACGGTGCATATTAGTGTGTTTATTCAGATCTAGCTAGTACCTACCAAGGGGTAGATAATATCAGTGCCTCAGCGACCCATAAATTCCCACCGTGACCATCAATTCCACCTATTCTATACACTCACGACGTATCTGTTCAAAATAGAGTATACCTCTCTCTATCGCCACCACTAATGAAGAAGTGTTGTATAATATCCTCTTGATCTATATTCCATCTTTTCCTCCTCTATTTCCATCGCAACCTTCTCCTGATCCTGTTGTGGTGGCTCATGACCATATCTTTTTTATAATCTTTTGCCCGCTTCCGCTCTTTTGTCGTATCTTTTTTGCTCTCCTGGTTATAATTGTGCGATTTACATCACGTACACTTAATATATCAGTATCCTGAAGCGGCGGCCCCTTAACCCGTCGTTTAGTTTTTGGGCGGCGGAGTGGTTCTTGCGCAACCCTAATATACTCAACTGTATCACCGCAGTGATATTTTACCTCTTTCAGCCCCAGGAAGACTAGGACAAGCCTTCCCCTTCCTGTAAATAACCCCCTGATTTCTACCTCAGCAGGTTGGAAGCCACACCCATCAAAGTTATAGATCAACCGCGAAGGCACACCTCGAAGGACGCATTCAAGTAAATCATACCAATGGGCTAGCTGGGCTACATCTTCAGCCTGAATCCGCTTTGGCTCCCTGGTATACTGCTTCCTAGGAGCTAGTTATAGCTCTTCAGGGGGACGCTTAATAAAGCGATACACCCACATCTTACTAACATGGCTTATATCTCCGAGCGAGCGATTTGCCTATGCCTCAATCAGCCTAGGTACTGGTGGCATATTCCAATTGTTTAGCTGAATAATCCAGCGTCCTAAAGCTTCCTCCTTGGTATGATTTGAAGCCTTATTAACTGGTTTTTGTGTAGATTTCGTGGTTGTCCGATCTTTGACGTGAGAGGAGAGGGTACGTCGATTAACACCATAATCACGCGCAATATTTGAGATATTTGGGTTTTCATCGCCTTTAGACACTTCATAGGCCTTAGAAAGGCGGGATGTAGTAGATTCGTCAGCTTTAGGCATATTGAGTAGAGGATATTGCTTCGAAAAGGGTGTTATTCAGAATTGGCGATTTCGGTGTGGGTTGCAAAGTCACTGATAGTAGGTAGCCGTTTCTTTTACACGCGTAGTCTGAAGTAGAGAAGCGCAATAGTATTTTGAGACTTATGTATATTCTACAGAGTGAGACTCGAGACTTGACGGCGATTGAGTGATCATGATTGGCAATTTTCCAAACTTTAACGGGCGCACAACCATTGTCTTTGGACATGGATGAAACTTCGGAATTTTTGTTGCTCTCGAGTTTGGCCGTATTGGCCGAGGTTTCATCTCGATGTATGACTTCATCCAATATAAGTAACTACGGGAACCCCGGAAGGCTAGATACAAGTTGTCAAATAGCAAGAGTAAAGTGGAACGAGGTAGTCCTGAATGGCTAATGATATGTCTGTCTAACTAGGAATCCCCATAGTAACTAACTACAAAGTATTTAAATGGATATTTAAATAGTTAACTAAGTGTGGGAATGCTTACTGATATGCGAAAAACAGACTAACTAAATGCAGTAATCCAATCTTTGACAAGAGTGGTAAATATGACAAATGTTAAGCATTAAAATTCATTATCATTATAAAATTAGGTGCGTGTTCGTCTTCGGCTTTGCGAATAATATGAAGAGAAAAAACTCGTCCCCAGCCTTGCCCACTCACCACTTCTCCGACTCCATTATGTGTGCAATACATACTGCACATCAGCCACCTCTCGAGTTTGAGGTTCTAGACAGGACTCCCTATCTGGGAATGCCACAGACTAGCCTCGCTCTCCAGACTCAACCACTACCTGGTTTTAGTCAAACGCCAAGCGGAGTGTATTTAAGACTAGCTTCGTTTAGGCAGTCTCAACGGGGCCATCGAGTGGCTGGCGAGCACTGGCATCATGCTTGTCTGTCAGAGGAGTGATGCTCCTGTGGTAGTTCCACAGAGCACTGAGTTCAACAAACAAGGCAAAGAAGGAAAAGATACTGCAGGGTAAACGAGTTAAAAGTCAGCACTAGCTCTATGTTGGCAGTATGTGTTACGTAAATGTCACAGAACCGAACGATTCACGACTCAAGACTGGAAGCAAACTTACAAAGCCAGGAAGATAAACGACTCGTTGGCGTACTTGATTGAGCACTTGATTCCAGGAGGAGCATCAGCACCGCACGAAAACTCGTTGTAGTCTTGTGCCGAGAAGATGAAGGCGGTTAACCAGCTAGTCAAATATCAGTCTTGTTTCACCTGGATTGATATTAAATGGGGCTGGGAACTTACAGGTACGAGAACACCAAGTCAATGAGTAGCACAAACTTGCTTAGTGCTTTAGGGAGGAAGGGGGAGATGAATGCTGGCAGGAAGAAGACGACTGAGATACAAGCCTTTTACATCATTAGCTTTAGCACCAGAGCAAAAGGGTATGCTATTCCGGGTACGTACGATGACTTCCTGGTAGATTATGTGCTGTCCCTTAGGTCCCTTGTGGATAAAGTAGGAGGTGATACCCATGACGATAACAGCACTAGACCACTGCAGGCAGCGAATGAACAGCTGCAGCGGACGAGTCAAGGCTGTTGTTAAGGCCATTGTAGATTGATTCGAAGAGAGGAAGATGAGTATTGATGGAAATTATTTGAGAAGGATGAATGTTTTGGCCTTGCCCGAGTGGATTAGTTGAGATGGAAAGAAGAATCATGTCGGGCAGCGAGCAAGGCTTTATATGCATCATCAGAAAGCTCCACTACATCACAAATTCAGTCCGACGTCAGAGGCACGAGATGCAGCACTAGCATCTCGTCAAAATTGAAGAGAAGCAGACGCCATGACCTAGTCTAGACCCAACGTGGTAATCGAAGCAAAGGACCAACGATACCTCGTTTCCGGGCTCTTCGACGTCAACAGCCAAAAGTTGTGCTCCACATAAGGTATCCATAACTATAACTCTATAATTCTATACGCCTGAAAGCATCTAGAACCAGGCTTATTCAATAACAACCAGAAAACCAAATAGCCATTCAAATCTTAACGTTCTACACTCACTTTGTAACTTTGTACAACACATGTACCAATTTCGACCAGCTAGCCTAGATACGAACCTAGGTACCTAACAGACACCGAAGTAGCTAGCTTTTATAGAAAAGAGTTTCGTCATGTCAAAACTCGTGTACTCCACAAGCCCCACTATCAAACCGAATTCAAGGCTGATGACAACTTATGCCGAAATGAAAAATGAATTAGCCTATCGGCATGCAGCGGAAGCAATGGCCTCTATACGTTATAGGGCTAGCTATGGGTCTACGAAATTTACATATGATTAATCAAGTTTGAACTCATCTCCAACCAAGTGCCAAGTTCAATACATCACACCACACGGGAGCCAACCATGAAAGCAATAACAACTAATAGCCTTAAACTAGTTGGGCATCAGCCAATACGGGATAATCCCTGCATGGTTATCACTGATCGACGGTAGCTGATTTTGGCATTCAGCAGATTATCAATGTCAGTTCGAAGTACAGTGAGTAGAGCTGTTAAGGTTGGGTGCACATGGCCGTCAACCTCAACTAGAACGGATGGATTCAATAATAATATTTAATTCACCGTACCTACGTAGTAACATGTCCAGACTTAACAAAGATAGTCATGATGTGTAGCTTAACTATCTAATTGTTTCTCATGAATATGCATGAGCACTGAAAACATCTGAAGATTTTCCCAACGGCCTAGAATCCAGCCAACATACCGTGCTTCATAGAATAGTTGATCGTCATCAGTGGGATGCTCTCTACCTACCAGTAGGTACTTTTTTGAAACGCATGACTCAACCTCAGAACCTTGAAATTTAATATAATTCTTCAAGTAACTAAAGCCACCATGACGCCACGGCACGGTTAAATCGGAAGAGCATGAATACGGTGGCATCCCGTAACTAGTATACTGCTAATGGGCCTAATGGATTTTTCGCAAGATTGAATTTTTTGCTTTGGAACTAGTTATACCCTCAAATAATGAAACATGTGCTAAACCTGCCCGTGCAACTTTTGACTCCTATGCGCCTAAGCGTACACGTTGATTTTTATTACCATGTAACGTTGCCTAAATCATGCTCCTGTCGATGGGTTAGATAAATGATAGGGAAAGGATAGGAAAAGATTTGTTGATCTTACTTTCATGTACTCGCTGCCCTTTTCGAGATACTCTTGACGCGATACGGAGGACCGGCCGAGATCACCTCCAGAAGCCCACTGTGCTGCACCCTTCCATGCATCCAAGGTTGGATTTGAAGCCTGGCGCACGCGCAGTTCAGCCTCCACTGGAATGTACCCACGGAGCTCGTTGCGGAATCGCTCTTCAAAGCCAGTGAAGAGGGTGTTGCCACCGGTAAGGAACACATCGCGCAAAAGACGAGAGCGGTCCTCGGTACTGGAGAATCGCTGGTTGATAATATCGGCGGCCATCTCAATCAGGCCTGCCTGATCCACACCGGCAATGGAGGGTTTGAAGACGACCTCGGGAACACGGATGCGCTCCACATTCAGATGAATCTGGTGTGCTTCGCGCTGGCTCTCGGGGTCAAAGGGCCAAGGACCGCGTAGGAAAGCGTGAACCAGGCTCTTAGTCCAATCGGACTGTGCGGCAAGAGTGTGATTCTCAGTAAATTCGGGATCATACTCAAGCAACTCTTGCTCGGCAGTGGTGAGCATCCCGCTGAGATCCTCCTCTTCTTCCTCGTCACTTTGCTCGCCTGTCGCAACAGTTTTGTAAACATGCCAGTCATCATCGTTAGCACCAAAGTCATCGTCCTCTCCACCACGTCGGCGCTTCTTGGGGCCATCTGAAGCCAGATTCGCCAGTGTCTTCATGCGCATCTGGCTCGCGAGGGACTTGCGGTTTCCAAGGTCGGCCTTCATGCGATCGCGGTCTTTGATTCTTTGGAGGATAGACTGAATGGGATTAGAAATGATACTTTAAAAAGGTGAAAAAGACTTACCTGGCGATTGGCGCGCCGTTCGGCGATCCAGCTCTCGAAGTGATTTTCCCGCTTCTCACGATCCGCACGCTCCTCTTCCTCGCGACGGGCCTTTTCGCGTTCTTTCTCGGCCTTAGCACGCGCTCTAGCCTCGACGTTGGACTTCATCAACCGCTGGTGACGCTTTTCTTTGATACCCGCCTCATCTAGTTCCTCGTCAGGGACATCTAGAAGGGGGAATGTCATCTCTTCCTGCTGCTCTTCGTTTTCTTCAATGCCCAAATCTTTGTTGCGAGAGCGTTTGATCGACTTCTCAAGTTCGCGAATCGTTCGATCCAGATGAGCCTCGTCCTTGAGATCTTCAGCCTCTAAAACTCGGCGGATTTCCTTTTTGGTTTCTGAGGCCAGGCCATTTTGCAAGTCCTTCCAGTATTCCAGCTCTTGTTCCTTCTTGACCAGCTTCTCAAGACGCATCTTCGCAGCCTGCTCTTGCAAACGACGGCCACTCTCCTTCTTCCGCTCCGCAATACGAGTGAGTTCCTCTTCTGTTTTCTCAACCACAATGTGTTCGGTGAAAGGGTACTGAATAACATGGTCGCGATCTTCGAGTCCCGTCCATTCGAAATATCCACTCAGCTCTCGATCGTAGTCCTTCGAGACGTAGCAGTGTTTATGCACCAATTCCTCCATCTGGTAGTCTGTGAATTTGGCTGGGAAGGTCGGGTATTTCAACTTCAGCAATTTGGCCATGTATTCGGCATTTTGTAGGCCACCCCAATTGAGCCGAGTACAGTTAGAGAGTTGAGGCTTCGAGCCCAGGACGGGGATGACGTGTGTTGATGTATGCGATGAGGAGATAATTAAGCCATCGGTTCCTTTGTTGTAGCGATATGCGAAAAGCGAATCAATTCCGTAGGTCACAGAGGGCGCGTTGTAGCATTCAAACAAGATCTCATTCATCACTATGAGCTGTCAGCAATCGTTGAACACACACAGCGCTTGAATAGCATACTTTTTCGGGGATAACCCAGGTTAGCGATGGGTTCCGTCATGACAATCGGCCGATCGACGCCGCCGTTGGCACCATCCACACCGAGCTTGAGAAAGACGTAGTCTAGGACGCCCTCCATAACATCCCAGTTACCGATGATGCTGGAGCCAGGATCAAATCCATAGCGCAGCTGACCACGGGTCGTGGCATCGACATAGGCATCATATCCGATGAAGTGGCATTGGCGGTTGAGCTTGCGATCGCGGTAACGACTCATAACGGGGGGTAGGATGAATCGAGGGTTCTTGTCGAAAGACCAACCGGCCTTGACGAGATGTGAGCCTACAAAAAGTAGTGTTAGCATTGACACTTATATAAACTGGATTATTCACCTACCATTGTCAATAACGATGGCGCTGGTGTCGGGATGGGCCTGGCTCTTCTCGAATCCATCGGGTTGTGGTGGTTGGTAGCCCTTAAAATGGAAGTCTTGTACATCGTAGAGCTTTGGCAAGGGTTTTTCAGGACGTCTTCCAGCTCCATTGGTGGAAGCCTGACCTGGTAGGAGGGTTTGCACTGAGGTGATGGTCATGATTGCGCCAGTGCGGAAACCAGGAGCTTCGATCGGAGATCAAGTTGGAGATGTAGGGCGGTGACTACTGCATGGCAAGTTGTAGGGGAGGAGTATTGGCACAGGATGAAAAATACTAATACAATTCCAAAGATTTTGGATTGGCAGAAAGACAAACGGAAAGGGTGTAACGGAGGTTGGAGCGCCAAGAAGTACATTATCTCTACTTTGAAGTGCGGGCAAGCTTACTTATACAAAGAGCACATTCCTGTCTAAGTATGAAAAAAGATAAGATTTGGTTATCATTGCATTAATGGACTATTCGTAGATCTGTTCGTAATTGTTCTATCTCATTTCTCTTAGGGACAGGAAGGTGGTGAAGGCTCTTTGAGATTTTCCGTCGCTAGACATACTTTAGTATAGGCAGGGCAGAAATACCTATGGAGCAAAACATACCCTCAAGATGGAAAAGCACATTTGACTGGTAGTTTTTGAACATCTGGGCCACCAATTCAACATTCATGTTCTGAATATTAACCTCCTATGTGGTTGTAAGCCAAAGCGACAGGCACTCAGGCGAGGCTCAAACATACCTGGAGACCTTTGTTCATGGCCATGACAGCCTCATTCAGTTTCTCCTGACCAGGTATATTAGTACAATGACTCAAATTATTCAGTCTCTCAAGCCTTGGGGGTAGTGGACATACCACATTGGTAATGATACGCGACAGCAGCACAGTCTGCTGGTGTTCATGAGGGCTCTCCTATACAGAACTCAGTATGACGTCTTTATTTTAACCATCCATGGATTCTCATGAAGTCAGTAATATATCCAGAATGCAGCTAACATACCATGATAGGCTAGTGTGCTTTGATAATGAACGCTGGATGGATGATGCTGTTTGTTTGGGTAGGAGTCACGTGTTGATATACCAAGGTTCAATGCTTCTTTCTAATTTGGGCCGGGACTAGGACGTAAAGACTACCAATTCTTATTCGTAAATTCAACAATCCTGATCCTTTAAATACCTCTCGATCGTTCATCAACCTCTACTCTCAACCACCACCCTTGTACCAGCTCACCATGCCTCCAGTCACACCTGCCAACGACGAGGCGCATCAGGCCCTTCTCAATCAGCTCGACATTGCCAGTGCCTACAAGCCCTTCCGCAACCCCAACTGGAAACCCTCCCAGCGCCGCAACAAGAATGTCAAGCAGATTGTCTCTGAGACCTCGCGCAAGGAAGCTTCAGTGATGGCAACTCAAGTGAACTCTCGAGCGAGCACCCCCTTCGGCACATCAGGAGCAACCACAGATGCATCAGCCGATGGCACTGGAAAGGTCTCCAGTTTAAATCAAACAACCCAAAACCTCTCAGCAATGGTGTTGGAGAAGAACGCTCGAGCCAACTTCTCGGGACCGGTTGTCACCTACACCAATATTGAGTCGGCACCATCTCTTAGCCCGGCCCACCAGCGCCACTATTGCGATATCACAGGTCTCTCTGGTCCCTATACTGATCCGAAGACACGGCTGCGATATCACAACAAGGAGATCTTTGGCGTCATCCGTAGTCTGGCTCAGGGCGTACCGGAGGTCTACCTCGAAGCGCGTGGAGCGCATACGATTTTAAAATAAGAGGCCAAGCTCATATTACCAATCCAACAGTTCACGTGGAAACGTATACAAAGGTAGGCAGATGCCAATTCAAATCACATTCTAATATATTGCTCACATAGAGACAGTTATCACTACGAGATATGTCCGATCAACACAGTCAAGCCCTTTCCATCCCACCATGCCCCTCTCGAGACAGGTTCAAGAAAGCGCTCCGGCTTATTCGTAACCGAATTCTTTTCTCCGCCTTGTGCCAGGAGCACTCGACTATTACCGACATTCCAAGGGAGGGAGTATCAGTTACAACATCCGAAGATGCTGTCGTCGCGGCGTGGGACCCATTAGGACCGAGGTAACCTTTGAAAGTTGAACCATGATTGATAGCTGCCATGTGCAGGAGTGAAAGAGTGACCCAACATGATAGTCATTCCTTACCCCCTGACGATTTAAGCAATAAAAAACAACTTCACTTAATGCTGAAATTCAAGGCGGAAAAAGATAATATGAAATTGCATTATTATTTACAGACGGGTGTAGTTGTCGTGGTAGGAATGCGCACAGGAAACAGGAGAGAAAGAAAAATGAGAACGCTTCCGCTCGGGGAAATACAAGACTCTGACCGCCCTATATTTTCTGCCCGCTTCTGTTTACGGCATTAGAATACTAGCCTCGATTCCATTCTTCTCTTATTCGTTGGCCTGTCTCCTTTTCACTATTTCCCCTTTCTTTCAAAAGCTATTCATTCAAAGATGCCTAGCATGTGGTTGACTGAGAATCAGAGTAAGTTCATACTACACCCAAGTCCAAATATTCTGCCTGTATGGACACAGGCGCATCGCATCGCAGTCGCAATGAAGGAACCATTGACTAAAGTTTTCCCATAGAGATCGGAGTCATCTTCTGCTCTGCTGGTATGAGACATGCGCAATCATATACTCAGTTTCCTCAAGTCAGAAATTAACATCGTCGGGGCTATAGGTGGCTTGTTCCTGCTACTCGGAGTGATTATGTTTTTTGATAGGTCACTGTAGGTACCTATTGATATCCACCGTGTCCTACATGCTAACAAGATTGTACTCAGGCTTGGAATGGGAAATGTAATGCGACACGCGCCCTCCTCGTTCAATCCCCAACTAACAAAGTATAGATCCTCTTCCTAATTGGCCTCACCCTCATAATCGGCTTCCAAAAGACGATTGTCTTCTTCTCTCGGCCCCAGAAATTAAAGGGCACCGCCGCCTTCTCTGCGGGAATCATCCTCATCCTCCTCCGCTGGCCATTGACCGGATTCTTGATCGAGCTGTACGGCCTATTTATCCTATTCGGCGACTTCCTTATTACAATTGGTTCATTCGCAGGCAACATCCCCATTGTTGGACCGTATATCAAGCGCGGTCTGGAGATTTTGGCTGGCGGCCGCAGCAATGCCGAGTTGCCAGTATGAGGAACGAATGCGGACGCGAGGGATATAAGCTGTGCGCTTTCTTTAATTTCGCAGTGCTTCACTACTGAAAGGCAGGGGATGACGAGCGTAACATCGCTAGGCATGAACGACACGACTATATCTCAGGCCTGAATATCCAGGGCCGCGGGGAACCTCCCTGTAATTATTAATGACCTTTGTTCTCCCGATCTCGACCTCGATCATATCGAGACCTCGGACTTTTTTTTTAGAATATACATAGAGAATAGACTTTTCATGATCAAAGTCCTGTATGCTCCGTGTATCACAAATACAACAATCAATAGATATCTACTTCCGGTGCAAATAAGTTACCTAGTGAAAAAAATGAAAAGGCAAGGTCAACCACTCTTCCGGTCTGAACAATAAAAAAGCAAAATCAAGTCCTCTTTTCTTAATCATATTCATATTCCTCTCCAAAATCAAAGAGACAAGTTTATTTAAGCGTTGTTGATGTAATCGACCAGGTTCTCGACGACGGTAGCGGCAGTGGTAGTCTGAGCGTTTTCGGCGTGGTGCGCAATCATAGTGCAAGAAGAAGCACGAACAACGATAACACCCTCCTTACCCTAATCACAAATAAACGTTAGCAGAAGATTCCACGCTACAAGCAACTCCACATGTGTGTGTACCTTCTTGCCATATAGACTACGAGCGTCAGCCTTAATAGTGACGAACTTCTCACCACCAACGGAGAAGCCGGTAGCGAAAGCATCATCGGGCTTGGTGAACGCCTTGATCAGGGAGTTGATATCATCCTGGGAGAGCTATTGTTTCGTTCAGCATTAGCTAGGGACACCTTTCCCGTTAACCCCCACATTCCGATACTCGGGGGCGCGGATGTGGGGGGTGAATAGGGGGGATACTGTACCTCGAAAGTAGGAGACTTGGCCTCGAGCTTGGAGAAGTCGACGGCGAGAATACCAGCTTTGTCAAATTGGCCCGAGCCCATCAAGCTAAAGGGGATATATTAACATTGGTTGTTGTGAGTGGTGAGTGTGACATCCGGGCTACCCAGAAAAGGTCGAGGGAGAAGTTCAAGAAACGGATGATAGGGAATAGGGAGTATTTATGGAATCGTACCTCGAGTCCACATATCCTGTCAAGGTTTAAAAGAGTTAGTGAGGGGGGAAGTAAGTTGCGGGAGTAGAGCAGGGGACATACCTTGCCAAGCGCTCATGTTTGCGGTATTGAGAGGAGGAGGATTAGAGGGAGAAAAGGGATGAGAAGAGATGGAGATGAAAGGGAGAAGCTTGGTGGTTGTGGGAGGGAAGTTGACAGAAGAAGGTCCAAGTGGGGTTTCTTTGGCGGTAAATAAGACCCCACCACTTTGTCAATTGATGGTTCCCCGTCGATCCTCCCGAGTATTGAGAAGAGTATTTACTATTCAGTAGTTGGAGATTGATGACCTCATATTCTGTTATCTTTCAGTTTTCAGTGGTGGAATAAAGCGTTGGCTCATATATAGATGGGCATGGCCGACGATCTCCGGATTCCTAGATTCTGCAAGATTCATTCCAAGACGCATGTCATTCACACGTGTCGATACAGTTTATCAGTCTAAGCATATTTCATCTCAACTTTTAATATTGTCTTTAGACATTTGCCCTTGCTGCTTGCGATGTCCAGGGTTAGTTGAAGGTTTGGTTGGGAACTATATACTAAGTAGTAGCGGTCACTAAGCGGTGTAAAGATCTCCACTAGCAGCTAATATCCATCGAAATGGGAGAACACAAATACTAGTTGACGCTAAATAGAGGACTACTTTGACAGAATTTGCTATCGACTGCCCACTGTTCAAGTACCCAGGTGACATGAACACTGCTTTTTATCACCCGTACTAAGTACGACGAGGCTGAGATCAGACCTGGAAAACTTCAACGTTGGCGATATCGCCCTCTCATGTCAAAGCCAGATATATGACTTAAGACTTTACCTAGGTACCTAGCCTTGGAGTGATCCAGCTGCAGGTACTCCCTTCATCTTCTGATCATCACTACCTAGGTCCAGGGTGCTTACAAGCTTGTTTAGAAATATACATGCACTGTTTTAAACGCCCATTGTGCTGACTCTGGCACAATAGATAAATCTGACACCGATAATACCTAGGCAACATGGAAACCTTAGAAATATGTGTAATTCTAGATTCTATAATTTTTCCGAATTAGGAACTGCGACAAGAATCGTGCCTTTGAAAATACGCCCATTGGGTACTCTCGACTCTCGAGATCCCAATCCACCTAGGCACTTCATGTTCCCACCCAAATCAGCCACATTCTATCCGTATCTCAGTAAGTAGTTTTTAATAATGAACCCTAGACCAATATTACTTGTCTGTTATCTCTAACCTCAGCTAAGTCTTTACGTGGGTCTGTGGAAATTCCAAATTCTGGTGGGGTGACTAGCTAGTGTGTCAGCAAAGAACTACGTATATTGACAAGTACTCCGTACAGGGGTCAGTGTAGCCTCTGCAGACCACGAAATCAAAATCCTTGATCCATTCATCTCTAAAGCGAACTGAAAAATCATCGAATTCAGAACTCAGAGTGTCAGATGAAACAAACAGATCCGGCGTTGATGCGTTGTCGTGAATTATGAGTGGCCCTCTCATTTTACTCAGCTTCGTCAAGCTATCAGTCGCCACAAACTCGACACTGAACGCTCTAGAAGGCTGGCAGTTCGACGATAACTCCCGCACAAGCTGGGATATCTTCTGGACCTGTCTTTCCACAATCCTTGCTTGTACGTGGACAGCGCTGCACGTGTCAGTGCCATCAAGGAAGCAGTCTAAAGTATCAACCAATGTTATAAAGGTCGCGGCATGGATTGCAGCTATTCTTGCTCCAGAGCTTATGGCCGGGGTGGCAGCCGAGGAGCTATGGACGACGAGGTCGCTAGTCGCTCGTTGTAACGCCGCCTTACGCAAGTCTTTTGCGGAGAAAGAAAGAGGCGACAGCGAGAAGAGACTAGAGGAAAAGACTTCTCTGCAGACTATTCCTGGTCATTGGTCCATGATACATGGCTTCTGTCTGAACATGCATGGAGTACTGATAGAGAGCAAAGACGGCTGGACCTACCCAGTCCAAAAGAACAACATAGTCCCCTTCATCGAGGCCGGCATAGTAAAGTCCTATCATTTGCGAGCTGACGACATTAAAGATCGAGCCAAGGCTGACTCCCTTGCAAAGGCAGTTACTCTGCTGCAAAGCTTATGGGTCACGATCAACGTCATTGCAAGAGCAGGCTATCGCCTGCCCATCTCGCCACTGGAAATATCAACAGTTGCTTATGTCGCCTGTGCATTTCTCACATATGCAGCTTGGTTGCATAAACCTAAAGATATGACGACGCACATTATCATATTCTTGCCGTATAGCAAGGATGGTTCGGATATGCCGCCAGACATCAAAATTGCGCTGGATAAAGGCTTTGGGTCATGGAACGCTCCTTTAAGAGAGGATTCTGCTGTTGCTAGAGGCTCATTCTCATGGCGTACTGTTTTAAGCTTCTTGGCTTTGATCTTCACGCACGATGGAAGACAACTCTTTAGATCATCATGGGAAAAGAATAGCAGAAAAATTTCTTGGGATGATGACCCACCTTCTGGAGATGCTCCTACCCAACAGGATGAGGAGAATCCTCAACCGTCGACGTCGGTCATTGAGACGGAAAGCAACGATATGGAAAATACTGAACATGAAAATCCTAATGCGAGAGATCCATATGAAAAGCTGGTAATCAAGGACTGGTTTGCCATCACTCATATCTACATGTTTATGGGCCTAGTATTTTCTGGAATCCATATCGCAGCGTAAGTGCTACCTTTCATATCTATACTGCCTGCTTAACCGTCATGATACAGTTGGAACTCAGAGTTTCCCACAAAAGCCGAACAAACCGTCTGGCGAGTTTTCTCACTCTGTTCGTTTGCAGTGATATGGCCATTATACCTAATACACATGTGGACATTCTACCGTCTCTACCGTGCAGCAGGCGACATGAATGCCTATATCGATTATTCGAACTGGACGACTCTTCGAATGCTGGTTTTGTGGTGTGGGTGGTTTTGGGTGTACTCTATTACGCGCTGGGGAGATCTCATCCTTATGTTCATTTCTTTGAGGGCTTTGCCTGTTGGATCTTATATTACGATCGATTGGATGTCGACTATTCCTCATATTTAGGTATTTGGGCATTATATTGCTCTGGTAACTTGGTAGACCGTGTAAGGTTTGAGCATATGTATTGTTAAATACGGGACGGCTATGGAGTGGATGCTTCTATTAATAACTGGAAGTTAAATTTAATTTCTCAGGTTCCATATACGAGATTTGCAAAACAGAGCAGGATCAGGCACTGATTGTCCATTGAATAGGTCATCCGAAAAAAGCAATGAACTTTCAATCGGTATTTCGCCATGTAAGTAACTGCCGGTTCTGAAGAGTCATCTATCAATGACACCTAGGCATCATTAGAAAGTTTGACCCAAGCCGAGTAGCTTCCTCGTGTTGGGCTGCAGTCAGGGGACGATGGTACATGAAATTCTCTTCCATCGGGCCTTGTCTTAGATAAGACCCCCCTAGTTCTGGGCCACCCCTAGTTTTGAACCGAAAAGTAAATTATTGATATTTCAATCAACCCGAAATTATACCTACTAAAGACATTACGCCTGGAATTCAAACATCACATCCTGTAGAGTAGCCCTAGTTATAACACCTGAAGCCCTCTTAGCTTCATTTTCAGACTCCTTCTGTCGTTGGCGCTCTACTAAAGCTTCATGTGCTGCTTTAATATTTTTTATGTCTGCAAGCCGTGTATTAAGGTCTATCATACTTCTCTTCTCCTTTTTTGACTCTGAAAGGTCTCAACTTGGGAATTAAGCTAAGAAATTAGAGCTCCATCAGCTGCCTGTCTAGTAGTAAAGAGTGCTTTTTCGAGAGCAATTCTTTGATCTCGAGTCGAATTTTGCTGTTTTTGAAGGACATCTTTAACCTTTTACATATTTCGGTGGCTCTGACGTGCAGCGAAGGTCATATTTAAAAAATTTTAAGAGAGAGGAGGCGTCATTTAGCGTTTTTAAGGCATAAAAGATGGCTGAATTGAAGTTAGGATGAGCTTAGGCCCTTTGCTGGATTCCATAGGTATACCTATAGCTTTCCACCCACTTTGAAGAACTATAAGTTTAGCATAGCATTCCATAAATCGAACCTTCTTTATTAGCGCAGCATCATCAATATAAGAAAGCTCATTGATCTGATTCCGATATTTAGCTTTAATAGATGAGAAAATGCCTGAATCAAGTGGTTAGAGGATATGGCTGATATAGGCAGGTAGAAAGACCAATTCTACTTTATTTTACATGTAAGTCTAGAGAAAATTGATACTTATATGGCTCCTATGGCCATCTAAAACAAGTAATTTATACTAGTCTAATGATGCAGTTTCAAGAAGAAAGATCATTTTAACGCATTCAAGTCTAGTCCAAGTTGATGTCTAGCCATTTTCTGAAGTAGTATAAAACCATGAAGTTCAGGGATTCTTTACCTAAAAAATGATTAGGGGTCGAATAATATTGCCGAGTGGATTAATCGTCTTAATAATCGATCCCTATTCCCAATTCTCTGGTGATTTAACATAAGTATATTTATTCTAGCTTATGCAAGGACTTAAGCATTCATATAGACACCTGGAGTAACCCCATACTCATCCGTATTCTAAATGTTTTCCGGGAGTATATCATATTGCTCTTTAATCCGGGAAAAGAGATCATAGAACTCTTGGATAGCTGCTGGCTATGTTCCATGGATTTTAGATACATCAATACATCTACCAATATAAGAAGTAACGCATGGATTCCGTTGAATCAATTTTGATAGCTACGCTTTTCCAAGGGGTCCATGGTCCCCACCAGGTCGTAGATCGCGGATAGCCATCTCACCTGCACGAGAAAATGAAGGAGGAAATCCTTGAGAATCCCGTTCAATAATCTATTCAACTAGAAATTCCTCTTGGTCTGGAGATAGTATTTGTTGATTTACGTGGCCGTCGCGAGCATTTTGTGTACCATTCATTCAACGTTGTAGAGTGGATCTTGAGAGGTTATAAGCAGCAGATCTTACTCATGTAATTCGACCTGATTCTAAATCAGAAATGGCAAGAGATATTTGGTCTTAATTCAGAGGCATTTGAGACCGATAATTATATTAGAAAAGTGGAAAATATGGGAAGTGGGGTGACGCGACCGTGTTGCTCAAAACTATGGTGCTGATATTAATAGTTCTTTCATTCGTTTGAAGGGCTTAGTATGCAGTCATAAAATTAGCTTGGCTACGTCTACTTCTGTATTCTCACCCTTTTGGATTCCTTCTTTCTCTTTGTTGAGATTCCCACTTGAATTATTCCAATGTTTAGTATGCAGTCATCAATTTATTAAAATGGCTTGATAGTATTCTAAATAGATTCATGCTTTTATACTTCGTACACTGACGGGACCAAACTCCACAGCGGAATCCTTGCAAGCCACCAAAGCAACATTTTGATAACATGCGGTTCATTTATAGACCATATATTATTAACTGCTCTAAACTCTGATTCAAAAGTCAGATCTGATTTGTAAAATGACGTGGGATCGAACTAGTTCCCGTGGGACCCGAATCTAAATCGGGATCCTAACTCCACGTTCGCTCAAAATGTGGCAATCGCGATTGAGCCGATCGACATGATATGGAGATGTAGGGGAAATGTAGATAAGGAGAAAGGAGTCGATTCAGGAGAAGCCCGTGAGTGGGCTTCAGCTATTGTACCTAGTTACCACATTGAATAGTGTTGTCATACGAATAATCCGAACTACTTTCTAACAGGCGATGAGTTGATTGATCAACTTCACTCGCACCATAAATGCGCATTCTTCGGATAGTATAATTAATTCAACTTACATGAACAACTGTACCGGGAGAATATCCCGTGTTCGGAGAAGGGACAATCTGTGACTAGCGAATGTTTCATTGAACCTTGGGTGAAACCGTCGGTTCTTAAAGTGGTGTGACGAATCAAGAACCTTGGAGCCTTCTCTTAGCTCAGAATAGGATAAAGGTGTAGACTATCCTATGTTCTTAATAATGTAGAAAACTGAGCTTTGATAAAGGAAGGAATTTTGAAATAACTTCAAGTTCTGCCTGTCCAGTCAAATTCGTATAGCTGTTAGATGTCAGCTGCATTGGTGAAATTTACTAGAACTTGAGCTGCATATTGCCTAGACTAAGCTCATTTGTGTCAGGAGTGCGGAGATAGATACGAAATTCCAGAGGCTATGCAGTACTATCACTAGAGACCTTCACCGGCGGCTAGCTCGACACGATGTGGATATGGATAACGTGGCAATGTCCTACTGTGTATGAGAAAGTAGATGCATCACATGAAAGTTGAAGGATGAAAAGAGTACTCATATCAACAGGTCCACTAGGCAAGACTCCACCGATTCTCCGTGACAGACAAGGACATCAAGCCGAAAAAGCCGAAGAGGGAGATAAAATAAATAAAATAACACAGGAAATGAAGACAAAAAGAATTCGATTTCATGCGGGCCGTGTTTTAGAATTAACCAATAGGAGTGACAAATGCCGGTTTCAGGGGTAGTTTGAAACATAGCTTTTAGCCAATAACATAAAGCCAATAGACCCACCTGAACAATGCAGATTCCTATTGGCTACAGTTTAAATAAGCATCTGATATTAGCTCCGATTTGCAACATTCCAGTCTAAGAAGTGCCCCATACAAAGTACTGTTGATTCATTGCGTTTCAGCACTCTGCACTTTACCAATTATGTAATATTGACCGGGAGAACGTGGATCGTCTGTAAGATTTGCCTCCCTGGGGCATGAAGAGTGGAGTGTCTCAAGTATACAACAACTGGGCGTTTATTGTCTCCACCTTGGCTGAATCGGTTGTGCTGGTCCTGCCGAGTTTTAATTGAAATACTAGAAAATGTTAGATTACGGACTAGAGATAAAAAGATATCAACCGAGGCTTCCCTTGTCTCGCGTGGATGATTCTTGTCTTTCCTATCTTTTGTGGTCTTCTGGAAGGCCGTTCGTTCTAGTTCTCAAGTCCAAAGTCCCCGGTGGACTGTTTCTCATTCACATATTTGTTCCTCCTTTCAGCTCTAATCATCTCAATCTTACGTGAACTGGGTTCCCTACAGAAATGTCTAGAAGTGCAACGGTCGTCAAAACGAATGAGCCCATTACATTCCCTGTCTTGACCTATTCCGACGCTTTACCCAGAAATGACCTGCGCCCCATCATGAACAACCCTCTTTCACAAAATCACTATAACTTCTTTCCCCAGCCCGGTGCAGGCGATGGAAAAGGCCCGTCCCCAAATACAGTCTCCAAGTTCGACTTCCGACTGACAGTACCGCCTGATGAAGCCATCCCTGCTACCAGGCGGAAGCACAACCGCAGCCCGCTAGGGCAGCACACCATTGGCGTGGCACTAGGAAGCCCAGATATAGCCAACCCGTCAGCAGCGAGATTTAGAACGTCTATCTCCACGCATCGACCGCCCAAGGCAAGCAAGTGGAAGAAGATTGGCGGATTATTCAAAGCAAAGAATGGATTCCAAGCAGGCGCTCAACGCCCGCCATCAATCCGTACAAAGCAAGTCGAAGAAAACAGAGCGCTTAGCAAGCCATTGCAGAGGAAAGTCTCGACGGCGAAAACTGATGCTAGCGCTCACGCTGCAGCAAGCAAAGGAGCCCCAAAGCGCAGTGGCACCCGGTCACGAAAGGTCTCGCTGTCAAAAAAGCCCAAGGGGAATGCATCCGATGAAATTCCTCTCTTACAAAGCCCGCTCCTGCAGGTTGATATTCCAGATACTCAGATGGAGCGGTATAGCGTCATGTTTGAGAACGTTATCCCCAAGAACAATACTCCTCTGCTGGCCAGGAGAAGCAAGACCCTCGGCAATCTGAAAGTGCCAAATGCTCAGGTAGGATATATCCCACCTTACCCAGTTTATAGATATTGACCAATTACAGCAATTTATCGCAACAAACAACCCACCACGCCGCCGCGCAACGTCCCCAGCACGAACCAACTTCAGCTTATTCCCAACATCCCAACCAGCAAAGGCAGCACAGGTCCTGGGAATGCACAACTACTCCCGCAAGCCAAGTCCACTGAAGCAGTCAAGCATTTTCCAACGAAAGTCATCATCACAAGCATCCACCGACGGCCCACAATCAATTCTAGAATCCCTCCTAGACAAGCAAAGCGCGACATTCTTCGAATCACCCACAATGTCCAACCCCTTCTCAGACCAACAACGAATAAACACCCCCCAATCATCACGAATACACACCCCAAACTCAATATCCTCAAAAGACAAACCCCTCCCCGCAATCCGCGGCCAGCCAATCACGATCATGAAAGCATCTTCACGACACCAAGTAAATCCAGTAGTCCAATGGGAGAAAGACTACCGGCACAATCACGCTCGGAACCCCCAGAATCAATTCCTCTCACCACCAGCACCACCAGCACCCATTAAAGACAGCACCCCACCAAGCGCATCCTCCCTCCCCCTCCCCGGGGAGATCTCAACAGGACCATTCTTCCGCACGATGTCCGCAGAGCTAGTCACAATAGGCCTAGGCTCTAACAAGCCAACCTCGAGCACAAAGCCCGTTGAGAAAGAAGCCAAGAAGCAGCAAATCCCCGCCATCTCACTCTCGCGATCATTGTCCATACGTGCAGAGCAGATGGCCGTTGCGCGATCCCTTTCCGTGCGCGGTGCGAGAAAGGTTCTTATTCCTGTCGGCGCTAAAGTCGATCATATTACTGGTGATGAACGATTCGTTGAACGGAGGGCCCATACGCCGCAGATTACAGATGGTCGATATCGACGGCAGCTTGCTATGTCGCAGGAATTGTTGATCGAGTCCATTTGACGTCTTTACCTACTTCACCCATTAATTTTTGTTCCTGACGAGCTCTTTGTATATATTTTAATCATTAAAAGGCAACTTATGGATTTAATTCATTTTTAAATTTCGGTATGAATTACTTTACTCATTCTCTGCTCAATCTCCTCACACTTTATCTACTCTTATATTTCCATCAGATATCTGTCTCTGGGCACACATTTACTACTATTTATACGTAGGTGTATGAATTCTGATAAGAGTTAGCGCGATCGATAAAGATCAAGATCTCCTAATCTAATCCCAAGAGGTCCGACTGTTGGTAGCCTAAGCCTATTATCGCATAAACTAACGAAACATTTTTGACGTGGCATTTTAGAGGAAGACATGTAAAGTGAAATAGGAGAAAACGCCCTTGGGAACTGTGCTGAGTTCCTGATTATCTTGCGATTATGGGCGGTGTAGGAGGGCAGAATCAAATGAGATTCGTTCAAGTAAATAAGTGGGGCAGTTCAAGCTTATCAGGACCAAAAAGTGACTACCAGTATATCCCAACACAACATAGTCTAGTGGTTAAGGCTCCAAACCTGAAAACCTGCCAACCACTAGTGAGGGTTCGAGTCTGGAGCTCGGTAAAACCAAAACTGTCATACAAGTTTTATAAGCCTCTAGTCCATTCAAGCCTCATCCCCCAAGATCAGCCCCAGATCTGAGGTACGATTAGAGACTGAATTTTTGCTGAACTTTTTAAATCTCAAAGGTCTCACTAGGGACTTGGGAATACTGCGTTTTGACCAGAATGAAGCCATTTATTTTTTTCTTTCTTTTCTTATTTGGGGAAATATTACCAACCCAGCACACTCGACCACCAGACCTATCCGTAGATAGTCATCAAATTGGATATTCTTACCTGATGAAAACACATTAAAGCCAGAACCTACCTGATGATTGAAGACTGATCTTCGATTATGACTTGGCTAATCTTGGAAGCTAAATCATATTTCGTGTTCATGCTGAAGGCTTATCACCATCTCAATTCAGAGGGGTTGTGAGTGACCAATACAGACTTGCTGGCATACAGAAAGAGCTGGGCAACACTTGTACTGAAACAGCTATAGTGATTATTTCCTACTCCTGTTGAGGCCTTCAGGAGTCTCATTGTTGGTGTGTACCAAGTGAGTTTCATAATCGCGGAGATTTAGGTACAGGGACTATAATGGGTACAGCTATTATTCACTTTCCAACCAAAAATTATGTGCCCGAGGCCCTTTGGCGCAGTAAAAAACAAAAACCCTGCCTCAGAAGGTTATCGGTAAAAATGAATAAAAAGTCTCGAGTCACTATTGAACCTCTATACTTCCGGGCTTAGGTACCCAGCTACCACCAGATCCTTTAGGCTGGTCGGTGATTAGGGCCAGTAGAACGTATTGTTCTAATTTATACTTCTTTAACCTTCATCATCAATAATGAAGCTCTTGTTCATTAGACCTTCAACCAAGCTTTCCAGTCTAGTATAGCGTCCCACTGGCTGAGCCAATTTTTGGGATCTTACTCTTTGACTACAATATATCCTGTGTATTGAACCACTCTTTGAATTGAGAAATCGTCAAGGCTGGTTCAGTATGATCTCTGGGACATCAGAAGCGATCAGTAATCTGGCTTCATACTGATTTTCCAAATGTCCCTACGTGGGACTTCAATAAATCTCCATGATACCTTGATGATAACCTCAATGGACTACTTCTTGTAGATCAAGAACTGGAGGTACCTAATTATTTTGTGTGACATGAATTGTATTAACATTAAAACACATTTCCGTAACTACCTGACTAAATTCACCAATGCCAGCTTACATCAGGGAACAGCAAGAGTTCTGTTTCTTGGCCTATACACGGGTTAACAAAGAAGAAAACAACATTATAGAAGGGCATACCTGGGTATAGAACATCTTACTCTGGGCTGAAAGCCCATCACTCTTAGCAACTAGAGAGTCGATCTTCTCGCCACGCTCCAGAACGCTCTCGATCTAAACACTATCAGCCCCATTCTCAATACGTCAACAGAATAGAACCTACGGTCTTGTGTAGGACAATCTTGGTCTCGTCCAATTCTTGTTGAATCTTCATAATGCTGTCGGCCTGGCTAGGATCCTGGTACTTGGTGATGTAGTCCTTCAGCTGCGGCAGGGGGCATGCGTTCTCGCTAATGGACGGATCGGAGAACGATGTACGAGGGTACTTGGCAAGGAATTCGTCGACGATCTTTGACAGGAGCTGGTGGGCCACCAAAGCAGGGTATTCACCATCAGTTACAATGACACCGGCTACGCCCTCGGTTCGACCGTACGCGTGGAATGTGTATGACTTCTCCTCGACGTCCTGGCGTTGGCCAGGCTTTGTTCGCTCTGCGACCGTGCGGCAGAAGAGCACCATGAACTCTTCGTAGCTATCGAAATATTAATATCGTAAGTTCAGGGTCGGGAATATTGATGGGCGTACTTCTGGCGAGTGAATCGGGAGAACCTAGTACTTGTTAGCTGATCCCTGTGAAGCCTTGGGCAATTACGTACCCGGTCAGATCTCTCTCAGCGCAAAGCTGGACAGCAGGCTGAGAATCATTCCGAAGAATCTGGATTCGCGAGAGATCAGTATGTTCCAGCGGAAAGACAAGTAAGTCGAAAGGCACCTACGCCCATATAGAGAATCTTCATGGTGGCAGGGAGTTTCTAGGCAAATAATAAGGTACCGGGAAGTAATTTTAATTCGTGTCCTGTGGTCTCCGGTAAAATGAGAAGTAAAGAAAGGAGAGCTGGAGATTCAATCAACGGAACTCCCTGATAAGCCCCGCATTGGCGGTAGAACACTACATTATGTCAGCATTGAAGATGCCTAGAACCCACACAATCGCTTTGATATCCCCACAAGCTAACGAACAGCCCACCAGCTTATAGCATCGTGCGTAGCAAAAATAGCAACATGACGTCTACCGAATCTGAATGGCTCTCGCAGCTCGCTACTATGAGGCAGGTCATCGCCGACTTGAATCTCCCAAAAAACCTGCCCTATGATACCACTAGCTATGGAAGCGACGTCGAATTGGATATTGATGATGAATATTCCTCCCCCGGCACAGTGGATGACGTCTGGGATATTATAAGCTCCGACGACGAGACAGACGACTTGGACGAGTACGAATACAACCACTTTGCGACTGCGCCTCTCTCGACAGGACTATACGATCGGAGCTGGCTAGAGGCGAAATGTGAGGATGTCGCCGTGCGAAGCTCCATGAACGCTTCTGAGCTGTCTCAGCAAATTATTGCCACACTGGTTGCCGAAAGTGACGATGCGGAACTGCAGATGTCGCTCGCAGAAATTGTGGGGTTCGACGACCTGGATTTGGTTATAGAACTGATTACACATCGGGTGGACATCTTGTCAGATAAACCACAGAGAGTGGCGGCACAGTCAGACGGATTATCAGCTGGAAGACTCTTGACTAAAGCGGAAAGAGAGGATGCTCTGTGGCAACGTGATTACGAGCACAAGAATACTCCATTGATGCCAGCGCAGACCCGAACTGAGCCGATGTATCCCCATGTCTATAAGCTTCATGCTTCTGGGAACCTTGCGGTTGGTGGTAAGAAATATGGGCTTCCAGTAGGAAGTGAAGTGGCCGAAGAACCCAAATATACCGAATATTCGATCCCTGCCTCCAGGGTCGGTGCAGCCGCAAAGAACCAGAAGCTGGTTGAGATCGCGGGACTGGATGGCCTATGTCAGGGAACATTCAAAGGCTACAAAGCTCTTAACCGAATGCAGAGCTTGCTCTACGACGTAGCGTATAAGACAAGCGAAAATATGTTGATTTGTGCGCCCACTGGTGCGGGTAAGACCGACGCTGCCATGCTGACCATCCTCAACGCGATCGGAAAGAACACGAGTCCAAACCCATTGGAAGAGCCCCTTGCAGTGGAGTTCACAGTCGCAGTTGACGACTTCAAGATTGTTTACGTCGCCCCTATGAAAGCTCTGGCCGCTGAAGTGACAGAAAAACTCGGCAAACGTCTTGCGTGGCTGGGAATCAAAGTCCGCGAATTGACCGGTGATATGCAGTTGAGCAAGCGAGAAATCGTGGAAACTCAGATCATTGTCACTACCCCTGAGAAATGGGATGTGGTTACCCGCAAGAGTACGGGCGATACTGAACTCGTCCAAAAGGTTCGACTTCTCATTATCGATGAAGTTCACATGCTTCACGATGAGCGTGGTGCTGTCATTGAGTCTCTGGTTGCCCGAACCCAACGTCAGGTGGAGAGTACACAGTCCTTGATCCGCATCGTCGGTCTCTCGGCCACCCTTCCCAACTACGTTGACGTGGCAGACTTCCTCAAGGTAAATAAGATGGCTGGTCTTTTCTTCTTTGACTCATCATTTCGTCCGGTGCCTCTCGAGCAGCACTTCATTGGTGTGAAGGGTAAACCTGGCTCCAAGCAATCTCGCGAGAATATTGACGTGGTGGCTTATGAAAAGGTCCGCGACATGCTGGAGAGAGGCCATCAGGTGATGGTGTTTGTGCATTCTCGTAAAGATACCGTCATGACAGCCCGCATGTTGAAACAACTGGCAGCTGAGGACGGCTGTGAAGATTTGTTCAGCTGTCAAGATCATGAAGACTACTCGTCAGCCCTGCGAGACATGAAGCATGCGCGTGCCCGCGAACTGCGAGATCTCTTTGCTGGCGGATTCGGAGCCCATCATGCTGGACTGAGTCGCAGTGATCGTAATCTCATGGAACGTATGTTCTCGGAGGGGTTGATCAAGGTGCTTTGCTGTACAGCTACCCTCGCCTGGGGAGTGAATCTTCCCGCTGCTGCGGTCGTCATCAAGGGTACCCAGCTGTACAACGCGCAGGAGGGTAAATTTGTCGATTTGAGTATTCTTGATGTGCTGCAGATCTTTGGTCGTGCGGGTCGTCCTCAATTTCAGGATACCGGTATTGGCTTCATCTGCACGACCCATGACAAGCTGCAGCACTATCTGTCTGCCGTAACCGCACAGCAACCGATTGAGTCTCGTTTCTCAAAACGACTAGTGGATAACTTGAATGCCGAAATCTCCCTTGGTACTGTAACTTCTGTCCCCGAAGCAGTGCAGTGGCTAGGCTACTCGTATCTCTTTGTCCGTATGAAACGTGAACCCAGAAACTACGGTATCGAGTTTTCTGAGCTTCGGGATGACCCCATGCTAGTTCAAAGACGCCGACAACTAATTATTCAGGCTGCTCGAACTCTTCAGAAAAGCCAGATGATCATCTTCAATGAAAAGACCGAAGATCTCAAGGCCAAGGACGTCGGTCGTATTGCTAGTCAGTACTACGTCCTGCAAGGCAGTATCGAGATTTTTAACGAAATGATGCGCCCTCGCGCAGGCGAGGCCGATGTCCTTAAAATGATCAGCATGAGTGGCGAATTTGACAATATCCAAGCTCGAGAGAGTGAGTCAAAAGAGCTGCAACGGCTACGCGATGAAGTCGCCCAGACAGAGGTCGAAGGTGGAAATGACTCGCCGCATGCTAAAACGAACATCCTCCTTCAATCGTATATCTCCCGTGCGAAGATCGAGGACTTTGCATTGGTATCGGACACGGGATATGTTGCGCAGAACGCGGCCCGTATCTGCCGCGCCCTGTTTATGATTGCGCTGAATCGCCGCTGGGGCTATCAATGCCAAGTGCTTTTGTCTCTATGCAAGTCGATTGAAAAGCAGATTTGGCCCTTTGATCATCCCTTCCACCAATTTGACCTTCCACAGCCAATCTTGAGGAACTTAGATGAACGGCTGCCGACATCTTCCGTAGAATCAATGAAGGAGATGGAGAGTGCTGAAATCGGCCAACTTGTCCACAATCACAAGATGGGCAAGGTCTTGACCAAGCTCTTGGATAACTTCCCCACTCTTAGCGTCGAAACGGAGATCGCACCGTTGAACCGGGATGTTCTTCGCATTCGGCTTTCAATCTACCCAGAGTTTACGTGGAATGACCGCCACCATGGCGCTTCCGAGTCGTTCTGGGTCTGGGTGGAGAATTCCGAGACCTCTGAAATCTACCATCACGAGTACTTCATACTGAACCGTAAAAAGTTGTACGATGAACACGAACTAAATTTTACTATCCCACTGTCCGACCCGCTTCCAAGCCAGATCTATATACGATTAATCTCCGACCGTTGGCTCGGAGCAGAAACAGTCAGCCCAGTTTCATTCCAGCATCTGATCCGCCCAGATACCGAGAGCGTGTACACCGATCTATTGAATTTACAGCCTCTGCCGGTCTCTGCGTTGAAAAACCCTATCCTGGAGGAACTGTACGGCCAGCGCTTCCAGTTCTTCAACCCGATGCAAACACAAATCTTTCACTTGTTGTACCACACAGCTGCGAATGTTCTTCTCGGTTCCCCTACGGGCAGTGGAAAGACTGTGGCTTGTGAACTAGCGATGTGGTGGGCATTCCGCGAGAAGCCTGGCTCAAAAGTGGTATACATTGCGCCGATGAAAGCCCTTGTCCGTGAGCGTGTGAAGGATTGGTCCAAACGCTTCACTCACGCCATGGGACTGAAGCTGGTTGAGTTGACCGGTGACAACACTCCCGATACCCGAACGATTCGAAACGCCGATATTATCATCACCACGCCTGAGAAGTGGGACGGTATCTCACGTAGCTGGCAAACCCGAGACTATGTGCGTAAGGTCAGCCTCGTCATCATTGACGAGATTCATTTGCTGGGCGGCGATCGAGGACCTATTCTTGAGATCATTGTCTCGCGAATGAACTACATCGCCTCTCAGTCCAAGGGCTCTGTCCGTCTTATGGGCATGTCGACTGCCTGTGCCAATGCCAGCGATCTCGCTAACTGGCTTGGTGTCAAGGAGGGATTGTACAATTTCCGGCACTCTGTTCGTCCGGTTCCTCTCGAGATTTTCATTGACGGATTCCCGGAACAACGGGGCTTCTGTCCTCTGATGCAGTCTATGAACCGACCAACCTTCCTGGCAATCAAAAACCATTCTCCTGAAAAGCCGGTTATTGTCTTTGTGGCCTCTCGTCGACAGACTCGTCTCACTGCCAAGGATCTGATCAATTACTGCGGCATGGAAGACAATCCTCGCCGATTTGTCCGCATGTCGGAGGATGACTTAGAAGCTAACCTGGCCCGTGTAAAGGACGATGCTCTGAGAGAGGCTCTCAATTTTGGCATCGGTTTGCATCATGCTGGTCTGGTAGAGTCTGATCGACAGCTCGCTGAAGAGCTCTTTGCGAACAATAAGATCCAGGTTCTTGTCGCCACCAGCACTCTCGCCTGGGGTGTCAACCTGCCGGCACACTTGGTCGTAGTGAAAGGAACCCAGTTCTTTGATGCTAAGATCGAGGGATACAGGGACATGGACTTGACGGATGTCCTCCAGATGCTGGGTCGTGCTGGACGTCCCCAATTTGACAATTCTGGAATCGCTCGCATATTCACCCAGGACTCCAAGAAGGCGTTCTACAAGCATTTCCTGCACACTGGCTTCCCGGTGGAGTCAACCCTGCACAAAGTCTTGGACAACCACTTGGGCGCCGAAGTATCTGCCGGAACTATTGGAACCAAGCAGGATGCCCTCGATTACTTAACGTGGACTTTCTTCTTCCGCCGACTGCACAAGAACCCGTCGTACTATGGTCTTGAGATCTCAGCTGAGGAGCAAAACACCATGGCTGCTCAGGCCGTAGCCCAGGACTTTATGATTGAGCTCGTGGATAAATCTCTCAATGACCTGGCTGAGTCTTCCTGTATCCTCGTAGACTCTGCGACCGGCGAGGTTGACTCTACGCCCTTTGGCAAGATCATGAGTTACTATTACCTCTCGCACAAGACGATCCGATACTTGGTGTCGCATGCCAAGCCCGATCCCACCTTCCAAGACGTCTTGAGCTGGATGTGCTCTGCTACTGAGTTTGACGAGCTGCCGGTCCGCCACAATGAGGATCTGATCAATGCTGAACTTGCATTGAACTTGCCTCTCTCTATTGAATGCATGGGTGATATTCCAATGTGGGACCCTCACGTCAAGGCCTTCTTGCTGCTGCAGGCCTACATGTCGCGGATCGACCTCCCAATCTCTGATTATGTGGGTGATCAGACATCCGTCCTGGATCAGGGCATTCGTATTATTCAGGCTTCCATCGATGTCATGGCCGAAATGGGTTATGTCCTCGCGTGCCAGATGTTGATGACTCTGTTACAGTCCATCAAATCCGCCCGCTGGCCAGAGGACCACCCCTTGTCCATCCTTCCCGGCGTGCAAGTCGAGAAGCCACCACGCGGTCTTCCCTCGACGCTTGTCGCTCTCTCTTCTCAATCTGTGTCTAGTCTGGCTAAAAACTTGCACCTTCCGGCACAGTTCACCCGCGCCGCATCTCAAATCCCCCTTCTTTCCCTCGCTGTTACTGGGGTCACTTCCCGGGGTATTAATGTGAACCTCACACGCCGCAATCCAGCCACAAATCCTGAGTATAGGATCTATGCTCCGCGCTTCCCTAAGCCGCAGACAGAAGGTTTCTTCCTTGTCGTGAGTAGTGCTAATCCGGATGGAAGTGACGGAGAGCTACTTGGTCTGAAACGCGTCTCATGGCCTCCAGCTTCCAAGCAGGATGGCTACAAGGGTCGCGGCAAAGGCAAAAGCGAAGGCCCACTCACAGTGCGGTCCTCACTCAAGTTCCCTGGCTTTACCGCGGGCATCACGAAGGTCAATGTCAAGGTCATCAGTGACTCATACATGGGCATGCAATGGATGGTATCAAATGTGGAGGTGGAATTAAGTTCTAATACAGTACAGACAGTAGAAGCATCATCTAGCACTCCCCAGAAGGGGGAGTAAGTGGATTCAGATAGGATTTAAATGACAATATCAAGAGAAAACCACTTTTTCAACGCAGCAACCCTCGCCCTATCCGTCTCAATAGTATCAATAACCCTCGTCTTACCGCCCATATTCAACTTAACAACATCATTTACAAACATCACCTTCCCAACAACCTGCACCCCATCATCGACATCCTTAACCTCGCCCTCGAGCAACGGAAACTGCCCCGTCTCACCAGCCCGAATAAACTTAACAACCCAGCGATTCCGCTTCGTCAACGCATCCCAACTTGTAAACCGATTAATGACTTCAAAATCCTCCTGGAAAAACTCCAGCTCAGCAAAACTGTAGAATGTGTTCCACTCCCTGTCAACTCCGTTGCGGTACTGGTACATCCAGACTTTCTGTTCAGGCCGTGTCTGCTTCGCCATGTTTCCATAGACTAGCCGCACTTCTTGCGGGCCTAGGTTTTTGGATGTTTGGCCTGAGATCAGGGGCAAAGGTCTTGTGGGACCGTCTCCTCCGAACGCAGCATCAACATGATACTCCACACCAGAAGGCAGGCGCACAATATTCACAATGTGAGTCCTGGCCGTATTAGTAAGGCTCAAGTACAAACCATGGAAAGAAAAGGATGGACCCTACCAGCCAAAGAATTCACCTGCCGGAACACCATTTTCCCTGGGCCGATTCCGTACACCAGTGCTATAAACATCGAACCCGAGCCCACGGAGAACATGAGAGAAGAAGATACTACATTCAAGACAATAGCCGCCTCGTCCAGAAGGCTCGCTCTCACCGACGCCCATGAGCTTGGAGTAAATCGCCTGTGGGTCAATGTTTACATCGCTAGTCGCTGCATAATGTACATCGAGATTGTCGTAGGGGAAGCGCGTGATTTGGCCGCGGAATAGTGTCGTTAGTGCCTCTTCTGTCTTGGGATATGAAGCTGGAGATTGGATCCAGGGTTCATATGCTGCCGGGAGGGCGAGATATTTTAGGTATTTTGTCAATTGGGCTGGGGAATATGCCGATACCATGATTGAGGTTGGGGTGATTGGATTGAACCCTTGAAATTTATGAATTGAAAATTGCGAAAGAGAAGGAAAATTGCTAGGTTTTATAGATAAATTCTATTTTTTTTATTTAATTTTTGAGTCAGAGTTCGGGATTGAGATAACATCTAGATTGCGCCATCTCTTATCGGCTAAATATACTGGAGTTTCATCTATGATATAGAACCTCCCCATTATAGGAATTCACCTGCTTGTACTTATTAATAGTAGGCATCTTGATCTGTGTAAGAAGAGCATCAAATCCATCTAGTGCCGTCATCACACGCCGATAATTGTTTGGAGCTTGGCCATTCGTCAATGCTTGAATGTACCCGTTCCTCATAGTTCTGACGCTTCCCGGCGTGCTCTATCCAGGTTTGTTGCGAATGTGTCATCTAGCCACAGTCCCCAGACATTCTGAAGGTTATATGTTTCTGTTACTTCTTCGATGTAACTGAGCTGTTCGTGCGTCACCTGAATGACATTATCAAAACGAGTCTGGAACTTAGTTTGGCGAATATACACGAAGGCCGCAAAAACCTAGCCATAATGGTTAGCCACTACCTAGATCTACCGAAGGGACTTTGACCAGAAGATCACTCACCTCTTGAAAAGCCGAAAGCAATTCATCGGCGGCATCATCAGTACCTGCCTTTAGTACAGGCTTCATGAGGCGTTTAACACGATCCGTAGTTAATGGGGACTGGTTAAGGAAAATTTTTCCCTTTGCACCATTGACTCTATTTTCTAACACCAGAAATGGAAATTGATTATATGTAGATCTAAAAGATTTTGTCGGTACACCAGTACCAAGTGTAGAATAGCTATTCGAAATGGTAAACAAGAGGCTAACGCCCACTTCTGACATCTATCACAGGTAACGCTTTACGCCCCTATCGCTTATAACTGAGAATAGTGATAAACGCGGTGAGCTCCAAAAAACCACTACTCAACACTGTAGACAAACCACCAAGTGTAGTGGTTTCTACAGTACTGAATATTGTGGTTGTTATGTAGTCTGGTCTTTCATTGACGGAGAGAACTAGCTACTTATAGTACATGAGGGTTCCTCCATTCATCCGAGACAGAAGAGACGGTGAAGACGGAACACTACTGTCGCGAATGCACATCACTTAAGGGTGTCGTTTGCGATGAATGCATATCGTTCAGGGATGCCGTGATATACTAAAATAGTTCCTCCAAGTAGTTATTTCGAACTGAGAGTTGTTGGCAAAGGTTCTGCTTCCATATGTTGACAACCTTGTTTCTCATACGGCTGTCGCAACAGTAACCTCTGCGTAGTCTGGATCTGCATATTAAAGCACTTTGTATCCACGGCCATATTTGTTAGTGTTTCCATTATTTATAAAACCACCACCCTAAGAGGATTTGACCCTATTGATGTTAATCTCCCTCAACGGCGTGGGATACAACAGGAGGGACTAGATTGGGAGCCGCCAGAAGGCTGAGAAGGGGAAAGGACTCTACACAAGTTGGCTTGACTAGCGGTCAGGGATCAGCGGAGTCGGTGAGCCGGCCAAGGATCGGCCTCGAGATGGTAGCGAATACCGATCTCTAGAGGCACTGACGATCACTGGGGACACAGGGATTCGTCGCCATATGCGTTCAAATGCGCTGCGTACTCCAAGAGCAGTCTGATAATCTCTCGATAGCCATCCCTTGAGGCGGCCTGGAGAGCATTGCCGTACTTGCCGCCCTGCGAATTCACGTCCGCTCCCTTATCCAAGAGAAGTTTGACAATCTCGAGATGGCCTTCCGACGAGGCGGCCTGGAGAGCGTTACCGTACTTGCCGCCCTGCGCATTTACGTCTGCTCCCTTATCCAAGAGAAGCTTGACAATCTCAAGATAGCCTTTATACGAGGTGGCCTGAAGAGCGTTGCCGTGTTCGCCGCCCTGCGCATTCACGTCCGCTCCCTTATCCAAGAGAAGTTTGACAATCTCGAGATCGCCTTTATATAAGGCGGCGTAGAGAGCGTTACCATAGTAAGCGCCCTGCGCATTCACGTCTGCTCCCTTATCCAAGAGAAGCTTGACAATCTCGAGATCACCTTTATACGAGGCGGCGTAGAGAGCGTTGCCATAGTAAGCGCCCCGCGCATTCACGTCCGCTCCCTTATCTAAGAGATGCTTGACAATCTCGAGATGGCCTATATATAAGGCGGCCTGAAGAGCGTTGCCGTGTAAGCCGCCCTGCGCATTCACGTCCGCTCCCTTATTCAAGAGATGATTGACAATCTCGAGATCGCCTTTATACGAGGCGGCATAGAGAGCGTTGCCGTGTAAGCCGCCCTGCGCATTCACATCCGCTCCCTTATCTAGGAAAAGCTTGACAATCTCGAGATGGCTTATATATAAGGCGGCGTAGAGAGCGTTGCCATGTTCGCCGCCCTGCGCATTCACGTCCGCTCCCTTGTCCAAGAGAAGCTTGACAATCTCGAGATCGCCTATATAAGAGGCGGCCTGGAGAGCGTTGCCGTATTCGCCGCCCTGCGCATTCACGTCTGCTTCCTTATCCAAAAGAAGCTTGACAATCTCGAGATCGCCTTTATACGAGGCGGCATAGAGAGCGTTGCCGTGTAAGCCGCCCTGCGCATTCACATCCGCTCCCTTATCTAGGAAAAGCTTGACAATCTCGAGATGGCTTATATATAAGGCGGCGTAGAGAGCGTTGCCATGTTCGCCGCCCTGCGCATTCACGTCCGCTCCCTTGTCCAAGAGAAGCTTGACAATCTCGAGATCGCCTATATAAGAGGCGGCCTGGAGAGCGTTGCCGTATTCGCCGCCCTGCGCATTCACGTCTGCTTCCTTATCCAAAAGAAGCTTGACAATCTCGAGATCGCCTTTATACGAGGCCGTGTAGAGAGCGTTACCGTGTTCGCCGCCCTGCGCATTCATGTCCTTGACAATCTCGAGATCGCCTTTGTACGAGGCGGCGTAGAGAGCGTTGCCGTATTCGCCGCCCTGCGCATTCACGTCCGCTCCCTTATTCAAGAGTAGGGCTCGGCACGAATAATATTCGCAGTCGCTACCACTAGCTATTATTCGTATTCGCACTCGCGGTTGATGCGATTATTTGCGAATATTCGCAGTTTTCTGCCACCGCCTAGTTATACTTGTACTGCCCCTCAGCCTTCTAATAATACTGATCAGTCTGATCTTATCTCTCACCCATTAGGTCTTAAGGCTTGTGTTCTAAAAAAAACTACACGGTCCTCAACCTAGATCGTCAGATATTGATCAGTATTTTGACGAAGCTGTCGCTCGTTACTGAGAACAGTGAGCTCCAACAAACCGCTACTCAACACCGTAGAAAATCCACCGGGTGTAGTGGATGCTACGATACTGAATATTGCGATTATTGTGAAGTCTGCTTTTTCATTGATGAAAGAACTAGCTACTTATAGTATATGGGTGCCCCTCTGCCCTGGACGAATGTCAACATTCGTCCGAGACAGAAGAGACGGTGAAGACGGGACATTACTGTCGCGAATGCACATCGCTCAAGGGTGTCGTTTGCGATGAATGCATATCGTTCAAGGATGCTGTGATATACTAATCTAGTTCCAGAGTCACTGTCTTGGCAGAAGCTTTTTCGGCCGAAATACTTTCCGTCTGTTGATGGCCTTGTTTCTCGGCTGTCGCAACAGAAGCACCTATTCAGATTGATCCTACTATGACTAGCCTGAAGGACTGGCTGTTTTTATGGTGAAATGCCTACAAAGTTGAATATCTAAGGATGGCAGCAGCCGCAAGAGACTATATAGCTATTCCAGCAGCAGAAGTATCAGTAGAGAGACTATTTAGTAGTGTGAGGGACCTACTTGGTATTCGTCGATACTCCATGGCAGGTGAGACTATGCGAAAGAATGTGCTACTTCGTAACATCTATAAAGTCAAATATGATGAGTCTGATGATTAGTCTAAATCTTATGCATTTAAGGATAGTGAGAAACTACTTGAATGCTAGAAGTTGAATTTTCTTAGTTATGAAACCTAGTCGTCTATAGATAATTGAATATACCTAGATAGAAGAAATATATACCTCTTTAAAAAGCTCTTGATAGAGCTGTATCCGGAACTCCAGCTAAGTCATTGGAGGTAAATTCTTTTTTGGCGAGCTATCTTTGCAATTTACAATAGATATATCAAGAAGCAAGTAAAAGATAGGCCGCCAAGAGCGTAGAGTCTTTCGATGCATCTTATAATTTACGCGGAGTTGATTTGCTCGATCAACAGCTCCCATCTCATGATTATAATCATTGATTAAACAATGGATAGGAAGCTCTTTTACAGGGGAATCTTTAAAAGGCCCCCAGGCAATTTTTCCGCTCGTAGATGCAGTAAAGATCACGTAACTCGAGAACCTTTCATCCTTGATTTCATGCCGACCGACTCTTTCACATCCCTTAAAGATTTTGTACACAGTTTGGGCCTAGCTAGTTCTGAATCTAAGATTAGCCTTAGCCCTTCACATCAGACGTTTTTCTAGACCCAGAAGTTTCCCTAGGTATTAGACCATCTCCAAGGGCTCTGAGATTCTCAGTTTTTGTCGCGCGACTCTCACTCCCTTTAGGGCCCGACGAAGACGGAAATAGCGGACTTCGAAACAAAGGGCCTTAATAGTGGAATACCAATATTGAATAGCTCCTAATCTAGGACAGTAGAGATCAAAATCTTTTATTTATAGCGTTCGATCTCTATTTATAATATTTGAAAGAGAATATTGACGACTAGTGGTGAGATTTATCTTCTTTTCTCAAGTTATTTAGCACTTGGGCACGGTCACCAATTTGAAGTCCTAGAGGAAGCATTTCAAGATAGTGCCTCTTCAAACTCGACGAACCATCAGGGCCACCTACAACAATCAATCAATTCTGTACGCGCCTGAAATTTCATCTAGTAATATGTGCTTTCGATAAGAAATGAATCAAACATGTTCCTGGGAAACATTTGATATAACAGGAGCAACCGTTGGCTTAGGGAAGAGTTTATGCCAGTACTGCCAGACTACAAGCGTAGCAATGGTTGTTGGGATGGCAAACACCCAATATATCCAAAACTTATCTGACATACCCCAGCCATTATTTCCAGACTGGAAGAACGACATGCTGAAGATGGATGAGATGAAGGTAGGCGGGAGAAAGGCCAACGTGACAAATGCGATTGTTTTCATAGTCGAACTGTCGACCTGTGCGGCACGACCTATTTGCATAGACGTTTCTGCACTATCCTGGGCGACAATGTTGAACGCTAGTTGGATCTCGTTCTGGAGCCGCTTCTCGTTTGATATTGAGCGGTGGCGTAGACTTGCGATGTAGCACCGAAAAAACTCGATCTTGTTTTTGAGATCTTCATCTTCGCCAGAGTATGAGTTTCTTGGTTGTGATTCTATATAGAGACCGTATTGTTTGATGATAGTCTCGATATTTTGAACCGAGACGTCTAGACTCTCACTAACATGAATAGCGTGGCGGGCAATGTCATGCATTCTCCGGTACTCTGGCTGTAGTCTACCTGGATTGATATTTTTTTCAAACGCCCTCACTTGATCCCGGATGGCCCAGACAGCGGACTCTTCGATAGAGACCAAAATTTCTAGCACGTGCGAGTAGGGCCAGAATGGAATACCTAAGTAGGATTTGACTGGCTTCGATATTGACTGAAGCATTGGTTCCCAGTGGACTTTTGCCAGATCAAAAATAAGCAGAAATGTTTGATTCAGAGAAGGGATCCACCGAGTAAATATATTCAGCGTGATCCACTCGTAATTTGAATTACTCTGAATCTGTTTCGTCTCGAAGTATGCCCATGTATCTGTAGTATTTCAGCCACAAAATTACGTAGCGTGTATGGTATTAGAGTAATTATCTACTTACTGAAACCTATGACATTACCTTCTTGGTGCGTTGTCTCACAGCCGAAATATCCATTTGATTTTCTCCAAAATACAGACCACCATTTCTCAGGCATATTGAATGCTTGTAAAACTTTCTTGGGACATCCCATAGAGCACTTACGAATCTTCTGTGTGCTTACAAGTCTGTTGTCATGAGTAGTGTAAAACCAAGATGTAACACGAAGGCTGGACTAACATAACACACACTCGAGCTTCTGGAAATGCCGATATGGGGTTGCCAGTGGGATCTGTGGCTTGGAGATCCTTGGCATAAACCTGGCTCTTTCGCCAAATTTCATCTAAAGATTTGATTAGCTTGGCCTTTCGAGTTCGGAGGCGGCGCAACCTTTTCCCCACTGCGATACTTGCAGTAAACAACATTGACAGCTAATCTCACTCATGGCAGTTTCAAGAGAATAGTGCTTCAATAAAAGATTCTAATGTTGTAATTAGGCGAAAGATGGCGAAGTTAAGTAGTGTCAGGCACAGCCTCAGCCTTGGCCCCACCTATGCATAGTGGCCTCAGATCCGCATATATAAATGGTTGTTGTAAATTCCACAAATAGAACGAAGCTTTGTGTCATAACCAGTCATTAGGCTGCCACCCAGTACTGCCAAAGGCGCCCAAGCATCGATCATTTGCCTTTGTTACTCCGGTCGCACAGGCAGAACGGAAGTCACACCATTTATTTATATAAAAGACCGAAGCCAGGAAGGAACAATATACAAGATAATCATAGAATTAAGCCAAGGCAAAACTAAGCTAATACTTTAACATTTTTCTATCGCAACGCCTCGTGTATACATCCTAAGTTGATTGGATATACATAGGAATCCTTGCTAGCGCATCTACTAACTCTATGTCACACTGATTATTGTAGATTGTGTGGGTGCCCAGTAAAACTCTACCACTCCAAGATGGCTACCAAATGCCCTTTCAAGGTGTCCGAAAAGGAAAGGGAAGTGTTGCTTCAAGTGCTGGCTAGGTTCTCTGAACGTCTACAGCATTCTACAACACGAACCACGTAGTTCCATCTCCGAGGCTCTGACGAGTCTGTGATATGACTGCATGAGCTAAGCGCTATGTCAATAAAGCTAACACAGCAAATAAGTAGTACTCATACCTCCAACCCCTCACCTCGTGCAGGAGCAGATGTAAAATGTATGTAAAAATATTACCTACTGTATTTGTCATTTGAATGATCGAGTAGACTGCGCTATATATAATGCTGTGCACGGAAAGTTCCCCGCAGCGTTTTAGCTCTGACACTACAATATATGACGCTTATCGATAGCGTCTTAACGACACCAGGAAAGATAGTCGAGAAAGAAACCGAACGCCGAATTGCTGCAATCAATGCGGTGATTGCTGTCTGTGATGCGGAAGAAGGTGCTCCCTCGCGTCCTCCACCGCAAAAACGCCCGGTTGATGCTGTTGATGTACTCGCTGCTGCCCCCGGGCCTATGAGACAGAATTCTGCTCTTCCAGAAAATAGAGACGATACTTTTTCCTAAGCCATCGCTTTTGTCTGCGTCAAAATTGAAAATGTTAGACCAACGATCTGCTTTATCTGCCTTGGTAATTCTGGGCTGCCCGAAAATGAGCGTCTGAGAATGTATAAGAACCCTGTTTCTCTCAGTCGACACTTTGTCAACCGGCATATCGAGCCGTTCCTGAATGATATGCACTGTAGGTGTAATATTTGCGGAGAAGAGCTAGAATCAAAGAAATCACTCCTGAACCACGCAGAAAGAGTGTATGGGGCTGTCTCCTGTTTGCCTTTGCCAGCTCTTGGGCTACCCCTGCCACAGACACCAACGTTTTCTCTTTTCTTTTGGTACATTACTACTGGATCTGGCGTTTCTGGACATGATTGTCAATAGTTCAGAGTCAGCCATGTTGGAGACAGTGACGTTGAATTGACCTTCGTGGATACCAAGGCCGAGCTGGCCGATTCGGTGAATGAGATACGTAACTTGCGACTCACGATGAAAAATGAGCAGGTACCGGAGATGGATGACCCCGTTCCTCAACTTCTGAGTACATTGCCGGCTCGTTTCATCTGTGACCGACTAGTGAATCACTACCTGCAGACTTTCGAGTTGATCTATCGTTGTTTTCACATTCCTACATTCTGGGCAGAATACGAACAATACTTCAGCCAGCCGCAGCCTGTAGTTACAAACTTTGTAATCAAGTTGTGTTTGGTGCTGGCCATTGGAAGCATCTTCAGCAACGACGACGACAAAGTACTACAGCGCTCGCGGCGTACTTGGATACAAGCTGCTCAATACTGGATGGTTGGACCGTCGGAGAAAACTACCAACAATCTTGATGGAATTCAAATTTTCTGTCTTCTATTGGTTTCGCGGCAGATAACATTAGTCGGCCGTTCACCGTGGCTGTCGGAAAGTGGTCTACTTCGGGTGACTATGGCTATGGGCCTGCACCGAGATCCACAACTGTTTTCCCTGTCTCCTTTTCAAGCCGAGATACGAAGGAGGCTTTGGAAAACAGTCCTAGAGCTCGTAATCCATGGTTCAATGGACTGTTCCATCCCTTTCTTTCTTCAAACGACTTTGACGATCATATGCCTCTTAATGCCAGCGATGCTGATTTAGATTCAGCCAGCAAACAGTCTCCATCTCCACAACCGTTGACAAGCTATACGGAATCGTCGATACAAATTCTCATGCGTCAGTCCCTGCCGATACGACTTGAAGTTGTCAGGGCGGTCCAAAACGAGCGATTAGAGCACTCATACGAAATGGCCATTGAGCTAGCTACGAAACTTCAGACAGTTTGCCGTACTCTTGCAAGCTATTGTCGGTCGCATTGGTCGTAATTCCTAAGCATGCATCACGCTTTCCTTGATATGCAGATTCGTCGGTATATTCTGGTTCTGCATCGGCCTTTCATGCTACAAGCGCAAAAGGATTCCCGCTTCAATTTTTCCCGGAGGGTTTGTCAGGAGTCTGCAATGATTATCGCCACTTATGTCGAGCGATTTCCGCTACCTGCAGACTCTCTTGACGATCTGTCCAAGTTGATGGTGATGAGCACAGGGTCATTTCGCGGACCTTTGAGCCTGGACGTAATTTCAGTCTTGGGCTTGGAGGTTGTGTCTCAGCTGGAGGAAACGGGTTCCGGTCCGTCATCTGCTCCGATTGGTCTCAACCAAACATTGGTCCTTGATCCTCTCGCTGAACTGGCGCGCGGCCAGCGAGCGCCCATCATTCGACTTTTGGAACACATCAACGAACAATTACTGCAGATCGTAAAATTGGGCCATCCTACGTTGAAACGCTACATCTTTCTTGCTGGCATTCTTTCCCAGATATACGCCATGGAACGCGGCCAACCCATTTTGTCTGCTGTGCTGAACACTGCAAAAGACAGCCTGAAGGAGTGTTACGATGTACTACAGTCCTACAGGGCCGCCAATACTCCCCGAGAAGTGTCGCAAGACGTGATCGATAATGGGCTTCTTGACAGCCTGGATTTTGACGGCCTGGAATTTGGCGCAATGGTGAGTACAAATTACCAAATATGCGCCTCTTACATAGCACTACTGACTGAAGTCAGGACTCCAACTACCTGGACTTTTCGGTCTTTTTGGTTCCAACTATTTAATAGAGCAAGTTCACAGGACGATTTACGTTGCGAAATGAAGATCGTGATTAATTGAGGTTAATTCTTTCAGTTCTGTTCTATGTTTGATTGTCTCTGTCTCGGAAGGGTTTGCTTACAAAGGTGAGGTATGACCTGTTGCTTGAAGCAACACTTGTGATGCATTGTGCACCTTGTCCAGACTATCTGAGCGCCACGCTGAAAATCCATCAGGCCGCACGAGGACAAGACAAGCATCCCAAATTCGGAACGCATGAGTCTCATTCATCAAACAAAGGCTCTTTAAAGGAATACTGTGCTGGCGTGCTGCTTCTTCAAAACTAGCCAGTGCGATGGGCACCTGAAATTGGTCTCCGGCTGCTACTGCTTCTTTCTGCAGAAACGCGACCATGGTGAAGCCTTTCCCGAATCCATCGGAAATGGCGCTGCCGTCCGACAAAGCCACGTGCGGTACCCGCGAACCAGGAAAGGTAGTTGGGAGGTAGTTGCGTGAGTCGAACTGTGGTGCTGCCTTTTCAACATCCACCTGCTCGTTCAGTACTGCCAGACTCGACTCGTAGCGGTGACCCATTTCAACGCCGAAGCTCTGGTTATGGTCATCGTTTTGCTGAATGTACTGATCGATTTCCTCACGCAGGGCTATGCCGCGCTCATCTATGGATTCGATGACGACCGGATCCAATTTCACAGTTGTTGAAAGCCCCATGAGTTTCATCATGTGGATTTTGCTCCAGTGTTGCATCAGCGCTGCCACAGGACGACGTTCTTGTTCGTATGTCTTCATCAAGTGAGTGCCACCCCAGCCTTTAACAGTGGCTGCGAGCTTCCAGCCAAGATCCCAAGTATCAGCAAGGCCCATATTCATTCCGTAGCCGCCAGAAGGAATTGTCTGATGACAAGCATCTGCGGCAAGGAAGACGCGCTGATGATTTCCGCCCTACGTTTCGGCGAGAGCTACTGTCGGCGTGAAGCTAGATCAAATTATAAGGTGTCTTTAAGTATTTAATATATATAGAAATGATCCATGAATTATTTTAACAAGCATATATTGAAGAGGTAATGATCTTAATGGTCATGAAATCAATTTCCGGACTCTCTAAATCTATACATACCGTCTGTTCGTCTACAGAGATTGATCCAAATGTAATACTAAAATCTCTGTATTTACACAGAAGAGATTCTGCCATGCCGCCGCAAGATCGTGTTCATGTCACGCGTGTGCCGATTTATGTTTCTCTGCCTCCACACCAGTCTCCTCTTCTTCACCAGATGTTGTAATTGCAGCAGGCTGCTGCGCTCAGTGCCCTTGCCTAGGCATCAGGCTTTTGTGAGGGAGTTCCAACCAGAAACTCTACCCCTCAGCCACACCAAAAAGATTGTCGCGACCATGAAGTTCACGCCACTGAACAAGGCCGCAAAGCGGAAAGAGCCTCCATCTATCTCTGCAATTGCACCAGCAATCGGAAGACTCGTAAGAGCAGCAATGCCTGCGATAGCAAGAATCAACCCGATTCGAAACTCGATCTCCTGAGGTGGCTAGAGAGTCATCACAAGGGGCGGTGTCAAACCAATGGTGGTGCCAGATCCGATACCAAACAAGGCGGCGAAGACAATGTTGGCCGCGTTACTGCGACCAGGCAACCACAAGGCCAGAGTGATGACACCAGTGAAAAAGAGCATGATGATAAGCACATTGAAACGGCCGTACTTGTCAGCAAGGCCATTGGGAATCGTACGTCCAAAAAAGCTCGCTCCGTTCATGATGAGAATCAGATTGTAGGCCATAGTCATTGACATTCCGTTATGCATAGCAGACAGGACAAGGTAGTCGAAAGGGACAAACAATCACCCTAAACCCTGGTTAGCTGTGTTGCGATGAAACATAATGATAGGTGGCTCACAGTAAAGGAAAAAGCAGAACGTCAACAAGATCAAGAAGTTGAATTCCGTGAAAGGCCGAAGGTAGTTCGCAAGGTTGAACTCCTTGCGAGTGTGAGGCAAGTTGGAGGAGATGGTGAGCATGGCAATAGCCCAGAGTCCAAGGATCAAGAAAGCGCAGATTCGCATCGTCCATGCAAAACCGACCTCCGAAAGGAGATTGTTGACCATGAGAGGAAAGATTACACCACCCAGACTCGAGCCTGCAACGGTCAATCCTCCTTCCAAAGCGCGGCGCTTTCTGAAGTAAGTCATAGGCTGTGAAGCTTGTCAGAAAATGCGCGATAAGTTCCAAGAGTGATCACACAAACCGAAGTCATTGCCGGAGTGAAAATGAGCGATGTGCCGATTCCTGAGCAAATCGACTGTGCCAACTAGAATTGGTAGTATTTGCTTGACAAGCTGGTGATCATGAGGCCAAACACATGCATCAATCCACCGATACAGATCGGCAATCGTGGTCAATAGTTGTCGAATAGATATCCAGACACCGGTGACATGAACAGCATGAAGAAAAATAGAGGAAGAAGAGAGTACTGTAATGACTATTTTTATCTTACCTCCTGACGAAGATATTCAACTTTGGAGATTGTCGTCCTTATGGTCCGAAATTTCCAAAAAGTATTAGCGTATATCCATGTGGTCGAAAACTCCCAGACAGGTTAGTGTTGTAGTCGAAAATTCTCAGATTAGACTCTATATAGGGTATACAGGGTAAATAGTGATTTCCATTTCTCTGGATTCTTTGGCCTATTCTTAGTATAATGGTACTCTCTACTCTTTTGTGTCAGGATGAGGAATCGATGTACTGGCTAGTACTGAAGATGTCCAATAGAATCTGATGGTTGATTGATTATTGATGGGTTGCCCTTAGTTGAGTATATCATTGATCCATGAGCCCTTATCTGAAACAGCCACCTATTGTAGTTTGGGTCCTTTGGTGATCATTCCAAAATGATCACCAATTATCAGGCCTATATAAAGTACCTCGGACTTTACAGGCCTTAAAAGTCTCAATTTGTCCTAAATTTCTTCTCCTTTCCCTTTGGCATGATATGTACCACTTTTCACTCTGTATCTTCTCAATCTCATGTTCTATCTCTTTATATCTGCCAGATTCGCACTGAAATAGCTCATACAGACCCGAAATTAAAGTTGGGTTAGTGGCTGTAGACTCCATCTTGCATAGGATATCCTTGTAATGCAATTAGCACATCGAGACCAGAAAGTCAGGTCTAATGCTCATGTCTAGTCTTCTCCTAGTTTTATAATGACCATATCCACTCTCTATCAGATATAGAAGAAGGATAGCATCAGATATAGTGATTCTATATTAGGCGCGAATTTACGAATATTTAATAAAGAGGCCTCTCTTTATTAAATGTTTATGCAGGTGAACCTTGCTCTCTCATATGGCCTTATTAGCACGCTATATATTCAACTAGATGGCGATGTATTCGACAAATAAATCATCACTACATCGAATCCAGCGCATCAAATTGGGAGGTGTTGCCCTCCCACCCAGAAAGAATCCGTATGCGTCCAACTCGCGAGCTCTCAGTGAATCGATACACCACAACCAACTGCTTGCGAGTACCCACCAGCGGGTCGTCCTCGCAAACGTCGTTCGTGATCCTGAATTCTTCATGCCGTTCAATCAGGTACCGCAATCGGTCAATCACCGACTGTTTATCATTGTAAAAACGTGACCCATAAACGATGGAGAGAATACAGACTGCACTGTTGGCTGGGTAACTGACATACCCCTCAAGCCGACTGAGCGCAGTTTGCATACGGACGGTATCGGTCTTGGCCGCCTCGACGTCTCGCTGTGCAGCTTCTAGTGCAACACGGTGGTCGACAGTGGCTGCCTCCTGAGCCTTGCGGGACGATTCAAGCTGCTCCTGTGTGCGTGCAAGCTCGGCCTGTGTAAGTTGGAGAGTCCGTTGTGTCTCGGCGACTTTGTCTGCGAGCTTGATACATTCAGCCTGCGTGGAAGCCATTGTTTCCTCTAGGGCCTGTTGGATGGGATCTATTTTGGGGGTTGCGGGCTCCTCGAGTCCGTTCTCGAATGAGAATTGCAGAAGCCCATTCTCGATCATTTGCACCGCTTCTGCATTACTTGTTCCTAGGTCCTTAGAGATTTTAACCTGTCCAAAAGAGATCAATTTATATCAAACCAAGGGCTGCAGAGTGTGGCCTAAAACTCACTGGCAGTCGAATGGCCCAGAGCTCTGGCGCCGTTACTCGAGACTCAGCTTCTATCTCTTTAGCCAACCCGGGGCGTTTATCCCTGGAAAAATTAGCTCCAGCTCGCCGCCACCGTCAGGAGATGGAGAGAAGATCAAACTCACAGCTTATCAATATCCTCCACAATCGTCGACATCTCAGCTCTAATCATCTTCCGCGTCGTCGCCAGCGCGCGGATCGAAACATCCACCGCATCGACAGCCTCACTCCTCTGATACTTCTCCGGCGCCTCCAGTGCAGCCTGTATGAGCGTCATATGCGCCTTGTACGCCATATACATATCCAACAACTCCCGCGCATAAGCATACGAGGCATCATACTGCGGGATCTTGATCTGGAGCGGCTGCGCCCATGCCAGGAAGCTGAGGTTATTATCATACTTGGTTAGGATTGCATGCGTGCGTTTGGGCGTTTTGCTCACGCGCGCAGGGAATGCGGCCGCGGCCTTGAAGAGCTCCTGTAGCGACCATTCGTCTTGCTCGTTTTTGATCTGCCCGCCGCCCATCCAGTTGACTGAGATCGTGGTTTCAGATGCGCTCAGCGCCGAGTCGACACCCCCGTGACGCCGGATGTAGAGAGGGTAAAGTCTTTATTGTCAGTTGCGCTGTTTATGGCGCTCTTGAGGGCAGACTCGACGCTGCTTTTTTTACTGCGGTCTAACGCTCGGACTGAGACGATGCCGTGCAGTTCTCCTCCTTCAACGAAGCCTGTGGTTGTTAGAATTGTTAGAGATGAATGTGCTAGGGAAGCTAACCGGAGATAAATGCGTCGCCGTAATAGTCGTGGAAAATTCCCGAGTCCATTTTTTCGAACTTGTACGCATTCTGATTACTACAGAGACCGGATTAGCATGAGACTTAGGATCGCAATTGGAGCGCAGGATTACAATTTGGCCGAATCAACAATTGTCGTCGTCTCTACCAGCAAATCATCGGTTAGCCAGCCCTCCCAACAAGCCTCCAGGAAGTCAAGCACACTCACGATTAATCACCTTAACCGAGACAACGGCGTTGATATCGGACGAGGAAAATTTAGCCTCATCAATGGAGAGCGAGCTCCCTGAAACCTCGATCGTCCCGCTCTTGATCGAGTTACCCGCCGAAATATTCATCGACTGCGTGATATCTGATAGCTTCTCGACGAATCTTGACGAGTAGCTGACGACCTGCGATACGGGCGCCGTATGGTCGATGGTTGTTTGTGAGATGCGCTCTTTGCCAAAGGTCACCGCGCCGTCCGCGCGCGCCTCCTGGAGAAACGAGTCGTACCCCTGACCGAGGCGCATGCTGTCATTGTACGGGATGAGGAGTAGGCCGACCATTTTGGCGTGTGGATATGTGTTGGAGAAGGGATTGGCGGGTAGGGCCTATATGTATACTGTCACTGGGTTTGGTCGACGGTCTAGATTCGCTGGCGCAAACTACTCTCGGCAAGAATGACCAGAAAATCTGGTGCTTTCCTCGTGATAATTTTTCATGTCTCTCAATATCTCCACTGTTCAGCTGGTATTGAGGCCAAAAATTGAATTCCGTTGGTTTAGCGTATTTTTACACTTCAATACAGCCATCACAGCCGTCACATCCTGCGCCTCCCGAAGGTTTGCATTTTAGGCACTTTTTAGCGACACTAGCTCAAGAACCCGTACAACATAATAATCAATTCAATCGTAAAAAGGTATTCAGATCCCAAGACCTCAGTGAACATAGTCAATTCTCAGATAACCTCAAGCCACATGGCGGACACCAAGGGCACCGTAGGGTACGTCTCTCCCATACATACTATATTATATCTCAACGTAGCGTCACTGATGAAGATAGCTCTACACCCGCGATTTCAGCATTTGCAAAAGCCGCAGCAGCGATTAAAACGACCACTCCTGCTGCTCCCACAGGTGCAAGCAGCGATGCAGCGCCAAACAAGGCGCCGTTCAAGAAATTTCAAAGCGCAGTCTCCCGCATTCAGACATTCACCGTGACAGTTTTTCGACTCCCAGAGCAAAAGAATAGAGGACGGCCTGCGAAGAAGGAGGACCAGTTCACCAAGCCGATCGGCGATACGATTCCCAACTCGCCTGCGATGGCAACTGCTGCGACAGGTGTTGCCTCGGTCATGATGAAAGCGTAATTGCTCACATGGCTTCTCTCAAAGCGAGGAATTCAGCTGACAATGCATTACTTTAGAACGGACGTGGTGTCTTTTCGACTTGAGACAACTCTTGCCCAGATCCGCTCGGCATTGAAGGTCAAGAGCAAGATGTAAGGACGAGGATCAGTGCAATGTATCAAAATTGAATAGAACCGGCTAATGAATCCAGACAAGGAGAATTCCGCTTCTGCAATGAAGTCGGCGCGGTCGTTGCTGACGACAGTTGTATCAATGACTATTTTGCGTCTCTCGCGAAGCGACCAGCTATGGATGTTTGTTGCTCCGCTGAGATTTACTGAATTGACAATGGTTTTCTGACAATAGTCTGGTCTAGGATATTTCCTTCAAGCTGTACATCACGGGTGATACTGCACCAGCTGAACCCTTGACGTCGGTGCTGACCAAACCGCCCTTTACGTTGAAGTTCATTCGTATTGAGAATGGGACCGAGAAGACGGTTGGTACTTTGCATTCTGGATCTATGAAAGATAAAAATCCGTCTGCGCTTGTGATGAGCGAGGTGCGAAAATTGATCAAGCACATGTAAGTGTCTCTCTCCACGATTCCTTCTCCTACGTAGTAGTTGAATTATCTAATGCACGGCAGGTCCGTTAATCCCGAAATCGACCAATTCTGCGTCGCAGATGGTACACCCGTTGGTGAAGGAGTTTCCTTGACCGAGTACCTGGAAATGACAGACGTTCAAGTAGTCCGTGAGCGAACCCCAATAATCCCCATCCTTTTCCACAGCACCGCGCGACCGGAGAAGCCGCGCTTCCACGGCGCCTCCGAGGAAGTGAAAGCTGCCATGGAGAAGCTGCGACCGGACCTCTCCTTCACTGACCGAAGTGCTGAGGAGCTCAAGGCCGACAGGGCGGCCTTAGTGATCCAAGAGGAGCTGGATGCAGCCAAGTTCGCCGTCTCCGGCGCCAGCGTCAAGACGTATACGAGCGCAATGACCGAGCGCGACTGGAACTCGGTTCTCTGGAACTGTAGTCTGATGTACGGCTGGCGCATCGATTTCACGAAGAATGTTCTAGAGAAGGCCCCCAAGGCAGCGTTTCAGTTGAGACAGGGCTTGAATCTGCCCCCTATTCCGCCGGCTCCAGTGAAGATCCAGCCGCGAGTGGTGGAGGGCGAGGATAAAGCTGCCTCAGAGGACGGTTATAAGGCCGAGACAGAGTTGGCGCAAGGGAAGAAAGAGAATGATGACGAAGCCGGGGAACAGGAGGAAGAAAACCCACCGCTGCCCGCTGACCAAACCCCCGCGCAAGAACAACTGCCACCAATTGAGCCCCTGGTAAACTCTGCAAATGATATATCAGAGCAGCTCCCAGCCAAGGTTGGTGCGATTCCATCGTTCCAGATCAACGACCGGTCCAAGATCGAAGTAGTCAGTCTCGTGCACCAGTTCCAGGAGTCGATGGCCACAAATCACTTTAGCAAGTCCTCGCTTGAGGTTGGTGTGTGAGTATTGATTCTTTATTTCTTCTCATATATGGAGTGCTGACTAGCTAGATCTGGGGGTTATGCTGGGAACTCGGTAGGCGTTACGGCAGGCGTGGCGTCTTCTTCATCCGACAGTCAGAAACGGACTGAGAAGGTGACGCATAAACGGATGCTGGCCAGCTATAAGGTATGTAGCAAGCAATCTATTAACTGAAATGGTTGTATCTAAGATGTGTTATTGGCAGTTTCCTCGCGTCACTGTGTATCTCCATCCCGACGATCTTGAGCCGACAGAAGAGCTGAAAAATGCTATCAAACGGATACAGAAAACTAAAAATGTGAGTTTTTTCGCTTGATTGTTCTTACTTTTTACTTCTGACACAGTAATCAGATCAATGATTTGCGCAAGTTGCGTGCTGATTTCGGTAAGCGCTCTTTACCACTGCATTTACCTTTTAAACCCTAACGGCGGTAGGACACTTGTTCGTCCAACAGGCCGTCCTGGGCGGTTGCTTACAGACTACAAAAGTCACTGATGCAAAGGAAACATCCATGGAAGAAAAGTCGAAGGACGAGTTTAAGGCTGAGGTTGGGGTGGCGGTGCAAACGGTATGTTTTCTATCAGCTTGGCTGAGAATGGGGTCATCATTAATGTGTTGCAGACCTTTGGTGTAGGTGGAACCGTCAAAGCATCTCACGAGACGCAAGACGGTAAAGAAAATGTCAAGTCAAATCTCAATCAGAGTGAGACTATGTCGTTTGAGGCTACCGGCGGAAATACTCTTTTGGCGTCCAAGTCCGTTTTTCCCTTCCTTGCTTCATGATCAAAAAATGTCCTCTTCTAATACGTGCTTCTTCTAGTCCTTCTGAGTGGTGCGCATCGGTGGGAGACTTCAACAACTGGCGAGTCATTGATGTATGCGTCCTATTTTGAAGCCTAACTGTGTTCCACTCTAACCCTGCCGCAGCAATCGGGGCTCGTTTCCATGGTCGATGTCATCGCCCAGCATCCAAGCTGTACACAGGTAAAACAGTGGTTTATGCAGGCCGTTCCAAAACTGTCTGAGTATCTCATTGTTCCTGACTCACGTACGCTGGACGTGCGATTCAAACTAGCGGCCAACACGCCCACCATGGCCAAAATCGTTGGCAGTGAGGTACATGAGAGGAATTCTAAAATACTTAGTCTTAGTTTACTGATCATAGATCTCCGCAGGTTCCGACTTATCTGGGGCATGACCCTCTACACCCTCCGGTCCCACGAAAAACAGCCATAACCAGTAGCAGAACCGGTGCACAGATCAAGGAAAGTGTTAGGTTTGATCCTTCAAGCGCGCGAATGGTTTTAGACATGACCACATTCTGTGTAGAATCCAAGCTTGTTTCCAAGGACGCCATCTTTTTTCCGTCTGGGTAAGTAAAATGTTGAACCAGTCAAGAAGTCAAAAGGCCTCTAACTAATGTCATACAGCACGCAAGCGCCAGTTCTTTTCCAACCAACCGAATACCAACCGCTAGATGCGAACGGAGACCTCGAGCCGCTAAAGGCACAAGGCCCCAATGAGCTAACGGCGTGGGATAAAGTTGGAACAATCCAAGACGAATACCTCAAGCATACCCTCTGGAGCTTGGAAATTCCGCACGGCAAAAGTGTAAGATTGATCTTCTCCCACAGAGCACTCTCAAAGAATGGTAAGAGCACACTAACCCACCCCAGATCGGCCACGACTCCCTCGTCTGCATAACCTCGCAAAACAATGACACCTCCGCCACAAAGCGCTGCGTGCTCACCGTCTACCGCAACGCCCAGGGCGTCTTCCTCCCCGCTATCTCCTCCAACGATGAACCTTCCTACTGGCGGATCATCAAAGCCCAGGGCGCCACCGCTGAGCAACTCAAATCCGGCGAGGAGATCCGGCTCTGCTGGCAGTTCTCTGACCAGCCGGGTGGATACCGCGACTACACGCAAGATTGCTACGGGCGGCGCCAGAAGGCCCGCCCCGCGGATGTACCCGTCGACCAGCTGTATCTAAAAGTCCCGTTCCCGAGCTTTGGTGGGGGTACAGCTAGGTCTGGGTTGGGGCTTGTGCTTAGTACATGTGCGCTGACGGAGCCCGTGTGGGAGGGGATGAGGATCCTCAAGCCGCAGAGTCGCGAGACTGAGACGGTCATGTATAATCTGCATGATCTGACTTTTAGGTTGGACACTGTTGGTACGTGCTTTCTATCTTCATTTCGATCTCCTTTCGTCGCATCAGTGTGATATCAGCTTCAGCTCTAACAGCAACAGGGAACAACGGCCTCGGAGACTCGCGAGACTACATGAACCATGTCACCGCTGCACATTTACAATTTTCCTCAGAGATAACCCACAGCACTGTCGCGAAGCCGGTAGCGATAGGCGGTCCGATCGACCTGCTGGGCGACGTCTTGCTTGGGCCCGTTGTCAAAGCGTAAGCCCCTCCTCCACTGGCTGACTATACATAGTGAACTTGGGCTAATTCTCTTCTCTCATAGATCCGCTGCTATTGTAGACACATTTGTGAGCTGGCTGGGGTGGTAATTCTCATTTAATCGATTATGTCACTCATTTGTTTATGATAATACTAATTGCAGAAGTCAAAATACCTTAAATACCTTAAAATACGGCTAGTATCTTGGCACTTTGGCCACGCAGCGCCAAGTTATACTCCTTGTACGGGACCCGGGCCGCACCTCCCACCTCGTGAAAGTGGAAAAAAAAGCCTCCCAAGTTTGGCAATTATGATTGGTTGCTGATTTGAATTGATTGTTCGTGCTGCCAATTTCCAGTAGTGCCCGCCGCGCCACCGGTTCAAACAAAGTCATTTAAAGCGAGACTATGCACGTCTCCTGCATTAGTGACAGTGGAAGTCATGCTGAGGAAATAATACCCGATCAAGATTCCGATGAACTTGTCTGCTTGATCAGCTGAAACCTTCAGCTCAAGGAGAGCGATGGAATCTAGCCAGTTTTCCGAATGGGACCACTTGGTGAGAGGGGAGTCCAAACTGAGCAATTCCAAGCGACGGCCACGGCGGGGAAGAAAATGCAGAACTTCTTACATTAATCGCTCGCGGAACTCGTGAGATATTCCACATCCTATAGTCTGTGCAAAATAAAAATGAACGAGGAGAATACCCAGGATCGCGGTCGCGATGAGGCAGCAAACGTAAACGCAAACACCCAACGGGCCGCATACGGCAAGCAATCGTCTTTCTTTTACGATGCAGCCGCGGACCATGTCCTGAATCTTGCCACAACACTGGTAGGTGGCCCGATTTCTCCATTAGTTCGTTGCTCACTGACGATTGTCCTCCCCAGGACATGGGCCCAAAACCCTACAAGGCCATGCTATCCGCCGAGGGCTTTAAGACTGTCGTGAAAAATGAGAATGAGATGCTCGGTCTTGCTGAAACTTATATCGATAGTATGAAGAGCGATGCGTTCTACGTCGAAACAATACAGGCTGGGGTACCGAACGGTGAGTGTTCAATCCACTTGTTGCTGCGGCGGGGGCAAGAAAAACCAGTCGTGGAACGGGCAGTATTGATTGACGGTGGGAATGATGGCTGCATGAAACATGCTGGTGGGAAGAAGGCGTGTCTAGCAATTGAATTGGCAATGCTTGACATCTCGAACATGTATGAGTTGGGCACTCGCTATAATGTGCCTGGAGAGATAACGAGGCTGCGATTTGACGCCTGGGTCATCACTCATTGGGATGAAGACCATTATATAGGCGCCATGAACTACTTTGTGGACTGTTTCGATCAAGCAAATTCGCGTTGTTGGACGGCCCAAAGTAGTTCACAAGTCGGGAAACAGCAGCTCTATACTGCGCTATATTGTCCGAACTGGGAGCCTAAGGAGAGTATGTGTGCTTTTCTTTTTTTTATTCCTTTTTTCCTTTTACTGTCAGTCGATCAAGCTAATTAGGCGTGTCTAGAGCCCGGCCCCGAGATGAAAGGCCATCATGAGGAGTTCCTAGCCGGCGATATGGATGGCTACTGTGTCGGAATGCAGCATGTCGGGACTCATGTAACATTAGCGCAAGCAAGCACAAAGGTTCCCATGTTCTGGCTTTCGGGGTACCGGGAATCTACTGATAATGACAGACTAAACTTGAAGCCCCACTCTATTCTCGGCGTGGACTTCTTTACTGGTGAGCGGGATGCCAACCTAGATTGGATAAGGAACCAGCAGCAAGGTGTAAAGATGGATGCTGCATTAGCTCGCCTCACTCCGTCCAAACAGCCTCGGCTAATCTGCCTGGGAATTGCGGGCATGTTTCTCGGCGATAAGAAAGAACCCGATCTTGAAGAGTTATTCAAAGAAGCCAACAAAAATCCCAAAACTCAGTTACAGGGGACAGTCAGCAAAACCACACGTAGAAGAACCGCAAATAACGATGATGATGAAGGCGACGATGCGGCAGTAGAAAGCGATGAAGAAGAGGAAACACAGGCTGGTCAAACAAGCGCCGATAATGAGCCCAAGGCAAAACTACTGAAGCAGTCGTTGCAGAATCTAACATCGATCATTGCTGGCGTCGTTTGGGTTGAAGAGGGTCACCGCCGCGTTTCAACCCTGTGGATGGGCGATGCCGTTGCGTCAATCGAGCGCGAACTGGTGAATAAATGGGGCAACCTTGGTGCTATCAAGGTCCTGAAGCTGTCGCATCACGGCTCGCGTGGCTCAACACCGCCGGAGCTTCTCAAAACACTGAAACCAGAGCGCTGCTTGGTGTCAGCTGGCTCTTATTACTGGCATGTTGGTACGCAGTATACCACTTTACTGCATGGTTAATCTCTAGAGAGCTAACGATATCACAGATCCAGAGGTACTCAAGACACTTCACGCACACTACGCTACTTCTGGCGTCGAAGCCAAGGACCACCGATTCCGGCTGTATGCTCTTCGCCCGCCTCCATACCTCGAGTTTCGTCTTTTCCAGAGAGGAATCCGTCGGTACATCTTCGAAGCCGAGGGATTTGTCAAGAATAACTGGCTGTGGAACGATCTTTCCCCGTTACACCGCACCAGTACTCTACTCTCGCCATTGTATCTAGACGCGGTCACAAAGCGAGGGTACGACAAGGAGATTGAGCCCTTGGGCGCTCCTTTTTTGCTCAGCCGGACAAAAATCCAACTGGGAGAATTCACCCGGTTTACAGCCCGCAATCAGAATGGTGACCCCACGTCGAGCATATACACAGCCATGCAGGGCTGCGATCGGGTGCGAATTAGATACCTACGCATTCCCTCATTACCAGATGAGAAATCCGACGGTGCTATCTTTCACTACGCCGAACGCCCTGATATCTTCTTTGGTGACCCGAATAATCCAGTTGATGGACTAGTCTATGAACCAGTTCACCTTCTTGACTGGATTTTCAAATACGTGGATTTGCTTGAGCGCCCCACAGAAAAGTATCCCATGTGTGTGGAACGACTCGTCAACCTGTGGTTTCGCAATTTCGAGAACCACATGCCGATTGTGGGGTGCCCACCGAAACCTGGTCACAACGTGAGATTGCCTTTTATGTGTTGCTTCATTGAGGATATTGTGCTAATAAGCCTCAGAAATATCTTAAATCATTGCACCAGACAAAGGACATATTACTGAGAGGCGTACGTGATTTCCCCTCCCTGCTGCACTAAATATCAAGCTAATCAAGCTGTTTACTTTTTCTCCTTCTAGCGACCCTCAAAAGACGTACCGGACAAGGTAATACTGGACTCCATTCTGTACATACCTCTACTAATCTAATTGTCTCTCACATAGGTGATAGAAGAGGCCGCGAACGCAGCATCCGACTTGTGGTCGGCAGCGTGTGACCTTGAGGCCCCTATTCTGGGAAGCTACAGACAAGCGTATTACTCAGATAATGCAAACGAGATATCGAATACCAAGGAAATTAACGACACGGAGCTCGCCGTGGCATACGGGCGGGAAGTCTTCAGGGAAATGCTATTGTCCATGAAAACAGTTTGCAAGACCGATATCAATAACTACAACATGCCCAGCCACTGGACTAATAAAAAAGACCTTAAAAATCTGAGGAGCTTTTTTGAAGACGCAAACGAAAAAGTACAAAGAAGGATGGACATGAAGTTAAATGACGTGAAGGTATTCCTGCCCAAATCACACCTTATATGTCAAAGTAGTATAGCATGCTAATACTACACTCCGACAAAAGGAGCAAGCAGCAAACCAAAACCGCCCTATGACATGGGAAGAGACATCTGAAAAGGTACAATCATTGAACAAAAAGACAAACTTGGTTCTGACGTTGATGCAGCTGCGGGACCGCGGAATCACAATGCGTGGGTTTGGCGACCTCGAACAGCCCAGTGCTGGCCCTGAACTCGAGTTCTTTGGTGGCCTCCTCGATGGTATGTAGATCTTGATGCTGTTTTCTTGTGAGTCTGACTAATGATCTTTCCTTGGAAGGTAACCATAACGGTAACTCGATGGCCAACAACGACGGTAACAACAATCCCGATACAGAAAATAATTTTATAGACCTCACAACCCAGGCTGGCGATGAGGTCGGGGAAGATACCAATCAGCAAGTCACCAGTTTGGAGGGCCAGTTCGCAGGAATAAATATTATAGACCTCACTAGCCCAGAAGCTACCGAACCGATCACCGGCTTGGGGAACAGGGTCGAAGAGGAGGTTATTCGCACCGACACATCGGAGAATTTTATCGACAGTCCAAGAAGAGTATCCGACGTCGAAGTCCAGAAAATCTCAGACAAGCAAAGAAGACCCCGAAAATTCTCACATACTGAACGGCGACGCTCTGAACCTGAAAACCCCGAACCAGAATCCGATAGCGACGATTTCGAGAAAATTACCAAGGCCAGAAACAACAAACCTGTTGAGAAAGTCAGCGAACCGTCATCCGCGAGCCGTCGGACGGGCAATAAGCTCAAAGCAAAGGAAGCAAAGGCTCAGCCCAAGCTTGATTTGCTGGAGGTTCCGTACGACGCCCAACAGGGAGAGCTCAATGAAGCACTGGTGAATAAGCGTAATATCGGATGGCTTGATGAATGAGACCTGATCTGGTATTGAAGTGCAAGCTTAGCCTGGCCATGGAAGATTCAATGTCAGTGCCAGGCTTCCGAAGGTGGAAGACAATCCTAAACCTCTCTACAATCCTAGTGGGATAGTCTTCATTTACTTTAGCTTATTAGAGAATACATAAAATTCAGAGCTAGCAAGGCACAAAATAGTGTACAAATCCCTCAAGGAAACTTACAGAAACCGGTGAGGATCTGAGAATAGAAAGCTGATTAGCATAGGGTATAGCATTGCAGACTGATAGATACAGTACTGTATTCCTTTCGCTTGTTTATAGATGCTTGTGTGCAAATCGGTCATACATAAATCAGCATCGTTATGCGAGGGTTATTCAGCAAACTTGATCTACAATTTGCCTTTTTACAGACAAGGAAGACCAATACGAATGCCTATTTAGCGAAAGGGGGATCCCAGGAGCTTCTTACATGATCTCAAAAGCATGTGCTTCAGTTGAATTCAGAATTAAGTAGTATAACACCAACGAATTACGATAAACACATATATACGCCTTCTATTATAAGTACCCATTGACTAACAAGTGGTGTTTTATCGTCGTGACTTTTCTCTTTTTACATGATTACGTGAGTGAACCAAAACATATCAAAGCATCGGAAGAAAATCAGACAGTCTGGGCTGGGCCTCGATCATTACTTTACCCCGGATGATGTAATCATAGACTCTTGGTTCTTCAAGGACAGTTATGCTTATTTAGGAATATCCACGAGGAATGGGTGTCAGAATGATGCGTTCAACTTATCGAATATCTTCGGACGTTTTAGTATCTCCTAATTGGTACTAGTAGCTCTTACACAGACAAGAGAATAAGATGATCTCGTATTTGAAATGTTCTTTGCCATAGTTTTATGCACGAGGACATACAGTATCTGAGCAATGGCTATTGAATCTTTCAAAATGACTAGCCAAGTTTCGGTTAGGTATACATCTTCTATAATTGCTGTCAAGTCATCCATCGGTCAACACTTTAGATCCTTGCTATCTCGAGTTACTAGAAAGTCTCGAAAGATCTTTCCCTCCACTATACCATCAGAGATAGATCAGGCCTCAGTAGACCTAGCCGCTCAAATAAAAATTGAAGATTTTGAGCGTTATTTTGAAAACTCCAAAGAAAAACCCAAGGAGCCCACTGACGAGCAGCCAGTCTTCCGGCTGCAAGGAAGGAAGCTGCGGAACAGACTATCCGCTTTGAACTCTGATGCCGCATTTGGAACGAGCATTCTAATTAACAATGAAGACGGAGATCAGTACGTATCTCACCATGGTGCCAAAACATTTGCACAATTAGCCAAGCTTGAGCGTCAAAATGTCATGTTTCCAATGCACGAATGCGTGGCTTGCAGAGAGTCGTGGCACCATTCCCAAATGGTACAAGTTCCCTGCCAGCACAGATATTGTCGGTCTTGCTTGAAAGAGCTGTTCAAAGCTTCATTCACCGACGAATCCCTCTTCCCTCCATGCTGCTGCCAATAGAATATAGGTCTACACCACCTTCGCCACCTTGAAGTTGGTTCTAACATAACCGATCTGAAAGAACAGTACAAGAAAAAGAAGGTCGAGTTTGAGACTATAGACAGAACCTACTGCCACTCTTCAAGCTGTGGTACCTTCATGGACTATTCTCACATCAAAGGCGACGCCGCCCGATGCCCGGATTGTAGGGTGGAGACCTGCGTCCGCTGTAAGAAGCTAGCACATACGGGCGACTGTCCAGATGATAGGACTCTGCACAAGCTCCTGGCAACCGCAAAGGAAAGAGGGTGGCAACGCTGGTATAGATGTGGAGAGTAGTGGGACTCGATTCTGGCTGCAATCGTAGCTAGTAATTGTCCCTTTCTCATTCTCGAGATGGATTCTAATTTGAGATATCTATCTACCGATGTCGTGTTCAATTTTGCTACGGCGAAAGGTGGAAACGACGCGAATGTCCAATATGAAGGGAAGAACTTCTCTTGGAAACTCGCCAAGCCATTAAGTGACAAGCAGATGGACCGTTCCTCTTCGTTCTTCCAAACTGATAGGGCTAGTACTGGAATTGATGCGACAGATGAAGTGGTGGAGGATGATTGGATTCAAATATAGCTGGGCTCTAGACTTACAATCGCTAAAATAGGACACTCAGATACATATGTAGCTTTATGTACCGTTTTTAAGAAGTTGTTCGCCAAGCCTAAAACGCTCTCATATTGATAGAAGCCTGATAATCTCATAGTTTTGCTTTGACACATGCTAGGCTAGTGCCTCCTACGGTCGTCGCAGCGCCCCCTAGCTGGACTATACCGTTGATGATGACCAGACCGCTGCCTCCTGCACCAGCACTCTGTGCCACGGCCATCGTGCTCCCGGCAACAATGTTCCCAATCTGACTTTGAGCGACTGCGGCTATAGTACCTAAATTCATAATAAAAATGGTCACTCGGGCTTCAAAGTACGGAGATAGAACACATCTGCTGGATATTTGCACATACCTGCTTTAATACCGCCCGCTGTGAATCCCATACTTGACAATAATGGGACTGTTACAACGGCTGGGGCAACGAAAACAAGAGCACCAGCCGTGCCAATAGCCACACAGGTAGCTGGAACTGGGTTCTTAACACCCCAGCTGGCTGCCTATTAGATTTTTACGATATTAATATAGTATATTTGGATAGTTAGAAGTTGTATACCAACCTGTGCAGTCAGACTTGCGGACTTTTCAAGTGCAGGCTTGCTGTAAGCTACCACACTCTTCCCGCCCTCCAACCCCGCTCTGATGAGTCTACCGGATCCAAGGATGACACCATCGGGAGAAATATTTTGGAAAGACATAAATCAAGTGATAAAAGAGTTTGATAGAGAGAAGTTATTATACGAACTAGTTAGTCGGGGAGGAAGAAAGATAAAAGAAGCAGCGATGTGGTGTCAAAGCAGCAAAGGAACTCATTTCATGGGCCTACAGAAACCCCGAAATCAACCAGAATTCCCATCTTACGGTTGTCAGCCTACCTGCATGTTGCGATGACCTCTCAAAGGTACAGGCATTTAAAGATTGCGATATGGCTAATCAAGAGCTATTTATACATTATTCTCATACAGACTAATGCGTTTTCGGGTACATACCAAGAAACAACTCGTGTCTGTTGAATACAGGTCAGAGGGTCCCTCGTGTCTGTTGGAGGCAAATCTGTCCCCGAATGTAGCTGCAAGCATTTATTTGTTTTGATTGTGTTAAACTTGAGGCTATCATTTTTAGAACTTTTGAATTTTTTAGTATTAATTAACTAGAACAAGTTAGATACGGTATCCCTAAGTAGAATAAGAGTATACAGCTCGAAGGGTCGCGGGGTCCCCTCTCACCCCACGACCCTCCGAGCTGTATACTCGTAGAATAGCTCCCGAAAGTATCACCGAGAAAGCGAAAGTGTATAAATTTTGTGGAAGCCAAATTTGGCAGCTACTGTTTATCTCTACAATCTAAACATAAGAAGCTGAAGCTATGACAATATGAAGACGCCTTGCCAGCATTTGAGTGGTAGTCTTGGTACAGTAAGATTCAAAATCGGCTTCCATGCTAAACACGCACAATTTCTTTCTCAAACCCTATGGCTATTTTAGATAGTCTTTAATATCTTCTTTAGTCTATTCGTGCTAAGTAGTCTCCTAGAGTCAGTCATATAATCCCTTCGCGAATGATATCCCTAGACCTATTCCGATCTATACCTTGCTGGTAGTTAGGCGAAGTCTAAGCATTTTCAATGTGGTTTTATTCGCCACCTTCAATATGTTTAAAGTCCATCCATTAGTGTAACAGTATGGAACGCCGCATGGTTATGACTAATAAACTTATGGAAAAAGATTCCCCGAGGACTTATGAAGGAGATCAAGAAGATCCATTTACCCTGGCGAACTAGTGGTCAGTTCACCTCCGAAGAGGCAGGGCGATGATCAGAGATCGGCCAAGAATTGGTGACGAAGCCCGGTTGTCGGAAGCAAGGGCTCGCCACTCCTCTGATATATTTAGCCTCCAGGTTGCAACGAACTTTGAAACACTTCAAGAGTTGGTCTTGGTAACAACCGTATCCATTTCGGATCACCGAACACTTCATATCTTTACAAATCCTACTCACGCTCTTATAATTAGACTCATTACAAAAATCGTTCTATAGGGCACAGTCAGTAAGGTGCATCGTGGTCCGTGCCCGCATTATACATATTATATACTCGTTCAGTATCTCTTCTGTCTGAGTTTCCTTGTCGACTGTATTGGAAAATTTCCCCCATATCTTCACCTCAATAGCCTCTGAGGTTATCTGGAGTTAGCAACCTGGCTATTGGGGTTGCGTTTCGTGGCAGTACTATAAATGTTTCCCGTTAACGCGTTATTCGCGTGGTGGACGCAGGCCCTCGTTGTGGTTTTAACGATAGATTTTTTTAGAAATCATACAAGTATTAATGGTACTTCAAGCGTTTCCTAATAAGATGCTTTAACATCCTTTAGCACACTTCCACAATGAGGGTACTATAAGTGTTTCCTCGTTCCCTTGTGGTTGATGTTTCTTCCAGTTCGTGAACCGAGCTGTTCTGTGGGTATAATCAACTACTGACCAGTGTTGGTATTACTAGCTATGTGCTGTGTACATAGCTGAGTGAACATGTTTTTGTTATAAAGCGACGTAAATTAATTGATAGATATGTGTAGATGTCTGTGTCCCCTTCCTCGTGTGGGATTTTATGGGTTACGACCTAGGTACATGAGTATCGGTCTAACTTGAATACATAAGTAGGGCATATTAAGTTAACAGGCCAACAACAAAGAGGTAACGAGGAGTAACATATTCTAACAGAAACCGTCTAATAGCTATCAGAAAAGACAGTCTAAGAGGAGAGAGATGATATCTATCTATTTCACTTAGCATTTCAATAATATTAAGACAAGATGTTAATGCGATAATTGATTCTTGACCGATCAAGATCGGGTAAATACTGGTCAGATAATTTTTCTCAGCTCAAACCAATCAGTATCATGTGGCTAAAGAAGACCATTTATTCGCCAAAGAGGCTCCAAGTTGTATCAAAGCTAAAGCTTCTTTCAATGTCAGGCTTTCCAGTAAGTTTTCTGGGAGTAGTCTGACCACAATCGGAAGAGCATAAGGCAAGTTTTTGTATTTTAGATGATTTTTTGCCATGTCATAAAAGCCCTAGTAGAGATTATTTTCTAGGTTATACCTTGGAACGATCCAGTACTCCCCTTTTTACCTTAGTTCCAATCCACCAGGTCAGCGACATGCTCTTAAACAGATGAAAGTGACCAATGCCGGTGGGACAACGACTAGGCTGCCACTATCTTATCAACGATAATGTGAGTGCGACCGAACCGGCAGAATTATTGACGGCTACCTATTATGCTTCATACTGATGTTCTCTGAATGGGATGGTTGCTATTCTTCAAGATTGACTAGTATCGCTGATGCGGTGGTTATGATAATTGCATAAGTCTACATAAAATATTCTTCTTGTCTCACTTGTGCATAATCAGTTGATCAAGTACAATCAAATACATGTGAGCCAAGACGACAGATCGACATGATTTAGACCGTGATATTCGATAAACTTATAGCGCCTGAACGTAAACCTTGAAGTAAACCTTACATGAATCAAGAAATTATTAACTTGAAAGGTTCCAAGGTTGGAGACGGCCATCTCCCGACCTACCATCCGCAAACACCAACTTCCACATTTAGCGAGGACGATCTTTCCAAAAGCCAAGATTACAGTCTCCACACGCGCCAATTAACTGGTTGCAGATTGTGGCCTACAAATTACTAAGTGGGGATGTCTAAAGTGCTCATGCAAAATCCTACGGACCCCGACTCAATCCTGGTCCGCTCCACAATCGCATAAATGAGGAAGTCATCTAGAAAGGATTGCTCGAAGGGCGGCCTGTTGAAAATAGTGTGGGTTATGCACTGCCCGTGTTTTCTATTAGGTTATTCTCTGTTAGATATTCAGGGGCCAATTTGTGGTACCACTATGTCGTACATAACGTTGGGAGTACCTTGACCAACCAGTGTGACTTGGAATGTAACAGAGCGGCAGCTTTAGGTACTTTGTACTGGAGTCTGATACATAGTAGAAATTCCATCAATTAATGTATCCGTACCCAATTACAGAGCAACGAGGGCCTATCTACTTAGTAAGTAGGAAACAATTGAACTAAAGCGAACTAGTTCTGATTTTATTGAGTGATGTGATATAATCGCCATGAGATATTTTATATCACTCGATGAAATCAGTCCATTCTGCAACGATTAGCCTCATATTGGCTTACCTATACGAGACAGCCACTGTCGATCTACGTCAAACTGCCTGGGCATCTTGGCATCTTCCAGCCTTGAGAAGGTTCCAAGGTTGGCTTACGGGATACCGCATCTGTTTCACGGCATGCCGTAACTGATCCGTCCCAAGGTCCGTTCGCCGATACTCAATGAAATCCAGCACTCCATGTTATCGACACAGTAATAGTCGTATATTTTGATGTATAAAATACGGTCTATATAATGCCGGCTAATTGGATCATACCGAAGCCATATCCAGTAACTGCCACAGCTACGCTTCCCCATCTACCCTACGGTCGGAAAAAAGGAATGTATATCCTCACCTTTTTAACCAGTACTAAGTAAAAATGGGACGGAAGTGGCGTCTACCCCGTAAACTTCTGACCACAAGTTCCTGTAGCACGGCGCCACCTTATCATTCTAAGAATCTCGGGTAGGCTATACCCAAGTTGTACCGCAGTGAAATAATAACAAATTTTTATGACGTTGACCTTCGGAAAGCATCCGAAGAAGGAAACAGATTGACTTTCTGCGTCAGCCAACGAAGATGTTTGATAGTGATGGAGGGGAGACTAGTCCATCTCCGTACTTCAGAAGAATGCAGGATCAGATGAAATCCGATTGTACGCGCACTGATCAGCAACATAAAACTCATAAAACAATAATCCAGCAGGATCGGAAGACCCCCCCGTAGTTTAGCCGAACCACGCCATAAGTTCTAAACGATTGAAATGCGAAACCACCGAAACAGAAAGCGGAGATCTTATTTCTCATATTTCTTTCCTAAGTCTGTTTTTTTGCAGAATGACGTGAGGGTAGTAACTAAGTTGACCATAGAGCGTTGAGAGTCGGGGATGTTGGGTTGATGTGCGTCTGGGTGATTCGTGCAAATAGTGGAGATGGCGGTCAAGCCGAAAGTAGATTACCAGATAATGAGAATGAATAGGAGTGGTAAGATGAAAGGATATCGGAAGGAGAGATCTCAGTTGTTCCTTAACGGTAGTATATCAGAATTACCCAGGGACTGTATATATGCGACGGTGAGTTGGGGAATACAATTTATATCACTTCGATTCTCCGTATTTACCTATCCCCAGACCTTCAAACGCGGAGACTGAGCCCTGGTTAATGTCGAGTGGGAGAAGGATCCCTCCGTCAGTCGGCACTGACGACCCACCATCTCCACCTAACCACACCGATCCACATCCGTGCCCGTACGGCATTCCAGGATCCACACTTCCAGGTTCGGCTTTTTTTTCATTCGGCAAGCCGTGTGCACTCGCTCATCCACCGAAACAACCCTGCCCTTCCACTTTATTCCCCTTCCCCTCAACTCCACTGTTAGCAACCGGATACTACTCCATTTGACCTGGGGCCGAATCCTGATATTATTGGATCCATTATCTTGCTACATTAATCAAATATTTCGGAATCTGTCCGAGTAGATCATCGAGGGGTTCCGATTGTTTTTCGAGGTGAAAGAAGCCGGCGATAGGGTCTGAACAGATGGTACGCCTAAGATAATGATTCCCTCCTTACTGCACATACTTAGTGGCTGCATGTAACAAAAAACGGGAGTCTAGAACAAGTGAGATGTTGTTGACCAGAATCGAGAATATTGAACAGAGGTCACTCTTAAGAGTGTACTTTGTACTGAGGACTAAGTCTCAACATCAACTCATGAACTGACATCATAGGCCTATAAGGATGCAGTGGAGTGGGTCAGAAATGCTTAATCCATCATTAAAGCAATTGAACTTAATTGGAGGGATCGAAGTTGGGGTCCACACTAAAAGTGGAGTCTGTCCGAATCGGGATATATTTATTCATTTTTATTAATTCAGTAATTCATCTATGCCCCAAGGATGCAAACTACCTATCTAAATAGAAACATTCAAATACCTTCCCCGTCCCTCTCAGATCTTCTTTTCTTCACTTCAATTCCCTGATCTCCTCTATCTCCACATGCTGAATCTGGAGTTAATAATTTCGAATTAAGATCTTATACTTCTACATTCTATACACAGGTTGTCTACATCATGGCGCCTAGCTTCGGTGGTCTATCAGGCAGGAAACTGTCAATGACAGTTTCCACAATCGCAACAATGGGATTCCTGCTCTTCGGCTATGACCAAGGAGTCATGTCAGGAATCATCAACTCAAACGTCTTTGACAATGTCTTCACAGCAGCCAAAAACAACTCAGTCATGCAAGCGCTGATCACGGCAATCTACGAACTAGGCTGTCTCTTCGGTGCCATGTTCGCCCTTTTCACCGGAGACTGGCTCGGTCGTCGCTGGATGGTCATCTGCGGCGCAACAGTCATGATCATCGGTGTTGTAATCCAGGTCACAGCCTTTGCCGATCACATCCCCTTGCTGCAGTTCATGATCGGCCGTGTTATCACCGGCGTCGGTAACGGCATGAACACCTCCACCATCCCCACCTACCAAGCCGAGTGCTCGCGCGCCAGTAATCGCGGTCTTCTCATCTGCATTGAGGGCGGTATTATCGCCATCGGAACAGCTATCGCATACTGGATCGACTTCGGTGCCTCGTACGGTCCTGACGATCTTGTCTGGCGTTTCCCAATTGCATTCCAGGTCGTTTTCGGTGTTATCATTATCGTCGGCATGTGGTTCATGCCCGACTCGCCTCGCTACCTCATCTCTCGCGGCAAGATCCACGAGGGCGAGTATGTACTTGCTGCGCTCGCAGGCCTCGAGATCGACGATCCAGAGACCCAGCTCCAAAAGCAGCTTGTCATTGAATCCATCGAGGCTGCCGGTGTCGCTGAGGGCGCAGGGTATTCTGATCTCTTGACTGGCGGCAAGACCCAGCATCTGCGCCGCATGCTGATCGGTGCTTCCTCCCAGATCGCGCAGCAGCTCAGTGGCTGTAATGCAGTAATCTACTATCTCCCGGTCCTAATGGAGAGTTCCCTTAAACAGAGCACCTTCATGTCGCTGGTGATCTCCGGTGTGAATATGATCGTGTACGCCCTCTTCGCCACTTTCTCCTGGTTCTTCATCGAGAAGATTGGTCGCCGAAAGCTGTTCATTGGCGGCATGACAGGCCAGTGTATTTCCATGATCATAGTTTTCGCCTGTTTGATACCAGGCACGACCAGCGCAGCAAAGGGTGCCGTTTTCGGTCTGTTCCTGTACATGGCATTCTTCGGTGCTGCCATGCTCCCCCTGCCGTGGCTGTACCCAGCCGAGATCTCGCCCATTCGCACTCGCGGCAAGGCCAATGCCGTGTCCACCTGCTCTAACTGGCTTTTCAACTTCACCGTCGTCATGATCACGCCGGTTATGATCGCCAATATCGGCTGGGGAACATACCTCTTCTTCGCATGCATGAACGCCATCTTCATCCCGATCATGTACTTCTTCTACCCAGAGACAGCGGTAAGTTTTTCTGCCTACACCCAAGGTCTGAACTAAATACTAATATGCGTAATAGGGACGTTCACTCGAAGAGATAGATATCATCTTCGCCAAGGGCTACTGTGAAAATATAAGCTACGTCAAGGCAGCCCATGACCTCCCTCGCCTTACAGACGAACAAATCGAGCAAAAAGCCCTGGAGTACGGCTTCCGCGATGCAGGCGACAAGTCCGACCCCGAGAAGGGCCGCTCAGGTTCATCATCAGATGAACAGCAAGAAATATTTGCTCCCACTGTTGGAGAAAAATAGATGAACGTTATGAGTTATAAGCTTAGACAGCGCAGTGCGTTGTGATGTGTCCACGCGATGTTATTGGCGATACGGGGAGCCCCGCCCCCTTTTGTTTCATTTTCATTATACCCTTTTCATTTTTGCCTTTGAAGCATGGCTGCTTTTGAGGTTGATATCTATTAACCATTGCTGGTCTTTGGAAATAAGGACGAGCAGAACGAGCAGAACTAGCAGAACTAGCAGAACTAGTACTATGGAGTATAGAACTCGTATAGAATGAAAGAATGTTCTCTGCAAATCCTGAACTCAAAGTAAATTAAAAGAAAGTAAACTAGAGTTTAGGATTGAACAGATCAAGGAACAGGAAATGTCCTTGCTTAATGTCTTAGATACTAAAGAAATCAGAAAGTAATATTAAATTAAATAAGAAGAAATGAGCAATGAAAACAAGGTCGGCAGATCCCGTTTCAACCATCCGCTCTGTTTGTTTTCTTATTTTTTTTTTTTTTACTTCTGCCTTCTCACTCTACTCTCTACCTGCTACTCTACTCTTAACATGCCCATCTCTCTCACCCCACCCCCGCACCGAGAGAAATGAACTCCGCCATGAACCCCACCAAATCCCTCGAGTTCAAGCTAGTGGTAATGGGAAGCGCCGGTAAGAACTAGCCGGAGCCCGAGAACAAAAAAAAAAAAAAACACTCCCCGCTAACCACATCTGCCTACCACTACAGGAGTAGGCAAAACCTCCTTAGTCCAACGCTACGTCCGCAACACCTTCTCCCCAGCAACGACAACCTCAACAGTCGGCGCGTCCTTCGTAACAAAGCGCGTATTCGATAATGCCTCGGATACGCTAATCCGCCTCCAGATCTGGGATACAGCCGGCCAAGAGCGATTCCGCAGTATATCACGACTCTATTACCGCGGTGCGCACGCCTGCGTGCTCTGCTACGATATCACAGACGAAAACAGCTTCAACGAAATGACAGGATGGCTTCGCGAGCTCCGCCGCAATATAGATGGAAGTGAAGGTGACGCAGACCCGCTTATCATCCACGTTGTCGGGACTAAATCCGACATCGTCACGCTGGACCCTGCGTCCCGCCGCGTGCCGTTTGAGCGCACCATCGCTTACGTTGCTGAGCAGTTAGATCCTAATCGAGCTGGGACGCCGCCTGCCAGTGCGATGATGGAGGTTAGTAATAGCTCGCGGGAGAATACGCGTGGCAGTGCTAGTACGTCTGTGGCTAGTATTTCCGGATTTGGGAGTAGCTCGGGCTTCTTCGGGCAGCCGCCTGGCAGTGCGGGTGGCCATTCGAACGGAAGTGCGCTGTTGAGTCCGGACTCTAAGCGTAGTTCGGCGTTCTGGGGCCAGGAGATCGGGTGGGATTGTTGCCATGAGATTAGTGCCAAGGACGGTGAGGGTATCGACGAGGTGTTCCGGGTTATTACTCGGAAGTTGGTTGAGCAACGGAATCGGCGCGATGCAGAGCTTGCGCTGTCTGCTGCGGCCTCGCCTATCCGTGAGGGGATTGAGGGCTTTCCGCCTATGGATGGGACGGGAAGTTTCCGTCTTGGTCATGGTGATAAGAGGCGCAGTTGGTTAGGTCTTACTAGTCCTGGACCTGGTCTGGGCGTTGAGATGGAGGAGACGGAGTTGATGCAGGCTGCTCGACAACGAGGTCGGTGCTGCTGATTTACATGCTTATATTTCTCATTTTTGTGTTCATTTTTGTGTTCTTTGGGCTGGCTGTTTGATATCCTTGATTGATTTGTTTTCACGGTGGTCGTTTATGGCATTTACGGGTTGGCGTTGCTTCATGCATTTGGTTGGTTATGCTTTGATGATACGAAGATTAGTTACTAGTACAGTAAAATTGCATGTCGCGATTGAGATGAATATAGTTTCTCTATTCAGGAGTAGACGATAAGACAACCTTGGAACGCACTGTCTCTCTTTAAGCAGTTACTGCCAAGAGATCTAATTTAAACCAAAGTAAGAATACGAGATGTTATCTACAGACTCCTTGATCAACCCTGAGTGGTTATAGATCGTGATAATGCATTATCTCGGCGATTAAAACATAACATATTAAGAACATGATTATGATCTCGAAAGTAACAGAAATGTCAAATTTAAGGGTTTCATACGGATATACAAAAGTAGTAAGTAAAATATGAAGTGTGGGTCTCTCCTTTTCCCTTTTACTCTCGATAGTAAAGACTAGCAGTTCCAGGGTTGTGGTTGTGGTCTGAAAACTCTTCTAATCCCCCCTATTCTTATTACTGCTTATGTCTCCTAAATAGTAAGGAGTACTTAACTGACTCGAGTACTTGAGGTATCTTACTATATGCATAACAGCTGACATCAGCGTGGTCTGTTCTATAAGAATATAATGATCCGGCGCTAGTCATATCAGGGGAGAATGGAAGATACTAGATCATATGTACTAGTCATGTACTGTTTATACTTATTTTACGTATCAAAGTGACTTTAATGGTACTTCCAAAATCAGTCCCGCGCCAATCAGCAAACTTCTGTTTTAACTTCTATTCCATTATTCCATCTATTTCTTCCTTCCTTCTTCTCATCATCTCAGTCACTCGTTTCTGAAATACCTGTGTTCAGTCATTTCCGCATGGGGAGTCGATTCCGAGTTCGTACTTGATAGTCTCGCGTCTTTTCGCCCAATTCGTGGTCTCCTTTCCCGGAGCAACACTCAGCTGCAACGCAAACTAAACCACAAACCCCTCTAGTTTCCAATTCCTCCTCTTTCTCTTTCCCCTTCCCTTCTCTCTTCTTTTTTTTTTGGTTATTTTGGTCTCCACACGGTAATGCCATGAGGTTATCAATTCGAATTGGTTTGGCTGCTGTGCTGATCATCTTCGCGCTTGTCTTGTTCAACCGTAATATCCACTCGAGCGACCGCTCCCCCGTTGCATCATTCTGGCGTTTCGACACCACTTCCTTCCAGTCTGCTCTACGCCCTGAAAAACACCTATTTTCTGGACGCCGGAAATGGGGTACAGGCACAAACCAGGTCGGTCTCAATAATTTCAAGACCACCGAGATCGAAGTGCCGAGTGAGGGTGTCATTGTCATGGCCAAGTTGAAGGCCGAGAACACAGCCTGGGTATCTGGTGAATTAGCAGAGTAGGTCGCCCTTCAACCATTGGCTTTGATGTTTAAATCCTCTCCATTGAGCCCGATCGCGAACTAACTTTTTCAGATGGCGCAATTACATCTACACCGTAGACGACACCTCCGTCCAAACGCACACCCCAAAGAACAAGGGTCGCGAAGCCCTCCCCCTACCTCCAGTACCTAGTTGACCACTACAATGATCTCCCAGAAATTGTCCTCTTCCTTCACAGCCACCGCGACGGCTGGCCCGCCGCCTGGCACACTGACACGATGGAGTACAACAACGTGGATTCCGTGCGGGCGCTGCGCCGCGAATACGTCCTGCAAGAGGGATTCGTCAACCTACGCTGCCAGATGTCACCCGGCTGCCCGGCAGAAATGCAGCCATTCCGATCACCGCCGCAGCCAGGCGACACGGGCGAGAAGCACTACGCCGAGGCGTGGAAGGAGCTTTTCGGTAACAAGGACGTTCCAAAGGTCATCGGCGCTCCATGCTGCTCTCAATTCGCTGTGTCGCGCGAACAGATTCTTCAACGGCCATTGAGCGATTATCAGCGTATGTATAATTGGGTGTTGCAGAACGACCTGCCTGATGAGGTCACCTCCAACATTATGGAGTACTCGTGGCATATAATTTTCGGCAAGGATCCTATTTTGTGAGTGATCCCATCCGACCTTTTAAGTTCTCTTTACTGACTGCCACAGCTGCCCTGATGTATTCCAATGTTATGCCGACGTATACGGCGAAGAAGTGATCGTTTAATTCCTCATTTCTCGTCCGTCTCCTATCTTCTACCCTTACCATTTTATATTTGATAACACACCCCTAGGAGGGCCATTATGCTCAATGAGCCCAATGCACATTACGAATTGCTACTGTATAGAAAGGACACCGAAGAGTAATTTCAGATCACCGCATCAGCCGTAGAGCGTATTCGCATCTCCATCCCCCTATCATCCCACCTCCAAACCTCCCCACAGCCAACATTATAATTATAATAGTTATTAGTCCCAGCAGGGACCATCGCCCTCCGAAACGTAATATTGACCCGTCCACGCACGGAATCCCCACTCCGACCCTTTCGCTTCGGGATGCTATGTAACCACGCAGCCTGCGTGCTACCCCGCATAACAATCATATCACCCGAAGCAAGCGGCATTTTGACCTGCGTCTGCACTCTTGGTACAGATAACGAACCAGCCGTACAGCCCCGTATCTCATCCGCAGTACCCTGTTGTACGACGACCGGTTTCATCTTAAGTATGAAATCGCGTTCACCGCCCAGCGAGACTGACGCAATATCCGGGTCTGCGCCTAGAAACCGCTCGTCGTCGGAGTGGAAGGCGATGCTGTCCTCGCCACTGGCATAGTAGTTTACTAGAACGAAGTTATACGTTGCTCCTGTTGCGGCTTGAACGTGCTGGCGGAGGGTGTCGAGGCACGGCGGAATTGGGCGCGGGGGGTATTGATAGCGGGAGTGCAGGGGTTTTTGGGACGTTGCGTCGACAAGGATTAGTTCTTCTTCTTCGCTAGCTTCTCCTTCTCCATCTCCGCTCAGTGAATCTGGCTTAAGCTTAGACTTGCCAACAAAACGTGCCGTTTCATCAACCCCGAAAATAGTCGTAAACCTCGGCGTATTAACGAGCGTGTCGACACCACCGCGTTTAATAGAATACTGTACACGATAAAACGGCAATTCAGCTCTGAGGAACTTGAACAGATCCGCAGCAGTGTCGCGACGCAGAAACGGCTGGAAATAGAGGAGGTCCAGCCGCGGCTGATTGTTTATCGTGCGTGCTGGCTGCGCTGGAGTGCTGTTCAGATTGGAGTTTATGTGTAGCGGGAGGTGTTTTATGGCGTGGGGGTAGGTTGGGTGCTTGCTTGATTTTGAGTCGGACTCGGAGTCTTCTAGGGAACGTTGTTGACGTTTTCGGGCTTGGGGTTTGAAGAAGGCGTCTAGGGTTCTTTTTGCCATTGCGTTGGATAGTTGATGAAGAATGAAATGTTGATGCATTTGGATCCCTGGATTGGGATCGGATCGGATCCAACTTTGACTCGTCCATCCTAGCACTGAACTTTCCTAGCATTCGACCTTTTGATAAATGGCTTTTCAATTCGTGAATTTCCTGGTAGCTATAGACTAATATAAACACAATGGACCTCGGGCTCGTACATAACTTCCTTTTGGGCACCATAAGCAGAAGTAGGGGCTTTTGAGAGTGATGGGGGCTATCACTATCCATCTGGTCATTGAATACTTAGGTAGCGTATGAAATCACAACTGCAGGATTCAAGTTTATGTGAAAAGCAGTTTTGTTATCCGTCAGCTGATCTACCGAGTATACGTATACTTGCCGCTCCCATAACAAAACAGCTGTAGTCTAGCACAGTCCCCGTTAGGACAAAACTACATTTGTCTTTCAGAAAGGCCCCCATGAAGGATCTTGTCTCTGAAATCTATCTGTACCTGAAAACCTAGCCTCTCACATTTAGAAACAAGTCCACTGGTGGAGACGTAGGAACAGGAAAAGAATTAGGGCCTAGAGGATTCATTCATCCTTCAATGCGATGGTCATGGCTTCGGCCCCATCTGAAGTAGATTAAACATACCAGAAATCTTTTTTAAAAACCCCTAGTCCTTTCACCATTCTCACGTTCAACTGAACAATCCCACGATGTGATTGAGAGAATGACAGCTCTCTACACCATCCTTTCGTCCCTATGGATCCTTTCTCTCCTCATCGCAACAGCCACACCAACACAACTATCACCCCGAACAACTCAGGAACAATGCAGCCAAAACTGTACATCATGCGTCCTTCCCTCGACGTACAAATTCACCCCCGCCAAACGACTACTAAGTAGCCCTTCAGACTTGAGCGAAACAATCGAAGACTACCTCAAAAGACTGTACCTCTCAACGGAGTGGCTAGAGATGGAAAGTGAAAGCTCAGTCGGCGAATCCACAGCCGCATACTGGGAACTAGGTGACGAGACTGAAATAATCGGCGTAGGCGTTCTCCTTGGCTGTGTGTCCGTAGTGGTCGCCTCCCACAAAGGAATCTACATATCGCATCACTGGGAAATACCAGCTTTCAGCACGTCAGACTGGGTGATAAACACACAGGAGCAATTCAAGAACTACGTCTTAGACAAGATCGAATACGGGGGTGGAAGTGACATGCCCAGTTTGAAGCGGTATACCGGTGCAAGCGGACCTTTTAAGCCCGAGTATGGACCGAAAGCGTATGTCTTGCGACGACGTCAGTCAGAACATGAGGCTTATGATGTGGATTACATGAATCGGTGTCAGGAGCTGGCGAATCTTGTTTCAAGATTAGTTGGTGTGACGACGGAGGTTGTGGCTTATAAGAATGATGGGACGTCTACTGTTAGTAGTGCTGGGAAGGCGGTATTTCAGTATGATCCTAATGAATTGCCGTATATCTGCTCTGAGCAGACTGCTATATCGAGGTTTTGGGTTGAGACTGACAAGGTGTTTGAGGTGTTGTGGGAGGCTTTGGATACCCAGTTGGTTGAGGAAGATTAAGTCAAATGAAGGCGTATAATTATGTACACGCTTGATGCTGCCAGGTGCAGTCAGCTGCGTCCAAGACATGACCTTCTGAGCTTTTATTTACATGATAATCACGATACTTTTCTATACACGTAGCCATCCACGGATGACCTACTGATCAACAAACGCCTCCGTATGCGACTTGTACAGAACACTAGTATCCAAAACCTCACCAGTATTAGAGCGAATGAACTCCACGCGCAACTCATTCTCACTCTCAAAAGCCAGGGTAGCATAGCTGAAGTCATCAGCATACGCAAACTCATTATACGACTGTTTTGTGCCGATGCTAGAAATACCCTCGATATTACCAGCACCGCCAGCAACAATGTACATAGGAGCCTTAGGATCCTTCAATCCATTGGGATCAGCAGTGCCATTGTATATGGGCGCGAAGCGCTGCGAGTTATGCACGTGGCCGAAGACGCCGAGGTCAACGCCATACTGGTAGTACAGGTCCTCGAAAGCTTCCTGGCACGAAGTGCAGACGTTGCTGCTACCACTACTTGAAGGGACAGAGTAGAAGGGACGGTGTCCTGTGACGATCAGCCACGGTGTGACCGAGCGGTCGACGCTGGCTAGATCGGCCTTGAGGAACTCGATTTGCTGGTTCGTTACGCCAAAGGGGCCGCTGTTTAGACTTTGAGAGCCTCCAACACCGTCGGGGGCGTTGGGGAAGTCTGTTTCTGTGTCTATCATCACAACGTGCGCCATACCGTACTCGAACGAGTACCAGAAGGGCGGGTTGGAGAGGCTACGCGCTTGAGTGGCCAGTGCCTGTGCGGTCGTGTTCGTCGATGACGAGGCGAAGGACTGCGGCATTGTGTGCTGGTAGCGGTGCATGAAGTCGGTAAAGTTCTTTTGGCCCTCTGGACACAGGTCGTTCAGGAACGGAATCTCAGAGCACGAGGCTTCATGGTTACCGGGTGAAGCCATGTATAGCTTGCTAGAGGAGACAGGTGCGAGCTGGCCGTAGAACTGCTCCAGGATAGACTGGTAGGCTTTCTTTCCTTCCAAGATGTTCTTCAATTTCAGGTACCAGTCGTCTGCGTAGGCGAAGTCGCCGGGGTGCAGGACTACTTCGTAGTTGTCTGCATTTGCAGCTAGACGGCCAATGGTGGAGTGGTTTAGTTCTGGTCGGACGAAGATGTCGCTGATGTCGCGCTTGGCGCTACTTGCTGTGAAGCCATCTTTACCGTAGACGCCCAGATCGATGACCACGCTTGAGTTGAAGGGAGTCGTGTCTCCTGGCTTGCGTGGGCTCAGGAAGTGGCCCACTGTGGAGTTTGTGGACACGATCTTGTAGTAGTAGTCTGTAGCTGATTCTAGGCTGGTTAGGTATGCATAGTTTGACCAAGTTCGGGACGTGTCGTAGGTTGTCGAGGCATTTGTTGTGCAGGCCTTGTACGCCAGGTTGGTTTCAGAGAGACCATATTCGACACAGCCCTCGGTCAGCTGTTCGTATGTGTTCCAACCGACAGATACCGCTGCAAGAAGTCATTTTTAGTCCAATTGGTTCTGTTCGCGCTGCTTGACTCACAGTCAGGTCCGTAGATCGCAACGCGCTGCTGTGTAGGTGTGGTCAAGTCCTTGGGAATGGCAGGATAATCGACAATGGCATCACCAATATCAGAGCGAGCTTTGCTTGTTGCCAGAGCGGAACCGGCCAGCAAGGACAGGGTAATCGCAGAATATCTGGCCATTTTGATTAATTCGTTTTTCTAAGGAGTTCCATCCCGAATAGGGGCTCTTAAATACCAGTGAGTTAGCTCTAAAATTAAATGATTTAATTAAATAGCACTATTGAAAGTGTGTAATTGACAAGCAGTAAATCACAAACATGAAATCCAATACATATTAACTTCCATTACACGTGCACAATATTCTAGAATCAACATGAAACAACGGAAATTTACTTATCAATCAAGCTTTAAAGTACGTTGGTAATTTATGTAATTTGTATCACATGATTTGAAATTTATGTATATTATTTATGTACATTTTACATGATCTCTCCAGTACACTTTGGCCTTCTAGTCTCTTCTTTGGATATGGAGTCTCCTTAAACTCGCGATTCTCCAAAATTGATAGATATCAGCTATCGGAATTGCTACTTTTTCCCAATAACCTAGCAATTCGATGGGCACAAAGAAAACCCAATGTTCTAGTAAATAGAAAGAGAGAGAGAATGTGTTATTTGGTTTGTATATTGTGAGATATGTTAATGAATTAGTTAGGGTTGCAGTTTAATCTTGTGTAAATTACGTACGTTACCAACCAAACAAATTTAGACATATTTCTTCCCGTATCTAGAACGCCACCATATATATCTAAGTGGGGTTTAATCTTAATGACTTAGACTTAGTACACTCTTTCGTGGTCATAATTTATGTTATGAATTCAATTTCGTTATTTATGCTCGTCACTTTGATCTAGACTTCATTTCAAACTCAATAGCTGCCCAAATTAGTCAGTCTCACTAATACGAACCACATACTTCACTGCCGAAGCTTTGCCGGATTTCAGATCAAGCAATGCCCCCTGGAGACCTTGCAAGCCACCCGGACGGACCTCGAACGGGTGCCCCGTGAACCACCCCTGGTCCAGACCACGACCAAAGAACCGATAAAAAGCCATGGCAAACTCACGGTTGCCAATCGCAGTCCCCTCCGCAGGTGGCATGTGAACTCTGTTAACCATGGTTGGTTTATGAGAAATGCCCTCGGGAAGCTTCTCTTTAATAGGTAGAGCAGAGGCGATCTTGGCGGGCACCGTCAGTACCACGGCAATATTGTGGTAGCTTCCTTTCTCGGCGACGGCGTCGAAAGCATGATAGATTGGTTTATCGGATGCTGCCTTGATTGCCTTCCGCACGGCTTCATCGCCTTCGCGGTAGTCGATGATCGTGTCACCCTTCTTACGGTCAATCAGGCCCTCAATGAACGTGGCGCCCTTGCCTGCTACCACGATGAGGGGATGGATGTTGGAGAGCTGGGCAAGCTTAATTGCAAAGGCGCCAACGGCTGAGGCCCCGCCATACACGACCAGGGGAGTGGGCTCCTGGGTCGGGCGCCAAGGCAGCGGCAAGTTCAGAATCTGGTAAACACCCAGCGCAGCTGTCATAGCAGCGAGAGGAATAGTAGCAGCCTCTGTTGGGAATAAGTAATTGAGAAAAAAAAATATGAATAAATATGATCTCACCTTCAAAGCTAGTCTTCTCCGGAATATGGAAAGTAGTATACTCCCAAGCAATAGCATACTCGCCATAACTTCCATTCAGCGCCAACATCTCATGGAACGCAGCAACGCGATCACCGATGTGGAAACCAATTACTCCGGCACCAACAGCCTCAACATAACCGGCAATATCATCACCCTGGTTCAATGGCGGGTTGTTCGGTAGGTCAGTAGCAAGTCTCCAGTCCTTGGGATTAGTTCCGGAGACCACGACCCGAATAAGGATCTGACTAGTACTGGGAGCGGGGATATCGGTGTTCCGAATCTCGACTTTGAGGTTTTTATCAACGAATGCCTGCTTCATTTTGATTTGAATGTTGAGTTTTTAGCGAAAAGTTGGTTGTGCTACTACCTATGGCTTTCTGCGCTTTGAGTTCTTGATTTATAATTTCTTGCTTTATCATAGAAGCTGCAAGAACTGCTATGACGAGATCTGACTACAGAGTAATATGCAGCAAATCTTGGAATTATCTGATGTAGCTCTGAAGTGAAACCCCGCGACCCTTGTGACCTTGAAATTTCTTAAAATAGTATTTACAAGTAATTTTCAATATTGTCACTTTTTACAGTTTTTGTTAAAATGACAAAATTTCAATTTAAACTTATAAATTAAACATATTTAATATTAAATTTGAAAGTCCTTTTACCATTCCCAAGTCATTATTCCGAGTCCTTACTACTTCGAGTCATTTATACTCCGAGTTATTACAGCTCCGAGTCATTATTATTCCGAGTCCTTACTACTCCGAGTCATTGCTACTCCGAGTCCTTACTACTCCGAGTCATTGCTACTCCGAGTCATTACTACTCAGTCATTATTACTCCGAATCATTATCACCTCTTACCACTCCTCGCCTGCATTCTCCGAAAAGGTCACGAGTGTGACTTTTTGTTATAGCGAGGGGTTCACCGCTTTAACATAGTCCAATTTCCGAATAAGAGAAAGCTATGTATAGCAAATTTAGAACACTGGATGAGAGTCTATCATGGATGGAAGGGAGATATAAGAGGCATTCCAGATGCTCTTCTCCGACACTTTCATCTTCAATTGCTTATCTGGAGAATTTATCGTCATTATGCTGCCAAAGGGAACCGAAAGACGGGGTTAAGGTCGACTGGAAAAATTTCGCTAATCAAATAGATGCCGAAGGAAAAAGTTGTATCGATGAATCAATAAGGCAGCATATCAAGCATGTCAGCTCAATTTTGAAAGTCTATTCACCTATGGTATTGCTGGTATTGTTTTTTAGGTAGCACAAACTCCCAGTCCTAGGTTTATAAAGCAACTTAACCCACCAGACTGTAGATACTTGCTTAAAAACATCACGCCAAGAGTAGTTAAGGGAGGTCTTCGATGGTACCTTGGATCAAATAACATCACCCACATCCACTTCCCTAAAAGGGTGCTCTGTCGGAGCAAAACTGCGTCACTTGAACGACGGTGGATGCAAGCACAGTTAAGTTAAGCTAGCAGAAAAACTAATACGGCTAATGTATGAAGTTCAAATTTCTCACTAAGCACAACTCACAAACGCGCTTTTTTTCAAGTGCTCCGACAATTCTCTTGGGAGATCATGGCTGGATGCAATAATTGTTGTAGCCATCGCCGGAGACTAGAAACGCCCCACTGTCTTGTCATTGATAGTATATAACTAGTCGATTTGCACTCCATTCAGGTACTCTCATATTTCTTGGAGATTCCTGAAGTGCACTTCCAGTTGAGCTGGAATTGATAGTGATATGAGTCTTTCGAAACGTGCTGATGAATGAGGAAAACGGAAGGTTTTGCCTTTGAGCCCTGTTCAGGTTAATAAGAGTCAAACAGACATGCTCAAAATATCTTTTAGAGCCTGAGTCATCTGTCTAGCGGCAGAAATAATTTCATTCTGTTCAGTAGCCGTCGGCAGCAGAGGTGGCTGGAATGAGCAGACTCTGATAAGACTGCAGCTGACCATGTTTCTGGGCAAAACAATCGAGGTCTTTGGCACCAGAGCCAGTGGTGATATCACGGTACTTCGCTGTGAATACTAAGTAACCTTTCTGTCGGAAAAGCAGTATGAATACTGCCCGTGGTTTAGGCAAAGATGATCAAGACCTTGCCAGAGTAGCAGACGTTGCCCATGATGCAGTAGGCGTGTTGGTAGATGAACTTTTAGAGCTAGCTAAACTGTGGTGGGAGTATAGTACAACCCTCGAACTTGAGTAGCGCCACCTGAATCCAGCGTGTGAATCTCTATCACAGCGGTAGGGGCATTCATCAAACCTGCTATGGTATAACGCGCAATTTCTTCGTTCTACGCCCCAACGACGGCAGCTGTACTAGAGGCAGTCGGGAGGCCCATATCATCAAAGAATGTCTCATCGCATTCCTTGCACTTCACCAATCGGATAGCTGGAGGATTACCTGGTGATATTTGGGAGGGTTTGTGATGAGGGGCGTGATGCAGTGGACTGGAGTAGGCATACGTGGGCCCGATTATGACATCGGTATCTGAATTGGCTCACGGGACTTTTCGATTTCACGTTCACGGTATAGCACCGTTTCGTCATGCTTGAATTCGTTGGGTATTCCTCCATCGCCACGCTTTGCTAGCTTTCATATCTTCGGGCACTCCGTGTTCTTAGCCTTAGCCACTTTGTTTTTGCCAGTGACTTCGCTCTTGGTGGTGACCTGCACACAGCTGGCCATATACTACTATCTAGGTCTCATTCCCAACTGACGCCCAGGTGAAATGTACCGGAACTCCGGCTCATCACTAAGAAGCCAAAAATAGGGTCAGTAGAAGAATGGTATGAGAAGCTGGACTTGCTCTTGCCATAATACACCAGATAGTTTCACTCAGTATTTACGTGGAATTGGTATATGGATGAGTGGAAGGACAAACTATTCAGAGAGAGAGAGAGAGAGAGAGAGAGAGAGAGAGAGGTCAAGTAAGTGCAATAGGTCTAAAAACAAAAAAACTTCATTCCTAGAAACAAAAGAGCCGAAAAAGAAGTCGATAATATACAAATACAAAACAGAACACCATGCCCCAATATCCCGCCAGCTATGCCCAAAGTGAATACGCCAGACCCAGTTCGCGAACATGAATATGCTATGAATTACATGAACCGGCGGTCACGCTTATTAGGACTCGGGCTTCGTAGATGGGCTTCGCGGTCTCGGCTACGCTCGGTGATAAAGTCTAGTTTTCGGGGCTCCTCAAGTAAAAGAGGATTGTTTTCTTGCTGGACGTAGCTGCTTTTTACCGCCTGTCGTGGATCCCCTTGTCCGTAGTAGCCGTAGCTCGGATTTGATTGTGTTGGCGCATGGATAGACTCATGCGGTGGTTGGCGCGGGTAATTTGGGTGATGTTGGCTGTAATCAGGTTGATTATGACGAGTTCTGAAGGAGCGGAATGACCAGTTGCTGACAACTGTCACGGTAGATATAGTTGCGAGGAAGATCATCTGAAAGAGTAAAAATGTCAGAAAGTTAAAATGAAACTGGAGAGTGACGACATACTACTGCTTTGTAGCTGATCGGATCAATGAAACTGTTGATAATCGTAGCCATGGTCTGCGCCGATACCTTGGCTCGGCCCACCTTGGCTGGATCGCGATTCATGCACCGTTCCCAGTTCTCACACACGGTCTCCAGGGCAGGGAGTCGGTCTCCGCCGCCGCACTTGTTGTCGACATAGCTCTTTGCGCAAACAGCCATTTCGGCCAAAATCGTGTCCGAGACCTCCTCAGCAGCCTGGTCGAACTCGGCTCGGATAGCCGCCACGATTGTGAAGACGATGTACACGGCTAGGGAGAACAAAGAGAGATTGACGAGGAGCTGGGCCCACCACGACAAGATGTTCGGGACATTAGGGTGCGCCTCTAGGAGTGCAAAGAATTCCGAGAAGGAAGAGACTCGGGACTGGGGAGGCTTTGGATTTGAGACTTTTCTTTGTTTTCCCTGCTTGTCCTTCCACCCTTCGCGGCTGCTGGGCCGATCGCTCTCGTCGTCGCTATCCACTGGGATCCGTTGGCGAATCTCCTGATTCCGGCGGCGGTTCTTTTGGATCTTGCGAACGACTTTATCGGAGTAATTTTTTGTTCGTGGAATCTCCCCTCGACCGGGACTTTGCCCAAAGCGTCCATAAATAGGCCACAAGCTGTTTCGCCGCTCGTTTTTTCCTAGCTGCTCTGGCGTGTCATCATTATCTGCGTTCTCTGGTGAAGACATATTCTCAGGGCCAGATGACATGTCTACATCATTCAACTTGCGCGGGGTCATGAAAGCCGCCGCGTAGGAGGGGGTTTTGGCAGGTTGTGGCCGGGGGAGGGGTTGGCTGAACAAGAAAGCCTCAGAGTTCGGAGGACGCAGATATGGTAATTGGTTCTTTTCGGGTGAGCCGAATGCGGTATGTGTTCCTTTGAGCGCTCCTTTGTTAGCAAACCTGAGATTCAAGGACGTGGTCAAGTTGGCGTACTTTTTTTATTTTCCTGTTGCGTTGCGAACTGGGCGAAGGGCGATGTCGCATCCATCGGGCGACTCCTCTGCCATTCAAAGTCCATTGGACTCTCTGGAGCAGTCCTACGCATCTTGTCGTTGTTGGAGAAGACAAGGGTGGTAGGTGGGATTGTGGGACTAGAGGTTTTTATTTTGAGAGGTAAACAGACGTCGGAGCAACCATCTTCTTGGCGTTGCATATCTAGAACCTTAATTTCAATATACGACAACGACTTGATTCGATATGGATTTTGAACTTATTTGATAGTTCATGATCCTTTTAGTCTAATTTTAAGTGAGTTACTATGCAGGTACCTAGGTAGTTGTAACAAAAGAATTAGCCTTTGAATGGGTCACATACTAGGCTTGATTCTTTGATCATTAGGCCCCTGACTCTAACCTACTATCAAAACAGGCTATGAGGTACAGACTCGTCAATCCTAGTAATCCATTTGAGTACAGAGAAGTTTTCCATTAAATCACTGTGCTCCGTAAACTTGAATAGCGCTTATGCATCCATCTGCCATTGATACTCCAACGACGCTATCCGCGACTTCTTATTCCTGGCCGCAAACCAATCCTTTTCAAACCCATTTGCCCGATCAACCCCATCCCACCGATGCCCAGGTCGAATCCCATACCGATTTGGCTGGAACGAACCTCGATAGAGGGGTTTGCCTGTGACACTAGCACCAGTCTCTGCCTTCTTCGTCAAGAATTGGGCAGCGGGATCATTCCAGCGCGACTGAGCTTTTTGATCATCATTTAGATCCTGGTCATCAACCATACGCGCCAGCGGCATCGCCCGCACATCCTGTAGTTCCTGTCTTCTTTCCTCGCGCTGTTGGCGCTGGACATCGCCCATCATAGCCTCTTTAGCCTTTATTTCCTTTTCGCGTGCTTCCTCTTCGGCGCGCCGTGCCTCGGCTCTTTTCATCGCCACGTTGATGATTCGTCCTGACGCATCACGGTATATAGTCTGCTGTTCTTTGCCGCCACCGGATGCCTGGCGAAATAATGCTTCTTCGGTCTTGCGTTTCTTTTCTTGCACTTTCACCATGGCTGCTGTCTGTGCGGCTGTTTGGAGACCTGCTCGTATACCCGACTCCATGCGCGGTCCGTCATCATCTATCCCCTCCATATTATCATCTGCTTCTTCGGCTGCTCTCGCGTCGCGCTCCGCAGCTGCAGAAGCTAAGATTGCATCGGCGGCTTCTTGTTCGTTGTTGTTGCCAGAGGCTGCTCGGATAGACTTCCATGATGACTTTGCCTTGCTACGAAACTCGGCACTGGTGCCAGAGGTATCAATGGTAGGGGCGTCGTCGTCATCTTGAGCGGTGTTTGTGCCTTTGCGCAGATCGAACGAGTCATCGTCTACTATTATGAGGCCGGAGTTTGTATCAGTGGCTTTGGTCTTCTTGCGCTTTTTCTTCGGTCGTTCAGTAATTGGATCTGCGTTGAGATAGTTTTTTGCAAGGTAATCCGCTAGTGAGCCTGACATTTTGGTGGTTTGTTGAAGGTGGAGGGCCTCGAGAGTCCTGAAGGCTCATAGCCCAATCCGTCTTATCGATAACGGATCAACACTTTTCCGAGCGTTATTAGTAGTTATTAACCAAGCTTAGGATGCTACTGTTTACACTGTTCCCAGTATGGCTCGTACTGAAGAGGCTGAGTTCTGGGCTATGGCCGTTTACAACGCCATCCAAGAGATTCCGCATGGGAAAGTCACGTCCTACGGTCATATCGCCCTATTACTGGGTGAACGTACGAAAGTCCAACCCGAAAGCGAGGCTAAACTAATACTACAATACACAGCGCAACGACCACGGCAGGTCGGAGCCTCTCTCAAGTCTCTTCCATCTGAGGACTCCGGTCTCCATTTCAATGCAAGCTCCGTTCCGTGGCAGCGAGTTATTAATGCCAAGGGCATGATATCTCACCGGTGTGTTTCTCTACACTTGGAGGTACCACTTGGTAGATTAACTTATTCATCAGCGGGCCTGGGAGTGCGCAACGTCAGGCGGATGCTTTGCGTTTAGAAGGTGTTGTTGTCGAAAATGATAGCATGGGTGAAATGTATGTCGACTTTTCACGGTTTGGATGGTTTCCAAAGATGTTACCTAGTGAGGAGCAAGAGGACAGGGACAAGGTTACTTAAGTATGATTTACCTATTTACATTATAAAGCACGATATTGCTTTCTATTGTAGAATTTGTTGACTTTTACTACAGAACAGCAATTTATCCAAATCAGCCATCTTCATTTTCTCTCAGCTGGCACAAAATTGAACAAGCATCAATTTACCAAAGGATCGAAAGCATTCATCGAGTCAGGCGTCTCGACGATCGAATGAATCGAGAGTGCAGGACGATCTCTCAGACCACCGTAACATCTCCAGGTTTCGCCGAGAACACGTAGATGAGAACAGATTGGAAGGACAATAATCTATGAATGCTAAAATATGATAGGGGGAGGAAAATGTAGTAGCGTAATCGAAGTGGGGATGCATTCAAGTACAACAAGGTCAGTCGTGACATGTCATAAGAGAGCCACACATGCAATCGGCTACTGACATTGACCCAGAACATAAGAGTTGATAAGAGTTGATAAAAGTGGACGCCCGACCTGCATCAATCCGGTAACTGGGGAAGAAAAATATCGTTAAACTGACGTAGAATCACCGTCGGGGAGGTACTCCAGCAATAAATCCGGATGGAAACACCCCGTCTAGGGTATGAATCCTCCAAGATATGACGAGAAAAAGGAACACGTGAGAAATGAAATACCAGAAAGCTGTGAGGAAGCAGACGTATTTAGCACTTTATCGACGTTTGACCTCTGACGCCCAACCGTCAATGCCTTCACCTCGTGTACCTGGTGGGATCCCCAGATCAATTTTGCTCATGCCCTTGGCATCTTTTAACCACTCATTTGCGGACATGCCGCCGGCGTTGGCGCGCTTTTCAGGGTGAAGGTCTAGCATTGGTAATAAGAACTCGCCAATGCGCATGCTCTGCTCCACTGTGTAGTGGTATTTCTCGCGCAGGACTTCGGGCAAGGCCCAGTGACGGAGGCGGTGGATATTGCGCAGTTCACCCTTGCGGTTAAAGATATCTTGGGACCACTTGCCAGACAAGCACAATGATTTGGGGAATGGGCCAAGCAATTCAATAATCTGAGCGATGTGATCGTCATCCTTACCATACTTAGTGCCGGACTGGGGATCAAACAGGTAGTCGCCGGTGATTAATTCAAATACCTTATGGGGGTTAACATGATTTGACCTGAAATAGCATATCCAGAATTACTCACCATGCATGCCATACTCCAGACATCCGTACTGGCACCCCATTTGGCACCCAAGATCACCTCGGGTGATCGATACTGCCGTGTCTGGATGTCATTGGTGAAATGATGGCCCACCCAGCATGCGTTGCCGAGATCGGCGATCTTCACGGAGATCAAATTAAGGTCGATCTCATCTTCAACCGATTCAAATGAGTTCTTGTCAAGAGAAATGCCTGACACCTCTCGTTCTAGTAGATCCCTGTAATAGTTTGTCAGTATCATTGAATGTAACTATCCAGTTAGATGAGTGCCTTACGTGGTCTTCTCTCGCTGTGCCTGCTTTTCATCCTCTTCTTTGATTCCAAGAGTTTCTTTGATTCCAAGAGTTTCTTTCATTGATGGGGTTTCGGAAGCTACTAAATCGGAAGTTTGGTTAAGAGATAGAATGGGAACGATGCGTCGGATGATCTTACCTGGTTCATTTACCATCTGACTCAAGCTACTGTGGGAGTTAGAGGAGCTGTGCTTGAAGTCGAAGCTATTAAAGTTGGAATTCAGGGGACTAGGCAGTGGCTGACTACCGGTGATCAGCGTGCGCCGACGCCGGCGGCCATTGCGGTTATCCTCTTTGTTTTCCTTCTTTGCCTCCTCTTGCTTAACGTGGGCTTGCACGATCTTCTCAACATCGCCGATCTCGATCAAAACATTTTCTGGTTTCAGATCAGTGTGGATGATACCACATTCACGGTGGAGGTAATCCAGGCCTAGCAAGACCTGTTTTGTGATCTGCTTAACCAACGGCATCGGGATACCACGATGATTATACCGCTTGATCAGACCCAGCAAGTTTTCTCCCAGCACCTCGAAGACCATGCAAACATGGACACCATTGGGTCCTTTGTGTTCAAACGAGTCCAACAGACTGACAACATGCTTGCGGCCTGGGTGAGAGGGCTTTGCTTGGACAATTTTATTGAGCAGTTTAATCTCATCGATAGCTGTTTCGGTGTAGTGGGCCGCAGATCGCACGACTTTCAGAGCGACGTGCTTGCCAGTTGTGGTATCTCGAGACAACCACACTGTGGAGAAATGGCCCCAACCAAGCTTGCGCACCACAACGTAGCGACCATTATTGTATGTTTCGCCCACGGCGACAGGATGATAGCCACCCTTGCAGTAGTCTTCTGAATCTTCCTCCTCCGCAGTTGTCTCTACCTCGTCGCCCGATGACGACGATGGCGACCGCGACGCCGAAGCGCTAGTGGATTTCGAATTTATGGTGGCGGCGCCAGTCCTGTATTGTCGAGTAGTATTGGTTAGTCGCATTGCGCTGAGATTGGAATGAGTGGAGAGAGGATATGGAAGGGAGAAAAAAAAAGACAAGGACGAAGAAAAGAAGGAAAAACAAAAGCACTTACGATTCTGTAGCCTCGCCAGTTGGGTTTGCATCATTGGTTACGATCGGCTTGAGATCAGTGCCCTTTCTTCTTTTCTTGCCACCGTTGCCATTGGCAGCCGAGGCAGCAACACTAGCCATCTGTTTGCCCTTATTCAGTATGTCCTTGGTAAGATCCTCCATTTGGGTGGGGATCAGATTTTGGGAAGGATGTTAAAGTGAGGGACCGCAGCTGAAAGGCGGGGCACCGGGATGCGAGGTGGTTGGGCTACGGAAGAAAAAAAATAGTTGGATTCAAAAAGAGATGTGATTTCAACCACAAATTCTCGAGGAATCAAGTTGAGTATGGAGTGGGAAGTTCAAGATCGGGATTTTTTTTTCTCTCTCATGGACCAAGTGGCCGGTTGATTGGACGAATGGAACGTAGCAAGGTGTATTTCCGCAAGCAGCCTAAATCGAGGAAGCACTGAAGGATGGACGCATCAAGTACAAAGTGTTATGATTTCGAGTGATCCTGTGTAGGGCAATGGGGCATGCAAAGGAAGAAGGATATGATGGTGGAAGGATGATGGCTGAATAGATGGTGAGATTCAGAGATTGCGAGTGTCGATGGCTGGTAGGATAGCCTGTTTTTAACTTTTTATAGTCTACCACTGTTTTTATACTTGTGTATTACTTCGACTTGTCTTCGTATCTCAAGTATATTTCATTCAAGTATTATCTTCAAATGACTGAAGAATAGCTTCTTATTGTCAGAATTATGTTTCTGATCTTAATTGAGATGGAGACTAAAAGGCCTCGACCGCATCCTGATGTCACCGCTTCTCTTCCTCCCCGCTCACCTCAATCTCTCTAGAGAGTCTTAGGATCTTAAGATCTGACAATCACAATGTCTGGGCCTTTTAATCGCCGCCCCCTTCCAGATTACTTCATCACTTCTCCACTCGTCGCCCTTCTTTATCCACTTCATCAGATTTTATTGCGCCTTCGGGGATCTCCCCGACTTGCACCTCCAAACTCCGCCATCCGTGTTGTCTGCATCTCCGACACCCACACTCAAAGATGGCCCGATGTACCAGATGGAGACCTTCTCATACATGCTGGGGATCTTGCCAATGACGGCTCCGTTCGAGAAATCCAAGCTACCGTCGATTGGTTACAATCTCTGCCGCATCAACACAAGGTCGTGATCTGCGGAAACCACGATAGCTACTTCGATCCACGCTCACGCTGCGAAGAAGATCGCGATGGGCCTGCAATTGCATCGAATCTATCAGCATCTACCTGTTCATTACACTCTCTAGACGATGTCAGCGCTACGTCGCGCATCAATTGGGGCGACATTCACTACTTGCAACATTCCTCTGTGAAGCTTGAGTTTCCTGCGACATTAGACCCGTCCTCTACAACCCCTCTGGTCTCTCGTTCGCGCTCCCTCACAATCTACGGTGCGCCACAAATCCCAGCCATCGTACCCTTTGGCCCGGAACACGCTTTCGCATACCCGCCAGAACAGGATGCTTGGTCTTGTACAATACCCCTAGATACAGACATCCTCATAACACACACTCCACCACAAGCTCACCTCGACCTATCCCCTATCTATTCGACAGGTTGTCCCAATCTCCTCGCGGAAACATGGCGTGTCCGCCCGCTCCTGCACGTGTTTGGACATGTCCACGAATCAGCGGGCCGAGAACCCGTGTTCTGGGATGATGCCCAACGAGCTTGGGAACGTCTCTGTGCCTCACGTCGCCCCCGCGCAAAATACAATCGCATTGTTGCCCTAGCTGGGCTGATACGCGATCTATTAGATCCAGCAGGTTGGGCTGATGCCGCCCGAGTGCTGGTGTATGGTGTGCTCGGTGTCATCTGGTCGCAGGTTTGGGGAGGCGAGGGTGGCGGTAGTTGGATGGTCAATGCGGCTGCCATGTATCGGGACAGCGGGCGCCTGGGAAATGCGCCTCAAGTCATTGTTCTATGATTTTTGTATCATTTGAGCGCGCGGAGCGTTTCAATTCCGAAAAGCTTTCAGATGTTCAATTAAATTTCATTTATGTATTGAGTGATACAGCATGAAAAGAGAGATTTTCACCACCTCGATGATGATACGTAGTGACAAAATCCTAAGTGAATGGTCCCATGACTGATTCAAGTTGATACGATAGATCATCTTCATGAAACATCGAAGACTCCCTGCCGTTAGAGATTAGCCACGACCTTGTGATGTGCGAGATCGTTCCCCCTGTAGAGGCGAGACTTGTGTACATAGATTGGATAAATATCAGCTTTTTTGTACTCACAATTCAGTGATAACCTTGGAATGTCCCTTTTTGCAGTTTTTTTCCCTCTTTCTCTTTTGCTTTCTTATGCATCCATATATCCATGGACATTGGATACCTTGAAACCAGTCTTTCTCGCACTCCGTAGATGGTATATACTATTGAAGCCCATGTGTTCAGGGTTTTCCGGGTTAAATGGATCAGAGGGGACTTGAAGATAAGCCTCCAAAGCTATATTTTCCGAACAGTAGGTCACATGACCTCATGACAAGCAGTTACTTCCTAGCATCTGTCTATTTTTCGAGTTCATTATTAACAAAATGTCCTCATCTCTTTTATCACCATAGTCGGGTGCTGATATTCATAGTATTCTATCGCCGTATATATATCATACGTTGTGTTTCATTTCTCTCCAAGGCGCTACTCCTACTTTATCCAGCTCATTTCTGCCTTTGGATAAGGTGGGTTCAACATGGTCACCTGGGAAGCTTTGATAAACCGTCGAATTTGGCAGTTTCTGTGTGTGTTGAGCTACTGGTCGCTCACTATCCTGGCATGGCTGGACCAAAATACCGTGCAAGGAAACACAGGTAGAATGGAGAAGATGCATGAGGAGAAAGAGTTTTGGATATAAATAAAGAATAGGAATATTTTGGGATATATATAGCAGGGGAAATTGGCATTAAATATAGAGTCACGAGGAAAATTCAATGAAATGTACATGTGCCAAGGTTCAGTTAGAGGTGAAGTGAGGTAGAGGTTGAAGAAAAGGAGAATAGAGAGGTAGAGAGAAAGACGAGATAAAAGGAAAGAGTGAGCAGTGACAGTTGGTAAATTGATAATCTTTGTAAAATGTAATTAGTGTAGCTTTGTATGACTAGTACATCGACGAGAAAGAATTATCCAAGCCGGCAAACAAGGCATCCCAATCAACTGTAACCGGGCCTGAATTCTCATCAAATGCTCGCCAGAGGTCGTCCAGAGCTGGTAATGTAGCGTCGATCGACAAATCGTCAGAGTTCACGCTTGGCAAGAATGTCGTACTTGAGCTTGTAAGTCTTAAGTTAGCGGGGTCTGAAATTTCCATTGATTGATTTTCTGAAGTAGAAGTTCTGTGGCGATTCAGAACTGTCTTGAAAGATTCCAGAAGTTTCCCTGCAAAGGGAGATTTGTCCTTCACTCCCTCCAGTACTGCAAATGCCTGGAATATCTCAGCATCATCACCTTCCTTTTTCTGATGCGGACTTCTTCCACAGTATTCGAGAAGAAGCGCAATGATAGCCACGCAAAGGCAGTGCAGAATACCGGAGAACTTCAAACGTGCTTGTACGAATGGAATCATCTCCGAGGAAAGTTGCCGTTCCGTTCGTAATACCAGCCTAGCCGCCTCCATACAAGCATTCCGAGAGTACTCATATGTAGGGTCCTTAATGGCACGGGAGAGACATGGCAAGTGAAGTCTGCATCTGTGGGTGTGAAGCATGAAGTTGATGATGTACCGTTGCATAATAACCCCAGTAGATCTATCTGGATTGACTTTCTTCAATTCTTCTAAATCCAAGTCCAATGAGAAGAAAGACGGAAGGCTTGCAGCAAATTCACAGACTTTTACGTCAATTTGCTTCGTATGTTCAAAGTTTGGGGCTAGGTCAGACATTGAAAAGATCTCACTGTCCGTCATTTCTCGGCAGAACTCGCCTAGTCGAATTCGTTGTAGACAGTATGACATTGATGTTGGTTGAGAAAGTGGCTTGCCAACAATCATTCCATCAATGAGATCCTCGTCATTGGCGTTCACAGGCTTGTTAGTCATCATCTGGGATGGCATGATAGAATATGTGCCTTTCTGTGGGCCGGCCAATTGCGACATTTGCCTATTAAATATGGGTCAGTATCTTTCAAAGTTGAGAAGGGGAATTTTTCATATGGTTTACCAATCAGTCGCTACGATGTACCACCAGACCCTCCTGTATATTTCTGCTTTTGCTGAGGACGGGGAAGGCACATTGAGGTAGGCATTACTTGGATGATCAATTCGATGCAGAGATAGTTCTCTGGCTACAGAGATGGCAAGAGCGACGAGGTGACGAGCCTGAGATGCGATTCCCTCGAGATTAATGACCACAAATATCAATATTACCAGTGCCTGCACATCCTCTATAGACTTTCCATTTTTGGAGCGGGAGTAGTCAAGAATCTCTAGAGAAGATTTCATCCAGTGTATGGATTGGCCATTTGCCTCTTCGACAGTGGAGAACATCGAATTGTGCATATCGCTTTCAGTCCAGAAAGTTGTGGTGCTGGCGAGGATTGCCAAAAGCAATGAAACGTGCCCAGGTGTTATGGGCTTGCTAGATCTCAAGTTTTGGTAGAGTTCTTCTACCATATTTGGCAGTGAGGGAGGGTGTACCACGTGATGGAGGTAGGTTAGTTCAGCGTTGTACTTTTTCACTATTACTTGCGCTTCCTCATGAAGTGGCAGCCATACCACCTTTTTCACGGGCCCATGTGAGATTGGATTCGTCCTTTGGGCGTGAATGTTGTTCAATGCATGTCGAATGGGACATGTCCTGAATTCGATTTCATACATGATGAGAGAGGCCTATTTTGAGTCAGTGATATGCTTGGAAAGTCTTTACGATTCACAGATATACCGTCGAGCCTGGTGATATGATTTCACCCTCCAGCCAGTCCAAAGCAGCCGCAGATGACTGCCCTTGGTGCATCATAAATGGATGCTCTGGATCTCGAGTCACAGAAGCGACTGAAGCTTCACGAGAAGAAGCTTGTCCCCGGGGACAAGACGTTGTACCATTCCCATTTACCATTTCTTCTAGGATGCTCAGACGAGTCTGCATATCTGCAATAACATTATTGGATACTGGGAACTTTTCCGTTTCATTTTGAGGGGTTGGCAAAGAAGGTGGGTAGAGCTGACAAGGCATACCCCGGCTGCTACAATTGGAGCAAGGGAATTGCCGACTGCACTTGAGCTTCCTCGATCGACAAAAGTGACAGGATACAGGCTGCGAGCGTGCTGACCTGACGCGGCCTGTCTGAACACGATCCATCCTTATGACCTTGGAAGTACACCGGGGTTGAAGTGAGGAAGTGGAAATAACGATAGGAAATGAGTTTGGGGCCATTGGTATTCTGGCCAATGGTATCTCGTCATTTTCGTGGCTTGATCGTGTGGGTCTGTCTTAATGCAGTAACTTCATTTACAACTTTTCCAAAACAAAAACACGTTCACAGTTGTAAGTCAGTTTGAAGCGATAGCGAGATATAGTATTTTGTAGAATATGGATACGTACATAGAAGATCATTCTGCATCTAAAATCTATGAATACCTAGGTAGCTGTTCCTGGAAGGCTCCTCGTCAGTGGTTGTTAAAGTGTGTCTATTTTAATTTAAAAGATATTGACGCGTTATTAATAAATAATCGAATTAGCTTTCATATGACTCGGAAAATATAATGAGATCTATATATAAATTTTGGCAAAACTCTCTCTTACTAGAACTTGGCTGAAAGACAATAGAAAACTGGTGTTCAAATTTTCAAAGAAGTGATTTGTCTGAGAATAAAATTCTATCTCCAATGGGTGTTATCTTACGTGGTAGCTGCAATCCAGAGGTCAAAGAATAAAATATTACAATTTTGAAATATAGCCCTGAACTACTCTTCGCTGACGCAAACTCCAGCCATATATATGCTGAGTCATCATAATGGCTTGCGCATCAATCCAATTAAATGTCAGCGATTCCGCGGATGTCCCGTGGCTCCATGGAAGCTCCGCGGTCTTTGAAACAAATGAATCAATTAAGAAGATTCCATTATATAAAAGCGGACATCTTCTCGTTGTTAAAAATCAATTCAGCTCATCCTCACATTTCTCACTATATCAACTTTCACCTTGGAAATATTCCCATCACCTTAACTGCATTTTTGAGACAGTATCATCATGGATCCTATCATTGCTCAAATTCAAGGCTTGGCCAAGAACTCCGATGAGATTGGTCGACTGAATATCGTCAAGACTCTTCAAAGGCTCCAAGTCGAGATACAAAGTCCAAAAGACACCCTTTTCGGTCTTGCAGGCGCGGTTCGTAGACTTGAACTCCCCTTCATTTATTCTGGTGTTGACGATTGAGCGGCAGGGCGTGACCATAGCGATGCTTCGCGTTAGTGCTGATTTGGGACTCCTCCGTCTTCTTGCTAAGAGCAATAGTCCCTTGACTGTTGACGAAATTGCAGTGTCGACAGGAGCTTCTCCTCAGCTCCTGGGTGAGAGTTCTTGAGCCCATGAAATTGAGGCTGAATGCTAACGGGAAAACGCTTACAGAGAGAATCCTGCGCTATTTGGCATCAGCAGAAATGATCAAGAAAGTTGAAGCCAATAAATATGCTGCTATCCTCTTAACCCACATCTTGGCCGATCCCAAGGGCGAGGGTATGATCTATCACGCGTAAGTCTAAAAATATTTCTGCTCCTGGTGGATCATGTGAATAGAAGAGCTAACGAAATTGAAAGATTTGACACCCATGGGCCCGTCATACAAGCCATGCCAGACTTTTTCGCAGAAAACAGCTACCAGGATGTCACTGTTAACACCAACACCCCTTTCCAGAAAGCTCACAATACCAAGCTTACATCCTTCGAGTGGCTCAAGCAGCATCCAGACCACTTCATTCGTCTGCAAGCGGTCATGACGGCTATGAAAGGATCGGAATGGACAGATGGATTCAGTCTCATTCACGATGAAGCTCAGAAAGCTCCTTCCGCTGCCCCACAGCCTCTGGAAAAGCCTTTCTTTGTCGATGTTGGTGGCGGTCATGGTCATCAGTGCATTGAGCTCGGAAAGAGATATCCTAACCTATTAGGACGTCTTGTTCTCCAGGACCTGCCTGAGGTAGTGGATAGTCTTGCCCCAATTGAAGGTGTCAAGACAGAAGGCAATGACTTCTTCCAGAAACAGCCCATCAATGGTTCGTGTCCCTTGTACCTGATAAATATTTCGCCGAGCTAATTTATAACCCAGGTGCCAAGTTCTACTATTTGCGCAGAATCATGCATGACTGGCCTGATCTGGAGGCCGCAAAGATTCTCCGGAATATTGCCTCGGCCATGGGCACTGACTCTGTAAGCTTTTCAACCTGTGTTTTGATGTCTGCTCAGGAACTCTAACAAAAGTGCAGAGAATCTTGATTGACGAAACCGTGCTGCCTGAAACTGGGGCCCACTTGCAATCAACAATGGCCGACATTGCTATGATGACATTTGGTGGTAAAGAGCGCACCGAGAGTCAGTGGAGCGCGCTTGCGGAAATTTCGGGTTTGAAGATTGAGCAGATCCACACTTACATCGCCTCGACCTACACCGCTATTCTGGTTTTGGCACCCCAGTGATCATGCACTAGCGGGTACCAAGAGGGATATATTTTAACGTCTTAGTTTTGTATTTCGCAACTGGTTATTGAGAATTTCATTTAGTTTCAATCGAATGATAGTATGAGTATCTACAGCGTAATGAGGACCTTTGCACGCACATTATACAATGATCAGATATATGTGAAGTTCGATATCTTCTTCTCCTTATTATCCATTTTTGAGTTGGTGCCTAGTTTACCTGGCACATGCCCGTTGATTGAGCCCTGGATGCTAATGAAGCCTTCTTTCAGGTTAAAGCACCGGGCACGGTATTGATGAGACCCGCCATCTTAGAAGATATAGTGTTAGCCGCATGCTTCCAAGGTTTATACCGGAACCCAGAAGTATATGTCGGTACACCGTTAAGTATAGCAATGTTGGTGAGAGGCTAACGCTCACTTCTAACACCTATTACAGGTTGCTCTTTCCGCCCCTATAATACCTTTGTGTTCTCTTGAAGCGGTTATAAAATCTGGTCTTTCATTCATGGTGAGGACTAGCTATTTATCCTGCAAGTTGCTCTTCTGTCTGAGACGAATGTGTTCCATCGTCTAAGACAGAATGGTCGGTAAAGACGGGACATCACAGTTATATGTATACTGTTCAAGGTTGTCGTTTGTGATGCACTCTGAACAGGGATTCGTGATGTGTCGTTTTTCCGATATCCCAACAGTATAGAAGCTCAATGAAGTATTCGAAGTTTTTTGTTTTCTTTTTACCGATGGCTTTTCGTAGTCCACGGAACCTGTGAACCTTCAGGCTGACATTGTTTATCATTATTCGTAAGATGCATCTAGTCGGCTTGCTAATGGGGAGGTTTTAAATAGTAAAGTTGGTAGCATAAAGCAGTGACAGTGTTAAGAGTCTCAATTTGAATATCTTACAGGAGACTGCCCATGTGATGCCAAATTGATATATATATATATATATATGCATGTAGCTCAGATGCAAGTAAAGAAGAAGAAGAGTGAGTTAGGAACTTGAGAATACAACTGACTTCAAAGTTGTATATTGAGGTTTAGTGTTTGTAGCAAGTAGACGTGTTGGCCGCATAAAAAGACGTACATACTGCGAGCGAAGATAAGAGTGGACACTGATGTGAGCGTTGCAAATAAACCCTAACAAAAATAGATAGAGCAACTTTCCAACGTTACCAAAAAAGCTCCAGACATGAAAAAGATGTAAAATTAAGAAAATAGACGTATAATTGATTTGTTCGAACGCCTTCGAATTTTGGTGATGATATTCGATTCAAGGCGCTGCCAAGAGCTTCCCCGGATTAGATCGCGTGAGATCGACAGGGCCAAGCAATTCGCCCTATAAGTGGATTCCCCTTATCGCTAGACCCACTTTTCATCTCTCCCCTGGCTCATGCACTGGTTTCATAGCCTCTGATTGGCCTCAATAAGTGACTTCTAGTGTAGCCTATAAAGGTATTATCCTGGGACGTTTCTCTCTCTTTCTTCCCTTTTCCCTTCTCTCTTCTCTCCCTATCAACTGCAATGATGACGATCTTTGTGTACATGCTAATCTTTGATTCCAAATGCCTTAGCATATGGAATATGACAAGCACAACTTTCACTGAGCAGTATGCTTCTCAACTTTGTTCTTCAAGCAGATTCATTCTACTACCCTGTCTTCTCCCAATCTTCCTTCTTCCTTATTTCATTTTGTTTTGATTCTCCACACGATTGTTACATCAGATCATCAATCCTCGGACTCGTGATCAAATCAAATTGATCTCTCCCTCCATTCCTTTTATTTCATTCACAATATTTCTTGTTCCCCCTATCTGTCCTCCTTCCTTAGTTTCAACTGGAATAATGATGATCTCTCTAGATCTGACGGCAAATGCCTTGTCTATACATAGTCCAAGGCATGTATAATATGACGATCAAGAGGTTCGCTGAGCAGAGCTGCATCTTATCATTTCTTTTCACAAATTTTCTGCTGTTGTCTATTTCTCACCTCATCTCTAATTTTCTGATACTGCTTTCTAAAATGAAGTCAGATAATTACATTCACTTCCACAACATGAGTGACTTCTCGCACCATTTATTTTCCTTCAGTTTTGAAGACCCTTCACTTCATCATTTCTTTCTACATCAACTGCGAATCAATGATGAATATCCCTCTTGAATCTTTTCGTTTAACCTGGCTGTAGCAGGAGAAGGGTCAGTATGACGACTTGGATCTGAATAGCAAGGGTCAGTTCTTGCTCCACTTCATCTTCTTACCCTGCATTCATGATGATTACTTCTCTGTAGAGCTGATTGATCTCAGCTTGCTGCAGGGTAGAGGTCAATATGAAGATGAGATTTCTGATTGACCTCCTGTGCGGGCAGAGGTTGAACAAGATGAAAATGAGCTTTCCTGAAATGGCTTTCCTGTTCTCTTTTCTCATTGTCTTGAACTTCACCTGCTAATTCCATGCAAATAGGACCATTTGCAGAGCAAAGCACACGTTATAAAGTCAATTATATAGGCCAGTACTCTTACCACTTTTTATTTCACTTGGCAATACTACAATCATGATGACCATATCTCTGTAGATCATCTGATTGGTTCTCGCTATCGGCAGAGCAGAGGTCAATATGAAGATGAGGTTTCTGATTGATCAGCCTGTCGGTAGGTCAGAGCTAATGTGACGATTGAGAACTATGATCTGAATTATTTCTCAGCCTTTCTTCTGCCTGTTTTATCTTTCTTATTTCACCTGCTAATGAGATACGTCAGATCAATCCATATGTGCCTCACAGTGTGCGCCAACTCAACTCTCTCTGCAGCATTAGCAAACATGTCCCTACCTTCCGTTTTTTTTTTTTTTTTGCAAACCCCTCTATGCAATCTCACTCCCCTTCTCACCAAAGATGCGTACCATTATTATTCTCTCTCCTTTTCTCATGACCTCTGAGGGGCATTGGAGAATTTATACCCCGTTGAATTCTATTTCAATATGAATCATGGTGTTGTCATTTGGCATCCTATTCAACTCACGTTTTCATCAGTTTTTATCATGATGCTGATTCAATCTTTCAAGCCTTACATTTTAGCTTTTTTTGTACGACAATCTCTATACTATCATCGTCCGAGGGTAGCATTAAACAACCTTGTTTACCTACGTGAGCAGTCTCATGCTTGCCCTTCGTTTTCCCAGATAGCCAAATCATGTCTTGGGTATTGAATCTATCCTTTCCATCATTCATCTCGATACTAATGATGGCGCTTGTCAGATTCACAGCAATTTTGGCATCGCCAATTTTCCTCTACTCCTCCCTCCTTTCCTATCCTTACCTCAATTTTGCTCTAATTGAATAACTATACGAGGCAAAAACCCACAGAAAAGCAGCTGTTGGAAATGATGATGAACAAGTACATTCAGAGTATGATATACCCATGATTTCAAAATATTGTCTGATCCATTTGCTGCTGCTGGGTTTCTTGTTTTTGCCCTTCCCCTCTCTTTGGAATTTTCAATTTTCACCCCTGTTAAATAGGTTATTCGGGTGCACTAGACTTTCCCATCATCCACAAAATTTTCAACTCCAAACCGTACTACTCATTTCCCCGCTCTATCTTCGTTGTTCTGAAGGCAAGTGGTGATTTGAGTATTCAATGCAATTTCTCTATGCTTCTTTATCTCATTCACGATCCAATCCGATGGCAATATCGCCTTATGGCATTCATGGATATTGTGTCTGTCTATCGCGGAGAATCACGCAGGCTTATAGCACCTCGAAATGATAGAAGTTATCTTTTATGATATACCCTTGACTACAAACCACCATACACCATTCAAATGAACTAATAGAAACAAGGTTCCAAAAATTTAGAAAGCAATCAGTCGTACCTCAAATCTGGGGCTGAACTCAGGAGACAAGGCTTTATAGACTGGAGACTTATAGAACTTGTATGATAGTTTTATTTTACTGGGAGCCGATCTTGAACCCTCACTATGATATAGAAACATAATAGTATCGCCTTCGTTCAACAACAGAACTATTCAATAGCCATGTTCTTATTATTTTATTCCTGGCACTAATTATGAGAATAAAGGAAAGTGTATATATTGTCAAGCTGATTTAACCGTCTACTGTAGACCCAAAGGTTATCGTTAAGCCGCTTTTGAAAATGATTGTAATATCGGAATCTTTACGCCTTAAATATTGGTTAAAGCCCATTTCAGTACGAATATAAGTTGGGAATGATTGATTTGGCCCATATCATCATTAGAACCTGAAGCGGAAGCTATCCAGCCATTCCAGTCGGTCATCGAGACTTTAACCCAGCCGGAACCCAGCTGGAACAAGATGAAGCTAAGGCAGCAGCTCAGAGTAATCGCTTTAAAATCAAATACGAGGTAAAATAACTGTGATTGTATAGGAAAATGGCTGTGCTATGGGCTTCAAGAAATGATCATCAACTAATATCTGCTAGTATGACTTTGAAAGTCTTAGTAAGGACAAATGAAAACCTATAGACCTACTGAAATTAGGATGTATGTACATGTTTTACTGCTATAAGCCGAAATACCCGTGGACTTTTTTCTAATTTTGTTGATAGACAATTTTGTTCTACATTGCACCATTATGTGTGATCAAAGAGATAATTTGGAATGTTTTGTTCAGTATCTAGTTGATCATCACCAAGAATTCTCGGAAGTTCGATCTAAAAGTGGTTATACTCCGCTCACCCTTGCCTTTATGCTTCACCGGGTTGCCTTTGCTTAGATTCTGATTACTGTAGGGCGAATCTGGCCACTCGTAACAACAAGGAAAACAAACAATCTTCTCTATTATTGTCTCGTTATACTTGAAGATGGCCCTTACGTAGAAAGGGAAGACGTGATAAGCCTATCAATCTCCTAGATAAGCAACTCCTTTCGATGATGCTGTCGAGCATGCTGGAAAGAGCTCAAGAACGCACTTTGCTCGCTGGCTAGGTTCACTATCATCTTCATTCACCAAGAAGTCTAATGAGATAGTAGCTACAGGCCTTAATCTAGCTAGCTCCATAAACCAAAAGCTCTTAGATTTCTTCGATGGGTCAGGAAACACTATAACTCATCAAATCGTTAAGCAAGTACTTCCTTATGTGCTGGAACAAATCCTTCATCACCGTCATCATTGAGTGTACCACGAATCCGCAATGGGTATCACGCTTCTTGAGATGGCCGTGGATGAATGGGTCAACTGAATGGGTCAACAGAATCACTTCCCGTCCACCATTTGCTCCTAATCTACTACTTCAAAACGCCAATGTAGTTGATTGTGAGCAAGATATTTCCTTCCGGGCAAGAGCACAGAAGCAGAAAAAGACACTCTGGCCCGAATTTGCCAGGAACGAGTTAAAAGCGAACTGTAAAGAGAAGGAAAGACTTGTGAGACTTTTTGAGGCGGATGAGATCACAAAGAGATTGGTAGCGACGAGTCCGTCGTCCGGAATTATCAGCCAAAGGAGAGAACTTGCTTGCAGACCTTCTTCGGATCAGATCAACGAGCTTGCCAGGTTGATCCAGCAGGATTCCTTTGGTCAGGCGCGTGTCTGTTGGTAAGTGCAGACCGTAACAGTACTACTAACGGATGACTAGGCGACTAGGGAGACTGGGTGGATTCATCTCCATCTCGTAGATTGGTGCTGGAATCATGCAGAATGAAGCATGATCCAGGTTGATCTATTAGCTAGCAAAAAGAGAATAAGACATATTTCTAAAACCTTCAACATCATCATTTATATCAGTATACCCAGGTATACAAGAGAGCATCATCTTTGATAGATGATCCGACAATTATTCAGTTCCTCAGATTACAGTGGCGACCGCATTCGCCTTCATGATACGCTATCCTAGATACGAGTAGCTTGTAAATAATCCGTCTTGTAGCTGACTATGTACTATCAGAAGGTTGAGATACCAGTATTACCGCGACGCTTTATAAGCCCGGCTAAATTTTTGTGTTTCACTTACCAAACTATACAGTATGCCGTTGTCTACCCCGTTCGGGTTTACAGGGAATTGTAAATGACAACTGCTTGATAACAAAGTCCTCTTGGAAGAGGGAGTAGACCTGATATCAGGTAGTATTTTGATATCGAGTTGATTTCAAAGAAGGTTCATCATCTCTGTAGGCGATGATTCAAGTCTAAGTATCTATCAGACACGGACGTTGAAATTTGAAGGTTGAAGGTGGCAAGAGCAAGAAGAAGATTTCGCATAGCAAAGCAGCGAAGAAGAGTGAATTTGAGACAGTTCATTCAGGCTGATAATCGCTTGATGTCAAATCCCAGATCAAGATAAATGCGAATAAAAGAAGCAAAATGGTATGCAGGGAGCAATGCATCAAAATATAAAAGCCCTAACCGAATCTAATACCAAGCCGAAGCCGCATCACGGCGAAATAAAACAAGCCAGTGGAATAAACGAATTACCAACCGCCGTCATCCTCATATTGATCCTCACGACCCTCCTCATAAGCGCGACGCTCATCATCTTCTTGATTCTCATCTGTACGCGGCCATTAGTAAGAAGAAACCTCACATATAAATCTCAGTAGTGATCTCACCAATCTCATGCTCGATAAAAGCACCACCAATAGCACCAACAGCCAAAGCACCAGCACCAACAGCGAGGTATTTGCCCGTATTAGACTTTTCCTCTTGCTGTTGGGGATAATCGTAGCCACCACGTTGGTCGTAAGCTCCGGGTGGGGGAGGACCAGGTGGGGGTGCATAGTAGCCACCTTGAACAGGAGGAGGGGGAGCACCGCGATCGCCGTAGTACGGGTCCGAAGGCGGAGGGCCGCCGAAAGGCGGTTCCCATTGTGTACGACCTGTAGCTTCTTCGATCCAGAAAACGCGGCGCATGTTCGGCTCCCATTCTTGAACCCAGCCCTGAGGAAGTGGGGGTGGAGGGCCCGGAGGTGGTCGTGGAGCGTTATATGGTGCGTTGTAACCTCCTGGGGGACCTGGTGGCGGGCGGCCGTATGGATCGCCTTGGTAGTAAGCCATTGTGTGGTATGTTTTCTTTGGGAGGGGAAAGGAGGTTCGAGGATGGAGGGTATGTGGACGGGTTGAAGGAATTTATAAAGGGAAGTAGAAATAGGGGAGGGGGAAGGAAGGAAGACAACGCTGGCTTTATGGGGTTGGTACAGGTAATAACACGATAACAACAATCAACTCCACTTGTGTTATTCCGCTGAAAACCGAACCTACGTTGAGCTAGAAAACGAATGGAAACCAAGGGAATATTCCCCACTGTGTTGTAAGTGGGGACAGAGTGTCATTTGCCCTGACAGCTCTGTATAGCCTAAATATAACAGAGTAAGTATAACTACTGGGTAAATTATATGTATATCCTATTGCTTCATGTCACACTCAGTGCAGAGTGATTACATTTCTAGATTCTATGGAGGTAAATTATGAGCCCCTGACCCCTATACGCTCAACATGAGACGTAATGCGAAGGGTATGTTGATCAGGAGGTAGCTTCAATCATGGAGATGGAGTGTGTGACCGAGGCTGAGCACCGGTTACATTGCATACTTTTAGAGGATAGAACAGCAAACAATGGAAGTCAGGCGAATGAGGCCTTGGAACTGGTTTCGAAATAGTGCTGCCTGTTCCTCAAAATCTGTTGAGTTGTAGTCGGAGTTGACCGATCGGACATACCGCACCAGAGCCACCGGTGTTACTATAGTCTAAATGTCATGTAGGCAGTGCTAGTCTACAGGGTAGAGATGGTGATGCTCCAATTCCCCCTCCACGCAAGGAAGTTGAGAGACTCAAAGCGCCACAGTGTGGCGTTGATATGGCTTAGAGGGACACAGCCACTTGGGAAAATACACGTGGCATATTCTAGGCCTAGTCTAGATAACGGTCCTTACGAAATAACACGTTCATGTGGGTTTGAGGGAAATAAAAAGGGGTCTGGCCTCCCTGATCAAATCCCGGAAATATGGTATGATTCAATAGCTCATAGACATCTCCAGTAGAATGAAGATAACTTGGGCTATCACTTTTCAACGTATAAAGATATGGTAAAACAACTGATACTGCGTATTAAGAAGGTACGAACGGGCTCGTCACGAATAGTCTCATCGGGGTCCTGAAAGCTTTGAGAGCAAGAATTCAACGAATCTATTTAATTATTAGTGCATCTCACAGGGATAATAATGAACAAGCTGTACCTGAGGATTACGTATGCCGATAGCAGTATTTCGTCATAGCAGCACTCACTATCCAGATCCTGCCAGGGCGCTGGTCTCGGAGCTGTTGGGGTAGAAAAATGCAGCCAATCTGTGATGTATTAGCGGAATTCACATGGGGGGTCCGAAGAATAAACTGACGCGATAATCACGTAGGCCGCAATCAAAAGTGCACCTTCAAGGTAATTACTGCGGCCATCGAGGACAAGGAAGTTCACTACAAAAGCAGTGACGAAGAGGCAGATTGTTTCGAAGAGGGTAAAGTACAAGGACATATCCTTGTCCATGCACCAACCAATGATAACAACCAGAGGAGTGACAAAGATGGCTGTAAGATGTTAGCACCGTGCAAGATAAAAAACAGGGGTATCAAAGAACAAGTTACCAATTTGAATACTACTGCCCACGGAAACACCAATAGCCAGATCCATCTTGTTCTTGGCAGCCACACTGACAGCAGTGACGTGCTCGGCAGCGTTGCCGACAATGGGAAGAATGATCAAACCGATAAATGCCTCGCTGACAGACGAGTCTGCGATCATTTCAGGAATAGCATCGACCAAGAACTCGGCACAGACTGCGACGAGAGCCGTTGACACCAAGAGCAGGACAATAGCCGCAGTGCGAGACATGTCAGGAACCGGTTCCGGGTCGACTGCATCGGGGGCCACGACATCATTGACACCAGGTGTACGAACGGCACCACGGGCAAATGTCACGGCACTGCCTGGGAGAGGTCGGCGATTAGTGGCAGCAGGCAAAGATGCACTACGGTACATAGAGGGACGTGAGACAGCTCCAGCAGGAGGGTTGGAGGGCGACTGTGAGCTAAAAACAGTATTGGCCAGGATGGAAGGAACGACTGGGAATCGTCGGCGTTGACCCTCAGTCTCGTTAGAACTCTCGGCTCCTGCAAAAACATCGGCCATGAGCTGTGTTTCTGTGGGTTCGGTGGACTCGAGCTTGGCATTGTCCTTGCGCGAGCGGCGTTTTCTACGCTCACGCTTCGTGGCCTGTTCACTTTCAGCAGTAGCCGTCCGGCTCATGGGCATTCCAAAGTCACGCGACCTGAATCCAGCAGTAGGAGGATGGGTATCATCGTCGGCATCATACTTTATCTCATCGACAAATTCAATGGCAGATGATGCATTATCGTTGTTGCTGCTGCCGCCAATAGAGTTGACAACGGAGGCCTGGTTTTCATTGGCGATCATGGGCTTCTGGACAGAGAGATTTGACGTGGTACACTTGGAGCTTGAGCTCGACTTGCGGCGTTTGCGATGTCTCATGGCCCGCTTAATTCGCTTGGCCGTGGACCAGGACGTAGTCGTGTCAACGGATTCATCACTGGAGCTGCTTGAAGAGTCGGAAGAGCTGTTCAGGAATTCGGCGAGAACACCGGGATGTGATTCTTCGTCAATAATGCGCTGAGGGATGCTGGCGTAGAGGTAGGAGTGGGACTTGAGCTGGAAGACGATGTACAAAACGTATACAAGGAGCAGTACCTAAGAAGTGTCAGTATTAATACGAGAAATAATGAGCAGGTAACTCACCACACTAGTACCACGGCTGACTTTGAGAGTCTCACGGTCCGCATTCTCGCTGTTGGACCACGAGGCGTGGAAGGCGGTGGGCAGCAAGAGACTCGTCACGCTCAGACTAAGTAAGCAGGCGCTCATCTGGGTGACAGTAGCATTGTAGATCTGTTCCTGGAAGCGAAGACCACCGAACAGAAACGCCATACCCAGAATGAGCAGCAAGTTGGCCAGGATTGAACCTAGCAGGGAGGCTTGCACGATCCGGATCTCGTTCTTGACCAGTGCGATAATAAAAATGATCAACTCTACGGCATTACCAAAAGTGACATTGATCAAAGCACCAATAGTATCACCTAGACGACAGGCGACACTCTCGGTAGCATGGCTGAGTAACCCGGCCAAGGGGATGATGGCTACGGCGTTCATGGCGAAGATGATGGCCGGGCTGAGGCCGACTGCCTTGACGGCAATACCGACTGGCACGAAGACGAGCAGTATGTTTACCCAACTGTGGAAAATTGCATCCTTAGTATGGAGACCGAAGCGCTTGGAGCCATTTCGCATGCGAAGGAGCATAGGTTGTTTTGATTTCTCTTCATTGTCGGGTTCCACCTTGGGGGAACCCTCACCTGGTGGATTCACTTCAACATCTTGAGTTTCAGGAATCGGGCGAGAGGCCAGATTTGAAGGTGTTGTCGAAGTTTGTAGTTTTTGAGGAGATGATGATGCGTGAGCTTTCGCCCACGAGTGAATACGGTCTGGACATCATAGGTGGGTCAGTTGAGTTGTGGAGATCAAGGGTCTGGAGATGAATACTTACGCATGTATTTCAGGAACAAAAACGTGGCAGATGTGCCTTGAGAGAATGAAAAGATAGACTGTCTAAAGAAGACGCCTTCTAAGGTTACGATGAGTGAGATTGATTAGGGGCGACACAGGAAAGTATTTATCTTAGAGCTTGGCAAATCCTTGGCTTTCGTTGGAACAAAAATAGTGGAAACAAACAAAAAGCGGGAGATCAGCTTATTCAGCCAATGATTGATCTTTCGTCTCATCATTTCATTCTTTCATGATGTCACTTCAATTACGACTACGAAACTCCGACTTCGAGACTCAGTATGGATTACTCCCTATAGGGCCATACTTTACGCCTCACTTTTCAGGATCCACCTCCGAATTCCAATCCTGATTGGGATAGTTATCCCCAACCATAGACCGTTGTTCCACCAAGTACAGAATACAGAGCAAAGAGAATATACGGGCCAGTCAATCATACGATCATCTTCGTTCTCACTTCGGTTTATTTTATGAGCTTTATTCCCGAATATTTCTCGGAATCAGTCCGAGTCAGCTATCTCAAAGATGTGGAGCGTTGACTAGTGCGCCAAGTACGCTAAGTACATTTACAAAGAAAACGTTTACACAAAAGGTGCTCTGCATTATGTACGCTGACGATGTTGGACACATCTAAAACGCTACATGATGTCATGTATACTGAATACCACTTTGTCCATATGTACGCTGTACTCCGTACCTTGGTCGAACAATTGCCATTTTGCCATGTCTATTACTCCGTAGCTAAAAAAATGAATCTGGCCCCACTTATTGTGGCTGTGGTTGAGTTTCATCGCCACTGATCTCTTTTCGTCACTAACGAGGCGAGAAATCAAGAGCAGCAAGAGCATGATGAATATGCATAAGTTATGAATATACTAACCGATGTTTTATGGTGCTAGTGATAATGAGTCACGGAATGTGGAATATGAGACCATTCGAAGACATACATTCACCTGCCAGCGGATGAAAGATTGACAACACGAAGTGCGGAATACCTCTGATCTGCGAAGAAGTTTGAAACTACAACAAGAGGGACCTAAGTCGTAATCATGTTAGATACCGAAAAAAACGAATGGTCAAGTTTAAATTACTGCTTGAATCAGCTGTATATTCAAGTATTAGTTACTTTTTGAAAGCACGTGACAAGGCCAATCGAAATAAATGATTGATTGGTCTAGTAACTGATCATTATCTAGGATATGAGAATCCTGAACCAATTCAAACTAAACAGACATAATGAATTGGTCTGACATAGTGCGGGATCGACGATCAACTTCTATTTACTGCTGTGGGAACCAGGGAATTTATTCAAATTGATTCGGCCCCTATCCTCTCTTCTGCGAAGGTCGATATTATTGAAGAGTTTATATCTTCTTCTAAGCTCGCTCCGAGTCGCTCGGTGAATGACTTAGAAATATCTTATTCAATATTTGGATCCTGATATTGGATGGAAAACTCTTCGCCACGCCTTAGAAAGGGGATACGCTCGCTGTATTGACCTCCGGAGACCTATTTTAGAGAGGACTTAATAGGCCTGTTTAGCATGGGCTCAGTAGTATGTCTATTGGACTTGGGAGCAATAGGATCCTGTACTCGGGTATGATGAGAGCTACGTAACCTCTGTCGCCCATCGAAGAATCTGGGTGGGGGAACAATGGGATCCAATCTATATCCGAACCCAATAACAGCGAGCTCCTGGCTGGACGTTTTGGTGTAGTTTTTATGGCTCTACGACGGGACCCTATGTACTCTGGGGGAAAGAATGGGACTCTATTATAAGGGTGCGATACTATGGTCGAATTATTTCTGCTGTAAAGAGTATTATAAAACTGTATTAGAAGGATGAGAGAGTTAATTTAAAATGTATATAGGACAACGCTCTCGCCTATAAGGCTAAAGATATACAGAGTAAAGGATGAGCTCTGTGGGCACAGAATTATTCCTACTGTACGGCCTGCCTTTTCTGCTGACTTAAACTCGATGGAGAAGTTGTAGGCGTAGATGGAAGGTTTGAAAGGCACTATCTTTGTGGATACTGCATTAATGGTCAGCTTCGCGAAGCTGTTTAGGAATGGAACGCAGAGCAGATAAATCAGATGGGAGTTAGATGGCGAGTGGAGGGTATACTATATTCTAAAGAACTGTATCTAAACTGTTCGGGATATCTCTAGTTAGAACTTAGTGAAGTTGTTACTTTTACCAATCTTTTATTACATAAAAATATATTGAAAAGGCTATTTAAATACAAAGAGCGGTATTTAAAAAGTGGCAGAAATTAGTCTCCGTAATCCGTCGGCAATTGCCTCGGCACGGTTCTCATCGAACCACAACCCGATAACCTGATTCGTCTGGACATTTCTCTGCTCACGGATATGAACTATTCCGTCTCCTTGATCTAGCTCATTATCTCAGAAAATATCAATTCTTATTCCTTTGAAGGTTCTCTGTGTAGACACATTTCTGCTGCAACAGAATTATACGTATGTTCCAAAGCGGGTGGCGTGATAGCCGTTCAGGTTCTTCAGGATGACAATTCATGAGCAGCCCTCGCGGCCAGGGTTCATTAGGTAAATCAAAGAGGAATTAAGGTCAGTAATATGAGCTTCTAACAACGTACATAGTCGTCTGAACCCAACCTACTGGTGGCCAATGCTAGAGTTGGATAGGCACACTATGATGATGATGCTAAAAGGTTCCCTGGCGCCTACAATTACTATTGCCATGCACGTTTAACTGTCAAATGATATGGGCGCATCTTTACTGACAAGATGTAGATACCAGAGCGATGCTATCTCAAGCATCACCACGACGATTGGCTACTTGTCGGCTCTAATTTCAGTTCTATCCCAGGCATTATTGCCTCGCGCGAAGTTCATGAAGATTATGTTCTTCGATTTACTTGCAACATGTGTATCTGCGTCTCTGTGCTGTCTCACGATATTATGTGCTATCAAAGCGAGGGAACACGGTCTACCTCCCAACGCCACTGAAAGCGAGCGCAATGGCTTCAGCAGCAATGCCTGCGCTGTCTCCGCGGTATGGCTTATTTTGATTATCTGGTACGAAAATACACTTTTTCAAATGAACATTGGAAGATTGTGCTGACTGAAAGGCAGGGTATCCAACTACTTTCGGGCACTTAAGCCTCCAGAGTTGACAGACCCCATGGTCGCGTTCTCGATCTTTGCTGGTATCACCATTACACGTGCAGGCACTTTCACAACACTAACAGAAGGCCTTCAATTCGTTGAAAAGCTGTTGAAAGGTTTCATGATCGGATTTGCGATTGCGACAGCTGTTTCCCTTTTTATCTATCCCGTTACCAGCAGAGGCAACGTGTTCCACGACATCAGAGACTACGCGACGTCTATTGACGATGTCCTCGACTCGCAGATATCGTTCGCTGAAGGCGATGCAATGAATGAGATATTCACAGGAAGAGGGTTTCTCCATCGGACACGGACTGCAATGAGCAGTCGGGATGGTGGTCCATCGGAGCGCGATAAAATGATGGCCAAGCAGAACCGCCTGAAGGCTACCATGGCCAAGCTCAACGGCCTACATGCTAAACTACATGCGGACCTTGTGTATTCCAAGGATGAGATTGCATGGGGTAAGTTGTCAGCAAAAGATCTCAGCAATATCACGACTCTGCTTCGGACCCTTCTGCTTCCACTTGCGGGAATGTCGATGCTACCAGAGATTTTGCAGTCAATAGTGAAGAGCGAGGGCGTTCGTGATGATGACTTGGATGATCTCGACGATGTCAACGAGGAAGCCTTGAAACAGTCTGAGATCCGAAAGGTCGGGGATACCCATCTTTCACGGCTCGTTGACGCTTCTGTGCTCGTTAAAGTCGGACTGCAATATTTCTTGCTCAAAACGGAGCTCATCAAGGCCAAGAATCTGGAAAAGAAAAGGAAGGTGGATAGCGAAGTCGCCGCTGGAGATGAAGAGGCTAGGGGCGAATCTCTAAGCCCTCTCCAAGCGGACTTTGTGACGCGATTTGAACAGGAGCTCCACAGCTACTACTCTCGAAGGAAGTACTTACCCAAAGCATTGGCATCTCTTGAGGCATTCTCGACCAATGAGAAAGCTGCGGCTGGCTCTAGTGGATCTGAAGCTCGAACCTTCGCTGTCGATAATGATGTGCGACAGGAGTTCTTCCTTATTCTGTACATGGGGCATCTGCAAGACACCCTGTTGAATGCGACCCTGCAGCTGGTCAAATTTGCCGAGAGTAAAGTTACCGACGGCACTATGAAACGGGGTCGATTAATCTTCCCTAAACAAACATCTTTACGGGAGTGGTTCTCGTTGAGTTCAAGTTCGGGCTCAGAGAAGAAGGGGAAGAATGACACCAAGAGACAATCAGATACAAGACAGTCATCCCATGTGGATCTTTCAGTAGAACAGCACATTAAACCTTCCACGGGGTTACCTGATCCGGATCATCTTCCACCTGAAAATATCTTTGAGAGGAGTAGCACAGTTCTCAGGACCATCTCTCATGTTCTCAAATCTGATCAGAGCATCTTTGGATTCCGTGTAGCTGCTGCTTCATTCTGTATTGCTATTTTGGCTTTCCTTCATCAAACACAAAACTTCTTCATCGCACAACGAGGTATCTGGGCCTTGATCGTCGTCATCATTGGCATGAACCCAACAAGTGGGCAGTCTCTGTTTGGCTTTGCGACACGTATACTTGCCACGGTCTTTTCAATGGTTCTCAGTCTTATCGTTTGGTATATTGTCGACGGAAAGACGGCTGGTGTCATCATCTTCCTATACATCGGCAACGTTTTCGAGGTATGAACCAGATAATTCTCAAAATTACCTAGGTATTCACTGCTAAGCATTCAACAGTACTATTTCTACGTCAAATATCCACAGTATTTTGGGGCAAGTGTCATCTCCATTGTTACCTTCAATGTGATCATAGGCTACTCGCTACAAGTCCGCAAAATTGGCGTGTACGAAGCGGAATCCAATGGCCAAGCCTACTACCCAATCTACGTATTCGGGCCAATCAAACTCCTATGTGTGGTCATAGGTTGTGCGATATCCTTCTTCTGGGTGTTATTCCCCTTCCCGATAACCGCCAAGTTCAAGCTCCGCCAGCTCCTCGGCAGCAGCCTCTTTGTCCTAGCAAAATTCTACAGCGCCATGCACGCAACCATCCAGCTCTGGCTTTCTAATGACCTTGGTAGCACACAAGACCTGCATTCACCAGCCTACCAACTCCAAACCTCCCGCCGCAAGATCCTCAAGCAGGAAATGATGCTCCTCACCGCTCTTCGCATGCACAGCCACTTCACGACATTCGAGCCTCCCATCGGCGGAAAATTCCCAAAACAAATATATGACAGTATGATCGGCGAAGTCCAACGAAGTCTGTGGAGTATGTCACTGATGGCACACACGACACAAAGCCTAGAAGGACTCTCGGCTGGAAAGGAGAATGCAAGTCAAGAGACCGAAGACCAAGACCACTGGAAGGAGAAACTTGCAGACATAGCATTGAAATCTGTGGATTTCAACTCTCACAAAATCACCTCACTACTCTGCCATCTCTCAGCCGCGATAGCAAACGGCCAGCCTTTACCTCCCTACCTTTCGACTCCGGACTCGTTCCCTCTCGCGCGGCAGATGAAGAAAATCGATGATGAGCTGTTGAACATTCGACACGTTGCGGACCCTGAGTTCTCGGCTTTCGTCGCACTGGAGGTGTTGAGGTCTGTTATTAGTTTCAGCTTGCAAGATTTGTTAGAGTGAGTTTGAATTCCTTCGGTGCGGATGTCTGGGTACTAACATTGAATAGTAATGCGAGGAAATTGGTTGGTGAGCTGGACTTTGACTTTCATCTCAGACAGAGTCATCGGTATGCCGAGTCGGCGCAACTTTTGCAGAATCAGGAACAGGATTAGCTCTAAGATGACATATCAATCAGAATACAGGATAGAAATAACTAGTTATAATGCACGCCACTTCAAGGGCTTATATAATGATTGAATGTACCTACCTAGATATCTTATCTAAAACTGGTTCGGAAACTTGTATAATGATCGTGGCAGTCTGTACTGATCAAAAATATCGAGTAATCGCGGTAGTTGATGTGATACAAGGGCCGAAAGGGGACGAGGAATACGAGGGGGAAAATCAAACGTGGAACAAAAAAAAAGCAATTCACCGAGTCTGAGCTCGGGTCATAGTCCACGTCTATAATCTATGATTTTGATTGATTGATTGTGAAGTGGGTAGGATAGCGCTGAATCCACTCGATGCCTTTTCCCTCCTGTGGCCGCCGTCCTCCCAACATACTTCACTTCTTCAATTTTTCACACCAAACTTCAACATAACAGTTGAATAATTTTTTTTAGAAAGTATAAGATAGATTCTCTTGAGAGTATCTTCTCTCTCACACTTTTCTGAGCCAAAAATATCGTGTTTTGGCGCTTTGGCGTAGTGTTGATATTGCGTGGTAATACAAATAATGCGTCTGCATAATGCGATTTTACGGCGTTTTAGTTATATTAAAGACTAAAGATCGATTCCAGTATCACGCATTCTTTTCGACGTGCTATTTTTTCTTCCATCCCACCATATTTTCAGTTGGTACACGGACTTGAAGAAAGGTGTAGAATTGTAGACAGGTACTGCAGCATACGCCAAGGGTATTAAACCTGAAAGATATTTACCATTGTCAATTTCAGTATCAACAGTCCATATGTCAACTGTCAAAATTCCCAGCTGGTGAGAAGATATATGACAATACGCATATTCAGGGGAGATGCAACACCTTGCCTTTTTTACGCGCACCTAAAAGCCATAATCGCTACGATATAATTAATTTCTTTCTCCCTAGGATCGCCTTTGTGTTTTAGCTAGATAATGCAAGATTTTCCTTTCATTATCGTAATCTGAGGCAATAAATGGAAGGATTCCAGGTTCGCGCAATCCATGAATGTCTGTCATATTTCAAAACAAAGGCTCTTTATACAGGTTTCATATGAATCTTTTCCTATGCCTTTTTCTTAAGTTCCAGGATCGCCATTATAAAATCTTAGAAATCCCGAGATCAGCTATATAAGAGATCCAGCCTCGACTCCATCCATCTCATCGAACAAAAATCACTCAAAGCTCAACCAGTACTTTCAGCAAGATACCTAGGTACCTGTAACACAATCCAAAGCAAAGATCGAACATTCAAAATGACAGCCAGCAGTCAACCTGAGTTTGCATGGATCATGATCCACTTTGGCCGCGAAACAATACGGAAAACGGACCAAGAGCTCCTCCAACATGCCAAAGAACAGATTAAGACCAAAAATGTATTGATAAGTTTAGTCGACAGAGCGGTTATGGGTCCAACACTCAAAATCAAAGTTTTGGGCACGTTTCATAACCGGTCCTTTCAAGAGCAGCTTGATGAGGCCGGGGCTCAGGTGGATAAGTGGATCGTTGATTTGGAAGGTGAAGGCCTTCCATTTGTTTTTGCAGATATCTTCTTGGCTTGGAGTAATTAGCTCTCTTACTTTGTAAGTTCGCTGTTTATTGACCCGAATCCTTCAGCTAGGCATTGAGGCCAATCTGCCCCAAGCTGCCAAAAAAACAATTTCTCATCAAAGACGACATCTCTCGAGTCAAATGCGTAGCCAACCTTGGAGACTTTATCTTTGATATAGATCTCAGCTTGATGGGAAGCTCTATAAGGGCATTCTGGGCTGTTTGAGTATTGGTGGACGCGAGAACACATCCCTCATAGAGGGAGATAATTGTAGCGGTGTGACCCGTAGCAACCCTGATTTATCATTTTAGAGTAGGGTATATATATAGAGATTACACTTCATCTTCTTGTCTGAAAGATCCTAATAATAGCCTTTCTGGCTTCAGTTGAGTACTGCAGGCGTAAGTGCTGGCCCTTACAGTATGTTCATATAGCTCGTCAAGCTCTTCTCTTCAAAGGAGGTAGGTAAATAGAGCTAAAAAGATCAACCATCCCCTTATGTATCGATTTTCTAACTAGTATTACTATGTGTAGATATAGTTTCCAAGTCAATATCTTAGAAGACTTCTGCTAAGTGTCTAAATTCCTTATGGATTTGTCAATACCAGATCAAAGTGGGGCGTCGGTCCAATCCGACGCTGTTGACTTTGATTGGTTCGACAGCATCGAGTGGGGCGGATCACAGTAAAGTCAAGTTAAATTGAAACACATCTTACAACTTACATAAACGTACCTAAAATCAGTTACAGCTGTAAACCGTTAAGACTAGTCATCAAGTCCACTGACATGATTATACCCGGGTTAATATTATTAGGGGGTTTAAATCCTTAAGATATGGTAACAGCGTACAAAGAGACAGAAATTTAGAAAATGAGATTTCCTGTGGAATGACATGGGATTTCGCTAAAACCATGGAAAGAACTCAGTAGTCCTGGATCAGCTACAGAGTAATCCTGGGGCCCCTGGTGAGCCCAGGACTGACTCCTGTGAAAGCATGTTTTTGCTTACAGTGACGACATCTTACGAAATCTCGGAATACTCGGACTTCTGAGCACTAACAAAGATCGGTGGGATATATCGGTGAATCGATCGGCAGGTGTTCAAGTCACTGAATGATGGAAGACCGCTTGATGGGTGAGATCTCGGCTTACTCGTTTCCTCGCTCAGGAGACCAGGTGGTCTCCGCTGGTATGAAGTGTATGCTAGCTACTTAGCCTTGAAGAAGTCATTCTAGGATTAATCGATGTATTAATTTCAATATATTGTTGATCTATTTTCAACTACAACCCTTCATATCTTCTCTAAGGCTTATTATATTCAGCTACTCCAAATGCCGCTCCGCTGGCCTGGCCACAGCGGTGGAGGCCGATAATTTGTAAATAGAGTCAGGTAGGGTCAATTAGCGTTGACACCTGTACATATAGGGTCAGTTGATGTTGGCGTCGGTTAGACCATTAATGCTAATTACGCTAACAGATATTGGTTCAATCAGGCAAACATCTAAACGATTTGGAAGGCTATATGTGAAGGGCTAAAGCTAAACTCATATTGAAAAAGTTGCAAAAACTTTGAGCAGCCAGAACACAATAACTACTTGATTGATTTTACTAAAATCGAAATCCTATAGGATATATAGATTTGGTCTATAATTAGTCGCCTCGTAAACTTAGCGCTGCAAAATGCCATATCTCAGCTATGTTTAAGAAATTTAGCCTAAAATCAGTACAAACCTTGCAGTCTTCGAACCTGCACCTACCACAGCACTCTTTTATCTTGCAATATTTACCCCAGCAGTGGGTCCACGTTCGCGGCTGAGACTAGATGGGAAATGACTTCATTTCGCCAAGCCCATGCTAGGTGTTTCAGTATTTAACACGAAATATCACGTAACAACACGTATCTCACGTACAGGTGAGACACCTCTAAATTACCCATGCGTCATTCTCGCGTCCTGGTTTTCAGGCACCAATTGAGATGAAAATAGTCGAAAATTAGTCGGACAGGAGGGTAAAATTCCACATTCAATGAAGATATTTTCAACCTCTCGTGTTAAATAACTTAGTACCTAGCCACGGGCTTGACAGAACGAAGTCACTTCCTATCTAGTTTCAGCCGCGAACGTGGACCGATACATAGCTAGGCTTAAGATCTACTCAGGTGAAGTACTGCAAGATCAAAGGGTGGTGCCCAAGCATCTGATTGGCTACCTTGTCACGTGGCGACTACAGGTCATATTAGTCTTTTTCATCGCCTGCGATAGAGAGCAGCTGCTTGCTAGTCGCATCATCAGAGTGTCGGGTGTATCACTAGAGGCTGCTCTCTGATCAGGGGATAAGGCACAGATGTGAGTTTCATGCGATTGCAACTGCATCGCTACACTTCCCAGGTGGGTCTAGATGAAGATATTCAGAAAAAAGTCAGGCGTTTTTCTCACATAGCCCCCTATGCCAACACATATTAGTGAAAAGTGAAATCTCGGGAGCACTACCCAATTGGTAAGCGGAAATGTGTAAGATATGCACAGCAAAGACGGTTAACTGCTCGTGTTGGAAAAATGGAAACGAGGGTGGCGGTTACATTAGTGCGATTCTTCCTGGTAATTTGATTGGCCATCACCTCGTATCAAAAAATTACATCGTTTACAGAACTCTGAGATATTTACCTCCCTCAGCATATTAAGAATAATTTTTACTATATTCAACACGCCATTTCTCTTGATCTCGTACTTACATAGGTCTGGAGACTCAAACTCAACCCACAAAGTACACAAAGTTTGCTAAACATTTAGGGCTTTTGCTGTTTTGTCACCAACACCCAACCTCTATCATATCAATAACACGTATACCATACAATGGCTGAGCTGGTCGGCGCAATAGCAAGCGGCATAACCCTGGTCACTGCCGTAGTCCAAGTGGGACAGTCCATTCTAACGTTGAAAGAATGGTTAGATGAAGTTCACAACGCACCTGAAGATTTACGGAGTCTTGTGAGGGAACTTGAGCTATTCAGCCTGGTACTGGGTGATATCGAGGCCGATTTACAGCAGCAGTCTCTTGTCTCAGCTCTGACCCACAGCAAGCACGCAGAACAGAGTTATCGGTTTTGTAGAGAGGCGGCAGACCACTTAGATGGGGTATGCCAAGAGCTTTTGAAAGAGCTGAGACCAAGCGGAAATGCTAGTATGGGAAATGGAGATAAGAATAATAGGTTGAGAATGGGGTATAGGGCCGTAAAGGTAGCGGTATTGAAAAGGGGAAAGGTAGAGAGGCTTGTTGGGAGATTACAGAAAGTTATGCAGTTGCTTCTTCTTTCCCAGCAATGCTATACGAGGTGTGTTGGAACTCGTTTCTTTCCACTGTTGTTTTGTGGATTCTTGTTCATGGTGAACTAACAACACAATTTTATAGGGCATTGATACAAGTTCAGCCTGAACTAATTGCGCAGAGAATAGCGCCGGCTGTAAAGCTACCAAACTCAGAGATAGATTGGTCCGATTCAGGATCCACCCTTGTTTCCTTTAGTATGTTCATACCATACGTCTATGGCCAGCATAATCTAAAAACTTTGGCCTATTACAGATAGAAAAGATTCCCTCAGCTCAGAGCCATCAGTCTCCACACTTCGAAAAGAAGAGTCAATCCAAACACGAAAAAGTCGTTATTTATGGCGTCTCAGCCTCCCGTCCTGGATCAGCTCCCAGATATTTGAATTAGCTGGCACACAAACAGGGGATGGCTGGAAATGGCAGTTCAGGAGTTACAATGAGATTCAGGAGGACTCAAAAGTAGTGCAATATGCGGAAACTGGGGATCTCAAAGGCTTGCAAGAATTGTTTGCCTCAAGGCAGGCTTCGCCTTTTGATCGTGTCAGTACAACAGGCTACAGTCTGCTATTTGTGAGTAAATGCCCTTCCACTCTCAGTCACATGGTAATGATAGGTGGAATTTTTTCCCTTTCCTAGTATGCACATTCTGCGAACCGGGAAGAAATAATCAAATTTCTTCTAGAGCAAGGGACAGACCCGTGCCTTCAAGGCCAAGGAAAAGTTGAGTTTAACACAGCCCTTCGGCATCTAGTATGGACAGGCAACATGTTCAGTCTCGAAAGCCGAAAATTACTCCCTTCAATGCGCCTGCTCTGTCCCTCAGAAGACATGATCTACGAGACGCCAGAGGAAATTCTTCGTGGGATCCTCTCAGACTTCCATGGCTCGGCAGAAGAGTTCCTCTTCTTCCAGCGACAGTTCTGTCCTACCTTCTATGATATGCCCCAGTGGATCCGAATCGCAGTAGCAGCCCGCACAACATCGGGTATCTGGGATGCGAACCATATGCCTGAGCTAGTTCGAACTATCCTCGGCAACAAGCCATGGAATTCAAAAGACTTACAGTCAGAGACATCTTGGCGGTGGTGGACGCAGATGACTTTGGTGCATTGTATTGCGATGAGAATTGGCGGAAGTCGAGCTGCACTGGAAAAGCTTCAAAGATCAAAGGGGCGAGACCGAAAATCCACGCTCAAAGGCGAAAAGAATAGTAAATCTGAGCTCGGGAAGGAATATAAAGAAGCAATAAAGCACTACGAGTCCTGGAACGCTTTGTTCTGCGATTTTTTACGTGAAGGTGCAGAGCCTCACCATGTTGTCGGCGGTATGACACCGTTCCTCACGTTTTTGGGAGGATTCATCTACTGGTGGGACTTTAATGACTGTGTCATGGGAGGATGGGACGATGCAATTCAGGCTTGGATTAAAGATCTACAAGCTGAGGGTATCGATCTACAGAATTTTGGAAAAATGGAAGAGCAAGTTTGGAAGAAAGGGCTTGCTGAACGCGATGTGTTTTGGAGAAGGAATTGGGGATGGCAGCGGGTTATAGGGTTTTCTCATGGTCCAAATTCCGAAAACTGGTCCCTATGGCTGTCAGAACGATCTGACTGTTACTCGAGGGAATTCTGGGAGATTGTAGAACAGCCAGTGACGGTGATTCCAGGAGCTTGGCCGGAAAGTTAAGTGAATATATCCAATGTACTCTTATCCCGTGGGACTACTGGATTGTACCCGAACAAATTGATTCCAAAGTTTCAGGGTAAAGACATCAATGGCTTCAGAAAATACTTTGGATGCGCGTTTTCCCGCAACTACGAAGAAGAAACGACCACAATGTCCTCGCAGAAATATGCCGAGACCATATTCTGGGATTCAAGAACCAGTATGTGAGGACATTTATGGCACATCTTGGGCAGGTGGAAGCGACCGTGAGATCTCTCTGTAAGTTTTTACTATCAATGGCGGTGTTACTTTAGTTAGTTTAGTGCTAATAAAGTCTTGAGACTTTATCAATTGGTATGAACACCATCGGCTCTCTCACTTCCATCATCTTATCTCCCCACAAGTTCTCCAATTTTTCTTACTTCTCATTTTATGTCAACTTGGGCGAGGAAATGGGATTATAAGAATCAATCAGAAGACTTCACAATCTCAAATATGTGTGTGTATTTGCAGCAGTAAACTGCTGTAAGGAGCTGTCAAATAGGAATTTGACCGTCCAACCGTCATTGGTTGACGAAACTGGATTCTCTATGTAGGGAGGAAAAACCGCTTAAATACACACATTGTGGATCCTGCAAGCAGTACAAACATACCCTCCTTTGACAGGAGCGTAAGGAAGCTGACTAATAGACTAGACTAGACTAAAATAGGACTACCCATCCTGGCCATTTGACACTTTAGCTCTGCCACATGACTTGAATCATTTGTTTTCTTTTCCTTTGCCCTTGCCTTCTTAGGAACTTTTTAATGTCATATTACTTCTATGAGGACTCTTCTTGATGGTGGTGTGTCAAAGAAACGTTTCAATCATACATCAATAAGAACCGCTAGCTATTAATTTAGGAAGAATGATTCGTAGGGTACGTAATCCTAGCCCTACCTGCTGGTTCGTAAGATTAGCGAATGACAAGACATGAGAATAAAGAGCCCTGGCAACTCTATTCTGCACAGGAAAAGTCCGATTGGACCAACACTAGGCATCTACATTTCAAGTTGCAAGGATATTTATCACTTGGTTATTATTGTACAATATGTCAAGAAAGCTTATCCGACCTCGGAAAAAGTTCCTGTAACAAAAGGAAAAAAAAAATTTGAATTGAAAACACTTGAAGCAAAGCCGTAGCAGAACTGATCATAAACTCGCATATAAAGTCATTGCAGATCATATCACCCCATATATCGAGGGGCATGTGGCTATCGATTTCATGATTAGTCTTCAATATCTCCAGGACTGCAAGAATAAACTTGGAAGAGGTCGTGCTTACCCGGTCATATATAAAATCAATATTCTATATCAGCTTGCTCATAATCAAGACAAGCCTTTCGCAATCGTGGATAGCATAGTAGGAAGAACAGTACTACTGCAAGAAGTACAAAAAATGTCGGCAAGAATGCGAATATAAACAACACAGCACTTAACCCGACGGTCAGATTCCGACCGGCAAGAAATCGACGAGTTATAAGTTCAAGGATGGAGGCGAACATTCAGACAAGTGGTAAGGGATGCTTTCAGTAAATGTGATGAATAGAGACCGCGTGGATGGAGATCAGAAACTGGTACTTCTTGGTGATAGTTTTGGACCATCAGACTGAAGCCACGCCTGAGCATTCTCAAGTCACTTAAATATTTAGAGTACTACGGAGTACTACTTCGGAGGCCGATGGAAGTATGCGGCTATGCACAGCCAACAGATGTGGCTGTGCCCACTCCATAGAACCAATGTTATTTAATGGTGGTGCCATTACAGTGTTGAAGTATGTTTTTAATGGATAAACCCGCGATGCTTGGAAATGAGGTTAAATATAGTTAATACTTACGTCGTAGCTGCGGATTTGTATTCGTAGTTAAAGAACAAGTTTTTTTGGATTGAATTAAGTAGTTCTTGCTCCACTGTGGACTTGGGAAATAATTTCTCCACATCATTCTGTATGGCGTTAATAGTACGGAGTATAGGCAGCAGTTTTTCTGCCCCTTAAATTAGCTGTACAGAGTAGAGGGTATACTCAATATACTGGGTACCCCGGATCTCCCCCCTTGAACTACCTTACCTAGGTCACTAGTACTTACCAGCTATTGACTATCCATGTAAGGTGTAAAAATAAAACTGCTGTACGAAGTATGGCGGATATTCGGAAGCGCCAATAATTCAACCAATAATTATAGTTGGTGACGCCGACAGTGGGGCGATTGCAATTCGAGTGGTAACACAACATTGGATATTCATCGACTTTCTTAGAATTGAAGTACATTCTAGAATACATTTTGCAGAGGCTGTGATCAATGACTATTTTCATGGCAGTGTAACCGGTTGTATTGAGGTGAATAAAAAACAAAGAACGTGCAAGAATAGAACAGAATTATGGGGTATCTTAATGGGCCGATCATAAGTTACGGTACAAAGGTGTAATTCCGTAATCATCTCCATCCATAGGGCTGAAGCCAACCAAGGAAGCCAGAAAAGCCAGAAAAGCTTAGCCCACGCAGATCGTGAAGATATTTGAACTAATTACAACAGGTTGGGTTCATTTTCGTTGAATCCATACTATATACCCCAATTTAGGGGAACAGGCTCTCTCACCCTTTATCTATCTGCATCATTCAAGCCCCCCGGGTTTGCTGCAGCTGGATTGTCCTATCCTGTTAAAGCTACGAACCTCACCCCACCTGTCCTCTCCTGGAACCTGGCCCGCATTGGCTTCTTCCTTTCCGACATTTTCTTTTCCTCTTTCCATCTTTCCTTCCATCATTCACACACACTCGTTTCCCGCATACTTGGCCTTCCGGCTCTGGAGTCTGATTCAGCCATCCAGCATGTTTTGGCTCGTAGGTCAAAGCGAGCTCGACGACGACGAAAATGAAATCCTTGGCGTGGATTGGGTTCTACATTATGAATTTGGGGAAATAGGTAGCAAAATACCCTGCATGGACCTTCAAGGTGCCATTACATACTGACAGCGGTCTAGATCAAGATCAAGCCGTTTCGGAGTTTCATATGCTCATGCAAGACATGAGCGAGGCTGGTCTTCGTGTTCAAGTTCGACATGGACATGGCATGTCGCTTCTTATCTGTATCCGGGTACCGCGAGACCATCTAGGGAAGATGATCTACCAGTCGAGGTAGGCGCGCTGCGTCAGTCATGAGTGCTGGCACAGAGACTAATGTTATTTATAGGGTTAAAGATTGGTTATTTGAGATCGCTTATACTTTACCCGTTGGAAATAGTGATACGACTGTCACTGCTGAAATGCCTGCAGAAGAAATTAGATCGATCTTTCACGCTGTCACCTGGCCGAAAGAGCTCGGTGGAGCTGGCATCACGCCTAATCATGGTAAATGGAAGAACATCACCGCTTCGTTCCCTTTACATGATCAAGAAGCCTGCTCGCAGTTGCTACATTCATTGAGTGACAGAGCGGCCCTATCGACTCAGGACCTGGATAAAATTCGGGCACTTTTTGGCGAAAGGGTATGTAAAACAACTACTTGGGTGATCTCAGGTGGGCTGATATGGTATAGGTGGCTTTCTACTACGAATTCATTTATTGTTACTCGCTGGCGCTAATTGTGCCAACTGTACTGGGGATATTTAGCTGGATTTATTTGGGGCCGTACTCTATTATCTATGGCATTACACTCTGCATCTGGTGCATAGTCTTTGTGGAATACTGGAAGATCCGTGAGACGGACCTGAGTATGAGATGGGGAGTGAAGGGCGTTGGAGGACTCAAAGTTGACCGGGCACAATATACATGGGAAAGGGAGGTACAGGACCCTTTGACCGGCCAAGTGACAAAGGTCTTCCCAACCTGGAAGCAATTCCTCCGACAACTTCTGCTCGTTCCATTGACATCAGTGGCAGCTGTTTCACTGGGAAGCTTGATTCTGGTGAAAATTGCGTCAGAGGTATTTATCGCCAATTTTTATAATGGATCGTTCAAGGAGTATGTTCAGTTCCTGCCTATAATCCTCTTCTCGCTATCTTTGCCAGCCATCACTTCCTTCATCACTACCATCGCGACCCGCCTGACAGATTACGAGAACTACCGAACGCAAGACCAGTATGATCTAGCCCTAGCCCAGAAAACCTTCGTGATGAACTTCATCACCTCATTTCTACCAACAATCATAACAGCATTCGTCTACGTGCCGTTTGGCAGATCCATCGCCCCACAACTCGGATTTATCCACATCGACAAAGAGCTTCAGGTGGACACATCGCGATTCCAACAAGAAGTGATCTACCTCTCTATGACAGGCCAAGTGTTCAAATTTATCGAAGAGATCCTCTGGCCCTACGCAAAACGCGTCCTGTGGCAAAAATACCGCAACTACCAAGACCGCAAGATGGGAATTCACCGCAAACGCAGTCACTCCCGAACAACTGACAGCCTCTTAATCGACTCAATAGACGAGACCTCTTTCCTCCGCCGCCTTCGTAGCGAAGCCGACGCTGATACTTACAAAGTGGGAGAAAATATCCTAGGAGTGTGCGTACAATTTGGCTACCTAGCCTTCTTCGGTGTCGCATGGCCTCTAGTCCCACTAGGCCTCCTGTTGATTAACTGGCTCGCACTCCGCGGCGACTTTTTCAAACTGACACTAAAATGCCAACGCCCACCACCAATCCGTGCAGACTCAATAGGTCCCTGCCTCCTAGCCCTAGACCTCCTAGCCTGGCTGGGAACCATCTCAACAGCAACGATAATCCAATTATACCGCCGCCCAATCGCACAAGTCCGCCTCTTCTCCCTTCTCCTAACCCTCCTCTTAGCTGAACAAGCATACCTCGCAATCCGCTTTACAGCAGCGCGAGTCCTAAAAAAGATCTTCGCAGACACACTGCACAGAGAAGAAACCGTGCGCTACGCCGTCCGGAAACAGCTCCTCGAAGTTGCGCGAGGGAAAAATGGTTCGCACGCGTCACCAGTCAAAAGGAAGGTCCGTTTTGACGAGAAGGTTGATGTCTACTTGTCAGATACGGCTTCTTTCGAGGATGATGAGTCGTCTTCGCCGACGGCTGAGCAGCCGCAGAACGAGAGGCTGGGTGGTTCGGATCGAGAGGCGAAGTTTTGGAATAATAAGTTGTATGAGACTGCTGATGCCGGTGTTAGACTTATCCAGACTCTCTACTCGGTGCAAAAGGATGAGAAGAAGAGGGTTCAAAATGCATAAATTGATTGCTTGGCGAATTCTCGTCCCATATCTTCCATCTTCTCCAGAAGTTCTTTATTTCTGATATTTCTTATTATTCTCTGCTTCATGGTAATTTTTAAATGGGAGAAAAAAATTCAGATTTTCGTCGTTTCGATTACTGCGAGAAACGGACAAAATCCTATAAACCAGTCTGTACTAGGTTTGAGAACTCTGCACGGCCCCCAGCTTAGCTTTAACGATGCAGATCTCTGATTTCTCGAAAATCAGACTGAAGAATAATTGTCCAGGAGATCGACCCCTCGCTACCTCGTCAGCGGTTTAAACTACTGGGCCAAGGATCACTCATGGTTTACAATATATACCTTCTCACTGAACAAACAGATTACACATGACTAGCTAATATGACTAGTCATTTATGTAAAAAGTTAACTATTTAGTTGTTCGCAGGGAAAACTATAGAGACATCTTGGTTTGCTATAGAAACATCTTTTTTGGCTAGAAGGACATGTCAAGTCCTAATGTAATCTGAAAACACATCCTAACCGGATTGGGAATTTATATGTCCCTCTAGTAATCCCCTTATTTATTATACGATGTCACTAGTTAACTATTTAAATGTCTGGAAATTTAGATAAATACGTTTACATAATTTAAGGAGCTATCTAGTCATTTTTCAGAACGATATCGTATGAGTTTGACGAATATTATAACTTGCTAGTCGTAGTCTACTATGCATCATAATGGACCTGGTTTTTGTATGTATGCTTATAAACACTTTCCGAGTATTGTTCAATGGAGATAATAACGGAATACAAATTCAATTATAGATTGATCAAGACTTATGCATTTACTAAAGGCTCGCAAAAGTCAAGTCTCCTGACTACCTCTATAAATTCTGGTAGCAACCAGAGGTACCTCCATATCAACAGTCCTGGAGGGTCACAAGGCTCTTTCCTTAAATCTGAACTAGGTAGGATCAATAAGTTTCAGCTCGTGAAACTGCTTATTAAATGTATTTCTGATTATCCAGGTACTCGGTTCCTGGGCCTAGGAACCCACCTGGCTGTTTGGAAGTCATTTACGCAATAAACTGACCTGATATAAGCATTGCCTCCAGGGCTAGGTTGCCAGGTGGCAAAGATTGACAAAATCCAGGTTGAGACTGTTAATAAATATCTGGACTTTAGATATAGAACTGCCCAAAGTCGAGAATATACAGGTAGATCTCAAGGAACTTATATGTGACATTTTTACCTAGATATACAATTTCGAGCTCAAGAACTTCAAATATTTGATTGATTATGCTACTTCCAAGATTATTAAATTGCACATTATTGGCAGCCAATTCGCGAATAAATCCATGGGTAGTCTAGCCAGGGCTAAAAATTCGCCGTCCTAACATTCCTTTCAAGGGGCATTGCGGAACAACAGCATCCGCGCGACAACATTCCTCATGTTTACGCGAGTATTTTTTTCTTAAAACCCGAATGGGATCTTCTACATTTCTTGCTTGGGTAGTTGAGTTCTTCTCCTTCTTCTCTTCTCGAATTCGTGGTTGGGGCGCGTTTACATAGGATGCGAAACGGGTTGACATTCGCTGCATTGGCAGCTCTTGTGTCACCATTGTTCAGCTATGTTCTTCCAAACACGGTAAAATCACTCGGTATTGCAGTGTTTGAGGAGCTGGATATGGTTTCCGCCAGCAAAGACAATGACCCAGCGTGGTTGGAGGAATTAGCAGAGTATGATATTCTATCATTTTATATGACTACTGACTACTCACTGACGTGAAATCGCAGAGGGTTAATTCAGCCAAATAATCTAGACACTGCTCCGTATGTCCAACATCTATGGCTAGTGACCTTTTCTGACCTTGCTGATCATTGAAGTCCAACGTGGCCTAGTATCTCTTCGAATAGCGAGGCTGATGCAGCCACTCATCCTCCCAGTACACCCACAGATGAACCAAGCACGCAGTCTGCTGCTCTACCTACCAGCCAGACAACTAGTCCAGTGGTTGTAACTAACAGTCAAACATGCCCATCTCCTTCTCCAAAGGCTGCTGGTCCATACTGGCTGGACGATCAGGACCACAGTCAATCAGGAGCTGGTCATGCTCCATACATCCCTAATTCCAATATGTATCCGGTTTACCGCAATGTAATGGACTACAACGTCAACAATGATGGTTCAGGAGATCAGACAGCGAAGCTGCAAAATGCAATTGACACCGACGGGAATGGCGGAACAAGAAAAGGGAATGGAGTAACTCGCTACCCAGCTGAAATTTTCCTACCTGGAGGTGTTTATGTCCTAGGAAGTACACTGACTCTGACTGTTGGAACTATCATTGTCGGTGATCCGCAGAACCCACCCATCATCCGGGCTTCACCAGGATTCCGCGATCAGTTCTTGGTCATGGGGTATGATAAGAACAATGGGAATCCAGAGACTAGTTTCATGACTCTGGTGAAAAATGTCATCTTCGACACTACAATGGTTTCTCCGGATCAGAAGATCACTGCTTTGCAATGGGGCGTTGCGCAGGGATCGGGCTTGACGAACGTACAGGTTCGAATGCAGACACATTCTATGCACACTGGTATTGACATTGTGGCTGGATCTACGATTGCTGTTACCGATGTGGTATGTATAGTTCATAACATCTCATCTCATATCTCGCTAATTAAAAACAGACAATCATCGGAGGAGGAACTGGCATCATCAACTCCAACCAACAAGTCAACTTCAAGAACATCCATTTCATCTCATGCGGTACTGCATTCGAAGCAAAGGGTGGATTCACCGTTCTTCTTCAAGGTGCTACGTTTGAGACTTGTGGGACAGGAATCAACATGACAGAAAATGGACTGGGTAGTCTAGTTTTGCTAGACTCAGAGTCGGTCAACTCAGGTCCCGTCGTGCGGTTCCACGATTCATCGAGGGATACTGGTAATCAGAACAGTCAATTCATCATCGAAAACCTTACGCATGACACTGATAACCCTATTGCTGTTGACAGCGAGGGAACAGTTCATTTGGGCCCAATGGGACGCGTTGATACCTGGCTCTGGGGCACAGTCTCTCCGGGTACCTACAAGACGGGTCAGAGCTTGACTACACAGCGCCCACCTGCCTTACTCGTGAATGGACAATACTTCACCAAGGCCCAGCCGACTTATGCGCAATATAGTGGTGATCAGATTGTCAACATCAAAACCGTATCTGCATTCCCTGTAAAGGGTGATGGTATGAACGATGACACACATGCCATCAATGCAATCCTCGCCCAGAACGCTGCCAGCTGCAAGATCACCTACATCCCCTTCGGTGTCTACAAAGTTTCCGATACGATCTTCATTCCGGTTGGATCACGGCTAGTTGGTGAGGCATGGCCTGTCATCACTGGGTATGGTGATTTGTTCAAAGACCAGATCAACCCGCGGGCGATCGTGAAAATCGGTAACCCAGGTGATGTCGGCACAGTCGAGATCCAAGAAATGCGTTTCTCAGTCTCTGAAATCCTCCCCGGTGCAAAGATTATCGAGATCAATGCTGCTGGAGCCCAGCCTGGAGATGTCGGACTGTGGAATACCCTCGCCACAGTGGGCGGAACCGCGGAAACAAGTATCTCAGATATCTGCATCTCCCAAGATGCAAAGGATTGCATGGCCGCATTCATGGTGATGCACCTGACCGAAAGCTCATCAGCCTACATCGAGAACTTCTGGGGCTGGACAGCAGACCATAATCTAGACAGCAAGACTATCTTCACAATCATCTCAACAGGCCGTGGCATTCTAGTCGAATCAACAAAGGGCACCTGGCTGACAGGAACCGGATTTGAGCACCACTGGCTATATCAATACAACTTTCACAATGCAGCGAACGTCTTCGCTGGCCTCCTCCAGACAGAAACTCCCTACATGCAAGGATTCGGCGAATTTGAGAAAGCCCCAGCGCCCTGGATAGCAAACCCAAGCTACGGAGACCCAGACTTTAGCTGGTGCGGAGCAGACGACCAGAAGTGCCGCACAGCATTAGCGACCAACATCGACGGCGGCTCGAATATTGCTCTACACAACTCAGCTGCGTGGGCTTTCTTCGACGGATACTGGAACGGGCTGTATAATGAGGCTTGTGTTGGCAAGTGCCAGTCTAATATGATGCGGGTGTCTAATAACCCACAGGATCTAGTCTGGTACTCTATCAGCACAAGAATGACTGACACAATGGTGCTTGATGGGAAGAGTAATCCTAAGGAGGCTGACCATCCTGGTGGGTGGGAAGCTATCATTCAGTCATATCAGTTCTCGCCGTGATCTCTGTCTGTCTTCGCATAGCGCTTCCATCTATCCCATTTAAATTCTTCATATCATAATACCTAATTTCTTTTGGCAATCACATAGTCTGTCTGAGCTTTTCAGGCTCACAAATACATGATCACTGGTTAGTATATACCCAGAAGTCATAGCATTTTGCAAGACAACCCTTGGTACTAGGTAATATTTTCCTGTTATGTCTTTTTCTGGTTTTGCCTAGAACAATACTTCTTTAAATACCCCTGGATCACGAGAGTAGCGTAGCAATTCCGTGTTCCGTAATTGAAATGGCAAAGCAGTGGGGTTATATGGAATCCTGGGAAATGAAAGTATGCCTTGAAGGGTAGAAATGGGGCTTAGGAAGAGTGAAATTATATCGACTGAAGAGCATTTTCTATTATACGGATATCTTTTCCTCTTGACTACATCCAAATTATTTCTACTAGTAGCTTCAAAATACTTGAATTATCTTGCCATAACGGAAAATTGAAAACTTGGAAACTTGACTATGAATAGATATCTATCCAGAGAGAAGGAGCTATTCAAAATTTCCCTACTTGAACTGATCAGGGAAGAAAACTTTAAGCCCGTTCCAAGCCAGAGGGAGTCCATCCGCTCCTACAGGATCATCAAACAGGCTGATCTTCTTGTCGACAAGAATAGGGCTGCTTACAACCTTTCCAACGGGCTCCTTGATAGTAGGGGTTCCTCCCGACTGCACCTTGCTGGCATCGGGCTTAGTGACTATGGGGTCTCCCCAAGACTTAGTGTTGCTGGCAGGCTTGCTGACAATGACCTTGGCGACAACTGGATCTCCCCACGACTGCACGTTGCTAGCAGTCTTGTTAATAACATGGGTTCCATACGACTGGACCTTTCCAATAGGCTTCTTGATAGTTGAGGTTCCTCCCGACTGCATCTTGTCAATAGGCTTAATGAAAATGCGCTTGCTGACAGCGGGGGTGCTGATAGTGGCGCTGGCAGCAATGGCAGTTCCACCTGACTGCACCTTACTAGCAGGCTTGGTGACAACTGCAGTGATGACGACAGGGGATCTACCTAACTGCAACTCGCTAGTAACCTTAGCAGGAAATTTCATCACAATCTTGCGAGTAACAATCTTGCCCGATCCAGCTACGGCATTAGCAGAAGCACTGTAAAGGTAAGTTAACACCGATCCATTGTAAGCTATGAGATTGAACATACATTACTGCGGCGCGCTTGGGGGCGTCAGCCTCCCACTTAGCCAGTTCAATAGCACGCTGAGCATCGGACTTGACGACGGCAGGGATCCAAGGGAAAGGAGCAGTGAAAGCATCAATAATGCTGAGAGAGTTAGCATTGAATCTGTCATAAACTGACGAAATATATCTTACCGAACGTTGTGCGGGTCAATGACGAGGAAACGCTTGCAATTCTGGGCCTTGCGGCTCGTACGGTCAACCAAAACCATTCCCAGTCCAGTACTGTTGTGAGACTGAATGGCAATAGGGTCGGTGATTCCCTGGAGGTCTTTGCCGAGTCCAACGCCGCTGTCGGGATTCCAGCCCCAATGCTCCATCATACGCATGACAAAGGTGCGGCGGTGTTGAAAGTACTTGTCCTGGGGAGGTCCAGAGTAGGTATAGGTGTTCGAGACGGTGATAGGAGGACTAGGAAGAGGCTTTTTAGGGTTGGGGTTAACCCAGCCAGTGGGGTGATACTCGACGGGATGCTTCCAGAGTCCCTTGGCAACACCGTAATTCTTCTGAGAAGACATGGCTGCGTTAACAGAAATTGAAATTAGAATGAAATAACGCTATTATTTCAAAAATTGGAAAGGAGGGGTAAGAAGATAGATGAGGAGATAGAAAGAGGAAGAAGTGTGAGAAGGTGGGTTTTATGGGGGAAAGTGCTATAATGAAGTAAACACGGTGCAGTACTTAGTTCTGCCTCCAATTATCAGGAAATGTTAGAACTAGAAGCAAGTGTTGAAACTAATACGCCATTTTACTTAAATTTCTAAATACGCAACAATACAAAGCCTTGTTTTCGACAAGAGCCGACTAGCAATTGAACGTCTTTTCGATGGAATTGAACTTGCTTTTTATATATCACTATTTGGCCGTGAACTCTTCAGTTCACACCCAGATATTGATACAGTATCGTGTGGTTTCTCCATAGAAGATTGATTCCGAGTTCCCACCATGCCCTCTATCTACACTTTCATCCAGTTTCTCGATTTCACGCAAGAAAACATACTTTGTTGGTCTTTTTGAACACGACTTCAATCGCATTTTGACCTTTCATGTTTCATGTCCTACTCTTCTCCTCCCATCACGATCCCGTGTTCAGAGTTCAATATATTGTTATAAGCGCTCTGATCCAGCAAATACAAACAACTTCCTTCACATGTGTAGATATCCCAATCCTGTACCGGTAGTGTTACCCTGTTTGAACACCCTATATGTAATAGTCAATATCAATCGTCAAATTTACGCTTATAGTCCAGGGTAAAATAGGTCAGTCATGAGACCATTGATTTATGCGATGGAAGGAAAAGTTTTGCCCTTTTCCAAAGAAGTACTTATGACGCAGATGGCTAGAATGCCAGTCTCTTCCCTATACTTGTGTACAGGCTTACTACTGCCGTTAGTGGTTTATATTCTCTGATTGGCCGTTTGATGAAGCCTTACAATTATTTTCACACCAGTACTGATTCTCTCCACATTACAGACGAATCAGTCCTTCCAAGCTCCATTTGTATCTACCGTGGTGAAATGAGGATAGAAGATCTGATTCAGGTGACATTCTCAAGGCAGCCAAAGCATGCCAGATTGGGCACTAACAAATATACCAGAAAATAAATCCGATGCTGGGGACATCACATGTTGCTTAATCTATCTCAGACTTCAACGTAGTTCAGCAAGTGATGTGGTCTCAGAGAGGACCTAAGTGCGCTCGGCGTATTCAGGGTCTGGTGAAGAAGGAGGGTAGTCGGATTTCGGCGAAGGAGGGTCTTTCTGGCAGTCGCGGCACCGCTCATGCTCGCGGCAACCCTGGCATAGGATGCGTGAAATGCGGTTCGGGTGCTGGCAGTCACAGCAGTCCCAGCAGATGGCGGCTTAGAGGGCAGAAATACCGTCTGCAGAAGGGAGAGTGAGTAGAGGAATTAGAATACCGCCATCTATTGTGATTAAAATTCAGCATCAACTCGTAAACCAAAACTCATCAGAAAATTACTACGAGGTGAGGTATATTGAGACATCTTTGAAGAAAGATGTTGAATTTTTCAAATGATGTGAGATATATGTAGGATAGACAAAGAGGTTGGGGGTATGGATATCTGCCAAAGTAAAGATTGCTTCTACCATATTCACTATAACAGCCTCAAGGTAGTCATCAGATGTCTTGTAAGATAAGACTCAACATTTACATATATGGAGAGGCATTGTCTCTGAAGAACAAAGGATCCTTGATATCATCTTTCATGTACATAGTCCCGCGATTTTCGCATGATGTTTTCAGTAAATCGTCTACGGTCATATCCATCTAACATAATACCAGACTTCAGCTGAAAATGAGCTTTAGATTGTTCATGTTTATGTTTTCCCTGATCTTGAGTTATCTCTTCGTATTCCTGGTTATATCAGGGTAAGAACAGATCTGACATCAGCAACTTCCGGACGAGATACTATTGTCCGAAGCCCTGTGGCTCAGTGGTAAGACAAAATACCCTGTCCAAGGTTGTAGGTTCGAGACCTATTAAAGTCATCGGTAAAAAAAAAAGTCTCGAATCACTATTGAGCTTCTATACTTCCGGGTTCGGGTATAGAGTACGCAGCTACCATCAGGTCCTCTAGGTTGGTGGGTAGTTAGGGCCGGTAGACCGTTTGGTTTTACCTTTTGCTTCTTTAACCTTCATCAACAATGCGTCTCATTTCACCAACTGCTTCGGCTTATCCGATCACTTGAAAAAAGAATGTATCAGGATCAAGTGGCTATAGCTCAGATCATGATATAAGTATAAAATTTGTTCACCTTTTCATAACTAGTGTGATACGGATCCTAAATAGTTACTTGATATAGATTTTCAGCCCTACGGGGCGATGCCAAGCCACGAACTCCACAACGGATCCATACATATTAGTACTTTCTCCTGACACAGCCACACTTTTAGGCTGCTTTCAATCCTTCTCATCACTTTCTCCCATCCAGTCTGAACTGGCTTATTGTAATCATATTCATCATACGACCGGTTACATCATGTCAAACCAAGGAGATTCCTACGATAACCTCATCGCTCCACCCTCTGTCTACCTACTGAAACGCCAGGCAACTGCAGAATCGGACATGGAATTGTCATCGAGATCCCATTACGAACCGCCACGTCCCTCTGCAACTCAATAGATTTCACATCGCGGAAAGCAGTGGAGTCAACAAAATACAAGAGTCACTGTTATTCGTCACGGTGGTCGATTCCGCCTAATGCACCAGCAGGTTCAAGAACAGTTTGATAGCTAGCGTTGGATACCTAGAGTTATAAAATAGAGATGAATTTGCCTCCAATGCGTTGAATGAAATCCTAGTGTCCAGGCTCATGGTCGTGCTTGTGGGGACAGGTGGAATGCTTGCCTTGGGCATGGTGCTGCTAGCGATTCAGGACCTCCGACTCAGCTGGAAAAATGTCAAATTTCTCAGGGAAGAGCGGGCATTCCTCCATGAACTGCTGTAGCACCACTCCAAAGATCTAGAGCTCACTCACCTTGTCCCTAGTCGGCTGGACGTTGAGGTGCGTGAGATTGGAACTGAAGTTGTGGATCATATCCTCTTGGACCTGCCTGTGGGCACGGGATCTCTCTTCGTATGCATACCCGTTTCAGTCGATTCCAATGGAATGATATATCTAACGGCATGAGCGGTCTCATTTTTGGTGCTGCTTCAATGGTCACTGCTATACGATGGTGGGGATATGTGATACTCATTCCACGCATAATCTCGCTCATACTGTGTCACTACATCTGGCGGAAAAAGCTTGGTTACGACTGTTTACTTTGAAGTCATACCTCGTTGACCAATTTGCAGCTGACCCTCCCCTCGAGTAGCTGGAGTTTGTCACTGCAATGCAGCGAGATAACTCCGAGCCTGAGATTACTCCACCTCGGATAATTATATAATTTGACTCGATCATACGATTCATCGTGCGTAACTGCATGTTGAAGCCTTGCTGAGATCCTCTCGCTCACAACAAACAAACTGGAGCTCTCCTGGATCAAGTACTAGTCTCTGAATCAATACGCGCGACCAGATCATCATCACTCTCGATCTAATTTTTTTTAACTTTTCACGGCCAGCAAAACTCGTTATACTTCCCTTTTAACTCATGTCAATCGGGTTTTTACAAAAAGAAGGTGTTCAAGTCTTTACTATCGCGAGCGATAGATGTTGGAGTTATGCAACTTCGCCATACAGTAGGACCAAATAATATCCAAGCAGGCTAATGTGGAAATTGAGAGCACTTTAGAGCATAAATAGGTTTAGAATTTCTTATTTCTCTTCAGTTAGACTGTTTCATTGAACCAAATATTTTCTACGATCTTCCATAGAGTTTGTTTTAACGTGTTTAATAGATAAAATCTTGTCTTCCTAGGCTGTTCAGGAATCACCATATATCTTAAATGGCTGCATCACTGAGAATTTTCGTGGTAATGATGACAGTAGTTGAAACCTCATCTAGGGATGTAATGAAATTTTGGAGAAGTAGCAAAAATTCAGATGCTTATCGTTTCAATTACTACGAGAAACGACAAACATCCTATAAAACCAGTCTGTACTGGTTTTGAGTACTCTGCACGGCCCCCGGCTTAGCTTTAACGACGCAGATCTCCGACTTCCCGAAACGCAGACTTGAAAGAATGGTCTTCGAGAGAATCGATCCCTCACTACCTTGTTGGTGGTCTTAGCCACTGGGCCAAGGGTCGCTTCGGATTACAAAGTTGAAACTTGAAGTTGGCTATATGCCTATAACCAGTTACAATTTTGGATACGGCCCACTTCTTTAGTAAATAGCTTCAAGAATGTAATTCAGATAACTAGAATCAAGACATGAGTAAAGTATCTATGAATGAGTTTGTTGGTTGGTTGAAGCAATGTTATTTTAAAACCTTGTGTCTATCGCCGAACACAACACCTCACAAAGTCATTATATCATCACGGTTCCAAGATTATCACTACATATAACCATATCAAGTTCATACAAACGCTAAAGCAATTTCGAAATCCCGTGAACTATGTGTGTGTGATAAAGCAAAACTCATTCTATCAATTTCTTCAAGTCCCGTCTAACTGTCCAGACCAGGGCAGTTCTCACTAGTCTCGGCAGTAATACTATCATACGGATAGGGATCAGTCCAGATGATGTCGTAGCTACAAACACGTCAGCAAAATCTACCATAAGAAATCAAAACTTACCTGTCATCCGGGTAATCGGGAGCATCACTGTCACCCAACTTTTCAGCAATCAGAGTCAACTCATCATGCTCCCAGCAGATAAGGATATTGCCGGAACCAGTGTAATTATCAACCACTTTCTTCACACACTTCTCGTCGGTTTTGTCGCATGAGGTATCAACAGTAAGACCCAGGTCAGCAGCAAGTGGCTCGACAGTGTCATAAGGACGAGCACGCTTGCCATCTGTTGCAATTGTTAGCATTCGCTAAAGTCCGCTAAAGTCCGCTAAAGTCCGCTCATTCTGTCAACATACTACTCTCAGGAGTCTCGGCCATGATATAACTAATGTTGTATCCAGAACTAGCTCCGAAAACAGAGCGCAAGCACTGTGCGCGCTCAACACCTTGAGTACTCAACCCATTGCCGCCGTCACTAGGTTTCTCGCCGTGACGAATGAAGTAAACGGTCGGGTCAGCCGCAGCAAGACTGGCAGCAACAGCCAGAGCGAGAACCTTGAACATGATGAACTGATTTTCAATATAATCCAATACAATATTTTCGATCCGGGAACTTCGAAATTTAAGTAGTTCGTCAGTCTTACCACTTTACGCCCCGAAGCTTGTCGTACTGATCGACCAGCCAATCACAACCGCTTATACGCCCACTCGGTTCCGAACATGAGTTGTATGGTCTTTTCGCCACTTTATTAAACGTCAACTAAATGATGAGCCTCGGCTTTTAAATATGTTTTTATGCTAGATAAACCTTAGTCTGGTTACATCGTGTGCTCCGATGCTTTTCTTCATAGTCAATTGGCCTATTGACGTGCGTTCTTCGTACCTGTGCTCGGTTTTCTAGCGACGGTAATCAAAGTGGGATATTGAATGATGACTGGTCGGTATCTCTTCCGTGCTTCATACATATCTCAACTATCTACATAAATCATGTCCAATCTTTCAATAATAACTTTCAAGTGGATGTTAACCAAAGCTAGCTACTTGATGAAAACAATAACCACGATATCGGCGTAAAAATCAGACCGCGAGCCAATCGAGCAGCTATGCACATTTCAGGTTCATTGTTCCTCTCCAGAACCCACTCCTCAAGACCTCTTCTCTCCAACCCCAACCTCCCGACTCAATATAACATGCCATAAAAGATTGTACAGCTTCCCAATGGCATAATCCCGATCAAGTTCCTGAATCGTTCGTGGCATTCTAGGAATGAGATCCCTCACAGCTTGCTGAACAAGCCTGCACTCCATCAATAACCGGTTATCATATCGGTTCACAGCATCATGAGCTTCCCATAGAAGTTTCATGACGGTGTCTTTATCCTCCTGCTTGTTGACTTGCAGTTCTTTGAAAATAGAGGATATTTCTCTAGTGCTGAAGTAGATTTCGTCGCGGCGGTAGGAGTTTTTGCTTGGAGTATATCTCGGCATATTGGAAACTGTGTTTTTCAATAAGAGGTTGGTTAGTCACCTTTGTTAAGAGCTTTTTCGTGAGTGAGATGGTTTCAGGGAGATTCAGGTCGAGTTGAGTTTCTTATAGTACAGATGTCGAGTACTGTGAAGGATATCTCTTTGTAAAAATCGCAACCGTTGAAAGAACTGGACTCGAAGATTCATTCATATGCTTGATCAACTCTTCCAAGGTGCGGGATTGAGTAGATGTTGTTCTCGAACAAAAATAGTCGGAAATCGTTCAATGTTCTTGACTGGAGTGAAACACTCAATGAAAGAACATCATCCTCGGCCCGCTTTGTTAGTTAGGGCCAGCTCGATTACTTTCCTTGACAAGAGACCTTTCTTTAATTTGGACAAAGAACATTGAACTTCTCCATGGCAGCGCAGCAGGAGCTGGTCGTCCTGGACTCCAATTGAATATCGCAACATTCTTTCTGCGCTGGCTGAATAAAATATATGACATTAGTCGAATTCATGGTAAGTTAGGGCTATCACCAGAGGGAATAGGTACGAGATATGAGGCAAGATAATCTGACAATCGAATAAATCATCAAGCCCCAAGAGTCGTTATTCTAAGGGTGTAGTGAATTATTGAAAACATAGAACTATTTTTGGGTACAAGAGCGGGCTCTTCACGTGACATATATTGTTCTTTGATTGATTCACTTGCCTTATTTGCTCCAATACTGTGGTAGCTGCAATCAGGTTCACCAATCACGACCTAGGTGCCATGATATGAACTACTAAGTATATATAGATCAGATAATGACACCTGGTATTTAAGGCGTCCACTGCGTGATTGTGGCACTGCCATAATTCCGCCTTATCCGATTGATGGAGCCCCATAGTGGCGCCGATCTTAGCCAATCTTACCTCAGCGGCGTTCTCGCTTCGTCACCATGTTCATGCAAAGCCCCGATCGAAGCTCGACGCGTTTACCAGTCAAGTTTCAGTCCAGGGACTGAGACTCCTTCGGGTAAGAGATTCGATTCAGATACAGATTCCCTCCGACTTACTCAGTTGATCGAACCTTCAGAAGTGAATACTCGGATACTCGGGGTTCATAGTCTCCCCCCTACAATTGTGGCTAAGATCCTCCCGTAGGATCCGGATCCGACCGCAGTCAAATCTTGGGCCTTGAAGGCAGCCGAATATTTATACTGTTTCTATTTCAGTTCGTGGCTGTGCCTTCCATATGCATTCCATATGCAACAACATGCTCTCCAAGCCATGATCCAAGCCACGATGATCCGAACAATAGCATATCCCAGCAGTGGAGCCTGATGGAAAAGCTTGAAACAATTGTCAGCCGCCCTATGTAATAATACCAAGGCACACTTGTGGAGACATAACGAAATTAGTCCTTGAATATCAAAGCTGGATTGGCCAAACGAGATATCCTCCCCTACAACAAATAGCGTCTTGATCGGCAGCTCCGTAATTGTTCCAATAGCGTCATGTCGCCACAATTTTACTGCCTAGCAACTCAGTGGGGACTTAACAGATCTATAAATGACCTCTGATGCCCCCGAAATTCAGGGTCAATTCTTATCGAAAAATCTATACATCTCTTGCACATCACATTTCCACCTCCCAGACATTCACAATGAAGTTTAACTGGATCGCCTCAACCCTCCTCCTGGCCTCTGCCGCCATGGCCAGCCCCCAGCTTGATCTTGACGACATCATATCCCAGGCCGAATCCGTCGGCACAGCCATCGCTGGCGATGCCGTCACAATTGGCGCAGAAATCAGTGCCAAGGCCACTTCCATCTACAACGAGTGGAAGACCGGTGGCGAGGCCGCTATCTCCACCTTGACCGGCGAAGCCAAGTCCCTCGCATCCGCCATCGTCTCCGAGGCCAAGAGCGAAGGCTCTGCCGCCGAGTCTGAAGCAAAGTCGATTACTTCGGATGCTGCTTCCCTCGCTTCTGAGGCTGCTAGCAAGCTCTCCACTTGGGTCGCCGCTGTCACCACTACAAACAGCGATGGCAAGTCCACCACTGAACAGACAACCCTCACCTCTGCTGTCGCTACCAGTACCAACGCTGCCGATTCCACTGCCACCACTAGCTCAGAGTCCAGCTCTACCTCGACTGGCTCAACCTCTACATCCACCGGCGGCGCTATGTCCCAGCCTACTGCCGTCAGTGTTGCCGGAATCCTTGGTGTTGGTCTTCTGGGTGTCATGGCTGCTCTCTAAAGGGAGTGAGATATCTGTCCATATCATGTTACATCTTCCGTCTTACATATCCGGCATATGACCCGTCAATGCTCCACTGTGGATATTAAGATCTTATGCCTCTCACGACTTTATTGATCCGCGCCAAAATTGTATACCATGGCAAGGAAACGGTTTCATAATACCGGCTTATTATGCTGTACGTTTAAATTTAAATTTTTTATTTATAAATTCAATCATCGCTGAATACATCGTGTTAATCTTGAATAAATCTTTGACTCTTCATTTCACTCTATTACTTAGGTAAGACATGTCTTGAGCCATCTCATTAAACGTTTAAACTTTTATAGACGGCTGTAACGCTCGGTGTTTCACTTTGACAGGCGGATAATTTGGAAGGGTGAGATACTCAGGTGGATATCTTAATGATGTGACACGGCAGCCTTGGAAGATCCATATGATCCATATCTGTAACCGCAGAAGTATCAAGATAGGTAAAAGCCATGATCTAGAATATATGCGGGTCTACAGACATCATTGGGACAGACTTTGCTTCCCATAACCCAGAATTATTTCTCCTTGCCATCTGCTGTGTTTTGCATATACAAAGCAATATCAGACCCAGACGGATCTTCATCCGCCGTCATACGCGGCCCAGTATACCATCTTCTAGCAAAACAGAAGTAATAAGCCATACAAGCAATCCAAACAAATCCATTGATAACAATGGTATAATTCATATCATCCGCTACGAGAAACATCAGCCAGACCCTAAAATCAAGAAGAAGGGAAAACTCACGAGCAGGATTCGGTCCTGTAGTCGGAAACATAGACAAAAAGACACCGAAAAGCAGATAAACACACGCGACACATGCAATAGGTTTGCTGAATCGACCTGTATAGAACTCGCCGGGTCGGAAACGATCGCCTCCCCAAGCTAGGCGGCAGAATATGGGCGTGCCCCAGGATACGTAGTTGCTGGCAACGAAGAGGGAGAAGAGGGCGTTGGCGGCTGCTGTGTTGATTAGGCAGAGGAGACCTAGGATTATTGATGCTAAGACTATACCGCATACCATGCGAACGGGCTGAAATTGGATACGAGTGCTGACGTGCTTGAAGAAGTTAGACAGAGGAAAAGCTCCATCTCTCGAAAAGGCCCAGGCCTGGCGGGAGGCGGCCACGATCTGAGGCTGTTAGAATTGTTCTTTGAATCGCAGGTTGGACATACTAGGCTGAGACCAATTAGATATTGAGCAATGCAGAGGACGATCATGAATCCTAGTGCACCATTTGATCCTAGCGCATCATAATATATCTATCAGAGGTTAATAAGCGTCCAGAACAAAGGATAATAACTCACCTGCGCCATCGGCTGCCCAAACTTGCTATCTAACGTCTGCGCCACATCTGGATTCATAGTAGCAGCCAAAACAGACAACACTAAGAAGCCAAGAATAGTAGCAGAACCAGCAGAGCAGATGATACCCAAAGGTACAGCCCTCGCAGCATGCATAGCCTCTTCACTCATATGGACGCACGAGTCAAACGACCCAATTGACCATATTGGAGAAAGCCACGCCAACATGAACGCCCAGCCGGTCGGCCACTCCGTTTCATTATCGACACGGCCAAAGACATAGCTTCCGGAGTTGAGTCCACCTCGCGAGATCCTTCCTATTGGTAATGCGATAGCGGTTGCAACGACCAGGCCCAGGTTAAGGTATATGCAGAGTGTTTGAATCTTGGGCATTAGCCTGCCGGATAGAGCTCCTGACAGGCCGTGCAATAGAATCAAGCCGACATATACTGCATAGATAACACCACGTGAAGCGGACCAGCCGTCTCCTCTCGCTATGCCGACACAGGACAGAATCATCAGCGCGAGTGTATCTGTGACATGTGTGAGTCGTGTGAATGTACCAACGTCTAGCTCGCTTACAGTCGACTGAGCACATGCCACCAATCAGGCCGAGAGTGTTGCTATACCCGATCAAGAAGCTCAAGGGTCTTTTGTATCTCGGACCAGCAAAGTAATGCGTCCACCAGTACAAGCCACCCGCAGTTGGCATTGCGGATGCAAGATCGGCCTGATATCGTTAGAATAGCTTAGATGATGTGACTAGGACGTACCATTGCAAGCCCCACTATGAAAATAAATATGCTAGCTGTAAACCATCCCTAGATAATCATCAGTATCTACCATTATCAATGCAATAGGGCTAGTTTATTGCGCACCCAAACCATTCCAACCGGACCTGCTGGTAGAGAGAACGAGAGTGTAGACGCAATAGACGGGACCAAACCCATAATACTAAATGCAATAGCAAACACCTGTGTTGTAGTATACTGTCGTCGCAGCTCCTGTTTGTACCCCATTTTTGCTGAGACAGTCAGAACGCGGACATACAATGCAGGAACAATTCTACCATACCTAGTAATTGGGAATCACCCGCGTTGGACCTGGACGCGCCAGGAGCTGCCATGGCCTCTGCATTTTCCACCAGAATTGGGGATGTCATAGTGCGAGGTAAGCCAACGAAGCGTGGTGAAGTGGACAGCGGATTGCGCAGGGGGCGTCAAATTTGAGTCGGCAGTTCATGTCAGCACAGGATTCGGCGCATAGGGTCTGCCGCTATTCGTTGAGATATTTCGGTGTTTGGCATGCATGCAGTGTGGCACGGATCGCGTCGATCATGTAGATCCAGATGCAAGGCCGAACCCGTCAACTTCCATCGGAGGTACTAGACATTAGAGGGAGCTTATGAAAATGAATTATAACATACAGTTGATTCAAGAGGAAACATGAATAAATTGTTAAAAAATAATATCCTCATTGCTGATTGGTTGGTGAGTATATGCCGTCATTTTATACAGGCTTCGAATCTTCCATGAGCTGCTCAGTTTGTATTCAACTACTTATTTTTTATTGCTCGTATCGACTTTTGATACATATTCTGACGCGAATCCTTGTACTGTATCTAGTAGGCACTAAGGAGTAGGTAGACTTGACCATATTAAACACACTGTCATTAGGTAATTACTTCTTACTTCACAAAGATCACTATTAACTATCAACATGGAATAAGACGTAGGAATGCAAACAGTAACAAAATCAGGCAGTCAAAAACGTATGTAACTCTTGACTCCACCTGCATTGTATTATATGCACTGTTCAATGTATGCACTGTTCAATGGTCAATCACTATCACCCTCACTGGTCACCATTTTGCTATGCTTTAAACCTGCTGCTCAGGTCTTAGGTGAGCCTTGGTTTGGAACTCAGGCTGGGTGGTGGTACGGGTTTGGTCTGGGAGGTAGCCCTGAGCTTGGGTTGGGGTCTGGTACTGCCCCGGAGACTGATAATGCGTCTGAGACGTAGACTCGGTGGCATACTGGTCGTTAGGCTGGTACTGAGTTCCGTTCTGATATTGTGTGCCGTTATGGTTCAAGTGCTGGTTTTGCTGAGAGCTGTAGTGGATTGGATCGTTGATATCATGATCCGAGACAATCGAGTCCTTGCGAGCCTCCCACTCATTGTAGTCCTGGCCAGGGTTGATTTTCTCCCAGCGGACCATGCGGAGCACGTGGAAAAAACCAGATGCCACGAGCGAACCGAGGAGAGGACCGACCCAGTAGATCCAGTGGTATCCGGGGAAACTGCGGTTGATGACGTCGGGCCCCAAGGAGCGAGCGGGGTTCAGGGAGCCTCCGGTGTAGTAATCGCCTGACGGAACATGTGAGATGATGGCTAGCATTTATATGAGTGGGTAGAAACTTACCAACTAGCTCGCAGAGGAAGAAAGCAAGTCCGATGCCCACGGGAGCAAGGTAAGTGGACTTGTGCTTCACAACAGCCAACATGATAATGACAATTATCAGCTGTGCGGTCAAAAACATTTCAATAAAAAGGCCCTGGGCGATGGAAGCTCCACCGCCAAGCCGAGTCGCGCAATTAAGCGGACCCGGAAAAAGAGCGCTGACAACACCGGCAGCAGCAATTCCAGCAATCAATTGAGCAGGGAAGACCATCAAGCCTCGTAGAGGAGGCATACCCCCAGTCAGGCAGAGGGCGAGGGTGACCTATAGTTGTCAGCTAGGAATTTACGTATATAAGAAATGGCTTCTTACAGCTGGGTTGAAGAGACCACCAGTCACACGGAAGAAGGCCCAAACATTGACGGTGAGGGCGAAGCCAAAGCATAGAGATGAGTAGAGCAAATTGGACGTATTCGGATACGACCCCTTAGCTGGCATAGGTGTGTTGGAAACCTGGGTGCCTGCAAAAGAAAAGAAGAGGAACAAGAAGGTGCCAACAAACTCGCCAACCAAACAGAGCACGTTGAAGCGCATCGTTTCCGGTGAAGCTAGCATGGGCAGCTGGCTCCTGCCATTAGATGAGACTCCTCCAGACCCGAGAGTGGAGGCCTGGGAATGCGCCTGGGAAGCCTGGCGCTTGTGGAATGCCATGTTCGCAATAAATTTATGTCTAATTAATTAGTTCCGAATGAAGAAATGAAATATTCTGAGAAAGGAGATAAAGGTCTCAAATTAATATAGGAGATATCAAGGTTGATTCCGCGCAGCTACTATAAGAGCCCTATGGCAGACGTCACTGCAGGTCTATGCACAAGCTTCCTTCGATCCATGTATCATCGATTGCTGTTTGCTGCCGCCATAGAGACCGAAGAATGATTCAAGACATGCTCATTTGGCTTTTGGAAAAGCTTCGATCATTCTGATTGGGATAAATTACACGAAATTCTGAGAGGATGAATGGTTAATGGTAAGGTCAGTTTTATGCAGTCCCATGTTTGTGATGAGGCATAGTTCCGTGTTTATGATATCCCAGTTGTTTGGAAGGGAACACCCGTCCGTTCGTAAGCGGAAGTCAGGAAGGGTCTAGAACATCGGTTAGCGCTATCAATGGCTGACCATCGATTTGATAGCCTGTTGAAAGTTGATATGATCCAATCTTTGTTCGTGATTGATATTTCAGTGCCATATGGATTAATCTTTGTCAGCTATGCCAAGGGCTCACAGAGCATCGGCTATGAAGGCAAGCTGTCACTTGATCACATCAAATAGCTTTTATCATGAGCTTTAAACTCAATCGCGGCGAACAGGCATTACTTGACTTTGTAATTGACCTAATGTAGTATTTGGTCTCTTGCACCGAGTGTGACGCCTTGGACTTCAAGTTCAACGAAGACGGGTCAACTGAGAGAGACATAACAGGTAATAGGTCGACATAGAATGTCTTTTAGCTCTTTCAGTACAATATCATCAACTGCATGTACGATATCGACCATACGGACCCGCGTTCACCCCATCCAGGCCAGTGCGACGCCAAGTGCCACGGCTGTTAACTGAATCAGTATTGAAAACAGGATCTCTTATTGAAGCAAATACGAAGGCTGAACCAACGGTTAAGTGTTCCGTTACCAAGCTAGGGATGACTTATGAAGTCGTCATCATCGGGGTTTGGGCAGCTTTCTGATGTTGCCCTGGGGCCGACCTTGGTGAGCGTCGAGACTGGATCACTAAAGCAGCAGGTATTTCACTCCCAATAGAAAATTCAACATGCCGCTTTAATATCTCTTGCCGTGTGGCGCTAATTCGAGCGGCAAAGAGTTTGAAAATGATGCTTACCAGTGGACTCACTGGACTGGATGCTAGATAGCGGTTTGAGCCAAGCAGGTGCTTTCTGGTGCAGTTGGCCACTCAAATCATCATCGATCCAAGGCTCTTATCAGTGAAAATTTATGCTCGATTCCACGTATTAATAATAGTCCGACTCCATCAAACATCTCAGCCGCAGATGACGATTACAGGGAGATAACCAGGGTCTTATACCGCCTACCTAATATAGCCTAGTATGATACAATGCTACATTAGAGAGAATTGGCTGTCCCAAACTCCGTCCCACACTCTACCCATTTTTCCATTATTTTACTATTGAGCCAATGGAAAATCATCTAGCCACCCTCAACCACGGTACGATGATGATGACAGCCACCTATACACCGCCGAGGTGACGCCATCTACACCAAGATCTTAGGCTCCTGCGTCGCGCGATGAACGTCTCCATGCGTGTTGGTTACGACTTAAAAGGTTATACTTAAACTGAAATCTCTGGTAAGATTGGTAAAATATATTGCCAGGTACAGCTAGCTTGCCTAGGAGCTATAGTGAGAGGATTATGCCTCTTATTGATGGAATGGCAAGACTAGCAGGTATTGATCGTATTATTTGAAAGGTAATACAACATAATGCTCTTGCGTATGGAGCTATGTAGCTATGGATATGATCAATGAACTTCATTGCCGTAGAGTTTGCTTGATCAAATAGCCAACTTATTCCCCTGATTTGGATCCGATTAAGCAACTATGGAATCGGATGAAGGAGTGGATTGAGTACTATCTAAAGGTGGATGTCAAATTATCATATTATCAGATTCGCGAAGCTGTAATGGTGACATAGGAAGCGATACCAGAGGAGTTTCTAGAGCGGCAGAATGGTCTGATGAGAGAGAAATGCAAAACTGTTATCGCAGCAAATAGTGGATATACCAAGTTTTAGAGATGAGATAGATGGTGTTGAATGGTGTTGAATTGAATAAGTGATGTTAGATTGATTAAACTATGTGTAAATTATTTGTAATAATAGTGTTCAAATCCACTACGCGGTATTTGAAAGTGACAGAAAACTAGAATTACTTTACTAACACGACTACAGCGACACACCACAGTTGTAGATGACGGTTATTATTCACTTTTCGACGAGATACTATGGCTCAGTGGTAAAACAGAAAATCTTATCCCTGAAGGTCATCGGTTCCAGAGTCACCGGTTAAAGAAACCAAATAAAAAGCCTCGAATCAGTATTGAGCTACTATACTTCGGGGTTGGGTATAGAGTATGCAGCGACCATCCAGGTCCTCTGGGTATCAAAGGATTGAAGAGTCTTGCCCTTCAAGACACATCAAGAACAAAGCCTGTTAGCCATATAAATCAGCGCCTTTTCACTCAAGCTAGCTTCTACGGGCCAGATGTCCCTCGTACGATTAAGCTGAATTCAACTGCACTAATGGTTCGCTGGAAGATTATTATAAGTAGCTTCGCCTATATTTGACTTTCAGAGGAACAATTGATTAAATCACTATCTCAAGACGTAACAATCTGACGCCTTTTCCTTGAGATCCCAGCAGCGACTTGGTATCAAGCTTCGCATCAATGACCCTGAAGAACGTGAGCGACAAAAAGAAGAGATTGATACATATGGCGGAAGGTATCAATATAACTTCTTAGGCAATAAAGGTCAATCTTATCCTATGTATGGAGTCTCTCTCTCTATTTATTTATTTATTTATATACTAAAATTCTCTTAGGCATAGGATTGCTGAGATCTATAAGACGGTCAATCCAAATGCTGTTGAACAACGTCGCATCGGGCTTCAACGTCGAAAAGGTGCTTATATTTGCCCTGGCCCGAACTTGATATGGCATGTTTATGGTTATATAAAGCTTGAACAATTTGGATTTGAGATAAACGCAGCTATCGATGGTTACTCTCGCTTTATCATCTGGATATATGTGGGAGTAGGCTTTCGAACAGCAGTTAGTGTATTATTCAATATCTAAAATGTGTTTCAGAGAATGGCTTTCTACCACGGAATATGCGCTCTGATCTTGGCTCTGAAACCATGCTATTAGCTGATGCGAATTTCTCTCTGCGTCAGTCAGGATCTCAGGAACTAGTTCCAGCTTCAGTTCCAGTTCCAGCTTCAGTGCCATCTCTAGTGCCAACAATATCACCAAGAGTAGCTATAGCTATAGCTTCAGTACAGCAGCTACGGGACTGCTTCTTCTATGGCCGAAACACTGAAAACCAGAGGATTGAATCATGGTGGGGGCAGCTAGTATCATCAAGTGCTCATATTTACTATGACTAATTCCACCAACTAAAAGATGAAGGCCTTTTCTCAAAGGATAATATCGCAGAGCAAGTATCCCTTCTTGTAATATATGTGACTATCATACGACAGCATATTCAATCATTTATTGAAGTATGGAACATTCATCCAATTCGAAAGCAAAGAAACCGGCCAAACAGTGTTCCAGGGAAGCCTATTGTAAGCTACAATTTTCCTCAAGAAGGCATTCATGATCATAAACAACAATTTGACCCGGATCTTTTACGAAGGCTACAAATGGATATACAGGAGTGGGATAGCAACGAATATTTTGAAGCTTTCCTATTGATCGAGCCTGATTACAAATATGTATAAAAGTGGGCCTAGAATATGTAATATAGTTACAGGCGGTCAGTTTGTATTTCTGGAGTACAGTACCATGCCTTTTTTCGCGGTGGCACTTATTAACCTCCGTAGTACACGGGTCGGTTTTACAAGACCCCAAATGGCGATAATATTTCATACTTTGTGATGGTAAAATTAACTAATAACTCACCAACCAGTGGAAACCTTGCATCATTTCCCGGGGAAATACTTCTACAAGGTATCACCAACAAGACCTGTCGGGAATGTCTCTTGCTTTTCCCTCTAGCAGCTCGATGGCCGACAACAACTCGCCATATTACAAGGCTCTCTTTCCGATTGAAACAAGAAGGCGCAAGCAGGCTGAAGAGAGTTGTAAGCAAGCTGAAGAGCAATGAAATCAACTTCAAGAGCGCAGCCGACCAACTACTTTCGTAGAATTTTTGCGCCATTCCCATGACCTGCTCTGTCAACCGCTAAGAGTGGAGACATCATCTCGCTCAACTACTGGGAAAATACCCCTTCCCAACGGATAGTATTGCCCGACACGATTGGAACACTGGAGCGACTGCTCAGCACAACTGTCAAAGCTGTATAAGTTTATAGCTATTTTCAGTTGACACCAGGAGAGTGCCTCATCACACCCTTGCTTGAGCTAGAACGATGAGGCCGACAACTTTACCACATGCATATGGGCAGCGAGCAAGAACTCCAGGGGAAAGCCATGTCCGCGATATAATTACTGAGTTATGCGAACTGCCAGCTACTCGCGACGAATTCGGCCTTAGCGATGGGATTTAGTTCAATAATCATACGAACTTCTTAACTGATAACAGAACTCCTGAAGCAGATATCAGCCAACCATCAACTGTACAACACCCAAGACCTGATGAGTTCTGCATCCTTCGTGTCGACAGCAACACTACCACTCTCCTCACGTCTATCTAATATAAACCGCCTCCTAAGCTTTCTATGGCCACCTTACGTATGTGGCTGCGACTAACGGACTTGTGGAAGGAGATGGTCAAGTCAAATAACATTCCTATAGACAAAGATACGAAGTCACGGTAAAATACAGAGCGCCTTGTATGTTCTGCCATTGTTCAAGAGCATCATATGATGATTCAAGAAGGGCTGAAATTCTCCTATGTGACTAACGGGCTTGCTCGAGTCCTTCTCCGTATTCCGCGAAGCGATCCTAGCACGCTCTACTACTTTCTATGCGATCCTAATAGTGAAGTGAACATGGAGATCAAAGCTACATTTGCAAATACTTCTATTGCAAGGTCACTGTGTTTATGTCTGATGACATTCCACTCGCCTATGAGAGATCAGGAGTGGAGGAATTCCGTACGACTAGAAATTCCTATATGGAAGACTAGTTACGACCACACTCACTCTCCTATGCCCCGCGACGAATATCGGCGACTTCCTCTCAACTCCAATAGTATAATCCCGGAATTTCTGAGCCCAAATTCCGGTTTAGCGTATGAACCATCGTCATCGCTGCCGAGTTCCCCAGAATCAACAACTCGTAAGTGTTAAGCAGAACCAGACCTCGAGTTAGCTCTACGCTATCTGATGCAAGGGATCGCTCACAGTCGTCACAACTACTAGACCTAGATTCGAACCTAGCCACACATTTTAAACGAAACTTCAGTCAAGTTTCATCTTCTACGTCTGCCTAACGCGTGGCTCGACAAAGAGATACTAATACTGATAAAGACCCGGACAGCCAAACCCACCGCCATGATGCGCAATTTTGTACCCAACGATGTTTACTTGGGTTGTAGTCTGGCGGCCTTCTAGATGACTATTGTCCAAATGTGATGCTCCATCGTCGAAGCAAAGATGACCATCATCATCCGATTGCCTCAGAGGATTTGGTTCACTTACTAAAGGCACAGTTGGATGAAAACATTGACCGCTGTACACCCCTTGTGTGTTGCGGGGCATACGGCGTGCCGTTCAAGCTCACTTATGTCGTACATGGTTACACTGTCATCGGAAAAGGAACCTCTTCGGTCTTATGGAAAGAAGTATCCCGCGAAGCGGAGGTACATCGAATTCTTCGGAAGGCGCAAGGGTCTGCTGTGCCTTTTTTCCTAGGTACGATCGACTGAGCAAAAATTTATTTCTTTCATGGGGCTGGTGAGATTCGCAATATGCTCGTGATGGGCTGGGGAGGCGAAATTACAGCGCCAATGGAGCTCACGCCCGGGAATAATCCACGAAGACCTTCGGCCTGATAATGTTCTATGGAATGAAGAGCTTAGGCGGGCATTGATAATCGACTTTCACCGCTTTACATTGAAATGCCGGACTACTTCAAAGCGACAACGAGCAAAACGACAACTATCATGAGCAGAGCCGGGAGATATTAAACGTCTTCATTTGTCATGAGGCAGTGTGCTTATTTTATTAGATTCGCGATTATTTTATGCATGATAATGAAACACGGAGCATTGCCGGCCTACATTCGCATGAATTAGTTAGAATTTATATCTATCATTCTGGGTGCTCGCTACACCTATTAGCCTGATATACGATTCTGTATGCGCTAATAGACACGAATGGAACAATCTAATTCTAGCTCTTAGACTTAACTTTACATGATGCGATGAATGATATGAAAACATTGATTCAATTATGAAACTTCAGGTCCGATATTATGGACTTTCCCCGGTATGCTATTAGAAATACATTCCATCAGCGTGGTAAGGGTTACTGTGATGGTGTCTAACTGATATGTGGACTAAATAAGCTCCCTGGAGAGTATTTAGGTCCGGCATACCGTATGATTCTGTTTTTTGCTTCTTTAGCCTTCATCGCTAACCATCATAAACTCCCGAGACCTTTTTTACCACGTTGTATTTCTTACATATCAGCCATTGAATTTACAGTTGTCATTTGATAAAGTCTTTCAGACTTTGGATTCAACGCATTCCCTTAGGTACACATATCTATTCTACTTATTCATCCGAGTGCAATGTTCTAAAGATATATATTCCAGACTTGTATCAAACAATTGGCCAATCAGGTAGTTCCTGTCAGGTGCGATCGACACTGTGACAGCGGCACCTTCAACCTTATTTATATGATGTTCTACAAGTATAAACAAGAGCCAAAGAATTCGAGACGCCTTCAATTGTTTCAACTTGTACAGCTTTTTTTCTCAGACCATGTATCACCTGGGCAGGCCGAGAAACGCCGAGCCTGAAAAAAACCCCGATAAACATATTCCGCGGAGATGCTTCAATTTCTTCAAGAACAGAACAGCTTATAATTAAGACAAAACTCGTACGACGTTCCTGTCCCCAGGATATAATCGGGAATAACGGCAAACATGAGCCAAATCAACCCACTCGCCCCGCTTTACCCGTCCTTCCGCGGAGATGCTTCATTTCTTCGTAAACAGTCACCTTCTACTGGACATTCTCCAGCAAGTAGCCCTGGGGCCAGGCGCTTACTATTTTGAGTCACCCAGCTGGACAAAAAATTTAGCTGCCACAAATTACAGCAAAGATGTATAAATGGAGCAGCAGAGCCCACTTTGGCAGCTACCATCGCACTAAACAACTTTTCAAGGAACCATTATTGTACACACAATGACCGTCGCGGCATTATCACCGGAGCAGATCCAGCTCATTAAAGCCACAATCCCTGTCCTCGCCGAACATGGCTATACAATCACGTCCATCTTCTACAAGAACATGATCGCCGCTCACCCAGATCTAAACAACATCTTCAACATCCCTAACCAGGAGAATGGTCACCAACCCCGCGCACTAGCAGGTTCCCTATACGCATACGCCTCATACATCGACGACCTAGCCGCACTGAGCGCAGCCGTAGAGCTGATCTGCAGCAAGCACGCCTCCCTCTACGTCCGACCAGAGCACTATGACATCGTGGGCAAATACCTCATCGAAGCAATGGGCCTTGTCCTCGGCGACGCACTCACGCCCGAAATCAGAGATGCGTGGGGCGCGGCGTATTGGCAACTGGCCAACATCATGATTACACGCGAGCAGCAGCTGTACGAACAGAGTGAGGGCTGGACAGACTGGCGTGACTTTAAAATTGCCGATAAAGTGAGAGAATCAGACGAGATCACTTCCTTCTACCTCGCTCCAGCGGATGGGATGCCATTGCCGTCTTTCCGTCCTGGTCAGTACATTTCTGTGTTGGTGTACGTACCAGAGGTGAATTACGACCAGCCTCGCCAGTACTCGCTCAGTGACAAGCCTTCGCCGGATTACTACCGGATAAGTGTGAAGAAGGAGAGGGGGATAGAGGGGGGTGCTCCCGCTCACCCGGGCTATGTGTCGAATCTACTACACGATAACTACAGCAAAGGCGACCCAATCAGAGTTTCGCATCCAGCCGGCGACTTCTTCCTTTCCGACAAGCCAAGCAACCCTGTCGTTCTGATCTCTGCTGGTGTCGGCATTACCTCGCTTACCTCAATCCTCAACACATTGACTTCTGACCGGGCTAATAACGGACGACCATTACATTTTATCCACGGAGCGCGCACATCCGCTGTGCGTGCCTTCAAATCTCACATTAGTACCCTCACACAAGAGCATCCTTCCCTTCGCACAACATTCTTCGCTAGCCAACCTGCTGCTGAGGAGGTGCAGGGGGTGGACTATCAGATTGTCGGACACGTTGATCTAGCCAAGCTTGACGCCAATAGTGATTTGTTCTTGAGTGACGAGAACACTGAGTATTACATTTGTGGACCTACGAAGTTCATGACAGAGACCAAGTCAAGTCTCGGAGCGCTTGGAGTCAGTGCCGATCGCATTAAGATGGAGCTTTTCGGAACTGGCGGTGTGCCTGAGTGAACGGCATACCCTGATGTTAGCTTGGTCTGATCTAGGGTTTTTTTTTTATTGTGTTCCATGGTACCATGTTGGCGTCAACTTTGGAACGCTCCTGAACTGTACATTAATCTCACCTCAATCTAATTTTTACTACATCTGAATGAGTCCAAGAGTCTTCTACCTATCTCAATACCATTCTATCAGGTATGTATATTGTAGTGGGGAGCCCTATACAGTATGGAGAAGAAAGCAGTCTGCAACGGCAGAACCGAGTAGTAGTACCCTTTATCTAGAAGTTGTGATAGTTACAGAATGATCACCTTTACACACCTCTTCACTTTTTGACTCCCTACCTTCACTGAGCTTTCCCTCGTGGTTGTGGTTGGGTTTTCCTAGCTGAATACCTGCACGTTCCGACCGTGCTGCCTAGAGCGTTCCCCATTTCAATATATACTCCGCATTCAAGTGGTGGAATTGAAAAAATTTACCGACTACAGGTACCTATACCAAAGCCTGGCAACATACTGATGATTAACATTCAATTTCAATGCACATACAGATATCAACTGATATTTCAAAACTCCAAAGATTGAAGGATCTACCCCTATTTGTGGAGATAGAAGAAGTAGGTCCCACCAGGGAAAGTCTTGGCATCCATAGCGCCAGCAATTAAGTCATCGTTAACATAGCGGAAGTAGTCAATAATAGGATGATCATCATAGATCATAGCAGTGGAGACCTTGCCGCGGAACTCGACCTGGCGCAACTATTATCAAAAAGGGTCAGCATTCATCCATCATTCACATTCAACTCTATATCTATCCTTCGGATGCTCAAGTATAAGAGGACAAACTCACGCGTGCATGACCCCATTTACTCTCCCACACTCTCTCCCCCTCCGCATTGTATATCATAATAGGGTCAACATTCTCGCTAGAATGAAAGTCCTTCCCAGCCCAGCTCATTGACTTGAGGATCTCCTGAGTTGGGTGTCCAGTGTTCACGCTGCCACCCTTCCAAGAACCGACGACTTTGTCGATGGGGATGGGGGCGAGTTTATCGTAGGCAGCGAAGAGTTCTTCGCTGCCCACGTTGTCGCGCTTGATAAGCTCGGCGAATTCTTGTTCAGGGGTCCTGGTTGAAGGCTCTGTCAGCTTTTACTCTGACTTGAAGGATTGAAGATGGGTTCAGGGACATACAGAGACATTTTTGAGAGTTTCAGGGGGGAGGTTTATCACAGGGGCTTTTCTGGGGGTTTAGTTGGGCTATATACTGCTGTTCTAGCCACGTAGACTTGTTTGCTTGCAGGATCAGTATCTCCACATTGGTTCACTTCGTGCTTAGTCTAGGGCCAGGATCTACATAGTCGTGGTGGGGTAGTACTTGACATGAGTGGGAAGTGATATTCTGCGTTAACACTTGCAAATGCGTTTTCAGAAATGGCGATATTACGCACGACAGCAACGAAGAATTAATCTTGAAGACAAGCAAACAACCGTTCGGTCGCATCAGTTAACCAACTAAGCTAACGCTACACTGCAACGTCATTGACAGGCTAAGAGGGTTCCACAAGCCCCACGTCGTTTAAATCTTGAGGGGTCGAAGATGATCAAGACATCATGCAGGGACTTGATCAATAGTTCTTGATCGTTCTAAATAAAACAGATCGATGGGGCCTGAATCAATCAGGAGATTGTCGATGTACTTTGCTTTAGTTGTTGATTCCCACTGTGAATGTATGAGTTGAACAAATGCCGAAAGCTCGGACTTGAAAACCTCGAGCGATACTCAGGTGGTTGAAGTTGTTTCACAATCGTAATGGAAATGCCGATGTGCAACATGAGAACTCATGATATAAACAGATCAGAGAGATGGGACCGAGGACTTCAGTAGCAGATTACAGATTCTGAAATTGTAGATCGTAGTCCGCCATGACTTGATGGGCTGATTTGTTAGTGTCTGATCAGTTGAATCGGACGTGGTTAGGTGGTCAAATATCGATATTCAACTGTGCACAGAGAGTTACAGACAGAAGAGCATAATCATTATGGCACACATGTACAACGAAAAAAAGTAACGAACGAAACTACACTGAATCAGATCGCTGTACAATACTGCACACCGGGCAAAGGGAGCGAAAATTCTTCGCAAAAAGAGGAGTCACTCCAGTCTCAGTACATCCTTCGGAGACCACGATCTCACAACCTCATTTGCAAAAAAAATTCATCCATCCTGCCGGTGCCACAGGCGGAAATGCCCGTTCCTATTCAAGCCTCAAGCCTCACCCGGTGAGCACTGGCGCAATCGGCGGGCTCCGCACTCCGTCTCAGGCCTCAGGCTCACTAGCAGCCTCAAACCTGACATGGACATGAATTTACCCCTGCGGAAAAGCGAGCGGCCTAGACATTACCCCCCAAATCATTACGTAGTTGGAGAGGGGCCGTAAGTAGCGATGCTGCCGATTAATATCCCACGCCCCTGGATTCTGGACATGAAATCCGGGGAAATGGATGAAACCGGTACGCAGATGCAAGTGACATCCCTAGTGAGTGTGCAGGGATCCACCACGGATCTTCAGCTTGCCGCGTCGGACGACCCTGATGGACACATGAAGACAAGGGTTGCTGGTAGCGTCCCAACGTCCAGCTCGCTGGGGGGTTTCTTCAGATAACTCCACATCCAGATGACTAGGATCCCTTGTCTATGGTTTCCATGGTTTCCGTTGTACTGAATTAGGGTCGATCTGAGTGTGGACGATCAGTTGTGATCGACGTAGGCACGAAATACTTAACTCTATTTTCTCACCCCATTCTTCGTCAACATCCATCGATAAATCCCCGATCGAAAATGAGCCGAACTTACTCCGTTACCCAAAACCCAACACAAGGTTCATCGTAGAGAACGAAAACCCCAAAAAATAAGCCAAAGATCAGGAGATGTCACCGCATCTAGAAAATTTGATGAGGACAGGATCGTTCACCGAAACAGACTATACCAGAATCATGGGGAAGGTTCGTTCCGTAACAAATTCGTGGTCTACCAACAAAAAGGTAGTCACGGGAGCAAAACTGACACATGAATCGGTAGAGATCGGGAAAAAGAAGGGCGCTTGGACTCTACATGGAAATGATCGAGCCGGATCACCCCACGAGAGAGGAACGTAGTAGCACTTTAACCGGTATTTCAAGGAATCAACGATTCCATGCTTATGCCGAAATAGAACCGTCTTGGCATACTAGTCCTGATCTTATCTTGATTTCCACTAATTTCCTCCTAAAGTTGATACTTTTGTGGGCGAAGATTTAGAAAGTGGATACCGGGAAGCTCGTTTAGAGCTACAAAGTAGATCATGAGTGATGAGTTGGTATAGTTCCAAGTTCCAAGTTCCAAGGTTAGAAAGCAGGTACCCATGTATAGAACCTTCCGAAGTTGGAAGAAGTAGAATATAAACATACTTTGTGGAGGTACAATAGCGGTAGCGAGTATGTAGTTGATGGATGCAAGCCAACCTTGGAACGTGACAGCGTTTAATCAATTTTTGAATTGATAACGAGTCATCAAAACTAAGTACTAGATCCTTTCCCATACAGGGGTTTACTCTTAGTGGAAGTATATATTGATAGCTCCTTCGGAGCACCTACGGTCCGTGGATATTACTGTGCTTTGTAGTATTCAATTAGTACAGATTGTCGACTACGGCGGGTATTTCTACCCAAACAGTGCCCGGTGACATCATGAATTCAGGATTCGCAATTCTAGAAGACTGATAGAAATTGTGTTGTGAAGGAGGATCACTACAGGTGTCAATTTGTTCTAGAACCAAACTTGTAGAATTTAGACTAGGGGGAAAGTTCAGTATTATCGAAGATCAGCAGTACGTCGTAGATATCATAATGGATCAAGGTGAGGGTCAAAATGGTCCAGATCATATTAAGAGTAACAACATCCACATTCGGACAGACTATGTTCCAGACACGTTTCTAAGACATTAACAGATTAGCGTACTTTTCAGGGGTATAATATATTCCGGCCAGGGATAAAGTCAAGGTGACGAATAAGGCGCAATACAATTGAGTAGAAGAAGCTTAGAATAGACAAATCAGGGCAAGAAATGGGCAATACGGTGGATTGACTAATGTAAGTTCACTAGCTAAGAGTAGTCGTCTACTTAGTACGTTAGCATCCAAACATAGGTACAGTAAGTATTATCGGGGCCGACCTTCGGCCGTGTGGATTACACAGGTTCAATACTCCACATGTGCTTATGTTTAGATTATTTTCTACAACGGTTTCATGCATATTTTGGCTGTGCAAAGGTATGAGAGACAGGATTGGGTACTCGATACATAAGACATAAATTCATAATATACTAAGTACAATATTATTTATTAAATATTATTCTTCCCTCGGAGCCGACCGTTGAAAGGTGATCTCGGCCATGTCAAGCCGATGTTATCTAACCAATAAAATCCACCTGAGCCGGGACAGCACACCCCTTTCTCGCTGCCGAAAGAGGAGGTTGAGGTTATTCCTGTCATCGCGGATAAAATTTATTCAAAATTCATCGAGAATTTCTCGGCTCTCATTTTCGGTCAACGAACCGTGATTGAAAAATCTTAATCCCTAGACCCCCTGTATTTTATTGTGACATATTCTGCCATATTTAACGTTGGTAACACCTTGATTTATATTTTGTATTTTTTATATTATATTATTTCCCAAGATTCAATACGATCTACATCACTCCTGTCCCCGTGCACACAAGCTTCGATATATTATATCTCTCCCCCCCCCCCTTCCCAACTATTTGCTCTCAACTTCAACCTCAACTCAATGGCTTTCAATCGATCCAGCACTTTATCCAACCTCTCTATAGAGGACGAGAGATACCTCAGCCAACTGAGCCCTCAGAGTCGCCCAATGGATATGTTCCAAAAAGGATCAGACCCTCTTCCCGGCAATTGGAACTATGACAGCGCAATCGATCTATTCTCTCTGAACCCCGTTGACATGGACCCCGTCTCTTTCGACTTTGCCGACACTCTCACCTCTACCGACTCGAAAGATATCTTCATGGATCCCTTTGAAACTCCAACGGCCATCAGTGGCTTCTCCATGCCTACCGCAGAAGATAACGTATCTTTGTCATCAGTAAGTACCTTAACATAGCCCCGGGGTTTGCGGATCGGCGCTGACATGTCAAAAAAGGATTTCGATAGTGACGATCAGTCCTGGCCCCACCGGTCCATTGATATAACCCCGAAAGCTGAACCAACCAACAACAAATCCTCCAAGCCCGTGACCCGGAACTCCGTTCAAAGTACCACCTCCTCTAGCAGATGGTCTTCCAGCCCGGAGATGAAACCCCAAGAATACACACCCCGGGCTGATAAGTCTGTCACATCCACAAACAGCCGGAAGACCCGCAGCTACTCTCAAGACTCCAATCGTTCGTCAACAAGTCAAGACCCACAGATGCGAAATGCCGCAAAACGTGCGGCCCACAACATTATTGAGAAGCGCTACCGGACAAACATGAACGCTAAGTTCCTTGCTCTTGAGAAGGCTATCTCCCCCGCTGGAGTCCAGAAGCAAAGTTCCCGAGCTGGAGCTGGTTCTCTCAAGAAGTCCGAGATCCTCACAAACGCCCTGGCTTACATTGAGAGTGTTCAGCAAGAAAACTCATCCTTGCACAAGGAGTTGGCGCTTCTCAAACAGAACATGATCCCTGGCATGTGGCGACACTCAAAACAGCCCCGCGCATAAATCAAATCCTTTCGTGCTCATCATCCCGCCCCAGATCAGTACTTTCTCACCTTCTCACTTTCTCACTTTTCCCTTTTCATTTTCCTTTTTTTCCTTTTCACGACCATGATATGATGTACACTTAGAGAGAGTTTCGCCACAAAAAATCACCCGGGGAAAAAGGAGGGGAAGCTGGGCGATCCCCCATATATTCCTTATTCATATTCATGGCGTTTTTGGATTGCTCATTATCATGGTCATCACTGGGTTGGGCTGGTTTGGTTATATTTTTCATTTTCATTTGTCGGAGTTGTTAATCATGGCGGGGCGGATATTATTTGTTTTCTCTTGTTGCATCTCCCATCTCAATGCCCTACTCTCGGGTTCTGGTGACAACAAAAGTCTTTTTATGTTTGCCCAAAGAATAGCTGCTCAAGCATTAATGTGACTGCCAAGACTCGGGTCTTCTTACCAATCAATTCTTTCTCTTGTAATGTAGATCAATTTCAGACTTCAGAAGAGGGGTTGCGCGAGCCGGTAAGTACGAGTACGAGTATCTTCCCCTCTTCTGATCAGTTCTGACTTTTGACAGATAAAAATATCCTGGAGACCGACTCAGAGTTGATCTTCAGTCAGTCTGAATGAGCAGTCGTCAAGCTACTCTTGAAGAATTTCACCGGGATTGAACTGTCGCGAAAGTGCTGATCTGATCTGATCTAATCTGATCTCCCTGAAGTTTCCTTTCACCAGACGAAATGAGAAACCAGGGGATTCATTCACACGATACACTAACACACTTCAAGCTCACCAACGCTGAAGCGCCCGGCTGAGGCTTGAGCCTCGCTGCAAGGTGGACGAACAGATGCAGAAGCATGCCTGATTTCACCCTTACGAACAGCCTTCAGAAAATATAAATAGGAAAAATCCGCTAACGGGGAAATGGGGAAACGAGAAAACTTAGCTCGCGTGACCTCCACTTTCCTGGCCTTGGCCTACGAATGCCAATGTCTCAGGAATTCACCCCACAATTCCATCTTCGATTCTTCCGAGTTTATCTTGACCCACCATGAAGGGTAGAATCCACCAAGAACCGAGGTCGGCGACCGAAGCCAATTACAATGAGAGAATGAAGTTCAAGATCTCAGAGACAGCTTGACGAAGTATCTGGCAAGCATCAATTCTGGAATGGATCTCAAAGTTCATTACAGGCTTACTGAATTAATTCGACTCTGAAAAAAGAATCGGTTTCATTTCGGAAGTACTCGCTGACCCTTGCTGGCATCCGATCAGAAGAAAAAGACTTTCCAGATGGATGAGATCTATCGACTTGATGAAGTTATATACAAACATAATAGCAGAAGTCATGGATAACCCGGCGGGGCAAAATACATGATAACAGAGTTCTTTATCAGTTCGGCTGGACTTACTGTTTCTGGCCAAGTTGCCACCGACGATCTTGAAGAATTGATATTTGAGAATTGAGAATTCAGAACTTCAAGATGAACAGAACTGCTAAATTGAAGAAATGAATATACTATTGTGACACTCAATGACTACCAATCTACCAGATCAACAAAAGGATAAAGCTAGCCAATCAATTACTACCTTACCAATCCTCTTTATTCATTGACTATAAGCGATCTTATCTACTTCTTAGTCCAGAATGTCCACCCGAACCGAACCACACATGATCTGACTCCCCGCAAAAAATGTCGCTTCAATCATTTTTGTTACACACACTTTCCTCATCAGTTACAAATTGGTTCTGTTCCAACCAGTTAAAACTAATGCCCGCGTCGTAACTGATTACTCCTTTGAGCTTCTGTATTTAACAGAGATAAAGCTGATACAGAATCAATTTCTGGTCCGTGCCATTGGGGTACGGGACTAAACGAGAGCTATCCATATATAGAAGTCATAGCCCATCCCTCTTCTACTCAGATCAGTTAGAGAATGGGAGCAGTATTCATATTTATTAATCAAACACTTCGACCAAGTCATCGCTATGGATCTTGAGTCTAACTCAGTCTCGGGCACTTTCAAGCCGCCACTCAATGAGGAGCAGGATGTACAAGATGCTACCGATCTTGCTGCCATGGGCCATGCCCAGGTATTGACTCGGAAATTTGACACGTTGAGCATGTTGTCATTGGCGTTTTGCGTACTGGGTATGCTATGCAATCAACGGATTGACTCATTCCAGATGCTAACAGAGTATAGGGACCTATTCTACCTTCGCACAAGACCTAAGCAGCGGTCTCACAAACGGTGGCCCCATCACAATCCTATGGGGTCTGGTGCTGGTCACCCTCTGCAATCTATGCGTGGCTCTATCGCTGGGCGAGTTGACCAGCAGCATGCCCACAGCCCTAGGCCAAGCCTACTGGGTCTTCCGTCTCTGGGACACACCGCTCGGCCGATACGTGTCATACATGTGTGCCTGGATCAACACATTCGGATGGTGGACGCTGACCGCATCACAGGTAGCATTCATGACCGAATTCCTGCTAGGAATCAAGACCATGTTCGTGCCAGACTGGAGCGGCGTCAACGAGGGCTGGCTGAAATTTGTCGTCTACATCGGCATAGTCTTTGCCTTGACGTTCATCAACGTAATTGGCTGTCGCAAGGAGAAGATTCTCCCCTGGTTCAACAACTTCGTCGGAATCTGGTTCGGCGGCCTCTTCTTCGTCCTCATTCTCGTCCTCCTCATCTCCGTAGGTGTAAAGACAGACCTAAAGTTCCAACCAGGTTCCTTCGTCTTCGGCGGCTGGATCAACCAAACAGGCTGGAGCAACGGCGTCGTCTGGTTCACCGGTCTCGTGCAGGCCGCATACGGCCTGACAGCCTTCGATTCCGTCATCCACATGGTCGAAGAAATCCCCGACCCGCGCCGCAACGCACCGCGTGTAATCTGGATGGCTGTCCTATTCGGCGCTATAACTGGGTTCATCTTCATGATCGTCTGTCTTTTCTGCATCCAGAGCATTGACGCCGTCACAAGTGCAGACCTCCCCTTCATGGAACTCCTCCTCGAAACAATCGGCCTTGAAGGCGGCGCAACCCTGATCGGCCTATTCATCTTCAACGGCCTCGGTCAGGGAGTCAGCATCCTCACAACAGCCTCACGTCTAACCTGGGGATTCGCCCGAGATGGTGGTCTCCCTTTCAGCAAGTACTTAAGCCACATAGACCCTGTCTGGCAAGCCCCGGCCCGCACCCTCTGGGGCCAGGGGATTGTGATAGCAATAGTCGGCATCCTCTACCTCTTCGCAAACACAGTCCTTGAAGCAATTCTTAGCGTCAGCACCATCGCATTGACAGTGTCATACGCAATGCCAATTCTAGCCCTCCTAGTTGTGGGCCGCGACAAGCTTCCGTCAGGCGGAACATTCCACCTCGGCCGCTGGGGCATATGGTTCAACTGCATCAGCATCGTATACTGCATAATAACAACAATCTTCTTCCTGTTCCCTGGAAGTCCAAACCCATCACCGGCTGATATGAATTATGCAATTGCAGTGTTTGGCGTCATGCTTGTGATTGCGATTGCGTTCTGGTTTATTCATGGACACAAAACTTACTTGATGACTGAAGATGCTATTGCCCAGATGGTTTATGCACAGCATTTGGAAAATGCAGAGTCTGAACGCGATATTGTTGGCTCTGCTGATGATTAATGGGCTGCTTGCTTTGCATGAAAATCTGGCTATCTGTACATGTCATGGCGCTAGGCTGATTGTTTCTTTTGAATATAATATCTATTCTATGATCTTGTTTCTGATCTTTGAATACGTTGATGGAAGCCAGTAAGCGTGCTTTCTATGCTTCACGAACTACCAAAAATGAGTCTTGCCATATCGCTCACGTACTTCCAATTCACTCTCAAGACTTTTTCGTTATCCACTCAAACTTGCGTGTGGAAGGAAGGGGCTGACGGACTCAGCGTGGAAGAACCTGTCGATGATTGCCTTGGAATTCACCACTTTGCCCTGTTTATCTGTAGAAATCTTGGAATCGACAGAAGACAACTGCCATAGCACGGGAAAGGATAGACCGAGTGAAGAACGTTCTGTGAAGGCCCTACGAGGGCATATCGCTTTCATTGAAGGTCCGCGAGAAGTTGTTGGGAGCATTTGGCCAGAAGGGTTGACGCCATTCAATCGAGCGCTTTAATTGAACCCACGCACTTTTTGGGATATAGGATTTAATCAAGTAATGAGAAGACAGTTAAGAAATATATTGTGAATTTTCCTTGAGCGGTTCCAAATCACATTTATTTGACTGGACGCTTTCGAGATCCATACTCAAGGACTATTACAATGGTGGAAAGCTCTTTGAAAATGAGAAAAAAGAATATAGTCTTGCTTGTTTCTACTTATGGGCCAAAGGAACCTGATGGTGTTTATTGTGGCTTTCAAGAGAAGCTTAAGTGCGGGCGAGGCAAGTACTTACCCGAGTGATTTTTTCCTATTGATAACGCAATGAATCTTCCATGAGAAAATTGATAGATGCATGCTATGACTTTGCATAGTTTGTTAAACCACTCACATTCCTAGGTAGTGGAAGTCTCGAAAATGTTTTTCGTTGCCTATATGCCTACTCCGCAACCAAAACATTTCCAAATAGTCCCGAGCCGAGCCACTAAAATTTTACATTGGGAGATAAGATTATATCATGATTGACTGATCCGTTTGAGTTTACTGGTTACGGAAATCAACAAGCCATACAGCACCTGGTAAGCTGTTTATCAATGGATGATTTGTTGAAAATCGGGATACCTCCTACTGATAAGTGATCCTACTACATCTAAATCAATGATAGAAGACGGATGTTGTCAAATTAAACTTTCTTTAATGTCTGATTTTACGATTAGTGAATTAATGGCGGGAAAGTGGGCTGTGACCTTGGATGATCTTATCAATCGCCCCACTATTGTTAATGATTGTGTACGACGATGCACATACCAATTATCATATCGAGAGGATTCTAAATGGGAAATTTGCTCCTGAGAACTGGAATTGTCGCAAATATTGCTAAGAAGGTCATTGTCATTGTATGAGGAATCATGGAGTATTTAGTTCGCCGACGATCGAGACGGAAATGTGGGACTGTAACGAAGAACTAGCCACCACGTTATGACTATTGAGCACCATGGAGAATGTTGGAAAAATAGAAGCCTCTGGAACGTGATGATTCGGAAATACTTTAATATTGATCTACGATACGGGTGACCTACTCTTCGTAGTTGAATTCTTTCAATGAAAGCATTAACGGCGATGAAACAACCTTGAAAATTTAAATATTATTTATGCAGCGCTTTCGAAACAAGATAATATACATGCTGGTTCTTCAAATGCATCACCTCGAGCCATCTAGTTACGAATCGGAAATGAAATCGATTCTCTCAGGTTCAACCCGCTTTCTTCCCATCACATCAGTAAAGTCCTCATTAAATTTGTGAATTCCTGTCATACGACCACACCAGCAAGTGTAGAGCAGAAAAGCATAGCGATAAAACCAATACTAGCCTTTGAGAGAGGCTGATTTGAGGCGGCAGCATTGTACGTCGGGGTTGAAGTGAAGGAAGAGGTGAGATTTGAGGTAGGTGTCGAGGTAATGGCAGCAATCGAAGGATTCACAGAGGCTGTGGCGGTAGCGTTTGCTGGTGCATTGCAGTAAATCTCGCTGCTTTTGTGGCTCTTCTGGGTTAAGCATTTTCCGAGACTATAGATATCCTGTTTCTGGGCGAGACAGTAGACGCCGCAATCATTATTGTACCTCACAGGCCCTGATCCTTTGCAGCATAAATCAAACACAGTAGTCATGTTCCCAGCAACGACGCTGGCAGTAAGATTTAGTCAAGAAATGATTGCAGTCGACTTTATGTACTGCTTACCTACCGCATGCTGCATCCTTGATTGGTATTTCGTAGACCGTGGAACTGCAGACTTGGTTGAGAGTTATGGCAGACATACTGAATATGAGATTGGAAATGAGCCTTTTCGATGGAAATAAGGAATATCAAAGAGCGCAGGCCGCCCAATAAAATAGAAAAATAGCGATATATCCCGGCCGCACGTAATTGGCTGTTTCTATGAAACGGCAAGTGGAGAACGGAGTGGACCCCACGTTGCTATACTTAGAGATGACCTTATATTCAAAACATTGATTTCAAAACGCATATATTTGCCATAAATTCCTGTTCGAAACCCGAAAGGAATTGCCGACTGGGCCGATCAATTTCCTCAATCGAACAAGGTATATTAAGTTGTGATACTATCCTCATCTTCTCCCGCCCCCAATAATACCTCAAGCTTCACACGTTGCTTACAATTCAGCCCCCGTACCAGTTTTATCTTCTGCATTTTCATCATCGTGAGTCAAAATGGCCTTCTCCCTCTCAGACTGCAACGGTTCCACGCCGACAAGAGCAAGGAGCCCAACATCACTCTCAATCCGAGCCTTGCGCTCCGCATCGGCCGCTGCCAGACCGACGGTGCCAAAGATCTCGTCCATTTCCTCCAATGTCCGACCCATAGTCTCAGGTACAAAGAAGTATACATAGAATATTCCTACTGTTGTGACACATCCGAAGAAGATGAAGGTTCCGAGAGTGGAAGTGCTGGTGAAAGGTGAAGTGGCCGTGGCAACAGCGAAGTTGTTTAGCTGCGAAATTAGTTTTTGTCCATCCGATTAAAAGAAGATGACTGACCCAATTGCTACTGCCACCGATACTGACTCCCTTCGCGCGCATGCTGAGCGGGAAAACCTCGGAGGTCACGATCCATGCCACGGGCCCTATACCATCATGTCAGCAAGTGGATCAATCTGTCAGAAATTTTCACACATACCCCACGAATACGCAAAATTGATAACGAATATCCAGACAAAAACAATGGCTGTCCATCCTGCACCCTGATGAGTCAAGAAAGAATGCTGATAAGCACCAATTATACCGGCGACAATGAAGTGGCAGATAGCCATGCCCGTTGCGCCGGCAATCAGGATCTTCTTGCGACCTATCTGATCCACCCAAAGCACAGCGGGGATGGTGAAGAGAAACTCAACAATTCCAACTACTCCAGTGGCTAGGAGATTTGTGGTGTTTCCTGGAAGCTCCATGTCCTCGAAGATGTATGGACTTGAAAGGTCAGCAACAGTCTGCAATGCCATGAGAGGGGGCTACGGTACGCATAGTAGTTAATTGCATTTATTCCGTTCCATTGCTGGAATACCATGATCAAACACTGCTCCTTTGTTACTGCTGTAAGTTCGGAATGGAGGAGGGGCTCGACTCACGGCAACAGTCGTCCGCTTGAAGAGTGACTTGTTTGTGACCAGAGACAAATAATCATGCCATCCGATATTAAACCGGCTCTTGAAAGATCCATCCTGCCACTGGGGATATTTCTCAGCTGCAGTCTCGCGCTCGAAGATATATAGGCTTTTGATTTCGAGGAATTCAATTCGAACTAGGAGGTCATCGGTTGAGGCTGCGCGGAGACGCGCGAGGGTCTGGAGACACTCCTCTTCACGACCGGTGTTCATCAGGTGGCGAGGCGACTGCGGCATGAAAAGGAGCATTCCAGCTGCCAGAACAACAGCGGGCAGGATCTGGATACAGATTGGAATTAACCAGGCAGCGTTCGACTGACCGTCACCAGTTCCACCGATGTAATTGGTTCCATATCCGATCTACTTTCGTTAGACGGAAGTTCACGAATGATCTCAGAATTTGGCTTACCCAGAAGCTGATCATAATACCGAATGTGATGGCCAACTGTTGCACAGCAACAAGCGATCCACGAATTTCGGGCGGTGCCTTGAACAAATCAGCCAGGAGTCGCCCTATTTAGACTAAAACCTACCAGCTCTGCGTTATACAGTGGCACAACCATACTCAAGCTTCCCACACCAAGACCAGTGACGAACCGACCCCCGAAAACGAAATCTTTGTTGACCGTACAGGCCTGCACGATAACGCCAATACAAAACACCACAACTGCGACAAGCACTGTGAGTCTACGACCGATCGCATCGGCGAGATAACCGTTGAACAATGTGCCAACCCACGCGCCGAGCTCGAGAATAGAAGTCAACATCCCCTGCTGAATGCTCGTCGTCGCGGCATATCCTTGTGTCTGGAGCAATTAGAAGAAGCAGGAAATAATGAACTCTGTAATCGTACCGCTTTCTGGAATGAGTTCATGGTCAACACCTGCGCGAACATTCCTTGGTTGTCTTTCGCTCTTTGTCAGCTATTGATGTACCCTCCGTGGCATCTGGAAAGTCTACTTACATCCATACACCAAACCACCGAGTGATGCAAACAGTCCGATCAAAGAGGTTTTCTTGTTACCCAACAAGCCCCAGATACCACCCTTTCCGGCAAGCTCAGCACGTTTCGCTGATACCGCCGTCTCGCCTGGCAGAACAGGTGCCATTGTGACAGGTACAAAATCAAGTAGGGGACCCAAGAAGTAGCTGAGAAGTCTACTGGAATCGACTTAATGATGATTGTAGAGAGATACGTTTCAAGTCGTCATGCACGATATCCCACATAGGCCCATTTATGAACCCATGTTTACCCAGCACTGTGGATAAATTCAACCATTGATTTACCCCAGGCTCCGCATTTGCACAGACTATCCATGCTGTTTATCCACATTTCCTCCCCGCTCTGGCATGTTCCGAGGCATTATCCGGGGTTATGCGGGGTTGAAAGAACGTTGCATTGGGCCGCGCGCGACTATTTCGTGCATCGCGATTTGTGTATGCGGTTGAGCCGTTTACCCGGAAACTTCGAGCGCGTGGAGTCAAACCTTGGATAAATGCGTCATACCACGTATCGTGGCTGATACTTGGACATCGATTCCTCTACGACGATGCTGACTCGCCTTTTTTCTAGTATAGTTTCCTGTTCATCCATTTTCGCGATTTGTATAGCTTATTGCAATCTCGGCCTTTACCCCACGATATCACTGCAAGCAAAAATGGAAATAGTTACTGGTAGTTGACTCTATCCCGAATCTGGGATGCTGATTGGCCTTATTAGCTCCGGTTATGCTCCGGTGCCAAGCCTGCGGTGGGGGCCCTAACCCCGCGCATTCATGATCCACTCCTCAGCACATGTTATAAACTTCATATACTCAGTCGAGTCATCGAACACTGACTCCCAGACAATTATTCCATAATAGACACCTGGATATATATTCATTCTTGTAAAATTATTGGGCCGCTAGACTCTAGTCCTCCGATGATGCTCATGCCAAGCCCAATCGCACGGACGGACACATGAAAACGAGACAATGAACTGCATTCTTTTCAGCCTGGTCTCAAATCCGCAAAACTGCACCGGTAAAAGTCGACTATTTAGCCCAGAGGTCTATAGCATATATCCAGCCACTAGCCACGATGGCTAAATCCATGAGTGAGGGACTCCTCTTCGTGATGCACCAACTTCCTCTAAAGCAAAGAAGCTGCAGGTGTTTTCTCAGGTGTTGTTCTCTGGATGATTAATATCTCGTAAGGCACTGGGGTGTAAGCTGGTGGCATTCAAGTAAAGTTCTCGCAGCATTTTGGAGCTCAGCGACCTAATCTATTGAGGATGGATATATTTTTCACATCTTGGAAACTTAAATGTCGTCCATATTCAAAGGTACCTGAGCTGTAATTCTTTAGATCAACTTTGGAGATACAGTCTTATTGGTAGTTGCTGACCGAAACTGTGTTGATTCCCTTTGTGCGAACAGTTTGAAGTTCATTGAAAATGAACCTTGGAATAGATGATGTGGTTAGACCAAGTCAAGTTAACAAATATCAAGCAAAATTCATATATTGCTAAAATTCCACTATCCAGCTTCTCAAAACCAACCTTTCTTCATTCCTGCTTTGATTCCTTGAATATGGAGGGTTCATTGACGCAATGGCAGATTTCTCGAAAACTCGAGATCAAAAAAGAAAAGGAAACTCATAGTTGATGGTTCATGAAGATGAAGGCTAATGGAAAAAGGGAACTGAAAATCCTCCTACATAGGCAGGAGAAGTCTACTTATTTCTTACACCCCGAAATTATATTGGTGATAGCTGCATATTCTATAGCCGAACCCGGAAGTATACAAGCTCAATAGTCATTCGAGGCTTTTTATTTTTTTCACTCTCGGGCCGGTCATATTTACAAACAAGATATCATGTTACCACTGAGTCATCTGTTCTCAGAGAGTGATATGTCCGGAATTATTAATACCCGTGCTCTATACCAACACTGTAACTGAGTGATTTATCATGTTTGATTCGTCATGCTTAGTTTGATTGGTTAGTAAGAGTTCATTTTGTTGCTATTTTGAAGTCTCATTAGGTTGACTAACGAATCAACTCATTTATAAACACCTTACTTATTATTTTGACTCTAGGTATTTGAATTACATTCCTAAAGCTATCTACTAAAGAAGTGGGCCGTATCCAAAATTGTAACTGGTTATAGGCACATAGCCAACTTCGAGTTTCAACTTTGTAATCCCAAGCGACCCTTGGCCCAGTGGCTAAGGCCACCAACAAGGTATTGAGGGATCGATTCTCTCGAAGACCATTCTTTCAAGTCTGCGTTTCGGGAATTCGGAGATTTGTGTCGTTAAAGCTAAGCCGGGGGCCGTGCAGAGTACTCAAAACCAGTACAGACTGGTTTTATAGGATGTTTGTCGCTTCTCGTAGTAAACGAAGCTACAAACATCTGAATTTTTGCTACTTTTTCAAAATATCATTACTTCACAGAACAGGGTTGGTCTTTTCATCGAATCTGAGATGAGGTTTTCATCCACATACCATTTGAGAGTATTATAAATACGCCCACTTTTTACTTCGGGTGATTTCATATTTTGATTTAATTTATCGGAGTCAAAATGTTCTTACCAAGATTGGTTTTCTCACAGCATGCTTCATGACCATGTTTTTGAGATTTGGAAATGTACCTGCTGGGTCTCTGCTTCAACATCCTGATGTACGTTCCTTTGTTACTTATGCTTCATAAACTGTTTCCGAAGGTAGACTTTATTGTCCCTGACCCATTTGTGGATTGATAGGAAGATTGACTAATTTCATTCTTGCTTCCATAAACGCTATGGATGAATTTAGGATGAAGTACTCAATGCCTGACAATAGAACTCCCCACAATCCCATGAATGATACGAAGCGCCATCTTCATCGTAATGATATGTCTCCTCTCTTTCTCATTGCCCACTCAGTCCTCTGCTGACTGCTTTTCAACCTCAACTCGAAGTTTTTCGCAAGCCTTCTGTTCCATATCATCCATCCATCCATTGAGTGGGCTTGGAAGCACGCGGACAGAGTTCGCATGATCAATCGCAAAGATCGGGGAGTCCCACGCAAGATTCCGACACATCTCCACAGCATATGCTAGAATCCCACTACCAATTCCGTGGCTGCGATACTTTTTCTTGACGGTCCAGGCGCGGATTGACGGAATGACCGAGTCTCTTCTGAATTCAACCCGCATGACAATAGTGCCAATAACCTCTTTGTTCAGAAAGGAAACGAGAACGATGCTCCTGCTCCGGAGACTCCATGTTGAATCGCTCTTGCGACTGGGATCTTTCACGCATTTCTTTCCTTTCTTCGATTCGTTGGTCTTGGATTTCTTGTACAGCTGCTCATCGCCATACAACCAGGCCCACCGTCCCGTCATATCAGCCACGGTGTCATACTCCTGGATGATGCGCCTCAAGACAGACAAGCTCAGCATGAAGCATCCGCCCCAGACAATCAGCGCAACGGGTAGGTCCACGGTGTGGTAGTTGTAAGTGTAGATGATGTTCAGTACGAGTAACATGCTAAACCAATAGACGGGGTGCTTCATGACGGCTGATATGGCTAGCTCACGTTGCTGGGTGATAGATTGAGAGACGAGTTGGATGGCAGCATGAAGTTCCTGATCGGTTTCAGCGATGCGGATGTAGGGACTTTCGGGACCTTCAGGGTTGATGGGTTTGATATCGGGCCGCTCCGAGATGGATGAATCCGTCATCCATTCTGCTTCTGTATCTTCGTCTGGCTTGAAGGTCTTGTAATGGTGAAGAGGACGATAGGGAACCTCATTTTCAGCGCCGGCTAATCGCTTAGCTAGCCGCATGATCTGTGAGTGGTTTCCGATTTGGACTTTGCTTGAAAATGAGCTTCTGTGGATTGTTTGATATAGTTGTAAATTTGGGTATTAAGACCTTCGTTTCGGGGGTTAAAGGGCTGGAGAGTTGAGGAGAGATGTAACTGGGAAGATACAGAGATGGTTTTTACTATTTTAATTTTCACTATGTCGGCAGAAAAGATAAGTGGATGTGGCTGACGTGAAAGGAAAGTGCGCATGTTTCAACAATAACATCCAAGGCTCCGAGACATAGAGAAACCCGTGACTGGCGTTTTTTTAACAAACGAGAAAAATGCATATTTATAAATAGAGGAACCAATTTTGAATAAGATGGAACATGGGAATCGAAACATCATGTATAAGAGTACACAGGTTTACTGAAGTTGATTTTTTGTAGGGAATTGAAAGAAGTCGCTTATATCTCGACAGAGACTGAGAATCCTGTGCGATACTTCACAGATAAGATCAGATCTGGAGCCAAATATCAAGAACTAGCAAACAGGGAGTTCAGCCTTACATACCCTGATATGCTTCAAGTTCACATTTGCACCATTGTAAAAATCATGCTAGACAAAGTTCGAAAGCAATCTAAGGTATTCAGACACTATTAACTATGCTTGGTCGGATTAATTAGATCGTTGAGATTTCAATAATCCAGCAAAGATTCGGTGTCTAGTCGTATCTTAAATCTGGGGCTGATCTTGAGAGTGAGGCTTGATGGACTAGAGACTTGGAAAAACTTATCATAATTTTCATCTTACTGAGCCTCAGTCTCGAACGTTTACTAATTAGATATCTAAGTAGTGGACAGTTCCTTTGACCTGACTACCACACTATATTTCCCTTGTAATATATTATCGATGATCGCCCCAGCCATAAAGCCATGAAGCCGGGAGGCGACGTCCATTTGCTGCCAGCCATCTTGCTGTCTACTCCAGTGCAAAGATGAAAAGGACCTTCACGTAATAATTCAGTCTATTTTCGGGGTGATTTCTATATATCCGAACTTCTGGTGTTAACATTACAGACAAAAAGTCTTGTCCCGGAGTATAAGAGACCCACTTTTATGATCCCATCATTCTATATATACACAGTACAGCTTCCGAATCCATTTTTTCGTGATTAGTAGTGTCTTGGTAGATAAATTATTCCATATTGTAAATCATATCGAGCGTTTCTTTTACGGGAAATCATTTTTCTACATTGTAGGAGTGTTTCTATCTTTGGTCGAATATGAGGCTGTACGCCTGCTTGATCTCACCGTACGTCAGGAGGTTTCCAGTCGAGCTCTAAAACTCGGTGGAATTAAATTTCTGGTCATAATCCTAGATGATACGTGGTCATGAATCAATCATGCAAACCTGAAAGATTGAATCTCGTTCTGTAAAACATTTTCTTCGTTATGTGATGCCCCGGCCATTTTATCTTCACGAACTCATCGTCAAGTCCCAAGGTCATCCATCCAGTTCTAAGCCCCAACCACAGACCTCAGAATGATATAATACTACCATCACCAAATAGACAATCATCTAGCCCCATCTATCCCGATGGTATACATCATATGTACTTCACAACGCCACACTACGCCGCCGCCTCCGCCATCAAATTAGAACCGAATATAAAAAACCCGCATTGCTGCCAAAAATTCCAAAAACCGGGGCCGAGGGGAGTATTCAACACAAGAGATCAAAATCAGATCATCGAGCTTAAAATCCAAAAAAAAAAACCAATCTTTCAAACAAAAGTTCAATATATAACAATCAACCTTCAGATCCGAATCGAACATGGGTCACGACGATAAGCATAAGCATACATATACGCCTACACAAAAACATTCCGTCGCCGCATTGAATTTCATCCAAGACTATGACGAACGACTATGACGAATGCACAAACTTTTCTCAACATCAGGCTGGTGTCAATGTCGTAACTCATGATAAGCACGTTGCCGAGGCTACTGGGAAGCATGTCCAGCATGAGATTGATTGTTTCAGTGATGCGCTTAATGAACAAGCGAAATTTTTGGAAATGAAGAAGCAGGTTTTGCGAGAGTGAGTATAATCATATCCATTGCCATCTCCTCCATCCGGTCTCAGCTTCACTAGCTCTGGTTCCAGGCCCGGAGATTAAGCTGTTGATGAGATTAATGCTAACTCTGGGTTGGTACAGTGCTATGGACAATGAGCATAACTCAAAGGTTGGCCGCGCCCATAACAGACGCAACCTCGATGAATTGGATCAGCAGGCTTCGCCACGCGAATGACACGTTCTTTATCATGTATGGACTACACACTCGTTAAGAAGCACAGCACAGCAATATCATAGACATAAAAAAAAGTTAGCATTTGTGTAGGGAATATGTAGATGCAGATTAGCACTCCGTACCACCAGGTATATCACTCCTTCTCCTCACAGATCAAATTATATACTGTAAATTATGTAATAAAGAAGCCCAAATTATATCCTTCTTTTAATATATATATCGGATCCGAATTTTAGACAGAAATGTCGAGTCAATTAAATACCCCGCTTCATCTTCCACTGCATGATGAAAGTGGCGACGGGGTAGAAGGCGAGGGAGACGGCTATCCAAGCGAAAAGGATACCGAAGTCCAGCCCTATGCGGGAGTGTGTACCGAAGAGGATAGTGCGAAGAGCCTCGACGACTAGAACACAGTTAGTGCATGTGACTGCTATGCAGGACAGAATAACTTACTACGATGCAATGGCCAGGCATAGCCCCAAGCATAGAATCCCGGAGCAAGATCTAGCGAGTAAAAGCCTGTTGCGACGTTGGTGATGACCCAGAAGATGAGGAACATAGCGCTGTACGGCATTCCGAGTACCATGGCCATGTTCTCGCAGGGGAAGCCGAGCGCAGCCATACCGACCCAGTTCAGCATCCAGAATACAACGAAGGAGCCGTGGCCAAAGGCATTAGGGTTGTTGGCTTCGACGGTACTCGGTTGCGGGTGGTTGTTGAATGGGATCTGGAAGGCAAGCGATACAAACGAGTAGCACAGGGACATGAAGAAGTATGCGCAGATACTGGAGCAGATGCGCCAGAGAATCCACTGCGCGACCTTGAGCGGTGGATGTCCGTCTGGTTTCATTAGTTGCACGTGAACGGGCATGAGGAAGGGGAAGCTGAAGAAAGCTAGGATGATCAAGTAGATCAGGCCGATTGTGACAGCCGGCGCTGTGATGGCCGGAGCGAATGGGCGCAGGTCAATGGTACTCATTCCGATAGCGGGATTAATAGCCTGCGGGGGTACGTTCGACAGATCGGTCGAGTTCTTGACTAGCTCGGCGACCCAGCTGGGACCAAATGAGTTCATCACAGTCATGTGAAGCGAGGTAATTCCTGGCAGGATGTAATTATAGTATGTAGTTTCATCGCGAGCGGAAATGATGATAGCCTCGATGGCACCGGCAGGGTCGTAGGAGGAGTTTCCAGTGGAGATGGCCTCGCGGAGAAGGGTGGTAGCATTTGCGCTCACTATGATAGCGGCGTAGGCTTTTTCGTCGTAAATACGCTGGCGCACTTCCAACGGATCATGATCAAAGTCAGCGGGGGATTTAATCTCCCAGCCAACCTTGTCGCCCGGAGCATCGATGAGTTTTTGCGTTGCGTTGGTAACGGCGGGACCGACGATGACGTTATCAGTGATGAATGGTGCTATGGTTCCATCGAAATCGACAACCCATATTTTCAACGACGGCAAATTGGCTTCGGCTCTGTATTGAGATCCCCAGAATATAGACAGGACTGATAGGATGAAGACACAGAGAAGAAGGACTGGTTGTTGTTAGCTGTTGTCTCTGTTGTACCCTCGGCAACAGATCAGAATCAAGATCGACATACCCGTTCGAGCCCACTGAAAATACACTCTTTTTCTGATGTCTCTCAATGAGGAGTCAAAGAAACCAACTGGCGCTGGTGGTCCCATTCCCAATGTAGAGGAAGACTCTCCTTTTAGTGCTTCATCTGCCTGCATACTGACAGTAGTCGATCCTTCAGAGAAATGGAGGACAAGGACTGGTTTGAGGGAAGCCATTGTTAAGTAGTAATCCCCCGTTTCCGTCAGATCGTCGATAGATTTACCCCTTTTGGAAAGGGATGTGCCTTGACTGTATGTATGCAAAAGCAATTAATCAAGAAGATCCCCGAGATTCGTCAATCACATTTAACTAGTCGTGGCAGTTGATGTAGAATTCAGCCATCAACTTGGCAGCTCACAATCTATATAGCACACTTGAAACACATTGAACATTCTCTCGAACTATTATGAGTTGGCAGTCAAAACCAGGCAGACTGAGTTGGCCTGGAAGGGTAAGGAATAAGCTTACAATACAATACTCGAGCCAGTGCCCCTCAATGCCAAGTAAACCTCGTATTACAATACAAATACACAATCCCATTACATGCACAGCCAAGATCCTTGATGTATCCTTGATGTATTCCCTAATTTAGTCTTAGCTGGCTGAGATGGCAATCTCCATACCGCAACATCCTTGTAAGATTCAAGATTCTTGACTACTTGGCGATGCAAACCAGGTCACAATAGGGGCTCAGCATACTATGTAGGGTTGTAGGGGCTCAAGTGACTTCGGACTCAGCCAAGTAGCGTGGTAAATAAGGAATATACATGTCACTGTTCGACAGATTCATGCATCATATCCCTTGCGCCAAAATTCCTCAGTAGGTAGGCTCAGGTAGACCCTGCAGGAAACACTGTGGTCTCTTGTCACTTATGAATTGAACAGTAACGACGCATGAAGGGAAGGGATAAAACTGGGCAATTTCCACAGTAACCGGGACCATAGAAGCAGGTAACTAGGCAGTAACCAGGAGGTAACTAGGAGGTAACTAGGTAACGGTAACCAAGTAAACAAGACGCAATCATGATATTGTGAGTTTGATCGCCAAGTCGCGACCGTAGCAGTCAAAAAAAAAAAAAAAAAACACCCAATAAATGCAGTTTCCCGAAATAGATATAGAACGCTCATGATTCATCACTCTGGTCCCGCCAGATATGAATATGCAAATTCACAATCACAATCCACGTACATCAACACAAGTAACCTGATAAGAGCCATATCTCCTCTTCGAATCTAGAAGGTGACAGACGTCGGTACTAGTAGCTGGACCCGCAACATCCGGAGACTCACTCTCCTCTTCACACATAGTGTTATCGAAGAACTGCACTGTACAGCCCTGATCCACTGTATTCAGTCTGTATGCTGAGGCTACACTGCTCAGGTCAGCGCGACAGCCTGTGCTACCAGAGCCGGAGTGGGTATCGCCTCCGCTTGTGCAATCTTTTGTTGGGTATAGATCGAATGACCACTGTACTTGGCGTGTTTGGAGTGGAATTGCAGAGGCCGTCATTAGGATGCCAAGGATGCATGCCCGTATAGAAAAGGAGAGCATTGTGTGAGGTTGAGCGAGTGATCTGATCTGTTGTCAGCTTATTGTGCAGAAAAGTGTGTTATTTGCAGAGTACGTACTAAGCGGTCCTTGGAATAGTAAAGATTAATATGAAGATGAAAAACTTCAACAGAGAAAGGGTGGAAAGGTGGACATAAAGTAGTCTGTAAATTTAATAGATCTAAAACCATCCCCACTACTCGAGCGAAACTTCTTCTGTTTCACCCGACGATCTCGCCAAGCACCAAAATCCCCAGCATACGTACCCACCTTGCTAGATAACCACAATATCACACGGTCGCATGGTCCAGACTAGCTCCAAAAGGTGGTGGTTCACGGCGACCTCCTATCTGCGAATAGTTTGCTGACATCATTAGGGGATTAAAGTGGGGACTTACGTTAGGATATTACGCGGCCTTCTTTTTACAATGTGGCAGTTCTATTAATATTTTGATCGTTATTGCTTATTATTGGTTCTTTCATTAATGTCATGCCAAGGTAAGTGTTCTATTAGAATGTTATATTGAAATATGGTTGTAGTTGTAGTTGTAGAAATAACTAGGTATACTTGCCCTAATCCATCAGGAATAATACTCCTTCTAGCCTTTAACTACTTATTCTAGCTCAGTCAGATACCTAAATCCTTCCATGCTAATCCTGATGAACAGGGTTCAAGACTCTAACTAAATAGGAGGCTGGTCTCGCACGTCAATACTCAATAGATGAACTCATAAATCTAGATCCGTGCATTCCAGCCTCCCATATTAACCAGGAACATTGGAAATATCATGAATTCATTAGTCACTGTATACTCTAGGCTATTTTCTCCGCTCTACTCCTCTCCTGAAGAAATTGAGTATCCACTGTGCTTCCCGTGCTCCACAAGTCCACTTTTCGAACCTGAACCTGTTAAGACGGACCACAGTTTCCTGTGGAGTATTATGGAGTAGTTATGGAGTATAGAGTTCCCCGTGGTGAGTAAATGGTGAGTAAATAAATGAAGTTGATTTAGATCTGCAAGCATCGACCTTTCTGTTGCTGTCAAAGCAGCACGTGGCTAGGAGTGGTATCTTTGAAGTACTCCCAGGTCTTTATCTACCATAGGTACTGCCTATTCTAGATGCAGGCAGAATAAACAACCAAATGCACAGATTCCAGACAAGGACATGGATTTTGAAATATATCGATTCTTCGTGTCAACGGTACACTTCAACCGAATCAACAAATCAATAGTAGATCAGCGCCATTACATCATCTCATACAAAAGTACACGCCGATCATAGCAGATCAATCACCTCTTCAAAACACTCTTTTCATCCGACCCCTCAGCATAGGCATCAACCTGATAGCTGGAAAATTCCCTAGTAGGAACCCTAGCCGCAAACATAATATCCAGCTCCTCATAAGTAAACCCCTTCGTCTCCGGAAGTCTGAAATAACTCCAAACAAACGTTGCGAACGCAGTCGCAAACCAGAAGAATCCCGTATAGCCCCGCCAGTTCCAGTCTGTCGGATTCATCATATAAGGTTCAACAACCGACGCCGCGATAGCAGCTACGTAGTAAGAGTTACGAGCAAGGGCTATCGTCTTCGAGCGCAGTCTTGTTGAAGAAACTTCTGGTGGAATTAGCCAGGCCATCGGTCCAACTGTCATGGCGAAAGTGAAGATCCAGACTATGCATAATGCTGACTGTGTCCACCGGATCACAGTCTTGTTCTGGAGTTCTACGGCTGGTGTTAGGCAGCCGACGATGAGGAGGTAGATGCTTAACAGACCCATGCCGCCGACATAGAGCGTCCGACGAGGGAAGTACTGGATTGACACTGCCGAGATGACAGTAGCCGTGAAAGCCACTGCTGACCCGCCCAATCCAAGCTTGTATGCTTCTGCAGGCGTCATGCCGGCCTGTTCAAAGAAATAAGTAGGACTATAAGCGAACATGAGACCAGAAAACACCTGTCCCACGAATGCGATACAGGCTATCTCGGTTCGCCGCGCATTATGGCCACGGAAACAGTCCATGTACGAACCCTGCTTAACCTCCTTTTCCCGCTGGTCGGTGTGGATCATCATGGCTACGGTCTCGCGCGCGCGGGCAGAGTCCGGTTTGACCATTAGTCTGTTCACGATCTTCAGTGCGGAGTCAGGGTCGCCTTGGCGAACATACCACCACGGTGACTCGGGCATGAAGCAGCCGAGGATGAGTAATGGTGCTGGTAACATCCATTGTAGTGCCAACGGAATTCGATAGGACCATTGGTCGTTCATGTTTATGAGACCTTGTAACACTCCAGCGCTGACTAGCTGACCGATCACAAAATACATGTTCACGCATGCGGTTAGGTATGGTCTGAGTGCCATGGGACAGAGCTCGGAGGAGTAGGCAGGGCCTAGAGTTGCAAACATGCCCCACGGGATTCTGCGCAGTTTAGTAGCCGACCAGAAGAGAGCTGAGACAAGAAAGAATGGATGGGCGGAACTTACCCGCAAAGGACCTGGCCAATGACCTGGAGCTGGATAGTTTGACCGAAAAAAGGCACAAATGTAAACGCACACATGAGAACCTGGCCCAGCATGAAGATCTTCTTGAAGCCGAGTCGATTGACCAGGTAGCCATTCACAAGAGCCCCGATGAAACTCCCCACGTTTGACGCAGCTCCAAGCGCCGACTGCCACTGTCCAGAAACCTGGTATCCTACTCCGTCGTAGCTCCCAAATTGCTTCTGAAATGCTGGGTAGGCGTAGAAGCTGGGAATGAGAATGGTGTCGTATCCTTCCATCACGATAGCCATCGAAGGAATGAGCGCCCACAGAAGAGCCCACGGAAAGAGTTTGACCGCGTCACCGACACTCATCTTGTGCTCGCGGGTACTTGCAGCCCTTGCTGCATCAAGAGACGAGCTCCATTCATCATTAAGCTCCATATCCGCCAGGGGTTCCTCGTGACAGACCGGGTGCTTTTCATCCGTCATCGCGTCGAGTCGCAATCTGGGTGAAAGAAGTTGAAGCAGGAAAAACTACTTGAATTAACTGGCGGGGTAGCGACTTAAGAAATATCATATCGCCTATTTGCACCTGAGCTCGGCTGAAGAATGAGGGGGACATTTTCTCTTATCCTGCGTGAAATACCTCCCGAGATCCAGACTGAAGGGAGTCTTCCATGAATGCATGAATCATGATTGCAGCCTATGGTGACAGCCCATGAGAAGTGAATTATGGGTGTTCACTTATTCTTTCGAAGCTCGAGTGGTTGAATGCAGGGTAGTGAGAATGAGAAGATTCATTAGGCCTTGATATATCCGACCATTAGCAATTGGCAGCACGCAACTAAATGCATCGATGAAGATATTTCTCTGTCGCCACCAAGGGCAATATCAATCATCAAATATCTGTGAAAAAAATCCCTATCAGTTGCATCGATTGAGTCGAGCCGAAGCTGTGGAGTACGGAATGTTGGCAGTTGGACAAGAGTGGTTGTTATAAGGCCGAGGCATGTAGATAAACGAGGATTATCATGGAAAGTATGCCGAAGTCTTCAAGCCAAGAATCCCACGTTTCTGAGTTGATAGGAGGAATTGATATCACTTGCAGGTTGTGGGGCGTTGACTACCTCGGCTGTTTCGTTTTGAATGGTATATCTTTTTTCCAAAGGATTCTCAAAATTGCATGTATTTCATACTGTAAAGACTACATATATGCTATTCGAAACCAGCACGCTGGTGATGACTAGTTTATTGTTACGACAATACTGGGGAGAACATTGGGCTGAGTAAATCCACTGAGGCATCAATAATTTATTTTTCGAGGTGATAGTGATTTTTGGTGAATAATTGAAACCCAGCCTTTTGGTGTAATGATGAAAATAACTAGGCAATGGGATGATGTCTTGAAAAGGTAGCAAAAATTCAGATGTTTGTAGCTTCGTTTACTACGAGAAGCGACGAACATCCTATAAAACCAGTCTGTACTGGTTTTGAGTACTCTGCACGGCCCCCCCGGCTTAGCTTTGACGACGCAGATCTCCGACTTCCCGAAACGCAGACTTGAAAGAATGGTCTTCGAGAGAATCGATCCCTCACTACCTTGTTGGTGGTCTTAGCCACTGGGCCAAGGGTTACTTGGGATTACTAAGTTGAAACTTGAAGTTGGCTATATGCCTATAACCAGTTACAATTTTGGATACGGTCCACATCTTCACCGAATAGCTCTAGTGAATCCAATCAAGTAGCTGGAGAGCTAAAAGGAAAAAGAAAGTATGTTGAATTAAGTTGTTTTGAAGGTTTCCCAGATTGGCGAAGTCCACATCTGGACGGGTAGGAACATTTCAAAACTATAGCAAAATAGGCTCGCGCACGGATTATCACCAAACATCTCTACATTGTCCAGGCGCCTTGCGCCCTTAGGAACCTGTGGATAAATTCACAAATTCATTATGGCTACTTAGACACTTAGGTACTCTTATGCGTATCCCAACATCCTTGAGATAATGGCAGAAGATTTGAAACTCCGCATTATGTTTTTCTCGGTAAGTGATGACCTAAGGAGGTTATCCTTGGTATTAGCATTAAAAGATACGAAAAAGCAACTGTAAATGACTGGGCTGGGAGTCTCGAGGGACCAATTCAGCCGTCATATTCGACGCCTGTAAATAGCATTTCATGAAGTTCCCAGTGGGGTGGAGATCAGACCTGTCAGACCCACTTGTTTACTATTAAAGTGGAGTACATGTCAACTAGTCGAGCCTAAGATGCTTCATGAAATGGTGATCGAAGGACGCAAAACGCCGACAAAATGAAATTTCCTCCGAAATTCATCTCCTAAACCTTGAAATTGTTGCAAAAGGAAATAAAAAGAGTGGGAGGTATCCATTTTGACAAAAGCTTCCTGAGGTAAATAATGGGGGTGGGTCAAGTCCCAAGACCTTGGCGGAGCCGCATCCACGACATGTTATGGAGATGAAAACATCACAACAAGTCCAGTTCACTGCAGACAATCAAGAATTATCATGAACTATCCGATGAGTCAAATGTGTACTAGAATAATGGATCTAGAGTTTGGTCATGTATCAGGTATATAATCAACTTAAAATTGAATTTACGAGAAACGACAAGCGTCTGAGTTTTGGCTACTTTGCCACAAACTCATCACATCAACATATGAGGTTTTCAATATCTTCCTCACAATATCCAACGCGTTTCCGAGATCTACTCACCCACCAACAATATTGATTACGACCAATTACTGCCCAATATCTAGAAATTCTTGTGCATTTATTGAGAGTCTGACAATAAATGCAAAATTCAATTCAAAATAAGGAATGAGTTTGGACGGTGTTCTAGATTTTGTAATAATCCTGGTCCGACGAGTCTCAAAATTAGATGCAGGCACCGGTTATTGAGCATCTTCTAGGTGACTTTTTCAAGTTTTAGCCACAGAATAGTCAAAGCATTAGGTGGAAAATCATCATCAAAATCAGATTGTATCAGACGTAGCAACGCCAGCGGCTCATTGCAGAAGGAGCCGCGGCCCCTGTTGCTCGCTGCTATTTTGTATTCTTGAAATCGTATTCTCTTTAACCAACAACAATATTGATATTATATTCAAGATGACTGATCCTCAGTTTGAATCTTAAAAAAGTTAAAGAGACTCAGGATAATTAGTGAAGAAGTGGGTTATACATGAACGTGCCTGGCTTATATTTTCCATGAGAAGGGCTGTTACCTGACTTTCGGCTGAAGGAGGGACACGTCCTCAGATTGGTGGCCAGATTATCTCTTTGTGTTTGCCTTTTTTGCAGAATCCACATTCAAAACCATACGAGTTTGATACTGATGCTATCTTATGGTATAATCTACAACTGTACAAGAATACTGCCAAGAATAAGGGCCGGGGTATTGCCATTGACGACGAGATGGAACTCATCGCAACTAGATAGCATACCTGTTTGAATTTTACAGGAGTTGGAATTGCAAAAGATACGATTTTGAGAAAAAGGCAAACGAAATAAAAGTAATCGGCTAAGAGAATACAGGTCATTGCACTGCACTAGCGATAAGAGTAGCCGCCACAATAATCCGACCAAATACTTCTAGGTCCTTCGATTTCTTGAGATCGAAAGGGCCAATGGGAGTAATTTTGAGAAAACCCTCACTTCCAGCTATGTTATTCAGGTACCCATTATAATCCGCACTGTATAGGGCAAAAGTGATATATAGCTGGTGCCGATCCTGAGATACCAGTAGTAAGCTAGTGAAAAGGGCATTCCATTAGTCAAACCTTTGATATCAAAAGAGTGATGATAAAATATCAGTCAACTCACTGTCCATTGAAGCAAGCTTGTTGTACTGCTGCCTCCTTCATATGCCAGGAGGCAAGTTGGCAGGTCTCTTGAATTGATATTTTCTGATCATCTTGCTCGCGAGATCTTTTCTTTGCCTCCACAATACCGAAAATACTATCTCCCTTCCTGGAGCGAAGTGCTCTATCTGTAAACGATTCAAATCCATTCTGTACAGGACAGCTCAAATGCACCCTGTTATGAACCCACTCTAGATTAGAGCTGGTAAAAGTTGCTTTAGCCAGGTGTGATATGGCCTGGAGAAACACAATTTCCGAAGTATTAACTGTTGCCTCGTCCTCAGCCATCGGGAGCTCGACCTTGCGGATAGGTAGCCCGCGTCGAGTTAGGCTAGAGGCTTCCGTTTCTGCCTGCATCCGATCAGCATCTCTGATTCCCAACTATCATCACTTGCTCTTGCAGCCTTTGAGCAGCTTCAAAGGAACCCGGCCATCTGGGATTATCTTCGAAGATATCGTCGATTGTATCACCAGACTCCACAATTTCCAAGAATCGATGCCATTCCACAGATCCAACGAAAATTTCGTCTGCCGATTGAAGAATCGCAGGCGTCATTCCAAACTCCAGCCCTCTCATGGCAAAATACTTTGGGATAATAGCCAATCCTCTGTAAGAGCGCAGCATGAGGTATTGTGCCTCTGAGGTTCCAGACGCGGATGCAATCATATCACACGGGATCTAGTTTATTGTGGTATTTCTGATTTTTGGGTTCTCGGAGACAATATCATTCGAATCATCGACGATCGACAGTATGAAGAAACCATTCAATTTCCCTAATTGAATTGCACTTGGCTTTTTCTTCCTGCTAGGATTCCCAGCCATTGTGCTCAGAGCTGGATGCTTGTGACGGTGGTGTTTCAAAAAGCTCAAAGCCTGAGGGCGAGATGGCTGTGGACGGATAGAGGGGTGAAGATGGAGGCTATAGTGCCAAATCTGTGGATGATATAATAAAGGGGACAAAGAAGAGGCCCACCAATTCACAGGTAAAGCACTGGTATTTCAACTGATTGGAAGAAAATCAGTTAGGCAGTAGAGGCGACAGAAGAATTTTGATGTGGAATTTGAGAGTTATCGAAACTGTGGCTAAGAAAGGAAAGAACAGTTAGGACAGGAAAGAGCTTAATACGTGGATGATTACGTATTGAAGATGGAGCATGGAGTGATGAAAGAAGAAGGGGAAGATAAAAAATATGCTCTCATCTCCAACGTTGAGACCAATTCCACACAGAAGACCAAACACTGAGCCTCAGACACATGACCAGGCTGGAAACTATAGCTCTAAAATTGTTCATGGGGCTTTGAACACGATTCTCACGTTCTAAGTAACCAAGAAACTCACCTTCAATCAATATCTCAATTCGGATCTCTTTCAGAGCTAACAATGGCAGGCTAGCGTGACTAGGCATACATAGGGAATAAATCCCATAATTTCCAGCTCCAAATACCATGTCAGAGCCCCGGTTCATCAAAAATTGGAATAGACCCGCGATTTGCTCCTGGGCGTTTACGGATAGGGAATGTAGCGTCGATATCTGTCTCTCCGGAAAAGAATATTCTTTGGGTTGATCCTTCTGAGCGTCTCCCGCAAAAAACTCTTTCTTGGAATTTTGGTGTTTTGTGTCAAATTGGGATCCTACTTATTAGTTAGTAGTTCCCCTGATGCAGTTGCGCATATGGAACGAACCTGGAAAAGCATTCTCGAATCAGTGGGATCTCCCACTCTTTGAGAGAGGCCATAATTCCAAGAACCGTGTTCATGTTCTTGGTGGCCTGGTCCTTGGTAGAAAAATCAAGGAAGTTCGTCTTTCTGATCATCAGCCTTTTGTGAATATACGAGCACTCCAGGAACCGAAGTTGCATATTACCAAACACGGAAATTGCGAGTACCTGTAGAAGATTTTGGAGGATTAGTGTAATGTATATATTTCTGTGATTATTCACGTACTGGAATAGTATTGCACGCAGGAAATTGCCCTCCCTCAAACCGGGTGAGCATGATGGACGTAATGGTCAATAATTCGACCTACAAAAGATCATCGGAAGACTCCTGATCAGAGCAAATGACCATATGAACATGAGGTTTCGTATTGGTCGCAGGCACATACTGTTTCGGTGACACATAGGCTTCGACCGGGGTCCACTTCGTTGATTCAAAGAGATTATAGCGGAACCTATCAGCAATCATAGAGTCGTTAAACCCGCTTTACCCAGATGTATCAGTCAGTTATCACATTTTCGGCCTTTCAATAACATACCATGGGAGCCACTGGGATATTTCCGGAGTGACGGCCCGTTTCCATTAGGCTTGGAAGGCACTTCCTGTCGTGGAAATTGCCGAAACATATGTTCTAGACTACTCCATAGATATCTCGATTCAGAAACTGGACTCCTGTCCGTTGGCTCCCAGCATTGTATATGATGGGCATGTCTCTGATCTGCGGGATCCTTGATATTTAATTCAGGTACCCATTCACTGGTTTGCGGGAGAAAGAAGAGAGGGTCGCTGATTTGTAAGTCGACGGAGAAAAGGTCGCATTTGATACCAAGAGCTGTGTACTCTATAGAGTCGATATGCATTTTACCATATTCGTTCAGAGTCTTGTGCAGTCGATCAATGCCAGCGATGGCTTCTTTACGAGCTTCACGATATGGAGCTACCTTCTGTTGACGCAGGAGCCGTGGCCAGAAGCCGGATTTGATAGACATTTTACTCGATGATAGATGGTGGACGATAGAAGATGTGTTAGGTAATAGACGGAGAATGGTGGATGGTTGGATGGATGATGGTTGGATGATGGATGGATGATGGATGGATGATGGATGGATGATGGATGGATGATGGATAACATTTATCAACAGATTAGACTAGCATGTGATTAAAAATCTCGATTGTTTTTTAATTTCTCACCAAAACTACAGCTTGCAAAGTTTCATCCTACTCCATGTAATTTTGGTATAAATATTTATATAGCAGTATTAGAAATGTTCGTACAAATCCGAATACGGAAAATGGCGAACAAGTGAAACTACATAAGTATGGATCTGTCAAGCAATGGAGATTAAGGGAGCTTCTAAGGGTAAGTATGAGTCTTCTACAAGTTCAGTCTTCTCTCCCAAAAGGCGTCATCTTGTTCACCTCTTTTAAGGCCGGATTTTGGTCCTCACACAAAGCCAGTCTTCATACTATCTTCAGTTAGTAATATTTCAAAAAACTAGAATTCGATATTAGGACAGCTCACCAAAATAGCAAAATCAAAAACATACACCAGTCAGGATTCGACTTTGGTCACCCACAATACTACTAACTGACCGGTAGAGGTCGGCACGGATACATATCCGTAAGATTTTGGATTATTCGTATCCGTAACCGTAGTCGAGAGCTTCTATCCGTAACCGTAACCGTAGAAATTCTACGGTTACGGATACGGATTACGGATATCCGTGATATTATGCCACCGCCTAAATAAATCATACGATACTACGATAGAAACTTATCATCCGAAGTCCCTAATTTGATATCTAAATAGTTATCCATTCATTGATAGAATGAGTCTCCTACCACGCCCTAAACGCGCTCCACGACAGGATTACCTTGTTCTAAATGATGGTAGTGATGAGGAAGCTGATCCTAGTGATCGTATCAAAAAGCAACCACGTTATCACTCCCCATTAGATGAAGATGAAGATGAAGATGAATCTATCTCTCCGAATGATTCAGCGAGTCAACTCCCTGAAACAACCTCTTCTATAGTGTCTACTCCTTTAGACTCTTCTTTGCCCAAGACACCAAAAATCCAAAAACCAAGCCCTTTGGAGTCAATTTATAATCCGCAATCTTCCAGGGAAGTTCTGGCATCCTAAACGGGGTAAAGGGCCGTTACAGGACCGAGAGATTGTATGTATTCATTGTGGAGAATGGAAGATCTTGGATTCCCAGAGAGATACATCAACTTCTAATATGAAAACGCATCTGATGAAAAAACATGGATCAATGATATCATCAGCAACTCAGCAAGCATCTATTGTTTCTATGTTTCGGACAAAAACTAGTCAATCTATGTTAGAGGCATTAGAGGAGAATTTGATTCGATGGATAGTCTTGGAGAATATCCCTTTCACTGCTCTTTAGTCTACAGCATTCCAGCAAATCTTCAGGGAAAGCTCTCTCTCTCTCTCTCTCTCTCTCTCTCTCTTACTAACTTTAATTATTCTAGGAATTACCAAATACCCCTCTACCTTTTACGTCTGCTCGCACAGTCTCTCGACGAATCAATATGGAGTTTACTTAGTATCGTGCCTATTTGGTCAGTGAGCTCGCGGAAACATGCTCAACAATTGCTTTTTCTTTAGATATATGGACATCCAAGAATCAAAAAGCTATTTTAGGGGTTATTGGACATTGGATAACCCCTGATTTTGAGTACCGTGAGAGGATTCTTGATTTTATAGAGCTTATTGGAGCACATACTGGAGAGAATATGGCAAGCCAGCTTCAAATATCTCTTCAGGAGCTACAACTTGAGTCTAAGCTACTTACTATTACTGCTGATAATGCAATAAATAATAGTGCCCTAATTAAAGAGCTCTACTTCAATCTTCAAGGGTTAAATCTAGCTACACTACAGTTTCAAGGTAAGATTCTCTTCATCTCTCTCTCTCTCTCTCTCTCTCTCTCTCTCTCTCTCTCTCTCTTTAATTATCTAAACTCACTTAAGATAGGTCTTGATAGCTATATTAGATGCCTGGCGCATATTCTGAATCTCATTGTCCAAAAGATTCTATCAGAGTTGAAATCTGGCGATTATAAATCTTCTTTAGATGCCTGTGGTATCCTAAAGGACCATAAGAGCCTACCAGCTGGGCATTCTGCGCTAGCTCGTGTACGAATCTTAGCCCTTTGGGTATCTGGAAGTCCTCAAAGACAGCAGCAGTGGCAAATCATTTTTCAGACGCATGGATTACCTGATAAGCTCATTCGGTAAGCAAGATTCCTTTCTCTCTTTCTTATATATACTTATAGTTCTAGGTATGATATCGAGACACGTTGGAACTCGACATATCTTATGATTCAAGTTGCTATCCTTGCTCAAGAGCAGATTAAACATTGGAATAATGTTCAGAATCAGCTGATACCATTTTCAAATGATGATTGGTCTAATCTTCGTGATCTTGCCATGGTTCTTTCAAGATTCTATGAGTTTACCCAACTTATCTCTCAGCGGCAACCTCATATAAGTCTAGTAATTCCTATTTACTATGAATTACATGACCTCCTTATAGAAGCAGCTTCTTTTGAAGGCGACTTTACAGGGCTTAGTCCTGATATCTCTTCTGCTGTCTTGGTTGGAATGCAAAAGTATAGGAAATACTATGATCTTATGGATATGCAAGATATCTATTATATAGCTCTTGCTCTTGATCCACGTGTCAAATTTGCTCTTTTAGAACAAGAGCTTGAAGATGGGGTTATCCAAGGAATCATTCAGAGCATTAAGGTCTTTCTTCATAAGAAATATCCCCCTTTGGCTACCTCCATCTCTAGTTCTACTTCTAGAACTATGGATCCTCCTGCTCGACCAGGTATGAGAGCTCGTCTTCTGCAAAAAGTACATTCTCAAGAAGTATCTCGGGCTTCTGATATTGATCGCTATTTTGATGAGCCTCCTATTCAAGTAGAAGGATTAATAGAAGTCCAAGATGACTCTAAGTGGCTGCTTTCATGGTGGAACGCTCATAAGGATCAATACCCCAGGATGGCAGCAGTTGCAAGGGACTACCTTGGTATTCCAGCAGCTGAGGTTTCAGTTGAAAGACTTTTCAGTTCTGTAAGGGATATCCTGGGTGTTCGTCGACAATCTCTAAACAGCAAGACTATGAGAGAGTTAGTTTTGTTAAGAAATATATATAATATTGATTCCTAATTGAAATTTCTTTTACTTGATAATTACATGAGATTTATAACTCTATAGACATGGAAATATATATTAGAACTGCATGTGGTTCTAGACACGTGATATAAGCTACGGATAGAGGGCATTTATTCGTAACCGTAACCGTAGAGATTTTATTCGTATCCGTAACCGTAGAAATTCTACGGTTACGGTTACGGATACGGATATCCGTAAAACCGTGCCGACCTCTACTGACCGGCGTGTGGCTTAAACGCGGAAAATAGTCGGGTGTCGCCTGGGTGAACAATGGGTAAGCGCTGCTTTAGCGTCGCGCGACCGGTTGTGAGCAGGTGAGTGCACAATAAACTGAGCGCCGGGCGAGCGCCAGGTGTCAGGTGAGATCGGATAATATTATGTTTTCAGTTTTATGGGTTATTTCGCGGTGGCACTTATTACCCTCCGTACTTCGCTCATGCATCCAAGAGCCTGAATACGAGATCACCTGATATCAAAATTAGTGGCAAGATGATGTAACTTTCAGCCTCAATATCACTAGTCAGTTATAGGACTAGCTTCTATATCAGCCCCACTCATATACTGCCAGACAGACAGAAACTTATCAAAAGTCTTTATAAATCCATATATTACGGTGAAAACTGTATATAAGCAAACAGGTGAATAACTACGAATAGTACTGTCAGGACTGTAGTGGAATAGTCGTGATCAGTGGAATCTGTGAAGATGTTACTGTTAATATGCAAGAAAAAATACATGTAAACAAATGGTTTATTTGAATGTACATGACAGAGTCTGCGGCGGTCTGAGCCTCGTGTGCTAAATTTTTGCTTTCCCCACTCTTTTTGTTCTTTTTATTTTGGGATCAGTTTCTTTTAATTGTCTTCGAATTGAGCAACAACCATTCAGACAGTTGAACCAATCACCCCGCCCGGACATCATGGCCGCAGTCTCAACCAGCGCGACTGGTTCGAGCAGTGGCTTCATTTTCGAAGATAGATGGAACAGTGGTCTAGTAGTCATTGTGGCTGCTGAGAACGAGCCCCAAGATTTCATGCATGATTGCCGCGTCGAAGGATTTAATCCAATCTTCCTGGCACTTCCGATAGAAGTTGATGGAATTAAGAACCCCTTCTACTCCTCAACTCGACAGTATCAGGAATACACCCAGACATTAAACGCCATGAAGGAAGGTTTGCACTATGAACAAACTTATGCGGTAATCGGTATGTTTCAATCTGAACCGCAAATTGACGCCGGGTTTCAAGAAGACTCATTCTTTGTAGCATTTGGTGCTGCTGCCAACGTTTGTCTGAATCACTTTGTGCAGTTAAGGAGAGGAGATAGGTTGTGCGCACTTGTTGCATACTATCCTACTGCGGTCCCTGACAATACTCGCGATATGTTCCCATCATCCACGCATGTCATAATTCATGTGGCAGGGTCAAGTATCAATGTTTTGACCTATCATTAATTCGTTTGTCCTGAGATTCTGGGACTGCCCAAAACAAAACACATCGATCCTGGTGTTGGGACCGGTGAGCGCTTGAACTGGGCTTACCCAGCTTACACATATCGGGCAGCCCCTGGGTTTGCCGAAGAGGAGAGAAGGCAATTTGATGTTGCGTCAGCAAATCTCGCATGGACTCGGACGCTGCAGGCTTTGCGAAAGGGCTTCAACAAAATATTTGACGAACAGTTTGAAAGACTGGTGGATACATATCAAGAAGGTGAGTTGACTGGAACTCGAAAGAAGATATCGAAGCCAACAATGTTCTAGCCACATTCTTTAGCACAGACCGTGCTAAAGAAGAGGATGTAATTGAGCATACCAGGCCAGAAACGGTCAGCTGCGTGCCCACTATGAGTGGCGGAATTGGGCCGAAGGCTTTGAGACAGTTCTACAGCAACTATTTTGTCTATCCCCCGGGCATGGAACTTGTTCTACTTTCACGAACTATTGGGGTAGATCGTGTGGTAGATGAGCTATATGCTACTTTCGACCACAGTACAGAAATACCATGGATACTCCCAGGTGTACCTCCCACCAACAAGCATGTCAAAATCATGATTGTTAGTATCTTCACTATCCGTGGAGACAAACTATCTTCTGAGCACATGTACTGGGATCAGGCTAGCGTGCTCTTGCAGGTTGGTCTTCTGGATCCGAAACTGATTCCTAGCACTGCAATCGGAGTGGATCACTTGCCAGTTCTTGGCGGTAAAGCTGCTAAGCGCATTTTCAATGAGGATTTCCAAGTTGAGCTGGAAAATTACCACAACTGATTGATTCGCAAGGCACAGAGAAGAGCAAAAACAAAGACACTTAAAGAGCAGAAAATTTGGGCCCATTTGGTGGATGATTCCTTCTTTGAGACTGAATGTGTGGCTGACCAGTCAGTTGACGTTGAAATGATGCTTAAAAATGAGGACATGGAGCAGTCAGAGAGAACAAAGTCTACTTCATCTTTGAAAGCCAAAGAGAAAGCACGTGCTGTTTACATCGAGGAGGATGACGAGCTGTGGGTCCAATCAATGCCGGATGAATGATTGCTATGTTGTTAAGTCAGCTAAAATGGTACTTTCATGATTTCCTCTATGTTTCACAGCCAGAGAAAGACATCTTCGTGATGTGTTTCTATGTTGGCAAGTGGGCAGGTGTACTTTTATGGTTTTTTATTTTTTATTTTTTAAACTAGCAGGAAACGGACTTTCTCATATCTTTTACGATATTGAATTCAAATCAAAAGTACCGGGCAGGAGACCATCACTCGATGTATTACTGCCAACGAATCAACTCAAATTCACCTAATAACTCTAGTAACTTAGTTGAACTCCCAGGTAACCACATCTTCAATTCAGCGGAACCAGCTACGTTACCATGCAGAAAGAGACCAAAGTGATGATGATGTAATGAGATTTTTCTGTTGTAATATGTGAACAAGCCCATGAAATGGAATTAGAGATGCCAAGGTCAGCTACTTTCTGGGCAGACCAAAAGGCATACACTCTGAAGACAAATCTTGACTGAGCCATTCTCTCAGGTACGAGGGTAATAAGTTCTACCGCGAAATAACCCATAAAACTGAAAACATAATCTTATCCGACCTCACCCGGCGCTCACCCGGCGCTCACCCATACAAAGATCTGGCTTATAGTGGGGCTTATAGGTCGGCATTCTAATAGAGAAGAGCTTTCATAGAGCAACAAAAATCAAGTGAAACTATAAAGCGCAAAAATGGTAATGAAAGCCAAAAACCGTAGCTAAATGTACTTCGTGATGGCCCTCTTCTCCTAATTAAGCATCTTTATATCACCGAAACTATATCGGAGATGGTTGTAGGACAGAAAGGGTGCAGTTGTGTTAGATCCTATCCCCCTCATCGAGGGCTAGTCGATCATTAAAGAGGGTTTTTAAGCAGACTTACCTCCGCATAACTATTTGTTGGGAGATCTTTCTCTTTACAAAAATAAAGATACAGTGTTTCCATCACTACAGACTTCATGGTACCGGAATTCTATACTGCAACAAATCAGACCACAGTTTTCCATCATCCATCAATTTTTCACCTCAATCAAGTGCATTTTCACTTTATTTTCACCTCACTTTTACCTCGCCTGGTTTTGAGGTTCAAGGGACAAGACTAGCCACCCGGGTATACTGTCAGTCCTCCCAGGCTTTACTCCGCTATTCTCAATGGAAGCAAAAATATGTGAGCTTTCCACCCATGATTCCAAAATTGTTGTAGTTGAATGCGCCTTTAACATTCGCAATGGTTTCAATTAAACTCGCAAGCAGGCTCGCCGCACGCCACTGGGTCATTGTGTCGCCAGGATGCAACTCTGTTCTGCCCATCTTTTCTTTGATCTGTGGTATTGCTCTAATTTTCTGCAGTACTAATATCAGAACTAATATCAGAAAGTTTCATCAAGAGCCTTGAAACCTTGAACCATATCTCCTTTTATACCATCCACCATCCTTCTCATGGTCCTTATCGTCGTTATCGTTATCTGTTGATCTGCGGAAATAAGGTTTGCACTGTATTGACTGTTGCCATTCCTTCCCCTCTCCGATATCTTTACTTACGGGATGCCACCAGATCGGCGAACTCAGAAAATAGTACGCGTCCGTACTGGATGCTGGACATGCAGACGGAGGAAGAAGAAGTGTGACGAGACCAGACCTATCTGTATTGGCTGCACTCGCAATCACTTGGCGTGTTCCTGGCCATCCATCCCAGGCCCTTGCAGCCATGAAAAGGAAATCACACCATCAAATGAAGACAAGGGATCAAGTCTTTCTCATGCTACTGATGAGCTAGAGGCGTTTTGTAATTCTGCCAGTCCTGCATCCCGACATTCTCCTGCATCTCAGCGGCATTCCTCGGTTTCTTCAAGTGGAAGTCAATCTGGAATTGTCAAGGAACTGGACGAGTCCACTCCCCCAGAGGAGCTAAATAGGTGGCTGATAATCCCTCCAAATGATCAAACTGCACTTTCATCGAACATGGTGGTAGCCAGTGTTCCACAAACTTTGTCAATGCTACCGGGATTTGACGCGGAGTCTCACCAGCTACTAAGCCATTATGTGAGCACAACGGCTGATATCATGGCCAATGGCTCAACACCCATTAATCCATTTCTGGTGCAAATTGTACCATTGGCATTTACGAGCGACATTTTGCTGCAACTAGTCATCACCCAAAGCGCTGCGCATCGGGCATTCCGGAGCCACGATGAATCCGACGCCGTGGCAGACGTCCACTACACTAAAGCTATTCGAATGTTTCGACGCGGAGTCTCTGACTTCATCGATGGGAAGGAGTCCAACCCCTTAATGTTGCTTATTGGGGCGCTTCTGATGTGCTTCACAGAGGTGGGTCCATTTCCACCCTTATCATGGCCAATCAACTAATACCCTCTTAGACGGCCAAAGGAGACATGACTGGGACAATCTTTGACCACTTGGCAGCAGCACATTCGTTACTTATAAAGCTACTAGGACTGAACGATGCTGCTATTCCAAGAGAGTTGAAAGATTTTGTAGTCGAATACTACACATACACCGCTAGTGTGAGCATGATCTCTATAGATGCGCGTCTGAGTGGACAGATTTTTCTGAATTTTGATTTGGCGCAACAAGCACGACTACTATTAAGGACACAATATGTCGGAAATTTATGTGGCTGCTGGCTGGAACTTTTGATATTAGTTCCATGCATCTTTGAACTCGGCCGACAGTGGATGATGGACGAGGCACCGCCCATGGTTCCGACCGCGGATGAAATCGCCACCTTCGCGTCAATACAAGCACAGATATTACGCTGGTCACCGTATTCATTCGTTGATGCAGAGGTGTATCTGGCTGGATTGATCTTCCAACAAGCCATGCTCATCTATCTCTACACCTCACTGGGTGGATATGCATATGCGCGTGATGGGATGTATAAAAACCTGATCAGAGCTGCAGTTAGAGAGGCAATGGCCTACCTGGAAGAGTTGACACCCAGTGCCAGAGTCAATTCGGGTATGTGCTGGCCCATTGCTGTTGTCGGCTCCTGTCTTGAAAGCGTCGACCTGCAGAACCGCCTTCGAACAAGAACGAAGACGATGGCCAGGCATTTTGGCCTGGGAAATATGCATCGAACTCTGCAGCTGCTCGAGGCGATGTGGGAACTACCTGCTGTAGAAACAGGGCCGTGGAATATATGTCGGACGATGCAGGACAAGCAAATCTGGATTTCATTCGCATGAGCTCAACATTTCGACTTGAATCTGGAATTTGGTCAATGAGTTTCAAATATATGGTCCAGTATACTCCTGCTTCTGTGTCAAGGCCAATAGTTAATCCGCTATCCACCGCGAAGTTCGCGTGGACAAGGCTTTCATCACTATCCAGGAAGATGATAGAGTGATCAATCGCCTCGCCAAAGCGACCGCTATGGAAGTGTACTTCGCGACATAAATGCTGAGTCAGTCCTATAGAAAAGATGTGCTACATCATGAGCATGCTGCAGCATCGCAGCTTCAATGCGTGCAGTCAGACTCTGCCATCCGTCTTCCCATGTCCCCGGAAACTGCGCACATCTGCTTCGAACCAGACAGGTTTGAAATGTTTATTGTATGGCAGATACAGGAACTTCCTTCAATTCGCCTTCCTTCAATCCAAACCGACCACAAATCAATGAAACCAATGCGTCTCAGATCTTTGTTTCGCTCGAGACATCGAAGAATCTGGGGTTGACTCCGTGCTGGGCGGGATAACTAGGCTGACTTTGTCCGGGTCGTGGTGATACCTCTATTGTATGATCGGAGGACAGAGGCGCCCTCACCGAGCATGATGATGGTGGTTCGAAGGCCCATACCAATATGTTTCCTCATGTTGAAGGGGGAATGCCATACCGCGACAGTAGCGCCGTGAGACAACTATGCTTTCAAGCCTACCAACACAATGAAAATGTGAGATGAGAAGGGACAAATTATAACTCAGAAAAAGAGCCTTTTTGATATTAATCATACTATATTGTAATTAGGTTAGTACCTAAATAAGCCTCACTATTATATATCGTTACTCCATGAAAATTCCGCGGTCATCCGGCGGCCGTCGTATCGCATATCGAACCAGCTGCGATATCTCCTTGCGGTTTTTTGCATGTGGGTTACGAGAATTATCATCTCTTGGCTAACCTCATATCCTGGATTCTGGTACCGCGCTTATCCGGACCGCGGTGTGGGGCTGATAAGTGCATGGAACTCCTCCAGATATGCTGAGGATGGAGTAGAGTTATGAGGCATTGTGTTTCCCATCTGTAAAACCCGTAGCTTTTAAATGAGCGATGTGAAAGTTTGGTTATTCTGGTATATAAATATTGAATGAAGTTGCGGGTTGACTGGAATCAAGACATGATTCCAGGAAAAAGTCTTACTCTTCCATTCATATAAATCATATCTAAAGCGGTCTACGCATAATTCACAATATGTCTAATCTAAGCCGAAACTCCCTTGACGTGGTAGCTCTTCAACTTGACAAATCCGTCGTAGCCACGGGGTCCAAGGGTACAGCCGAGACCAGAGGCTTTCCAGCCAGTCCAGGCAAGGTCCTGCGATAAATTAGCACTGCACCGAAGGCAGGAAAGAAAGGAGAAAGAACTTACAGGACTGGGATAATCACAGCGGTTAATAAACACTGTACCGGCTTCAATGCTATCGATCAATTCTTCGCCGCGGGCGATATCCTTTGTCCAGACACTAGCTGTCAGACCGTAGTCACTGTCGTTCATCAATGCAACAGCCTCTTCATCACTAGACACTTTCATAATAGGCATGACAGGACCAAATGTCTCTTCTTTCATGGTAATCATGTTGTGGCTGACATTGGTCAGAACGACGGGTGCGATGAAGTTGCCCTTCTTAGCCGTCTTAGCCAGAGTGAAAGTTTCATTTTCGGGAGTTGAGTTGACAGCGCCCTTGCTGATGGCTTCGTCGATGTGAGATTGGATCTTCTCCTTTGCTGCAGCTGAGACGACGGGGCCAGTAGTTGTGGTCTCATCCAATGGATCTCCCAATTTGTAGCTGCGGAATATTAGCGAAATACTTTAATAAGTGAATATTAAAGACTCACTTCTTGAGTTCCTCCTGCACGTAGCGGACAAATTCATCGTAAATCTTTTCATGCACGTATACTCGCTCCACGGAGCAGCAACTTTGTCCGGAATTGAAAACAGCTCCGTCTACCAGGTTCTCGGCAACATCCTTAACGTCAACGTCTTCGCGTACATAGGCAGGGTCGTTACCACCCAGCTCGAGGTTGATAGGCTTAATCTGACGGGCTGTAGCCTCGCGCAGTCTAATACCACCAAGAGTTGAACCAGTGAAAGAAACAGATTGGATCTGAGGAAGCTGGGCAACTTGGTCTAAAACGTCCAAGCTGCCGATGTGCGCAACCTGAAGCACGTCCTTTGGTAGGCCAGCTTCAGTGAAGATTTCAAAGATTCTGTCTCCAAAAATCGGTGTCTGTGGTGAGACGCGCAGGATGACAGAGTCACCGGCCAGAAGTGCTGGTACAAGAGCATTAATAAGAGTCAGGTATGGGTACTGTCGTACTGGTTAGCTACTTGTCAAGTCGTAGGAGGGGAAGGCCAAGTCGCACATTCCAGGCTGAAGCAATCAGCACCGGGCCGACGGGGACCTGCTTCACAAAGCGCTTGAAGCCGGCTTCTGACTTTCCGGGAAGATCGGCAAGACTCTTCTCTGCGATGTCGAGCAGGTGGTTTGCACGCATAATGGCGGTCTTGATTTCACCCGCACAGTACCGAATGGGACGACCCATCTGGATGGTGATTTCCTTGGCCAGCACATCGAGCCGTTGTTCAATGATATCGAGGGCCTTCTTGACGATATCCTTCTTCTTGTCGAGTGGGATGGTGCGATATGACTCGAAGGCCTTCTTGGAGGCTATGGCAATAGTCTTGGCTTCTTCGAGAGATGTGCCCGGCTTGTCGAAGATGACTTCGTGTGTGGAGGGGGAGATGGTGCGGATTTGGTTGGACATTTTGAAATTGGAGAGTCTTCGGTATAAATCTGCGTGAATTGATGGGGAGGTTTGAGGGATATTAGAGGAGGGGTGGGTTTTAAATACGTGGGTCGACTTCAGAACTGATAAGGCTTATCGTGTTGCCGCGCATCATCCCAAATTAGTAACTCATATTATGATCGTTCGCGGTTAACTACGTTGCCTATACTGATTCTTTGATAAATTGAACATCTTCCCTGCTATTGTTTTCCCATCGTGCGGCTTGTTCACTCTCAAAATTCATCCTTAAACGTTTTGTCGTTGAAACCCCCGTTGTCGTGCTTGGTCTCTAACAGACAGGACATGATAAAATCGTTGAATTCAGTATGAGCCTGTACAGTCAACAGGCGCATAGGCATATAAAGCCCATGTATAGCACACATAGGACTACTACCGAGATTGTTATAGCCCTCAGGAATGTCCATGACAATATCCCGGTGCATTTGATGAGGATGCTAAGGTTTGTTAGAGTACGGGGACTAGTTATAGATTAATTGCTTCATTTCCAATTGATCTCGACCAAATAACTTCTGTCCAGCTTCAGTGAGGAATATCCCGTTGACGGAGACCTCCTATTCATCGCTTCGACCGACACGCGCACCCAAGGTCCGCGCTAGGATCTGGTGTCCGAAGCCAATTCCAGCGAGGAGTTTCTTGTGAAAGCTCACAATATCTCGGATATATTCAGTGAGATTGAGGATCCATGAGGCATCATTGAATGTATCGTGCTCTGCTAGGCTATAAGATATATGAATTAATGCTGTATATTCAAGGCACTTACTGCTTCCAAACATCGACCTGTTACTGGTTTAGATAGACCAAGTTATCTACAACATTCCACTTGCTGATCTGAATTTTTATAGAAAAGTTGGATGATTATCACTTTTCTTCAATAACCGCCTGAAGATATCTTGACCGACAGGATCGTCGTGTCACGCTCGAGGACAGAGACGCGAAGAGAAGTCGACATTATGTGCAATTAATTGAGAGGATGGTATAGAAAGATCGAGCAACTGCTGATGCTTCATTGACTTGATCATCCTTTCTTCACGCTATGTGGGGCTGCGCGGACCGCGATGGATCTTCGCCAAAATTACAGCATGTGTGCACCACATCAGACATCAGACATGGACTGTTCATGGGTGTACCAACTCCATCTTTATAGTGCGATCTCTGACTCAAAAATTAAAATGATTTAAAAGGTGCTTGGTTGGAGTCAAGTCATCGAGTTACAGTCTACAGAAAGCAATTGAGCTTCCCGACTTTGAATCGATTTCTAATCACAAGAATAGTTGAATTCTTTTCCGTTCTGCTTATATCTAGTGAAAATACTCACCTCGCTTCCAGCTCCGACTGTATGACTATCTAGTTACCAGTTAACAATGGTGTCGACCGTTGGACCTAATCATATTTTCGCCGAATATATTTTCGGCTCATGCGAGCTCGTAAAACATCTACGGATTGTTGTCGTTCAATATGAATTTGAAAAGTGTGATACGTAAAAGATGTACAATACGCAAGATGAATTGCGAATACTTGAATGATAACTATAGCGTTGAATTGAAGAGTCGAAGAATGATCCGAGATATCTCTATCATATGAAGAGGGAATTTCTGAAAACCAAGGCAGCAATGCCTTTCATTCTGCGGATACTCGGTCAGAAGCTTGACAAAAACTCAGCCGAATATTCACTTGGACTAGTTCGTTAAATGGCTGTATGCCTTATGCACCATGTAGTATTAGACGATATTTCTTTCACCCACACGTTCGGGCTATAGGTTGATGAAAGCAGAGTCTGAAAAATAGGAACGTTCTTTTGCATCCATCTAATGGGTAAGTCATTTTTAAAACTCAGCATTCTTCTGATATTGTAAGATATGGAGTCTATTTAATGGATTGATTCAAATTTGAAAATGGCATGAATTGAATTGGGAAAATGATAGTGCTTCATTGTTTGATGTCATAAGTGCAACTGACGACATTAAAATATGTCTCAGCTAATTCTGACCCCCAGAAGCGGTGACAAATAAAGAAAAAAGGTAGAGAGATGTCACCAAGAACTTCAAATCATATCCTGTGGGAGAACGCCAGACGCAATAACTGTGTCCGAGAAGTTAAACCAGCTGGATATAAAGGCGCTGCAGCATCTCGCGGCGGACATAGACGAAGGAGTCCTTGCCAGCGTCTGAGAGGCCATGGTAGGCCAAGCGAAGGTGTTGCAAGGCTTGCTTAGCCTTCTCGTTGTAATCCTCAAGATCAAGCTTGAACATTTGATGACCGAGGGTAGACGCATCGGGGTAGTCACGCTCAATGATTTGTTTGGTGGTATTGATCGAGTCATTTAGGCTATCGTATTGCTGAAGAAGCACACAGACGGCTCTCACAGCGGGGCTCATGAGAAGATCGCCGTCGTTTGACATGTCCTGATGGAGAGTTCAGATTGTTAGACAATTCAAACATCTTAACTGAATAAGACTTACGACGAATGTAAACAATGAGAGGAGGAACTGGTAGATATGGTGAGCTCTCAATAATATGTTGAATCGAAGACGGTGGATTATAGGGAAATTGTGGATGCAGAAAAAGAAAAAGAAGTGTTGGGAGAAGTGAGAGTATGTGAGAGGAAAATAGGCCCCCAGGCACACTCACACTGAGCGCCTATTAGGCATATCTCAGTCGAAAGAACTTCTTCAAGATTGATTCTGTTACAGATGGTCTCGAATTAAAGCTCTACTTTCTTGCTTATAGTATTTCGATTCACCAATGAATGACTAAAATCATTCAATTTGAGAGGAGATTTTCATTTTCAGAAAAGATGAAAGAGAGCGACTATTTGGCAATCTACTTTTGAATTATGGCTTTTTCTATTTCTTGGTCTACCAGCCCGAGTGAAAAGTATTCACAAATCTCGAGACCTTAATCATTGTAGAGTTTTTATTCTATGAAGCAGGCGAAGTGAAGCAAAGCGATCATGGAATGATCTAGATCGGAACCTCTGGTCTTCTTCTTGGATAGACATATTTCAACTTCAATAAGTATATTTATTGAAGAGTAAAGTGACTTAGCAATCGAGGAGTGTGGCATATAATATGTGTGCTTTTCGATATAGTCCATTCCAATTTTGTTGCAATCTTGGAATCACATGGAATTCAATCAACAACACCAATAGCCAACTACATTCATGATATTTGACTCTCGATTTCACTCTTTAGCTGTTTAGTTTAGATTTCTGAGACTAATTACTAAAGAAGTTGGCCATATTCAAAAAGGTTCTAATTACAGGCATAACCTATAAAAGGTTCTACTTATCTAATCCCATGTGACTTTAGTGTACATGGATAAAGCACCACTTAACGATGATTATGCTAGACTAGTGCAGGATCGATTCTCTCCAAGAACGTTGTTTAGAGTGGCGCTTTTTAACATATGGACCTGGAGGTTCTAGTCGGTGGGTTTCTTGCTGGGGAAACAACGGTGTACCTAAAAAACTAGCTCTTCATAGGTTTTATAGGATACATATATCTAAATTTTTAATACTTGTTCAAAATAAAATCACATTATCCGACATAAATCGAAATAATGGCGTCCATCAGTAAATAACACTTGTGTAATTTTTTTGATTCCATCAACAATCAGTTTCACGTTATTCTCCTAGATTTACCACAGCTGAAAAGGAAGGAAAAAGGAAAGAGTGTCCACCTTTCAAATCAGTTTCTCGCCTGCCATTTGTACACCCCTAGCTCAAGGAGGATTTGAGATAGCTATCAGACCATGAAGTATTTCCATTATTTGCCTCAATTGTTGAATTTTGAATTAGAAAATGAGGCTAATATCTTAGCGAAGATCTTAAAATCACTGCCATCGAGGCCGGGTTTACTTTATTTCTGCCTCATTCACAAAACTAGAATGATTGAACTTGAAGCATCTCAAAACAAGGCAAAACAACCTGAGCATCTAGATTTGCTTATTTACTCTCATTGTGGTTCTCTAGGTCATTTTACGGTTCAAATAGCTGTCTTGTTTTCGAGTACTAGTATGTGCGAAGTGTGTAATGGTTTAAGATGTACTTTCTATTTTCTAGTTCTATGGAGTTATAGTATGTCAAAGGACCGATTCCAAGTTTAGTTTAGTGCATTAGTAGTCAGATTCTGTAACTAGCATTAGACATGTTCATTGGGTTGGGTATGGGTTTGAAGTGAAACCCATACCCAGCCCATAAACCCATTTTTTTGCCAAGACTTTTATTTCACGTGATATTTATCGCCTAGTACTAGATTGAGTAAAATTCAGGCACTAAGGCACTAAGTACCCTAATATAGTTTAGGTTGAGGCAAAATTCAGGCATTAAGGCATAAAAAATACCCATACCCAACCCATGCACATGTCTAACTAGCATTACCGCCAGATCATTGCTTAGTTGAACACACACACACACACACACACACACACACACACATATTTGACTATTCTGTTCCTACTTGCTCGCACGAATCCACTATTCAGTTCCATTTGACATAGTATCATGTGGTTTTGTCAGATCAGCTGTTATTGGTTCCAACAATTATACAAGTGGGGCGTAGATCAGGGTCTTGTCACGCGATCAATCGTTACCTCAATGCCAAATACTCAAGAGCACCACTCTGAGGGATAATACGTGAAGTATATGTGAAAGGTATAATTCTCAATTTCTCATTAGGGATGTTAGGCAGATGGCAGATACTATCTGCCATCTGCCAACTCTGCCACCCCTTTTTGGTATAGCAGATAAAATGGCAGATATTAGTCATCTCCGCCATCTGCATCTGCCATCCAAAAAATGGCAGATATGGCAGATGTATCTGCCAATTATCATACGATATCATGTGATTATAATATCGCTAGACAATTTTCTTCTACCCTGGTATAAACTTATAACGGCGTGGGTTGCAAGAAGGCTGAGAGAGGCAATGGACTCTCTACATAAGCTGGCTGAACCAGCTGTCAGGGAAGCAGGGGTTCCCCGGATAAGCTAGTTAGAGATTTGCCACTTCCTGATGTATTTAACTCTCTGAGGTCTTTGGACTCTTGAAGGAGTTCAAGAGTTGTTCTTGTCCCCAATTTACCCTAGTGGAATTGAGCCCTATGGGATACCACACCCACACCTCCGTCCTCTGGTAGCCTTCTCATAATAGTTCTTCTCTTGTTTACGGTAGCCCAACCGCATTGGACTCTAACCCTTACAAAACTATCATTCTTCTCTTATTATATTTCATGGATATGGAGTCAAATAGACAAGTGACTCGTGGTAATGGGACTGCGCCAACTGGTTCCTATAATATTCTTGAAAATGGATTCGATGCTCTTGAAGATCCATCTCAAAACGAACTGACTGTAAGGGTTAGAGTCCAATGCGGTTGGGCTACCGTCAACAAGAGAAGAACTATTATGAGAAGGCTACCAGAGGACGGAGGTGTGGGTGTGGTATCCCATAGGGCTCAATTCCACTAGGGTAAATTGGGGACAAGAACAACTCTTGAACTCCTTCAAGAGTCCAAAGACCTCAGAGAGTTAAATACATCAGGAAGTGGCAAATCTCTAACTAGCTTATCCGGGGAACCCCTGCTTCCCTGACAGCTGGTTCAGCCAGCTTATGTAGAGAGTCCATTGCCTCTCTCAGCCTTCTTGCAACCCACGCCGTTACACTGACAACGCGTATTGAAAGCCAAGAATCCCTTTCTCAAGAGCCTTTTCTACCTTCTCTCTCTTCTCCATTATATCCTTCTATTGAATTGATACCATCAGTATCTCCTACCCCTTTCTCTCTTTCCCAGACACCAAAAACCTCAGGATTTCTTACCCCAAACCCAAAAAAGACTTCGAGTTCCTGGTGCTGGTCATACTTTAAGATGACTCAAGTTCAGAGGCAATGGGTTGTGAAGAAATCAGGGAAAGTCAAGCATCTTGATAACGATATTACTTGTGTTATGGCTATGCCTGATGGGACATTCTGTCCGTGGAGTACCTCTGAGAGTATACAACAAGGGGGTACAAGCAACCTTATTAGTCATCTTTCCACCTATGGGATCATACCATTAAAACCTGAGGCTAGTAATAGTATGATGAGCTATTTGAAAAGGGCTGATGAACCAGCTATATCTGATATTCTTGGTATAGCTATTTTACTATGGCATGACTTAAATACTTTTAATGATCATCTTTACTAATCTATCATTCTCTTTATTCAGGTCTCATCTCAACCGAAAACCTACCCTAGACCTTTATTGAGAACCCGTTCTTCCAGCGACTAGTTGAAGGCCCCAAAAAGACCAGGAAACTACCTTTCCGAACTCGACAAGGTCTTCGATCACATGCGGTTCAAGCCTTTAATAAGTATAAGTCTCGTGCCCAGCTAAGGGATTCCCTATCCTTAACATGCCGTACAATCGCTTTATCTCTAGATTATTGGAGTAGTCCAAATGGCTTTAGCATTCTTAGGGTCATTGGTCATTGGCTGACTAAGGATTTCCAGTACCAAGAAAAGATACTTGAATTCATAGCGCTTAAGGGGCATCATAGTGGTGAAAATCTAGCGAGTGCTATTTACTTACTACTTGATAAGCTTCAAATTTCTGAGAAGATTATCTCAATTACTACTGATAATGCTAGTAATAATGAGATAATGGTTAGGTGTCTAACCCAGCAAATAAAGTAAACAGAAAACCCTTGGTGGCAGCTTGATCGCGATAATAATAGAGAAGAGAGTGGAGAAGATAGGGAGGCTAAAGAAGAGGAGGAGGAGGATATTGAGGGGTTACATAGCTTTATTTATTGCTTTACCCATGTTCTTAACCTAATAGTAAAGAAGATTTTGAAAGTTCTAAAGATGTCACGGGGCGGGCAGGTGAATAGAATTATACTAGAACTGGACAGACAGTATTGCATTGACTGACAGGCTAAGACGAAGACGTAGCTTGAAGAGCTATATTCAGACAAGGTTCTGAGTTTACATGAGGTTGCGGGTCACGTGGCCCGCACTATCTAATCAATCAGTAGTCGTCTGAGCTGGCACCGTGATAGTATCCCCCTCCTTAGAGCCGAGCTCCGTAGAGGCGTAGACAGGACCTGGCTTGGACGGGTAGCGGAGGTGGAAGTTCTTCACTAACTGTCCATAATTTTCTAGGTGAGCAGCAGGCTCTTTAGTTGGGTCATCGTAACCGGTCCACTTAACCATGTATTTTAGACGTGGTGTTCCCCGGCGACCACGTTTCTCCCAGCGGGAGTCTAGGATCTCCTCTACCTCCTACTCGTCGATTCCGTCGACTTCGACAGGTGGGGCAGGTTCTTGTTGCTGCGCGGGAAGCGGGTTGTCGTCGGCAGGGCGTAATAAGGAGATGTTAAATACTGGGTGGATCATTATTCCAGGGGGAAGCTGTAAACGGCA